CTCAAGTTCTTCCGCATCAAGGACTTCAGAGCATTTAGTGCTGCGTCAGTCTATGGATCCACTGCAACATTCACACCCAGTAACATCTTTGACAACAAGGCGGCCTACCCAGAGTTGATCGTTCGAAGGTTCAAGATGGCAGAGTGAAAGGCTGTCTCAACTCCAGGCTCGAAACCCCGCAGGAGGAATGTAGACGCTAGTGAAACGATCGAGAGCAAGCGTGCTTAGCCTGTCGTCATCTGGTCGTTGCTCTGCCTCGCACTAAGGGCATGACCTGACTGGCTTACTCCATCGACAGGGCCGGGCAGGACGGCGCAGAGGCGAAAGACTGCAGCTTGGCGGGCCGCCACAAGGACCATGCAGTACATCTGAGGGACCTGCCCGCCTCGGGATCGAGTACTAGCATGCCAACACGACTGACCTGGCCGGTTTCCGTGAGTCAGACTGGGTAAGCGGCAAGAACAAGAAGCCTATAACAGGCTTGGTACTCTCCATCCCATCAGGCGTCATCAGTTGGTCATCGCGGAATCAGTGCGGCAAGGTTGGGTTTCCTCACAGGAGACAGAGCTGAAGGCAGCAAGCGAGGCGAGCCGCGAGGCAGCTTGGCTGCACAAGATTCTTCGGGATCTGCGTACCCCAATGAGCATGGCTATCAAGATCACAACAATTGCGCACTTCACTAGATCCTCGGTATTCCAACGCATGGAATAAACAAGCAATATGATGTCGAGTGCATTTATGGACAGGAAGCACGCGAGAATGGTACTGTGAACTTCGATGGAGTTAATAGCAACGCCAACATTGCCGACTCACTTACCAGGCAATTGCAGAGCAATCAGTTGGAAACACATCGTGCGGTAGCTGGAGTCATCAGCTGCACGACCCGAGCTCTGCTCCCTAAGATGGGTGACGCGAGAGCAGTGATAGCGTGGATGTGCGAGCCAACAGAACGAGGCATGATAAAGGCACGTCGAATTATTTCGAAGCAGCATAGCCTATAGAACACCATCAAGAACCATGGATGTCCGAAGGCAAGGAACAAGCTTCAGAGGCTGCACGTGTGAGCCAGCACCTTATGGATATATAAGGAGCCAACATACAGCACCCAGAGTTCGTGCACCGTAGGGAGCAACAAGAAGTCAGAACACCCTATCTTGGTCGTAATAAGCCAATCATTCATGGGACACGCCACGTTATTTCAAATGATCCGATCCGAGACCATCCCCAATTGAAAACCGCCATCGTTGGAATGTTTGCCCCTCGTTAGTAGCATATATACACGCATCGATACAAGTTTCATAAACACAACCGCGACAGGCACGAGATCGTGACGATCAGACATGGGAATGTCATTGTGCTACTTGCGTGCAGCCCGGGAATGGCTACTTGCGTGGCCCGCGGTCCAATGTGATCAAGGACGCTTGTGCTTGCTGGCCCTACTGGGGGCATTGTGTGGCTGAGATGAGTGCTAAGCCGCAACAACTTCCTCAATCGATGGGTCTTTGACAGTGGGAGGTTGTGTTATTATGTATAATGCCTTGTTCTTCTCTGTGATCATAGCGGCGGCTGTTGTTTGATCACTCAAAGTGGCAGCTTGTCTTCGCCTTTGCGTTCTCGTCTTCACTGCAGTGTTCGTGGTGGCTGCTGTCTTTGTGCTCCTCATCCTGCTGTTTACCGCTTTCTGAAACAGCTGTGCGCGTACGGTCTCTTTTCCTAGTTTCTATTGCAGTTGCAACTGCTTTTCAAGCTGTAGGTGTTGCTGCTTCTGTGTTTCCGCCTGCGCTTTGGCAAACAAACGTGCTAGCTTGACCCCTTGAACTTTTGCAGCGGCTCCAGCTAGCTTCTTGCTTCCTCACCTTTGTGCGCCGCCTTGGCTGCGCTCGCCTGCTCCCTCTCCCTTGCTCGTCTCTCCTCGTCATCTGCTCGAACCTGCTCACGCAATGCAACTGCGTCCGCTTGATCTCTTGCTTCCTCGGCAAGTTGCGCGGGCTTCTGAGCTTGTTCTTTCCGTTGCTGATCGTCAGCGATTTTCATTCTTGCCTTTTGCGCTGTTTTTTTTTGCGACGCTAGCAAACAATTTCCGGGCGCCATTTCCTGTACCGCTTCCTTGTGCTGCCTTGAATGCAAACCTCGGTCGGATAGCAATCGTGCCATAATTGCTCGGCCGGGCAAGGCTCAATAGTGCTGCTGGTTTGCAATCCTTTCTGGATCATCGCCGGGTTGATCATGTGCACCTCACTGGCGTCGTCGACGACGCCTCTAGAAGGTGCTGTGTGCGCTCCTTCAATGGGTTCATAAGTTACTTCGCTCGACGCGGCACACTTGTATAGCCCGCAAGCATTTTGAGCATTTTCACCTCCACGCCAGTGTCGGACAGGAAAAAGTGAATGTCGGACGTCCTGTGCAATGCGATAAGATCCAGGTATTCGCGCAAGCTCTCGATTGTGCCGAGTGCAGCGCTGTGGATTTGACACCAATTGCCCTCGGGTGCCGATGGAAACTGCACGATACGAGAAGAGGCAGGCGTTACAGCGACTTTTTCGAGCTTCGAAGCTCTCCTTTTAGCAACTTCGGGGGTATACGGGTGGTTCACGGCGTCGTATAGGTCCAACTATTCGCTTTTTCTTCCAGCAACTTCTCGAGGTTCACCATGCCACATTCCTCTTCCACTTGCCTAAAGTCGGCCTGCGTTGTCGAATCTTCAAATCGCGCTCGGCAATATATGGTTTGTTGCTATTGCCTTGAGTCGGATTCAGGAAAAGCGGTTTGTCGCTGCCTATACTTGCATCTTCTACATCGGCTCTCGATTCAGGTCCTGTTTCATTCTCCGACTGTGGGAAACAGTGCGCAGCATGGATGATGCAAGCGTTTGATGCTTGTTTTAACGACGGTGGAATTCCGGACTTTTTCTTACACGCAAATGAGGGGAAGTTAGGGCATCTGCGGCATTGTATGTGTCATTGCTGGCGGGGATGGGTCAACAAGGATTTTGATCGCTTCATCTGCGGAAGCTCTGGTGGGCACGCCATCATGGATCGTCGGACTATCCATGGCGGATTGAGTTCAACCTTTGCAGTACTGAGAAAGAGATACTGAAGAGTAAGAGGATCAGGAGTATGGCAACGAGAGAAGATGAGGGAAGATGAGAGAAGAGAAGAATGAGATACCCTCAATTTGGACCATCTCAGATACCGTGTGGGCTGGGACAGCTTGGGCTTTGACTGATCTTACAACATCCTCTAGCCAAAAAAACCTTGCCGACTCTCGGTCGCGGGTCGCCCACTACAAACGGAGTAAAACGTCATTTCAGGGGACTTTCCACCAGATGCATTTCGAGACATCTGGGTTCACCCGGGCCATGTACATGACAGTCTAGATTGTACAGACATCTTTGTCGAGAGCCTGTGAGGGCCTAGACAGGTCTAGACAAGTAGATAGCAGGGCTGGACTTTTGAAGTTTGGGCGTCTCATTTGTCTGCAGGTGTCTGGCGAATGAAACCTCCCAGGGTCACACTTTATCCCAGTCATTCTGTCAACATCTTGAAAAGGGACAATTTCCGTAAAACTCCTTACCCAGCGGGGCATTTATAGAGAGTTATCATTTTTCTTTCGAGAGCCTCAGCGTAACCTGCAACTTGTTTCGTACATTGGCAGTTTCGACGAGTCAGGTTCAATTTTTTCGCTCCTACAACCGCTTCCCCAACTCCATCACTAACCCTTATTATAGCATTGAAGCAAATCCCCTTGAAACCCATGCATTAATCCCCGAATCCGCCAGAAGAGACTGCAATTGAGTTCTATAGCTCATGCGGGGCCTGAGTGGCCTGTGATGACATCATCATGCGCCACTGCGCCTCAAGGCTCAAGGCGGTCAATCAAGCTCTCATCAACAGCTGTTCCTACTCGATACTCACATACTCCAGGCGTACCTACTTTGATCATATTCAACACCTCTGAATCTTCAATCGGACAATAGATTACATTCGCCCTTCTGTGAGGTCTTGGTCTGGGGCCGTCTTGCTTCGTCAGCAAATACTGCATTTATTGCCTAGAAGGCTCTCGTCGCAAGACTCGCTTTGACTCCGAATCCGCCATGCCGAGCGAACAGGCAGCTCCTAACCTCGACCAACCGCCTCTAGTGATCATATTTCAGGCAATTCCGAAGACATTAAGTCGATCGAAATCTTATACCTCTTCGGATGAGCGCCATTCGATCGCTCAAGAATATGAGCGTCTGTTACAAGCACTGCGCAAGGCGGGCCTGCATGTCACGACTCGAGAAGGTACTGCTGGCTCTGGCAATGTGCTCATCTTCGTCAGGGCTAGCATGCAGGCGCTATACACGGCGGCTGCAAGAGAACGGTGAGCAGCGACGAAAATGAAGTTCAGTACATCGAACTCTGAACGCAGCGACGCGCATTCCCGGTCCCCCCATTGGCAGTATGAGTGATTATCTGCACGGCGTGCGATCTAGCTCACAAACGCCAGTCAGCTTCTCAAGAACGTCATCGCTTTCAACCGATCCTTTCGCATCAATCCCATCGCCGACATCTGCCGACGTCTTACGCTTTACGCACAGCTTGGTGACGACACCCCCCTGCCACGATAGCAACAAGGCTTGGCATACTATCTCTGGGGCCAACATACAGATCAAATGCAGCACATTCCCTCACGTGGTCGACATTGTTCCACTCCATGAAGTCCAGTACAACAAACAGTGGCTCAAGCAGTGGACCGCGCCGTCGTCAGCATTTACTATTGGAGCTTACGACCTCGACTCGGTCAGATGTCACTTTGGCGAGCAGATTGCATTCTACTTTGGCTTTCTGGTCTTTTATTTCAACTCATTGCTTCCTATGGCAGTGTGGGGCTTCCTTTTCTGGGCTGCTCGCCGGCCATACGACCCAATTTACTCCCTTGGACTTGTCGCGTGGGCATGCGTCTTTGTAGAGGCGTGGAGGTTGCGTGAGAGGAAGCTAGCGGTCCGATGGGGATGCTCCGGAGTCTCGCACGCCGAGGCCCGACGTCCCGAATTCAAGCCTCGCTGCATCCGTAAGGATCCCGTCACAGGCGAGGAGCTAGAGTTATTTGAATGGTGGAGGAAGGAGGCTCGTATGGCTCTGGCACTGCCCGTCATGCTCATCTTTGCGGCTCTGCTAGGAGCAGTCATGACTCTGATGTTTATCATCGAAGTCTTCGTGTCAAAGATGTATACTGGACCGGGGAGAACTCTGGTCCCGCTTGTACCCACCGCCATGTTCACCACTGCGGTGCCGTCTATTATGGCAGCTTGGCAGGCAACGGCAAGTGCCCTCACGAACTTCGAAAACCATCGTACCGATCGGACGCACCAAAGCTCGCTCACGCTCAAAATGTTTACGCTTCAAGCATTTGTCGCGTACGGTGCGCTCACGCTTAGTGCTTTTGTGTACGTCCCCTTCGGCCAGAAGGTGATGGATACGCTTATGGCACGAGGCTTCCTCTCTGAGCACGTCAGTTTAGCAGTTCAAAAAGGCTATCTCAAATATGACCCTGACGGAAGGGTCCATTTTGACATCAATCCGAATCGAATGCATCTCCAACTCTTCGCCGCCAGTGTCACCAGCCAAGCAATTAACGCTTTCACCGAACTCTTCTTTCCGATTCTACTGAGAGCTGTCAAGAGCTGGAGATCGGAAAGAGCAGCCGCGAGGCAAAGAAGCGGAGAGAAAAATGCGGGTGGTACTGGCGCACACCGAGACCCTTTCGTGACGAGGGCACTGGAGGAAATATCGTTGCCTAGCTACGATATATTTGGCGACTACGCCGAGATGGCGACGCAGGTAGGTCCTGGCCATCGAAAGAGCCAAAAGCTTGATCATGCCTGACCTGCCTTTCCACTTCAGTTTGGTTTTATCACCTTGTGGTCGGCCGTCTGGCCCATGTCGCCAGTCATTGGCTTTGTGAACAACTTTTTCGAAATCCGCTCTGACGCTGCCAAGATATGCATGAACGCCAGAAGACCAGTGCCGGTACGAGTTGAAAGTGTCGGGCCTTGGATTGAAGTCCTGGTACGTACCGGTGAGGTCATATGGAAGAACGCTTGCAGAACTAAATTCAATAATGCACGTATTTAGGGATTCATCTCATGGCTGGCAGCCCTTGTGAATGCTGCACTTCTCTATCTCTTCGGGCGCGCGCCGTACGCCAACACTGCTGGGCATTCGGCCTACGCCACAGTCTTGCGCCAGTACGGCCCAGGAGTCAACGTGGTTAACGCGACACAAACCAGCCAGTCCAGTGCCTCGCTCAGCGAGCAGCTACCCATCGATATGAAAGGCTCAGCGAACGAAAGCGCACTTTTGGTGGCGCTGCTCATTGCGATTGCTTCCGAGCATGGCTATGCAATCTTCCGCGCTGCTGCGCGTCATGTTTTGGTTCGAGCCGTCTGGCGTGGAAGCACGGAAGCAGAGGTTCTAATGCAGAGAGAGTGGCAGAGCAGGCGGGCGTTGCTGAAAATGCATGAGAAAGCGCCGGATGAGGACCAAGCGGCAATTGTTGATTCCCTCTCAGCATTTTGGAAAGAGGACGGCGTAAGCAAGGAATGGATTGAGAACACCAAGACGGACTGAATTTTAGTGACACCGCCAACGGCCGGCGCTTCTCATAGCTTCGATTTGTAAAAGTTGAGCCAGTCTACATATCTGTTTCCTTTACTTTGCCTAAAGGCAAGTATTCCATGCATTGCCTCTTCACTAGGCGCCATCATTTCCAGGAATGCATCTTTGACAGTTTTCTCAGCCTGCCCCGCAGCTGTATCGTGTGGAGACAGGAGACTGAGCCCCGGCTGAGCCTGTGTGCGAACAAGTGCTTTGGATCGTTGCAACGCCTTAGGACCGCCTCGTTTTAGCATCTGGGTGATTTGTACCAGCTGGGATTCACCATCTTGCGCTGAGTCGAACACGCAACTGACTATGTGGCGCGAATACAGTTCTTTCGCGGAGATTGGCCTGGCTGTCAACATGGCGTCGCGAGCTAGCTGCGGGCCCCATTCGCGAATGATGGTGGGGGAAATTAGAGCTGGTACAAGGCCCCGAGTCACCTCTGTAAGCTGGAATGTCGCGGCGGAAGAAGCCAGGCGGATGTCTGCGGAGAAGAAGATACCACACCCGCCGCCATAGACATTGCCGTGTGCGATTGCGATCACTGAAGGAATACAAGTTGAAATGTAGTCACAGTATCAGCTTGGGGAAAGAGCACCCTTCTACCCATACATACAGGAACATACATGGCTTCGGAAAGGACTCCAAGGCTTCAAAGAAAGACCGTCCGGCGATGTAGAGCTGTTCGTTACCACCTGCGAGGCTGGATCCGGTAGTGCTGAGGTCCATGCCCGTGCAAAAGTACTTCCCTTTTGCCTGTAGGATGACATAATGGATCAGATTATCCTTGCTGGCACGATCCAGATAGGAAAGAAATTCGTTCTGAAGCTCTGGCGTGAGTGCATTCCCGCGAGCCGGTCGATTAAGCGTAATGGTGGCTGCTGGGTGCTCCACGTGGAACAATATCGGTGCGGTATCGTCTGGGCTGGCTGCGGGGGTCATGGCTGCAGAAAGCGAGCAAGCTGCGAAAGCGCCGCCATTCCAGATTCCGACAGATATAAGCAGGTCAAGCAAGTAGCAGGCTTGCAGTGCTGACCGTGATCAATAGAGCCTCAAATTGAGCATGGTATGGTCAAAGAGGGTGAGAGTCCTTCCCGTAACCCCATGTTGCGAATTGCAACTTGCCTGTACCACGAATATACGGTACCCTGTGGGTGTGACATCGTGTGGTACATAATACATATGTAGGTAGGTATATGAACGCCGGCACTGCGCAAGCAGCCGAATTGCCGGGTGCGGAGTTGTCTTCAGCACTAGCAGGCACCAGTTGCCCAGGCCCTGACGAGAATGGGTCGGAAGCCAGTTCTATATTGTAGGTCATATGGATAGAACAACAATCTACTTGGGCGGAATCCGGATACCTTGTATTACATAAGCATTGTGTTTTTTTTGTCCGTGTTGCTCCCTCTGCTTGGCACTCTGGATGGGCGCCAGCTCGCCGAGTCATCCTCCCACATTCACCTCTTCCAGCTTCCCCCAACCATTCGTTGTTTGTCCTATTCGCTTCATCCATATCTCCGTTCGCATTTGGTCGAAAGATGTTCCGCATCGGATTCCTAATGCCAATTTCCGACCTTTATATTAGATAGCAAAAGAGTCAGCTGGTCAGCTTGCTATTTTGCATTGAAAGGATCAGTACACGAGATTCGTATCCCTCATCCGCACTCAGCCTCGCCAAGAAAGTGTTGAGTACAGATACAGATATAGATACAGATACAGAGACAAAGCCATCCCCTTTTCCTCCACCGTCCCAACGTCAATGGCGAGCGACAGAAGGAGCTCAACAGAGGACGTAGCCGTCTGCGATGGCCTCTGTAGAAGCGAGGCTGTGCCTGTCGAAATGGCCGAACGTACCCTCAGCGAAAAACACACATCTCTTGCTTCAGCATCAACTTCTTTTTCAGTAGAGGATGGCGAGGGAGATCATACTGCGAAGGCGAGAGCCTGCTGCAGTCGAACCCTTGTACGCAAAATCGATCTGCTGCTCATGCCGCCAATGATCCTCCTTTTTGGACTAGCATACGCTGATAAAGCCGTCCTTGGCTCCGCAGCTGTGGCGGGCATCCTTGAAGCCCTTCAGCTATCAGTGACTACCATCAACTCGAATGGAAAGCAGGTCACTGATCTCACCCGCTATTCCACGGCAACTGCTTTGTTTTACGCAGGCTACGCCGTGTCCGTACTTCCCGCGGCACTCGTCGCGACTCGTGTGCCTAATATTATCCACTTTCTCTCTGCCATGATTATCCTATGGGGCGTCGTCACCATCTTAACACCCACGATTCACCACTGGCAGGTTCTATGTGCGCAGCGCTTCTTTCTGGGGTGAGTGATCATCTTGATGTTCTCTGCTTTTACCGGGTTTCTACATCAAAGTTCCGACCATGCCGCCTGTCTCACCGCTGTCTTTAAATAGAATGATTGAAGCAACCGTCTCGCCTGGCTTTGTGGTAATCACAAGGGCATGGTACAAACGGAGAGAGCATGCATCAAGACTTGGAATTTGGTATTCAAGCACCGGGCTGTTCAGCATCTTCGCTGGCGTCTTCAATTACGCCATAGCTTCCATCCGTGGTTCCATTGCGCCATGGAAGCTACTTTACCTCGTCGCCGGTGCCTTTACCATCGTTTTTGGTCTCCTCTTCCTCCTTCTCGTCCCTAAAGATCCATCCTCGCCCCCAATCTTCTGCATTCGCGCTTACAACATTTTCACACCTAGACAACGGATCGAATTCCAGAACAGGCTTGGAGAGGACGATCTTGGCCTGCTTAGCAATTCGTCAGCTGACTCAAATTGGACCGAAGTCAAGGAATGCTTTCTGGACATGAAAATGTATATGTTTGCGCTCATTGCGTTCTCTATCTACTTAGTAAGCACTCGCACCTCGTTCGGCGGGATGCTCGGCTGCTCTAACACTCATGCGCTCGTTACCGCAGACCAATGGCGCAGTGACTGCGTTTGGAACCCAGATCTTGCGGAATTTACACTACACGGGTGCACAAGCCATTGCGCTTCAAGCTCCTGGTGGCTTCACCACCGCTCTCTCCATCTACATCACCGGCTACATCTCCTTGAAGGTTCCCAACTCTCGCATCATCTTGCTTTGTCTCTCTTGTCTGCCCGTCATGGCAGGTGCCTTGATGATCTGGCTTGGAAATTGGAAGGACAGAGGCGTCATCTTCGCAGGTCTCTGGATGCTCCCCATATTTGGTGCAAGCTTTGTGCAATTGCTATCATTAGCTACAGCGAACGTAAAAGGCAACATCAAACCTTCCATCGCCGCTGGTATCATCTTCGTGGCGTACAGTCTCTCAAACGTGTCTGCACCATACACATTCAAAGGTTCCGAACTGGCCCAGAAATATCGGACGACTTGGCAAGTCATCATCGGGGCGATGTGCGCATCCATATTCTTTTCCGTCCTGTTGGGTCTAAATATGGCCTACGCGAACAAACGCAAAGCGCAGGTGGAAGCGGATGGAGACGGGGGCGTTGTCAATGCCACAGACATGAAGGATCCAACGTTCAGGTATGTATTCTGACGAGAGTAAAGCAAATACATGCCCCTTGATGGCCTAATTTCCCGCATTCAAGGATCACGAACATAGTTTCTGGAGAAGTGGGTAGTATAACATCAGTTACAGGCATCATACTCAGTATCGATTCTCATAGCGAGACATCATATACTTGCCCTGGGAAGATTCCTTGGACACCATTAACGATCCCCGTCCACCAGTCTTCGGTGCTTGTCGTTTTCTGCACGACTTGGATTCGGTCACCTGCACTAAAGCTGAGATCACCAGCCGCCTGAGAAGGCAATGCGTAGAACAGCCGTAAGAAGTAAATCATTACCTTGATAGCGCGTGCTTCTCATGGCTTACTTGGGCTGTGTAGTCGTAAAGAGCGATGACGTATTGCTTTTGTGGCTGTAACCCAGGCTTTTTCCCTGCTGGCGGCGGGGGCGGCGGTGGCTTGCTAGCAGCGGCATTCGGTGCGCCGCTTCCTCCTGCACGGGATGGTGCATTCGCTGCAAGACCGCCAGGAGCACAAGATGTGGAACCGATGGATCCGGAACGATTGGCCCCAAGGATGCGGGCTATCCTCACAGTTGCGGTGGATGCTTTCAGTAAACTAGCTACTTTGCGAGGAAGGGTAAGTCACAACTATCTCACCACTTGATTGCGCCGGTCGCCGAATGCACAACGCCTCGAGCTGCTCTGCTGTATCCGCAAGCCGCTGTGCATAGGTGTCTTCAATCGTGCGTGGGTCGACTGTGAGGTCATAACGACCGGAAGCAAAGGTTTGGAACTTCTCCAGCGTGAGGTAGAACACGTTCAGCCTGACGAAGTTGAGAGTAGAGCATTTTATTGTCAGACTAGCCGCGGAAGACACGATCGATGCGAACAGCACACCACTCACTGCATGTAGTACAAGCTGTGGAAGAGCGGAGTCATAAAGGAGGCAACGAGCTCGAAAAAGTTTGGCAGTTCCTCTTTGAAAGCATTGTTGAAGTATTCATAATCCGCAGCGGCCGTCTCGTAGCCCTGCTCCAATTTGAATAGGTTTTGCTCGTCTTTGAGACTCTTTTCCTTCTTGTCCTTCACCTTAGAGAAAGCGTTATTGTGCCGATCATAATCAATGAGCTTATTTTAATGGAAAAATTGTGTTAGCGACTCTCTCTGTTGCAGCGAATAGACATGTGAAGCCCACTTTATGATCACGCTTCGTGATATTCTTCCGGATACTTTTAATGACGGCGTTGAAGTCCTTGATTGGCGCTATGATCCGATTTTCAATCAAGTCAATTTCAGGGGTGAGCGCCTCACGGAGTTCCTCCATCATGATATCGTAGGCGGGCAGACTCTGGATTGTGGTCGCTGCCTGGGGATGATTGCCGATGAAGTCGGCTTCAGATCCAGACGGGGAGAAGAGGTTGGCGAAGGCAGATCCGAAAGCAGCGCCCGAGAGGAGCATATCTGCGAACAAAATGAGACAGGGCAGTCGTACCGCGGTGAGCTAGGTCCGATCCTTCCGGAAGACAGAAAGGCCTGAACAGAGGTGGGATCTGTGAGGGCTGTCTCGCTCACTTTGCACGGATTGCTTGTAGGACTGAGCATCTTTCTGCAGCCTCTCTCCACTCTTTTCGACAGTTGTGAACTTGCGGTTGAGCTCATCGAATGCGGCGTCACTGGATTTGGTCGTCATGCCCACCTTAGAGGTGAGCAGGTGCGGCGTGCGCGCCATCGCCTTTGCGATGCCCTTCATCGCGACCGGACTCAAGGAGATCCACACCTGGTAAATGCTGCGTGGGGCGAGAAGGATGAGACGAGTGAAATGTGTTCCGCTTGAGGAAGCAAGGTGTGCCCGCTGCGTCGAGAGCAGAAAGCGTCAAGGGGAAAGGGAGTCGTGCGAGCGTTCCAAGCTGGACAGAGGACTGGATTAAGCGCATGCGATATATTAAGCTTCTCTTGCGGTGGCGCAGCATCGTCATCCCTGTGAACCCCCTCGTGGAATCGTGATCCCGGCCGCAGAGCGGCGATGTGGCGGCGCCGGCATACAGCGCTGTACATATCAATCACAAAATTGGGGGCTGTGCTTTGCTGTACTATGTTGGAAGATGCTGGAGACTGGAGAGCCTCCAGGTCAAATCTGTTGGAAAAGGGATATGGATGCTTGCAGATATCGGGTGAATTTCGAAAGGATTACCCAAAATACCCCATAAATTCATGCCGCCTGCAAGCAGCTGTGCAAAAAATGCATACAGCACACTCCAGTTCCGTCCTCCCCTTGCAGCCGCACACCCGCCAAGGCGCCAACTGCCAAGCAGCCACGTCATCGGCGGGTCACAGGTACCCCGACGCTCCCCTCTCGAGAATCGAGCGTCGAGTTCAAGAATCCATGCATCATTTATGTCTGTAGAAACTGGTGGAGAGTGGGGAGGCTCGTGCGCCGCCCACATTTGGCGATTAGCAATTGGATTGATTGATTTACAATGTCCACTTTCTGCTCCCCAACACAACGCCAGAACTGAGATTGAGAACTCATATATATCCAGGTGCCGACAGATCGATAGAAGCGATCGACGAGCCAAACTCCATCGACGAGGCTAGTACTGGCTAACGTATAAAGGTGCAATCTGCGGAATCTGCCTTGCCGTACCCCATGCACCCAGCGGCAGCGCGGCCCTGCATTGGCAAGCACGCTGCTCTTGGTTCACAATCCGTTTCGCTTGTCATTCGCGCCCACGGCACACGACATCACCTCCATCGGCAAGCTCACATTCAAGTCTGCCGAGCATCAGGTCAAGCATATCTCTTTTCCTCGCGAGCCATTCAAGGACCCATCGCAACAAAGATACGCAGCATGTCATCTACAACTAATTTTCCGGATCAACTGCTTGCGCGCAACGCGGACTGGGCTTCAGCCGTCGCCACGAAGGAGCCAGAACTTCTCAAGTCGTCCGCTGCAGGGCAGGCACCAAAGGTCCTTTGGATAGGCTGTGCGGATTCACGGGTGCCGGAAAGTGTCGTGTGCGATGCCAAGCCAGGCGAGGTCTTCGTCACGCGAAACATTGCCAACCAATTCAACCCACAAGATGATAATGCCGTCAGCGTCCTGACCTATGGAGTGCAAGCCCTGGGTGTCGAGCATGGTCAGTCTCACACCACAGCACGATATACGCGCCATTGTTTCCGCTTCTCTTCAGCGTCGATCTTATGAGTTTTTTGTTTTTATTGTTTCCCTCTGTCGCAGTCGTCGTCGTGGGTCACACCAGCTGCGGCGGAGTGAATGCTGCCATCGCTGCTGCATCCTCTGCTGCGGATGGCAAAAAGACGGAGAGTCCTTTGTCGCGCTACTTGACTCCCCTGGTGCAGTTGGCTGGCCGGGTCCAGACGGAGTGTAGCAGTCTGTCGGGACCAGAGCTGGCGAACCAGGTGCTCGAGGCGAGCGTCAAACAGCAAGTGGAAAATGTCGTCCAGACGGACGTGATACAGAGTAATTGGAAAGGCGAAGTATCTCCGTTGAGCAACAAGGTCATGTCTAAGGTGGCTGTGCATGGGTGAGTGACGGGAAGCATGGCAGCGGCGCGCAAGCAACGCGATGTGTAGCTAATGTTTGTCCTGCACGCGTGTGCGCTTAGCTGGATCTACGACGTCGCCTCGGGTAAACTGAAACATGTCATCACGAAGAACCCCGTGTAACCGATGGAGCACAAGGAAGGCGCTTCCAGGCCAGGTGGATGGAGTTGACCGAAGCACATCGTCGTGCCGGGTCTAACTGCTAGATCCGCGCGAGCATGCGGGTTCCAAGACTCTAACTTCGACTATCTTCCGCCATAGGCCTAATTACATGCTATACGTCAGACCCATAGTCCTATTTCTTCGGACACTTGTGTAGGGCCCCAGCCCGAGTTGACTGCAGCATGCAACATTTGAATTTAACGCGTCACAAGTGTGGTCTGGACAGTCACCTCGTGACGCAACATGTGACAGATATGAGGGTCTACGCTCTACAGCCTTGGGTTGATGCGCTGCAGCAGTCACAACTGCTGAGGCTTGAAACATTGAACCTCGGTGAAAATGCTTTATGCTCGATGCTTGATACGTGCTTGGCGCTTTACGCTTGAGGCGTTGACGCTGGACACTTCACAAGTAACATTTTTATACCTTGAGTCCTTGAGGCGCTCGACGTCTGACGCAAGAGGCCTTGGCACTGGGCAGGTCCGGGTACTCGCCGCCTCGCAGGTGGATGCTCATCTGGCATCTGCTCATATCTTGTACTATTGTGCAGACGCATCATGACTCACGCAACGTTAGAAGACCGGTGTCAGGTGTGGCTCTTCATGGCTATCGGCCTGCGCTGTGGTGAATCGAAAGTGAAATGGAAGCGCTTGTTCAAGCAACGAGAGAAACTTGCGGGGCTGCGGCCTGCACACGCTCACGCTGAACTGGCAGGCACAGGCCACACCATGGGCGATCAGCTCAGATCCCAGTGACCCTGGTGAGAGTGCATGGGTTCTGGCACTGCTTCCAGCAGTTCTTTGTTCTGGTCTTCGACCACTTGAACGACGGTTGGAACTACTTGGAACCTGCCATGCCCACATAGCCCATGTTTATGCTTGAGTTCAGTATTGTACATCTGTAGGTACATAATTGTTGATCTCTGATGATTGCCACTGACCGCACAGCCTGCCAGACTCGACTCGGAGAAGAGCCTGTTAGAGCTCAATCTCCAGAGGCCAGAAAAGACCATACAGTTCAGATTCCAAATGGCCATCCTGAATGCCAAAACCGACGCCACAGGGCACGCATGAACGCCGTGCGAGTTGCGAAGTCGGACTCAGTGCAGAAAGCTCTCACCACTTGGGTCTCATTGGTACTCGAACCCGCACTGTTGTGAGGCACGGAAGCAACACGTGACGAGACACATTCACATCTAGAGGGATGGGCCTCATCAGCACATTCACCAGTGTCTCTCTCCTTCGCTGTCCACTGTGATCACGCATGCTGTACTATGGTATATGCACGTGTATGTTCCTCAGACTTGCATGAACGTAGCTAATGCACCTGCCTTCGAAGAGTGCCTCTGCACCTTTGAGGATTAGTCGACTGTGGCCACCGAGGATCACAACAGAACGTTTCGAGGCATTCAATCATTTAAATGGTCCATTCAGCGTCAACGCTTGCTTCCAACTTTCCAGGTTATGGCAGGTGATCCTCCCAGACCCCCGCGCAGGTCGCAGGCCCACGCATGTCCCGTCCACGCTCGCTGTAGATGGGTAGGTACATACTGTACATACTTTGGCGTGATCACGCTGGGTCACACTGTAAAAGTATACGAATGTGCCCCGCAGTATGTATGCACTGGTACATACTGCAGACATTTACAAGAAATTCATTATCAAAGCGCACACGAGCTGTCGACGACAGCGGTTTAAACTTGAAGGGAACTGGGTGCAAATGGAGCTCGGGACTGCCACAACATAGGGCAACAACGGATAGCACAATATACCATATGAGTCGCTCTATTTGTTCGATAGGTTGTTGTTGGGGTTGTGGTGCTTGTTGAGTGTTGTGCCCTGTTGCCGTTCAGTGTGTGCCACGGCATGGCCACAGCACACCTGCAATCCAGATGCCGCTGCGAGTCGTTGTTGGGAGAGCGGTGAGGTGCCGCTCATTCCACAGAGGGCGCGCTGCTGTCCTAGTGCCCGAGACGCTTTGGCTGCTCTGCTGCAGGGACACCGCTGCCACATGTGCATTGGCTGGCATTCAACAGTCTCATCTCTCATTCCATGCTCCTTCGCTATGGCCATGCCACGCCCGGTGGGGAGGGAGAGCGGCCGCGATAAATTAGGTGGACCGTGCCGTATGGGCTGTGGGGCAGCGAGCGGTGCACTGTGCGCAAAGCTGGATCTCTCGGACCAAATCCATCATCACCAACTCAACCTGCGCCTCCATCTCCAATCGCTCTCCACCTCATCATTATCATCATTATCATCACTATCATCAGCATCGTTCATACACACACGCATGTCTCTTCACCATCGAGCAGTCCATCTGCTTTCGGCTATCACGTCACCCTGACCCCTCCGACGACCGCGCCTGGACACCCCATCCCGGCGAGCCAAGTCGAGCCGCTCGTGAGTTGTGCAATGTTTTGGACCTCATGGCATCTGCGGCCAACCGCGCCCAGCCTGAGCCACACTGTAGCCAGCTTCCACTAACTGACGCAGCCGATTTTGCTTCTGCTTCTTCCTTGTCTTCGTTATAACAGCTGGTTGGTCGTAATGGCTGCTACCAGCATCTCTGGCAGGAGGATAGCAGCACCCTCTGCTGGCCACGCGGTGCACGGGGCACTAGGCTTGGATGACGAGAATATCCAGGAGGACAGGTCCCCGCAACCAGGCTCCAACCAGCCCTCCTTCAAGTCAAAGTTCCTGCGCGGTGCAGCTTCGCCAGGGCACCTGAAAGGGCAAGGCCAGCACCAAGCTTCTTGGCAACAACAGCACACATGGATGCCATCTAGTGAGCATCTGGAGGCTGCAGATCCCCTGCGACTACAACGGAACATCAGCCCTGCAGCCTCTGCCGAAGACGAGGGGTATACCAGCGCAAACAGCTGGGGTCACAGCGCGTTCAATGTCCCTCCAACAGCCAAATACATTGAAATGCGACAGGCAATGCCTCGTTCATCGCAGCATGCTCCCGAATATGCGCGAGATGCTGGCAATTTTACATCCTCCCCTGCGCACGACACGCAAGAGAAGGAAACGCCCAGGACGGAGAACAATCGTCGCCATGGCGATGCTTCCACCTCTGGTAGTGGACATACTGCAGTGGATGGGACCACCCACCTGGCTATGCCGACGCGGCCCGCACCCCTACCCGCACCCGACGTGCCAGATCAGCTCCCACATCAACTACAGGCGGACTTGTGCTCCAGCTCGGTCAACGCAGCGGCCGGCGAGATGTCGAACAGCGAATCCGCAGTAGCAACAGCAACAGCTGACGAAGACGAGCGACCTCTCGGGGAGATCCAGAAGCAAATGTCATCGGAACCGTCTTACAAGGACATCCCAATTCCTGCCATTCCCGTTACCGTTGTAGTACCACGCCGCACAAGAGCCAAGAAGCAGAGATCGCCAGTGCTCTCTTACGCCGAAGGCGAAGAGGAGGAGGAGAGGTTATATGCGATGACGGAGCAACCGGCAGACATCAAGCGGATGCCCTCCCTTGGCCCCAAAGTCAAGAAGAATGCACCTGCACCTTGGGAGGTTGAGGGAGCGGAAGAAGAGTTTCTCAACCCTCCGTCCTCCAGGGCACAGCGCGAATGGTGGGGCCGGAAGAGTACCGAAGTGCGAGACCAGGGTCGACTCTCGATCGAGAGCAGCCGAAATGTTGATGCAACGTCGGCGACACCACTCGAAGATGCTCTAGGCTCTGATAGCGCATCTATCGCTGCATCCGCTGGAAGTTTCTTCGCAGCCACCCGAGCGCGCTCCAAGAGCGTGAGCAGCAGTGCTGCAAGCGTCTTGAAAGGCCTCGGTCTGTCTGCCCCTCCGATGTCTGGGAAGAAGAAGCACCCACTGAAGTTGGTTAAGCCTCTTTCAAGAGAAGACGGTAGAAAGCCTCGCATGCAACTGGCAGCGGGCATCTCGAGCGAGGACTACCAAAATCTACCGGCCGACTGGTCTCCGCCTCCCTCTGCGCCTGCTCTCTTGTCGGCTCCACGCAATAGCATTTCCCCCATGACTGAATCGTTCGTCCACCTCCAGACTGCCAACACATGTGGCTATCCCCTCCGGAGTTCCTCACGCACGGAGCCAATGCCGCCGCTGCCGACTGATGCATACCGGATGAGACAGAGCAGCAGCAACGAGAGCAACAATCTGAGCACGACCTCGCCAACAGATGCATCCCAACACAGCAGCACAACTGCCGCTACCAGCCCTGCCACGCCTTCCTTTGTCGAAGCGCAGAGTATCTCCAAGGATTCTACAACAAGTCATGCCAATCAGTCCGATTTGGTCGACACATCTGCGGGTGAGGCAGAAATGCTCAATGAGCTGCAATCGGCGCAAGCGCCTTCTAATAGCAATTCCACGCCATACAAACTCATCTCCCTCGAACAAGCGCGTATCAACCAGGTTCGCGAGCGTGAACTCGCACGTCAAAGGATCAGTGCATTGAACGCTGCGAGCATTGGCGCGGACGAGACACCGAGGACCACCTCCGATGGTTTCTCCTCTTCGATCAGCATGACATCCTTTGGTTCTGCCAGCCAAGCAGCAGAGACGCGTTCTCTGCGCAACAAAAAGAGCGGATTTTTGCGCATGTTCAACAAGGAAAAACCACCGGAACATGCACCGATGATGCCCTCCTCACCTGGCAGCAGGCCCGAGACGGCATCCACTGTCCTCGCGGATGAATTGCCTCCACGACCCTTGCTCGAGGCTCCAAGGTCCAGAATACAAACAGAAGAGCGGCCAGCGATGCAGGCATCGGGTCTTACCGCGCCAGCGCTCAGCCTGCGACCGATGAGCTCCATGTTCAGCGGTTTCCAGCCCGAGATGCTCGATGCCGGTGTGGCAAGTGGTACCGGCGGCGCCAGTAAACGCTCCGCTTCGGCGATATCTGCGTTAAGTGATGTGGCAGAGCCCTCGCCGACTACGAGCATGCTCGGCAGCAGTGGTGCGAACTCGCTCTCGAGCCGCCGGCGAGCACGAGCTCCAGCTGACATCATCACCGCACCCTATGTGGGTCCTGCCGCGGCTGGGCCAAAGTCTTCCGGCAGTTTACAAGCTCGATCTGCGCCTCCACGACGGTCCAGCGTAGACACGTCCGAAAGCAATGGGCAGTACTTCTCGCCCGTGACTTCGCCAAGCGCCGTCAAGGTTGAGAGCATGGAGGCCGCGCGCCCAACTTCGATTCACAGTCATGTTTCGGATGACCCCACGCGGGCATCGCTGCCATCTCCCGCGTGGCGCAATCGAATCATGGAGATCGAGCAAAAAATGGCAGAGCTCGCATCGGAGCTTTCTGAGATCCGACAGACGCAGGCGTCTCAGCTCGGACCTCCACTGCCAGATGAAGCCTTGGCTTCCCCCGTTTCACTGGGAGGACGGAGTCCAAACCTCCCTTCGGTATCGCCTATCCCGCCTTGCTCAAGCTGCGGCTGCTCTTGCGCTGAGAAGCGCAGGCAGCAGGCTCTGAACGAGGCTGCGTTGCTTAAGGGCTCCAGTGTCCTTGACCGCGGTCGCGCCATCAAACCCCTGGGCGAAGGCAACACGAGCAAGTTCGGCGGTCATTGGGACCGCCAGTGAAGCATCGCTCACTCTCACTCTTGACTCGCGCGTGGGCGTGGGCGCGCCAATTCAAATACCTAGCGCTCGCCACATGCTACAAGATACCCTGCGCTCTGCACGACCTTTTTTACGATGGGACCCGGCGGAATTGATACCTTTACGATAGCACGCATCCCCGTCCATTCACGAAGCAGTCACATTTATTTTGTATACACCAACTGTAGCACTTTGATGAGAGTTTGTCACGAAATGGGCTTTTGTTGATTACTGTAGGTTTTGGCGTGGCAGGCATCTCCACTCAGTGATGAGTCGCGGATTCCGGCGTGAAAGTCTCGGGCTAGCTTAAAATCTCCAAAACATTGCATCACGACTACCGCATGCGCGTTCGACAAGAACGCACGGAGAGAGTGCGTGAGGGCAGCAGTGGTGCTATACGAGCAGCTGAGTTGACTATTCCAGATCCTGCTTGAGCACAAAGCGGTACTTGACGTCGTTATCGGAAACTCGCTTGACAGCCTCCGAGCAGCGGCTCATAGGCAGGACCTCGATCCATGGCTTGATCTCCTTATCGGCGGCGAGCTTCAGCACTGCATTTAAGAGGTGGAAGCAGAAGGATCGCTCAGCGGATCATAGAGTCAAGGAACAGCGTCTGGCTCGGCGCGCCGCGCGTGCGCGCATGCATCCATGCAGATACTCACTGGAGAGGACCTCCTTCCTGCTTCCGATGTGACTAGAGCCGAAGAAGCATCCGTTCCCAGCGAAGGCTTGGACGCGCATGTCCTTGAACGAGTCCTCAGGCATGCCGACGAAGACGAGCTTGCCGTGAACGTTGAGAGTGGAGAGCATGGCAGGTAGGTCGACAGCGCTTGAGGATGCAGTGCTGACAATAAGGTCGAGCGGGTTCTGGGCGAGCTTCTTGGCCCAGTTGGGAGTCTCCTTGGTCGAGATGAACTCCTTGGCGCCCATCTTGAGTGCGTCCTCTCGCTTGGAAGGTGAGTGCGAGATGGCGATCACCTCAGCACCCATCGCAGCGGCGAACAGAACGCCGTACTGAGGTGAGTGGAAGCGTAGTTTCTTGTGTGAACTGGGTGTAAAGCAGACAGACAGCGAAGTGCTCAACGTCAAAGCACAGAAGACTCACGTGTCCGAGACCACCGATCCCGACGATGCCGACACGCTTGCCGGGGCCACAACCGTTGCGTAAGAGCGGCGAGTATGAAGCTGTTGTTCAAGGCGCAGAGGAAATGGACCACAGAGAAGCCGGGTCAGCATGGCTTGATCAAAAAATTGTAAAGAGACTCTTCACGAGCAGACATCTACTGACTGATGCCCGCGCAAAGCATAGAGGCCGCGTTCTCGCTGCTGATCGCGTCGGGGATGGGGAAGACAAACTGCTGGTGGGCGCGAATCTGGGTCGAGTAGCCGCCCTGGGCAATGCTGCCGTCGGCGTACTTGGAGTTGTACGTGTCGAGCACGCCCTTTTTTCCGTCACCACGACAGTAGTTCTCATTGTCGTTCCAGCAGGGAACGCAGTTCATGCATGAGCTGACCTGGGCGCCAACGCCGACGCGGTCGCCAACCTTTACGTCCTTGACATTCTTGCCAACCTCGGTGACGGTGCCGATGATTTCGTGGCCGGGAATGACATAAGGAACAGCAAGCTTGCCCCAGCCGCCCGAGATGGTCTTTCAGAATTCGTGTTAAGGAAATGGGAGGTCAGCACCGGTGATCCATGCGCTCAGAGTGCCAGATGACAATCGGGATGCAGCTGTACGCACGTGGACGTCACTAAAAAGGCCACACAGTGACAACTCCGTCAGCAAGTGTGAGGATAGACAGGGCCAACAGCAGCATTGTGGTGGTTGTTTGTCTCACCTTCCGCATACACCGCAGTGTGTGATGGAGAGGGTAATATCATCGTCCTCGGCGGGCTTGAGGTCAAAATCCTCGACCTTGAAGTTGGTCCAGTCTTTGGTGTCGTGGATCTGACGACGCGAAGGGATAAGAAGGATTCGACCGAATCAGCGCTAATTCGGTGGCAGAGCCAAGACGGATGCTCACTGCGTATCCTTTGGGCATGTTGGCTGATGAGTTTGAATGTACAAGGCTTGATGGTTGAGTGAAGGGTTCAGTGTACGCTAAGCGGTAGCTTGTGGTTGGGGTGAGGATCCTTCCGGGAAATCTCTTTGACTTGGTGGTGTAGGTAAGGATTACAAGTAATATGGAAGGAAGATGTCGGTCGACACATGCGTGCGTACGCAATGTGTCTTGTTATGTCGTTTGGCGTTCGGACGAGGAGCCAGCCAGCCAGTCGGTCCGGCTTAGGGCTATGATGATGTCCGATTGATAGTATTCTCATTCTTGCTGTGAGTGTAACCCCTGAAGTAACAATGAGCCACTCACTGGTCCAGTACGGATGTAACGGGTGCTTCCAGCACATGAATGAGTTCCCCACGCCCCTCCACGCCCAGGGGCCCCCACGCTGAGGAGGGGACGACAGGCTACTGGGAACTGGTGCGGGGAACGTGTGGGCACACACCACTAGGCAAGTGCCTCGCACGGGCCACAGGAGAAGGGGATGATGACCCATGTGTTTGCAGATCATTCGGCGGTTATTACATCAGCTTACATTCATGTGGACTCGAAGAGATACGAGGAAGTCGAACCTGGGGCAGCACATTCTCTTACTTTTGATAATCATAAACATCCCCTCGTATGAGGTTCGCAGAGCCTTAAACATGGGACAGACTCAGACTCTGATGAGATGTGTGTGATGAATGCTACCTGCCCGATCGAGCCCAATCCGACAACGAACGATCCAAGCACGCTTTTAATTGTAGACCAGCGTGTATGCATTGCACGCAACAGGTGCTCCCGAGTTATTCCTACACTCGACCCTCCTGCCCGCCCCCTCTCCCAGGGGACATTTTGTTGTCTGGTATCTCGTTGAACAGCATGGCCCTGGTATGATTCAAAACTGAATGAATGTGGGTGTGGCTCAGCGCAAGGGGAATGTGTGACTGCAGGTGAAGAAAAAGGAATGACTTGCTCCATGGATGTTATTTGCTCGCTGGCACGTCGCATCGCCTTTGGACAAAGCGAAATCGGAAGACGAACCGGAGCGGTGATTTTGTTGCGTGCGTAAGCCTCTTTCTCCAGTGCAAAGGAATGAGAAGACTGCCGTTAGATCACTCGATGATACCTGTGAAGAATGGTGATACGTAACGTTGATGTGAGCGATCGCGGATATGTGTACGCGTGTTGATGAGTGAATGAGTGGGAGAGACGCTTTGGTAACGATAGTGCCCTTGTTGATGGCGATGATGAATGCTTCCATAATTCAGTGGTAACGACCTCCCGAAGGTCCGTGTCGGCCTCCACGCGCCGATCCTCGCCGGAGCCATCAAGTACGCCATCCCAAGCCCACTTTGTCGCTCGAGTACGTCAGGTAGGGCAAACACAAGATCGACACAGCATTTCTCCACGCCGAGCCATGGCTAAATGGATTCGACGGGCGATCGATGAGCAAGCGCCTCGAGATGCTCTTCCGCGAGCGCGGCTACAGACCTGGCTCTGCGCAGATGGCCCATGTCAACACGAAGAGCGCGGCAAGATGACCCGTGCCAGCAGCAAGTAGCCGGCACCAAGCTGCACTGCAGCATTAGGGGCCATGAACAGTATCCCGGCGAATACCCCCCCCCCTCAACACACACACACACACCCTCCTGGTGAGATATGAAGAAGATCCCTGGCGGTCGCGGCGTGGATGGTACCAGCTTGGACAAATGGTACAGCTGCAGCGTCGAGAACGTCGCGCAGTAGCCGAGGATCAACGCCTGGAAGATCTGTTGACCACAAAGGGGAAGAGTTTGCCCGAGCCAATGTCGCGCCCGAGTAAGGGGCTGTGGAACTGGAAGCCCTGCAGGCAACGTTGACAGATGCGACCGTGGGATGACCGTGGAGGCGGATGCAGCCAGCAGTCCCCGCACCACCTTGTTCGCAGCACCTGGTCACGGACGCGCACATCACAAGGAAGCATCTGCTTCTCAAACGGCTCTATGGCCGGGAATAGCACCCACAGCGTCCGCTTGTGCTTTCACCGTCGACACAGGTGGAAAGCTCGTTTCACCTTCTGCGGGGGGTTGGTCAGATCCCCGCCTACGCTATCGTACACCAATCAGGCAGGCGTCCTTTCACGCTCGATCGACACTGCATGTACACGCTTCTTTTGTAGCGGATGCAGCTGCCGCTGAGAGCAGCACTTGCTGAGGTCTCCCGCAGTTTGTTCCCATATGGCATCTCCCTCTGCCATGCCCGGATCTTCGCCATGTCCTGCGCCGGCGTGCCGTCTGGCAGCGGATCATCTTGTTTGGAATTGCGCATATCCGTCAGAAGCTTGTGACGTCGCGACTCCAAATCGACTTGAGATGATGGTGGCGCCGACTTGCCGCCTGTGCTGGCACGTTGCTGCGTTGACTGGGTGGATCGATATTCCGCGAAGGCGGCTCGGGTCGATGAAGAGCAAGATTCCGAGCGTAACACGCGCACCGAGGAACGGGTAGATGGACGCAAACGACATCGCTGGGTGCAAGATGCAGTAAAAGGCGTCTCAAAACATAGAAATAATGCAGGCCAAGCTGCGAAGCAAAGCAGTGTTGCAAAAAGACCTGCGTAGCGTATTGCGATAGGAGGTGGCACGTGTGATCGATCCGCGACTCTGGTCGCAGTAGCGTCTACTTGCATCATGGCTACTGCGCTCTTGAAGTTGTCGGCAGACAGAAAGACGTGCGGTATAGGCTTACCAGGCTGCAAGCGTGCTCTGGCAGGCGAAGCCAATATCTTTGGAGCTGCTCTGTGCCTCGCTGGCTTGCTTAGCTATCACTAAGATCATGATGAAACTCGGCTCTTATCGCGCGGTTGAGGTGCGGAAGCAAGGCATCGACCTTAGGGCATTGCTGCTCATAGCGAGCCAGACTTAGTATGCGCTCCTGGTATCAGGACGTTTGCACTTGCTCGACTGGGCACGATTGACCTGCGCTACCTGTCGCTTTTGCTTTGCCCTTTGTCCTTCCAGGCATCGCAGGCCCGAGTTTTGCCTCCTTACCGACCATGTCTGAAAAGATCGGAGGCGCCTCCAGCCGGAAATTCAAGTCCTTTGACATTGCTTGCTGGCCAGGAGGCGATGGTTCGACTTCGCTACCACTGTGTCCGCGTGACGACTCGAACGTCAGGCCCAGACCTGCGAAGATTTTCGTATCATCCATCGGGTTCCACCTCAATATTGGGAGGTGCTCGTGGGTGATTGATTTGCGCGCTAGCCTCGGCTTCAACGGCGTGCCTGGTGGCGAGATTTTGGAGTAGTTGTGTGGAGGGTTTTGCTCGAGCTCGCTGTCAGAGCAGGTGAATGTTTGGCCATGATTCAGATCGCTGCGTGCCGTGCCAGGGCGCACCGTCGCCCAGTTCCGTTGCGCCCTTGAAATGACAGCGTCTTCGGGAATGGTGTCGGGCTCGAGCTGTGACAGTGCCTCTTTCGAAGATGGGAGCATGAATTTCTGCAGCTCGGGCATTTCCAGTACATGCAAGACAGTCAGCCTGGCACGCATAAGCCTTTGCAAGTGCAAAGGGGCTCCGAGCTGAGCCGCCAGTTCTGCACTGTGCGCGATGGGCTGTATGCATAGGAGCATAGTGAGCAAATGCACAAGCAAGCGCATCACGGCTGTTTCCGCCACTGACATTTTCAAGCGATCGTGAATGATCGGCACTTGGCATCCTGTGCAACTGCCCCTCCCTTGGTGTGGTCTGCGTTGCGGTTTCGACGAGCATTCTTCCTGCATCAAGCCCACATAAGTCCTCTTCGCGTGGTCTCCAAGCCGCTCGCCAATCCTCGATTCGCGAAACTTCATCGTCTGTCAGAAACATGCCCGCTTCATCCAACGCGGTATGACTCGTGTTATCCGCAGGCGCTGTCTGGACCTCCTGTGTGCCACACTCGACCAATAAAAGTGCGTGTCCAAGGACATAGAAGAGGTGAGCCTTCAGCTACTCCTGAAGCGACCAGATGAGAACCGCACTCTGAGCAATGCAGCTGAGACGCGTTCGCACTCATAGTACCGCGATGAGTCCGTCCCGAACTGGAAAGGAGAGCTTTCTTCGTGCTCCGGCACTGATGATTGCATGGGATGGAGTAGAGTCAAAGGCGTTCGTGAGCCATTGGGGCTTTGCAAAGATCCTGTCGATCATGGCCGGCCTCTGTCAGACCCAGAGCCCGACCACGTTGGCGAACGCTGGTATTGCAGCGACGTCGTGGCGAAGGCACGTGTCCGTTGCCTCTAAACCTGTACTATCGACCATGCTTCGTTGTCACGGCTTTTGGCGCCGCAATATTTGCACGCAGTGCGGAGAGGTGGAGACTGAGATTGAAGACTGGATATTGGAGATGATATGTATCGGCAATTCAACAGCCTGGCTACGGTGGCCCTGCGGGCTACCTGCCGCCTGGCTCGATGCATCCTCTGCTTGACTGTAGAAACAAGAGAATACAGTAGATCTGATAGCGAGCCCTTGGGCCCCCTTCCAATTATTCCGTATTGATGTAGTGAATGCAAGTGTGCCAAGCCTACATGTTGAATATATGTAGGTCAGGAACGACAAATGCAGCGTAGGCTGGCGCAGGTCATGGCCGAATCACCAGGCAGCTCAATGAATAGAATCAGGGTAATACCGTGAAAAATGTGGGTTACAAGATTGAAGACCAAGAATATGTCGAGAAATATCAGATTTTGTGTGAAACTACAGGCGAAATATAAAAATTGAAAAGGAAACATGGAAATATGTAGAAATTTTGGAATACTGAAGATATCAAGCTATGAAACGATGAATATCGATTCCCATGACGTACTCGGCCAAATTGCTTTTTTGGACAGCTCAGTGGCAGCACCTGGATGCCTTGCCGAAACTTGGCAAGACGGACAAACTGGGAAGCGGCCAGCAGCGCCTGGGTTACGGCAGTCCAATGTGTCACAGCAAGCCCCAGCAGTGTCCCAATCACCAGGCACAAGGCTGGCAGGCTTCGCCGACCGCCCTGCTCCGCCTACGCCCGAAGACTCACAGGTTACAGCCTACACCAGCCACCACACTGCCGATTGGTATGTAGACATCCACATGGCTTTCGACTGTGCCATGACCGTGAGGATTTGGCAGCGTTTGGGACTTTAGACATCTCTCCAGACACCTCACTCTCTTGACATCTGTAGAAAAATCGTAACTCGTCTAAACGAGCAACTCATACTCTCTTGTGTTTCATTGCTCGTTCACTCATCCACCTCTCCCCTCGCATTCCTGTTACATATCTACACTGACGCAAAAGTCCAAATGTGCGCGAGTGCGCGAGGCGCGAGACTGCTGCAAGGCGTGGACTCACTGGTAACATTTTATCTTGTTCTACTGACGTCTGGGAATTGCCTATTTTTTGTGCCGTTGAAGTATAGGGATCCGAAAATGGCGACCCGGAAAAACAGGTCGCAATCCGCCTTACTTTCATTTCCATATTTTGTCCTCGGCAATCAATACCACCCAGCGCATTGTATTTTGAACATTAACCTGGAGGTGTGGCACCCACTTGGCTCATCATTCGATGCGGCATCACCGCTTGGCGCTTTTATCTTCTCAATAGTCGGAAAAGGTACATATGTATACAGTATGCCCCGTGCCTGCAAAAGTGACGTGCGCAGGAGTGTGGGTGTAGTGTTTGTGTATGACTGCGTACGTGTGCGTCGCACTAGTCCGCGTCGGAGGTGCTCCAGCGCCAGACCAGGGGGAGCTGCGCACCTGCGTATCGAGGCCCCAGGCATGTCGAGGAACAAACAAGCGCTCAGGCCACGCAGTGTGCCGAGAAAATGGGGCAAGGAGACCCAGGCATCAAGCATCAATCATTCATGGTAAAGATCGTCAAGAGATTCCCATTCGTACCTCGAATAATGCAGCAGCGGCGTGGGCGATTGCGGCGTATCAAAACTTTGCTTGATGCACAACCTTGGCTTCGGAAGGTATACAGAGCCCCCCCCACCCCACCCCAACTCAAGGGGAAGGACAGCGTCGCTACGGTAGCTGCGCCCAGTCGATGCCTCCTCCGGGTCCGTAGCGCTTCTCCAACCATTCGTTCGCCTTTTTGAAGTGCCCGTTGCCCAGGAAGCCTCTATGGGCCGACAGTGGAGAGGGATGCGGAGAGCGCAGAATGAGAATGTTGGGCGACTTGTCATTGATGCCGGCTTCGATTAGTGACCGAGCGGCTGGCTGCCCCCAGACGAGGAAGACGACGCCTTTGCAAGTGCTGGAAGAGCCGCCGCTGGATGCAGGACGGGATGATGTCTGGGAAGCCTGGTGGGCGACTGACTGGCCTGCAGCCTTGGAGAACATGGACACGAGCTTGATCTCGGCCGCAGCAGACACCGAAGAACCACCTTTTGCTGCCTCCTGGGCAACCAGTTTGAGCACGGAGCGTGTAAAGGGCTCCCATCCTTTGCCATGATGCGAGCCTGCTTGCCCAGCCGAGACCGTCTGCAATGACAAAGGTGGCACGCGCTTCAGCAAATAGAGAGAAGCAGTCATGCTGTTATCAATTTTCCGCACTCACGAGGCATGCATTGAGAAGCAAGACGCCTTGTTTTGCCCATCCTGTCAGGTCACCATGCTTGGGCGGTGCGAATGCGCCTGGATATTCGCTCGCGAGCTCCTTGTAGATGTTCTTCAGGCTCCCCGGCACGGCGACGCCTTTGGGGACCGAGAAGCTGTGCCCGCACGCCTGCCCTGGGCCGTGGTACGGATCCTGGCCGAGTACGACGACCTTGACCTTGTGCAAAGGGGCCTCTCGCGACCAGCTGTGGATGAGATGCTCTGGTGGATAGATTTTCTTCTGCGCCGCCTGCTCTGCCTTTAGAAAGGATTTGAGCTGCGAGGAGTGGGCAAGGATCAGCATGCGGTTCACGGTGCATCATCCGAGGGGGGAAGAGCCTTTGGCACCTTTTTGAAATAATCTTTCTTCATCTCATTTTCCAGTCTGGCGAACCATTCTGGGTCCATTGTGCGCCGTTCGACGCCAAGACCATCATCATCGTCGACTTCTTCGACGGCTGAAGACATGACCGCTGACCCAGCTAGCTTGAACCCGAGCTGCATCTGCTTTCCCTTGACTGGCGTCGACAGGAGATGTGTCTGTGATGACTTGGCACTACGTGGCGAGGGAGGGTGAGCTGTCACCTGCTTTGAGACAGCACGCTCCCCGACTGCAGGATGGGACCCGTGTGAGTCGTATTCCTCGGCTGCGGCAACGAGCGCCGCGTCATCGAATTCTCCATCGAATTCTCCGTCAAATTCTCCATCTATCTGCAGTCCACCTGCCTCATGTGCCGCACTGGCCGCCTGCTGGGAACTGCCGCTTTCCGTCTTGGGCCTCTTGCGCGCGGGTGAAGCGTCCAAGGACCCAGAGCAAGTTGTTGCCGCGGCAGCTTCTGTTGATGGGCTGGCTGGCGGCAATTGGGCGAGCGGCCGCCTTTCGGCGATATTCAAGTTTCTCATGTGTCGCAGGAGGGTGATTGGGCTGCAAAGCACTCGTTGGAGGAGCCTGCGAGGTATGTCGTGGCACTGGAAGAAGAACGGACGGACGGCTCTACGTGCTGGTCCCGCTGCCCGGCACGACAGGATGAGACAACAACACACCAGAGAAGACGGATTGCGAGTGGTATTCGGCGGTGGCTTGTCGTGGGTATTGGTCCCCCATGGAGAGAATCAGCGTTGGGGGTTGCGTTTGATTAAGTGTTGAGCTGAGTGCGTAAGAACGACGCGATCTCATTCTGGGTATCGCGACGCGTTCTCCCGGCCGAAAGTTACGTCGACAACGCGCGGCAATCCAAACGAAATGGAAGACAACAAAAAATACCTAATAAGCAGTCCCAAACATAAAGACGTATACTCGGCTTCACCCGAAACACAGTAGAACACAGAGCACGCAGAACAGAGTACAAGTCAAAGCCGCCGGTTGTCACAGTGCAGTCTGTAGCTATCAGGAAGCCCGGCTCCAGAGAGCAAGGAGAAGAAAGTGTCCAGAGAGAGCGACGATTCTATAATCTGCATATTGGGGTTGGGTGGTAGTGAGTGGGGGGGGGGTGTACAGAGTGCGCAATACAAGGGCAGGCCCTAGTGCGAGTGCGGCGCTGTGCATTTCTGCCAGCTTCAACGCGTGCGCACGGGACGCTCCCAGCCTGACGAGTGACGCCTCTGGGAATGCGTATATATTCACTGAGGTGTGGTTGTCACCGCAGTGAGAGTGCTGCAGTGCCTGTCAGTCCAAATAACACTCTCACACATTTCTCTCCTTACCATCTTCTGCTATTACTGACATACTCGTACATAGAACAGCAGTCACCTTCTCGGTTCCTACATAGTCAGCGGCCCAAGCCATGGCCTCGCCAGTGTAAAGAAGCGGTGGCCAGCAAAAAAGGCAGGCAGGCAGGCAGAGCAGGAAGGGCGTGCATGCGTGCGAGCACAGCATATTGGGAGATGACGTCCCAATGACATACAGAGGAGACCTCCCCCAATCACGACACGCCATTGTCACTGCTGCCGCCGACGCCGGAAACTCGCCACGGCCCGCCGCCACCAGTACTGTCAGCAGCAAGACGCGCACCACCCGCGCCGTTTCTTCCCAGCAGCAGCCTGCTCCACGCCCGTCCAGCCGGCCTGTCTCCTCAAGGGCGGCAACACAGGGCGTGGCGACGACAGCTGCAAGGTTCGTGCTCGGCTCACGGCCTCGCTACCACAGCGCCACCACCACCACTACAACCGCCGCTGCCGCCGCCTCCGTGGTTGCCAGGAACACCACCATATTGAAAGCATCAGAGAAGGAGAAAGCTCCTGTTGCTCCTGCTGCTGCAGTCAGTCGATCAAGCAGTACCGGTACAGGCACTACGCCTCCCGCTCGTAATCCAGCCGAGTCAACACCCTTTGCATCGCCTTCGAGGAGAGCGCTTTCCTTTACGCCACGGTCGAGCACCCAAGCTTCATCAGGTACCAGGGAATCCACCACAGTCCGCCCCAGAACTGCCCAGCAGCAGAAACAAAGTGTCTCGGCATCGCCATCACCACGCCTACGTCCCCGGTCCACAGGGCAAACCCAGACTCGGCAGAGGGTCTCTGCGACTCTGTCCCCCAGGAACGTCAGTGCTGTGAGCCAGGGCAGCCCCAGTATCGCTTCCGCTGTACGCCAGACGGCACGCTTGTTGCCAGGTCTGACCCAAACGTCGCCGCAAGCAGCCGTATCGTCAGCATCATCATCGACGAACACGAGTGCCTCCCAACAGCGTGCTCGTGAGAGAAGGCTCTCCCAACCGACAGCAAGCACCTCGCACGCCCTGTCTTGTACACCCATCGCTCCTGTAACTGCACGATCGAATGGTCCGGCGGAGTGTCCGGTCAAAACGACTGGCAGCGCAAGACTCGCCAGTGACCGATCACCAAAGAGCGGGCCAGTAGGTGCGAGACACTCGCTTCTTTCTTCAGTTCCACTGAAAGACATACCAGCAGCAGCGCCTGACGCTGTGGATAATACTTCTTCTTCTTCGGCATCGCCATCAACGACCTCAGTGGCAGCAGCAGCAGCACGAGAGGGGAGCGTGGAACGCCCCGGTGGCCTCAAGGCGAGGGGTGCGGCCATGTCGCAATATGTCAACTCACTACCATCCTCAGCGGCGGCGCGCAAGACGACCTACCTACGCAAACCCAGTGGGCAAGAGACCATGGGCTCACCGCTCTCGAGGACAGTCCAGCGGAAAGCTAGTGCGGAAGGAGCAGGTGAGTAAGAGGGGGGGAGGGGGGGTCGGTGATTGATTTCCTGTTACCACATCCATATGTCCTGATACATTCTTTGTACTCTCTTGGCTCGTTTCCCTTCACGTCTTGGCTCACGCCCTTAGACTCGCCTGACAGCTCAAGGTCGTTTCTGGATGTGCGCGATGCGGCGCCGAACGTGCGATCTACGCAAGGCGCTACTGCTAACAATTTTGACTCATCCTTGCTCGACGCCATATCCACCTCCATCATCGACTATGGCTTGTCCGAGGACCGAGCTGGAACAGCCGCCGGCAGCGCACAGCACGAGGCTCGACACAGTGCGACTCACATGTACCATCCTGTTGCCAGCAGATCAGCCGCCGCGGGCAGGCCCGCGCTGCATCTCTCCGACATTCGATCCGGCGCATCCTTGCTCGCGCATCAGCGCGACGCGTCGCCTGAACTGTCGTCCAAGTTCTCCGAATTCTCCTCGGCCGCGGGCACGCCCGAGGCCAACCCGGGCATGGCGGCCTTCATCGGCCCGAAGCCCTCGTTCGTGTCGTCCTCTTTGTCGAGGGAGCTCAGCTCGAGCTCTTCCTCGCTCGCAAGGCTCGCTAGCAACAACTCCGATTCGCTCTCGTCGTCCGATCTGGGCACCGGTACCAGGCCGTCGGCATCGGCGTACAGCCAGTCGACCCCGAGACGGCCGGAGGACCTCTCCGTCAGTGTAGTGAGCGCCCATTCGCCCCTGTCCGCATCCATGTCCGGAACAATGCTCGACACATTCACGCCAGCTGCTTCGCCGCGCTCGTTTGACCGCGCCGGCCAGATTGGCATCGGCGAACTGGCGACGCCGCGGCTCAACTTGCCGCCCGCTGACAAGCTGCCCTGGAACGCGGAGCGAAATTCGGCGGTGGCAGCAGCGGGAGGAGGAGGAGCATACGCCCCTACTGGACTCAGCGAATCCTTCAGCGCGCCCCTCCTCGCCGAGGACGCCCATCGTCCGTCCCAGCTGCCCATCTTCCGGCCGCAACAGGACCACACACCGGCGCTTGCGTCTGCCGGATTGGCAGAGAGCTCGTCGTCGATGGGAGCCGAGGCGTTCCGCCACGCTCGCTCGACGTCGCACTCGCTCGGCGGGCTCGGCTTGCGCAAAGCGCCTAACGCCAACAAAAGCCTTGGCGAGCTTGCCTCGGGCGGTCGCGGCCGCAACGACGAACTGCCCACGTTGCAGTCGGCCAACCCGTCGTTGCTTTCTAGCTTCAGCTCGCTCTCGTCCCTGCCGAGGGGTTTCGAGTCCAATCCGGCCGAGTTTCTCGCAGAATTTGAGAGTTTCACGTCGCGCAAACGCGAGCGCGACAGCCTCCTGTGGCAGCAACAGCTGCTGCAGCCGACGCCGATCGATAAGCCCGACTCGCCCGCGTTCAGCATCGATGCAGTGTCCGACGACGAGTCCGCTGACGCCGACCGCGGAGGATCCGCCTCTTTCGCTTCGACTGCACGAACCGCCAAGGTTGCCGCTGCTGCCGCCGCTGCTGCAGCGCGGAACTCGAATGCGTCAACCATCGGAGACTCAGCCTGGTCGGCAGACGAGATGGGACCGTTTGGGTCCGAGCAGATCGCAACCGCACCACGGCGCGCGTCCCCTGCCTCTGCGGCGCGCAAGGAGTCTGCCAGGCGCGTTCTGGCCGACCTGAGCGGAGGCGGCGTCAGCGAGTCGGATCGTGGTAGCTTTGATCTCAATGCAGCCATCACCGATCTGCTGCACGAACATGACCGCATACACTCAGTCCGACGCACTACGGGACACGTGGACGATGAGGAGGACAGCTCGGATGCCGGCTCAACGATGCGCTTACCCATTGCAAATATGTGGACGCAAGCCGCATTCGCTGCGTCGAAAAACGAAGCGGTGAAGGTTGCGTCGGACACGCGCAAGCGCGAATCCACGTCGACTGTCACTAGCGTACACTCCAGTCGTAGGGCAAGCGCCAAGGCGAAGGCTGCAGCGCCTCCGACACCGTCCAATCGCAAGGCGTCGCTCGAATCGAAACGCAGCTCGGCGGCTTCACTCCATGCCGCTGGCTCTAGCTCCTCTCAGCGTGCGTCGCGAGGGCCGGCGGCCACATCAGAAGCAGGCGAACGGACCAGCATGCCACCAACCACACCGGGCTATCGGCGAAGAACTTCTACTTCCAGCATCGCTCAGTCCCTTCTTAGGGGCTCGATGCCTCCCGAGGCCGCAGACGAGTACCAGACTCTACTCTCGGGCACGGGCAGGAAGTCCCGCGGCTCTGGCGAGATCACGGAAGGTTCTGCGTCAGATGCGCTTCGCAAATTGGATGGCATCCGTCCGACGACGCCACGGTCGATCAAGGACGGGAGCTCTCGCAGTCCTCGCAACAGCCGGCAGTACGGCTCTGGGGCTAGTGCCGGGCGACGGACACCGAGCAGCGCGAGTCGAACGGCATCCCCCGCGAGCAAGTCTCGCGATAATAGCTCCCGGCCGGAAAGCGTGCGCCTTGCGTTGAGAGCGCCACGCACTGCGGACCCGCTCAAGCAAAACAGTCCGCAGTCGCGCAAAGTCCCGATTCCTGGCGAGTTGGCTCGCGCGACCAACGCTGCTCGTTCTACTTCGGCCGTCCGAACAATTTCTTCTATCATCCCGAAGCGCGCCTCGACAAGCAGCCTGGCCGCTCGAGATGACAGCGCTCATGCGTCTGCTTTGGACGTGAAGAGCACGCGTAACGCAGCTGGCGATGACCTGCTGGTACTCCGGACCAATGGCCACGCCAGTGGACCAGCTTTCGAAAGCGGTATGGGCGTTAAGAAGAACGTCCCGCCCGTCCCGCCTTTGCCGCGGGTGATCGACTCTGCAAAGGGCTCGCCGCTCCTGTCTCCGACGTTCAAAAGTTTCTTGAATAGCCCCGCGTCATCTGCTTCGCAAGTATTTGCCAGTCGAAGCTCTTCAAATGAGGAGATGGAGCACATGGCCAACGACGTCGAGCCACGCGCAGCCGCTGCTGCATTGACTCCAGCGAAAGGTGCAATCCATGCGCCGTCCAGCAAAAATTTATCGTCTCGAAGAGGGTCATTCTCGCTCACTCAGAAGATGAGCTTCTCTTCCATCTCGAACGCATTCGCTCGAAGTCCATCCTCGCGGGACAAGTCGCAGCCGATTACGTCGACGATGAAAGCTTCACTTGAAGAGAAGGTTGCTGGCGCGGCGAGAAGACTCGGCGAGCTTCCCGTTGAGTCGATCCCCCTCGACCTCGATTCGCTTGACGGCCCTTCTCTGACAGCGCCATTGTCCATGTCCCAGGAGTTTGGGAATGGCGTCCAACTATTACCGACGTCGCCGCGGAACAGACGGACGCCGTCCATGTTCCTGAGTCGCTCTTCGTCAAAGCTTCCAGATACCTCAGTGGCCGCGATCTCCTCGCAGGAGAAGTTTGACAGCGAAATGTCCAGCATCATTTCCGGTGGCGTGTCGCAGACAAAGTCGATCCTTGGTATTGGGGGTCTGCTGCGCACTGCGTCGCGGCGTGCCTCTCATGTTGGAGATGCATCAGATACGTCAGGAGAGGGCAAAGGCTTTCTGGGAAGAGTTGGCTTGGGAAAGAGCACTGCTGCTCCTCAGACTCCTGGTTCTCGAAAGCGTACAACGGTGAGCTTGATTTTCAAACTCGCTTTGATGTCTTCATGCTTACATGCAGGTTGCTTTGCAGACACTGCCGTCTTCCTCTGGCCCTCCGAAGATACAACCAACGGCGCTCCCTCCCATGCAAGTTACGCCTTTGCGTGTTTCCATCTCGACAAGCAGCCCGCGAAAGCAAGATGTTCAAGATGTCACCTCTCCTGGACGACGGCGTCTTATGAACTCCAATTCGACTCAAAATCTGAGCGCAGCGGCGAGCAAGGATGCCGGATCAGCGGAGCGCCTTTCGCCATCGCGCAAAGTCAGCGCAGCGGACCTCTCGGGTTCTCGTATCCCACGTGCAACTGGCTCCATTCGCATAAATGGTGACTCGCTGACGCGCTCATCTTCAACTGCGAGCCGGTCCGGCAGCATGGCCAGTTCTGGCACGTTACCTCCATCTGCAGCGGGTGTGCCGGAATTGGGAGAGACTGTAAGCCGGCGAACATCATTGACTGCACGGAAGGATGGATCGTCTGCGATCGTGTCTATCTTGAATGCCTATGCGCAAGCTAAGACGCCACAGGAGATGGACACTGTCTTGCGCAGAGCTCGCATCACGTCGCATTCAAGTGCGCTCACAGCCAGCGAGCGGGAGATCTTGCAGAGTCTCTCGGCACGTGGCGAGCGTCGCAGCGATGCGACGGCAGCCATCAACGGCACGAGTGAGGGTTCAATGCGCACCAAGGCGGACTCGCTACTGACCTCTTCACGGCACAGCGTCGCTGGAAGCTTGTCAGCTTCCAACTTATCTGCGCGCAGCGTGGCAGGAGCGAGTGCCGTGCCGGCTTCGACGCGGACTGCGCGTGTGTGCGTGACATCAACCTCTGCTTCGGCTAAGGTTGCTAGGGACCTCGCGAGCGGATCTTCGCTACGCAGCAGCCAAGCGAACTTGGATGGCAGACATGCGTCGGAGCCCATTACGGTTCTCTTTGATGAAGACGCGCGCGCTGGCGATGATGAAATGGAGGCCTACATCCGACGTCACCAGGCCAAGAAGCTTGCCTCCGGAGCGAAACAGGAAGACCTTGATATCATGCTCAAGTTCCCAGAGCCCGAGCCGCCAAGCCGAGAGCTGTCGCCACGTCAAGCGGAAGTGATCTACGGAAACCGTCTCTGTGAATACGAACTCAAGGAGATTCATGATTACAAGCAAGTCTACTACGTCGGCACCCTAAACAAGCACATGGCAACGCTCAACAAGGCAGCGAACAATTACGGATATGATGACGAGCGCGGTGACTATCTTGTCACCAATCACGATCATCTAGCGTACCGCTATGAGGTGATCGACCTTCTCGGGAGGGGTTCTTTTGGCCAAGTGCTGCAGTGCAAGGATCACAAGACAGGCAAGTTCTGCGCCATCAAGCTGATTCGGAACAAGAAGCGGTTCCACCACCAGGCTCTCGTTGAAGTTAAGATCCTTGAAAATCTGGCAAACTGGGTAAGTGTTTTGGCCTACCCTGGCAAAGCTATCGGTACTGACAGGAGTGCTTGTTCAGGATCCGGATGAGCAATACAATGTCATCAAGATGACGGAGTCATTCTACTTCCGCAACCACCTGTGCATCGCGATGGAGCTCCTCAGCATCAACTTGTACGAGCTTATCAAAGCGAACAGCTTTGCAGGCTTCTCGACGCGCCTCATTCGGCGATTCACAATCCAAGTTATCGCCTCCCTTATCCTCATGCGAAAGCATCGGATCGTGCACTGCGACCTGAAGCCAGAGAACATTCTGCTCATGCATCCCCGCAAGAGTGCCATCAAGGTAATCGACTTTGGTTCGAGCTGCTTCGAGAATGAGAAGGTGTACACATACATCCAAAGTCGATTCTATCGTTCGCCAGAGGTCATTCTCGGCATGAACTACCACACTGGTAAGCAGTCGAATCCATGTTACGAGCTAATACTTCTAGCTGACATATCCCCAAACTATTCACAGCGATCGACATTTGGAGTCTGGGGTGCATCATAGCGGAGCTATATACCGGATACCCCATTTTCCCTGGCGAGAACGAGCAGGAGCAGCTGGCATGCATCATGGAGGTGTTTGGCGTACCAGAGAGGTATTTGATCGAGAGAAGCTCCCGCAAAAAGCTCTTCTTTGACTCGACAGGCGCCCCTCGGCCCGTGGTGAACTCGAAAGGAAAGCGACGTCGCCCCGCGACGAAAACTCTTCAGCAGGTTCTCCGATGCAGTGACGAGCTTTTTGTTGACTTCATTGCCAAATGCCTCCACTGGGATCCTGAGCGCCGTCTCAAACCTGAGCAGGCCATGAAACATCCCTGGATCATTCAAGCGCGTCGGGGTGTACACCAAAATGGCTGCGTGGGCCTGAACGCGTCGCCCATGCTTGGTCCATCCAGCGCGGTGCTACCGCGCAAGACTAGCCTAATTGCATCATCCAGCTCCCCCGCTCGGTCGTCACGCACGTCCTTTACGGGCTCAGTTGGCCCCAGCGCAGCCGCAACAATGGTCACCCCTCGCGCGAGTCACGCATTCAATGTCGGCAGCAGCAGCGGCAGCACCGTTCCTCAAGGCTCGCTGAGGACACCTCGGCAAGCTGTCCACTCGTGACTTGTTCACATGTTGGTTTCTTCCGTCCCTATTTGCACCCAACTCCTCCTGACCATTTTCATGTGAGATACCAAGCAAGATCACAATAGCAATCATTCGAAACTTAATGGGAGTGACTCTCCTATCTGTTGGGATGACAGTTCATGTGCATCTAGATACCAGTCTCGGGCCCAGTATTTGGATCCCCCTCATGGTCTGGTTCGCAGGCACGGGGCCCTTCAGTACGCGTGCTTCCAAGCAACAGCTAGATAGCAATGTAAAAAGTGATGGCCCCGTCCCTGGCATTCATACACTGCTCAAATAAAAGAAACTGTTGTGCGCATAAATGCTTTGACATGCTTTGCATACGAGTGTAGCAGGACAGCGATCCATGGATGAAAGCGGATGCATAGAGAGGCGAGAGATGCGTAGAATGTGCCACCTCCGAACTCCATCAATGTATCCCGCCATCTGAAGGGGGTGAGAAGGCAACCCGCTTCTTACGGCTGAGGAGGCTTCGTACCCGGCTCGAAGAGGTAGGTAAGGTGGCACTTTCCGCAGTATTGCCTGTCCTTGTGCCAGGACATGAAGACACCGGCACCGCACTCAGGGGTGGGGCACTCGCGCCTCAGGCGCTTGATCTTGCCGTCCGAGTCGACCCGGTAGTACTTGAGGGTCGCCATCTTGACCTTCTTGCGCTTGTGCTTGATCTTCTTAGGGGTGGTGTAGACCTTCTTCTTCCTCTTCTTCGCCATACCGCCACGAAGACGCAGCACTAGGTGGAGGGTGGACTCCTTCTGAATGTTGTAGTCGCTGAGAGTGCGGCCGTCCTCTAGCTGCTTGCCAGCGAAGATCAGGCGCTGCTGGTCGGGCGGGATACCCTCTTTGTCCTGGATCTTGGCCTTGACATTGTCGATGGTGTCACCCGACTCGACCTCAAGGGTAATCGTCTTACCCGTGAGGGTCTTCACGAAGATCTGCATGATGGCTACAGACAGGCAGCAAAGATGGCGGAATGACAGGGTAGTGATAAGCAGGGAGACGAACCATCGGTCAGCACTACGTCCCGTCCAGCACCCAGATCGTTGCAGCCGTCGTAATCTGCTTATCCAGATCCTACTCACCGAATGCTTCTCGCGATCAGTTCGCTTCCTCAAAGAATTCGTGGGGAAGGAAGGGAAGAGATGGTGGATGGTTGGCGAAGAAGAACAATGAGGAGCGGTTGAGCCTCAGCAGCTGTTGCTGTTTCCTGCGGTTGGGCGCAATTTTTATGAAGGCGGAATTTACATCTTTCTACCATACACGTAAATCCTGTTAACGTCACGTGAGCATTTCGCCCACAAGCACAGTCGAGCCTGCAACTTTGCGAACTCAGCACTGGATGAGCAGAGCAACGTCACGCCTGTCAGGATTCTCGGACGCTCCGAAATCAAAAGGCGTTAACGTGCAAGTCCACTATGCCAGGTGCTCGTAGTCACTGCTTCAAGCCTTCACCCACCGCCGATGCCATTGACGTCGTCCAGCTTGGACACCCTCAAGTCTCACAGATGTGGATGAGACTGCATAAGACAAGCGCCGAGTAGCTGGTTGGGCGGATGTGGTGATAGGCTTCTGGATCCATTATCATCTGAATCATGAGAATCGGAGCTATCTCAGCCAGCGCTCTTCGCAGAGCTGCTTTACAAGCCGACTCATCATCGCTTGTCTACTCGCATAGACATATATCGCGGAAAAAAGAAACATCTCCCTCCAATTTGCTTCGCATCTCGCCCGCAGTGCAGGATGCTCTCGCCACAAACAAGCCAGTGGTGGCACTCGAGTCGACCATCATCTCACACGGCCTGCCTTACCCCCAGAATATAGAGACAGCCCTTGCAGTCGAGGCAGCTATCATGGAAGAAGGCGGCATACCCGCGACAACAGCATTAATTGATGGATATGCACATGTCGGTCTAGATCGCGAACAGCTACAAAGGCTCGCCAACCCAGCAGATGGTGACAAACCAGTCAAGACCAGTAGGCGTGACATGGCGCAGGTGCTGGCGCTGGGACAGGGCGGTGTAGGCGGCACGACTGTGAGCGGCACAATGGTGCTGGCGAATATGGCAGGTATAGACATTTTTGCCACGGGCGGCATCGGAGGCGTACACCGGGGTGCTCAGGACTGTAAGGCTTGCGTGTCTGTTCAAGCTTCTGATGGTGTTGAACTCTACTCTCACACTCGTCTCAACCGTTCTGTCGTGTAGCTATGGACGTATCTGCCGACTTGACGGAGCTTTCTCGCACACCGGTGGCCGTGTTTTGTTCAGGTGCGAAATCTATCTTGGACATTCCACGGACCCTCGAATACCTTGAAACGCAAGGAGTAAGCGTCAGTGCTTTCCGCCAATCCTCGACTCCAGCCGCAAGGGAAAAAGAATCCGAAGCAATGGTAGACTTTCCAGCATTCTACAGTGCCCATTCGGGCTGTTCCGTCCCCCTCGTCCGCTCTGCATCACACGCAGCAAGCATCATCCACGCATCCAAGTCGCTCCTTGGTCTTTCGAGTGGGCTTGTTTTTGGCGTGCCTATCCCAACCGAATATGACCCTGCAGGTCAAGCGATTCAGAGCGCCGTGGAGCAAGCAGTCAAGGAATCTATCGAGCTAGGCATCGACAAGAGAGGCAAGCAAGTCACCCCTTGGCTCCTCAAGCGCGTCAAGGAACTGAGCACCGAGAGCGTCAAGAGTAACATTGCACTGGTCGTCAACAATTCTCGTGTCGCAGCAAGGACAGCCGTTGAGCTATGCCGGCTTCGGGAGGATCCTACCTCGAGTAGCAAGATTTACCTTTCTGCACAGCCTTCTCAGGTGAGCGCAAACCTGCTGTGCATCGATGGCTTTGCAATGCTGAGCGCGCGACTCCGCTTCCCCAACATCTCGCTCCGTAGGAAGGGTTGGAGCCACCAGCGATCGTCCTCTTTGGCGGGGTTGTGCTTGACGTGAGCGCAAAGCCAGCTCCTGGTGTGACAGCAAAAATCGCAGCGAAGACAACAGCAGCCGGAAGTGTGAGGCTCTCGCTCGGTGGAGTCGGTCGCAACATGGCGCAAGCTGCACAGGGCGTAATACAAAATATGCCACACACTGGCGGGGAAGTGCAACTGGTGGCGCCGCTTGCGGACGACTCGACGGGGCATTACGTGCGCACCGTTTGGGAAGGGGACACCAACGCGCTGCGTCTGGACGGTTTGTTTTCCTTGCGTCAGGGGCGCTGCCAAACTCCAACAGCCAGTCTACTCTTGAGGCAGGACGGTGACCTGCAGCAGGGCATCGTCGATACGTCTCTCTTGGAAGGAGCCTTCACCTCTCAGATCGTCGAGCGCTTCATGGCATCGAACCCATCGACCATCGGCTTTGACTCAAACATGTGCATTGATGCGATGGCGCACGTCCTCACTGCAAGCGCTCAAGCGGATGCATTTGTCCTATGCGAACCGACATCCGTGGCGAAGAGCTCGCGCGTGGTCCATGCGCTCCATCATGCTGGCTTTCTCGGCAAGCGACACGTCCTTGGAGGTGTGACACCAAACGTTCTCGAGCTGATGGAGATGCATGACGCTGCACAAGAGCTTCTGCTCGCACAACAACAACAGCTGCAGTTGCTACGACTCGGCGCAGTCGAAAAGCAAATTGCCGCTGGTCTCGTCGCGTCTAGCCTCCTGCCGGACACGAGAAGCGCAGAAGCAGCGCTGTCTGTTGCACGCCTCCTCGGGCCTCTCTTCCTGACGCTCGGTCCGCGCGGTGTACTTGCGGTCGTGCCTCGCTCCACGCCACTTGAAGGAGCTGTGGAGATCACGCACGTGCCTCCACCTACAATACTAGCTCCGTCATCTATCGTGAACACAACCGGTGCAGGTGACACTTTTGCAGGTGCGCTCCTCGCGCTGGTGCACCTACAATTCAGCGGCAGAGGCGTTGGCAATGAGAGCAGACGGCCGCGACAGCACCTTCTCAAAAATTGGCTCTCCTCACACGGCTCAGCAGGGCCTTCGGCTGTGCACGACTTGCTCTGCGCCGCACAATTTGCTGCCCTCGCGACTTTGCAGAGCCACGGTGCAGTGGGCAATATGTGCGCGTTGCGCGGAGAAAAATCATTCTGGCGTGCTGTGGGGTCACAAGGGAAAGCGTAGACCCGGGGTTTCCCGTGAGGTCACACATTTAGCATCTGTAACATAATGGCAAAGTATAAGGATGTTCTCCATTTGACCATCTAAAGCTTGCTTTTGTTACTTCCGCCATTGGCGGCCTTTGGCGGGAATTTGGGATCCGGCTTCACGCGCAGGATCGCCTTTCCCCATGTCTTGCGATTCTGCAAATCGGTCAGTCCACGCGGCAAGCTTTCCAGTCCCTCGTAGACAGGATCCATGACGACGGGAGTAGCCTTGCCGCTCCCGAGTAGCTCCAGCAAGGCTTGCCATACCGCAGGGATGCGATCCGCCTCGTTGGTCATGTAGGCGCCCCAATGGACGCCGACGATAGAGATGTTCTTGAGCAGAACGAGGTTCATCGGGGCTTTCTCGATTGTCCCGGCTGCAAAGCCGACGACGATGATCCGCCCGTTCCAAGCGACGACTTTCATGCTGGGTACAACGAGGCCGACTGGGTCGTAAATGACGTCACAGCCGTGTCCACCCGTGATTTCTGGATGATCAGCACGAAGATGCCCAAAGAAGGTACCACAGTCAGCATGATCCCTTTCGAAAAATGCTGAGCAGACCGTCATGACCACGACCCAATAGCATCGCAAACGCACTTTTCACCTGCGCCTGCCAGTCTTTGTCGCGATAGTTGACCACATAGTCTGCCTTGCCGTGCTCCTTGCAGATCCTCAGCTTCTCCTCGCTACCGGCCGTTGCGATGGTCTTGGCGCCGAGCAACTTGCCAAGCTGTATGACGAGAGCATTCAGCATCATCGAGACGATTTTCTCGCTGTACGTGATCCTTGGCCTCCAGCAAGACTCACAAGCAGCGCACTAATCCCCACACCGCCAGCACCAGCATGAACAAGAAGCCACTCTCCAGGCTGTACACTCGCACGTAGCTTGAGGGCTGCATATGATGTAGGCCACGTAATGTAGAGCCCTGCGGCTTGCTCGAAGGAAAGGCCGTCAGGAATCTCCAACAATGTCCAGTGGGGGGCTGCTACCTGCAAAATACAGAATACAGATATGGGAACAAAAGATGGTCAGGATATATACGAAGAGAAGAGCTTGACCAATCGGTCAATCGTTGAAGCTGACCTTTTCGGCATACGCTCCCTGCGCCGAGCCAAAGACGCGCGTCTTGCCGGGAATGAAGTTGCATCCTTCGGGAATTGGGGAGTCTTTTGCGATGACGCCTGCGATTTCTGCGCCGAGAACGTATGGGTGCTCAGGTTGGTTCTGGTACTTTCCTGCTGCCATGAGAATATCGACTGAGAACATTCGAGGTGACCGAAGAGGAGGTACGCGGCCATTAGCGCGCTCCCAGTCCAGATACCCAGCCGAAGAAATGTGGGCAATCACACTCACAGAAGTTCAACCCGGCAGAATGGATGTCGACAATGACATTGTCCTCATCTGGGGACACTGTCGGATCTGGTACGTCCGACTTGAGGCATTTACTAATGTCGCTGAGCTGCGTGTGCTCTTGGATCAAGTAGCCTTTCATCATGTCAATCGGGCTGCAGTTCGGTTTTGTAGGCAGCGGCAGCACCGGTGGCGGTCTGTAGGTAGACGGTGGAAGGGGGAAGTCGGCCCAAGCCTGGGAGGTAGTACATGCACACGTCGGACCCCGTTGTTCATCATCAGTGAACTGAACCCAAGCAAGCTGAGACTGGTGCATTCCATTTCATTCCATTCTCCCCGCACCCTGTCCTCATCCGGGAGTTGCGCAGCCGGACTGCCGGGGGAGGATGTGTGGGGGGCGGCGTACAACGAACTGTGTGGGGAACGGAATGTAGAAACCCTACATCCGTCGATGGAGCAGAAATTCGCATATTTTTGCTAAGTGACGGACACATTTGCAGTTACACGGTGAAAGAAGGGCAGTGTTACCCGGAACGCGTCTAAAACCCCCGCGCAGAAGCAGAAGCTTTCAAGACAAAGAGGTTCTACAGTCTCCATTCTCTATCTCCCATGTGTTGCCACTTTGTTGCCTCTGGTCCGCTATCCGTTGGCGTTCCGGTGTTGAGAAGGAAGCACCTCACTTGGCTTTGGAACAGGACAGAAAGGCAATGCGTTGCGTTGCTTAGCAATACATGTGCATGCTCTGCTCTGCTTGGTTTGTAGTGTGATGGGATGATGATGCAGCATGGGCCAGGGAGAACATGTTGGCTGGTGATACATGATTTGCATGGTGTTCTGTCTTGTTGCTGATGAGGCTGTTTGGTCGAGTGTACGATGAACAAAAAGGCGAGGAGCCGACAAAAAGAGGACACAACGCGGATTGTCGAGCGTGTGGGCGTGAGTGTAAAGGAGGTAGGTATGTGTGCGATCGTAAAAGAAGGCGCTCGCGGCGGCGTCGAGTTGAAAGAAAGCAGGAAAACCAGAGGAACCGCGAGAGACGTGCGAACGTGAACAAAAGGTGAAGATGAGGGTGAAGGTGAGGTTCAGGTTGATAAAGAAGAGACGGCACCGCTCGCTTAGCCATCCATGACGACATCCAGGTCGTCGCCCTGCTGACGTTGCTGCTGCTCGAGTGAACCACAGTCGCCGGCGCGCGCACGAGCGCTGCTGACGCTCGCAGTAGCATCCATGAGCGTTTCAAGCCCAGGCGGGACGCTGAGGAACTCGAGGTCGGACGAAGCGGAGCGCGCATGCAACAGACCGTCAAAGCGCGGGGCGGCAGCAGATGCCGAGCGAATGCCCTCATATCTGCTGGCGTCGGCGTGGTGATGGTCTCTGACGCTGGCACCACCGACACCGGCACCATCCTCGTCTATCGTCATACCGCCCGCCCGCGCAGAGACGCCGAGTGCGCTGAGTGGGCGCTCGATCGAGCTGCTGTCTGCCAGCCCTGCGCCCGCGGCCATCGCCATCACCATCATGTTGCGACGCGGAAGGAAAGCAGGTGAGGACGTGGAGGATGTAGCGGAAGGTGGGAGGAGGATGCCGGAACCACTGCTGACCGAGCGTGCGGGCGTGGCGTTGCAGAGCGATCCGAGGCCGGAAGGACGGGCGTGCGCTTCGCGAAGAGGACGACGCGCGCTGATGCCTACGCCCATCATGCCGCCGCTTGCGCCATTTCCGCTGCCGCTGCCGAGGACGCTGCTGCCGCCGCCGCTGCTGAGAACGCCGTCGGGGCCATTGGCGCCATAGTTGAAGTTACCGCTGGCAAAGCGATGCAGCTGCCTCGCTGCAGGTGCACGCAGCGCAGAAAGCCTGCGCAAGCCGTCATCGTGGCTGCGGTACGCAGCAGCTGCTGAGTCTTCGCTGGGACCTGCGCTCGAGACGCCTGCGGACGATGCGGGGCTGGAGGGCGACAAGGCGCCGGACGCGAGCCCGGTGCTGGGATGGCGAAGCTCATGCACGAATGTCTCACCCTGCGACAAGCCACCGGAGGGCCAGAGTGTGCGCATCTGGTCGAAATCGCCGCGGCCAAAGGTGGCCTCGTTGTCGACGGTGGCGCCGGGCGTGGCGCGTCCGCCGAGTAGCTCTTCGGGTGGTCCATCGAATTGCGCAATCACGGGCGGCGGGAGCGGCCGGCCAGCAAGGTCGGTGCGCTGCGGTGGCATGGGCGGCACGCGAGGCGCATGCGCATGTGGGTGCACATCATCGTCGTCGTCACCGCCGCCGCCACTGCCACTGCCGCTGCCGCCAGCGCCGCCGTTGCTTGCAGCGGAAAATACGTCGATGGAGCCTGCAGGCGACAAGGCGGAGTGATCGATCATGTCTGCGAGATTGGCGGTCGACGAGATGGAGTGGTGATGATCGAGTAGGAGCAAATCGTCCTCGCTCGCTTCGGATCCATCGGCCGTGGGTGTGGCACTGACGCTACCGCTGCCGCCATGGGCATGCATGCTGCTGCTGCGCATAGCACTGACGTGCGGCTGGTCGGCGGAATGGCGCGAGGCGCTGCTTGAGGGCAACGAGACGTCGAGGGTGGAGGATGCGAGCTGGCGCTGGCGCTCACGTTCACGTCTGCGCTCTGCACGCATCGCTGAGTCTTCGCCGCCGTGCCGCCGCGAGCGATGGCCGTGCTCGTGGCTGTGCCCGTTCCCGTTCCCGTGCGCGCTGCGGCGATGCTGAAGGTGATGCTGCGCGACGCCATCGTGTGTGGCAGCCGTCGGCGTCTCGGCCTCGGTGCCGCCGCCGGCGGACACGCCTTCTCGGTCCCTGTCCCGGTCGGCCTTCTCCTTGACGTCGTCGTCGGAGCGCGCGGAGCACCAGAAGCGGTGTCCACTCTGCCATCCTCGCGACTGGCACTGCTTGCTGCAATACTTTGCCTTGCGGCAGCGCCGGCACTTTGCAAATTCGCGCGGGAAGCTCTCCCACTTTCCACACTGCATATTGGCGCACTGGCGGATGCCGCCGCGGCACTCGTCCTTGCGGCACGCATTGCGCATGATGACACCGGCCCAGTACTGAATCTCGGGCGCGAGCTTGGGGTGCGACGACGCCGACGCGTGCGACGAGCCGCTGCGCGAGGAGCGCAGCGTGAACTTTTCCGCGATGGAGAAGACATTCCGTCGGCATGCGGCTTCTGGAGTCCAGCTGACATTCGACTCGGTCATCGACGGGTGGGCACGCAGGTGCGCAAACGAGTCCAGCGAGCCGGGCAGCGCTGCGCCGAGCACCTCCTCGTTGTGGAACATGTGGCGTACATGCGGGTATTTGGAAAGGTACGCGAGCAGCTGCAAGCTCAGCAGGACCTCCTCCTCGCGGTAAATCATCTCGCCGCTGGTAAGGATGTTGTTGCCGTTGCCGTTGCTGGTGCTGTTGTTGTGGCTGTTCGCGTGAAATGCGTGCGAGCCGTCATCGGCGGTGCCTGCGGCGCGGCTAGCAGCTCTGCGCTCGCTGCGTGCGGCTTGGCGCACAGTGTGGGTCGTCGACTCGCCATCTGCGACACCATGCTGCTCATGCTGCTGCTGGTCGCCATCTGCCACGAGGCTGATGCCGCGTGAGCTAGATGGCGTTACAGTCTCCTGGCGCACAAGCGCGTTCGCCACGAGCGGCGGAGGCATCTCGTGCGCAGCGAGGGCCGCGAGTGTAATGCGCGCGGGCCTCGGCGTCCGGCGCTCGTCTGGGTCTTCGCTGTTACCGTTACCGTTGCCGCTGTCATTGTCGCTTCCATTTCCGTTACCATTGCCGTTACCATTGCCGACAGCGACGAGGCCGCCTTGCCCGGAGTGCTGTGCCCCGTAGCTGCTGTTCAAGCCATGCGCTGTCGGTGGCAGTGGCGGCGGTACTACATCGACCATCAAGCTGCTGCGGCTGCTGCTGCTGCTGCTGCGGTGCGCAGCGTCACCATCGCTGTCGTCTGTGCTGACGCCGATCCCGTCCATGTCGACGTCATCCACATCCGCATCTACATCTACATCGGCACTTTCGCTGCCGCTGCCGCTGGCGCTGGCGTCTGCGAGCGAGCTGCTGCCATCGTGCTCGTGATCAAGCCCGTGGCTATGACGGTGATGATGGCGATGCTGCATCTGTAGGTCGTTGGCCGCATGTTGCAGCAGGTCGACGGCGGCGGTGTTGAGCGGCATGCCGCCGGCCATGTCCGGAAGCATCGACAGGCTCGCAGCGGCAGCGTCGGCAGCAGTGCCGCTGGCTACGTCGTCCGAACGGCCGGCACCGGCGACAAGGTGGCCGGAGATGAGCTGCTGTGCTTCCGGCGGTGTCGTCGGATGCGTCTCGGGTTCCGCCGGCGTTGGAACGGGGAAGGGTGCTGGCCGCTGTACGGCCGTGCCGGAGCGATGCGATCGTGACCTCAAGTTGGAAGAAGTCGAGGAAGAAGAAGTGTTGTTGCTGTTGTGCGAATCTGCTGCAGTCACAGCTGCTGCTGGTGGCACAGTACCATAGGCCGCTGCTGCGGTCGCAGCTGCTGCAGCCGCTTTCCTCGCCTCGTGCTCCTCCCTGCGCTTCTCCTCACGCCTTGCCTCTATGACGGCAAGGTGGCTCTCGAGGACCTTGACAGTGACGGGGATCATGCCAGCCTCTACAACACGGGTGCGGACGGCCTCGCTGCCCCGAACACCAATGTTGACGACGCACTGGAATGCCAAGGACCACTTCCAGATGGCTTGCATCTCCTTGGTCGACACGCCGCGGGAGGACGAGGCGGGCGCCTTGGGTACCTGGCGCAGGATGCGGATTAAGCGGTCGAGTCCGCCGTCGAGGGTGACCATCTCGCGGATGCGCGGCGAGGTTGAAGTGAGGTAGGCGAGGTGGTTGAGTGAGTTGATCAGCGGGAGCGTCGCCGTCGAGTCGATCGCTACGAGTAGGACGGGGAACGGGGTATATGCGTGTGTAAGCACCTAACGAACCAAGGCGATGCAAGCAGCGGCTTGCAAGCTAGCAGAACAGTAGGCTTACCCCTTCGATCGTAGACGGCTGCGGTGATGCAGATGCAGGCCTTCCCCTGCGCAGGGTTACTAAAGTTAGACTGCCTCATGTTGGGCTAGCGAGGAATAACGTCCAAGACCAATGAATTCGTCTCTTCTGTCCTTGCTTTTTACGATGTCGGCGCGACTTCACGTAGACGTCTGCCTACTTTCTTTTCCTTTCCTTTCCTGTCCCTTCCTGTCCTGTCTTGTCCTTTACTTGTCACCCCTCTGGGACGAGCGAGCAAAAGATGTGGGCGGCGGGATGCTGCCGCACTGCTGCTTCCACTGTCGCTGCCGCTACCGCTACCAAACCCCCACCACCACGCAACTGCAGGCCGTATCTTACGCTGCAGCTCGGGAAGCGGCTGGGTTTTGAGTCTACGAGGATGACATGGCGAAGGGTGTGTGTGTGTGTGTGTTTGTGTGGGTATAAACGACAACGGGTGCGGTGACTGGATGTGGGCGGGGATGATGGCGGGACGAATTGGCTGGCCGAGAGGTGGTGGTGGTGACTGCTGGTTGGATTCTATTGGGGATGGACCGCTAAGCTGGGCGCCAGGAGGGAGAGATGACTCGCACAGTAGGGTGGTCTGTTCTTTTTTTCTTTTTTCTTTTCCCCTTTCTTTTTTCCTTGCTCCTTTCTCCTCTCTCTCTGTGCAGGGCAGCGGTGCGCAGTCACAAGTCGCTTGAGCGTGTGCGATTGCGTGCGTACCAGGCGGGCGGGCGGCGGCTGTGGCAGGCTGGCTTGCCTAGCTGGTCTGGTCTGGCCTACGGGGCTGCTGACTTGGGAAAAGCCCGCTTTCCAATTGCAGCCAAATATCATATAAAAGAGGCGCGCACAGCAAGACTTATGTCTCTGATCAATGCAGGCGCGGACATGGCACCCCAGACGCAGGCTGACTCGATCCAAGCAAACTAGCCAGCGTCGGCAGTGATAGACACGAGCACCTCCACAGACCCAGTCACAGCAGTACACACTCCATGTGATTGAAATACATACCTACAGCGTATACACACATACACACTGTGCACAGTCGAGGTGACGTGTACGCATTCGCAAGCGCATCGACGGGCGTAGACGGTCTTCTAGTGCAACACACATACATCGAGTCTGGGAATCGCTGACGACGGGGCGGGCTTCATACATACTCCTACTCACTTTGGTCGAAATATGTACAAGTACATAGATGGCCCGTGCCAGCATCCAGGCCGATCCACCAGACTGATAGGAGCGCCGAGTCCAAGTGTAGTGGGGGAAGCAAGCAGGTGCTGTTTGCTCGCACGCGTTCAGCGCACTACAGGCGGTTTCTGCGTTGCTGACTGCTAGCGAGGCGAGGGTTGTTACTTGTGAGCCGGTTAGGCGTCTGGCCAAACAGAAAGCGGGAGGGCGGGGGACTGGCGGGGACTGGCACTGCGTCACTCTGGCCTGCTGAGCATCGCTCGCCAAGCAAGCAGCATGCACAATCCCCTTCTTACCTCAACAGTAGTCTGCACCCCTGCAGCAGCAGGCGAACTTTGATTACGCACTGCTCAGCCTCCCGAGGCTCCGCACCCACCCCCCTCCCCCGCGCCCCCGGTCCAATTCTCGGACTAAAGGGGAGGGCCACCTGGCATTCATATCCAGTGATTGAATTATCCTTCGGATACGGCTGCTTTCCTGGTTTCTCTAGCCTGGACAGTCCTGGACGGGTCTGGACCTTACTAACCCGACCTCATCACGTCTTTCTCCGACCACAGACTGGCCCGCGAAGCGCGAGCCGCCGCAAAGGAATGGCAGTAGAGCAGAGGAGAGCAGCTCTCGATCACTGGCGCTCGCCACGCAGAGCCTGTGCTTGTGCACTGCGCATCCATCAGCGGATGCGCTGGCATATCTGGCAATGAACGCTCCCGCACAAGGTATTCAACATATGTGCAAATACCCAAGAGCTGCATCGCAAGCAGCCGTAGAACACGACGTCGAACCGCTGTGTATGACCGGCATGGCAGTAGCCTGGCGATTACAGGGTGTGGAGTCGGCAGTGTGCACTGAGTGCATTGTGCGTGACCCGACGGACTGAAGATGACCTTTCGTATCCATAATTCATCGATGAGTCCTGCACAGTGCACACTGCACACACTCCCTGCGCTCACTGCGCAAGCACGACGTCATTAGCTCGTTGCAGCTTTACCGGCTGACTTGTCTCGAATGTCGACGTCGAGACGCGCCTTTCTACGTCCTGTGGGCTGTGTCTGGACTGTGGCTTGCTGTGGCATGTAAGATACGAGTATGCACGTATACAGACACTCCAAAGGTCAAAGGGGATGGAAAAAAGTAGTCTGACAAACAAACAAGAATCGTTGCATTGTGGACTCATGGTAAACCGTAGATCGCAACGAGTGGAGTACGGCATATATGGGGCTGGAAGTTGGGGATGGAATGACTGATTCACTGGTGACAAGAATATCGGTGCTGAGTAGATCACCTGCTTTGTATACCGTATAATGAAGAGTAACGGGTAACGGATGCTCCCTCGCCTATACTGATTCATGGTGTGGTGAACGCGCTCCTCGTCGCGTACGCCGCAGACATACGCACATGACCGTGGCAGACGAGCAGACCTTGTCCTCCGTACGACGGTTGCATCAGGTCTACTGTATGTATCTCGTTGAAGTCTGCATTCTGAAATCAGAGTCCAGAAAAGATGGGGACAGGATGCGCTCTTTCTTGCTGCGTGCGTACGTTTGTATGTGACGTGGACAGCTACAATACCCCTCGGGGAAAAAGGGGAAAGGAAAGAGAAGGACGAAAACCCGAATTGGATCATGGCGAGGCTGTATGTATGGATGGATGGGTGTGTGTATGGAATGCTCGGATGAAGTATATCTGCGAAGACGAACCTGGACTGTCTATTGGAGTTTATACGAAGGTCAATGTGCGTATGTATGGTTGCACTGCGAATGTGATTGCTTGCCTTTCTTGGGAGATCGAGTACTGCAAAGGGTCGGCTTGGGAAGAGCTATCGGAGGCGGCGAGAACGAGTGTCGGTCTTGTGAAGCCAAAGTGGTATGATGATGAGGACGATGACGATGCGGGTGATGATGAGGAGAAGCTATGGATGAGATAGCTGAGCTCCTCATTGGAATCAGCTTTGCTATGTCGTGAAAGCGGTTCGCGGGCGTGAAGAGGTTCGTTTCAAAATCGTAAGCTGAGAGTGTAGGGACATATCTCAAATACCTGGCCTCAATTGGGCCGTTGCTGGATCGATGCACCCGTAGTCGTGCCGAGGATACGCCTTGGTCCTCGCCTGCCGAGCAAAGGCGCAAAAATGTGAAAGGAGTCAGCTCCGATGGGACACACGAATCAGGACCATACTTACGAGAAAGCATATGCGCAAGCACATAGCAGAACGCTTGCGAACGCGATCCACGTCGTCAGCCAGACGAACACTTCAACGCTGGCGACTTCGACGCGCGTCTTGACCACGCTTGGTCGGTACCTCGCCCGCGTCGAGACGGGCCAGTAGTCTGCACCTCTCCTGCCAGGGCGGCGCTTCGACGGTTCGAGATCGACGACTTCAAAGTCATCCTCCTCCTCTCCCTTCACCTCTCCACTGCCGCCTTGCTCATCATCACCGGCTATAACAGCGGCAGGATGTAGATCCAGGGAATAGTGTCTCGAGCCGCGCTCCCTGATGCTGTCGAATCTGCGTTCAGGAGACTCGCCCAGTGGAGTGTCCGCCACCAGCGACTGCTCACCGGCGCGCTGCTGCAGTTGCGACCGCGAGCCGGGCAATTGCAAACACTTCGCGTGGCGACTGCCGCAGGTGCTGTGTCCAGCCTGCTCCTCTTCCAACTGACGCAAAGCGCGTCGACGGCGGGAGGGTGTCAATGCGAGCGCCTTGGTCGTTGCCTCGCTCAAATGCGCGTGCCTGGCTTTCAGCGAGCCGCCATACGGGTCAGTCGCTGCGACCGCACGCTCAAAATCGAGTCGGCGCCGACGGAGGAGCCTCGTCAGCTGCTCTTCCTCCTCCAGCTGCTCGGCCGACTGGATGGCGAGGTGCGCAGAGCTCATCAGACTGCCGCCACCGTTGTCGCGTACCTTTCCCTTTCCCTTGCCCTTGCCGCTGCGGTGTGAGCCTTTCGGCGCTTGTGACGGCAGTGGCGGTGGGGCGATGCCGAGCGCGCGCTTAACGGCCACGGCGAGCATATCGCGCTTGCCCGGTTTGGGCGGCGGCAGCGCGAGGCCGTACTGCTGTGCCTGCTTCAGCGTGATCGGCTTGCCAAAGTCCTCGTCGTCCGCCCAGAACACCGGCTGAAGCGACGCAGCGCGATCGAGAAGATCGTAACCGTCACTGCTTGCGTGCTGGCCCGTGAAGGTGCCACCGGGTAGCAGGTCCTCGTTCCCGCGCCAGTTGCCGTCATCTTCGGGGGTAAGGGTGTGGAGCAAATAGCTTTCGGCACCGTGGCCCCACGCGACGAGATCGCTAGCTTGCAGTTGCTCCGGGAAACGCAGAGCAGCAATGTCAGAGTGGTTATCATCGTCCGCGCTCTCCGCCGGTGCCGACTTGGTGCGATGCCGTCGCCGCGTGAGCGCCGAGAGGTGCGTCGAGGTCAATGCGACGTCATGTACCTCAGGCGGCGTGTCCTGCTCCTCCCGCTGCTGCGTCAGCTCTTCTGCCTGCTGCATCAGGTCCGCCAGTTCGGTTGCACGACTGGCGTCAGTCGGCAGCACAAATTTGGCGAAGTCGTCAAAAGAAGGCTCGACAGAGTGCTCGTGCCCGTAGACGGAGCCAATTTCGCTTGCGAGCGATTGACGGACCTGCTGCAGGTCCTCAAGCTTCGCCAGCAGCGAAGGGCTGATGCTCGCCATCGATGTCATCGAGCTGGTGACCCCCATTTCAATGTCGCCCATGCTCGACGACGGCGATAGCCCATCGAACGCAGCGAAGCGGCGCGCAGGCGAGGAGCCACTCGGCGAGGGCGTAGGCGATGGGTCGTAATCATCCATCAGATCGCGTTTCGACTGCTGCTGCTGCTGCCCTTGCTGCTCGTGTTGCCGAAAAGGCGGCGAAAGCTGAAACGTTGGCGGCTGCGGAATGATGTTGTGCGCTGAGCTCGGCTGCAAAAAGTTGTCGCTGAGCCTGCGAGGGTGAGGTGCGCCGCCGCCGCCAAGCTGATCTCCTCCACCCACCTCCCGGCCGCCATCGCGCAGATCTTCCATGCTCGGCGTGATATGGATCTTAGGCTTGCCGATGGAGAGGTTCGACGCGCGGCGGCGACGGCCGTAGCCGCTCGCCTTGCCGGAGCGGGACGAGCCGGTGCTGCTGCTGCTGCCGCCGCCGCCGCCGCTGGCGCTCGCGTTGCTGCTGGTGCGGCTGGCAGCGAGGCTGGTCTCGGTGAACGACCGGGTCAGCTTGGCAAGTTCATGCGAGCTGCGCTCACTGCGCATGGCCACCTGGACCGTGCGACGAGTCTCGATGACGTGTCTGTTGCCCGGCGCCCGGCGCATGCGCGGCCGTGCTGCGCCACGCCTCTTGCCTGCAGGCACGGACGCAGCAGTAGCGGCAGCGTCGCCGCTGCTCCCTGCTGCGGCGCGCTCATCAATTCCAACGTCGCCAGACATAACACTAGCTGTCTCGACGGCCTCGTACGCGTCGCGGATGCGTTCGCCCTCCTCGATCGCCCTGCCGAGCTTGCCATCCATCTCGGAGCCGGCCTTGGCGATGGCAGCGTTTGCCTCCTCCAACTCCTTGATCTTGGCAAGGAGCTGCGAGACGAGCGCATGCTCCGTGTCGCCCTGTCCGCTCGATCCCGCGACGCTCAGGACAGCGGACAGTTCGCTACGGACAGAGACAGAGCGCGTGGGCGACGGCTGCCCGCTCGCAGCGTCGAGGTGCTGCTGGATGCTGCGGTATTGGTGCGACAAGTGCGTCGGCGTGAGCGAGGCCGCGACCTTACAGAGATCGGACATGCTCGTCTGCCGCGGCGCAAAGTCGTCTCGGTTGGGACTCGTGATCGCTCGCCCGGCCAGGTCGTTCCACGCCCGCTGATCGGGGAGCGGGCCTCGGCGCCTCCATTTCTTGGCAGAGCCTCTGCTGTTGGCCGTGTCGCCGTGATTGCCGAGCCTGTGGCGCTGTTCTTCGAGTTCTGCGTTGCGCTGCATGACGGCCTCTAGCTCGTCCTTGAGGCTCTGCAGCTCCTTATCCAGCGTCCGGAGTTTCCGGCCACCGTCCCTCTTCTGCTCCTCGGCTTCGGCCTGCAGCTCGGCTAAACGGCTGACGAGGGCATCGTTCTCGTCGCTCAGGATGTGCAGTTGCCGCTCCGTGTCGGCTGAAAGGGCCTGCAGATGCATGTAGGAGCTCTGCGAGTGCGGCATCGACCTGTTCTGCTTGGAGGCAATGGGCACTCCAAGCGGGGAGACCGGCTGCGAGAGGATGACACCGTCTGTCTTGGGACTGGGCGGGAAGAGTGTGAGCGGCGCTGACCTGGCCTCGACATTGTCAGTGGACTGGCTGGAAAGGATGACGGTCTGATCGGCGGCACGGTCAAAATAGCCGTGTATGCTCGCGTTAGATCCAGAAGCAAGCGGTGTTTGATCGGCACCTCGGTACTCGGAATCCGTGGTGGGAGGCGAGTTGCTGAGCTCTCCAGCATCGCTTTCGTTTTTCTGGCCAGCCAAAATGCCTTGATGCCTGGACCGAAGGCTGAGGTTCTTTTCCAGCAGCGCTTTGCCGATCGCAGCTGCCAAGCCCAGATCCCTCTCCCTCTCTTTGATCACGCGGTTTGCCTTGACAAGCATCGCCTCGAGCTCTTCCCTCGGCAAGCCTCCGACCCAGCTGTCTGCCTCGCCCTCGTCTTCGTCCTTGTCCTCGTCGCTGTCGCTCGACGCGAAACGCTCATTGATGACGTCACTATCAGACGAAAAGCCTTCCATGCCGTCGCGCCTGCCCAAATTTTGTTTTGAATGTGGAGACAAGTCCAAGTTGCCCATGGATGCGCTGTGCCGAATGCCAGGATGTCGATTTAAGATGGGACTCTCGCTGGCAGCAGCCTGCCTCTGCAGCAGCGCTGCCAAATCGACCTGCAGGTCGAGGTCGAGGTCGAGTTCTGCATCCAGGCCACCAAGCGCCTGCCTTCCGGCGCTACTGCTATTGATCGACTGTTTTTTGACAGGGCTTTCGTCAGAGTCGACGGTTGCTTCGCGGTGCCCGGAAGCCTTGCGCAGAGCGCTGGGCTTAGGAGGACGCTGGCGCATTGGCATCATCACTTATCTCGGACCACTCGTCGCCTCTACCAGAGGCTTTAGCCTCGAGTGCACGACCGCTGCTCGACAAGCATGAAGGAAGCGTCAATGACACCCGTTAGCCCGCAAAAGGTGAGCCAGCGACGTGCGCCTTTTGTTTGTCGACTTACAGCAGAAGGGATGAGGTGAGGGACCAGGATAGGTCTCCGTATCCAGCGGGTGTGCGGGTCCCGCGGGGGGGGGCAAAGCGCGGCGGCGTGACCTTGATCCTACGGCGGCGGGTGTGTACTTTGTGATGCAGCCTGCAGCTTGCCGTGCCCAATGGGGTTTGGACAAGGTGCTGGTCAGAACAAAGGAGCTGGCTGGCTGGTCAAAAACCCAAGGGTGTGAGCGTGCGGTCCTAGGGAGGCGGGAGTCGGAAGAGCTTGGTGGGTGAAGCCTTGTCACGTCAATTCTGGGTGAGGGGGTGGGGACTCTGACCTCTGCTCGTGCCCCTGCTTTCACGTGGTAGCGAGGTTAAGGCAGGAGGCACTAGCGCGCACGACGCGTCCACCGCAGAACACCAAGCGGCGGAGAGGAAAGGGGCGGTGCCGCTGCCACAGTCAGTCCACAGTCCACACGCAGAGCAACACGTCCAACACTTGTTTCCTCCCCTCACGAAAAGAGGCCAAAACTCAAACACAACACACACCAGACACCAGACAGAACACGACTGCTGATCAGTACAGTGTGGCCTGGCAAAAGGGACGAACATTGGGTGACGGTGTCCTCGTTGATCACTCATCCGCCTCCTCTCAACGCAGCCTGCCGCGCTCGGGTGGATTTACGATTGTCGCGATACTTCAACACGTGGGCCTCGGCCAGCTTGCCTTGCCTTGGCATATCGCTATGTTGATGGCAGGTTATCACAGACATGCAGCCGCCCACGCGGTATTCGAACTCGTAGACCCCTGTCAACGTACAGGTAGCAGCCCATTCATCAACTCTTCTTCTTCCGGTTCGTTCCGTCGTGCAAGTGAGAAAGAACGCGCGACTTACTTGCATATACAGCCTGCGCTACATAATTGTGTCTCTCATAGCGTGCCAATGTCATATATACATACGTGGGTCGAACATCCGCGAGCTTGGAAGCACGCGGCGCCGCTGGCGGCTGCAGCCTGGGACAGGCGCCCGGAAGCCCAACGCAAGTTGGCCCGGCTGTGTATGCACATAGCTTGCGGCTGCCTGTGATCGCCGATCATCTGTGATGCCTCCTATCATCAGCAGCATGGCAGGAAAGGCACACCTGAAACTTTGATCGTCTCGAAGGTGATAGGAGCAAATCTCGCAAGTCAAAGCTGATCGAATGGCAGCGATGGCGACTGTCGGACGCGCCACTGACGCATAACATAATAATATCCCACGCGACCCTTCAACGGTCGCAACGTCAGAATTGCGCCAGGGGTTATGGGGGTTAGGGTCTCCAGTAAGCATTGCAAGGAAAAGTCATCCTGTCCTCGCAACATTACGTATTGAATCCCCTGTCACGTGCACATGTACTCGAGCATGTAGAGATAGAACAAAGCGATAATAATAACCTTGAGATAAGACTGAAACCGTCAACGTCGAGCGCTAAAGCGTCTGTGGCCTGTCATGAGCACAGACGGCAGCGTCTGAGTGTCAATCCACTATGTAGCCAAGTCAAGCGGCCAAGCGTTGCTATCAGCTTTCGGGTAGCAGCATTGGGCACAGACGATGATCTCGACATGTGTTCACTCTCCAACAAGCCATTTCCACGTCATCGCCCGTTCGCTGGATCGTTGTCGTTTTCGCACTTGGCAGCTCCTCGGTCATCCGCTTCATCAGCTGTCGCAGGGCTCCCTGATCCAAACCGTCGCGGAGCGCTTGCATCGCTTGGCCTACATAGTGCATACACACACTGACAATCTTCAATTTCAGAGCCATCGGGATTATAGCTGCAGCTGTGCAGTCAGCGGGCGTGCAGTCCCCCTTTTGATGAGTATTGCAGGCATCTTTATTGTATATACACTAGCTATGTTGTTTCCACGCTGTGGCAGGTAGGCAGCTATCCATTCAAAATGAATGTATTCCGAAGCGTCAATGGCAGATGCCTTGCCTGCTTGGCCCGTCCGATAAGAAATGCTCGCCACGTGGATGAGGGGTCATGCAATGGTATCACGGCTCTATGCGGCGCTCTTGAAAGCGATACAGGTCACCCACGAGGTACAAGCTACCACACAGCACGATAAGATGCACGGCCTCCTCCTCCTTTCCTTCCAACGACATGTCTTTCGCGCCTTGTGCAGCCCACTGCAGGGCGTCCTCAAGCCGTTCGAAAGTCTTTGCGTCCGCGAGGCTTGATGCCAGCGTGGCATCGAGCGAGTCCAGCTGTGCGAGGCATTCGTCCGGCCGCGCAGACTGCACCCATGGCATACCCTCTACCGGCGTAGAGAAAGGCAGAAATCCGACACGGTTCCGAACGAGCGGCTGTGGGCGTTGGTTCGTCGCCTCGTTAATGCTCAGCTTCGTTATCGACTCGTCCAGCGAGGAAGAGAGCGAAGACGACAGGAGAGCGTGTAGCATGCCGCTAATATCCTTGCCCTTCGAAAATGCCATGAGCCAGGTAACCGTGATGGGCCTGTCGCCGCTCGATGACGAAGGTGGCGAAATGCAAAGATCAATGTACTGCCGCAATGCGAGCGCCGACGCCGAGTTGTGCGCGCCGTCGACCAGAATCTTGATACAAGCGGGTGGTGACGGTCTGGAAGTCTCTGGATGATCTGCAGCCGCTCCGCCTGGTACTGGACCTTCAGACTCGATCATGCCCTCTTCTGGGCTCACGACCGACACATCATGCGGTACGCGAACGTCCAGCCAGGCACACCGACCCTCCCATCGCACAGTATCCAGCGCCTGCTGTATCCGTTGCTCCCTTTCACTTTCCTCGCGCAGCGCAAAGGCGATCTGCAGCTTCAGCTCCTCGTGCGCGTCGCTCCCAGCGGCACCGAACGCGGAGGGCGGCTCGTCCCGCGCAATGGAGAAGAGCGTCTGCAGCGCCGTACAGGCACCCGTCATGGCAGCGCGTGTAGCCGGCAGCCGGATGGCAGGGCCGCTCACAGGCGGGTCGCCAGCACGAGCAACGTAGTGGCCGGGCTTCGTGGGAAGCACAGATGGGAAGAGCGTCGGGGCATATCGGATTCTCAAAGCGGCTGTCGGTTGCCGTATGGGCCCGCTCGAACTGCTGTTGAGCTGTGTCGGACTGAGCGCACCCCAAGGCACGTAACCCTTGACCAGCCTTGCACCGCGCTCTATGGCAGCCTGTCGAATGGCATTGAGAATCGTCGCTGCGTGTGACCCTGTTGGTGTTTGTTCCCCTTGCGCCGCCCGCAGGCACGCCAGATCTACTTCTGTGTTGATGCTTTGCGGGTCATCTGCCCTCCTTTGATCAGCAATGACGCACAGGCCCCCGCCCGGGATTATGCCAGCCTTGTGCGAGGCGATTCCCGCCAGATCGCTACCGAGAAGCGCTTCGTGATCTCGGTCGACCGGGCAGATCACGCTCGCAAGGACATTTCGCGGCGAAAAGACATTGGTAGCATCTAGCCTCCCGCCGAGTCCGACTTCCACGATGAGCACCGCCGGCGCTTCAGCTTGTGGAAGCAATGCGTAAGAGACGAATGCGCGAGCAACCAGCAACTCGAACGGGGTTGAATGCAGGCTTAACTGTTCCTCAGTCAACCCCTCCGTCAGTCCAGCATCCGCAGCGGCGACTTGCTCGCCAGCCTGGGCCCACACGCCCTTCGTGATCACTTGGCCGTTGACTCGACAGCAGTCCCTTTCTTCTCGAAGATGCGGGCTGTTGAAGCGTCCGGTGCGTATTCCTATAGTGTGCTGCAAGAGCGAGTCGATGTACGCAGATGTGCTGCCCTTGCCGTTCGTCCCTGCAATGTGAACGATTGGGAACTTGTCTTGCGGCGCACCAAGACGCTGCAGAAGGGTTCTGATACGGTCCAACGAGAGATCTATCCGCTTATTATTGACCGTCTCTTGCGGAACCATTTTTGGGTGGGAAGCCATCTTCGGGGACGCGGAAGAGACAAAGCCGTGCCAGAAAAGGTGGAGACTTGATCGAGAAGGGAGTGGCAAGGAGGGAAGGCAGCTAAGCCTGATTGTCATGTGTTGGCACGCCGAATTATCAAGATGACCTAAACTTGGGCTTGTGCGGGGACGGTGCGTGGGCCTGCAGTCTGCATATGCTATGGGACAGATCGATCCGACTTTTGAACAGCGTTGATGACCTTGATGACCACCGTGTCGGACGTTGTAGCTTCATGTAGAGGCAGCCTGAGATGTGAGACCGTTTGGTCGAAATAAGAACTGCGGCCAAAATTTCCCCGGACCAGCCGAGTATTTCTGGAAAGTGAGCGTCTCTCAATGTGAAAAGTCAATGGAGAATTGACGCGATGAGGGACGAACGGGGTCTTGTTCGCAACCTCACTTTGTGTTAGGTTCGATGCAAGATCATCATTAGCCTGAGCCTTTAGCGAGCCAAGGAGCCTTGTCATCCAGGAAATACCAACGCTTCGCCATGCCAGAATCGAACGGTGCGGCAGCAGTAGCGCCGGCCGGCGGACAGGGTGCCAATGCAGGTCCAAGGGGAGGCGCCGGCGGTGACTGGAAATGGACTATTCTCCGGTCCTTAGGCATGTACTTTGCCGTCCAGGCGCTGCTGGGAAAGGACGGGCTGGTTACCAAGTATCGCAACAAGGACAAGTTCTTTCTCTCTGCATCAGAAGTAGCACCACTGGGGTCACAGCCAGAGGGCGTGTCGTTGACGCAACCCACCGGGCAGGCGCAACCTGCTGCGAAGGCAGGTGTTAATGTGGTCCAGGCATGGCCCGCGTCCATGCCCCTTGACTTTTATGTCTTCCTAACAAGCGGACCTCCTGCAAGTAGCGTTGATATTTCCTCGCAGTACTCCAGCCTGGTCGCCCATGGAGGGGGAGCTGATGCGAGCCCAAACCTGATCGACTTCAACGCACATGCATACGCAAATTCGGTTCTAAACGAGAACATCCGAGGAGATGTTCAGCCGGTAGTCTCTCCGCAAAGTGGAAGGACGCTCTCTGCAGTCAAGTGGACAAATATCAAATGGAGTGACAGCTCTCTGAAGCGAAAGGTCGAGGTCGACATCGACGTCTACCCAGAGGTTCGCACCGAGAACCACACGATCTGGGCGGACGTCTTTCTGACCAAGTCGGGTGTCAGCCCCGACCCCACCAGCGCTTCTTACCGACAAGAATACGTCTTTCATTCGCGCAAACTGCTTTCAAGACTATACCTTCCGAAAAAAAAAACTATTGAAAAGAAGCTCTTCGCTTCCAACGAACGAAGCAAGGAAGAGCAGGAAACTGAGGAGGCAGCTTTGGCTGAGACGGAACAGATACAGAAACACCTCGTCACCTGGTGGCACCCGAATCTCACACTGGCCCTCGTACCTCAGCAGCAGGATACCCTGCTCCCTTTAAAGAATTTGGCTGCACCTTTGGGCCAGTGGATCCACCCAATACCCGATTTCCCTGCGAACTCTCCCAACTTGATTTACACGTACCCTGCCCTTTTCCCCAATGACTTTTGGCATCTGCGCGAACACATGTATCAGTTCAACGCTTCGACAAAGTCAGTGCCTCTATCAATCGAGCTCTACGCAACATCCTGGTTGAAGTTCCAGATGCTTGCCGCGTTCTCCGACTCTTTCGAGAAACAAGGCGCATCCGGCATGGCAGGCTCGGAAATCGACATGATCAAGACGACGCTGTTGGAGACCAACCCATGGTTCCTCGCGCTCACCGTCATCGTCTCGATCTTTCACAGCTTGTTTGAGTTCCTCGCCTTCTCAAGCGAAGTCAGCCACTGGCGCAACAAAAAAAATTTGGCCGGCGTCTCCGTGGGTTCGATTCTCACCAATGTTGTTGTGCAGCTCATTATTTTACTGTACTTGCTTGACAGCCGTGAAGATACCAGCTGGACCATCCTCATGGGCCAGGGTGTCGGCATGGCTGTTGAAGCGTGGAAGCTCACCAAAGCGATCACGGTTAGCATTATTCGTACGCCAGAGGACGAGAAGACACTGTGGCGATACTCGCCAGTCAAGCTCGATATCAAAGACAAGCACGTCCTGTCAGAAGAGGAGAAGGCGACGCAAGTGTACGATAAGCTTGCTTTCAAATATGTCGGCATCGCCATGACCCCGATCCTCATCGGCTGGACAATCTACTCGGCCCTTTATCAAACGCACAAGGGCTACTGGTCATTCTTCATAGGTACTTTGACTTCATTGTGAGTGCAATGGAGGAATATTACCCAATAGCACAAGACCTGACTGCTTCGGCCTGATTTACCCTGCGCAGTGTTTACGCTTTGTGGGTTTCCCCTAACGAGTCGTCACACATGGCACTAAGCTGATTGTCTTCTTACAGCTCTTTCTCGTCCATGATCCCACAACTGATTGTCAATCACAAGCTACGTAGCACCGCTGGCATGAACACAAAGACTTTTGTCTTCAAGGTGAATATGCCTCTCCGCATATATCCACGCGACTTTGATAATCTGACCAAATGTCGTTGCGATAGTTCCTTACCACCATTGTGGACGACCTCTTCGCCTTCTGCATCAAGATGCCTACGCTTCATCGCCTCGCCTGCTTCCGCGATGATGCCGTCTTCGTCATCTTCCTGTATCAGCGTTGGAAGTTTGGCGTCGACCCAACGCGTGTTAATGAGTTTGGGCAGGTGCTGGACCCCAAGGCAAAGGCGACGGCAACGAATGAGAAGGCAGGAGAGGGAGAAACAGCTGCAGTTACCCTGGCTGAGTCGAAAAAGACAAAGTAGAATTGTATGTATGCATAGATGCCATCAAAGCAGCCTTTCACTCTTCCCTGCACCCCTACCCCCACCCCACCCCCTTCCCTTCGGGGTCCGTCACAGCGTTGGGGTCATTCAGTGTTTCCCATGCTTGTCAAACGTATCCGTTGCAGCTTTGGGCGATATTCGAGAAAATCCCCGAGAAGGAGGATTTTGGTAACCAAAAGTCCCCGAGATGTCCATGTAAAGATTACAAGCGCCATCTTTCGTCTGCTTGGTCTGCACAGCAAGCCATAATAAAAGGCAAGCTTCGATGCAGACTTCTGACAGTCGCTGACCGCCCACCTTCTGCGAAGCATTTCTAGGCAGCCCTGAGCAACCAGCTTCTGCTACTGAATCACTTCGATCATGGACGAGCGCAGTGTTCTGCGCAACATCTTGGAAGAGCTTCGGTCGTCCTCGATCAAATCTGTTGCGCAACTTCTGCGGCATCTCTTGGATCCTCTGCGCCTGATACTCACTTCACCAGATGATGAAAATCAGTATCATATCTGTCTGGAAGAGCTGGCCTTGCTCTCCGAGTCAAGCGGCGGACACGGGCTCGAGCCAGCTGTTATCCTTTCTTCCTCCTCTTCGATTCAGCGCTATACGTCATGGCACGAGTCGGTGGACCTGGCGGCGTTACGCAAACGAATGCTGGCCTCGAGCTTTGTCGAAGACGTGCAGTTCGCGCTTCTGACACAAATAGGCATCACTTGGGGCGATCATATGGATCGGTCACTCTGGAACTCTCTTCTAGAAAACTGGTTCTTTCCGAATCTGCAGGATGCAGCACGGGCCAAGGCTCGCCAGGCGAGCGATACACGGCCGTTCGTCGTGGAAGTCGATGCCAAAGGCAAAGGCAAGGCGGGCGAATCTCAGGCAACGGACGAGGTTCTCTATGCTTCTTCTATGATCACTGCTGCGGGATTGAGGACCGTTACCAAACTGCTCTCAGAAGCTAGGGCCATGTCGGCAAGGGACGGAAATGCGTCTGAAGGGAGTCTTCCGTCAGCAGCGCTCGCTCCCATTACGAAGGACTGTCTTTTGCACGTGCTTCAGCGCTTACAGCCATGTACACCACTAGATATGCTCTACAAGGGTATTCGCCATGAATCGAGTCGTACACGAGGCTTATTACAATGGAAAGACGCCGTCGCACAGATGACAGCTTTGCCTGCTCGCATTGCCAACCTGACGCAAGGCAAACCTCCTGATGGACTTCAAGACAAGTGAGTTCAGTTTTCTGTCGCTCTCGTGCGGCTATTTGTCTTCCTAACCGGCCTTGATCAACAGAATTTTCTTTTCGCATTTTGCTGCTACACTCTGTGAACTCGTTCTGAGCATGTCAAAGAACCCAAGGGCATCAGACGACCCATCGGCCGTCGCCTTCTGCTTGATACGTCTTTTGCGACACGGCTTCGTCAATATCACTCCGCAAGGTAAAAGTGCAACGGCGAGGCGAGAAACATTCTGGGGATCCGTCATTCCCAGTGTATTGTGTCACAGTGCTCTGGCGCAGCCAATCGTCAACAGCCCAGACTCGCGGATGCTTCAAAGCTTTGATACGAACTGGCCGCGATCATATCGGGAAACTTGGCTTGCATGCATCGACGAGCTTTCCGGAACCGACCGCGTTGCCTTACGCACATCGATGATTGCCTTTCTCGAGGTACTCTGGAGCCGATGCACAGATCATGGTTCGGACGAAATTACCACCACTACCGAACGACATCGGCCTGGCACGGAGGGAACCATATTTCTCGCCAAAGAGATGCTTCAGAGAGCTATCTTCGGGGCCGCGCTTTTGAGTCTCTTCTGTGGCAGACTGTCTCAATATGCTAATTTTCAAGGATTGCCTACGTCAGCAAACACAGCAGAGGGTGGCTCTGACGGCGAAGATGCAGAGAATGACAACGACATGATCTCCCACTTTCGGGGCTGCATCAGCGATCTTATCTTGCCGCGATCTTCTGCACGCGCATCCCTTTCAGCCCCTCGTTATGGACCATCCATTGCCAGGTCCTTTGCAATCTGGATCCAAGCCTCCACCATGTCAATGTCACCCGAAAAGCGCCTTGAAGATCTATCAACTCTTCTGCACGCCATGCTAGCGCTCTGGGGTGATGCGTCGCTTGTCAGGATTATGAGTCAGAAAGAGGACTCCTATCTTACCGTGATCATTCTTGCCTTGAGCGCGCAGTTGGTACAGCTGTTCGAGTGCTGCAAAGGGAATACAAACGCCGAAAGTCTGGTCAGCGCAGCGTTGCAGAAGCTCACCATGACACCTGATTTCTCAAATGGTGTTGCGGCACACCTCGACCACGGGGACCCGCTCACGCGGCGTATGGGAATGCTGGTGGCCGAGGTGATCACGGAAAATGCGGCCATTGCGAATATTGGCTCAGCTGGCAAGTCTGTCAAACCTGCCCAGCTCCACTTTGGCAGCGCCATATGGGATGGAAAAGGCGAAGGCCGGGAGGAAGCTCGAGTGCTGCGTGCTATGGCCCACAGTTGGCCCAACGATACAATGGTCTGTAGTCTGCTTCGGGCGGGCGACCCGCAAGCCGCGCTTGGGATCAAGACAAGTGCTCCAGTAATCTCTTCTGCTGCAGACATGTCGGTGTCGGATGTTAAACTGTCAAGGTCGCGCTTGCCTACAGTCCGTCAGAACTCAGGGATCTCCAAAGAGCAACGTACGAAGACTCCACTCATGCAGAAACCCAAAAAGGCGTCGCTGATCACACTATTGGATGAGGTGTCTATCGCGGATGAGCATCTTCGGACTTTCAAATCGGTCGACGATACCGTGGAAGATCAATCTTCTTCCGGATCCGATTCGTCAGATGAAGATCCCCCTGAATCAACGAAAGCAGATTTCGGCCTTGAGGACGATGGCACACTCGGATCAGCTGAAACAGCTCTCAAGCTACCTAGCGAGAGTCGACAGAAAGTTCCGATCTACATTATGGAGCTTGCGCCCCTCTTTCGCAAAAATGAGAGACAAGCCAACCGAATTGCCCTTCACAAGGCCGAGGCATTGATTCGAAAGAAGGCGGGTTGGGGCGGAGAAGTGGATGAAAATGCCGCGGACCTCTCATTTGCTATCTGCGGCCTTCAAAACAATTTTGGCGTCAAAGACTTTGACAACCTCAAAACTCGTTGCTTGACGGCTTTGATCTGTGCGAGTCCGCGCATCGCTAATGGTGTTGTCATCGAGCAATTTTTCCACCCCCAATACTCGATCTCTCAGCGCTATGTCATGCTCAATGCAATCGCCTTCGCTGCATTGGAGTTGGCTGGCGAAACAGAACCAACATCAGGGTGCACAAATGAAGGAGCAGATAGGCTCAGCCAATTGGTATCAGACCTGTCGCTTCAGGCAAGCGCCAAAGCTAAATCTGATGGAGAAGCCCATGTGCCAGCCATTCAGAGAGAGAAGGCGCTCAAGGTCAGTGTATCAATAAGAGCTCCATCGCGCCCCTTGACTGCCAGCATCGGCGGCACCGCCCAAGCCGGTCCGCGCTTTCCTGGGGCACTGGTCCGGCCAGCCTTACTGTACATTGAGATCGCAGCGAGCTTCTTCATTCACCCCATCGTGACCCGCACTTGGGCGCACATGGAAGAGGCGAGCGTACGCAACAGCCGGGCGGTCGGAGGCTATCTTGGGGCGGGGGCTGGGGCATTATTCGCGCCTGTGCTTGTGGCACGCCTGCTTGACACCTTGTCAATCCTTGCTCATGCTGGCCGCAATGCCCGCGAGTACGGCGAGATCATCGCCCCTGAGCTCTTGGAGCTCGTCATCGGTGTTGCCCGGATTGTCTATCCGCTAGCTGCCGCGCATCAGATACACGCTAGCAACCTCAGTGACAACGAGGACGCTTCAAATCGGCTGCAGAGCGCATCTGCGTCCCTCGTACTCACAGTGCTGAACGATCTTTGGGAAGCAGACGAAGGGCAGAGCTTGCTCCGCAGACACAACAGCACTTTGAATGACGTGCACGAACTAATGGAGGCGACCTTTCAACGCGAAGATGCTAGAAGCGGCAAGGCTGCTCGCCCCGCTGCGGCTGTCATCTTGCGGATCGCGGAGATCCGCTCTACATGGAAGTCGGCAAACGTGCTTTTGTAGAAAGATGAGACAAAGTACAAGTGATCTACGAGGCTCGAATCTAGTTGCATGGATCAAGTCTTGCGTTTCTTTGAGGCGGGGCCGCCAGCTGGTGTCGACCCGCGACTGGAGACAATGGCATCTGAAGCGATGCGCTTCTTGGGCTTACCATGGCTGCTCTTGACGGTCTCATCGGCAAAACCAGGCTCATCCTTCAGCAAGAGGCCAAGGAGCGTGGTACAGCGCCTGCTGAGCTCTTGGCTCGTGCGTGACTTGATGAACCAATCGAAGCGGAACATGGGGTCGATAGATATGTCCTTCTTGATCTTCTCGTACGCATCTTCATCCGAGAGGCCGTAGTTCGCCAGCCGGACGAGTAAAAAGCGGTCCTCTTCCTCCGAGTAGGACTTGCCCTTGGTCTGGTTGTACGTCAGCTTGATCTGCTGAAGCGGTGACCGATAAGAAGCGATCTTCTTCCGCAACAGCGACTCCGTCAAGCTCTGCTTGGCCAGCTTCGCTTCTCCCTCCTCGATTCGTGAGACAACTCGCTCGGAGTCCGTAAGCTCGCCCACTCTCTGCCAGAATACCTCTGAGTAGGCCTTGATGTCCTTCTCCGTCTTGCTCTCGTCCGGAAAGAACTCCTGGGCGATTGCGCCAAATGCCTTCCGGCCATGCTTTTCGCAACCCTTGACAAAGTTTTGGTAGTCCCTTCGGGTCCAGTCCGTGAATCCTTGCTGTGCGAGCTCTTCCTTCTCGGCCAACTCTTCCTCTGTGAGGTCTTGGGCTGCGAGAAATCATGCAGTGTTAGCAGACGTCGCAGCACGTCACGCTAACAGTGTCTTCCTTACTTACCATTATCGATTGTCTCTTGCTCCTGTCGTCGTTCCTCATCCAGATCATCCTGGGTTTCGCCATCTTTCGCCTCCCTCAAGGGGACCTTATACCCAATGCTTTTCTGATAAGCAGCCGTCTCTCGCTCCTGCAAATCGATAAGCAGCTGCGGGAAGAACTGCCAATCCGGCGTTGCGATTTGTTTTGGTGCTCTCGGAGCCTTTGGGGCAGTCGACTTTGGTCCAACGCGCATGGCATCGCGGTAGTAGCTGTCGACAGAGTAGTTGACCTTGCGTTCGCGCTTACTCGGCTCGATCCAAAGTTGGCCTAGCGGTCGCTTTCCTCCTTGGAAGTTCGTGCCCTCCCACTCGTAAGCTGTGTCACTCTTGAAATTGGCCAGCTCGTCCAGACCCAGACTCTGATAGCGCGCTTGCAGGTCAGCTGTGCGCTGCTCTCCCTGAGCGATGATCTTGTCAATGTCGTCATCGACCACCATACTCTCCTTGCCAGCGATAATCTTCTCTGCACCGTGCTGGATCATATCGACGAGGTCTTCCTTGTTCTGTTGAGCTTTCTGTGCCTGCTGCGCTCGACCCTGTTGGATGACTAGCTGATCCAGCCGGAGCTTTTGAGCGGCTCGCTCGAGGATGCGCTCTTCAACAGCGTGCTCCGTCACGAAGCGGAAGACGTAAACCTGCTTTTTTTGGCCGATTCTGTGAGCACGGTCCATTGCTTGCAGATCCGCCTGCGGGTTCCAGTCGCTGTCGAAAAGAACGACAATGTCGGCACTCGTCAAGTTGATACCGAGACCTCCAGCACGGGTCGTCAGCAAGAAGACAAATTTGGAGCTGTCGGGCTTGTTGTACTCGTCAATGGCAGCAATACGGTCCTCATGCGCCGTGCTACCGTCAATGCGACAGTATTCGTATTCTCGGAAGAAGCAATAATCTTCAAGAATGTCAAGCACACGACTCATCTGACTGAAGATGAGAACGCGTGAGCCCTTGGTCTTCATGCTCTTCAACAGCTTATCGAGGATGATCATTTTGCCTGAATTGTCGATCAGGTGTTGGTCTGTCGTGAAAGGAGGGCCTGGCTCGGCTCCGTCGAAGAGATAAGGGTGGTTGCAGCACTTGCGCAACTGCATGACGATGTTCAACAGGCGCGTTTTCCCCTCCTTCTTGCCCCCTGCACCGTTTACGGCATCAATGTCCTTCTCGAGCAAGGCTTTGTACCACTTGCGCTGCATATCAGTCAGCCCAACAAAGACGTTAATCTCTTTCTTCGGCAAGAGACTCTTCTCCACATCAGCTTTGACGCGACGCAGGAGGAAAGGCTTGAGCACTTTGTGCAATTGTTGGACGACAGCGTCCTGATTTCCATCGCCTTTTCCGTTGAACCACGACTCAAAGTCTTCCGAATTCGAGAACACATCGGGCTACAGAATGTTAAGCGATGGTTAGAGTCCACCCAACAGTGACGTTGCGGAAGAAGCTTACCAGAAGGAAGTTGAGCAAACTCCATAGCTCCATGAGGTTGTTCTGCAATGGTGTTCCTGTGATGAGAAGACGGCTTCTAGAAGTGAATGCCCGCACAATCTGCGACAACATCGAGTCGACGTTCTTGATGCGGTGAGCCTCGTCGATCACGATGTATTCCCACGACAGCTTCTTAAGTGAAGATTTCTCGCGAAGGCACATCTCGTAGGTGGTGATCAGGACGTCAAAATCTTGCGGCAAAAGATGCTTTTCGATTACCTCGGCCTGTAAGACGAAGAACTTTGGTGGTTCATAAAATGGCTCAATATGTGCATTTGTCGCCAGTACTCACTCTCTCCTCTTTACTGCCCTTCAGTGTAATGACATTGAAGCCCGGAACCCAGTGTGTGAATTCCCGGCGCCAATTGTCCAGTGTTGACTTTGGTACGACCACCAAGTGGAAGCGAGGTGTGTCCCGGAAGAACTTCAAGTAGCCAAGGAATGAGATAGTTTGCAGCGTTTTCCCAAGACCCATCTCATCTGCCAGAATGCCGTTGATACCGTGATGGTACAGAGAGCTGAAGGAAATTCAGAGAACATGCATCAGCTCTTTCGCATCTGTAGTCAATGGCGCTTCGCAGCGCTCACATCATCCAGTTGAGTCCTGCGACCTGGTAAGGGCGCATCGTGCCCCCTTTGACGTAGTGTGGACTCTCCTCGAAGATGAATGAATCCTCCTCATCGTCATCCTCCTTGAGTAGCTCCTCATCCTCTTCTTTCTCGGTCTTCCGCCGTCTGTTCCCGCCGCCGGATGGAGCACCACCCTTGCGTTTCTTGCCTTTGTTCTGCTGCTCGGATTCTTCCAGCAGCTTGGCAAAAGCCGGGTCGCGCTCCTTCTTAATGTCGATAAAGTGTTGGAAAAGCTCTGTCTGGCCAAGCAAGTAGCTGAAACGCTTCATGGAATCGGCCAGCTTAGACTGCTGCATTTCTTCGCGCTTGTTGCTCAAGCCGGCGTTCTGAGCAGCGCGCCTAGCCAGTGCTGATTTTCTAGCTTCGCCACGCTGAGATTTGTTGCGCTCCTTCTCCAATTGTCGCATCGATTTGGAAGGAGAGTCGTCAGCCTTGGAGGATTCGTCGCCATCTTGCTCTTCATTTTCCGTGTCATCCTCGTCCGCTCGCTCTGGCGTGGCTGCTTTGGAGGCATTGCGCGACGCGGAGGCGCTGGCTGTCGGGGCCCGACTCAGATCGCCACTCTGAGGTATGTAATCGGAGTACTTATCCTCGTCGGCCACCTGCCCTCCATTTGCGTCCTGCACTGCTTCCTGACTCGCAGGGACGACCTCTACAGTGGGTGGTCGAGGGTCTGTCATCTTGTCGTGAAGGTGTTGAACGTGCACACTCTGACGCGTGGGGGAGTGAAGGGGAATATGGACGCGAATGATCCCTTGTCACCCTTCGTGGCGTTTCCAGTGTCCTAAGGCTCGTTAAGTCAACATGTGCGACCCTTCCTTCTCGTCGTGCCTAATTTGGTTCCCGTTGAGGGGGGATGGTGATGATGGAGAGAGGGTGATGGAGAAGAGAAAGTCCAGTGCCTTGAAAGGGTTCCCCTCATGTGTTCCTGTCGCGTGCTGGAGGAAAACGCGACGCGGGGACAGTGCTCTCTATGTTGGCGTCATTTCACAAAAAAACCTACATCGCGCAACGGAGGCACAAAGAGTTACTATGATATATAACCAAGGACTCGCAGAGCGAGCAGGCGTTTGATCGTGGAAGTGAGGCGTTATGCGCTGGCGCAGAAACTCGCTGGGATGGATCACACTATAGAGAACGCTGTCGTGCTCATCGCGAGCGACAAGGCCAAGGAGCGACAGGAAGGGCTGCTGCGCTATCGGGAGGCCTTCAGCGACCCTGGGGTCCTTTCCTCCTTGCCAGATGTTTTGGATGCAAAAGACATACGCACCGGGAAACCATGCTGGACCAGCGTGTTCCAGTCCCTTTTCGACGCCCTCTTCATCGAGAGGAGTATTTGTATAAAGAAGGCAAAGGGCGGTGGTGGGACTGGCGAATTACAGGCTGCGGCGCTTAAACGCTTTCAAGATGTCGCAATTCTCGTATCATGGATGGTCGATCAGGCACGTTTGCGCATCGGCAGAAAGACGACGCGAGCCGTTTTCGCTCATCTCACTCAGACGCTCGGTGCGGAGAATGCTCAGCTTCTGGATGCCCTGATACCGCCGTATCTGCGTGCGCTCAAATCACTCTTGACTTGGAAACCCCATGCGGATCATCTCGAGGAGAAGAGCTGGCTGGACGGCGTATCAATCTGCTGGAACTTGCTTCTGGGGGACAAGGTGTCAGACCGGATCACGGGCTCTGATGAGGTCGACTTGGAAAGATACGCGAATGTCTTGGCAGTCGCTGCTGCCGACAGGAAGTCGGGGTCGGCGACCCTCACAAACGCTCATGCAGCAGACGCTTTTCTCTGCCTTCAGGCAATGTTTGAGAGCTGCGTAGCCCCCTTAGTCGGCTTGGCTGGCGAGCGCTTCGGAATTCACATGCTCGAGAAGTACGTGCGGTACTTCGTGTTACGTCCATCCGAGTCGACCGTTACCCTGCCCGTCATCTCTAGTCTCAACGTCCTTTTAAGAGCACTACAACTCAACGAACGCATACTCACCACGACGTTTGCAACCATAATTTGGCCCCCTCTGCTTCGTCTCTTCACGACCAAGTCTCTGACGCTTAAGGAACACGTACTCATAACGCTCGATCTCCTGTTACCGCTACTTGCCGTTCCCCCGCCGTCTGTCTGTGGATCGGCTAGCGAAGAGACAGCGAAAAAGAAGAGGCGCGCCGAACTACGTGCAAAACTGCAAGATCTTCAGCATCTACTCGTCAAAGAGCCGCTCAGCCGCACGGGTCTCCGGCCGTTGCCCCTGGGGATACTTTCCTTAAGGCACATACCCATCGATGAAGGTGCCTTTACAGAGCCATGCCAGACTATGACCTTCCAGGCCTCTTTCGGCTTTGCAGCCCCAAATACGCATGACTGGTGCGGCCTAGAGCTGGCGGCAGATGTCATCTCTTTTCTAATGAAAAGCGACAGAGAAGTATTGCACACTCTTGAGGACGAGCAGCATAATCGCGGTCCCCCCGTCAAAGACGCGTCATTGATGCCAGAGAAGAGGGAAAGGTCTGACAAAGCCAAGTGAGTGTGCAGGCTGAGGTGTGATGGTGCAATTTCCAGTCCCCGAAGTTTTTGGAGACTGAGTGCAGCATTTCCAGCTCCAGGATGGAAGTGTCTGCTACACCAAACCCGGCCGTACAAGTGGAGGTTGGCCTTGCGGCGAAGACGAGATGTAAAGTCAAAACGCCAGCTTCAAGCACGGATGCGCATGATCGACCCGCAAAACGGGTGCGTACTAGCGAGAGGATGCTTGCTCCCGGGTTATTGCCGGGTACGCAACAGGAACCCTGGTTGGAATACTTCTCCGAAGTGCGCGCCTCGGACCCTTCTTCCAAAATGCGTCGGCTATGGGGTTTGCAAGTGCTGGCCATGTGGATGGAAAAGCATCCAGAGGATGCAACAAAGGCGCTCAACGACGATCTTGCAGGCGAGATCGCAGAAGCTTCCAATGATTCAGACGAGGAGATTGCCTCGTGGGCCACTCTCACCTTGGCATGCGCAACCGCATTACAGACAAACAGCAACGAGAGTTCGCGATGGAAGATTTGGCCCCGGATTTGGTCGCTTATAACCAGACGCGTTGCTCTGCCACATCTCAGTCGCGCCTCAGCCACGCTTGCGAATGCTATGCTGCGATGTTCCTTGGTCGATACGGCCACGCTACCAAAGGATGTCTCGACCATCATTTTTGAGCTCTCCAGCCAAGCAATCACTCGCCCATCCGAAGCCTTGTGCGATCTCCTTTCGCGAAGCTTGGAGATTATAGACGCGAATCGCGCTTCGATCGACCCAGCTGTGGTTAAAGGTGCTCTCGCACTGGTGCAGAGTCTATGGATTCCGAGCTTCGCAAGCTCTCCAGCCACAAGCACGGCATTCGACGCCAGCGTTCACTGCCCTGCTGCTACTATGCTGCACCTACTAGCTCAGCTTGGCGGGTTACAGCATTGCCCGAACCTTACAGTAGGAAAACCATTCCTTGAAGGTTCCGCCTGCATTCGAAACCTGGCAGCGAATATCGAGCATCGCGCGATGCTTCGATATGTCATCTTTGCTGAGCTCGATGAGGCCAAGGTCCCAACTTCCACCAGCAAGCATCAGCCCATACCTCGAGAGACCCTTTTCATCCCGCTGGATCCGAACACCCCAGCTTCCAGGCTGTCCAGCAGCCTGGCATCCAGCATCAAAGTGGTACTGGAAAATTTTAATGTGCGAGCTATGGACATGGTTGGGCCCTCCGTACTTTCCCAATACCATTCCTATCAACTTCGTCAATTCGTCGAATTCGCGGCATTGGTGCTCCTCTTCCGCGGTCTCATGCACGTCAACGGATTCAGTACGCCATCCGAGCTCTTCATGAAGCCACTGCAAACGCTTCAGACTGTGGCAAACGAATGTGCTCTTCGAACTCGCACCGTCGAGGAAAAGCATTTCATCCTTTCGCCTTTGGTCTGTCTAGGTCTTCCCGCTCCTATCAGCGCTGCCAGAAGCGCGATAGTCCCTCCAGCACGCCGATCCGGTGTCCGACATGAGCATTTCATTCAATTTACTGGGCCGCATCGACAGTTGGCAGACCAAGGTGTGCAGCATTTTTTGCGCGCGTGCTTTGAGATTGAGGACAGCATGCCAGACACTTGCGCTCTGAGCGACGCACTCGCGCAGGTGATCAAGGTCATTTCTCCGGAAGTTGAGATGGCGAAGCCGGATCTTTTACAGGGAGAAGATGACAGCATGGAGGCCGATTACGAATACGACAAACAGGTCAAGGATGTGCCCATTCCTGGAAACGTCACACTCGACGTACTGTTGAATGGCAGCATTCGTTACGAGATCACTTCATTTGTTTTTGCAATAATCGCGGTCATGCACGCAGTCCGAAAGCAGTCTTCGTCTCAGAATCAACGCCGGCCGCTTCACCTCATCTTGGAAAATGGGGCTGATCTTGCCAGAGTCATTATGCTTTTGCCCGCAGCTGTTCACGCCACAGACAGTGGCCTTCTTTCACTCGACGATATGGAGCTGCAAGAACTTCTTTCCATCACCGGAGAAGAGCTGCTTCCGAAATACCAGTACAGCCGCGACCCAGTCGCACACAGCATCACCCTAAAGGTCATCCGCATTGTGATACGTCACGAAAAGTTTGCAGCAGACTCTGTTGGGCTCAGAGACATGTGCCGTTGGTTTATGATCCACTCTGCCAAAGCCAAGACTTTCTTTGTCTGGGAGACGGTCAGCGACATTGCTGAGCTACTCTATGACTTTTTGACGTGCTCAGGTCTCGTAGACATTTGGAATCCTGATGGCGAATGCGTCAGCAACATCGAACCCACCCAGATCATGCAAAACTTGCAAGGTGCGGCTGATTTGCGGACCAGATTCCATGCGGCGACTTTGCTCGGTGCCCTCTTTAACGATCTCGCCATCACTCCGGGTGATGAAGCTGTCGAGCAGGAGCAACGTTTGTTCCCGCAACTACAGAACGTCGCCATCCTCGACGTCACAAAATTCGAAGGCACCCTCACGACGTTGCTTCTGTTCGGGAATATCACTGTCCTCTCGTCTCTGAACCGCAGTGACGGCCTTGGCTCGCTGCTGGAGATCGCTATGCGACGACGCGATTACAGCGCTCACTTTGCAAGTGTAATGAAGTGCGTCGCCAGCCATCTGGGCTTCGATTCCACGATGGAACTGTACAGCACATTCGCAGCTCAAATCGTATACAGCATACACCAATTGAATCAAGACACCCTCGCTGTTCCGTGGGAGGCGCTGGGGTACCGCAGCCAGCGCGCATGGGCCACAAGTAATCTTCCTGCAATTGGGCTAATGCTACTCGAGCTTTTTGAAGGGGAAGACGGCTCAGGGGACTTCGATGTCTTCTGTAAAATGGCTCGCGTGGAGCGTGAGATGGCACTGGATATCTGCAGGCCATCCATCGCTGCCTTCGAATTGGGCGACTCGGCGACGCGTCTACGGCAAGGTACCACCGCCGTCACCGCTGGTGCTGTTTGGGATCTAGCCGTCACCAACCTCCGACAGTGCGAGAAGTCGGGGGCGTCTGCCAAAGTAATGCATCAGCGGCTCAAAGACGCCAAAGACCTGGTCACAGCGTGGCTCATGCGTTTCGCTTGGCTAAAAGACCACACGACCAGCGATGAGCTGCTTCTGGAGATAGCAACATTTGGCCATAACCAAGCCGCTGCACTAAGGAAAGTCTCGTCTCCGCCCTCCAGCAGTCTCAGCGACGTTTCTGAGCTTCACGAACCGCCTCGGCCGTTTCATGACCCGAAAGCCTTGTTGAATGCTCTTTCGACGCTGGATCATCAAGCAGGTGGCATTTTTGACGCGAGCTCGGGTTACCACATCTTGCATCACCTCTTTGGCTTTATCTTTGACGCCAAGCTCGTTAACGATCAAAAGCGGCTGCTTCGAGGGGTGATCATTTACGTTTCCATGTGCTACAATGCCGTGCAGAAAAGCCAGGCGATTCTTAACCTGATCTTGCGGAACTGCTCTTCACTGCTCAAAGAAGTCGACCTCATACCGCTTGCTGCTACACTGCTCAACTGGGCTGCCACAACGGCCAAGTATAGCGCCGCTCGATCGCGGTGCTGGATTGTCGCTCTCGCACGCGCAGGCTACGCAGTTGCTAGCCATCTGCGCTCTAGTGACGCAGAAGCGGTGCGACTGGGAATTCAGTGCAGGCAATGGCTGCAAAAGCTTGCGTCGAACTGTCTTGCCGTGCCCGCTACCGAAAAAATTGTGCTTTGGGTTCTACTCTTCTGGCCGGACATCATTGCCGAAACGCTGTCATTGAAGGTGCAAGCACTCAGTCTTCCCCAAGTTATGGATGCTTTGGCCCAACTCCCGGACCTGTCGATCAGCAATTCCGCGCTAACCATCATTCTTTCCAAAGTGCGCGACGCCGACTCTGCGGACCGTGCCATATTTGCTGAAGAAGGGCTCTGGCTTCTAAAGCAGCAAGCAATCTCTCGGCAACGTGAGGCACAAACGCAAGCCCGATTTGCGCATCTGTTGGCACAGATTCTGGTGCAGTCTGGGGGCCAGTACCGTATGCCCTTTGCACCTGCTAGTACGAGGTTCGCCCAGACGATCAGGCGGGCAAAGGCGTGGGGTCTTGAAAGTCCGAAAGGAGCAACGACCTTTTCTGCCGAGCATACATTCTTGGGTTTGGTGCTCAGGTTCTGGCACAATCTTGAAGATGGGAATCACCAGGACCTGCTGCTCTGCCTGCGATCTGTCATGGCGCACACGGCATCAGTCGACGATTTCCTCGAGGGCATGGACTCCAGTGATGCTGAAGAATTGCGCCTGATTGCAGCATTTCGGAGCAACTCGCTCAACATCTCTCATCGCACACTGAACGAATCACTCGAGCTCATTCCATCCAGTACGTCTGCGACATATTCCGTCTGGATAGGAGCAATCTGCGAAGCAATCTGCGTGTCCTTAGCAACTCCTACTTCTGCGTTCGGCAACATCTACGTCCAACTCGTGCCATTGGCACGTCGCTACACAAAATTGGCAGAGCAGATGGGGCCGTTGCTCATTCGCCGTGTGTTGCAAGCTGACGAGGGCGCATGTGACGAGAAAGATCTCCGAGCATTGTATCAATTCTTCAATCACGTCACAAAATCGGCTGCAGCCGACAAGCGCATGCACACCTTCGTGGTCGATTGCGTCTTATATCTGCGACAAGCTGAGCACAAGGATTCTGGGGTCAATCTTTCTCTTGCTATTGACTACCTCGCGCTCGCAAACCGTGCACTGGACGCCGGGATGTTCACGGCTGCGGCTATGTTCATCGAGATTCACCGCGAGTCAAGAAGCAGACAAAGCCTTGATCCAGATGCGCAGCTCGAGTCATCTTTGCTGGATCAGGTCTACAGCAATGTTGATGACCCCGACAGCTTCTACAGCATCCCAACGTCGGGGTCACACGCAGCGCTACTGGAACTCATGCACCACGAAGGCCGCTGGCAATTCGCCTTTGAGATCGCAGCAGCATATTTCGAAGTGGATCGACAGTTGGAATCTCGTACAAGCGTAGCGACTATGGCCACACCTCTTCATCAACTTGGCTTCAATGCATTTGCGACCAGCTTGATCAACACCCGTGATGCGCAGCCATCAGGTCAATCAAATCACATCCAATACGACATGGCCTGGCAATCCGCCAACTGGGATCTACCAGCACACGGCGACAATGCAGATGCGGGAAGTGGCCAGACACTTTATCAAGCGCTCAGGGCGGTAACATTTGCTCACGACAAAAGCCACGCCGTCGAGGCAGTGTCACTTGCGCTCAGACGGCAATTGCAAGGATTTGGCCGCATGGCTTCTGAGCCAGGAAAGGCTTTGAGCGCCTCCTGCCTTGAATTGATCGGTCTATCCGAAGTCCAATCATGGCTCGACAAATGCAAGCGCAGTCCAATGAGCATGTCAGCATTGGAAGCCATCAGCGCAGACTATATGAGGGAGCCGCCTTCCGGAGTAGAGTGAGTTTACGATAGTTCCTGTTGGAACTTGACGCTAACTCTGACTCCAAACAGTTCGCAGGTGAGGGTGCGAATTCTGCAAGTACGCAAGTCCCTTGCGTATGGATGTCGATCCGCTCTAGTCAGGACTTCCGTAGGCGGTTGGAACGACGAAGGTGTCGCACGAGCTGTGAAGATCGAATCACACCTGTGCAGAGAAATTGCAAAAGCGGCCCGAGTGGAGAAGAGACTGCAAGCCGCTCTCGCCATGAGCAAGCTGGTTCAAAACCTGGAAGAATCGACAGGACAGATCGAATTCAGCAGCGTTCTCGAATTTGCTCAGACACTGTGGTCGTATGGGCAACATACAGCCGCCCAGAACTACTTGACGCAGGCGATGACCGATAGGTTGCGCATACCACTGGCTCTTGACGATGGCGACATTGGCGAGGGACTTACTCAATCAGTGAGAAAAGTGCAGCTGTCGTATTCTCGAAAATAGTGCAAAAGCTGAATCTTCTCGACCCAGGGCGTCTGGCACGCTGAGGCAAGGTCCGAGCAACCGCAAGTGATCGAGGATAATTACTTTCAGCGGGCTCTCAAATTGTCGACAGGCTCGAGTGTTAATGTGACGCAGCAATCGAAGGTCTTTCACCGCTTCGCATCATTCGCTCACGATCAATATATTAGAGACGCGAGCAGTGGCGAGATTGCTCGGCTCAAAGAAGCAGTCGAAAAGCGAACGGAGGAAGTCCGTCAACACGAGGCGTTGGAGCGCAGCTCGCGAGAGTATTCTCATCAACACTCTCGTCACGCTCGAACTATCCTGGAACAAGATCGCGCCTCATTGAGCATGTTGGAAAGGCGCCAAGCTGCCGCTTTGGAGCAGGCCTTGACGATGTTTGCACAATCGTTCATAACATCAGACTTATTCGACAATAGTCTCATTCGATTTACCTCCCTTTGGTTTGAGAATTCGGCTAACAACATTCTGAATGCCAAGATCGAGAATCTGATCAACAAGATTCCGTCTCACAAGTTCGTGCTGCTGACACATCAAATATCCGCACGCCTCAGCAAGCCTGGCGCATCCCCTTACGCAACGCCAGAAGAGCCGAATCGACAGCGATTTCATCGGATCATTTCTCTTACAATGGCGAGGATGTGCAAAGACCATCCTTTCCATACCATGTACTCTCTCTACGCTATGCGCAGCCGCAACGTCACTGCCGAGAGTCAGAAGTCCTCCTCCAGGCGACGCGCCACTCTGACCCCGTCAGTCGCTCCCTCGCAGACATTACGCGCCGCTGCAGCTGACGAGATATGGGATGCGCTGCTGCGTCAAAAGGAGCGGCGGGGTCAGCTCCGTGACTTCTCTCTAGCCTGCGACTCCTATGTCGAGTGGGCTATACTTGATTTGCATAACTATGGCACCCGCTTTTTTAACAAATCGGGAACCTTGAAGCAAAGCAAGGACATCAAGCTCCCCTCTTCCCGAGAGCTCAAGTTGGCAGCACTCCATGACCTCCCTATTCCAGTCGCTACCATCGATCTGCCTGTTGATATTTCCTGCAAGTACGAGTCGTTTGTTGGTGTGGCGAGATACTCCTCCACGTTCAGCACCGCTGGAGGCATCCATCTGCCGAAAATTAGCGATTGTATCGGCAGCGATGGCCAGAGATATCGACAGCTGGTGAGGACACTCCTATGTGATCACTAGAGTACTCTCTCTGACAAATGTGCCCTCGTTGAACCAGTTCAAAAACAACGATGACCTCCGTCAGGATGCGGTAATGCAGCAGGTTTTCCGGATTGTTAATGGGCTCCTCGAGGAAGACACCCAGTCCCGTCGCCGGAATCTCCGAATGCGAACATACATCGTGCGCCCACTGGGGGACCAGTGGGGACTGCTGCAGTTCGTGAGCAATACAAAGCCAATCGGAGAACCGTTGCTCGACTTGCATTCGAGGTGTGTATCAATCATGCTCCACAAGATGTGCTGATTGTTGACACAAGCTCTGCTTCAGACATCGTCGAAAGGGCGAAATCACTCCTCACGAAGGGCGCGGTGCTATTGCTGCTGTGGGCAAGGCGTCGAAGTCTCAACGGCTATATGTGTTTGAGGACTGCTGTCGCAAGCTGCCTCCAATTTTTCGCCGTTTCTTCACGGAAGAATTCAAAGACCCGATGGCGTGGTTTTCTTCTCGTCTGACGTACACCAGGAGCGTCGCAGTGGGCTCGATCGTAGGATACGTCCTAGGTCTTGGCGACAGACACTTATCGAACATTCTCATCGATGTTGCCAACGGAGAGCTCGTTCACATCGACTTTGGAATTGCTTTCGACCAAGTGAGTGTGATTTCAATTCACACGCATCGTTGCCGCAATGTTGACAATGGGGCATACTGCTGTCTTTGCTTTAGGGCAAGCTGCTTCCCATTCCGGAACTTGTGCCCTTCCGTCTTACCCGTGACATTGTCGATGGGATGGGGATGCCCGGCATTGACGGCGCCTTCCGGCAATGCTGTCAGCAGACGCTGCGCGTCCTCCGGCAGGGTACTGAGTTGATCAAAACAATTCTCGAGGTTTTCAAATATGATCCCTTGTTCAGCTGGTGAGATTCACTGGTGCATCCAGCACCGGCTGTGGAGACCAGTATTCACTCAAACCCGCTTTTTGCACTTCTTCCAGGACGGCCAACCCTGTCAAAGCCATCCGTGCGCAAGAACGCGATGATGTCTCTGACGGCAACACTACCCGTAGCGGGCTTATGCCGCCCGATATCACAAACGGGGCCCCCATCAGTACCGCAGAGATTAGTGCTGATCGTGCCGTTGCGACGGTCATGCAAAAGCTCGCTCCGACTCTGAGCGTGGAATACACAGTCAACGACCTGATTCAGCAGGCACGCGATCCCCAGAACTTGGCCGTCATTTTCAATGGTGAGTCGATCGTGCTTGAGCCCAAAGCTGAGTCAGTCGATGCACTTCATCGAGTCTGACTCTGACTCTCGCACGGCCTCCTTCCCCACCGCATAGGCTGGCAAGCATTGCTTTGAGCAGAGAACAGTCCTGGTTCCTCTCTCCGTTCATCTAGACGTCAAACCCATTTTTTGCATATTCCCAGCATGGCCTAACCACGCATTCTCATGACCACCTCGTTTGGAGTGAGCCAAAAGCACCACACCATCGTATAGTAGAAAAACTTGCAGCCGATCATGCGTATGCATTGTAGTCGCCTAAATAATTTCTCTTTACGACGAAGAGGGAGAGGTTTGAGACTCATTCGCCTCGGCCAACAGTCTAGCGCTGAGAATCTTCGCATTGACATTGCGAATGTTCTGACTCGCTCTCTGTGGGTTGAATTCGTGCAATTTAGCAAACGCCTCGAACGTGAGAAGCAAAACATACGGGACTAACGGTACTCACTTCGATCCCGCCGTCAAAGGCGCGCTTGTAGGCGATCAACGCTTCTTCAAGCTGTTCCACTGCTTCAAGCACGGCTGCAAGGTTGTACTGAATCTCAGGGTCGGACGGTGAGATGGAGGCGGCGGTCCTGCACAAGAGACGGAGAGGAAAGCGAGCAAGACGGCCCTGGTGTTAGAAGCTGCTGACCCAGAGTGTGCGCAAGCACATGCACAAGAACACAATAATCCCAGAGCTTCAATTGCTCACTTGAGATGTTTGACTGCCAGATCGGGTCGGCTGGGCGAACTGAGTGCATAAGCCGATGCCAAATTGGTGTGCGTATCCGAAGAATTGGGGGAGATTCGCAGTGAGTCCTCCCAGCTCTTGATCGCATTAGGAAGGTCCTCTACTCGAGCAGAATGAAGAGGATGAAGCGGTCAGGAGCGCGAAATACTTCTATTATCAATGCGGAACACTCACGTTCGTGATAGTAGCATACACCGAGGTTGAATAAAGCGGTGGATGTCTCCTTGACCTCTATTGATTTCTTGTATGCGTCCTTTACCACCGAGCGCGGCGAAATGGTTAACATGAGGCAGGTACTTCGGCTTTTTCTCAAGCCTCAAATATTACCAGACTCACCTTTGCCTTGTCGACCTGCCCGTTCTCGAGAAACGTGGTTCCTTCATCGGAGAAACGAAGCGCCTCTGCGTGGGAGGGATCTTCGACGCTGGAGGCTTCGGTTGTGGACGTGGCATAGGTCCGCAAGCCAGAACGCAGAAGGGGATGCATTTTATTTCTGGTTGTTTCTGAACGCAGCAGAGTTGCAGAAGCAATTGACGAGCTAGCCGCCTGGTTGAGAGCGGGCGAGCTCCGTAGCTTGGGGAATTGTACCACCTGCTTGCTGCACATGCGACATTGGAGCGATGCTGGCCGCAACAACGCACGACGGGCTGCGCTTTGAAGAAGCATTGTCATTGGATGAGCTTCCTCTTTCCTGCAATGTTTTGCCGTATGTCTACCAATTCGTCAGGTATGTGCAGCATGTCCAAATGACCACAATACCATGATCCATGAAAGAGGGAGATAGGGAGGAAGCTGCTGCTCCCATCCAGAAGCATGAACTGTCTCCGAAGTCTACAATGACGCTTGTCCGAGTTCCGAATTGTGATTGGTTGAGCTTTTAATGGTGCAGTTAGGGTTATGAAAGCCAAGTCAAATAGAGTGGGGCGCGAGCCCACGACCCATGGCTTGGGCCAGGCGGACGACTCGGCCGTGGGTGACTGCTTGGCACGCGACGCGTTCCTTGCCCGTAGCCTGCGGAAACGGCGGCAACGTGAGAGTGAGATTGTGAAAGCGGTGGTGGAGAGGGGAGAGTGCGTGCCGCTGACAGACCCCAGCGGGATGCTCTCTCGAGCATCTCTTCCGCTCATTTTGTCAAAGGTATCGGGGATACCTTCGTCCACAGCATGCTTGCGGCCGTGGATATATCGGACAGACTCTTTTGATGATGCAGAAAGAAGCCTGCCTCTGGAGTCCGTATATGTCTGAGGTAGTGTGCACGCCGCGTCTAAGACAGGTTCAATGCAGGTCCGCACTCTGAAGCTCGGATCGCGAGACGATACAACGGCAACTCCGTGCGTCCTTGATTAGGACGCTCGCCAGCTCTCATTTGAAAGGTCAGTATGTCAAGCATCAGCGCGAGCCGAATAACGCCATACATCAGCCCATTCCAGACGCCGGGGTACGGCTATGCCGAGACGGTGGTCCCTGGCACATTCGAAAAAATTCCCTCACAGTTTCTGCCGCCGAGCCAGCAGCCTTCCAGCAGTGAAGATGCACCGATCGAATTCGAAGATGAAGCCGCACCGATCGAGTCGTCGTGGAATATGCAACAGCACATGCTTCGGTATCCTCAGCGAAGTTCCTCCCCGGTTCACCATCAACCACAGCAGCCGCAGCACCACAGGTACCAGCACCACCAGCAGAAGGATCAACGCGCAGCGCCCCAATTTTACCAACCTTCACTGTTTCATGGCACTGAAGCCCTCGCAGAATCATCCCCATCCTACTCCCCACGCCATGAAGCTCATCCGAGCCCTAGTAAGCGTGCCCGCCATGAACAGGAGCGTGTGCAACCCTCAGCCGCAAACCCCGCCATGCATGGCGGCGAATACACATCTGCACAGCCGTCCTACCATTCTTCTCAGGCGTTTCTTCCATCGAGCCAAGTGACGCAAGCCGAGCCGAACGCAAAAGTATCGCCTTCGCCCTCCCTGCCTTCAAGCTACCAGTCATATCAACAGGTCACATACTATGACGACTCTGCTAACATTCGCCGCAGCAGCCACATGCAGCAATTCTCGTTATCTCAATCAATCTTGTCGCAGAACCAGACTGCACATACATCCACCTCGTATGAAGCGCCTGAGCGAGGATCGTACCTGTTACCCACTGGGATCCAGAGGCAGCGGGACAGCTCGCCGGCCAATGCGTCTGGGGTCTCGGGGTCCTCGCAGTTTGTGAGCGACTTGGGGGCTCTGGGTGGAGGGTGGGACGGGTATATGGACACCATTGGACTCTCCAGGAGCAGAAGCAGCAGCTCTGGCTCGGACAGCGGTAATAAATACCAGCATGCTCATATCGACAGTCCTTCTGGCGTCCTTGGGACCATGGGATATCGTGATCAAGGGCATATAACCGCGCCTGACGCCAATGGAACAGGAAGGGGAGGAGGTAGAGGAGCGAGATCTGGAGAAGCGGGAGATAGAGGAAGGGGAGCAACGATGCAATTGGAAGGGTTGTTTAGCGCGATTTCGGCCGATGACAGTCTGAAAAATCTTGATCAGAAAGGTGCTTCTGCATACAGGAAAGTATTCGCCCAGCTCGGCTTCCCCGTCACAATGTCCGCTAGAGGGTCAGTTCCAACGCCTGCATCTGCGTTTACAGGGGAACCAGAACCGGCATTGTCGATGAGCTCTACATCCAGTGACTTTTTTTCGCAGCAGTGGCACATCGCCAAGTCGCCGGATGCGTCTTTGGCCCCATTTGCTTCATCGCCGCCATCGCTCGTTGCTTTCGATTATCCTCTCATTGTTTCGCCAACAGCATCGACCGCAATGGCGGTGGTGGCGCCAGTACCCGCAGCAGTGGAAAGAAGGAGTCGGCCCAAGAACCAGAAAACACACGAGCTTACATCCAACAAGTTTGCAGGAATTGATCATGAGCAGAAGGACAATTCATTCTTCGCTCCAGTCACCTCACAGCCAGCGCTTTATGCTATTACTGATGGCATCAACGCCTCGCCAACAGTTACAGCGGCGGCGGCCCTAGTGGCACAGTTGAGGGCTTGGTCCAAGGGACAAGGAAAACGAGGGGATTCAGCCAAAGAACCTGCAGAAACCCATCAGGAGCAGCTGGATGATTCGGTTGGGCTTTCGAGAAAAAGCAGCAGAAACAGCAACGTTCCGGACGCGAGCTCGCAGACGCTGGTTCCAACCCAGAGCTCGCAGGGAATCGGGAAGGGCAAATCGAAACAAATACGCCGCAGCAACGGCGATGATGAGTTGGAATCGAGCCAATCCCTGCCGCAGTCTCAGTCGCAGCCTCAATCGCAATCGCAGCGTCCGCGCGCAAGGCTGAAGAAGATCAACATTGAAAAGTATTCGGACATCGATGGCGAGAAGATCGGTTTGGTCCTTGCAGAAATGGGAGGAAAGGAAGGTATCGATTCTGCCATTAAAACCTCTCAGAAGGAGAGGACCAAACTCAGGCACGTGCTCGATCCTCGCAGGACAGCTCCGAGCCATTGACGGGAAAGCACTGAACGCTTACTCCTTTTTCGCGCCTGTCATGTGCAGGCGACAACTCAATTCAAGCCCGAAGATTCCGACAAATGCGCGAAGATTGAAGAAATGTCCCTTCTGCGAGGAGACCTGGCCTTCGTGTCCATCCGGACCGCTCTGTCTCGAGATGCAACCGTGGCTTGACAAGATCCACGAACGTGGTCTCTCTTCCATCGAGCGCATGGACATCGTCGGGATCTGCAAGCGTCATCGCGCCGAGTCGGTCATTATCCCAGAAGGCAAACGTCAGGGATGGCCGATGAAGCTGAATAAGACCAAGCTAGAGGAGCGTGCGGTCCGCGATCACGTTTGGAGTCGCATCGTCCACCTCACGCGCGAACCAGAGGGAAGCTTGCACTTCGAGAAGCTCAAGGAGCGACACTTGCAAAAAGGAAAGAAAGCTTCCAGTGGTGTACTGCAATTTGAGCAGATGGAAGGGGAACAGGCTGGGTAGTGAGTTGAATGCATCAATACGTCCTGTGGGCGCGGTTCCTAGTAGGCTCATGTTTTCTTCCTCTTCGTCACCACTCCAGTTATGGCCAGATCGGATGGGCCCTATTCTTTAAAATCATTATGCGCGATCTATGCAACACGGCGGATCGCACCAAGAACGTATTTGCGAATGACTCAGAGCTCAACTCTCGAATCGCGCCTCTGACGCCCAACCAATTCATCACGGGCGTGATGATACCAGAGCTCTGCTCGCTGCTCATCGCGCAGGACCTCCAAGCAGCGGGGAAGCCGTGCTCGCTAGCAGATGCAGACGTGTTGCGGTTAAAGAGCATTGCGTATGGCAACGCCATGTTCCCCCTCCGTGACAATTCTGAAAGTGCAAGCGACAGCGATGCCGACTGCGACAAAGGCAAGTCGATGGCTTCACAGAGGCGCAAGAAGGAGGCAGAAGGGGCGCCTGCCGCTGCTCCGGCTAGCATGCGCACCACGAGAACGACAGTCAATGGCGCCCAGCAGGCTATCAAAAGCAAAAGACGAGTCTCGCGCCACCTGTCCGACAGCACGTCCAGCGATGAAGCCTGAGTGTCTTGTATTGCACTGTAATGCAGCAACCCTATTCGTACGCTGCATCATTAATAGCAATACAATGTGTACATGTGTGCGCTCACAAGCGCTCGCGTCAGCCATTCGGTGGCGTGGAGCGCTTTAAAGACCTCTCTTGGACAAATCGGCCAGCACGTGGTCAAGGTCAGGCGTGACGACGAACTTGCGTTCGATCTCGCCCAAAGACGTGGCCGTACCAGCGTTTGGGTTGAGCACCATGAGTTGTTGCAAGAATGTCGCTGGCGATCCGCCCGTAACATCCAGGACGACGAGATTATCGCGCGTGTTCGCATTTTCGCTGTCAGCAGCCGCCGCAGCACGGTCAGCTGCCGGGCGACCAAGATGGAAAGCGACGCGGCCGTCACGGTAGAGATTGAGCGACCCGATCCGTCCCTCGGGCGGACCTTTTCGCTTCGTTGTGACCGGTTTCTTCTCGTCTCCATCCTCCTTCTTGACGCCGCTCCCGCCTGCCGATGAACCGGCAACCGTGGAACTCAAGTTCGAGGCGGAATCGCCTGACGTTTCGGGGCCGGGCGTTGTGCATGGACTAGGTGTGACGCCCGCTGCGCCGCCACCGCCCGCTGTGTCTGGCGCAAAGACAACTCCTTTGCTCGGCCTTTTCTTGAGAAGCTGTGCTGCACGCGGCTTCTCATCATCATCGTTTTCGTCGGAAACTGTACCGGGACCCGCACGCTTCGATTTGGAGCCTGACAAGTCTGCAGGTGGCGGTACAGTAGTTGTCCGTGGGATGACGAAGCCAGGGAAAGGTTGCGGGAACTGGAAAAGGTAAAGGCGCTCTTCAGGCTCCGTGCCAATATCTTCATTCGCCACAAAGTAGTCGAGCAGATTATCAAGCAGTTCTTCGTCTTCGCTCTCAGACAAGTCAAGCGCGTTGTCTGTTTTGCCGTCGTGTGCGTCTGCGTCGTCCTCGAGGTCTCGCTCGGCGGATGGCATCTGGCTTGTTTCGCCGCACCTCTTTACGTCGGCAGGGGCAGTCCCCATTGTCTTGTCGCAGTCCGCATCTGGCTCCTTTTTCACGCTTTTGATCCCGTGCTCTACAGCTTCTTCTTTGATTCTGCCCTTGCCATTGGCTTTGCTCCTGCCTTTCTTCCTCCCTGCCTCTTGTTCTCCCTCTTCCTTGGCCTTGGCAAACCTGTACTTGGGTAGTGCGCGCGGCGCATAGGCATCCTCGCGCTCTAGGTCCTCTGCAACCATTCTTCCATCTGCGCGCACGCCGAGCTCGACATCATCATCATCCGACAATGCTTCCCTGTCCGCCAGGTCGAGGTCGTGCTTGGCATCCCTGAAGCGGTTGGGATCCAATTTGAATCCGCTAGGACCTGCTGCGCTGGTGCTGGCATTTGAGTGCCGTGAGCCCTCGTCTTCCACGGACGGATATGAGGATGCCCCCCCGCTGATGCCAAGGCGCGCCGAGGCGCCGGCCGCTGAGCGAGGCGGACCGCCTGGACCTTGTGAGAAGGGGCCCGAAGCATGCAATGGTTCTGGCGCAAAAGATCCTCCTGCTCCGCGCCCGCGTCCACGCCCACGTCCACCAGCTCCTGCCGCCCCTCGCATAAAAGCTGCGCCGCGACCAGCAAACGAGCGAGGGCCCGAGCCCGCTTGGTGAATCGTGGAAGACGATTCTGCTGACGAGGGAGAAGGGCGATTCCGGCGCTGTGGCATGATGGGTCTGAATACCATCTTGCCAACTCCGCTTCCTCCGCCTACAGAGGCGCCTGCAGCGGGGGTACCGCTCGCTGAAGAGGCCAGAACAGATGGTGGTCGTGCGGTGCCCATCGATACGGGCGCAGCCGCCATCGGCGGTCGTGCAGCGCCCATCGAGACGCCACTCCCCTTCACTGCAGATGCCAAAGGCGTCCCCGATCTGCTCGAGGGCATTGCCAGACCTATGCGAGAACGGGGCACACTTGTCGATGCGGATGCTCCGGTGGCTGGGGCACCGGCAGGCCCTGGCCCGGGCGGCGCCACCGCCGCTGCTGCTGCTGCTGCAGCTGCACCCGATGCACCATCTCCCGAGATCTCCGAGCCTGGGGCGGCTGTGCTGCGCTTGGGAGGCATCTCTATTTTGCTCTGACGACAGCCTGTCTATTGATAGTAGGTATCAGGTCAAGACCATCCGTTACTGCGAAGTTGTGCAGGTCATGGTAGCTACCCTCTGGCGAGAGAATGAGAATCGGAATTGTTGCTGTTTCGCTGTGCAGCCTGGCCCGAGTCCCATATTCCGAGTTCCGTAATAATGTTTGCAAAAAGTAGGGTTGGGTGACATGCAGCCTGGACAAAAACAGCAAAAGGAGTGGATGGGTGGCCCGACCGCGCCTGTCCTCTCCTCAATCATGGCAAGCCTCTCTCTCCTCCCAACAGAAGCAACATTCATCAATTCCTCGCCACGGCGCCCTCGAGAGCATTTCCAATCCATGCACATTTATGTATCCTTGCTACCAAATACAACGTATCAGCTTGTGCTTTCATAGATATATCACCCCTTCGGCACAGCGGACAGAGCTTAGCACGAACGCACATTTGCCCAGCATGTCGCTCTCCAACAAGCTCGCCATCAATGACTTGGACCTGAAGGACAAGCGGGTCCTTATCCGGTGAGTACCCATTGGTCGCGCGTACAACTCTTGTTCCCCTCGGCCTACCTGCCTCCCCCCGAGCGAATCTCACTAATGTACCAACTGTGTGGTTGCATGGTATAGTGTCGACTTCAATGTCCCCATGGATGGAGACAAGATCACGAACCCGCAACGCATCGTTGCAGCTCTCCCCACCATCAGGTACGCAATCGAGCAGAGTGAGTTGCTGCTCTTCCTGTCTCGCCTGCTCCGATTAGGTTGAATCAGTGGCCCCCGGCGATAGCTGGAGAACAATCGCGGCTTCTATGCTGAACCACTTGCGGATATAAATCGAGACCCTTCTGGGCTCAGTCTTGACCAAGAGCGCATATCCTCATGTGCATATCTATGTTGCCTTCCTTTTGAACCTTCCCAACAAGCCCTTCGTCTACGTAGATGAGCAGCGACAGAATGCTGACCCTTAACCCTCCTTTTGTACCGACACGACCAGAACCTAAGGCAATCGTCCTGATGTCCCACATGGGGCGCCCCGACGGCCAGCCGAATGCTAAATACTCGCTGAAGCCAGTCGCCGCCGAGCTTTCCAAGCTGCTCGATGGCACAGACGTCAAGTTCCTCCCCGACTGTGTAGGCACCGAGACTGAGCAAGCCGTTGCATCTGCATCTAATGGCCAGGTCTTTCTGCTGGAGAACCTGCGCTTCCACATCGAAGAGGAGGGCAAGGGCAAGAACGCACAGGGCGAGAAGGCCAAGGCGGACCCCAAGGACGTCGAGGCGTTCCGTACTAGCTTGACCAAGCTGGGAGACGTGTACGTCAACGATGCGTTCGGCACTGCGCACCGCGCGCACAGCTCGATGGTCGGTGTGCAGCTCGATCAGCGCGCATCGGGATTCTTGATGAAGAAGGAGCTGGACTTCTTTGCTAAGGCACTCGAGAACCCGGACCGCCCCTTCCTTGGAATCCTCGGTGGTGCCAAGGTATCGGACAAGATCCAGCTGATCGAGAACATGCTCGACAAGGTCAACTCGCTGATCATCTGCGGCGGGATGGCGTTCACGTTCAAGAAGACACTGGAAGGCGTTAAGATCGGCAACTCGCTCTTCGATGAAGAAGGGAGCAAGAAGGTCAGCGAGTTGATCGAGAAGGCTAAGAAAAACAACGTCAAAGTTGTGCTCCCCGTTGACTACGTCACAGCGGACAAGTTCGCCAAGGACGCACAGGTCGGCAGCGCGACGGACAAGGAGGGCATCCCGGACGGCTGGATGGGCCTCGATGCCGGTCCAGAGTCGCGCAAGCTGTTCGAGCAGACGATCAAGACGGCCAAGACGATCCTCTGGAATGGACCGGCGGGTGTGTTCGAGTTTGAGAACTTTGCAGCGGGCAGCAAGGCGTGCCTCGACGCGTGCCTCCAAGCCGAGAAGAACGGCAGCACGGTCATCGTCGGCGGAGGCGACACGGCCACCGTCGTCGCCAACTATAAGGCTGAGGACGGGATCAGCCACTGCTCCACTGGCGGAGGTGCCAGCTTGGAGCTCCTCGAGGGAAAGACGCTCCCCGGTGTCGCGGCGCTGTCAGAAAAAAAAGCATGAGCAGCCGACTGAGGTTGTAAGGCTCCTTAGGGTGTGTGTATGTGTAGGGGCGTACAGTAGCAGAGCATGCATGTATCCTTGCGCAGATTCAATGCAGGCGCTCGCACATGCAATTTTCGAATGATAACAACAGACGTGCAGACGGAAAGATCTGCTCGCACGATAAACGATGTGGCACCAAGCGTCGCACCAAGGACTCGAAGGGAAAGCGTGCGACATAAACCCTTGCTGATTTGGTTCAGCATCCATTTCTCTTCCTCGGAAGCAGAGCTCGACCGCGGCTTACACAGCTCGTCGATGGGGATACAAGAGTCCTGTGGTTTCGTGTACATGTTCCGTTTTGAAAGCCGGTTTCCCCTATTGACATTGTCATTCCGCGATTGGGGTTATGGGGACGTTCGAAAGGTGGAAATGAGAACATAAGATAGTTGCCGATTGGTTGATAGTTTAACATGGTTCATTCTTTCCATAGTCGCTACACAATACATTATCGATTCTCACTTCTTCGTAAGCGCGCTACGCCCAGTTGCAAGATAAATGGAAGATTCACGGAGAGGGACACGAAAGAAACAAGGGCCCTTGGCGCATCGCATCTCCCCTTCGGCTTCGAAGCTGCTTGTCATGGGATGACGACCGGCTGTCCATGCTCGTCACGCACGACGACGATCTCGACATCGGCGTACTCGTTGTTATCGAGGAACTGGATGCTCGCCGGGTCGATCGGATCGGTTTTGACACCCCTGCAAGAGCGAGATTGGTGAGTGGTAGAATGAGTAGGCCCATAGCGTCAATCCTATTCCAAATGCTTTGTTGTACGCTGATTTCTGACCCACCTCTTTTCCTGGAACGAACGCCCTGCGGGAGAAGAAAAAAGCTAGTTTCAGTCTCCTCTTCTTTTTCCATCAATTACCAGATGCACCCAGTGTGGCTGACCTAGAATGACCGGGAAGTACGAGTCTTCTGCAAGGTAGATGACGCAGCTGACGGCCTTGCTGCCTATTTGGACGGGCCACTTGCCGAGGTTGGTGATGCCGTTGAAACCGTACGACCCAGGTCGCGTGTCCTGTGAAGGAGCGCAGATTCCAGAATGAAATCGAAGTTGATTCAATTGTGCTTATATGCGCAGCTTCCCTGTGTGAGCGGGAAGAAGGAACGAACCTTTGGAATGAACCCGTGGGCGAGCGCAAATGAGCGAGAGACGTAGACGTGGCGGTATCCCTCCTTGAGCATCATCGGCACGTCCGAAACAGGTCCGATGCTGCCGCGCAGCAGGCGGACACCGAGCTGCGAGTGGAACTCCTGGAACGCAATCTTATGCCTGGGTGTGGCGGTCTGCTGCGTCTGCATCGTCTTGCGCGAGCGAAGGCTCATCGCGTCTTCGGCTGCATTGCGCAGCGGCGCCTCGGGTACGACGGGCTTGCTCCAGCCAGGCGCAGGCGCTGCCTCGCGCGGAGGTGGGTACAGGATCGAGTCGCGGCCACCGCCAGTAACGCCGCCGGCTTCGGTGTGCTCCTCGAGCGAAGCGACCGGGTTGGGCGGCGCGCGGTGGGTCGACACGGCAGTCCCCTTGGCGCCGCGGTCAGCGGTGCGCGCGACGGGTGTGGACTCGTTCTGCACCGACCCGATGCGGCCGTCCTCGATGGGAGCATCCGCGTGAGAGCCAGCGGATGGGATCTCAGGCGATTCCAGATAGACTGTTGTCGCGGGTCCGGATCAACATTTGTGGCAGTCAGCTCCTATGAGTGTGTCCGAGCAAAGCGACTCCCAGATGCGTACTCACGATCAGCCTCGTGGCTGGAGCTGAAGCGGTCAGCAAAGATCTCCCAGTCATCGTCTGCAGCATGCAAAACCCCCGTATCAGCTCTCATGTCTAAGCACGCGCCTGATACAAGAGCGAAAAGGCTCGAGACCGCGACGACGTCGACCTACGCACCATCTTCAAGAGTGTACAGCTGCTGCTGCCATCTGTACCAGAGGACGAGCGGGATGCCGTCCTCCAGGGAGAGGTTGATCTTCTTGGCGCACCGGCTGCGTATGCTCTTGAGCGTGTCGTCCTGTTTCATCCGCAGCGCGAAGGAAGGAAGCGACCCCGTATGGACGTTGAGGATCGGCATGATGGACTTGTGCTAGTGCTTCGCAAGAGAGGAAGCGTTTTCTTCGTCTGGTCTTTCGTCCTCAGATCCGTTAAGAGGCAGTCCAATTTCTGGGGAAAGGGTGTCAACACCAATGCTAACCCCGCTGTTCTGGCGACGGCTGTGCTTGTCTGGAGACGTGTACGAGGTCAAAGTGAGAGCCCGTATCCTTTGTGAGAGCTATCTACCGGTGTCTGTGGGTGATGATCAGCAGCTGCGGCGCGGCGGTGGCCGGCTGGGGCGAGCAATAATAATAAGCTTGAGGGAAGCTGTGCCGCTGTGCGCTCTCACACAACGGGAGTCAGCTCACCGCGGCGCAGTGCCACCCTGGCCAACCGCCTGCAGCTGCATGGGTCCGTGTCCTCAATACATGACGTTATGGTGCATGCGTTGACCTGGCTCTAGTCCTCGACGGGGCTTTGCTCAGACGCAGTGCTCACAGACCATGTCTATAGCAGAGTGCTGTCATGCTGGCTCGGCGCTGGAAAAAAAGTGCAGCAATGTACTCAACACGATGACAGCCCTGAACTTTGAATTTAGGGTTGTGCAAGCGAACGCGTCGCGACCTTCCCGCACAGGAGAGTGAGATGAGGCAACGCGTTCATGGTGTGGTGAGTAGCAGGCGATGTGGTGGGTGTACAGACCCGACTGCTATAAGCACACGAGGTATCCGGTACACACACGAGCGCAGGTAGGAGAGCAACTCCCCGATCTCCTTCTTCCCTGGTCTTGACACTGCATAGACGCACAGGTCTACTCGATATCCTTAATCTGGTCAGCGCATGAGTGCATCAGCTAGCCATGATGGACGAGTGGAGCGCCTCTTCCAACGGCGCAACCACCCTTCGCCTAATCGGTGCACCCGGCACGTGTGACGCTCCATTCCACCCAGACTTTACCTACCCCATCTTTGGAGAGGCAGAGACCATTTATGGGTATCAAGGACTCTCCATCGATTTGGCTTTTGCGAGTGGGAGCTTGAAGCCGATCGTGCACGTCGACTGGAAGAAGACGAACGAGAACACCAGCGCAAAAGTCGACAATGTCAAGAGCACCCTGACACGGTTCCTCCCATCGGGGACGGTCGACGAGGATGAAGAGGAAGAGCAGGGTGAACCGGGAGAGAATGATGTGCTTGAGGCGCAGAGCAAGGAAGAGATGAGGAAGCTTATCGAGGAGGAAGTGCAAAAGGATGCGCAGTTCCGACCGATGGGCGACAGGGTCGCCAGCTGGTTTGTCACACAACGCAGCGTTAAAGGCAAGGGCAAGAAGGACTCCTGGACTACCACAGGTACTTCTGCCTCTGCTAGCAGCGGTGGAGACCGGAACTTTGAGGTGTATCGATGCACAAAAGATACCCAAGGATTCTTACAGTACTTGCGACGCTTCCGCATCTTCACACTCTTCTTCATCGAGGCTGCTTCCTACATTGACGAAGAGGAGCCCGGCTGGGAGTTCTTTATTCTGTTCGAGCGCGTCACCACCAAAGGCAACTCGTACTCATATCACTTTGCGGGCTTCACATCTCTCTACCGCTTCTGGACGTACCCCGACACGGCACGTATCCGCCTGTCGCAATTCCTCATCCTACCACCTTACCAAAAGCTCAGCCTGGGCACCTGCCTCTACACGGTGGTACACGACCACATCCTTCGGCGCGGCAGCTCCATCAGCGAGCTGACAGTTGAGGATCCGAGCGAGATCTTCGACCGGCTACGCGACGGTGCGGACCTCAAGCGGCTGCTGAGCCCTAGTGCGCTCAAGCCGCCAGAAGAAGCGACAAGCGGGGCCAGTGTGCGGTACGAGATCATCGCCAAATTGGTCAAGGAGGGCAAGATGCGCGCACCGCTCGATGCCGCGTGGTCAGAATCTCTGCGCAAGGAGTACAAGATCGCCCCGCGGCAGTGGGCGCGCCTGCTGGAGATGATTCTTCTGCTCCTCCTCTCTGCCACCCAGCCTGGCAGCGGCACTTACGCGCAGGACATCAAGGCTTACCGGCTGCAGGTTAAGGCGCGCCTTTACAGGCATAACCGCGACGTACTCGTACAGATGAGCAAGGATGAGCGCATTCGCAAGCTGCAGGAGACGTACGAGAACCTCCTCGAGCACGACTACGCAGACCTCGTTGGTGTCGACGTCGCTCCGTTCCTCGGCGGCGTCACGCTGCCGGGCGAGGTAGACGACGATGAGAATGGGCAGGCAGCAGGCTCGAGGCGGAGCAATGGACATGATGCGGCGGATGGGCCAGCAAGGAAAGTCGCTCGCCTCACGTGATGTACTCAAAAGGACGATCAAGGTGGACATTGTGTTGCACAGCATCGAATTCCAGTCATGGCCATCTCGACGCTAGCTCTCCTTGAGGACTTTCTCCACCTCGTGCATAAATTCGTTCGGCTTTTCTGCTTGCACCCAGTGACCCGTCTCTAATGTGACCAGCTTCATGTTGGGGAAGAACGCTTCACAGATGGGAATGTTTCGTCGATTAACATATCTGGAAATGTTTTCCGCGCCGTCTCAGTCGACCGCAGGACTCCCTTCTAAAGTAACCATTCAAGGCTACTCACTTGCTTGCGGAACCTTTGACGAACAATGCTTTGCCCTCCCACTTGCGCTCCGGACGTTGTCCATCGTTCCCTTCCGCCCCCACTGGGTCGTATGGAAAATCGCCGATCTGGCTGATGTTCTTGCGAATATTATCGAGCGGAATCCGGAACGTCCACGTCCTTGCGTTTGGTGATGGCGGGCGGCTGAGGTTGGTGAGGAGGAATTGCCGGACGCCCATATCCTTTTCGATTTCCTGTAGCATCTTGTCTGCCTCGTTGCGGGTCTCGAGGCCCGCATCGCGTATCGCGATCATCGCCTCGATGTAATGCTCAAACGCGGGGCTGATCGGCCCGCGTGCCGGAGTCATGTCGACGCTGATGAGGTGGGAGATGGTTCCTGGTGGCAGATCGGGCGAGAGCGCCAGCGCGAGCGACACCTTGCCGCCCATAGAGTGACCAATCAGGACGACATTGCGGAGATTGTTGTCTTGCAGGAAGCGCAGGACGTCCGCGGCCATGTCCTTGTAGTGTATACCTTCGATGTGAGGCGACGTTCCATGGTTCCGTAGGTCGAGCGCATACACCGGCACGCCGAACTTTTTTGACATGGCTCGTCCCAAGCTGCGCCAATTCTGTTTCGAGCCGAACAGGCCGTGGCAGACGACAACAGCCTCCACGTCCGGCCTAATGCGCGGCGCGGCGTCGTTTGGCACTGGATACTGCTCAAAGTCCAACACCACGGTCTTGCCGGTCGCCGGAGCCGGCGTCACTTTCGACGGGTCCGAGCTAGGCGCTTTTGTATGCCGCGAGCTCATGAACAGCCGCGCCTGGGTGCGCGGCGCTAATGCTACCGCGGCACTCCTTGTTGTCCATCTCCCCTCAAGCGGTCGGCTCGGCGAGACTTGATCGGCCGCGCTCGTGAGGCAATTCGAGACGAGCGGTGACTGTCGCTGCAGCCCTTGCAGGCTCGATGCTGCACGAGCACACCGTGGAACAAGCGTCATCTTGTCTTGCAAGCGCGACCCTCCACGCTCGGTCGGACATACACCGGAGATGAGTCGCTCTCAAGATGAAGTGTCAAGTGCAAGCTTTGATTTGAGGACTGCTCCAACACCAGAATCTAACAGGTGGAGTGAAGATCGGATTGAGCCGAAAAGAAACAATGCGAACGGGAAGTAACGGCAGCTCGGCTGTGTGCGCGGGGCCACCCTGCGCATTGATTCTTTTCAAGTCGCACAGCTATTCGTGGTGATCGAGCTCAGTTTGTGTGGTAATGACGATGGCTGTGGCAGGTCCTTTGGGTGACAGTTGCGAGTCTGGTACCAACGCTTCCCTCGACAAGTAGTGCAACGGATGCCGCCCTTGTTCCAGATATCCGTCGCATCTCCTCTGCTGGTGACCTTTCAAAGTAAGCCTCCGACCGTGAGATGCGCCCGAAATGTCCCAGAGAGACCGCCTCTTTCAGTCCTTGAACCTGGCTCGTCAGCAGGTCCTTGACGGCGTGGAAGAGTTCCGCGATGGTGTCACACAGCGATTCGATGGCCCACTGGGGTCACGACTGCAACCTCAATCGCGAGCGAGTGGCCCTCCGTCGTCAACAGCACATGGGCAAGGAGCATCGGACTTGCAAAGGAATAACACGCTCCCGCTGTACTCGAGTCGCAACACTGGGCCCCCCGTACCAGCGCAAGCGTTGCATGCTCCTCCTGGCCAGAGTCAACGTGAAGTCGATGTAATGAGGGCTTCGTCTAGGCGGGCAGGGGGCCGGTCTGAGACGGGTGCAGCTGGCGTGGATGGGCTCAAAACGGTGCACACGTACAGTGGGGCGGGGGGAAGGGCCATACTAGAGTGAGGATCTTTCTCTGAATGCCGAGAGCTTGCGTCTGGCGTCCAATGACCATGGCCCGACGTTGCAACAGATTGCACACAGCTCCTCAGCAGACACCAACGTACATGGGAGGCTCAGTGGAAAGAGGCAGAGGCGCCATGGTCGGCCGACTTTGCTTCACTCCCAAACCGCAGGAAAAGATATCGCACATCACGCTAAAGCTCAAAGCTGTCGTCCGCGTGCGTGTGCCGGTAGTCAATCCGAACGCACCCGGTCCGGCTCAGATCGCCGCGCGTAGCCCAGTTGTTGAGCAGACGATGGAGAGGGAGGTGCTGCTGCTTCAGCTGGAACAGAGTTTGTACCAGGCTCGACCTGACAACAAGGAAAAGTATTTCGAAATGCCTGCCTCGGCCGCTCACGACTCGACGGTCACCTGGCCCTTTCAATTCGACATACCAGTGGAGGACAGAGGCGGAAGGGCTTTCCCAGTGTCGTACGTGCTCATGGGCGATGAAGCGGCCCGGCCTCAGCCGAAAGGATACGAGCCGAGAGGCGCATCACTCATCTCAGTCGGTCGAGGGCTTCTGTCGTCGCTCAAGAACGTCGGCCAGTCGGCTGCAGACGCGAACGAGTGGGCATCCGTCAAGTGGTATCTCAAGGCGACCATCGGTCGGCCCGGGATGCTGGAGACAAACGATCGCATCTTTGCACCGTTTACCTATCTTCCACCGCCGCCCCGCAACATGTTCGAGCTGCTCGATCGAAGAGCACGGACGCCTGCGCAATTGCGGGAGAACACGCCGTTTGAGCAGTTGATGGAGAGCTCAAGGACGTGGCAGGCGATCGACATTGGCACAGATGGCGCTGAGAAAGCCAGGCCGGGGCTGCTGGGGTCGCTTTTCGGGGTGTCGGGTAGAGCAAAGCAAATGAGCGATTGGACGCTGGAAATGCCCAGCAGCCCGGCGGTCTTTACGTTGCAGGGATCGATACCATTCTACATCTGCTCCAAGGCGCCACGGGAGCTAGGTGCACCCCTTGTGAGTTGCATAGAAACGTGGTCATGTTTCAGGCATCCAGGGCGAAGGACTGATTCGCCTTCGCTTCAGATCATCTCTCTGTTCAAAAGGATTACGCTGGTATCAAGGTCGACGCAGGGCTCTGACGTTCGCAAAGTCTGTGGAGCGCGCATCGCCACGTCGCCAACAGTATTAAAGTCCCAGCGGTCGGGCGTCGTGACGTATCGATGGAAAGGCGTGCTGGATATCCCACCGACGTGTGGCCCGTGCTTTGACAGCCAGATCCTATCGTTGGAGTACTTCATCGGTATTCAAGAGCGGCTAGACACGCCGTGCATCTACGCAAAGCCGATCGTACTCATGTGCGCACCGCCACGTCTCATTTGCACCAGCGCGCCTTCTCCAGCTACGGGAACACTGGCACAGCTGGCTGTCAGTTCTGGCTCAGGCTTGGGTACTGGCAGCGAAAAGGCTCGGCCGACAGCTGCTCCTCAGGCTCCGCCGCATTGGCCTGATGCAGCCACCGCTTCTTCCTCTGCGGCACCAACTCCACCGCCGCCGCCGCATTCGGCTCCAGATTCCGAAACTAACACCGCATCGTCCGCAACATCGCAGGCACCCTTGCCACTCTCGGACGAAGCTGGTCTCTTCGACGAGCTCAACGTCGAGGGTATGCAAGTCGACTTACCTCCATGTGAGTCCTACTCAGCGTTGCGCTTCCCGATATCCCCGAGCCGCAGCTAATTATTCGCTTTGCTTTTTCTCACTCCAATACAGCATACTTTGAGGCTACGGGCTTCCGAGACGCAGACTGATCTGTTTGTGAATGGTGGCAGAGCAAAGGCCACAAAGTCGGCTCGACGCGGGCGGTTCCTGGCTCGACACTTCGACGTTCAACGCAACGCTGTGGCGCATGTCTTCTCGACATTGCCGCCCACCCTGTACCTTCTACCTTACACTGGCTCTGCTCAAGGCCCACGTCATGTACTTTATGATTCCGTGTAGCATGGACATTGGTCTTCAACCCTTCTGAGCCCTTCCACCAAACAGTGAACATCGTCGAGAAGCTTGTATGTACAGCAGCATCAGTGGGTTTTCTCGCTGTGACTTTGCCTCGTGTGTTCCGCCGTTCCGGTGCAGCCGCTAGACAGGGACGCCTCCAAGTGAGAATAGAGACTAACCCAGTGCCGTGACCTGCGGGGGGAGGGTTCGCCGCGGCTGCGCATCCAGCAGGTAAGCCGCATTCCGCGTCCACGTCCGCGTACATCGCTCGTCTGTCTCGTGCTACATGTTGACCATCGTGATGGTCATTACACGTTGTTACCTCTGCCCTCGAGACGCGCGCTGAGCTCTGGCCTGTGAGAAAGGAAAGGCTGCAACTAACCTGCTTCCATAGATTGACCCAGCTTGGTCGAGCAATCACGACAAAGCCGCGCGCCGAAGGCCTGCCGCTTTTGATAAGTCTCCAGGATCGCGCGCAGCTTGCGCTAACGAATCGAACAGCAAACAACGCTGGAAGATCAACTATTCTAACTTTACAGCCATGGATCAGTCCCTCATTAGTGAGTGAAATGCCGTTGCATGACTGCCATCCATGCACGATAAAGGCTGACAGGTGTACCCCTTCCACTCTTTTGCAGAGCTCGTAAACAGGGTAAGGCGTTTACTATGGTTTCGCATGCGTGACATCAGCGCGCGTTCACTCACCAATCACTTGTCCCGTCCTGCTTAGCTGCAAGATGCCTTCAATACAGTGCGTATTCAAGAAGAAGGATCATATTCAGGATGCCTGCGCTGACACCCTTTGATTCGTCCAATCCCCCAGGTCGGCATCCAGAACCCAATCGACTTGCCACAGATCACAGTCCTTGGCAGTCAATCGTCAGGCAAGAGTTCCGTCTTGGAGAACATTGTCGGACGAGACTTCTTGCCGCGAGGAACAGGTATCGTCACTAGGCGCCCTCTCGTGCTGCAGCTGATCAACCGACCAGCAGGTGGGGTTGAGGCCAAGCCAAATGGAGCCGCAGAGAGTGCGTCGGATCCCGCGCCGATTTGATCTCAGCACCTGAATCTGGTCTTTGTGCTAACAACGCCTGCCGTTTCTGTTCATTCTGTAAAGCTCTCACCCCGGCAAGTCGTCCTGGCGAGACGAACCCAGACGAATGGGGCGAGTTCCTGCATCTGCCTGGCGAAAAATTCTTTGATTTTGAGAAGATTCGGGAGGAGATCGTCAGGGACACCGAGCTCAAGACGGGGAAAGGCGTCGGTATCAGCCCTCAACCGATCAACCTACGCATTTACAGTCCCAATGTCCTCACGCTCACACTCGTCGACTTGCCTGGTCTCACAAAGGTGCGAGCGTGTCCAATGGCCTCGCCTTTATCAGAGGCCGATGGGGTGTTGACCAGATTCGGTTGCTTCCTGCAGGTGCCTGTCGGAGATCAGCCGAAGGATATCGAAAGGCAGATAAGGGATATGGTCATGAAGTACATTTCCCGTCCCAATGCTGTCATTCTTGCTGTTACTGCCGCCAATACTGACTTGGCCAACTCTGACGGGCTCAAGCTTGCACGAGAGGTGGACCCTGAGGGCCTTCGGACCATCGGCGTTTTGACTAAGGTAGATCTGATGGACCAGGGAACGGATGTCATCGACATTCTCTCAGGGCGCGTCATTCATCTACGCTTGGGCTATGTTCCGGTCGTCAACCGAGGTCAGAGGGATATTGACTCGAAAAAGAAAGTGTCCGCGGCGCTGGAGGCCGAGAAGGAGTTCTTCCAGTCGCATCCAAGCTACCGGCCGAAGGCGCAGTACTGCGGCACACCTTATCTCGCTCGTCGGCTCAACACGATCCTCATGCACCACATCCGCAACACGCTGCCGGACATCAAGCAAAAGATCGGCGCGCAGCTTACCAAGTTCCAGACGGAGCTGCAGGGTCTTGGCGGTCCGCTTGGAGAACAGAATTCGAACAACGTTATCCTGACCATCATCACCGAGTTCTGCAATGAATTCAGGTCAGTCATCGACGGCAACAGCAACGATCTCAGCGTCAATGAGCTGGCTGGTGGCGCGAGGATTAGCTTCGTCTTCCACGAGCTGTTCAACAATGGCGTCAGGAGTGTTGATCCTTTCGACCAGGTTAAGGACTCGGACATTCGCACCATCCTGTACAACTCCTCTGGTTCGTCCCCCGCGCTCTTTGTTGGGACCACCGCCTTCGAGGTGATCGTCAAGCAGCAGATTAAACGCCTGGAGGAGCCGAGTCTCAAGTGCGCGCAGCTGGTCTACGACGAGCTCGTGCGCATCCTGTCGCAGCTGCTCGCGAAGAACCAGTCGTTCCGCCGCTTCCCGCAGCTTCGAGAGAAATTCAACACGGTCGTCATCGCGTTCTTCAAGTCGTGCATGCAGCCGACGACGAAGCTGGTGTCGGATCTGATCAACGCCGAGTCATCATACCTCAACGTCGCCCACCCCGACTTCATCTCGGGCCAAAAGGCCCTGGCGATCGTCAATGAAAGGTACAACCCGACCGCACCGGCACCGGCGCCCGCCGATCCGAAGAAGGGCGGCGCGCCTGCCGTGCCGACGCATCCGCACGCCGCCGAGTATGAGAAGGAGCACAACCAGGGCTTCTTTGGCAGTTTCTTTGCACGCGGACAGCAGAACAAGGCGAAGCTTGCCGCGATGGAGCCGCCGCCCTCTTCGCTGAAGGCTCAGGGCACGCTGAGCCAGCGCGAGCAGTCGGAGCTGGACGTGATCAAGCTGCTGGTTACGTCGTACTTCAAGGTTGTGCAGAAGACAGTGTGCGACCTGGTCCCCAAGGCGATCGTGTACGAGCTTGTGAACAAGTCAAAGAGCAACATGCAGGCAGTATTATTGCAGGAGCTCTACGCCTCTGCCGCTGTTGAGGAGTTGATGCGGGAGAGCGACCATGTTAAGATGAGGAGGAGCGAGTGTCTCAAGATGGTGCGTTCGCTTCGTTCCCGGTGGATGTCAGATTTGGGGGGGGACGCTCTGACATTATTTTATTTTTCCCCAGATCGGAGCCCTGGAGAAGGCGTCGGAAATCATTGCGACTGTCTGAAAACGCCCAGAGGAGAGGAAGAGGAGACATTGGGGCACATCCCCGCTCTCGCACGTGCGTATCGGCTCGACTCTGACTCTACGATGAACATCTTTCACCATAGAAGGAATGATATGTGATGGCATGCGCTGTTACAAACAGGCACGAATGGTTGTACCAATGCTGTGTTTTATCTAAGATCTAAGAAGTGACATGCACGCGTCGCAAGTTGCAATGCACTCCAGCCTTTGATGCTCGATGCTTGAGGTCAGGACGAAGTCCTACATGGATGCACTGCGGAGTGCGACCTTTCTCAGCGCCCGGACCCTCTTCAGGGTATCTCGCGACAGCCCCAGCTCGCCAGGGAGAGCTGCGAGACCGTTTTGCAACATGATGAGCCTCACGCTGAGAAGACTGTTCTCGAATCGCCCGTATGCCTGGCAGCAATCTTGGAGACGACGGGTGGGTCATTCGTGCATTGCTGCCGAGCTGGTGAGACGGAAGTTCTTGGCATCAGGCTCAATGCCTTGCAAAGTATGCTTCCTTGCATCATTCTAGCTTAAATGATCCTGCAATGGTATGCAGCTGGTAGCACGGCGTATCGAAAACGATGCTAGCATCGACAGCAGCAGCAATTTGAATCGCAGAACGGTGGGCCCAGTGAATCGCACCTCTAAACATGCCAGCACACCAGAAGCTTTCGGATGCTTTGATGCGTCGATGGCCGATACGCAAGATATCTAGGTCGGGCTGTCCGTGTATGAAGAGAAGGACTCTTCATTCAGAAGCTCTTTTCAAGAACTCATCTCCGCCGTTCGGCATCTCTGACGAACCGAGAGATTATGATTAGCGATGAGCTGGCTGCCGATCTTTCCACGTTTCGACGTCCTCCAATTTCTTCGAGTTGCAGCGATGAGCTTGAAGGCCAGCCGAAGGCCGAAGACGGCCAACGAATGTCAACAGACGCCCGACTCGTGCACTGTCTTCAATCCGATGCCCAGATGCGCCGACAAGACGGTTAGCCACGTATCTCGTACATAGGGCCTGTCGATCGCGTGTATATCAAGGCTCAAGCAGCACACTCGCAGAGCCTGGCGGTGCCCGCGACGTTCAATTGGGGCATGGCATCAATGGCCAGCAATATGCTACACATTGCTGCCAAGTGTCGACTGTCGAGGCAGTGAAGGAGGAACCGCGATATGTAAACCAAATGCGGTCGGCCAGGGAGTGTGCGCGAAAGGAACGGTTCAAAGGAGATGAAGCCAATGTCCGGCTGGACAAATCCGACAGTAGGAGAAGAGGAGGAGCGGATATCAAAGGCGCTAGTGAAGGGACGATTACGGGATGTGTGGATATTGTCGCGGAGTTCTGCTCTGATGAAATAAAACGACATGCAGCCACTGCAGCCTTCAATGCCAGGCAAACTGACAAAGTGAGCAGCGCTCCATATGCTCGTGTGTAGAGCCTTCCAGAGGCTTCCGGCAATGGCGCCGATCTCTCAAGATTGGATACTTGCCCACGTGCATAGTCAAGGCAAAATGCACGTGGGCACGAGGGGCACCAGCAACCAGCCGCTAGTAAAGCCACGAAAATCAGCGTTGAGTCGCCTAATGCGGGATCCGGAGATGCGGCTCTGTCGGGGCTTGAAATAAATTCCATCAAAGGGGCAGAGCGGCGCAAAGCCCTGCGCTTTGCTCCACAAAGCATGTTGACCTTTTTTGCCGCGACGCACTGGCCAGGCAGTAGAGCACTTTGCAGCTACTCGAGTACGCTCAGATGTTTTTTTATATTCTTGCTGGCCGGTAACCATGCGCAGCTTGGCAAACGCGCGGATGTACTTTGCAACTGTCTGTGGCTTCACTCTCTCGCTAACAAACAAACACCCTACCTCCCTTGCGATGGAACCGTGCCCGGCCAAGCCTCTTTTCACCTCCCCAAGACTCAAGCCTCCTCTTCGTACGTATGTGTAGGACGGTCGCTGGTCTCCTTCTCTGGGTCAAGGTGATGGATGGGCGCTGGATGCTAAACTTCGGCGTACATACATACATACATCATGACAACCAGAAAGTGGGCCGAGCCAGGGAGGGGACTGGGGAGCTCCAGCAAGTCCAAATCCAATGTCATGCAGCTTCGAGATGCCAGAAGAGGAACAGGCCCAGAACGCAGGCGCCAGCGCAAGGCGAACGGAGCATGGGCGCCTCCCGTCTGATAGCATCGCCCAGAAAGAACGAGAGGAGCGCGGAATGATAGGGCGGCATTCTACATACTGTATGTAGTGCAGTGCACACTGCAACAATTCGCCCGTCAACACTCGACTGGTGCTTGGAAGTGAGATGGAGATCCACCGCTGCTTCACTCTCATCTCGTGTGGGGAGAGAGAGAAAGGGTTTCTCTCTCTTTGGGTCCGCTCACATTCACCTCTTCTCCATCCTCCATCTGTCACCTTCCCGACTAACCATTACCATCCTTTGCCATGCCATTGCCTGCTCATCAGCCGTCTATTCCATCCTTTCCTCTTCCGCTCCCCGTACATCTTACCATCGTCCTTCCTTGCTCCGTCTAGAGTCTGCATCATTGCAGCATACCCACATTCTTTTCGAATCATTCCACAGTTTTGACACGCCGACCCGCTGACCTTGCGCAGCCGTCGACATCTTCCCGCCCCGCCCCTGCTTCTACCACCTGCAACGCTTCTCAACACCTTCACCTCCGTCCACCCGCAACCATGGTCAGTCTTCGCGCCCTCACCTTCGCCCTCGCGCTGGCCTCCAGCGCACTCGTCGCAGCCAAGCCGACCGCAGACGGCCAGTGTGACAGTGACAACATGTGCGACAAGTCTTCGCCGTGCTGCTCCTCGGCTGGCTACTGCGGCAAAGGCTCCGGGTACTGCTTGGCCGGTCAGTCCTGTTCTGCCGCCCGGGAACGCATCCCTTCTCGCTGTGGGTGCTGACGACAGATGACTTCTGGCTGTTGGGGTTTTTTCACTGCGTTTAGGATGCAACCCGTACGGCTCGTTCGCATTCAACTCGTGCGCGGCGATGCCGCGCTGCAAGTCGCAGCACATCTCGTTCAAGAATAGTGCCACGCCATGGGTCGCGCTTGACTCATACAATGGCAACCCAGCGACCGCCCCACTAACGCTCGACAGCGGCACGCTCCACGCGGGCGCGGCGGGGGCGAGACTGCGCGTGACGAAGAATGGCGACGCCGCGGGAGGTACAATGCTGTCGACGACCCGGTACATGTACTACGGCTCCGTGACGGCTCGCATGCGCCACGACGCGCAGAACGGCATCGTCAATGCGCTCACGCTGATGAGCCCGACAGGTGACGAGGTCGATATTGAGATGACGACAAGCTCGCCGCAGAGCTACCAGACCACCTGGTTCTGGAACGTCGTCGAGGAGGGTTGGACGTGGCCGGGCAACGGGATGCAAACCCCGGCCTACTTGCCCGCTGGCTTTGACGGCCGCGACTGGCACGACTACACGATTCAGTGGACGCCAACGTCGCTAACATGGAAGCTTGACGACAGCGTCATCCGCGTCGCACAGCGCAGCAACTCCTTCAAAAACGGCGTCTACCAGTACCCCGCGACGCCGTCGCGCGTCCAGATCTCCATCTGGAACGCCGCGCTCGCCGCGCCAAGCACCAAGGCCTGGGCCGGCGGCGATCCAGACTGGAGCCAGGCGAACAAGGCGGGCGCCTTCAACATCCACATCGCCAGCCTCAACATCACGTGCGCCGACCCGAGCAGCCTGAGTAACGGCCAAGCGTACGATTTCTCCACCGCGATCGACAGTCAGTCCGGTGAGCCGAAAGTCATCACTACCAATCGCAAAACGACGGTGTAAACCGTCCCGAATCCGTTCTGTTCTGTTGCTCCCCTCCCCCTCTTCGACCCACACACCTACACTCGCTCTTTCACTTTTGCTTGCGGCTTTTGTCCTTTGACTTGGCATTTTCATTCGCCGCCCGTCGCCCGCTGCTCCATGTTCTTTTCTTGGCCTGGCACCCTCTCCGGACTCTGTCTCTCTCACTGTCACTCGCGTTCTCCCACCTAGATGACGCGCTATGCTGTGCACCGGACTTGTTTTGATTCCTTGGAACGCATGGGTATGCGCTGGAATATGATATCTTTTACATACCCCTTTCTCAATCCCGAGGGTGCGCCCAGTTCTTTGTCTCGTGGCAGGACTCGCTCTGGAGGGTGTGGATCGGCAGTGATTGCACGGCACTGCTTCTGGAAAATGACATTGGCGTGTGGCAGGCGGCTCAAAAACGCAAGTACTGCCTGCATGTATGTACGCATGTGCTCCTTGATGTCTGGGTCGGGAGCCGTGCAAAATGGCCGAGTCCTCAGCGCAGCGCACCCACCCCTGCAGCAGGTGTCTCCTTTCTTCCTCTCTCTCCTGACTGTGCAGCAGATCCGGCTCGTTCGCGGAGTGCCTGGAGAGAATGCAGCTGAAAGAAGAGTTTACCAAATCAGCTAATGAGACCGTTGTCGCCTGTTGCCCAACGCCCAAGAGCAGACACCGGGGAAGAAGGCCAATGCCGTGCACACGCAGGCTGAAAATCACGCAGCAGGGCAAACTCGGAACGGTACCACGACTTCAGCGCCGCTGTGGCCTCGCCGGGGGGGGGGGGGGACGACCAGCCTCCCGTCCGGGACATTTGCAACATGTTCACGTGGCAATGTGGGTATCCGTCGGCAACTCTTCAGCATGGGAGGTGGTCAGCAGCGAACAGCGGGGAGCGATACTACCTTTTTGACGTCCCTTCGTGTCGTTCTGTTCGACGTTGCACCGGTCAGGCGGGCTTGGGCAGCCGAAAGGAGCCCGCTGACCTGTGCTGATCCAGGATGCGGGTGAACGGAAGACGGATTCATCTCTCGCTTCTCACCCATGCACCGTGCTTCTGTTCTGCTTCGTCTCTCGCCAGCCTCAGCAAGCTTTTTGATGCCAGCCTCAGTTGACCATTGACACTTGACGCTGATCATATTCCCCAAAGAGCACTACCACCACGAGATGATGTCTACATCGCTCAAGTCTCTTGCAACCCTCGCCTTCGCAGCAGGCCTCGGCCTGAGCACCGACGCCCCGGCCATCAAGAAGCGCTGCACGCGGCCTACGAAGGCCAAACTGGGCAAGTCGTTCGACTGTGCACTTATCTTTTTCTTTGAGAAAGAGGTGTGCCTGGCGGCCTAGACCTGCTTGCGCCATGGAGCATACCAACACCCGAGGCGGTGACTGCTCTTTGGGAGAATTGACTCACTCTCTCGTCCCCTCTTGTTCCCCTCGTCCAGGATCGCTCGAGAGTGACGGCGGACCCAAACTTTCACGGCGACGAAAAAGAAGGGCATTTGCCCACTGCAAGTATCTCGTGCTGGCGCACCCGTCGCAGCCCAAGTACATCAGTTACGTCTCGGGTAGCACGGCGGTGCGTGATGAACGACTCCAGTGTCAACTTTACGCGCGTGTTGTTCGCTGATGAGCTCGAGGCGGCCGCATCAGCTGTGGCGCCTACGCCGAGGCCCTCGACAGCGGCTGCGACACGGCGGCGCGTGTGGGAGCGTACGTGTGCAAGCACAAGCAGTTAATCAGCTTCACGAGCATCTCAGGCAACCAGACGCGCTGTTTGCCCTACATCAAGTCCGTCTCAGCGCTCGCGGACGAAATCGCGAATGAGCAGGTGCCGCAATTCGCCTTCTTCGCGCCCGACCTGCTCAACGACAGTCACAACACCAACACGTACGCCGGCAAGTGGCTTGGCGGCTTCTACAGCAAGTACGAGCGCTTCTTCACCGGCACTAACACCGTGTTCCACCTCGTTTTCGACGAGACTGGGTCGTACACCACCGCCAACAGCGTCTATAGCGTCATGTTTGGTGGCACCGTTGACAGCTCCAAGGTCAGCACGACGGACGCCAGCCAGCACATACACGCATTACTCGATGCTCAAGACCGTCGAGCAGAACTGCGGGCGCAGCTCGCTTCAGAGCGCCAACGCCAACGCCGTGCCCTTCGCAGGTACCACGCGCCACACCCAGCTGTGCGGCTGAAATCTCGAAAAACGCGGGCAAAACAGTGTTTAGACGTATCTCCTTCAATGTTCTGAAATAAAATCCCTTTACAAATACAGGTGTGCATAAAGTACAAGCCCGGCCAAGTTAGCCAATTCTACCGCATGCTACAATGCTACTTTGAGGAATCACCGTCTGCACAGCAGCAGACACCCAAAACAAATACACTCCAAGTGAAACGTGATCACCGTGATTCTGACGGTCGGAAAGCACCTCACACACGAGCTGAAGCATGCATGTGACCGCTGAGGGAAGTCATACTGTCGCTCGACAGACGCGTGCGCTTCTCCGGGTGGGTACCAGCAGCGGCAGGGGCGCCGCCGTCGTTGAGCATGAACGGCTTGGCGAGGTAGCCGTCGCGCGGGCTGTCGCCGCCGTCGTGCGATGAGAGGCTACCAGTTCGCGAGCGCCGCGTTGCGGACAGTGCGGGCGTAGGCGGTGAGCGACTGCCGTGCCTGTTGTGCGCATCCAAGGCATTGCTGGCGCTGGCACCGTTACCGTTGCTGTACCCATTGCAGATGGGCGACAGGCGGAGCGACGTGGTGTTGTGCGACGCGCTGGACGCAGGCGAGAGCCGGAGGGCAGGCAGAGGTGGGAGGAAGAGGCCAGCGGAGGAGTTCGAGGCCGCCACAGCCGCAGAGTTTGCCGCGTGGGGATTGCGGTGCAGACGGAACGGGCTGGTTGCTGCCCCCGTCGCGTACGAAGCGACGAGAGTCTGGCGCGCGTCGAGGCCGAGTCCACGCGCAAGGTCATACAGCTGCGCGTCGGTAAGGGCGCCGTAGCGCTGGCGGCACTCGGCAAAGAAGTGCTCGAGCTGCTCGTCGGCGGCGCGCATCGGCGCCGCCGAGGGTGACCACGCGGCGGCCAGGGCGGGGGGGAAGGCGAAGATACTCGTCGCGCGGCCGGTGGGGCCCATGGCGTCGAGAATGAAGGCAATGTTGGTTTGCGCAGCGGTGAGGCCGCTCGACTCACCCGCGACGCGCAGGCTGAGGATCAGGTTGCTCGTCTCGGCGAACAAGTGCATTAGGGTCCAGCTGGCTAAGATGGGGTCGACGGTGCGCGACTGGGCGAACGCGTCGTGCAGGTCGCGCCGCGTGCGGCGGAGGAGCGCCTCATTGAACAGGAGCCAGGTAGGCAATTGCTCAGCCCACGCGGCGAGCGCGCTGTGGCCGCTCTCCGACGCGCTGTCGCGGCGGCGGTGCGTGTCGCTTGGCGTGGAAGGGGCAGCCGCGGGAGAGCGTGCAATGTCCATCGCCTTGCGGAAGACGTCGACGGAGGCGTATAGGTGTAGGAGAGCGAGCGTGGCTTCGTCGTCAGACTCTTGGTGCTGCTGGAACAGCGCAAAGAAGCGCTCACTCGCGCCGGCCTCGACCGCGGGGGGCTGGCGCGTGAAGACGGCGGCGAGGACGTCAAGGAGGTGCGCGATGAGGACAAGACGGCGCAGCATCGAGCCTCTGCGTGGGGGCCGTGGCGCGTTCGTGCTGCCGGAAGCTGGCGAAGCGGCCAGGGGCGAGGACGAGACGCGGTCCATGCCGTGGAGCGCCAGGAGCCGGCTAGCGGACGCGGCACTGAGGGCTGCGCGCTGGTGGCGGCCGCTGAGCAGGTCGCAAGCGGCGAGCAGGCAGTGTGCGTGTACAGCGTCCATGCTGACAGCGGCGCCTTCATCATGCGCGTCATGCTCACTGCCAAGCCACAAGAGGTGGCGTACTCGCCAGGCATAGGCGTCCGACTCGGCGGCCGCCGCGCCTGTGTCGAGGTAGCGCGCGCCGAGGGCATAGATGGAGAGGAGTAGCAGCTCAGATACGTTTCCCGTCTGGAGGTCGCGGAGGAAGACAACCTCTTCGAGCGCTTGGTTCAGGGGAAAGGCGTATGTGAAAAAGTTGCTGATGAGCTGCATGCTGTGTTCCTTGCTCGGCTCGAGCGGGGCTGGCACAGATGCCGTGGTGCGGCCGCCGAGTACGGGACTCAAGCCTTCCTGCGAGCGGCTCGACGAGAGTTTGGACGAGGAGGCCACGATGCGTGAGCGTGCGTGAGCTGGCACTGGGGATGGTGCTGGTACTGTAGCGACGTTGCTGCCTTGTGCTTGTGCTGACGGGTTCATCAACGAGCGTGAATGCACGGAACGAGCTGTTGGCGTCGGCGGAACAATGTTGCCAGATGCGTCGCTGCAATGTACCATGATCAACAAGGGATATGCAACGTTCGTTCCATGTCAGCGGCAGCGCTCCTGCAAGCTTTCGACCGGCGGACTGCGACCGGGGCGACTCACGAGTAGCAGCATGTGCGGCCGCTAAAGTCGCAGTTGGAGCATGGCAGGCCGCCGTCACAGCGGCGCTTGGCCTTGTGGCATGCGACGCACGCTTTTTGGAGGCGCTTGCGCTTCTTGCCCGTGGCCGAGTAGGCCAGCGTCGACGACTCGTTGGCGGGCGTTGCTGCTGCTGATGTTGACGGAGCCGACGCTGACCCTGTGGTCGCTTGTGCGAATGCAGCTGCGTACCGGTGGTTGTGTGGGAATAGCGGAGGCTGACGGTGGGGTATGGTGCTACCCGGGCCTGACATATCAGACATGCCCCCTTGGCTCATGCCCATCGACGGGAGGGGCGGCGAGTAGTACGGTGTGCTGCCCGACACGTGCGGGGGCATACCGCGGTGCATCGCATAGGACGAGGAGGAGGCATGTGTGAAGTGGACGGGAGTGTGGTGTGGGTGTGGGTGTGGGTGGCTGCCTGCTGCATCGAGCGAGCCAAAGGAGGGGACCTCGCTGCCTGCGGGGAGCTGTGAGGTGCGGCCGTTCATCTTGGGGTGGAGGCGCTGAGCAAGACGTGTCTGGCAAGAGCATTCAACGACCACCTGGTGAGCGTGAATGGGGATGCTCTCAGGTGGGAAGGATGGCAAAGGGAAAAGACAGGTGGGCCATCAAGCAAGCAAGCGAAGAAGAACGCGGGAGAATATGTATGTATTGATGATATATATATAATCCTTAGTACCAAGCAAGCTCTCTCTCCCCGGTCAGATGGTGGCAGAGCACTCTCAACAAGCCATCTCGCAATCCGTGTGCCTAACCCCCAAGAACTCTTGGCATGCGTGCCACTGGTGTCGCCATCGCCTCCTCTGCTGCAGTGCCCCTAGATACAAGCACGCACCATCGCACTCACCGCCGGCCAGCACAATGCCAAGCCGCCGGGATGCCTGCTGCTGCCTCCGCTGTCTGCGGGCACTACATGGCACGAGCCAGGGTGCCCGCCGCAATGACACATACTCCGCCCTCTGTGTGCGGCCCAGTGCCTCTTCACTAGCGACGTGCCCAGCTTCTGCCGTTCAGCAGCCCGTGGCCACTGCTATCCCCATAAGTGCTCCAGTGCCCAGTGTCCGTGAGGACGTCTCGTCGGTCTTTCTGTGGCCCCCGGTCAGTAGTAGCGTCACCAGTTGCTCCCTTCCCACCGACAAGACAGCGCTCTTGGCAGTTGGCTGCGGGGATTCCACGTCGAACCCGCCGCCGCTTTGGGGGAATCGTACCGGTTTCCACCGAAAGACCGTGTTTCCTCCACGACCGCAGGGCCGCCGGCCCGCCAAGCCAGGCACTTACTTCTGTACCTGGGCAGGCACAACGTCAGTCTTTCCTTCCGCCGCCCCAACCATATCCATACCCAGGCTTGCACATCAGCACCAGCGCTTCAGCACGCGCTAACTGGCAAAGTGGAGAAGGCATGTAGCACGCAGTAGACTCGCCTTCTCACCAGTGCAGTCCCAGCCAGTGCCAGAGACCACCCCCACGGGGTACTCTCTGGTCCCGCATGCTGGTCCAAACCAAAAGTCGCATCTTCACTCACTACATTCGACTCTCCACGATGCTTGCAGACAAAAAAGCGACAAGCTCGCATGTGCGGTAAACATTCCCCTTAAACTGCGGACTTTCGCCCGCGACGCATCACCCCGCCCGACCCCCCCTCCTGTGCCCCTCCCGCCGCGCAGACGAAACGGGGCGTATCGCGTGAAGAATAGTCTTGATCCAAATCAGAGTACAGTACAAACAAACATGCCAACACCTCGGGGTCGATCGTGGTCTCCTGCCGCTAGTAGCCCGCACTGTTGCGTCCGGTATCACGGCCGCGCCCTGCGCGATTGCACCGCCAGACGAGCGGCATCCAGCACGGCAGTGTCAAGCGGCGGCAGCTGCGGCTGCGCTTGAGCCAGACCCGCGGATGACGCAGGTGATGGTGAGGCCGACGCCGATTGCAATGACGGAGAGTGCCGCGACGGAGATGGCGAGCGACGGGTAGCGACGACGGCCTTGCCCTGCTGCTGCTTGTTGGTCGTCATGCCCGGTGTGCAGGCCACAACGACTGCCGCTGCTGCTTGCGCGCTGCTCACACCGAGGGAAGTGGGATCCGAGGTGCTGCTGGAAAGGTACGACGCGTTGTGGCCCCCTGTGGCCAAAGGGGCAGCGGACATCACAGAACCCTCGCTGACGCTGCGCTGCCCTGCGCCCCCAGAAAATTCGCGATGTGCCTCGTCGGCCAGGGTGATCCAAAGATCTGGTGAGCTGTATACGCTACCGTTGGCCCCCGCCGCCGCCGCCGCCGCTGCTGCACCATATGCCGCCTGCCAGGTGGCGCCCCCACGACCTGCGCTGCGCGACGGATCGCTCGCGCGCATCCGCTGCCGCGCGTCCGCATCAAAATCGGCGTGGATCGGCTCGCTGAGGTTTCGCCGATGGTCAATGTCCGCACCGGCAGAAGAGCCGAACGCGTCGCCGCTCAAGCCGGCTTGCTGCCACAGATTGCCACCGGAAGGTCCAGAAGTCCCATTGGATCCACCGCCGCTGCCAGAAGCGCTGCCGAGCCATGCGTGCTCGCTTTCGACAGGCGACACAGCACGGCGCTGGCCTTTGGTGCCGGACCCGTTGCCTCCGAGCCATGCGCCCGACTCCACACTGTCACTCACTCTGCGTAGGCTCAAGCCAGGCCCTTGGCGCTTGCCTTGAGAGCCAAACTCTTCCGGCACATTGTGCTGTTGTCCTTCGCTGTAGCCTCGCCCCGTGACCCTCTGTCCTACCACCTCTGGTGAGGTACTTTTGTCCGAGCCCGATCCATCAGACCAGCGCTGCTTTTGCTGCTGTTGTTGTTGTCGCTGTGACGCGTCCAGACTTGTTGCAGCTGCAGCCGCTGCGTAAGTCGCAGGAGGCGAGTCAGAAACGCCGTTGATGCCATGATCTGCATAAGACGAAGTTCCGTGCCCCCCCTGGAGCACCTGCGCGTCCACGACTTGACCCGGGGTGAAGCTCGACTGCGAGGAATGGAAAGCGCTCTGCAGATTGTACTGCGATGCGATAAACGAGTTGTGCTGCGGGCCCTGCTGTTGCAGCGCCATCTCGCTGTTGATCTGCCGATGCTGCTTGCCATAACCAGCAGCGGCGATTGGCATCTCGGCCGTGTTGCGTCCAGGCGGTGCACGATTCGGTTTGACCAGCCCGCTCTTCTTGCTCTTGGCCGGCTTGTGGTTCACGTGTTGCTCAGCTTCCTCTGTGCGCTCGATCTCCACGGGAGGAGTTGTCCCTGGTGCGTTGCCAGCGCCTTGGACCAACTCGCCCGTGGGCGCTCCATACGCGGTCGAACTGCGGTTGATGATGGACAGGTACCAGAACATGAGGTTCGAGATAAGCACCTGCTCGTAGAGCGGCCGCCGCGGGTTCGCGAGCTTGATATGACTGAGCCTGTAGACGGCTCGCTCAACGTGGATCGGATAGCGGTAATGGTTGTTGATCAGACGCGCACCCCCGGCAACGTTCCTGTCCAAAAGGCTCCCAGCAGTGATCTGGTTGTTGTTCCATCGCTGCTGATGCAACTGCTGCATGGGCTCCTCCGAGCCCTTCTTCTTGCCAAAGAGGGAGCCAAGGAAGCCGGATGATCCCTCGTCATCCGCCCTCATCTTTTCCTTGTCCTCCTTCTTCTTGAGCTTGGCCGCCTTTTTTGAATCTTCATCATCGTCCTTCGACAAGCCAAACCAGGACGCAAAGCCGCTTTTCTTCTCCTTCTCCTTGCTCTTCGACGGAGGCGGGAGCTTCTGTTGCTGCTGCCGGTATTGTTGCTGCTGCGCGGGCACGATGGGGCCCTGCTGAGACGCAAGCGCTGGAGAAGTGGCGATCTTCGGCGCGACAGGTGCGATGCCACCGGTCAGCGAAAAGGAAGTGTGAGGATGCGGTTGGAGCGGCTGTTCAGGAGAAGGAGGGAGAGGAGACTTTGATTGCGCAGGTGGAGGTGGAAGCGGAGCAGGCCGTGTTTTCTCGAAGGCAGCTTGCGGTGGCACGTGCTGTACGTGCACCGGGAAGATCCGATTCGGAGCCAGTGCCATGTCATGCTCGACAGCGGGTGCGGGTGCAGGAACGGGCGCAAGTGGGGGGGTCTCTTTGACCGGAGATCCAGGTGGCGACTCTGTAATGATGTCTGTAAGCATGCGCGACCTGGAGTCGCCCTTGAGGGTCCCTTGAGGGTCGGCGGGCATGTCGAAGTAGTCACTAGGTTGGGAGGTTGCGCCAGTCCGTCCCTGTGTAGGAGTGAGTGGTGCACTGTGCTGCTCGGTTCGCACGCTGGCATCGGAGGTTGGGGTTGGGATCGAAGCAGAGACCGACTCAGTGAGAGAAGTGACGCTCGTTCGTTGCGACGCATCGGACAGGTACGAGTCTCTTGAATACGCATCGACAATCGACTCGGTCGCCTCGTCGGAAAGCGGCCTGCCAGGCTTCTGCAGCCCTTCTTCCTCTCCTGACGCAGCAGATTGCCCGCTTTGCGTCCGTTGCATGTCATCTTCTTCGAGCACGGACGAGTCGCCTCGGGGCATCGCTGCGAGGTCTACTGCACTCGCCGTGGTGTCTTCCGATATGACGCTCCCCGATGCGGCTCCCGTCCTCCTGCGCGAAGGTCGCCTCTGCCCTTCCCCAAATGACGTCTTCCGGATCTTCGTCCGCGCAGCCCTTCGAAGAATCTGTCCGGGCCGCGGAAGGATGATCGGCGAATCGGCATCTTCCACTTCGGCGGGCATGTCATCGACACGGTCGAGGGCTATGGGGCATGAGATAACATATTTCAGCTATGCATGGGGGAAGAGCCTGGTAGCTTAATCATGTACGTACCAGAAGCGTTTGAGCCCATGCTGATTGTTCGATGGAGGGCACTTCGGAGGGCACTGGGATCTTGCGCCTTGCTTGCTTCTTCGGCCAGCTGTTCCAGCTTCTGCAGATCCTCTAGCGTCAGCATCGGCCCTTCAAAGTCTCGCTTGCTGGAACTCCGCGCAAGCGGCGACTTCGGTGCGCTAGACTTGGCGGACTTGTCATCATCGTTGGTGTCCGTGTCAATCTCAGGACGATACTGCCGTCGAAGCGTACTAGCCCTTCTGCTCAGCGAGGTCGAGCGGCTGATGAGATCTGCTCGTAAGGATCCGCTCCCGCTGATGCTGTTGGATGGCCTCCGGATGATGCCTTGCAATGCCGGATGTACATCGTCACCACTGACACTCGCAGGTCCGGCTGACCCTTGACCGTCCGGCCCATCTTGCCCCGATTTTTCTGCTTCTCTTACGGCACGCGAAGCATGCTCGTGCAGGAACTTGCGAAAGTCGCTGGGGGAGACTTCTGGGTGCATTGAAGCTGGCACCCAGAACAGATGGGATGGATCCAGCTGCTCGTTGTTTGCTCCGCCACTCTGCATGACCGGGGAGACTTGGGGTCTGCGCGAAGCAGACGAAGGCGAACCTTCCTCGTCGCCGCCATCGGCATTTGAGGAGGATCCGAGACCCCTCCGCCGCGCCGTGAATCTCTGCCTGCCTTCGTTGCCCCTCCCACCGGGTCCTCGCGCGACCGGCCCATTGTCGCTGAGCCCTACGCCTTCTCTAGCCAAGCTTCCAGTACTGCTCTGAGCTGTCTTAACAGCGCTGAGCGAGCGATCGACTATACCACCTGTATTGCCCGATATGGGCAAGGATGACGATCCACTCAGCACCGCTGCCAAATCGGGCAGGTCCGGATCCAGGATGTGCCGATTGACCGATTCACGCCTATGCGCCTTCAGTGCTTCCACTTCGCGTGCAAACTCGCTGTCTGTGATGTTCTGCATTTCCGTAGTCCCCTCTGTGATATCAGTCTATCCGGGAGTTGCAGAGCACCTTTCATGCGCGTGATGAGGGCAACTCTGCAGGTTGCCAGAGTAGCGCAAAGTCTTGGTGTCGAGCCAGTCGACAACGCATTCAGCAACGCATCAAGTGTCGTCTCAGTCAGGTCGTTCTACCGTCCGTCCAGTGAGCAAATGCTGACGCGATGAATGGGGTCTGGAGAGAGAGAAAGCGCAAGTCACAAGACACTATGTCAGAACAACGGAGAGATTAAAGGTGGTGTTGACGGAGCCGTTGTGGCTCACCTCTTTGCAAGCTTCGATTGCGTTGCCCGTCCTTCTCAACGGCAATCGTGCCAGCCTAATGTGGATGGCGTGGATGCGTGTGGAGAGAGCCAGTGGTCGCTTTCGCAGGATTCGACGAGTCCCATGCACTGAATCGGCTTGGCGTTTAGGGCCAGGACGGGGTGGCAGCGTCCAGCCAGGACGCGCAAGCAGCTTTTGGCCGGATGAGTCTCGCTTGCTCTGTGTGGTGAATCGTCGAAGGGAGGTGCAGGGATGGTCGAGATGCGTCAGAATGACCTTTGGACGGCTGCGTTACACTTTGAGGTAAGTCGAGCGACCTCGCACGTCTGGCAGAGCGGTAGCGCGGCAATTCTGCGGCGTAACACCAAGACACGGGCCCACACCCAAGCTGACCCACAAGCCCTTTTCCTTTACCACCTGCGGGCAAGCCTGCTACTCAACGGCGAGAGATGAGCTGCTGCGGACTCTAAGGACCGCTCCGCTTCTACTCTCGCGCAGGATCGATGCGGTCTTTAGGCCTCAGCATCCGCCGAAGAGCCATGCAGAGATGTGCGTCCACGAGATGGCAGGGGGAATGCTTTGCCCTTTTCCTTATTGGAGTGGCAGTCAGGCAGACACCAGCAGCGAGAGGCGATCCGCAAGGGTGCCACTGCACCAGTCTTGCGCTATCATATCCGAGCACCCAGCCGAGTCTTGGCTCTGGCTTAGTGCCGTACTTCATTCTTTTTTGACTGAGGAGACTCTTCTCTTGTCGGCACTGCCGCCGCTCCAGTCCCAGCGCGCCAGAAGGGCCAGGTCGTAGGCATCGCAGTCCATAGGCCAGCGCAGGTCGCAAAGGGGCCTAGTGCCGCGTTCGATACATACAGAACAGCCCTTTCCCTATGGCGAGGAGGACCTGCGAGGACTTCAGGGAACGGCCATTGACACCAGTCACAGTCAGCACCGCAGATTCGCATGCGAGCATACCACACGACGGCACTAGGCATATCTTTTCAGACTTGCAACAAGCGCTTTCATTTCGGAGCAGCTCGACAGAGCTTCTGACCAGCAACCAAGCGTCAGCAATGATGATGCGATGAGCGTGTGGGATATCGACTGCACCCAAGAAGCGAAATTGTGATGCGCGTGACGGGGTTACGGAGAGAGGTGTACAACAGGTGATGACTCCTGGGACAGACGGTTGACGTTTCTACATGGTGCGAGATGGGGCATCGCAGAATTGATGCTGCATGAAGAAGTTAGATCGCTGGAAGTAATGCGAGAGGTGTAAGAAGGGCCTTCCCAATATGCCATTGGCTAGGCTCGGCTAATGTGTTGTAAAGCTAAGCAGGATGAATGATGGTCGATGAGAAGTGAAGACCAATCCTCAACAAAGATTTGTCGGGGGGCCAGAAGATCGCCCGGAAGCTTTAGGGAGATGCATTTGTCCGCTCGACACGTTGGCGAGTAGTCCTGCCTTGAAGCAGTGGGTGCTCGGGTTGAGGCTCCCCATTGACGGTGACGAACGCCCCTTGCGGTCCGCTGCGGTAGATCGTCTCGGTTCCCTGCAGAGACGACGAAAAAAATATCAGCGTCCAGCGTGAACACTCAGAGACCTGGGTATACGTAAAATAATGCACTCACATCAGGAGCAATCTCGCGCGTGACCGTCTCGATCTGCCCATTCCTGTTCGACTGGTATATGCTGCGACTGTTGCTCTGCACACTCTGTGGGTTTGGGATAAACCCACCAGATTGATTTTTGCTGAAGCTGGAAAAAGATCTCATGCTGCTTTGCGAGCTCTGCTGTCCATCGCCGGTACCAAACATGCTCATCGGTTGCAGCATGCCTCCTGCGCTGGGGTCATTGAACATCGATCGACCAAACAGTCCGCCCAACATCGGCTGCGCGCAGCCGAATGCAAATGGGTCAGAGGGACCAAACGCGCTTTCGCCAAACTGGTGACCCTTCATGGACCTGTTAAGCCCAAACCCCATGTCCGCCATCACCTGGTGGTTGGCGAAGAATGGGTCGCGTTGGCCGAACGGTGAAGCCATTTCACCGTGGCCCACCCCGAAATTACGTCCGAAGAGGTCTTCAAACATTTGAAAGGGATCCGAGAAGTCAAAGCCAAAGCCGCCGCTGGGCCGGTTCCTGCTGCTGAATGAACACTGTCCGAAAGCATTGTGGGTATTTGTAGACGATGGTTGAGCTGCAAATCTGGAGTGGGATCCCGCTGTATCGTATTCCCGTCTCTTGCTAGGATCTGAAAGCACTTCGTATGCCCTGAAGAGAAATTGAGACACCATTGGGAGAGATTGACCTGCGATCAGTACTTTGTCTATTCATGTGACACAGGCGCAAGCACCACGCGCCTCGCATACCAGCCAGCTCACTCTGCCACTAGCTTAAACTGCGCAGTGCACTCCTCCTTGCGCTCTGGCAGTGCTCTATCAGGATGTGTCTTGAGCGCCTATTATGATCAAGCAACACGGAATGGAATATGATCAAAATAGACTTTCGCTTTCGAAAAGGTGGCTGCTCATCCCATGTCCGGAACACAGCGCGCATGACACGTACCTGCCGCCTATAGGCTGTGCGGATGTCCTCCTGGTTGGCGTCGCGCGCGACACCAAGCACTTCATACAAGTCAATGTCCGCCGGCATACTTCGCGCTGCTTTTGATCATACAGACCTGAGTGCGAGGAGAATTGCCATACGTTGTCGTTGTGGGGAGACCGTAGGACAAACTGACTGCAACAAGTACAATCTTTCGCTTTTGAGGTCACTGGATGAGATCGAGATGTGAGATTCGAGCTTGTCGAACGGAATCTTGACGTAATAGGGGCGGAAGTCGGAACACGTTATCCTTCAGGGAATTTTCAATTTACCTCCCGGAATTTTCCAGGTGCGGGGAAAGATTGCCGGGCCGGCTCCATCCGATATCTGTTCGAAGTTCACGTTGCGAAGAACCCTCTCGTATTGAGAACTGTCAGCTGTTCGACTTCAACGACTTGAACAGGTTACAGCCCAACAAGGATGCAGACATCTTCCCTGACGCAATGCATATTGTGCATACGGCAGATCTCGCTGGACACCTCTCATGCGCAATTCTAATGGCGCACAGCCTCAGGTTTAGCAGGGAACGTCTGTAAGAGTGGGGGCGAGGGAAACTAGCAATACAAGAAGTTTATCACATCTTGAGTCCATCTATGAAATGCGTAAAGAGTAGCCCTACGCGGGTCATTCTGCTGCTTGCATCTACTTGTCACCCGTGGCACGAAGCCCATCACTGTACCGCGCTGGAAGAGAGGAGCCTTAGACAAGCGCTTTCTTGGCTGTTGTCCAGGTAGCGGCAGCAGCAGCCATGATGCCGCTTGAGATTAGCATCGCCCGTGGGCCTGCTGTGCTCTTGAAAATGACACCACTGATGGACCCAGCAGCAACAGCACCGTATATGTCGTGCTTCCCTCGTGCTGCATCAATCGAAGCATCGATGATATTGTAGATCAAAGCTGTGGGATATCGCAATGGGTGTCAATTCACCTGAAGTAATATTTTTATCGACTGTGCGTCCGCCCAGCTGCTACGCACCAATCACGCCTGCACTGTTGCCAAAGAAACTCCCCCTCCGTGTGATGCTATTGAGCACGGCATTGAGCCTGAGCCTTGTGGTTGGGTTGTTCACACCCAGCGGCCGCGTCAGACCCTCCCGTGCTCCTAGCATGCCTCCAATCGCCAGCCCCGAGAGGTAGGTGGTACCTGTGCCGTAACACAGATCGTCGCTCCAGCCTCTGGAAGGGAGTGCTGTCCGTGCACCCTCCATGGTGGATGGTTGCTCGTCGACGATGTCAAGGTATTCAATGTCATCCTTGCCTAGCCCCGCCATCGGATGAAGCTTGGCTAGATCGAGCTGCAAAGCGGGATTGGAAAAGATATCCGATGTGCTTGGAGCGGGTGTGCTCGTATATGCCGCATTTCCAGACGATGAGCTTGCATATTGTGAGTCGTTTGTGAAAGAATGCGAAGATAGGTATGAGGCCGGATCATGCGCAGCCGGCGCAGCCCCGTTGAAAGCTGTATCCGGAGCAGAATGTGCAGCAGCATTGCTGCCTCCGGCGTTGTTGCTGCTCCCGCTGCTTGAGAATGGCCACATATTAGTTCGTAGGGATCAATCGGGTTGAAAATGTAACCAAATATGGATGCCTTGAGAGGTGGACGTCGATGGGTTGCACGTCAACGATCAACCAGAAGAAAAGGATGGTTTTGAAATCATGACGACCGGACGGCGGAATGCGAAAGTGCGAAGCCAACAAAAAAACGGACAGAAGAGTCCTAAAAAAATGACAAAGAATCGGCGGAACGCGATAGAGGATGTCACAGATTCTGGAAATGAACTAGGAACCGCTGCACAGCGGCGCAGTGCATAATGGAACTGAGACACGACGCGACGGCGCACGTTTTACCGCTTCAGCAGGAATAGGCCAACTCCCAACGAGACGAGCACAACCATGATCCCAATCGTCGCCCCGGGTTCGTCCTGCTCTCGCAGATATACAAAAGACATGTCGTGTCACCTGATGCTGTTTGAATCGATGCTATGTAGTACACAGAGAGACTGAGTCGCTGATTTCACTCTTTTGTACCACTCTGCGCGATGCGTCCTCGCCTGCCCATCGAAGAGGTCCTCGGGCCCGGTGAATGGTGCGGTATGTTTGCCATCGGCTCCCTATGGCCGCAGAGGATGATGATAGACATTTGCAATATGCAGATTCTGTGCTCTGTGAGCCAGAGGGTACTCGCAGACGATTCCCCTTGGTCGAATGCAAGTTCTGTACGCATAATACGCCATTCGCGTAGGCTGCCCCGTCCACGACGACACAATCGACTAGCCGACGCGACGCCACCTTCTCCAAAAGGAAAGGGAGGCTGCAGAGCAGGAGGCACATGAAGCCTGTATAGTTACTCATGAATGGTTTACCTGCTGGTAAAGAAGGCTGGCCTTGATAAATAGTCGCGTTAAGTCGCGTGGCAATTCGCTTGCAGCGCGACCGCCAGGATAAGATGAACTGGGTGTACGCCTCCGCAAGGAGCATGATCGAGGTGCTGGGCGAAAAAGTCCAATGCAGACGGCTGCTTCGAAACGATCGAAGAAGAGTACGATCCCGTCAAGAGAACCTTTCGTGCTTTTCTTGCGAAGCAGACGCAAGGTGGAGTAGACTTCGAGTACGCCAGCAGCAGTAATGTCTGTCTATTCTACTTGGCACAAGTTAGGCTGCACACAGGTCGCGCATACCGTACACAGAGCTTTTACTGTTTCATGCGACCTGGAATACGAGCATCAGCGGCCCTGGAGTGAAAGTCGCATGGGACAGAGGGATGGAATTCGCTCTGGCAGCATTTGAACGTTGTTAGGATACGCGCCCTCACACGTCCATGCGGGAACTTTCCAGGAGGAAAACCTTCGACAAATTCCGCGCCAGACCGAGCCGCACAACTTCCAGTCTCTTAAGTGCGGCAGCGACGTTGACCTGCTGCGACTTTCGACTTCCTTTGCTTTGATGCATCCTCTCCAGCATGCCCAGGTAATGCTCAGCCTCGGACGGATGTGTCCTTGCTCCGGTCGTCACTTGCTCGTAGTACCGAATGAGCTCCATGATGCCATCTTCCTCGAAGAGGTGCAGATCAGCTGCAGGCGCACATGGTGGATCACGATGTCAGTTCAAGGACAAGACGGAATCGCCCAGGGCGGCCCACTCACATTCGAGCAATGGTACAGCATCAAGCAGGAGGATTGCCCAAAAGCGCTCGGGAGCTTGCGCATTGAGAAGAGTGCTCACCAGCACTGCAGTGGCTTCGTGCAGCCGCTCCTCGGAATAGAGAACATGAAAGTCCCTATACTTTCCAAGGAATGCAAGCCGTTCCGAGTAGAGACTACGGTCGTTACCAAATGGAACGTCCCCTTCCACACCAGTCGTTGGTAATCGTGAGGTCGACTTGAGCAGCGAGGGCGGAAACGAGTTGACGAGAGCGATAAACTCTGTTGCGCCGTGGTCAACGTATGCATCGAGCACCGCGTCCGCTATCCTTCTGACTTGTGTCGCGTCACCTGCGCGTACGCAGTAGGATACCGCGGTCCCGTACTCTCGCTGCTCCGCAAGCTTCTCGGCCACACTCTGTGAGATGGCATATTCGACCTATGTCAGCCGAATCTTCCTACGCCACCATCAGAACCCGCGGAGACGCACCTTGCAGATAGCCCGTGCTTCAGCCTCCATTTGGTGGTCAACGCATGCTCGCAGCAGCTCTTCAACACGCCGGAAGCGCTGTAAGACCTTGTCCTCCTCCTTGGCCTTCCCTTTGCCCTTTTGTAAAGCATCACCGCTGTCCATTTCGTCGCCTTCGGCATCTAGCATTTCCTTATCTGCCGAGCTTTCTGCTGGCTCTGCTTCTACATCAAGCAGTAGAGGCACGTCCAGTACCACTCTGCGCATCCTTCCCCGGCCTTCTGGCCCGATACTCGCCAAGTAGTCGATGGCCATGCGCCAAAGACCCTGGTCTTCCAGTAGCACGCTGGCATATTCCCGAACACAGTCCTTGCGAAGCTTGGTTGGTTTCGAGCTGCGTGGGGGGCGATGCGAGGCGGAAGAGTCAGCGGCTGCCTCTTCACGCTCATTGTTGCACTTACGGATCATCATCATCTTCGAGCACGGCTGCTCGCCCGAGCAGATCTGTGAGATGCAGTGCCAGCCATGGATCGTAGTCATGACACGAGATGCACGCCTGAATGAGAGGTAGATGCGCGTTCAGCTGCAGCCTTGGCATGAATTCCTTAAATCCTATTACTGACCCGCAACACGTCACCTTTGGTAAAGGAAGTGAGAACCTTGTCGAGGGCGAGTGTCATGTCGGCAGGGAAACGATCGAGAATGATGGACATGACATCTGGCACGTCATCTCTCTTCATACTCGGATGCACGAGCAGACCCCAGGACCCTAGCGCTTCCTTCCAGTCTGCAGAGGCCTCGAAGACACGCTCCTTCACGCCGGCCATCAGCTCGAGCAGGCACATGAACTGCGCCTCCACCTCGATCCTGCGGTCCTCGTTGTCGGGAGAATGCCCCAGCTCCTCCTCCATCTCGTCCATCTCTGCCTCAAGCCCAGAAAGAAGATGCCGGACCTGCGCCTGCCATTGCTTGCGGTCTTGGATGAAGCTGTACTCGTGCGAGTAAGAAGTCGAGCGCGGAAATTGCTGCAGCAGCTTGATGGTCTTATCCGCAACCCGCCCTACCACGCTTGCAGGATGAGACTTGAGACTGGCAAGTACCGACGCTGCCGAAGCGTTGAAGCCTCGCAGCACGCACTGATAGATGTAGTCCCAGTAGCGCGGGTGATCGTACGGCGTTGCGGCAGATGCGATATCCTGGCCCTCTTCGGTTGTCGGCGCAATGTCATAGGCGTTGAGCCAATGCAAGATCTCTTCGCCGACGACACCAGCGCCTGCGCCATCGAGGGGCAGGTAGAGCGTTTCTGCGAGGTGAAAGGCAGCGTGAATGTCCGACACGAGCTGGACCTCGGCTTCATCGGGCTTCTCATACGCCAGCAGTTTGTCTCTGTAGCTGACGAGGGTATTGCGGTATAGGCTCGAGAACCGATGGTACTCTGTGATCGCTTGCGTCTGAAGTAGGCTCGAGGAGCCTCCGCCCATAATGGAGGCCTTCTGCTGACCAGACTGCAAAGCCTCTCTTTTGCGACCCTGCTCGATCCGAACCAAGCCGTCAAAGACCCCGGACGTCTCAACTAGCAGAGTGATCTTGTCTGCCGACCCCCAATCGCCGACGAACATGCCTTTGCCGGACGGCCCAACCGAGGGAGCCGCCATGTTGTCAGATGCATTCCCCGCGAGTGTGATGGGCATGACGGATAGAGTGTCCGTGGTGGCGATGGGTCTGCGGCTTGTCCCTACTTGTTGTACGAGCACGACTTGTTATAGGGTACCACGGAACAAGTCTATACATCATGGCACTGCTGGAAGGTGCGTCCTATCACCTATGCAGCAAAAAAGAGAGGGAGTGATCGACACGCCGACTGTGCCGCCGTGTGGAGAGTGGGAGATGTATCGCGTGTGCTCAGCTTTCAGCTTTGAACAGATAGGTGCACTACGACTTCTCTGTGAACTTCTACAAACACACAAGCTTCAGCGCCTGGAGTCAAGCGGGAACGGCCTCGAGACTGAGATGAGAAAGAAAGGAACGAGCAATATGTGAAAGCCGATGGCCCATAAAAGGGGATGAGGAAATAACATTACAAGCCCGCAAAGCCCACAGGAGCCTTTGCACCCTTTCTGCGAATCACGAGCAACTTTTTCGCCTGCAAGCCATAGATTGCACGCGCAGCCAGCGTCTCTCCTCCACTCATCAACTCGCTCTCGGGCGCCTGTGCCCTGCCCTCGAGCATCATGGCCCTGCACTTCTCCCTGCCGCCGTCGTTGTGGCCATCGCCGTCGACGGCGTCCCACCAGCTGCTGGTGAGGATCCTGAGGTCCTCGAATTCGAGCTGGTGCGGCTCGGGCGTGCGCAGCAGCGAGACGAGCACGTGCGCTGCGGCCATGTTCGTCGGCGTCGGCGGTCCGGCATTCGGCAGGCTTCCCGCTGCACCGCTCGCTGCTGAGGAATTGGTCGCGCCAGATGTGCCTGTATGGGCGCTGCTCGCGACGCTCGTGTCACCTCCAGATCCTGCGACGGTTGTAAGCACTGCCGTTGCGCCCCCACCCGCGGCTGCACTGCTCAAGCTAGCAGGTGAGCGAGCACCGATAAGCACCTCGAGCATCTTGAGCGTCTCGGAAAAGTCGGCGCCCTCGCGCTCCGGCGCGACAAAGCGCACGACATCGCCAAAGACGCTCCAGATCTTCTCCGTCACACGCTCCAGCTCGTCCGTCGCTTCCGGAATGTTGTCTTCATCCTCGTCAGAGTCGAGGTCTCCCAGCATGTCGTTGTCTACCCCCTTTGCCTTGTCCTCTGAAGCGTGTGGCTCGAGCTCGGACCCCACGTCATTGCTCGTTGTGGGCGCCTCATGACGGATTGTGACGTCGTCATCTTTCTCTTCTGGCGCGCTATCTCCCGCAGGTCCAGCATCCGTGGCGGCAGCAGCAGCAGCCGCGTCAGACTTTCGACCACCAGCCTTGCCTTTGGCGCTAGCAGCACGTGTCGAACGAGCGAACGGTACGCTGGTGTCGCCGATGAATTCTTGCGAACCATCACCGGCGATACTGGCGGCCAAATCGTCAGCTGACTCGCCAAAGCTCATCATTGTAGTGTCCTCCTGCTCTTGCGCGGCGCTCTTGACCTTTGACTTGGTCATCAGTCGCTTCTGCTGCGATTTCAAATACCGAGTTGGACAAAATATCAATGAGAGGAGTAAATATGTAGTGGATGCAAGACGATACTCACCTTTTCGAGAAGCTCGCTTTTCATCTCCTCGAGTGCAAAGACCTCCATCTCCTCCTGCTGCAACTCGGCCTTCATCGCCTTGACTTTGGCCAGAAGTGCATGTGTCGGCAAATTCCTGTTCTGCATCTCCTTTTCTTTCTGATTTCGTGCCTCCTCGACCCTCTTCGCGTGCACCTCGGGTCCGAGGCGAATGGCTTCTTCCATCGCGGCGCTGCGGTCCTCAAAGCGCTTGCGCGCCTTCTCCACGTCCCCTGCTTTGCGCAAGAGCTCCTTGATGTGCTTTCGCGTGCGCGTGAACTTGTCGCCGCCTGAGCCGGATGCGAGGCGCTGCGCGGTGAGGAGTAAGGTGTGTGCGTCCCAGACGAGCAGGCCGGCCGACTCGAGATCCTTGGATGACGGCTTTAGTGGCGTCGGCGGGACAGCTTGGCGCAGCGCTGGAGCGCGCATGACGGAGAGCTGTCCGTCAAGCGTTCCCGCAGCGCCTGCAACGTTGGAGGATGTTCCTGTGCCGTGTGCATCGCTGACGGTGCGTCTGCCGCCCGTGCTCCTCCCGCCAGCTCCGCCATCGTCCGCTGAGGTCGCTTCGGACGATGATGCTGCTGGCGGGTACCAGAAGAGGCTTGCTTCGAGATGGTTGGCATCGCGTATGAAGTCGAGGATGTCGTTGTTGCCCGGATTCAGCACGGCCTTTGTAAACGGAAAATGCTCGCGGCCGAGTGTGGGAAGCGAAGTCGACTGCAGCGGCGCGAAAGAAGGGCCAGAAGTGGAGGACGCGGCGAAGCGCCGGCCGTGTGCGGTGCGCGCGTGCAAGTCGTGGATGGAGGTTAACGCGGTATTCAGCGCTGCAAGGTGGGTCTCCATCTTGCTTCGCTCGGATCTGACTGCGTGGTAGCGGGGGAGGGCACGCTGCCGAGGGTCACCACTAATACGTGAAAGGTGATGCGATGTGTTGGAGGAGGCTGCGAGCAACAAGAAACACAATAGCAGCGAGACGACGCGACCAACACACGCGTCGTTGCGCGCGCTGATAACGGGACTCCCTCTGAGAGCACAAGCGAACCCGCGGCAGTCGCAAACATTGTCGGCACTTTTTTGTTCTCTACACACACGCCAGAGGCGAGAACCGCAACAGCAGTACGTCTCCCCTCGGCACTGTCGGCTCGCCTTCCGGCCGGGGTGGAGTCATTCGATGCATTCATGCTTGGTTGCGAAGAGAGGAGAGTCAAGGTGAAGCTTTTCAATGCGATGAATGCTGGATCTCTTCCTCCTCCGTTCCGTTGTTGCCGACTTGTTGGCCAGTTATTCACAGGAAGAAGCTGCAGCAGGCAGTAGCGCAGGACCCAGTCTCTCGTTTCCACGCTCACCAGCCGCAACGCTTCGCTGCTGGCCGACATGTCTTGTAGCACGCCGCAGAGCGATAGTCAGCTATCCAGTTCGGGCAGCGTCGAGCCCTCGTCATCGTCTGCAGCATTCGACCAGGAGGGTGTTGTTGCAGCGAATAACAGTGCCAGAAGAACAGCAGGAGGCAGACAGCAGGGCTGGTACAGCGAGCTGGACGAAAAGCTCGTCAGGAGGGTGTGTTTGTTAGCATTTTCAAGTGCGCAGGCTCAATCTGACATACCCTTTCACCGCTACTTATTCTTGGAACAGAGCGACTCTGCATATCGTGCACATGCACCCCACATGGCCGCTGGTCCATCAGAAGAAGGAGGGGATGTGACAACCGCAACCGCCCCTCTGCCGATGGCTGCGTCTCGCGCGCTCTCCGCCTCGCTCTCCATTGAGCTGCTTCACGCGAATGTCGAAGTGGACGGGGGAGCCAAACATCGAGGCCCAGATGCGAATACGGAGATTGGCTCAGATGGTGGCTTTCCTGCGATCTCCACGTCGGCCGCATCTGCCTCGTCCCTTGCAGCCAAAGAGCTGTCGCAGCTCAGCCTCAGGGAGCGCAACAAGGACCTCACACGCGGCGCCGATGGATCCTACGTTCCTGCGCCGCATCTGGTCGGCGTGGGCATGCAGCCATCACCATCGATCGAGTACGATGGCGCCAACGGTCAGGCTGGAGGCGTGGGCGGCGTCGTGCCGACTGGGCCGAGGAAGGTGCCTGGGGATGACAGCGACGAAGCGGAGGGCCAAATGGCAGAGCAGATCGAGGAGGGTTACGAGGCCGAGGAGGGATCTTCTCACGCTCCAGGCCAGGACCGCGCTCAACAGAACACCCACTCACAGTATGCACCCGCACTGAGCGAGCGCCAACTCAGCATGCACGAGCGATTTGCAGCCTCGCCTGCAGAAGCAGCAGCCGCTTTGGCAGGTATGGGCGCTGTCGCTGGGGACTCATCCGATACGGACATCGTTGGAGCTACAGCTACCGCTTCTCCCTCTCAAGCGCAGCAATACAAGCAGCAACAACAAGTAGCGATGCACACCGAGCTCACGTCGGAGCTTCGTGCGCTGTACAAGAGCTTACAGAAGTGCTTGGAGCTGCGCGACAAGTACATGATGGCCAGCTTGCAGGCTAACCTCGATGACAATCCCAAGAACTGGGATGCAGAGTTTGTCGAGCGGGCACAGAGAGCTCAGGGCAAGGCTGGCAAGGAAATGGGAAAGAACGCAGGAGGTGTGGACCCGCGGGAAGATGCAAAAGCTGCCCCCAAGGGAAAGAAGGAGATTCGCGTGGATGGTACCGCGCTGGCCTATTCGCCTGACGATGACAGGGTCGGTGCGGATCCGACAGCGGCAACGTCCAGTGACACTGTGGATAGCCAGCCGATCTACAAGCCTTGGCGCATCTATCCGGCTCCGCCACGTCCGCACTGGGAGCTGTTCAACCCCCCACCGGCGTCTTCTTTCGTCGTCCGTCCTGATCGACCCTCATTAGCGTCGCGGCCATCAGACGCGAGCGCAAACAGGAACACGTCCGTCAACCCGCTTCCTCCGCCCATTCCGCCCGCCAGCCCGGCGAACGCCAAGGCTGCGCAGGAGCTGCTGGAAGGAACTGGCGGCAGGCCAGGTGTGTTCCGCATGGAAGATATCGTCATTCCTGGAATGCACCGGCGTAAGGGCAAAGCTGTCGGGTTCGCAATGGAGGACGGTGTCTTCCAGGTCTACGAAGAGGAGGAAGAGGAGGTACGGATACAGCATCAGAAGCAGCAGCAGCAGGATGATGGTGGTGATGTAACCACTTCCTTAGCACCTGTGCGATCAAATGTAAACGGCAGCAGCGACAGCAGCAGGAGACCGCTCTTCAGCGTTCCCACGCTACAGCAATACTTCAAAGATCTCGACCTGCTCCTGTCCGTCATCTCCGACGGCCCCGCCAAGTCGTTCGCGTGGCGGCGGCTAAAGTATCTCGAAGGAAAGTGGAACCTGTACTCGCTGCTGAACGAATACCGCGAGCTGGACGGCATGAAGCGCGTGCCGCACCGCGATTTCTACAATGTACGCAAGGTCGACACGCACGTCCACCACAGTGCCAGCATGAACCAGAAGCATCTGCTCCGATTCATCAAAGCCAAGATCAAGAGGTATCCGGATGATGTCGTCATCTTCCGCGATGGCCGACAGCTGACACTGCAGCAGGTGTTTGAGAGTCTCAAGCTCACCGCGTACGATCTGAGCATCGACACTCTCGATATGCATGCCCATCAGGATGCTTTCCATCGCTTTGACAAGGTGAGTCTAGATGTGGTACTCTGTGCGCATAAGCTAATTTTGAGCGCGTGCTAACGCGCATTTTGCGTCCTCGCTTCCTCTGCCCAGTTCAACCTCAAGTACAACCCGATCGGCGAGTCGCGGCTGCGCGAGATCTTCCTCAAGACAGACAATTTGATCAAGGGGCGCTACCTCGCCGAAATCACACGCGAGCTGATGGCCGATCTAGAGCAGAGCAAGTACCAGATGGCCGAGTACCGCATCAGCATCTATGGCCGCAGCAAGGAGGAGTGGGACAAGCTGGCTGCGTGGATCGTCGACAACCGCCTGTTCAGCCCGAACGTACGCTGGCTCATCCAGGTGCCGCGGCTGTACGACGTCTACAAAGCCAATGGGACGGTGGACAACTTTGAGCAGATCATCCAGAGTGAGTAGGCGGTGAGGGTGGCTTGTGAAAGGAATGGACGATTGAACGCGCCGAACGCTCCTCCCGCCAGACGTCTTTGAGCCGCTGTTCGAAGTCACGCAGAACCCAGAGAAGCACGCCAAGATGCACATATTCCTGCAGCGCGTCATCGGCTTCGACGTCGTGGACGATGAAAGCAAAGCAGAACGGCGCATCCACCGCAAATTCCCCGTGCCCAAGCTGTGGGACTTTAAGCAGAGCCCGCCGTACAACTACTGGATGTACTACATGTACGCCAACATGGCGAGCCTGAACCAGTGGCGGCGCATGCGCGGATTAAGTGAGTGTCCGAGGCCGGATCTTGCATAGGTGGAGAGTACGGCTGGCTGACGGATGGACCGCTACTGTGTGCGCGCCCTTGCGTGCAGACACGTTTGTGCTGCGGCCGCACGCGGGCGAGGCAGGCGACACTGACCACCTGTCTGCAGCGTTCCTGACATCCCAGTCGATCTCGCACGGGATCCTGCTGCGCAAGGTACCGGCGTTGCAGTACCTGTACTACCTCAAACAGATCGGTCTGGCCATGTCGCCGCTCAGCAACAACGCGCTATTCCTCGCGTACGAGCGCAATCCGTTCCCGACATTCTTTCGCATGGGCATGAACGTCAGTATCTCCACGGACGACCCGCTGCAGTTCCACCTGAGCAAGGAGCCACTACTGGAGGAGTACTCGGTCGCGACGCAGATCTACAAGCTGCGGCCTTCTGGTGAGTGAGCGAGCAAGGCAGGCGTGTGTGAGCCCCGCGAGACGAGCCCCCCTCCGAGTCTGACAAGCGCCTTTACTTTCACATTGCTGCTGCTGCTGCTCTTGCAGACATGTGCGAGCTGGCGCGCAATAGTGTTCTGCAGTCCGGCTGGGAGATGGAGATCAAGCGGCACTGGCTCGGGCCGAACTTCTTCCTGCCGGGCCCTCAGGGGAATGTGGTGGCCAAGACGAACGTGCCGGACATCCGCCTGCGATTCCGCGAGGAGACGCTGCGCGAGGAGCTCGACTTGGTATGGCGGCACGGCTCTCTGTCGCCGCCGTCCGTCGCCGCAGATGCTGAGCTATCCAGCGCTGCGGGTGCGGCTCCGGATGCTACGACCATCAGCGCCGGTGGGCTTGCACCGCAAGAGATGGACGTTGCTAGCTTCCCGGGCGTCTTTCAGCTTGCCGAGGGAAAGAAGCGCCGTGCCAGCGCCGGCCAGTCGGCTGCTGCTGCTGGTGTCTCTAACAAGGGCGGGAGCGGACTGATGGCCAACGGCGGCGTTGCACGGCTGACCGAAGGCAGTGCCGGTTCGGCCTCATCAGGGACGAGGCGAAGGGCAGGCGCCGAGTCTTCGACAACATAAAACAAGCGGTGCTGCGCTACTAAGTGTTGGTGTCTGGTAGTTAAACTGTTTCAAACGACTGTTGCCCTGCAATGAATGGATCACTTTTCCCTCGAAAAAGTGTGCGCGACGCGGATCGAGCCTGACGTACCTGATATTACTGACACGGCTCAAGATGCGAAATGCCGATTACACTGTTGTGGCCGGCCAGAGTGCGTGTTACGGTGGGCAATGGCGCGCGCCGTCTCTTCTCCCTGCTGGCGGGCGTGATGGAGCGACGTAGATCCACGCCGTATCCACTCCATACACAGCGGCGCAGTGCTGCATGCTCTCCCGACATGAAGAAAAGATGCGCAGTAGCAGGTAGCCAAAAAGACAAGCTAGAAAAAGAAAGAAAAGAGAGCGTGTTGTCAGAGAGATGGGGCGACAGAAGGTGGACGAGTGCCACGTCTGCACCTCGCGAAAAAGAAAGAAAGTGCTGCGCTGCGCGCAGGGGATAAAAAGGGAGCGCGCCCCTCGCTGCCCTCGCTGCCGCCCGCCCCTTCGACCGCGCGCACGCAGCCTTCGCTTTTTGTCGTGTTTCCCCGTCAGCGGGCGAGGGGCGCTAACCCTAATTAGCCTCCACCCAATATGAGCAGCTCCCTCCATGCTGCCACCAGCAGCAGTCAAATCGTCGCCGTTGCTACCACCAGTGAGTCTTAACCCTTTCCTGCATCATTATCATATGATACCGATATCTTCGCCTCGCGGTCGGTTGGCGATATCGTCCAGTCGACGCAAACCAGAGGCATGCTCAGCTGGTTGCATCGCGACCTGCACTCCCGTCGGCCGCGACGAATTCTATGCCATGCTACTTTTGAACACCGGCTGGCCGCCTATCTCTTTGTTTGTCCGATATGTGTCTGTGACATACCTGACCGCCGAACACTTGCTTTCTGCCCCCTCTTCTCTCATTTGCTCCATATTCCCCGTACCCAACAGGACTCGATCGCCTTGTATCGCTCCTTGAGACTGGCTCGACGCTGGCCGTGAAGCAGACCGCCGCCCAGCAACTGGGCCAGATCGCGGCGTTAAGCGTCAGAGGCGGCGGCACTGGCCTTGGCGCTGGCACTAGCGCGGGTACGGATGCGACGGCGGGTGATGCAGGTGTCAGCAGCGCGTTGAACAATGCTGGCGGGGGCACAGTCAAATCAGAAAAGCAAGCATCGCAAGCTGGCGACGTAGAGCGACAGGAAGCACAGCATGCATCAGGCTCAAACATCAAGCTCGAAGACCTCTCTGCCGCGAGTGCAACCGCGTACCACGGCCTTGATGGCGACTGGCACGAGAGCGTCTACCTCCTCGCCAAGGTCCTCCCGCACTTACGGTCCAAGAGCTGGGACACGCGCGTCGCCGCTGCCTCGGCCATCGAGGTCATCTGCCGCGCCAGCGGCGTTTGGGATGTTCGTTCCGGCTCCAGCCTTGTGGAAGATGGTGGTGGTGCACATCAGGGGAAGGTGCAGACAGTCAAGAAGGAAGAGGCAGATGGAGATGGTGACGCATCCATGGCAAACGGCTCGATCCACTCTGCCGAACAAAGAGAAGAAGACCCTCTGCCTCCAGACACATTGTCCTTCCGCACCTTCTCCCTTGCGAATCTCCTTGCCACGGGCCCTAAGCTGCTTTCGTCTGCCGGCAAAGAGTACATCCTCACCGGCGGCTCGGTCGCCGAGCGCCTCGCGGCCGCCAAGCGCAACCTCAAGAGCCTCGGGCTCGACATGGGCGGCCCCACCGGCGTCGGAGACGACGGAAATGACCTCGGCCTAGACGTAGAGGCCGAGCTGCGAGCGGGTGAGGCGCAGCAAGAGCAACAGCAGGCGCAGAGCGATAGCAAGGAAGACTCTCCTTCTGCTGCTCTTGATCGCGAAGGCCCGGGACTGAGGATCGACAGGTCCAGCAAGGCGCCCTTGTCCTCGTTGCCTCAGCCATGCGTTGGGCTCGCATCCGCGTCCGCCGCGTCTTCATTTGGTAGTGCAGCTGCGGCGGCACCAACGGGAGGCAAGCAGTCTTGGCTTGTCGCTTCGCCGACACTCGCTTCGCCGTCCTTGAGCATTTCTGCGTCATCCGGTCATTCAGGATCTGCGCTCCCCACAATGGCTGCAGCTGCGGTTGCGGAACAGGAGCCACCCGCACCCGCGGAGGTGGACTTGTCGAAGCTGTCGGCGCGGGAGCGCAACCAGCTCAAGCGTAAGCGAAAGATGGAAGGCAAGGGATCCGTTGCTGGTGGCGATAGCAGTGGCGCAAGCACAGCGACGCCGTCACGGAGCGCAGGCGCGACGACGCCGCTTGGCCGTCGCGCGTCCGAGTACTCTGAAAAAACGCGCGTTGTCGAGAGCCCCGCTGCTGCTGCTGCCGGTACCGCATTCAGCAACGGAAGTGTGGCCAATGCGGATAGGCTACGCATCAAGTCTCCCACCCCCAGCGCTGTCGGGCTCGACGCACGGCATAGCGATGCAGCGGCAGCATCTAAGGCGACCAACGGTGAAGCACGCGATCACCTTTGCGCCATAGCTGCTCCCACTGCCAGACCCTCGTCTTCTTTGCAAACGCCAAGCGTCGAGCAGCCCACTCCATCGCCAGAAGTAGCAACGCCAGTGTCCAGCGCGAAAGACGGCTCGGCGTTACTGGCGCCCGCGGGCGAGTGGCCATTCCAGCTCGTCGCACAGGTCCTCGCGGCCGACCTGTTCAACGCGCAGTGGGAGATCCGGCATGGCGCCGCACTAGGGCTCCGCGAAGTCATCCGGACACAAGGCGCGTGTGCTGGCATGTGCGTCGGTAGTGGGGGCGGCGGCGCGGAGAAATTCGCAAACGGGGAGGGTGGTGGTACTGGGTCCCAAAGCGCAAGCGAAGCAAGCAGGAACGTCGCGCTGCACGGGCGCTGGTGCGAGGACATGGCGATCCGCTTGCTGTCTGTCCTATCGCTCGACCGGCTCGGCGACTTTATCTTCGACCACGTCGTCGCGCCCGTGCGCGAAACTGCGTCCCAGACGCTCGCGGCGCTCTTCCGCGTCATGCCCAACGTCGTGCAGCGCGAAACGCACGCATGCCTCATCGCCATGATCCTGCAGGACTACCTCGATGCGTCACCCCGTGCAGCCGCTGGCGCCAGCGATGCGCTGGACAAGTTCGCGATTGGACGTGGAGTCAAGGGGTACAGCTGGGAAGTGCGGCATGCGGGGCTGCTCGGCCTCAAGTACGAGCTGGCGCTCCGGGATGAGGCGGCGGGGGTGCAAAAGCAGGATGGTGAGGTGGGGACGTTGAGAGAGATCGTGAACATGGCTACGCTGGCGTGAGTTTTTAACCTCCCTTGCCCTATTGCCGCCCCTTTGGAGCTGCTAATGAGCCTTTGTTTTCGACTACTTTCCTGCCCATCTACAGCTTACGCGACGAAGACGACGACATCCGCGGCGTGGCGGCTTCAATGCTAATTCCCGCCGCAAATGAGATCGTCACACACCTACACGACATGCTTCCTCGCGTCATCCACCAGCTCTGGGAGTGCCTTGAGCATGCCCGCGACGACCTATCCAGCAGTCTCTCGAGCATCATGGACCTTTTGTCGACGCTTATGCAGAACAGCGTGGTCATCACGCTGATGCGCTCCTCTGCCTCACGTCCCCTTCCGCAGCTCATCCCGCTCGTGTACCCGTTCTTCCGCCACACGATCTCAAGCGTGCGCGCCGCGGCAGTGCGCGCGATCGTCACGTTCCTCGGCATGCGCGACGCTGTCCCGAGCTGGGCGGACGATCGCATCTTCCGCTTGCTCTTCCAGAACATGGTCGTCGAGGAGAAGCCAGACATCCGCCAGCACAGCGCCAACGCATGGGCCACGCTCCTCTCGGCCTTTGCGAGCGACCCAGCGTGGCTTGCGTCGACGCTCGGCCCGCACGTCACGCGCTTCTACGCGATCCTTATGACGCCCCTGGGGCACCGCTTCGACCCGAGCCTGTTCTACCGGCCGACGGGCGCCGCAGCGAACGGAGCACACGACGTCGACAAAAGCATGCTCGCACAGGACTTGACGCTCGTCGGCATGGACAGCATCATCCGCGGCCGTCTCAGCGCAGCCATGGCGCTCGGCGAGGTACTTGCGCTCTGGCCCGCCGAGCGCGTCGGTGCAGACTTTGAGTCGCAACTCGACGCCTACCTGTCCTCCAGCTCTGCCTTGCAGCGCTGCCTCGCCGCAGCGGTTCTGCAGGAATGGGCCGAGGCCTGCTGGCGTCGCAGCGAGTCGGTCATTGCCACATCGCCATCAGCGCAGAAGCTGAGCGCAAAAATGATCGGCATTCTCGAGTCGCCCGCGCCGATCACGTACGCTGAGATGACAACGCTGTTGTTGCGCACGCAGACTGAATGCCAGGCGCTCTGCAACATGTTCGTCCGCGACGGCAAGCTGGCGCGCGACGCGGTACCGGTGCTGTCGTCCACCGTCGATCCGACTGGGCACGATGCAAGCGCATTCAGCCTCGCAAGTGCCAAGACCATCGCCGGTGAGACCTACCAGGCGCTGCTGCCCAAGATCTCGAAACGGACGCAGAAAACGGCTCTGCCGCTGTTGCAGCAGAAGCACCGCGTCGTCGTCGCTTCTATCGGGTTCTACGAGACGGCCAAGTCGAAGCAGGATACACAAATGTTTGCTTCAGTCGCCTCCGCCGTCATCGCCCTCGGGTCCCTTCCAGATAAGCTCAACCCCATCATCCGGAGCATCATGAACAGTGTCAAGTTTGAGGAAAGCCGCGACCTGCAGGAACGCTCGGCGATGGCCGTTGCGCACCTCATCGAGGTCTGTTGCCGATCGGGCGCCAAATCCAACCCTTCTGGCAAGGTCGTTAAGAACCTCTGCGCATTCGTATGCCAGGACACGAGCATCACGCCGGTCTTTGAGGCATCGAGCCACATCTTCGAGGGCATCCTGTCGATCAAGGATGCTAGCATTGGCGTCAAGAAGGACGAATCAGAGGGTACGCCAGAGGAGGCAGAAGGCAGACTCATCCGTCGCGGCGCGCAGGTCGCACTGGCAGCCATCGCTAAGCGATTCGGCGCGTCCCTCTTCACGAGTGTCGCCGGTCTGTGGGATAGCATCGCATCTGCCCTTGATGCAGTCACCGCAAGCAAGCAGCCTGATGAGTTGGATAATGTTCTCGCGAGTGGCAGCGCGCAAGCATTGCTTGACGGCCTCAACGTCCTGCAAACCGTTCTGCCGCATGTGGCCATTGAGCTGCATACAGCTGTCATTGAACTTCTGCCGAAGCTCACGCTGGCCCTGCAGAGCAAATTCGCAGTAATCCGATCTGCCGCAGCTCAAACGATCGCTGCTTCGGCTCAGCAGATCACGTCTTCGACTATGCTGCATATCGTTCACCACATCATTCCATTGCTCAATGACGCAACGTTGTTGCGCAACCGCCAAGGAGCTGCAGAGGCCATCGCGCTCACGGTCGGAGCCCTTGATCTTGACGTCTTGCCCTACCTCATCTTCCTCATTGTTCCACTGCTGGGACGCATGGGTGACCCGAGCGACGATGTACGCTTGCTTGCAGCTAGCACATTTGGCATCCTCGTCAAAATGGTTCCTCTCGAGGCTGGACTCCCTGACCCGGTCGGCTTCCCAACAGAGTTGCTCGACAAAAGACAGGAGCAGCGACTGTTCCTAGAGCAACTCTTGGGTAATAACAAGGTTCAGCACTATGAGATCCCCGTGTCGCTCAACGTCGAGCTCAGAAAGTATCAGCAAGACGGTGTCAACTGGATGGCATTCCTCTCTAAGTATCAGCTTCACGGAGTGTTGTGCGACGATATGGGTCTTGGCAAGACACTGCAGTCCATCGCAATCCTCGCGAGCAAGCACTATGAACGCGATCAGAGATATAAGGCGACTGGTTCTCCTGATTCCAAACCGCTTCCGTCTCTTGTCATTTGTCCGCCTACGCTCACGGGCCATTGGGTGTTCGAGATTCGCAAATATGCAACTAATCTCCGGCCACTGCTCTTTGGAGGTCTCCCAGCTGAGCGCGCGCTGCTCCTCAATGATATCCCAAAGCATGATGTAATTGTCATGTCGTACGACGTTGTGCGCAACGACATCGCATCCCTTTCCCCGATCGCCTGGAATTACTGTATTCTTGACGAAGGTCACATCATCAAGAACGCAAAAACAAAGACGACCAAGGCAGTCAAGACGCTCAAAGCGAATCATCGGCTCCTTCTTTCGGGCACTCCGATCCAGAACAGCGTTCTAGAGCTCTGGTCTCTTTTCGACTTCCTCATGCCAGGGTTCCTCGGTACTGAGAAGGCCTTCCACGAGCGATTCAGCAAGCCGATTCTAGCAACGCGCGATGGCAAAGCTACTGCCAAGGAACGCGAAGCCGCTGCTTTGGCCCTCGAGGCGTTACACAAGCAGGTCTTGCCTTTCGTTCTGCGCAGACTCAAGGACGACGTCTTGGACGATCTGCCTCCAAAGATTATCCAGGACATCGAGTGCGAGCTCGGCGACGTGCAACGCCAGCTGTACGACGACTTCACCAAAGCACAAAGCGGATCGCTTGAGGATATGAGTTCTGGCGGCGAGGACGGCAAGCAGCATGTCTTCCAGACCCTTCAGTATCTGCGCAAGCTCGTCAATCACCCCAAGCTCGTCATGGACGACAACAACCCCAAGCACCTTGCAATCAAGCAAAAGCTGGCAAAGTCGGGCGAGCAGCTACAGTCCATTGCGCACGCACCCAAACTGCAAGCTTTGAGGTCAGTTTTGGCTGATACGAGCTTGGATGGTGCCGTTAATTGACTTCGTTCTTTCTCTCTCCAGGCAATTACTGAATGACTGTGGTATCGGGCAAACACCCCTCTCTGAAGGGGAGGGCGCCATCGAGACTACGGTGTCGCAGCACAGAGTGCTGGTCTTCTGCCAGATGAAGCAGATGATTGATATTATCGAGCATGACCTGTTTAAGAAGCACATGCCATCAGTCACATACATGCGCCTGGATGGCAGTGTCAGCGCTGAGAAGCGCTTCGACGTTGTGCAAACCTTCAATTCGGACCCGAGCATCGACGTGTTGCTGCTTACGACGCAAGTCGGCGGTCTCGGCTTGACGCTCACAAGTGCTGACACAGTAATCTTTGTCGAACACGACTGGAACCCGATGAAGGATCTACAAGCGATGGATCGCGCGCACCGTCTTGGCCAGAAGAAGGTGGTCAGCGTCTATCGTCTCATCACGAAGAACACGCTCGAGGCGAAGATCATGGGGTTGCAGCGCTTCAAGATGAACCTGGCGAACACGGTGGTCAGCCAACAGAACGCTGACAGCCTTGAGGCGATGGACACGGATCAAGTGCTAGATCTATTCAATGTCAATGGCGACAATGCGGTTGCTGGCGGCGAGACGGCGAAAGTGGAAGGGAAGGGCACGATCAGTCAGAAGGCGCTGCTGGAGAGTCTGCAAAGCATGCCCGATGCGGAGGAGAATGAGTATGCTGGCATGACAGCATGGAGGGGCTGACGACGACAGCAGCCTATTTTATGATCATGCATCTCATCAACGGAATTGTCTTTTGCTGCATCGATTAATCGCACACGCAACAAGCAAGTCAAGCATCAATGTACCAGTCGCTCATGTTTTTGCAATATGTAGATGGTGCTGATTTGAATATTCACGCAGGGTGGATTGCGACTGCTAGTGCACACGCAAGACAAAAGATGCAGACGAGCCAATGGTCGACGACTGGAGCTGCTTACTTCTTAAGCCTCTGTCGCTGAGAGCGCTGCTCTTTGCGCAACTTCTTGTACCTGTGTGAGGGGCGGGCAAGCAGCGTGGTTTATCAGCTGTTGCTCAGAGTTAAGTTCCACAACGGGAGCCAAGAACTCCGCCTGGAACTCACTTGTGCTTCCTCATCTTCTTCCTGCGCTTCCGCTTCACGCTGTCCAAGTCCACATGGCGCGATCCCTCGTCCAAGGAAGCATTGAGCAGCGAGACATCGATCACACCTTTCTCATCTGGCCTTGCCGCTGGGCCAGCCTCCCTGCTGTTGCTGCCTTCCACAACAGCATCCATCTTGCGCGTGACGCTGTCCCACTGTAGCGCAGCGGGCAAGCTGTTCTGCACCATGGCGCGCGAGAGGACAAGGTTTGCATCGTTCGGGTCAAAATGGTGCTGCTGTTGCGATCTCCGGGTGCGCGAGCTGATGACGTCCGAGACGTACTGCAGGTCCGAGGCCGTCAATTCGATTGAAGGCTTGCTCTCTTCCTCGCCACTGGCGACATCCTCTTGCTTGACAGGCGACAGGAGCTCCGATGAAACTGGCGCCGCTGGCGCAGGAGGCACCTCGAACGGCCTGCCTTTGAGGACAAGCCAGCTCGCCGTTCCCCGCGCCCAACGGCTATCCGGCCTGCCGATGCTACCAAAGCCACTACCGGGGCCGCCGAGCGCAGCGCCGAGGTAGAACATCCTCTTGCTGCGACCGCCCATCTCTTGTCCTTGTCCGTTGCCCGCTGTCTTTTGCGCACTGCTCGTACCAACAGCACGCTCTCCGAGTACGAGCAGCTCTGCTTCTGCGCCGAGTTTCTGTGCGAGTGCCGGATCCTCGCCGCGCTCGAGAGCGGCAGCGACGGCTTCTTGCTTCTCGTGCACAAGCGCCGCCTCGCTGGTCAGGCGGCGGTACTCGGCAGCGACGACATCTAGGGGTGCGGCCACGGGGGAGAGACGCACGGCCGACAGGCGGTCGATAAGCTCGTTGAAGCGCTCCGTGCTGACATCTTCGATCCTGTGCTTCCACCTCGGACCGGCATTGGCACCTGCTACGGAGTCCTGTCCAATGTACTTGCGGACATCCTGCATGATCTCCTCGATAGCCTGCGCAATTGCCGCGCTCGTCTCGGCCCGCGCTGGACCTTGCTCGCCTTCTGCATCAGCTTTGGCACCGAAAGACTCAACATCAACATCGACTTGCACAACCGCGATCGCATGCGGCGAACCATCCATGCTAGCTTCGTCGCCTACGGCCAGCGGTGACGAGGAGCCAGCGGAGGGGAGCAGTTGTTGGATTTGCTCCTGTATCTCCTGCAGCTCATTTGCACCAATGATCATCTCCTCGCTCGCTGACTGGCTTTGTCCATCTGGGTGGCGAAGAAAGGCTCCAGATCTAGGTTTGAGGACGAACATGGCTCCGCCAGGCACGGAGAGTTGCACTTCATCATCCGCGGAGGGAAGCTGATCGATGTTGTTGGTAGCAGGGTTTGCATCGTTTTGCTGCGTAGCCTCCAAAATTTCCTCAAGCTGCCTAGCGACACTGGTATTGGCAGTTCCGCCAGAGTACATCAGCGCATTTTCCATGCCTGGTGCTTCTGGGCCTGTCAAAACAGACGCAGGCTGAAGAAGGCCGTGCGTGAGCAGGGGCCGGTCTTGCGCAAAGAAACTATCCCATGCCACCGAACCGAGCGAGGCCGGTGGGGCGCGGACTGGCTTGACGCCGAAGAGAGCAGCCGTCTTTGCCGAAGGCGAGACGGTGGGACGCCGTGCTGTTGAGTTGATACTCGCTGAAGGTGGACTCAGCAGCTGGATTCGTAGACCCCCGACAGCGGGATTTGCGTCGAAGAAGTGAGAAGGGGAGTGGGAGCCTCGGGCTCGCTTACTACTGGGTGATCGTGAGAGTGTGCGACCTTGCGTCTTCCTGGCAACACCTTGTGAATCAGACGAAGAGGGAGCAGGGGCCACGTGCTGAACAACATCGTGGCTGTGCGGTTGCTCCGCCGAAGTTCCTTCCTTGGCTGTGCCTTCTTGCTCCTTCCGCTCCTTGTTCTGTACCTGCTGCTGCTGATGGGTTTTGCGCTGCTGGAGTGCCAGGCCGGCCCTTGCACGCGATATCGACGCGGTCCCACGCATAGAAGCTGGCACATTCGCGGCAAGGCCAGCCGAAGAGGTTGCAGCCACATCTGGCGATAAGGCATGCTGCTGTTGCTTTTGGTGCTGCAGCAGATGCGCATTACGTCTCCTCGCAGTCTGCGTGTGTATTCCAGCGGCTACCGATGCCGCTGAGGATGATGATGCGATGTTTGCACTGGTGCTCGCACTTGCGCTCGCGACTCCAGATATGCGGAAGAGCGCGCGGGCCTGCGTGGCTCGTTGTCGCATCTTGGCTGTCTACTCTCTGGGTTGGACCACTGTTACCAGCGGGGCCACAACTCCTACTTTACGTCCCAAGGGAACCTGATCCACGGTCCACAGCCTCCATCCGTCTGGAGCTCGTGCTATCTTTCCAAGGCGGGTGAGTGCCCGAAGCAGAAGGAATGTGGACGAGCAAACCGGTTTCTCAGTCCTTGAGCGTGCATGAGTGGATTTACAAGTGTGGCTCGAACAACATGTGGCCTATGCAGCTAACCCTAAGCTAGGTAAATACCACTCGATGGTCACTGGCAAGCGGTGAGACTGGGGAGATGCTGGGAGGACGCCACAAGTGGCCGCATGGGGTGAGCACGCTGGAGAGCGTTCAACGAGGCGATGATACATCCATCCATCCATTCATCCAGGGACAAGCCCGCCCGGCATGAGGCTCCGCCCCTGTCTCTCTCGCCGTCGCGCACGCTCGTCCTCCTCATCCTTCTCCATCCTAGCGGATAACGGCCGTCAGGGCGGCGCGTAGCAACACAGTTCGCCGGAAGAAGACTGGAGCCCCAGCTGTCGACACGCGAGCGCTGCGTTGCGCTGCAACATCCCCTCTGCTGGTGGTCTGTCGTGGCGCGTTTTTCATGGTTTCACGATCCGCGCGTCATCCGCCCAGGCAACCGAGCTATCTGCTACACACTCATCTCGGCGGGTTCGAATCCAATACACCAAGGAAGCCACAGTGCGGCGATAGAGCAGGGCGAGGTCGACGTGGCGAAAGGAGGGCAGACGGCTTCCGAGCAAGGTATCGTTCGGCACCGAGGCTGCGATGCCACCGGCAACCATCGCGCAATCTCCAGTGCATACCACCGCGTCAAACTCACGGCATCATCTCCATCACAATTCGCCCTTCCATTATCATCACCACCACCAGCCTCAGTCACGCCGAAGGTATAACGCGTCCACATCTGCCACAGCATCCGTGGAGCGCTTCGGCTCCTATAGCAGCGTCAGCAGCGCAGCCAGCGCGCAGCCAGCGCAGCCCCAGCCTCAACCGCAGTCAGCGAGCGCGATGGCGACGCGCAAGCTTTCCTTGCGAGCAGCACCAGGAGGAGCCGCATCGGATGGTACGTTGAGTGGTGCACGAACAGCAACAGGTGCAGGAAGAAAAGGGGGGGATGCGGAAGTAGGGCACGATATCATGCCGGTCTCTTATCATGGCGGCCGCACGTCCACTCGGACAGTTACGACGACCACAATGGCGGCGATATCAGGGCGAGATGCAGGCTCGGGCTCAGGGACGGGGATGCCCGCATCGGCAGGGGGGGTATTCGGCCGTGCCAAAGGCGCTTGTCGCACTAGTGGAGGTGAAGGTGGAGGTGGAGGTGCTGGAGACGATGCATCACGCGTTTCTTCCTCCGCCGCCACTTCACGCGGCAGCGGAAGCCAGAACCACATCTACAATGCTGGAGCTGGAGCCGGCTCTCGCTCTGTCAACGAGGTCATCAAAGGAAAAGTGCAGGAAGTCATCGTGCTTGGCGACAGCAGCGACGAAGAAGGCGGCGCGGGAGGGAATGTTGAGCATTCGCGCGCGTATGTCGGGCTCACCAGCGGTGGTGGTAGTGGTGAAAGCAAAGGATACGACATGAGCGGCCACGCGCGGAATCCGTACAACGAAGAAGACGACATCCTCATACCGCCACCAAATCGGCCGCTCGGACCGGAAGATGCTACTTATGAGCGCACATGGCGTGGCGCGGCGGAGAAGGGGAAAGGGAAAGCAAAGGGGATGGGGAAGGGAAAAGCACCGGATACTACCGCTCTTGCTCCTGCTTTGGGAGTCACATCGAGTGGGCGGGTGACGCGGCAGACGGCGCGAGGCAACGCGAGCGCCGCTCAGGCAGCATCGACAACAGCAAAAGCGCGAAGTCTCACCATCGACGTATCGACATCCGTCTCGGCGTCGCCTGCAAAGCTGCAGCAGCCATCCGCACGGGGAAAGAAGCGAGCAGCACATAGTCCACCGCCAGCCGATGGTACGGATGCTTCTGGGTCCGCCGCTGCGCCTGCACGAGGCGGCGCACGCCCTGCTCCAGGAACAGCGGCATCACGGGCCGCTGCTGCGTCATCCGGGACGCTACGTTCGGCAGTGGGGGCGGCGATGATGGATGAAATGCACGCGTTCGGGCTGAATAGCAACGGCTACAGCAACGGCGCTGGCGTACCGGATGGCGCGACGAGTACGACGACGCGACGGAAACGTGCAATGGAAGACGCGGTGGAGCGGCGGCAGAAGGCTCTCAAGGTATCCGCGACCGATCATGCCGGCAGCAGCACCAGCACTAGTGGCAGCGGCAGCGAAGGTCTGAGATCGCAGCTACCTCCATTGGGGGCACTCCCGCCACGCGTAGCCGGCCCATGCCACGACAGCGGCCTGACACAGCAGCAGCAATATGAAGAGGAGCGCATGCGCAATGCGTCGTCCTCGTCGGCGTACTACTCGCAGATCCTGGAACAGAAGCAGCGTGTGCTGCAGCAGCAGCATCCGTATCAGCACGTGCATCTGCAGCAGTACCAGCACGGCTACGGAGCTGCACCGTTAGGTGTTGCGTCGCGGCACCTCATGACGACGGGCGGGGCGGGAGAGCTGTGGCCAGGAGCTGGGCCGTCGAATGCTATTGCCGGCAGCAGCAGCAGTGGCGGTGTCTCTGCGTTACGATATCGCCAGCGACTTTCGCCTGGCTTGGACGATGTGGCTCTCGGCAGCAAGCGCGGGTCAGTTGCATCGATCGCTTCGCCCGCTGCGCCCAGCCCGCCGCCGCACGGCCTGCCCGTCGACGATGCGGAGGGTCACTTCATCGTGCGGCCAGGGGACAGTGTCACTGCTCGCTACAAGATCCTTTCGCAGCTGGGGCAGGGCACGTTCGGTAAGGTAGTCGAGTGCTACGACCGCAGCGAGCGGCGGCGCGTCGCCATCAAGGTCATCCGTGCGATCCAGAAGTACCGCGATGCGAGCCAGATCGAAATTCGCGTGTTGCGCACACTACGCCAGAACGACCCCAACAACGAGAATCAGTGTATCCACCTCCTCAGCACGTTCAGCTACCGCAATCACGTCTGCATCGTCTCCGAGTTGCTCGGCAAGAGCGTGTTCGACTTTTTGAAGGAGAACGAGTTCCACCCCTTCCCGTCGACGCATATCTGGAGCTTTGCGAAGCAGTTGCTCAAGAGCGTAGCTTGTGAGTTGGCGAATTTAGGCGATCCGTCTTCAATTTGACATGTGTGATTGCGGTAGCGGCGCATGAATGCTGACTTTGAAACACTCCCTTTTACCTCACCAGTCCTCCACTCGCTCAATCTTGTCCACACTGATCTGAAGCCGGAGAACATCTTGCTCGTCGATAGCGACTACGTCAGCAAGCCGTACAGTTCGAGGGTGAGTCCATTGGTCTGTTTGGTGGTTCATGCTAGCAAGCATGCCATACAGACTTTACCTGAACAGCACACTGACTGCGGTTGTGCTTCGATTACGTCTGCTCCCAGTATCCCAACTCGAAGAAATGGCGCATCCTGAAGAACACTGAAATCCGCCTGATCGACTTTGGAAGTGCTACTTTTGACAACGAGTACCACTCGGCCGTCGTCTCGACCCGACACTATCGCGCGCCGGAGATCATCCTCGGCATGGGCTGGTCATTCCCTTGTGACGTTTGGTCGATTGGATGCATCCTTGTGGAATTCCACACAGGCGATGCGCTCTTTCAGACACATGACAACTTGGAGTGAGTCACAGGCGCACCAGTCCGCCCTTGAGGCTGGCTTGACGAAGCGGCTCTGTACTAACCCTTGTGCACTTCTCCTCAGGCATCTCGCAATGATGGAAGCAGTGCTGGGCATGATGCCAGACGATTTCCGACGCAAAGCTGAAACGTACAAGGCGGACTTGTTCAAAGATGGGCACCTCGATTACCCGAACGCCAAGACCAGCAAGACCAGCAAGAAATACGTGCGAGGCATGCGGAAGCTTTCGGTGCGTTCATCGCGCCCTCGTTTCTTAAAGCTCCGGGACTGACTTGTGTGTGTGTGTGTGAATATGTGTTTTGCATGGTATTCTTGCAGGACACGATCTCTTATTCGAGCGCATACAACAAGCATAATACGCGCTTTTTGCACTTGCTCCGGAGGTTGCTCGAATTCGATCCGGACAAACGCATCACAGTCGAAGAGGCGCTCTCGCATCCTTACTTTAGCCTTCATGCGAACGACTTTCCCGCATGAACGGGCAGGAGGCCACGCTGCACGCATCACATTCCTGCCTGTGACGCTTTCATTTGCACCTATTACGCTCATTCACTTGCACCAGTATTTGCAGAGATTTGCCCAGAACATCACATTGTGTAGAATACAGGCGACGGAAATATCCACATCTGTCACCCGCTGGGTTGTGCGAGAACACATGCCGCGCTATGGTCGACTTCCCCGCGTGTCGGACCGCTTCCTTGCTTCTGGGAGGTGAATGGCGCATGGTGCCAACAGATTATTGCGGGCGTCCTTGTGTGCAGTGAGATGAGGCTTGAAAATTGAAAGCGTACATTACAAAAGTGGATTGATCTTTGAGGTGTGATACGGCTGGCGTTGAGACGAACATAATGAAACGCGTTGTCGCGACTCTCATCGCGACGCGGTGTGAGCGAGACACGCTGCATTTTCTCATGAACTCCCCCTCCAAAAGCACGTCTCTCGTCTCTGCTGGCACCTGGCACTTCTGGCAGATAACTGCGGTATGGTTTCTTATGACACTTCCTTTGCCTCTATACTTTAGGAACGAGCTGTGCTACAGGAGACCTGAGCTTCAAGAGCTCAAGCCCGATTTTGTTTGACGGCCGCCAAGATGACAACTTCAATCGACGAGGATGTGACGATGCAGGAGGCGAACGACGTGCCGCCATTGCCATCAGTGCTCAAGGGCAAGGGCAAAGGCAAGGCCACAGATGTTGTCGCATATGCCGAGGAGGATGATTTGCTGCCATGGTGAGCGCTGCATGTCGCCGCTGAGCTTTCCCAAGGTACTTTCATCGGGGTCACCATGCGGGGCTAACACACGCGTCTGACACAGGGTTGAGAAATACCGGCCTGTGACGATGAACGACCTGGTCTCCCACAAGGATATCACATCTACACGTGAGCTCATCATACATTCTATCTCTTCGAATCTATCGGCCTGAATTGACGTAGGTATGCTCTCATCCCCTTGCAGTCGAACGCTTCATTGAGAAGAACAGGCTGCCGCATTTGCTCTTCTACGGACCGCCTGGCACGGGAAAGACATCGACCATCCTGGCAATGGCACGTCGAATCTACGGCAGCAACTACAAGAACAATGTCCTTGAACTGAATGCGTCTGATGACAGAGGCATTGATGTAGTCAGAGAGCAGATCAAGTCGTTTGCGAGCACGCGCAATGTCTTTGCTGCGTGAGTGAAAGCCGCGCTTGTCGCCGCGCGCGACCGACCCTCTGAACTGTTTGTATTTGATTCAGCGCTTCTACAAGTACTGGCGGCTTCAAGCTCATCGTGTTGGACGAAGCTGATGCGATGACACAAGCGGCACAAGGGGCGCTGAGGCGAGGTGCGTTGCAGGCTGGCTATATGCTGTGGTCCATGATATGAGCACACGAGACTGATTCATACCTCGTAATCGCCCCCTCAAAGTTATTGAGCAGTACACCAAGAATGTCCGTTTCTGCATCATCTGCAACTACGTCAATAAGATTATCCCTGCTATCCAGTCTCGATGCACGCGTTTCCGCTTCAACCCCCTGGAGCTGGATCAGGTAGAGGGGCGCCTGGATCATGTGATTCAAAGTGAAGGGTGAGCACAGCAAATCGGCCCTTCAAGAATACCTTTACCAGTGATCAACTGACTGAGATATATGGCCGGCTGTTGTCATTTGTTCGCTCCCTTTGCAGCTGCAAGTTGACAGCCGATGGAAAGGACGCCCTCATAAAGCTTTCGCGTGGAGACATGCGGCGAGCCCTGAACGTCCTGCAGGCATGCCATGCGGCGTATGACACAATCGACGAAGCAGCAGTCTACAACTGTACTGGGGCTCCGCAGCCTGCAGATATCGAGGAGATGGTCAATTCAATGATGACGGACGAATTCACGACTTCCTATACCAGTACGTTCTTCGCGTCTGTGACGAGCCTGGATGTTAGACTGACGAACATGCTGCATGTGTCCCTCGGTCAGAAATTACGACCATGAAAGCGTCCAAAGGGCTTGCCCTCACTGATATGATCACTAGCATCTACGACTTGCTCATGACCGTCAAATTGCCGCCGGCCGCGCGCGTCTATCTACTCGATCACCTGGCATCCACGGAACACAGACTTAGCACAGGAGGGTCCGAGAAGATGCAGCTCACCGCTCTGCTGGGAGCCGTCAAGCTTGCAGTAGAGATTTCAAAGAAGGCAGAGGGAAAGTGAGAAAGAAGGTGCAAGTGTGACTGCATCGCGCTGTACTATACAATATGACAATATTGTCAGTTCAATCACATGCCTGCTTGGAGCGCGGGGGTACACGTCGCATCTTCAGTTGCCAGCGATCCTTGCAGCTGCATGAGATCGTGCACGTTCGCCCTCCATTCCTGCTCTTCTTTCTTAATTCTCCTGATGTCCACCTTTGCGAACCTCCTCTGCGTCGGCGCCCCACGTGGGGCCGGTAAAGTTGCATCAGGCTTCAATGCGACGCCGACGTATCGCCGCTTGGTGTTGCTCGACGGATGTCCCTTGGAGGGAAGCACTCGGGGTAGGATAGGCGATGTGTTGCGTAGCGAAGTAAGTGCGAGAGGCCCTGGCCGAATGGCCTTCTTTGCTTGCCGGAAAAGTGCGGCTGAGCCTGGCGTCGCACCGCCGTAGAAGCGTACCCAGCCTGGTTGGGTGGCGAACAGGGTGTGGTCGCGGCCCATCATCACGTTCTCGCCCGCGTGCCACTCAGTGCCTCTTTGCCGGATGATGATCTCACCCGCATTGACAAATTGGCCTGAGCCGAGCGCTTGTATTCAGCACTGAAGCTCGCAAAGGAGGGGAACAGCAGCCGCATTGCTCAAAGCAATGACTCACCTCCATATCGTTTGACACCAAGACGCTTGCCCGCACTATTCCTGTTGTTCTTGGTGCTACCACCTCCCCTCTTGGTCGAATTTCGCACTTGTATGGCACCACCAAAGCTGAATGTAGGGAGAATAGAGGAGCTAGATGCGATAGGGAAGGGTGACGCTGCGAGACCCCCCGCCCGCGAAAGGAACGAGGAAGAGGATGGTCCGGCTGCTGAGCAGGCAGCCGTCGTGCAGGCGCACAGAGCGGAGCCCGTACGGCTGATGATCCGCCGGAAAGACATGCTAGTTTAGTCTTTCTAGATGGTACACTTAGCTTGCAAGGTACGCTGACGAGTTGGGCGGTCCAACTGTCTTCATATGAAAGATTGGAAATGCTTTCGAGTATGGCCATGGGTGAGGCCGAAAAGAATCTGCGAGAGATGCGAGAAGAGTGCGGTACAGACTCGCCAACTGGAGCGTTCCGCCGTACACAATTCTCCATCCTCACTTCCTCCCTAATGCCACTTCAATGGAGAGGTTCATCCATTCTACTCTTTCACACGCATTCACCTGGCAGATTATCGCTGGCGCTAGACCTCGGGGTCGTGCGTGCACAAGATGAGCGTCCACGGCCTTCCAGCCATCTTCACCACTATGCGGGTGATTCCCGCCGAGGTAGGCGCTACCGGACAGCAGCCGTTTCTTGACCTTCCGTTGCCAGAGAGACTCGTCGCAAGGCTTCGCGACATGAGGCAACAGACAGAAGCTCGAACTGACCCTGGCTTTGGTCAGCTTCAGAAAAGGGTTCCTCTACTGGCGCGACACCTCCATCGCCTTTTTCGCGCGGCAGCTTCCCTGCAGGAGATCCATCCTGAAGCATGGAATCATCTTGATCAAGGAGTTTCAACTGAGGGCGAAAACGCTTTCTCGGTCTGGTTGCTCAACTATTTGCAAAATGGGCTACCTGCAGATGACGGGCGGTTCTATCGCCTACGCTTGGAGCTTTTACCAACCAAATCTACCCCGGCTATCACCTATGCCGTAATCAATCCAGAGAACCAGCCGGATCTATGCGTCCGAATGGACTCTCAAGCCACTCAACCTCGAAGCACGTCAGACGACACGCTTGACTCTTTCCCATTTGTGCACAAGACTTCCGAACGTTCGATATATAGCTCGGCGCAAGCTCGAGTCGGCGCTACGCTAGGAGCTGCGAGTTTCGCCTCTCTCAAAAATCCATGCTTTGACGTGATCATGTGGACGCGAATCGATGACCGGGAGCTCATAACGGAAAGCGGTATCGCTAATGTACTTCTCGAGCGCGGATTTTCGGGATGTTTCACCACGCCTCGAGTCACGCCATCGGGACCTCTACCAGGCGTGATGAGGGCAGAGCTGCTCGCGTCCGGGGTCGTGGAAGAAGCAGAAGTCACTAAAGAGGATCTCGTAAAAGCTGACACTAAGGTGTATCTCTGCAATTCATTGCGAGGGGTTTTTGAAGTGACCCTCGATATATCGCCTTATATACGATGCCTGTCAATACGGGATTGCGACAGCTATGAAAGTACAATTGTGTGGACGCCGCAGTACATGGTACTGCTGTGGGGCGAAAGCGTGGAAGTTTGGTAGACCCTTCACAATTCCGATCATCGCGTCTTCATCTTCCACAGCCATCGTTACGTCTGCATACAGCTCACCTGGCTGCCGCAAGGCGCTTCTTAACCTCCAGCGATGGCACCCGCCTATTTGGAAGGTTTCTTACGGCCTGGCAGTGATGTTGCTTGTTCCTGTGCAGACAACATAGTCATAAAGAGCATGAGTTCGCGCGAAGCTCTCTATGCGGTGTCACCGGTCGGTCGCCACCATGAGCCACCGTCGAAGCGTTCGGCGGTATTGGCAAACGTAACAAACACAGATCGGGTTCAGCTTCCATCAATCAGCATCTTTGTTTGATATGTGTGTATTCTGGAGGTCTCGACCTGCCTGCCAAAAAGTGAGCCACGGGGACACACGGTCGCCGAGCGCTTGCTACAAGATCTCGACGCAGCCGAGATCACCTAACTTGACGTTCTCCGTCTGGTTGGGTACTCACGATGGACCCGGCCTCGGCGCGCTCTGGCCGGTGGCCAAATCCGCCACCACGACGACCGTATCAAAGACATCGTCAAACAGCATGTACCAAAGTGAATCGCGCGGATCTGATCAGCAGTGGTGGCCGTGCAGCAACTGTCTTGGTCTATTCCACACTGTGCTCTCCTGTTAGCACCATTCCATTCATCGCATTGCAGAAGGCAATGCGATGTGGGAGTTGTGACCTGGCGCTTGATGAGGCTTGGGGTTAGGGTTCGTTCCGTAACCTGGAATGCATTCCCGCTTTACTCGTATTGGCCGGCGAGTCCTTAGTTTTGTGAAAAGACATCTGTCTGTGGCTACGGTGGAGCTTTGTTCAGCGGAACGGGCACGACTTGCCCCACCATGTTGTGTCGCAGAAGTAGCCCAGCGCAGAGGCTGGATATAGTGCTGTTCACAGAGAAGCACTTGGTCTGTGCAATGTGGTCCAGAGGCTTCAGGCGTAAATAAAAGGGGAGCCTCGTATGCGGTAGGAGGCGGCAAATGCTGTCGTCGCTAGCTTCTTGCGGCATCAGGGAGATGATCATATGACCCAATCGCAATCACATTGTGCGAGCTTGGTGTGAAGGATAGTGATGTATCGCACGTACCCAGGGCCGCTTACACCATCCCATGCCCTCCATCGCTGGCCGGGCGCATCGCGCGCTCTGAAAGCCGGCTTCGCTGATACGTTAACGGACCCAACACACCATTTTCCTAATCAAATAAAATTAAGTTAAAAAAGAGGCTGCTGACTGTTTTCGTGTTTCACTGAGCGTAGAAAGAAGATTGATCCCGTCTGAAGCTGGGCATTCCATGAAAAGCGTTGAAGAATCAACAACATGTCTGCCTACGTTGCGCACAGCGCAGCTCTCGGGGTCTCAACGAGCCATCAGCGATCAGAAGTGAGCTCGGGCTGCTGGGCTCTGGCAGCAGATGCGCTGATGGTCTCACGATCAATAAAAAGCACCATGGGGAAGATTCGGAACTCGGGTCTCGGACTACTCTACGCCACATTGGCCCAGCTGTAGTGAGCACAACTGGGTAACGTCGTCCACTGGGACGGGCAATGGTGCAAACAACGTCGCTGCTCGACTCCGTTGGGAAGATGTCCGGAAGCCAAGTGAACGTGTCCATTGTCGCCGGATGCAGGGGCCCTGTGCGCCACGGAGGCACGTCAATCTGGCAAAGCTTGTGCGAATGGGAGGGACCCGATGACTGGTAACCATCAGAGGCGCAAGGTTTTGCACCTGCGTCATTACCGGCCAACACTATTACTGAAAGCGCTGCTGCTCTCCTCCGGCGTACTAGTCATCAATACGCTGATATGGGCGCTCTCCGGAGGGATCCTGAAAAAGAATGTGCTTGGACTTGCGCTCATTGCCTGGACAACAGGTCTGCGGCATGGCCTCGACGCGGATCACATCACGACCATCGACAATGTCGTTCGACGGATCATGAACAGCCACAACGAAGGACGGAGCCCAAAGACGCCAATCACGACCGGGACGTTCTTCTCGCTCGGTCACTCGACCATCGTCCTCTCGGTGATCATTGCCATCGCGATGTCGGTGTCCATCGCAAGCAAATTGGATGCCGTTGGAAGTGTGGGAGGGGTGATCGGTACAGCGGTCAGCGGCTCGATGCTTATGCTGCTTGCCATCATAAATGCCTGCATCCTCTTCGGCACCGTTAGGAAACTTCGAAGGGTACGAAGAGGCGCAGATGCCGATGCGGAATGGGCACCTAGGGGCTGCTTTGCGCGAATGGCCAAACCACTCCTTCTCGCAACGGATCACCCGTGGAAGATGTACCCAATCGGTGTGCTCTACGGCATTGGCTTTGACACTGGTGCGCTGACAGAGGCAGTCCAACTGGATTATAAGATAATTCTAGCTGACGTGTAGTTTTACTTTATCTCTTGCACGAAGCGAGCAGCATCGCGCTTCTGAGCGTATCTGCCATTGCATCGACTCGTTCAGATGCACATCGCAATGGATCGGTCGTTCTGCTCGCCCTCCTCTTCGCATCGGGTATGTGCCTTGTCGACTCTCTGGACAGCATCATGATGGTGTACGTCTACTCCCCTAGTGCTATGCGCGAGGGCTGGAAGCTGCTCCGCCCTCCTAGAGATGGTGCCGAGACGGAAACCGAGGCAGGCACTCAGCCAGACTTGCAGACCGCCGAGCAGACAATGGCAAGCAATCCTGCGGAAGGAAATCAGGATGCATCACCGCAGGAGAACAGCAAAATCGCGTCCAATGCGACGGTAGCAAAGCAGACACCTCAATTTCCCTTTGAAAGCCAGCCTGTCAATCTGGAAGCGGGACATCTAGGGAGCAGCCCCAGGGTCAATGTGCTCACTCCGGCTGTGAAGCTCTCATTGGTCATGACCACTGCCTCGATCTTGATGGCCTTTACTATTTCGCTCATTCAAATTTTGAGTCTTATTGCAGACCAATGTGGTCCGTGTGCAGCGGCAGCTGAGAAGCAGCAGGAGACGGGGGACGGCGGTCTCGCTGGACGCTGGTGGCTTGGCTGGCAGGATGCGGCAGACAAATCTACCTAGTGAGTGTAGCAGTTTTACAAGGCCTTGTGCAATGCGGCGCTGGCCCGGGAGAAGCTCCAGTGCTGACCTGGCTGCGTTGCTCCAGCATTGGCATCGGCATTGTTGGTGCGTTCGCATTGGCGCTTGGCTTTTTCATGCTAGAGCAGTCAGCCACGAAGTGGATACGAAAGCGGCGAAAAACTAGAATAGTAGCACAACAAAGCTGAATGACATTCAAAACAGCGTTTGGTGATGCATGCAATACGATGCTTCGACGCTACAACATAGTGTACCTTTACTATCAACGGCGTCATCTGAGCGACGCTGCTACATTGGATCTGCTGGACGCTGGCCCGCTAGCAATGCATCAGGAATTGGACCCGTGTTTTCGTATTCAGACGCCTTTACTCCAGTGGACTCATCCTGCTTTTCGTAATTTAGCAGCTCTGTTTGCTCGAGGTAAAGCTCATCCTTCAACGAATCGGTCCAGCCTTTCATGTGTTCGAACAGAATCGAGCCAAAGATCGAGCAGGTTGCTACGGCGGCCGCAGCAATGTATGAGTGGCGCAGGTATGCCTGCCCATTCGCTCGGGGAATGTCGATGCGAGCACCGTAAAGGCCGAGAACAGTGAGGACAGGCGGAAGAATGAGCGCAATGGCAAGCCTGCCGACCAGGCTCAAGAATGGGATCTCCTGGTCCTTCCAGGCGTCGTATTGTGCGTCGGTCACAGAGTATAGGACGATCTTTTGTACCATGGTGCCTACTTCCCATGCTTGGATCAATGAGATAGTCGGTGCTGGGTGCTCCAGGCCAAATAACACCGGAACTTCCACATCTGAGAAGGAAGAAAAGATCAGTGCCCTGCTATTATCTTCCTACAAAGTGATTAGCGAGAACTCACACTGTTGGAAGTTGAGACCAAAAAGGAGTGGCATCGTCAACCGAACAACGGCCACGTGGCAGAGCCAACGACAAAAGGGCTCAGCCAACCGACGCCATAGCGGAGTGTCGTACTTGATGGCAATGATCTGCACCCCGTCGGCATCCTCCTTGGGCTGCTCGCCTCGGACTAACTTGGAAACGCCGCGAGCCGCTGCGAGAATTGCGAGGGAAAGGCAGGCACCGATGAAGTACGCACGCCCATCGTGCGGCTCCCTATCGCTCAAGAAGCGCGCTGAGAATGTCCGTCCAAGGAGAAGTGGAATGACCATGCAGAGCGTAATCAAAAGCGCAGCGGATAGCCCAAGAGAAGCGACAAAGGCCCACAGCCGAACGCGAAATTGCGGCGGCACGTAAACAATCGTGTACTTCGGCTTCGTTCCGGTCATCTTGGAAATGGCTGCGTGTTGGACTTTGATCGCCTGGCGGCCCCGCTCGTCAAAAGGCATTCCACTCGCATCCGTTCGAATGACAAGGGGCGTCGACATGATGGCATGGTTGTCCGCCGGTACCCTAGCAAAGCTCCCAGTGGGGGGCCGAGAGCCGACTAGAATTACCGAGTTTTCATTGCTGGCTTGTGATCCCTCTTGAGCTGACAACGGTACACCCTCTTCATCGCGGTGTCGACCTCCGCGCAGAAATGATGAAAGACGTAGCTGAGCTGCAGCATACTTCCACCACCGCGAATATAAACGGCGGGTGAGACGCGATGGTTTCGCCTTGCGAATGAGCCATGGCACGACGATCAAAATCGCGACGAGATCAAGGAGAGAGTAGGTCGTGTGCTCGCGGGCCGACGTGCGCAAAGGAAGAATGAAGGACGCCCAAAATCGAAGAGCCACAGAAGGGAAGCCGACAGTGCCGATAAGGACGGCTGTATACATGAGCACCGACGTGCCGAGCTTGGCCATGTGTGTTGTGCTCTTCCGATCGAGAATCTCCTTTACTGGTTGGAAATTGAGGTCGTGCGGATCCCGGATCCAGCAGAGCACACCGGGGCGAGCGATGTCGCGAGTCAGGCTGACAAATTGGGCGAAAAGGAACATGTAAAGGGTGCCTACTACCCAGTGGACGAACAAGAAAGTCAAGGGCGCAGCACAGAGACTACTTATGCGGTCGGCGATGGTGATACCCATGCAGAGCGGCAGAGCGCAGAGGTCGAGAATGAATCCGCAGCCGAGCGGGAATGCCGCAAGCTCAATGCCGATAAAGAAGCCAACTTTGACGATGACAAGCTGTTCATCAATGAAGCTTTGCGCCCAGCTGAAGATGCTGCTGTTGAAATAGCGCGATGCTCGCTGCTGAGCCATTAGGGCAAGAATCCAGTACAGATGCCCAACAGCGACGGCAGTGGCCCTGTCAACCATCCTCTTCCCATAGATCCTCCCGTTGACCCAGGCGTGCAGATTCCAGAAGCGAGAAGACATCCAGCTGGCGGACGAGTTGGCGACCTTCTGAGCGGCAATGACTGAATGCCTTGGCAGCCAAGTGAATGACTCCTTCGCATGCCCTGCATTGGACTTGACTTGGGAAACGATCGAAGATTGGGCTGCTTGATTGGGATTGGGACCAACCATAGTGCCGATGAGCTGGCTCAGGCTTTTGCTGAGGAGAGCGATGAGGCCGTCGAAGAGCGGATCTGTGATGATGCGCAGTCCTCGGATGGGAAGCTTTACGAGCCAAATGAGCCTCTCTCCCGTGCCAAAAAGTCTTCCAATGATGAAGGGCACCGCAGCGAAAACCAGGAGCGCAAAGCTGGACAGCACAGTGATAAGCGCGAGATTCTGCCACAAGGCACTTAGTGGGCCGTGCAAGCCAACAGTTTCAAAGACTCCCATGACTTCATCCTCCCATGCCTGTTGGGCATCCGCCTCTTCCCATGGGTCCAGGTCGTCCCCCATTAGTTCATCAGGATGGCCGTCCTCATTTGCGCCATTGATGGGCACCTCGTTGGCAACTTGGAGGCCATCAGGCCCGTCGATGTTAAGGATCCTCCGTTGCAGTATCCTAGGGACCGCAAACTGTGCGCCTTCTTCGTCCGAAGTGACGTCCTCCCACGCATCGTTTTCTTCGTCGCTACTATGCGAGGACATCGCGTCGTCTGCGTCGGCTAGTGTGCCCATAGAGTCCAGCTGCAAGTTGTCCAACAAGTGTTCTTCAGTGACGCTGTCACGTCGATCCAAGATGAAGGCCTCTTCTTCTGATCGATTGGACGGACCGGGAAGTGACTCGGACCGATTCGCGAAATTCTGCTCCTCAGGATCCAGAGGTGCCAGCCCAAGTGCCTGAAATCTTCGTCTTCTCATGTCGTCCAAACCAGGCCCCTCGCCTGGTCCGTTTTGTGGCAAGTTTGGGTTAGAGACTTGCAAAGACCCTGTCTCATCAACGACGGAAGATGACGTGGGAGGCCAGGTGGGGCCCCCTGCATGGTTATCGTCCCCAGTAGCGCCTCCTTGACCCTTTAGCTCGCGCGCGCCTAGGGCAGTCCGCACCTGTTCTGGCGTATCTTCAAGCGCTTCTCTTCGCTCTCCTATGTTATCAAGTGGGGTCGCGAGCGCGGGCTGCGCGTGCGGGTCAACTCGCGCAACATTCTGCCTTGCCAAAGGGTTCGCAGGAGCGGCAACTGGCGCATGATCGGGCTCCCCCGCTGGTTCTGGAGCTTGAGGCAGATGCTGTAGCACCCACTCCCTAAGCAGGAAGACGCCTACAAAAAGGACGACGATAATGCAGCTCAAGATTTGGCCCTCGAAGCAGTCCTTGATTAACCCATTAACGAGGCCTTTATGCTCCTGGAAAAGCGCTTCAAAAAGAGCCTGGCCTTGCACTTTCGCTTGGTCATCTTCGACCGCTGGTGAAACTGCAGGCGCTTGTGCCGCTGCGTCCTTTGTAGTGTTGGAATTGACGATGAACCAGGCCATAGCATCGGGTGCCGGGCCGGCATTGATACCCCAGAGGATACCGTCCGAGGTCCACAAAAGCCCTCTTAGAGTGAAGATGTTGACGAGCGGCAGTACTACGAGCCATGATAAGGCGCATAGCACGGCACGCAAGAGGTATCGCAGCACCTGAAGCGTCCGGAAGAACAAGCGCCGCAGGTAATGACGCCATGGCAGGTGCCCAGCCGGCATAGACGCTTTATAGCGTTTGTGAAAAACGTACGAGTGGTTACAGAGCTCGCAGTATTTCTTCTTACTATGTTGGAGCCATTCAATCAAGCTGAACGTTCGGAGATAGGGTAGTTAGCATATTTAATGCCACATACATCCACATAAAAGCACTGACCATGCTTGATGGCACGATCTGATCGAGCCGGTACACTTGCAAGGATGGTAGAGCAGGGCGTCTGGCTCAGGGCCGCTCCTGCAGATCCTGCAAGTCTCCCCCTCTGCATCGGCAGCGACATCCATTTTGCTTCAGTGTTGTAGACCACCACACAAGGTGTCGAAGCAATGTTGGCCGATTGTCAATAGCAAGCTCACGGCCGCAATGTCAATGATTCGGGCGTACGCCGTGAGATCCAGGTGTCCTACGATGCTCCCGGACACATCGCCTTCGCTGGCTCATCTAGCCACACGGGGTAGGGACTACGCTTGATGGATAGCCTGAGACCAGCGTACTATGCAAGCCTACCTTGGCGTGCTTGGACCAGTCTGCAATTGAAGTGGTGTGAAAGACGGTAATGCAGAGCACATATTCCTGGAGGAGCAAGCAAACTCAGCTTGTAGCTGAATATCAAGTACCAACCTATGATGATGGGAAAGGTGATGACTTCCGCCACATATTTTTGCATCAGAATGCCGTCAAAGACGGGTTCGATTGATTTCTTTCATTTCCTTGGTCCTACCTAGGGTGAAGTCATCGCCTTGACAAAGCCCTGTTATCCCACAAGCCCCGGGGGAGCTGCAAGACGCACAGCAAGAGAAGCCAATCCATCCTCATTGCGGGTTTCACAAGCATGCCACCGAAAAGTGAGTAGTTAGTCGGTGCCACCAACCGACAGCAGGTGCGGCGACGCAGGATGTGGTTAACCATATTATGTGCGGTCCATTCGAATTTATACATCGTCATCAGCGAACTCAAAGGCTGCCGCTGGCAGGGCGCGGAAGGCTGAGCAGACAGACAAGAAGGCAGTGGAGGCCTCGGCGAAAGCCGAAGCGGCAGAGGCGGCTCGATGGGAAGATGGCGCGAAGGGAAAGTCTGCAGCAGATATGAAGCGAGAAAAGGCTGAGGAAGCGGCCCGCAAGAAGGCGGAGAAAGAGCGCTTGCTAGCAGAAGAGGAGGCCAGCTTGCCAAAGCAGCAGAAGTTGGCTCCGAAGGCTGGCGGCAAGAAGGGTGGCAAAGGGACGTCAGGCGCAGCATCCAGCTCTGGGTTTGATGATATGATCAGCTCGCTGTCCGCTTCCAATATCGACGATGCAATCGACGCCATCGATTTGGCAACCGAGAAGACCTGGGACAAGGCAGCGATGGGTTCAAAGGCAGCTCAGATCGATTCACACCCTGAGAGGAGATTTAAGGCAGCTTTTGAGGCTTACAAGGAGCGGGAAACCCCGAACGTCAAGAAGGAGCATCCCGGGTTGCGGAAGACGCAAGTCGACGACATTCTGTACAAGCAATTTCAGGTGTGTCGATCGTGTCTCTGTGTAGCAACGGCCGCAGACAGAAGGGCTGATGAGGACACTCAAATGTACAGAAAGCGCCGGAAAACCCATTCAACCAACTCACTGTCGCATACGACGCTGGTAAAACCGAGAAGATGGCAGCATTGCAAGCTACGCGTGAGGAGACAGCAAAGCGGCTCGGTTCGTAAAGTATCATCCTGTCGTTTCTGGTACTTGATGGCGACATCGGTCTTCACAAAGACTTGAATTTGTCATCGCAATAGATAGTTGGTAAAAGTACAACATTGGCGGGATACATCTTTTAAAAGGGGGACACACGCGCATTTTAAGCTGTCCTCAGCTCCTCATCGACTAATAGAAGTACGGCGCTGATGGCGATGACCAGAGAGAGAAGGCCTGTCATGAAATTGACAATCTTTCCACTCCTTGCATGTTCGACATCTTTGTCTGCAAGATGGAGCTCGATCTTCCTTCCAATTGCAGAAGCAATTTCCCTCGGGCCTGAATGGGCCATGACGGCACCATCAGCCTGGCCATCGCACATGGGATGGGCTGATCCTGCTTGCGCTAATACGTCTATCCGCTCCAGAGCGCGCTCTCTCTGTAAATAGTCGAATGTGCCGATGCCCAGGGCGAGCAGGGCGACGACGAAATAAATGAGGCCCAACACAAGCGAGCCCGTAGCTGTATCTAGCACCCCCCTAGATACTTGTTGCTTCAATGCCACTTTCGGCATCTGAAAAGCACTCGGTTCGAGAAGGGAGTTTGTAGTCTGAAACGTGAGTAGTTCTGATGGTGGGGGAATTGTGTCAAGGATGTACCCTGTCGCCTTCTCAGCGAATCCGTATTCACTTTGCGCAGGTGCAATCTTCATCGCATATATTCTCTCTCGCCACCGGCGCCGCAGAGCTCGTTGAACGGAAAGTCGCGAGCCTTGAGGCCCGCGAGGGTCGACAAGCAGCACGCTGGCTTTTGGACTTGACTGGACGTCATCAAGATTGAACCGTAAGAGCAAGAGCCCCGATAGCCCAGCCATTACTGCAGAGGTCTTGACCCAAGACATGAACGTGCGTTCACGTGCTGTGACCATTGAGACGTGTCAGGATTGCATTCACGGTGAAGCATCAAGCCACTGCATTCTCACCGCAGAAATCCCTCGTCATACTACTTGCGACATTTCTTACCATGAAAAATGAAGACACGGCAGTATCGATCTTGGAGAGAAGCCGAACTCTCTGCCCCACTGCAGCTGAGTCAGCCATCGAAAAGGAGGGACCTTGTTCCAAAGTAGGCGCAACTTCCCCTGGAATCGGTGCGGGGGAAGGGCTACGAGAGTGGAGGGTAGAGCGAGGGTAGGCATTCGGGATGTGAGGTGTCAGACGGCGGCTTTGGCTCTTTGGAGGCACGGACGCCATACTAGACGCATCTGCCATACTTCTGCAAATATTTCAGTCGGCTGCCTGCAGCAAGCTTGAAAAGGACCTAATTGTCTAGCTACCAACCAGCTGTCGAGGCTTCTTGCGTCGCCCGATTCCACTTCCCACGGCGCCACGCGCGAGTCTTCGCTTGCGCCAGGATCTGTAACGAGCTTATTCGACACACCTTGTGATCGCTGAAGCGGCTCCTGCCCATTGACCTCATGCAGTCGATCTAGGCCATAATACGTTGAAATACGATGCGCAAGAGATTACTGATGTGCTCCAACATGACTGCATGACGCAAGACGTCGGGTTGCCGGCATATATAATATGAGTTCACGTAGTTCCTATATGGCGACGGCGAAGCACTAGTCTTCGAAACAATGCGCTTTGTGGCTTAGTTCAGCTGCCCCGGTAGGTCGGCCTCCTTTTCGTTGTACTTACTGGGGCCGTCGCGCGCCAGCCGCCAGGGGAGAGCGCGACTAGTTCGATGAGATCTGGTTTTCGACGAGGTTAGACCGATGCGTACTACGATGGGAGAATAAGAAAGAATAAGAAGACCTGCGAGGCAATTGGGATTGACATCTTTGCATTGATGACGGCTGCTTTCTTCACGTCGTTGAGAGTCCATTGTATACCGAGCCAAGGGACAAGAAGCACACCCAGTCGGGAACGTCCTAAGAATCAGAAACATGGCTCCCAAGCAGCCATCTACTAAGGGCGGCAAGAGCAAGAAAAAAGGCGGCGGAGGCGTCGACATTGCACAGGCCGAGGACGATCCTCTCCATGCAGTAATTCTCGCCGACTCTTACAACTCCCGCTTCCAGCCCTTGACGCTGGACAAGCCGAGATGCTTATTACCCCTCGTCAATGCACCGCTTATCGACTGGACCTTGGAAGCCTTGGCGCTGGCTGGTGTGCAGCACACCTACGTTTTAGCCCGTTCTCATGTCGAACTCATTCGTGACCATGTCGCTTCCCGCATGGACAGCAGCATGATCACTGTTATTGCGACTCCTGAGGCGAGAAGCGTGGGCGACGCAATGCGAGAGCTCGATACCAAGCAACTCGTCAAGTCAGACTTCCTACTTGTGCACGCAGACTGCGTCGGTAACATGGACCTAGCCGAAGTGATCAGGATCCACAAGGAGCGTCGGAAAGCCGACAAGGACGCGATCATGACTATGTGCACCATGTCGACTGCTGCGGGCAGTCGCAGTCGGTGCGTTTTCCCATGAGTCTCTTACAAGAAACCCGGATTTTGACACCTTGCTTGCAGACCATATGGTGACTTGGCACTCTTCTGCCTGCAAGGTGAAACGACTCAGCTCTTGCACTACGAGGCCCTCCCCGCGATACCGCGAAAGAAGGGTATATCGCTGCCTTCCATTCTCTTCGATGAGAAGGAAGGACATGCGGAAGTCGAGTTGCGAAATGATCTCGTTGACTGTGGTGTCGATGTCTGCAGTGTCGACGTGCCGCCGCTCTTCTCCGAAAACTTTGACTACCAAGACCTGCGCCGCGACTTTGTAACGGGGATTCTCACTTCCGACCTGCTAGAGTCAAAGATATACGTACACGTCGCGCCATCGTCGCCACATCGGATAACCGCATCCAGTTCCAGCACGCGAAGTGTGTGGGCCCCTCGAACAGGAAGGGGCTGGGGTTATGCAGCGCGCGTCCGGGACCTTCGCACCTACGTTGCGATCAGCAAGGACGTGATTTCCCGTCGGCTTGCACCTCTCGGTCCTGGTGGCAACATGCCGGGTGGAAGCCGTTACAGTATTAAAGCTGGCTTGCGATATACGGGAGACGATGTACACCTCAGCCGAAGCTGCAGCATTGAGTCTGGCACGCTTATTGGACCTGCCTGCAAGATCGGGGAACGGGTCACGATCCGGAGGAGCATCATTGGGCCAGGCTGCATCATTGAGGATGGCGCTCATATCTCGGACTCGTACATCTGGGCAAATTGCAAGATTGGGGAAGATGCCACGATTCAAGAGAGTGTTCTAAGTGAGGAGGTTCACCTGCTAGAAGGCGTGAAGGTCGGGCGAGGGACACTCATCGGTCAGGGCTGCATCATTGGCTCGCGAGTTAAGCTGTGTCCCATGTCAAGGGTGGCCAAGATCAGGTACTCCGACGCGCAAAGATTAGAGGATGAGGACGATGAAGACTTCTCCAGTGCCCCGCTGGCTGCCGAGATGTCATCAAACCAGGCCCAGAATCCATCTTTCTCCTCAGGGTCGTCAGACCTTGGGGTCGGGGGTCAAGGCTTCCTCTGGCCTTTGCGCGGGCAAGAAGGCGCCGAAGATGATGAGGACATCTATGACGACGACATAGTGGAAGACGCGCGAAATGTTGCAATCTTACAGCTCGCTGCGGGAGACGAAGGGGTGCAACTGTACGATGACGCGTCCGACCTTTCGTCCATCGACGGTGATTCTGACTTTGGTGAAGACAGTGATGACGAAGTCAGTGCGATCTCATCGGCAACTTCAGCAGCGGCCAATTCGCGAATGGCAGGCAAATCAACGGCAAGGGCTTCAGGTGCGCGAGCAGATAGCGGTATGGGCGCTAGGAGTGAAGACATGAAGACCTCCTTGACGCTGAGCGGCTCGGCAGCCACGGCAGGCGAGAAAGCGGCGGCGCAGCAGCGCCTGGTCGACTTTCACGAAGAAGCACTCGCATCTCTTAACCGCGCTTACGATGAAAAACACCAGATCTCCAACATCTCGATCGAACTCAAAACGCTGCGCATGTCGAGCAACGTACCACCAAAAGAGGTGTGCTCCACAGTCGTTGCGTTCACACTGAGCAAGTGCGATGCAACAAAGCCGAAGGAATTGGTCGAAACGATGGACCACTGGGGCGAGCTCATTGCCTCGGTCGCTTCTGATGACGAGATTGAGGCAATTAGCGTGATGCAGGTACGTGTGCGGTCTGGCCTGCTCCAGCCGATGATCGCTTCGCGCGTTACTCACATACCTCCCTTTGGCTGCCCCTCTTCTTTTTGCAGGCCTATTGCGCCGCATTCAACGAAACACATGGCCGCCTCTTTGTGCCGCTGCTCAAGAAGTGGTACAACGACGATGTCGTGTCGGAGGAAGGTATACTGGAGTGGTACAAATCGCCGCGATCGAGCAAGCCTCCTGCACCTACAGAACATCTCCTTAGCCATCCCCAGCTTGCATCTAGCCAAGCAGGAGCAATGGGTGGTGCCGTGATGGCCGTCGATTTGGAAGTCTATGCCGGGCTCAAGAAAGCCGCACATGAAGTCATCATGCTCTTGCTTGAGGACAGCGAGGATGAAGACGATGATGAAGAGGACGAATAGCGCTGCGTAAAACGAGTACGCAAGAAAAGGTGGCGCGTCTCTTGCATATCCCAACGTAATCCTCGTTCACGTGTTCATGAAATGCTTTCGATACTTGTATTAAGCCTCTGTGCAATGAATGCGGTCATCACCATGTTGCTAGCTGCCTACGGTGGGCTATGGGGGCCATGGGTAGGGTCAGTCGAGACTGAGGCTTAAAAACTGCGCGATTTTGTCGTGGGCGTGCGATGCGTGCGGTGTAAAGAGGTGTTGTATCATCACAAAACAAAAGGTAAAATGCGTTCATTGCCAAGCAGGCGCGCTACTCTAGTCAAAATCTGGCCGATGAGCACCGGGCTGTTGTCTCCAATTACACAAACTCCCTCTGGCTACGACCTAATACTGACCAATGTCACGATTTGTGGGGAGGAGGAGAGGATCTGCCGCAAAGGACAGAAAGAACCACGTGGCAATGTATTCAACCCTGCCGCGGCAATAGGCCCAATCATCGGCACATCCACAGCCTCTCCCCACTACTCACTCATGCTGGACTATGGTATATATATATATACATGTATGCCCAACTGACTTGTATGAATCTAGCCATTCTCCCTCCCTGCCTTTATAGATTGCCTCTGCACCTATTGAGATGGGTGGGTCTATTGTGAGCGGAAACGTAAAAGACACAGGGCCAGAAGAGTGTCATAAGTGTGGGAAGCAGATTCTGGCAGAATTGGACTCTTGAGTGACATCCCAGCTTCGTATGCTTGTGCAGTACCTTGCGATTTGCAGTGGCTAAAAAGTGTTACGCTTGTGAGGTGTGTCTGCCATATGCACCATGGATGCAAAACAGGCAGGGAGTCTCCAAGTGCGTTCTCGTGGTATAACCCATTTTGGATATCTGCCCCCCAGACACGATAACTCCGTCCCGAGAAATCAGAAAGGCCAGTTCAGCTGTAGCAGGCAGTGGCCTGCAGTGGCTACAGTACCAATGTTGTCTTGCAGTGCCTTGCGTTCCGCCGCACCGCCGCACCGCGGCACCGGCGGGATCGCTAGTGCGGCCGAGCCGCATCAGGGATAATCGCCAGCTTGCTTCGGTTACCGGGGCAGCCACTAACAAGCACAAAGATACCGCACGGGCGCGCAATCGGAATCTGTTGTGGTATCTCGCTCGTGCCGTGCTGCCATCGACCTCTTCTCGTCCTTATTTCAGATGGGCTTTTCTGCAGGTGCAGCTATCATCACTGCTCTAGAGATACACACCCGCCCGCCGCCTGGCCAGTGGCCACCAGCACACAGCACCATCTGCTTTACCAATGCCACAGGTAGACAGACGAATTGGTCACACAATGCCCAATCCCGTCGGCGTATTTTGATTGTTATTCTGCGACACATGTCATGACCATCCCCATCTTTTCCATACACCCGTCTCATTCCAGTCAATCATCAGTCCCTTTTTGGCCGGGTGCAAGGACCTACGTTGTACCGTGCCAGCCAGGCTTCACACTCGCCGAGCACTTTTCCTCTCCTTGGGTTCTGGTTCGTCTTTTTAGAAGCATCTTTTCTCTTCCTCTCTCTTTCTCTTCAAGACGATCTTTATTAGCCTCGTCGCCGCCGCGACATTGACCTCGAAGCGGCACCGAGTGGACGCACCAGTCCAAGCTATAGAGCCGGATTGCACCCAACAACACTCACACTTCGTCCAACAGTAGATTCGACCAGCCATAATGCAGCTCAACTCGTTTACGCTGCTTCTCGTAGCTCTTGTCCCCGCCGGCCAAGCACTTGCCGGGCACATGGGCAAGGGCATCCCAGGCCACCACATTCAGAAGCATCACCATGACCTCGCCACACCATCGCTGCTGAAGCGGGCTCCGGCAGCGGCCGCGACCAACGACGCGAGCTTCGCCAATATTAACAGCACCACGGCGCAGTGCAAACCGTATTATATCGAGTCAGTCAGCGCCTTCTCCAAGGAGTTCCCACCCGTGTGGGAAATCGCAGACATCCTGCCGAACGACACCGAGGCGCAGCAGATATGGCAGCGGATCCAGGCATCGGGCAAGATCCCCGACATCGCCCCCCGAGGGCTTCCGACCGGCAGCATGCAGGGCAACGGCTCACGATACGATGCGGTTGCTGACCCGGATTGCTGGTGGACAGCAACAAAGTGCACAACGCCAAAGCATCCAGGCATCCCCAACGACATTGTCACATGCCCCGAGCCACACATATGGGGCATTTCCTTTGACGACGGCCCAAATTGCACGCACAACGCCTTCTATGACTTCCTCAAGGAGAACAACCAAAAGGCCACCATGTTCTACATTGGCTCCAACGTCATGGACTGGCCACTGCAGGCTCAGCGCGGCCTCACTGACGGTCACCAGTGAGTCAACGTTCTTCTGGTTACCTCTTGACACGGCTGCACCAGGCGGGCGCGCTGATCCCACGCACTTGGGCCGCTTGCTTTCTTCCTTTCAGGCTCTCAGCACACACATGGAGTCATCGCTACCTGACTGCACTCACCAGCTCGCAGATCTTTGCCGAACTATACTACACGGTCAAGGTGATCAAATACGTCGTCGGCGTGACCGTAACGTCGTACCGCCCGCCATACGGTGACATTGATGACCGCGTGCGGGCCATCGCCAACGCGCTCGGCCTCGACACGATCATTTGGACCGACGACACGAATGACTGGCAAATTGCACCGCAGGGCCCTTCGCCGACTGCGGTGATCGACCACAACTACGGCTCCATCATCGCCAAGGCTACATCCACCCCGCTGGACCAGGCCGGCATCCTCGTCCTCACGCACGAGATTAACGGTGAAACAATGGATGAGTGGATGAAGGAGTACCCGCTGGTGAAGAACGCGTTCAAGCACGTCGTCCCCATCGACACATGCCGCAACAAGACACAGATCTACCAGGAGCAACAGTATGTGTACCCGAACTTTTCGCAGTACATACAAGGCAACACAATGCCGCAAGGCCTGCCGAAGGCAAACGCGATCAAAGCGAAAGCAGCGCAGTACACCATCACGGCTAGCCAGCCGAGCCGGCCATTAACAAGCACAGCAGCTGCCAGCAGTAAGGGTACAGGCAGCCAGGCCGGTTCCAAGAGCGCAGCGACTGCATCGTTCTCCTCATCCACCCTCGTGCTCGTCGCTGTTGCTGCTGCCGTCATCGTAGGGAGCTCCGTCACGCTTGCGCTCTGAACCGCTCCCGCACATCTGCATTCTAATCACTGTCCAGACGAGCTCCCACCTCAACCTCGCATTTAACTTCTTCGCCTCAAATCATCCGCTCATTAGTGCACATACACCACAGTTCCACCCCACTCAACGTCCATTGTAGCAGTAACATAAGCCCCTATCCGCTTTTTTCGTCTTTCGCACATCCATCGCCGCCGCCGATGCCATCATCATCGTTCTCGCTGCAGGCGGCCGAGCCCAAACAACGCAAGGCATACAGATTCATCAGAAGCCACTCGACGAGACAGTGTGCCTTGTAGACCGGCCCTATTGTCGATGATTATGTTAACAAGACTTTATGCAAGGACGGCATGACAAGCCGCCGCGAGGCTCGTGTGCAGGCCCTACACGGGGGCCGTTCGATTATCACATGTCACCACACACGTACTTAACTGTGCAATCATCACGGACTATGTAATCACCCACCTTTCTTTTCGCACCCTCCGCGACTTCGCTTTCCCGTGCCAGGCTGGCGTACGCGCACGTGACGATGCCATCGTCAACGGGGGCCCACGCGCACCAGCACAGAATGGATGCGATCGACGCGGAGGAATCACAAGAGGAGGCTGGAGAAGCAGCGGCTCTGGTGTGTCTGGAACAATCCTCGCCGTCTGCGTTGTTTACTTTTCTCTTGTCTACTCAGTACGCTCCGCCTCACCTTACCGTCATGCGGAACTGCACAGTCTACCTGCTGCTTACATCTGTGTATTTACCATTCATACTCTTCTGCCTGCTTCCTCTCTGCAATTAAAAAGCAATTCTCGACGCGCAAAACTTCAATGCTGCTGCCACTATACATGTTCGCGTGCTTGTGTGGCATTTCTACCGTTTCATGCTACAAGCGTCGTCAGAGCCCTTCCGCACATGATTGTCGAACTGCTGCCAAGATTCATACCATCCCCAGCCCCTTTATCGTCGTCTTAGTAGTTGCCACAGCACTCGTGGCCGTAGCAGGCTTGCGCACGTAATCCGCAATCCAGCAATTTCCCCTCGCCGTACCAATGCAGATCAACCCAGCAGCTTCATCGATGCAGATCTCCGTTAGTACGTCTGATCTGCTTGGCACCCCGAACGAGCTGCCGATCGACGAGGACGGTGAGGAAAAGGCCGCAGACCCAAATGGAAGCTCCGAGCTGGTGCTGGGCGCGCGCCTATCGGGTGTGCCCTGGGTCGGCGGCGTAGGAGGTGAAACTGCCGCGGACTCAAGACCGACAGCACGCGGCGGCGATGCTGGTGCCGGACCGGCAGGGCAGACCGTCTTAGGTACCGTGGGACGTAGAAAGCTACTCGAGATGTCGTTATTTGGAATGTTGCTGGAAGGAGCCGGGAGAGCGGGAAGGCCGACATCCGGTATCGGTCGAAGAGGAAGCATGGCGATCGTTGCGGCATCGACACTTCCAGAATCATCTGGTTGGCGAGTTAAGGCTCGAATACACGACACAGGTGGCACTCCACCGGTCAGATTGCTCATCAGCACCGCTCGCTTGCCCAATGCGCCGATTGCACCACCTGTAATGCGTTCGTTCGGAAGCGCAGCTCTGCCAATGACGCGTGGCGGCCATTCGTAAGGGAAAGGATGGCTAGACGGGCGCTTCTTCCGCTGGAAGGCGTAGTGCAAGACCGTTTTACTGTCGATCATCTGGAGGATGATGCGGCCGCACTTTGCATCGGCCGTCTTGCTGCGCTGGCTCGTACACCCAGGTCGGGGCCTGGGTTCCTCGCTTATAGTCACGCTGAGCAAGGGTCGTGAGGATTCATCAGGTGTTTGTCGAGCGATGACTCGGCCTGGCGGTATGGGAGTGTCCTCCTTCAGGTCGATCGTGCTGGGATCAGGATGCCTGTCTTCGAGAAGCGATGCACTTGGATTCATTCTCGGCGATGGTGCATCCGAGAGTTCGGAAGTCTCTTCGGCAGACGATGGCAGAGAGAAAACCTCGATCGATCCTGCGCGTGTCACGGAGATGACTGAGTTTTCTAAGAGCTTGACAGAAGCAGTCGAGCATCGCGATCCTGTTTCCATCGTTGCTCGCCAGCCTGTCGTCCATTTGAAGACGTGGATGAAGCCGACGTAGGTCCCAATGGCTGCAGAAAATATTTTATTAGTAGCGCATCCATCTGGACTTGTTTGTGAGTTGGTTGAAAGCTTACTTATGTAGTCCCCGCGCAATGACACGCAATGTGTACCAAACCATTCCCGTGGATTCAACGATGCTCTCTGATCGAGCATGGCCGGCCGCTTGTCCAAGTCGAGCACGTACACAAGACATCCAGCGCTGCTCTACAAAGTGAAAGAAAATAATGAGCTTTCCAGATGGCGAATCGTTTTGTTTCTGGCAACCTGGCAATCCGACTCACATAGTACGATCCCACGACGCAGACAAGCCTTTTCTCGTCTTGACTCAACTCTGCGTCCACACACGTGATATCACCACCGGTGTCAATCTCACTGAGTAGCACCTGCTTTCTTCGCTTGCGCCTCTCATTCGCAGCAGTATTCGTAAGAAGGCTGCTCAGCTCGTTTGAGCCAAAGGACGAGCTAGGAGGCATCTCGCCCGCTGTGCTTCTGAGCTCCGCCGATTCTTCATTGTAGCTGGTTTGCTCTGGGATGTTGCTGCCTTGTGCCTCCGGCAAAGGATTTGACATGTTCCATATTCGAATCCAGCCGTCTACAGCGCCGGTGACGAGGTATCTCCCGCATCGACCTGAAACGATTTTCATGCATGTGATACGGTCGATGTGCGCCCTGGTCCGGAAGACGGTTTGGGGCTCGGAGCCGTAAGTGTTCCATCTTTCAGACAGCTCCTCTGACGTGATCAGCATCGAAATCAATTCTTGAACCTTGTCCTCGTTGGTACCGTTGGAATTGTCGGATTTAGGAAGCACAGGATGCTCACGTTGCCAGTCGTCCAACACCGTCGACCACAATGAGATCGACTTACACGCGAAATGAAGCGAACGACATACTCTGTTGCAAGACAAGATAGTGCTTGGCGGGACGAGTCGTAAGATCTTGATGATCAGCTCGGTCGGCAAAGATGCTAGCGACGCCGCTCGGCCGTTGTTCCCTGCAAGATTATGGCCGTCCGCAACAAATTCGGCTGCCCGAAGCACCGTCGCCATTTTTGCATACGCTCGAATCGACCAGCTCGACCGCCTGGGGCTGAGCCCTCAATAGTGGCCGGGCGGTGTTTTCCATGGGCAGTGGCGTTCAGCAACGTCTGCACAACAGTCGTGTGTCTCCCATGGAACGCCCATTATTCTTCCTGTTTCACGGTCTTGGGCACTTGGCACATTGAAACTAAGGAAGCATCGTGTCGAATGCGTTATCAAGGCTGAATTGATGTGCTCGTGTTTAAGGCATGCCGGTTCCGCTTGTATTGACCCCCCAAAATACTCCATAGCTCAATCATGAACTTCGGTTGGCATTGATATATAAGCTTTCTTCGCTTTCACGATCTCTGAGTTGCTTTGCAGCGCCTCATCGCACAGACGAGTGAACCGTTTCGGGATGCTTTTTTCTCATTAGCAGCATCCAAAGCTTGCACGGCAGGAAAGCAAAACGAAAGGACGCGACGCGACGCGGGCCTGTGAGAAAATATCCAGGTCTCTGGCATTTGCATCATTCCCACGGAAGGCTCGCATCAATCCTGAGAATAAGCCACATCGGAGAACCACACATGACGAGGTGCGCTTGGTCTTTGCCAGACAGATGACCAATCATAACTTCAAAGGAAATGCCCATGGAAAATACGTGCCATAAAGGAGAGAGGCTGGACACAGAGAGACATCCAACCCAGCAGCAGGGCAAAGCCAGCAGCAGCCCTTGCTGTCGACTTTGGCGGATCCATCGCTATTGCTGCTGGCGCTGTGTCCACCCTAGAGAGAGGCAATCGACTCAAGCTCGCTGAGCATTCCGGTGCAGCTCGGGCTTTACGTCCATGACCTTTTGCAGCAGATTCTTGACGACGGCATCCTGGTTTTTCTTGAAAGCTTGGTCGATTTCTAACAGCTTTGCCTCTGTCTCTTTGTCCACTGCGGTCTGGACGCTGGTTGCCGAGCCCTCGTACTATGTGTTGGAGAGGAGACGATCAAAGTTGAACTCTCGTGAACGACACTGGACCACGATGGTTTGAGCAGCACTCACCTCCTTCTGGAATGCCTTGAACTCCTGTTCTTTCTTTGCCTTGATGTCTTCAATTTCCTTGGCTGCTTCCGTTCGCGCGTCCTTGAGCTTCTGTGTCCGATCTGTATCACAATGTTGCGATGGCGTAAAAGGGCCGAAGGATGTTTCAGTCTCGTCACTTGAACAGCATGTCCTCTTTCGCGCTCATGTGACACTGACATGTCCGAGCCTTTTGTACGATCTTTGCCGCCTCCTTCTCCGCCTCTAGCAGGGTCGAGATACCCTGGGATTGTTGAGCAGCCTGCATGCAACGCAACAATCGGAGAGAAGCGGCGCAATTAGGAATCAAACGATCAACACAATTTCGCTGCGATGCTGCGCATTTGTACGCCACCCGCTGAGCATTTAGAGCTTACCATGGTGCACGTCTATGTTTACTTGTCAGCCGTAATCTCCGTGCTGTGAGCCAGATCTAGGGAGGCTGATGTCTTGTATGCGACGCCTCGTACAGATGCTAGACTTCGGTGCCCTTTATTGTTGGTGCGGTTCAGGAGGCAATGATGCGCAGTGGTCGGCGCTGGGGCCGCAGGCTCGTCTTGACTTGAAGGTGTACCGAAGGCGGAACGGCTGAGATGCTGCGCTCTACTGCCGTGCGCAGCCTGCCTGACCCTCTCCTTCACTCTGTGCCACACCTTTACCACACAGCATCCACAGAAAGCTGTCTGCTGGTTTGCTCACCTTGCTCTGCTTTCTTCCTCATCATCCGCTCCGTTCTAATCTCAGTCCTTATCTTGTCCTATCCAGAGGCACATAGGTCCAAAGGGAAAGAGGCAGTGAGGAGACCTGACGCCTCTGTACATGTCTGGCTCTGTAAGGTTTCGAAGACTGTAGCATGTGCCGTGCGCGGTGAAGTTTGTCTCGCACCTGCGTTTGTACCCTGTCTAGTCGACAACCACGAGCGGCCCCCTCAGTTGACAGCGGCGCCCTCTCCGTACGATCTGCATAGCGCATCCAAAGAACCTTCCTGGCTTCTTGGTGCTGCTTAATAGGGAGGAAATAACAGCAAGCGTAGCGTACAGACCACTTCCAATCGCACCGATTGGGGAGGAACTCTCCCGCAGAGGCCAACATCGTTCACCATGGATTCGACACTGGCACCACCCAAGCAAGATGCCTTGGCCCTCTTCAGCTCTGCATTATCCGCCCCCAATGCAGATGTGGAATCACGCATGCTTGGCGAACTGTATGCACTGTTTGAGTCACAACCAAGCAATCTACCAATTCTTTTTCCAAGCATCGTTCCCCTGCTCGACCGGGCGCGAGAGACTCTGAGGAAATGGATTGTGGACGTGATGGACCTTGCATTCTGCAAGGGCGTCATCAACATCGAGACTCGCAACAGCCGTGAGTCTGCCGCAAAGACCAGTCTCTGGAAGAGCGAGGAACTGCGACACTTGCATGACAGGCAAGCTGCCAAAATCGACTTCGCTGACATTCTGCCTTCGACTCATCATGCTTGTACGTTTGCAGTTGCAATGTACATCCCAGAAGCAGTCCTTTCTTTCGTTCGAGAGCCGGGGCTGCCGTATGCCAAACCCGCAATCCAATGCTTCGCCAGCGCATATCAGGCCGTCTTTCGACAGATGTGAGGACGGCGTGTGCAAGCGCTTCAAGTCCTTTTCGGCACTCACATTGGCTGACCTCAACGATTCACTGAACTACAGATGCAACGACCGCTCGCAAGTTGGCCAATGGAAGGTTGTCGAAGCCATCAAGCACCGTTTAGTGGAGATGTTCGACTCGAATCACGGCGGCCACGGATCAATCGGCATCAAGGTTGCCATCATCAAAGCTTACCAACGCATCATCCTCGTTCAGAACAGAACTACACTAGACGCAAGAGGTTATGGGAGGAACGATGACGTTCACCTCGGCATGGTCCCCCCGAACCATCCTGTACTGCGCGCCTCTCTTCTTGAAGCAGAAGCCAAGAAGCTGCTCACGTCCGTTGTCACTTTACAATTTACCAGCAAGTGAGTTCCGCCTTAAAGATCTGTGCACGTATGTGCGCTAGACGAAGCTGACTGCGAATTTCCGCCATCTACTCATTTCAGCAACACGGACTTGGTCATGGCGGCGATGAACACGCTCAGCACGCTAGCGAAATCGCGTCCTGCGCTGGGCAAGATAGTGTGTGAAGCGATGGTCAGCTGGACTCCTGTAAGCCTTGCTGGGTGCTCCTACAACCGGATTCGCAATGTCGAAAAGACACTGCGGCTCAATTACTTCCATCTCCTAAAGTGAGTCTGCGGATGACGACGAAGTACTGCAGGATGCGCTGACAATGTGCCCCCTCTCTCGCTTCTCTAAAAAGGCATTCGGCTGCTGGTAGCTACGACAAGCAGATTGCAAACGCGATCGAGGCGCAAAAGACGCGTATGGAAGCAGCCAGCATCACGTACAACCAGGCGCGCGATGCAGAGGCGAAACGCAAGCGTGACCATCTGGCCGACGAGATCGCAGCTGCGTCCAAGCGGCCAAAGCTTGAACTGGCCACTGCTGTGCTTGGTTCAGCGGCAGCTCAGGGAGTAACGCAGAGTACGCATTCTCCGCAGGAAACTGCAAGAGCTTTCATGAATCAACGGCTACCACAAATGAATCGAGCAGCTGCTTCATTCGACGTCACTACTCTTCCGCTTCAACTGGTCGTCGACTTGGTCATTGCGAATCTGCAATCCATCAGTGATGAAACTCTGCAAGCGGCGATGCAAGTGAGTCTATAACAGCGCATACGAAACGCAAGTAATGGCAAGCTAATAGTTTTCCTTTCCACTCCCTTTGCAGCGCACGCGCGCAAATTTGGCCGGAACACAGCCAGTGGATGATATTGCACCACCACTGGACGCACCGAAGGGGCCAGCGGCTCAACTACCAACAGAGGCAGTCGTGAACCCGCTCAAAATGGACGTCGAGGAGGTCGAGCTGGACAATCTGCCTCTTCCAGCAGCCGAGACTGTCGATGCGGACGAGGAGGCCATTGGTCCTGGAAGTAAGCTTCTAGAGAACTTCGAACTCGCTGCTCCAGAAGTGCTCGCGCCCACTCAGGCGCTTGAGTTGGTTAAGGGTGCCGTCGGGAGGATGTGCAAATGTGGTGCACAGGACTGGACAACACTGGGTCAGCAAGATCTAGACTTGGTTGACTTGTCGCGGCCATTGGCTGAGCCGGCGCTGTGGGCATCGCTCGTAATTCGACTGGCCACACGAGGTTTCTCGCCAACCTCGAACCGCGATGGACACGAAGAAGTGAACAACAGGCTCATCAACTACTCGCAAGATATTCGGGAGGTGGCACACACTTTCGTTCGAGAGAACCCGAAGCAGCGAATAGGTTTTGCGAACTATTGGCTCATGGAGGAATGGGCGTGCGACCGGCAGCGACGCAAAGACGGTGAAGGGCAGCACTACGAGCGTCTGCTGCTAAGTTTGTTGGATGGTTTCTTGCAGAACATCGATGCTAAAGATCGTTGGCTTGCCACGTTCGTCTTGGACCTCCCTGAGCTACCGGCAACGGCTGTAGAGAAGATCAAGCGTATCTGCATGGACAAGGCGACTATGCCATTGGGGTTTGGTATCATGCGAGATATTGCCATGTCGCGTCCGCCGGCGCGAAAAGCAGTCAGCGAGATCTTACTGCGCATGACACGATCCACCGACGGTCTATTGCGCAGGGGCGCCATTACAAGCGCAAGAGCATGGGTCGGGCAAGGCTCGGCATTGGAAGGCACAGTCCTGGCCTATGCGCGCGACTCTTTACAGTGCCTCGTGCAGGGTATGAAGGCTCCGGACGACGAGGAGGTAACCAAAGCGGACGGTGATCAGGAAGAACCCAAGGAAAAGAAAGAAGAGCAGCCCTCAATGACTCAAGAAGGTGAATCAGATCCCGTCACCACATGGTCTCAGCTGGACGTGCTCCGATACTTGGAGCTGGATCTCGCCCTGTGCATCAAGGTACCAAGCCTTTTGAACGAAATTTTCGGCGCCTATCCCAGCATGCCAACCACGATACAATCAGCTGTTGAGAAGCACATCGCGCCGCTTGTGTCGTCTATGGGTCCTAACAATCCAAAATTGCAAGCATTATTGCGCAATTTTCCTATTGGCGCAGATACACTCGCCCTCAGTGTATTCCAAGTCCTCTCGGACAAAGGCAGCTCCCCGGCACTCGTCTCTCTGGTCAAATCTTTGGTTTCGGAACGAGACGTCGATCCACGCTTCCTTGTTCCGATAATGCCCGACTTGTCAAAGGTGAGCTTCGCTTCGGGCTATAGGGTCTTTTGATGCTGATATCTCTCCTTCCACAGACCGAAATCTTGAAGTATCTGCCGCGCGTGATCAGCATCTTGAACGCTTGCAACACGGAAGAGAATGTCGATCTGGTCAAGTCGGTCTTTCAGTCTATTGTCGTCACGCCAGCAGAAGGCTTTGGCAGTATCTCCACCAATTTGCCGCGTCTTAAGCATACTGAGCTCCTCACTCCAACCGAGCTCATGGGTCTACTACACCGACAGGAGAATGAGATTGGGATCAAGGCAGCAGCACAAGCAGTGGAGATCTGCTTCAACCTCACTACTGTCTTCCGAAGCGAAGTGCTCGGTGCCATCTTGAATCAGATCGTGGAAGAGCCCACACTCCCAACCATCTTTCTACGGACCGTGATCCGGGCAGTGGATCGGTATCGATCACTGAGCACATACGTCAGCGGCAATTTGCTTTCGCGTCTGATCACGAAGAAGATCTGGTTGGATCCGCAACTTTGGAAGGGCTTCATCCTCTGCGCCAAGAAGACAGCGCCGGGGTCATACGGCGCGCTTGCTCAGCTTCCAAAGGAGCAAATCAAAGATGTCGCATTATCGAATCCTGATCTCAAAACTGGATTGCAGGAGTATTTCATGCGAAGGGCGGGCAACAACCCGGCTCGACTCAACAGTGTCATGGAACTACTTGGTGGAGATGCGATACCTGCGGCAACACCAACAGCACAGACAGCGTCACCCGTTGTTTCTTTGACATAGCACATAGCCCCTTTTTGAGCATCAGAAGCAAAGCATTGTAGCTACATACATTACAAAGGTAACCTGGCCAGCCAGACAGACCTATCGCGATTTGTTGGGTTTCACTCGAGGCAAAATACGTCCCTTTGCACCGTTACTAATTATCCGATTGTCCATTCGATCTGGGAATATCACACTGCGAGCGAAGCGGCAGACATGTCGCTGTCGCGATTTTGTAGATGAGGCTGGAACCTTGCAAACCAGCTGGACCATGCGTCAAAGTCGAGATGCTGGGGTAAGCCATCCAGCAGGAGAGGATCTACGCCCGAGCCCTGTAAGTTCGGGGCTAGGTCCGCTGAGCTTTCGAGCACGAAGTTCGCCGCTGGATTCCAGCTGACACCGTTCAAGTCCGGATTGACGTTGGCAAAGAGCTGGGCTTGCACATCGCCCACATCGACGGGGAAGCCATGCATCCCTGCTGGCTCTTGATGTTGGGGGTGATGAACTTGCGGTTGCTGCTGCTGTAGTGGCTGGGGTGGCAGTTGCTGCTGCTGCTGCTGCGGAGTTTGCGGCATACCGGGTGGAAGGTTAACCAGGCCTGTTGCCATGGGGAACATGGTGACCAGCTTTGCGCCTGGAGCGCTACTCGGGTCGTCAGCAGGCAGCGGAGCACTGTCGGGATTGCCAGAGACCATGCGCCAGTTGCCCGATGTGGGTGACCACGTGAATACGGGCATGCGGTTGGCCGTCTCGGTATCCTTGAGAATGACGGTGCCGCGCGGCAGATCGTGCACGACGAGGTCGCTCGTCTCAGCGACGTACACCCCTCCACCTGGGCGAGATGGGTCCGGCTTGAACTTGAGACCTCGCACGGCCTCGGTCGTCTTGTGGTTGCTGACGCCCGCCGTCGGATTCAGCGCGCCAGTGTAGCGCTCATTGGGGAAGGCGCCAATGGCAGCATCGTACAGGAGTGCGATCACAGCGCCGCTCTTGGCGCGTACCGAGTCGCCCAGACCCTCGTCGGTCCTGGCGGCGGCTTTGAAGTAGTCTCGCAGCTTCTTGAGCTTCTCTAGCGCGACCTGGTCGCCGCGACGGATCGAAGCATGGTACATGAGCGTCGCGCAGCTGACGAGACTATATGAAAGGAGGCCGAGGGTGTCAAAGTAGAAATCGTGGTCGTTGACCCAGTCGATCGCCTCCTTGGCCCAGGTGAGAAGCTGCGTCATGCGCTCGATCGTCATACTGAACTTGAGATGCGTTGGGCAGACGTAAGATATGCGCAGGAAGACGCGGAAGAAGAGAACCTGCAAGCACGCATGTGCGATGTGCAGGATACCTGCAAGTGCGAGCAAGGGTCAGAGAGAGTTCAAAGCATGAGCATTAGCATCTTCAGGAGATTTGGCGCACGCAGCACGCACCTGCCTCCGGCGGCGATCGTTGGCCTTTGAACTGAAGGCGCTCTGGCAGGGCCTCGCGCCAGGCGTCAATGTCGCCAAGCAAGCTGGTGATCTCCTCGTCGGTCGCCTTCATGAGTCCCGTCGGGCTGTAGATGGTCTTCATGACGCGGCCGAAGAGAATGCTCAGCTTGAGCATCTCCGTGTTGAACACGAACGGCTGCTGCTCGCCGGGTCGCGACGGCGGGTCGGACGGGTAGCGCAGCACCTCGTACGGCGACGGGAGGCGGACGTCACAGTCCGTCAGGTCGATGGCGAGCGGTCTGCCAGAGTAGATCGCCGCCCAGCGATCGGCGGTGACACAGCTGCCCCAGACCCTGCGCTTCTGTTCGAGGAAAAACGCTTCGCCGTCGACGTCGTCGCGGCCGCTGGCATCGCGGTGCAGGCCGAGGTCCTGAGCCATGCGCACAGCGCAGCCGAGGCGGTTCCACGAGCGCGCGCCGCACTGGACGGCCGTCGAGCCGTGGACGTCCTGGTGGAGGCTCATGACGAGCAGAGCGCGGATCGCGACAGAGCTCGAGTTGCTCAGCACGTCGCTGTCGCGGAGGAGGATGGCGAGCGTGCTGCGCACAGCGGTGAGTACCTCGCGCGGAACGTCGCGCGCGAGCGCCGCGACACTGCACACGGCGTACAGCAGCAGCGGTGGCGGCGGAGAGAGGTGGAGGAACTCGGACTTGGTGATGATGGGGAACATCGGCGCGATCCTCTCAAAGTACGAGTTGACCAGCTTCTCCGCGACGTCGCCGGCGAGGCGCGAGCGCACCACCTCCGGTAGCTCTGTCGGCAGCTCCTCGTCGCTCGAGACGGAGCCGCGCGTGCGCGGGACCTTGTGGAACTTGATAATGCCGTCACCGCTGGCGCCGACCTCGAAGGTCTGGTGGTGCTTGATGTCGTGGTCCTCCAGCGCGGCGCTCGGCACGAACGCGGTCGAGTGCACGAGGTAGGCAATCGATGTCGGGCCCAGCACGCTCGAGTCGGGCGGCTGGGGCGGCGCGCCTGACGCAGGGCTATGCCCGCCATTCGCCGCCACGCCACAAACGCGCGCGGCCGACTCGGATGCGGAGCGCTGCAGGGCCACGACGACCGCTGGGCCCGTCGCAGCACGAGACGGCTCCGCGGCACGCTCGGGCGAGCTGTTGCTGCCCGTGTTGCCAGCCGCCGCCGCTGCCAGGTGGGCATCGCCCGCTAGCACGGGCGCCGAGCGTGGTCCCGAAGAGGGCCAGGCAGTGAAACCGGCGGCTTGGGGCACGGTACCTGGCGGTGCAGACCACTCCTGGCTCATGCTTGGCCGCAAAGGGGGTAGGATGCGCCCGGAGAGGTCATGCGGCGCGCCGAGGCCGCGCGCACCGGGCACGTGCGTCAGCGGCGCTCGGCCCGTCGCGGCAGCAGCTGCAGCTGCTGCCGCGACGGTGAACAGCTCCATCTCGCGATCGCGCTTTTTCTTGAAGCGCGTTTCGGAGATAGGCAAGTAGAAAGTACATCCTGGACAGCGTCCATCCAGGGTGGGAAGGCCATCAGCTTTGCACGCGCACGCCGACGACGCCCATTTCCCTCCGTGTCTGCAAGCAGATTGACTCACGCAGCTGGTACGTCTTGCAATGCAAGCATAACCCGTCCTTCAGCACCTGGCACTTGATCTTCTTGGTCCTGCACGAGTCGCATGCGCGCGGTGTCTTGGGCTTCTTGCTGGTCGGTGCATCCGCACCGTCGCCAGCGCGATTTTTGGTACTGGTGCTGGTGCTGTTGTTGCCACCGGCGGGCGAGCTGCTGCCGCGCTCGCTGGGCGAAGACTCGTGTCCGCTCGCCTTGGCGTGTGTCTCCGCGTGCAAGCTGCGGGCGGCTGCCGAGGCCGGCGGCCGCGGCGACCGAGGGCGCTTGAGGCCGCGCGACGAGGAGCTGGTGACTCCGTTGCTGCAGCTGCTGCTGCCGGATGTGGCGTCGGGGCCGTTCGTGTACATGGCTTGTGCTTTCATCTGCTGCTGCTGCACAGCCTGGCTGCGCCTGCCGTGATGCGCAAAGCCGTACGAAGGCGAAATGCTGCCCGCGGCACCGTCTCCCGAGTCCAGTAACGATGATGCTGGTGCGACGCCGCTGTGCTGGTATGCGTCCGGATACGACGCGATGAGCGTCGACATTGGTTGCGCGCTGCTGCTGCTGCCTTTGCCTTTGAGCGACGACGACGACAATGACGTCGTCGTCGTGCCAGTGCGATAGCTGGCGCCGGGGGAGGATGCGCTAGTGTTGTTGAGCGGGCCGGTCGACGCACCGTTGCGCTCGCGCGAATGCACAGAGGCGCTCCAGAGCGAGGTGCGCCCGGCGGAGGATGGCGATGCTGCTGCTACCGCTGCTGTGGCTACCGCTGCTGCCGGAGCGCTAGACGCAGCCGACAGTTCACCCACCGTGCTGCGCTCGGACGACGCAAGCTTGTATAATGCGGGACTGCGCGTCGCACTGGACGACGTGAAGAGCTGCCTAGCGCCGTTGGTGGTGTTCGCGTACGGACTGGGAAGCGGCGGAAAGGGAAAGGAGGGGGCATTGGAAACGCTGCCTGACCCGTTCCGTGGGAGTGAAGGTGGGTAGCGGGACGTCGTCGCAGGATCAACGAGGTCCGAGAGGCGAGGCGAGGGCCGCGAGGAGGGTTGCTGTTGTGGCGACGGAGCCGACGCTGATGCAGCCAATGCTCGCTCTGGCTCGGCCGTGCTGGTGGTGCTGCCGCCTTGGTGGATGGAGGAGAATCTTGTAAGCGGTGGACCTAGCACGCTGCGCTGCGTCGCTGCTGCTGCTACTGCTGCTGCTGGCAAGCGACCCGATGCAGCATCGTTCGCATCGGGGGTGTTGGCCATGGTTCGCGGCGGGGAGTGTGCTGGCTGAGCCTGCTGGTAATGAGGACGGGGTTAGATGCGAGAGTGGAGGCCTTGGCGGGGTGGACCCTTTGCGTTGCGTTGCAGCAGCTGCAGCTGCAACAGCGAGGCAGGCAAGGTAAACTGGCCGATCGCTCTCTCGCTCTCCAGTCCGCCCCACTTGCTCACGGCCCGTGAACCGTCGCCGGCGTTCTCCCTCGTTCTCCAGCGCGCTAGACACCGAGAGACTAGAGAGAAATGCCAGAGAGCGAAGAGCAAGGGCCCAGGCGAGTCTCGTTCGCGCGTTCCTGTATGTACATTTGCGCCGCCGAGCGAGTCGAGCAGCAGACTCTCTGAGAGCGAGAGACGAAGAAGGAGGAGGAGCAGCGCCAGGGTTGAAGCTAAATGGGAGGGGGCTGCGCGACAAGCAGACCGATAAGGGAGAGCGACGAAGATGCCGAAAATGCCGAAGATGCCGAGCTTCCCAAAGCGACAAGTTTGCATGCCGTACATACACGCCTTTGAATCACATCATCGCAGCATCGCCTGCCTTCCTGCACGGATGGGTTGGCGCAAGGCGTGCGGCTGCCGTCTCGACACACGCCAGAGCACAACGCCGCAGGAACGAACAAGACCACCCGTGCGAATTGACATGTATCTCTTTCACAGACACGCGCGGCCCGCCCACGCAGCCGCAGTGCGCACCAGCCCTCTCTGCCTGCCTCGCTTTAGACGCTGGAGACCCTTCTCTCCACCAGTACCCAATCCCGCCAATTCGTTCGCAAACCTTCAACCATAGAGGGAAAGTACCAGAGAGCAAGCCAGCCTTGCAGCAGAGGACACTCATTTCCGACGACTGGCTGTCGCTCTCCAGGTTGGCTGGTGATCATCATTGGTAGTCCTGCTTACTGTCCTCTAGTCGTTGGTTCATCCAAGTACTGGCCAGACCAGCACGGAGAAAACCCCCTCCCTCCCCTCGTCGCCCTTTCAAACGCAGCAACACTCGGCATGGCAAGGACGATGGCCAGCCAGTGGTCAGCGCAAGGACGACAAAGGTGTGCATCTTGGGTCGCCAAAATCCTCTCATCGCCTCACCGGCGCTCGTCCTTGTGCCGCAAAAGCGTCGACGCTAACGCTACCTTGACAGTTGACCGTCTCGTGTGCCACCTGGAAAGTTGAAACAGCCGCTTATGTGTATGCCCCCCTCTCTCCCATATGTACGCTCCTATATGCACCACCACCACAAGGGACAGCCAGACAGCTCGATGATGCTCATATATGTACGAGTATACCTACATGCACGCACGGCCCTCGATCCCCAGCGGCGGCAGCGGCCCATGTCCATGGGGGACGCACCGAGCCGGGAACAGCTGGCAGACGTGTCGCCGACGGGGGGGAGGGGCCATGTAACCATCCTTGCGTGTCCAGCCAGTGTAAAGCGAGCGGTTCTCCGCATGTAGTGCCTACTACGGTACCCAGGGCCCCGCATACACATCCACACAGGGCGCTGTTTGGCACGGCGTGTCATGCATACATCAGAGGCCTCTCTGAAGCGCAGTCGATCATTTCAGCGATGCATGTTCCATCCAGAGAAAATACACGTGTGCCAAGCAAGTCAAAATGAATACTCTCCCCTGGCAGCGCAGCAGCCCGAGCCTGAGCTGGACCCGCAGCACCCCGCACACTGCGTGCAGCGATCGCGTACGTCAGGCCTGTAGATGGGGAAGAGGCAGTGTGGCACAGCGCATCAAGCCGGTCGCCCTGCTGTACCCCCTACCCATCGGCGCGCTCGCGGCCCTCCCCTTGTTCAGCACGCGCGCAATGCCGTCGAGTCCGCGGTCGAGCTCCTCCAGCGGGGGGCCAAAGCTGAGGCGGACGAACGGCTCGCACGGCGAGTCGATGATGTTGCGCCGGTGGCTCGGGTTCAGGTCGAAGAACAGGCCTGGCGTGACGATCACCTTCTCCTTGAGCAGCTCCTCGAAGAACACCATCCCGCTGTTCAGCGGGTGCGGCAGCTTACCGACGTTGAGCCAGATGTAGAAGGTCGCCTGAGGCTTGACCAGCACCGGCAGGCCCATCTCCTCCAGGCGCTTCAGCACGTGGTCCCGCTTCATGCGGAAGTGCTTCTGCAGCGCGATCCGGTCCTGCAGGCACCGCTCCGGGTCCAGCATCGGGATCGCTGCCAGCTGCAGCGGGTGGTTCGCCCCGCCGTCCAGGAAGCTTCCCGCTTCGGCCAGTGCGCGCACCAGATCTGTCGGCCCCACCACCCAGCAACAGCGCCAGCCCGGGCAGCGCCAGTTCTTGGTCAGGCCGTCACTGCACGCACGGGCGTCATGTTAGCCGCGTGCACCCAAAAGGTATGTTCAAAGCATTCGAGAACGACGGGACTGTGATGCTTGAATCGAACGGCACACTCACATCAGAATAATAGGATCATTTTCGCAATCCTCAACAAACTCGGCAGCGGACACGGCCTTTCCGAGTGGCCCCTCGTGAGCGTACCACGAGTAGAATTCGTCTGCATGTGGTGATGAAGCAAAAAGCGGTGCGTGTACATGTCAGCGTCGAGCTCCTCCCTGCGATAGTGCTTGCACAAGCAACCGTCTGACGCACCGAGGATCATCGAGACCCTCATCGACTTGGCGATCTGCACCAACTGTTGCAGCTCCTCGTCCTGGATGCTCTGCCCGGTCGGGTTGCGCGGGTTGGAGAGGACAACGGCGGAGAGGCCGCGGTTGCGGATCTCCTTGCGCAAGTCGTCGATTGACAGCTTGTAGTGGTCCTCCTCGCTCAGCTGAGTCGGGATCGGAACGAGAGACTTGAATACGCCGAGCAGGTTCTCGTACGCTGTGTAATCCGGCAGCTGGTAGCCACACATGACCTGACCGATGATGCTCGCCACACGACTGAGTCCCGCACGGCCGCCGGGGACAATGCAGACGTTTTCCGCCGTGTACTGGCTCTTCTTTCCCTGCCTGTATGTTTGGTTGTAGTACCTTGCGACCGCTTCGCGTAGCGCTGGCACGCCCGTCGTCGGCGCATACTCGTGCACCCCCTCACCCATTGCGGCCAGGTCGATCGTCAGCGGTTTGGCGGACGCACCGGGGATCTGCCCGACCTCCGGTGCGCCTTGGCCAAAGTTGGACCAGTCCTTGGCGCAGTAATGGAAGCCGTTTGCCATCGCACGGTCCATCACGTAGCTGCAAGGAGACGACGGTGGTAAGGAGAGCAAGAATCGTCAGTATGTGGAGCGCTTGGGCCCAGCTCCGGCCGAGTAGCTCACATGACACCGGTACTGCCAGGGTGCTCGATTCCTGGCACAATGTGAGGCTCTGTCTTCTTGCTTTTGTCGCCATGGCCGGGAAAGGCACGGAAAATCTGGTGGGCCTCCGACTCTGCTTCATGAGTAAAGGTGCGCGTCATTGGGGTCGGGGACTGCAGGCCGATTTTCTCGGCGAGGTTCTGGAGATGATCCATCATGGCCTGCTTCTACGAAGCTGCGCTTGCTGATGTGGATCGCAACCTAAAGAGTGAAGTTTGCTGAATAGCTGTGTGGGAGATTACTCGGCGCTTGAAGATGGACTGCCAGAGTCACTGTAAGATTCGGGGGAGGGGAGCTGGGGTACATGCAGACACAAAGTACAAGGCAAGCGAAAATGAATGTCAGGCTCTTCAATAGCATTTATACATCGGCGGTTCCAGCATGACGGCGTCCATCAGCACTGGGCCCAGCTCGCCCTGCAGCCAGAGTCACGAACCCGCATGCACTCCCCGAGTCCAGAGCGACGCTTTGTTTGGCCAAGACTATTGACCCGCTTGAAGCGCTGTGTTACGAACGACGGGGAGGGTGTAGACCTTGAGAAAAGCGGTGACGAAGAGGATGAGACACTTTGGTATATGACGTAGTGACACAGCACCTGCCGCGGGTCTACTTTTCTGGCCTCTGTGGCCTCGTTGCCTGAGGAGGTGTGCGCGGTAGACGTTGCCTGGGGAATGACTACTGTCAAGGATCTCGCGGGCCTCACAGCACGAGATGTAGAGTTGGCGTTCTGATGAGCTCGCTGGGAGGCTCCAAAAGGAGATCGAGGGAAAAGACCGTTACAACTTGCAAAACATGTGGATTGCAACGTGGGAAGCCGCGGACGGTTGGGGGGCGTTGGAGCGCTGTTTGTTTCGTGCCGACATTGAACTAATATTTGCTGTGGCCACGTGCGCGATGTCCACTTTTGACGGGACAGTCGCTCGCTTGAAGATTGAACCTCGGACTCCGGCCTCGGTCAGAGTGAGTTGCCGTCATCAGCCGTTCCGCGTCGCGTCGTGCCGCCGGCTCCTCAGCACAACCTGGAGGCTGCTGGTCGGGCCCTGATCGGTGGAGGCACTGCAAGGCACTCCCTGATACAGCACCCGAATGCATGATGACGAAAGCAATCTGACTAGGAAGGAGGATGGTTGGAACATGGATACCCTTCGCAATTCACATCGCGGCAGCTCTAGTGGTGCATGCAACTACCCACCAAATCCCGGTTCTCGCTGGCAAGCTCCCTTCCGGGGCGCGGCAACTCAGCGCAGATCCCGCTGTGATTGCGCGCCTGAAGGTACTGCATGAAGCAAATCGTAGGGCTCGGCAACGTTCATTTTCGGCTTGTGTAACCTCCGTATGACTATCAGCCCCTCGTACACAGCGCGTCTGATTGCGAATCAGATACAGTACTGGGGAAGTCGCCGTGCGGTCTATGTAGGGTACTCTTGTAGTCTGACAGTGTCTCTGCCGCTCTGAGCGTCTATGAAAATGCGAGGCAACGTCGGGAAAAGCTACAAAGGAGAGATCAGGAGCAAAATGAAAGGCAGATAGCGACCGTTACTTCACTTAGCTTTACCCATGGGGACCGTCCCGGACAGGCGACCAGTACCACACGAATGGAAGGCGTGGTGAGGCTGGGTCCGGCAGCAAGATCGCTCCGATATGTCCTCACTCACGCGGTTCACAAGCCTGGTGGAGTCATTGTAGTCTCATTAGCATCGACAGAAAGACGATTTTGGCCTCTTGGCCCCAACCCCCCGCAGTCCCGCGAAGCGGTGATGGAGGCGCCGCCTGATCCAACCGAGGGAATGGAAATGCTGACTGCACTGCATATCTCGCTCCAGTGAGTGCCCTTCCCTAAGTGCTCCACTGCGCGCCTCGACAAAGTGCCTCTCATCAGGCGCCAGTCAGTCAGTCTGAACACTGTGCAGTCCACGTTCCGTAGGCCCTGCCCCCAAGAGTCAGCACCTGCAAATCCTTCGCAAAAGGTGCACCCAAAGCCGTAGTGGGGCAAGTGCAAATGGGACAGTACATCTGGTCTCGACCATCCTGGCGCCGGCACGTACAACACGTCGGCACCGCGCCACGCGCATTACCGCCGTGATTCAACATCGCCCCACAGCCCTAGAGTGAACTTGAAATATCATTTGGCGCTGTCGGACCCCATGCGAGGTTCAAGCTGGGTTTCAGATTGGTTGATGAGTCAAGTTAACAGCGACCTTCACTTTTGAGCATTCGAGTGGCCTTCGGGTGCAAAGCGGGAGCAAGCAGCGACTGGCCAATAACTCTGGGGCGAAACGCACCATCTCGCAGAGTATTTAATGGCTGCCTGCGCTGAAAGCAGCCGCCTGCGGGAGCAGAGGTCTCATCACCCATTGTTCAGCGTGTGATGGACACCTGCAGGGCTGTCTGTGACCACGAGCGTAGCGCGCTCGCCATCTACATAATTGATTGTTTCATACTCCTCTAAGCATTAGGCAGAAGCCATCGTGCCTTGTACCGTACAATTGGCTGGTCGATCTGCTTTTGGCTCTGCACAATCTTTAGCTCGCGCCGTCGAAATATCTCCACCTTTTTCTGCACCTCCCAAGCCTTTTCCCTCGCCTCCTCTGTGCCTTCGTCTAGGGTAGTAGGACCATCGGCTGTCGCGGCCCTGCTCGCCTCCCATTCCTGGCGCGTAGGCATCGGCGGCACCTTTGCGATCGCCTCGGACGTCTTCGCCAGCACCGCTTGTACGCTTGCAATGGCAAGCTCAGCGGCACGCGATAGCGGTGTAGGAGCCGAGTGTACCTCATCCAGCATCGCGGATGGTGTCCGCAGGAATGCAGGCGGGGTAGCAGCGTCGGACGATGTCGCCGACGGCGCCGGCTGCGGCGCCGGCGAGGCAGGTTGTGATGAAAATGCAGATGAAGCAGCCGACTGCGCTTCAGCAGGTCGCATATAGCGGCCAACAATCATGGCTGCAAAGAGGTCACCGACGCCAGAAAAGTACCCTTCTACTTCGGGGAATTGAATGTACCAAGGTCGCGCTTCTGCAACGGCAGTGCACAGCGTTTGCTGTACGCTTGAGCCGACGAGGAGCATCAGTGGCGAGCCATCGGGCTGCGTGCGTGCAATACCCTGTTTATGCAGGTCTTCGTCCGGCAGCTCGACGGACGTGATGAGTACGTGCGGGACACGGTGTTGTACGTGCAACGTCTGCAGCACCGCCAGGAGCGTGTCCAAGCTGGTGATCTTTTTGTCAGTGAGGATCCTGCCAATAGGAAGGGATATTCGTCAAATCAAGTGACCTTGTAGCATCGGAAAGCAGAAGCACTTACTCTGCTTCGAATTGGTTCGGGGTGATAATGCTCGACAGCGGTAGCATGCTCTTATAGATCGGCAGCACATCAGGGTTGACGTACATACCACGGCCGATGTCCCCCATGACTGGGTCCAAAACATAGATCAGAGATGGGTTGAGCTGCCGTAGTCGCTTGACTGCCCGTTGGACGGACAAGAGGGCGTTTGGCGACGGAATGTAGCCTGGGGGATATCCCTTCAGCTCAACGCAAGGATCAAGGCCGCAGACAACGAACAGAACAGTCTCACCTGTTAATACTCTGGCATACCGTAGTAATCCATTCTTATCTAGTCCACCAACAAGATCGTCGATGTGCTTCTCGTCGAAGCGCATTCCGCCCCATCGCCCAAAGCCGGTATGATTCGAGAACTGCACAGTGTTGATTACATCGACCTCCCAGCCCAGCAGCTGCAGGGGAAACGTTGCGGATCGGTTACCTCCAATCCCAAAAGGCGAACATGTTCGCACAGGTATCAGCCTAGAGACCATTACAGGAGGAAGAGCACGAGCAAGACTTACCAACATAGCCGCACACAACATGACTCTGGATGCTCAAAAGCCTCGTTGCCTCGGGCTGATTCGCAGCCATACTTTCGCGATCGCTTCGCTGTGACAAGGCAGAAATAACTTGCAGGGAAGGGACGGTAAATGGTTACCTTCGGAGCGAGCTTGGGTTCGCGGCGCGGTCCGGTCTGCGTCAAGTGCCCTTATTCCTTCGTATTCCGGCCTTCGTAAAGCCCATGTGACATGGAGTAGAGATAGCTGGCTAGTGAGAGATGAGACGTGGAAACAAAACTGAGTCATGTGGGCCACTCGGCCGAGAGAAGGCTCGACAATCATTACGTGAAGTGCACGCTGCACCCGCCACACGTGCTAGTAATATGCTTGTTTGATTGGGCTATTTATGCGGAGCAAGCTATCTGGCTTGCACCGCATGTCATCGACTGTATCCCCCTACTCGAGCCCTGCGTATTCCATCGAGCAGTCACCCAGCATGTCCAGCCGCGAGGAACCCGAACCTCTCGTCCTGAAGGAGCGCTTGCAGGCGACGTTCGAGCACCAAGTGTACGAGACACCCCCGGAACACCATGTAACTGTGGCTACCCCCGAGTCTTCGTGGGTGCCGTCGATGCCGCACTGGGCACCAACGCCGGAGCACGGGAACCCTGCGCTGATCCGGACAGGCTTTCGAAACCCTTGGGCGAGCGCGGTCAAGCCGAATGTCTGGCAGATTTGGGGTGGTCTGCAATGGGCTGATACGGTGGAAAATGAGCCTGTTAACGACCGTGACAACACAAGACAGACAGAGGGTGCCGGCTTCCCTGATCCTGACTTGGAGATAGACGTACAGATCATCGAAGAGATCCAGTCCAGCCATGACAATTCTGCGGTACGGGCCACCTGGCTAGGACATGCAGGCACGCTGCTCGAATTGCCAACCCCTGATGGCGACCCGGTCCGTGTGCTATTCGATCCCATCTTTTCTTCGAGGTTAGCGCGCACTCCATTGCATAAGCGAGACCTGCTCTTACATTCCTGGAACGTACAGATGCTCGCCGACGCAGTACTTTGGGCCGATGCGCATGTTTCCATCACCAGTCACCGCTGCCGCTCTGCCGCCAATCGACTTTGTCTTAATCTCACATTCTCATTATGACCACTTAGACCTCACGACACTCGCACATATCTGGGAGCTAAACAAGGGTCACGTCCGCTTCCTTGCACCGCTGGGGAACAAGAACTGGTTTTTGCGCAGCTCCGGCATCGACGGTCTGACGGCGTCGGATGTGGAAGACTTTGATTGGTGGGACGAATGTCGTGTGTCCATTCCGTCGTCAGGGCAGGTGGGAGGGCCGGCAGAGCTTAGGATTATCTGCACGCCCGCTCAGCATGGATCAGGGAGAGTCGGTATAGATGCCAACACAACATTATGGAGCAGCTGGTACCTGAGCCTCTCGTCCGAAGTTGGCGTCTTTCGCGCCTTCTTTGCCGGTGACACTGGCTTTCAATTCCACGACCCATCACCACCATATTCAACTGCCCACAGCTCGCCACCTGCGGCAGCAGACGCTCGATCAGTCATCTACTCTGATGCCCCACGCACCATCGCGAAACCGTCCACAAGCGCGCCAAATGCCACCCTCTATCCTTGCTGCCCCGCCTTTGCCGACATCTCTCGCAAACTCGGCGCACCCCATCTTAGCTTGCTGCCCATATCCGTTGGCGCAACGCTGTCCTTTCTTAAATCTTACGATCCATTCCCATATGCCCTCCATGGCGGCTGGTCGCCTTTTCCGTCGGGGTTGGACGAGCGCCTCACCGCTGCGAACCACATGACGCCGAGGGATGCGGTCAGGGTATTCGATCTCATGCAGAAGCCGACCCAACCGGGTACTAGCACAAGTGCGGCGCAGTCGGTCGCGCTAGCAATCCACTGGGGTACTTTTATCGCGGACGTGACCGAAGCTCAGCAGAGCTTGCGCAAGCTGCGCAAAGCATGCAAAGAGTGGGACATAGACTTTGCTCGCACATTGCCCGCGCAGCAGACAAAGGGAAATTCGACCGCAAAGCAGGACGATTCCAACACTGGGAAGCTGACATTTGTCGCGCTGAATGCTGGTCAGCATATCGAAATGCACTTGCGAATGGAATAGCAGTTTTTGGCCTCTGCGCATTTTGATGCTTGGTCTTTGCGGCTCTCGTCATGAGGAAGATGAAAATACCTTGAGTACCAAAGCCTGTGGACTTATGCCTGCGGTCTTATCTAACAAAGCTCAATTCCCCGCTTGCGCATTGCCGTTGCGCTGGTCTTGCTGCCCCTTCTCCTGCGCCTTCATATCGTTCTCGCGCCCGATGATGCCAAGGCTGAGGATGCCTCCAGTCGCTCTGAGCTCGCCTTCGGTGCGCGCCTCTTTTGCCTCCTTCGCTTGCCGCGCCAGGTAGTGTTCCTGCAGCTGCTTTCCTCGTGCGATCTCTTTCCCGTGATGCAGGCATTCCATGTAGTCATCCTTTTGGGCGACGCAGTCGGATGGCGAGTCGGCATTCGCATAGCATTTTTGGAACTCTTGCCAAAATGTGAAGCACCGCGAGCGGCCTAGAGTGCGGGCGGGAAAGGGTCGGGATTTAGCAATGTAGCAATCCCGAGCAAGTGAACGCTGCACTCACCTCCGTTGAAGCCAAACCCGGACTGACGTAGACAAATAATGGAGCATAAGTCATCAGAAGTCAGTATTGTGCGCTACCACGCATGTCTTCTAGGAGTCCCTCTTTTTGGAGATTCCCCAGAGGGCCCTGGGAGCCGCGCTGATGAAGAGCAGCTTTGGAAAGCCAAGGCAGCGCTACAGCCCCGGCAGCTATTGAGCCACATGGGCGTACCAGGTGAGCAGCTAATGATGATATCATCGCAGCAGTCTCAGAGACCTCTGAGCATCGCTGGCTGGAGGCAGGGTTTCCATGTCCTCTTAGAATGTCGCTCTCGACACGCTCTTCGCGCGAACCTGGATCCCAAACGGGCTTGCCGTATGCGCGCGAGGAGAACCAACTCACCGCCATGATGAAGTATGCGCTGAAATTGCCCAGTAAGTAACTGAAAGAGCTCGCGGCCTGGTCTGGATGGCCGTTAGATGCAGATGTCATGTAACATGCACGCTTATTCTGGAGAATATGGTGCAAAGTCGTGGTACTCCTTGCAATGGACCTTGGTGATTGAAGGTCAAACGCCAACCGCAACACAGCGCGCAGCCGCGTGCGGGGGTTTACACAAATTCTAGTCCAGATCTCTCCTCAACATCAGCTTTGCCAACAAGATCCAGCTCGTCCTCATCAGTGAATGCAAGTCGAAATTATGCTCACACTTTCTACGGGGTATGCGCATTCATATGAGGACACGCAGACCACCAACATGTCGGGCACAGCCCCGAATTTGCAAATCTCATTTTAGCATGTGATGTATGCAAACTCTGATGATACAAATGCGAAGCCAATGATACTGTTCATGCAGCGTCGATCACTCGCCCTGTGGTATAGAAAGCGCCAGGTGCCGCTATGTCGCTGACTTTGGTTTGAAGTCTGCAGACGCTGGGGAACCCTTTTGCGCCACTTCCACCACTAGCTCAGAGCCAGCAGATTCGGGTTTGGGCACTCGCATCTGCTCTGTTGCTGGATAGGACTGCTTCTCGCTCGTCTCCTTTTGTCCGGCCGAATCTTGGGGTTTTGAGCCTGGCGCTGGCTCATTGTAGTCTGCGTCCCAGCCGCAGCCACATCGACAGTTACAGCAGCGTACACCATCGGTACCCCAATGGTCTTTCGGAAACACATTGCGCACAGGGCGTCGAGGGGAGTCGGGTAAGATCAGAACCAGCGATACAGATGCGAAATGAGATGCAGGAGGGGTGAAAAAGGGTCGTGAATAACGGGATGAGGAGGAAACGAAGGATCAACGAATACTGAATCAGCATAGTCTGCTGTGGTTGACACCTAGCAAGTGCCCGATCGACAGATGAACGCACTGGTTATGCAAAATGACATCCATATTGACTCGCACATGGCGGCACAACAAAGCGAGCTTTCGGATGCCATTGCGCCGATTGGAGGAGGAAGATGCACGGTTTGGCGAAGACGTCAATTTCGTGATGGCGAGTGCGGTTTGTCTGGATCAGGAAACGAGACTGGAAGAGCGAGTTGTGACCACCACGTCCTTGGACTATTGAATTCATCAACTTCAATATGCTCGCTCACACCTCGAGCCCCCTAAGCTTTGGCATCACGGCGCCGGTTGAAATTACAGCACCATTCCACACTGCCTGTTGAATGGAGACTTTCGGGCCGCTTATGTAAGCATCCTCATGATATACATCTCAGTGCCACAATGCAGCAGTGTACGATGTAAAGGCGGCTTACAACATGTTGGGGTTTGCCTTCCAGCAGGCCCATAGCTCGACAGGAAGGGCCACGAATGCGAGCAGCTCGATCCGAGCAACTCCACACAGCACTTTGCCTCGTAATGGAGTCTTGCAACACCGCGAATGGCCACGCTGCCCCTACCGCCGGCGAGTTGTCCTCGACTCTCGATCAGCTCTCCATCTTCGATCCAGACCTCTTCCCAACCCTTCTTCCACGCATACACGAGCTTATGACACTTATCATCGAGGCTTCAAAGGACGTAAATAGTCTCGCACAGCCAGATACGGAGACTTCTGGTGCCGCTCCAGCCCAAACATTACCTGGTCTGGCACTCGCGTCGGCTACTGCACCAGCCCCACCCGGGCAGCAAAGCACCTCATCCCTTCCGTCTTTCGTGCTTGGTGCGACGTCGGAGGAGGAGATGACCAATACCTGGGACGACTATGCGTTCCAGCAGACGGTCAAGCGCTCGGTGGCACGGCCTACAGAGCTACAAAAAAAGATCGTGCGCGAAGCACAGATACTGCGAGAGACCCTCAGCAATGCACGCCTCGCTGTTGAACAGCTATCCGGTGGTGGGTTAAGCCTGAAGAGGCAGAGGGAGGTCATAGAAATGCTTGAGAAGCAGGAAATACGCCAAAAGTAAGCGAAAAGACTTGGCCCGGGGACAATTCCCATGTTGCTGATGGTAGGCGATCGCTCTTTTCCCTTCTATGTGCAGAGAGCTAGAGGCGAGCTTTGTCGCCCGATCTGCATTTCCAACACCGAGTGACATGGATACTTCATAGAGGCCACTGTGACATCTTCACCCGCCTCACATGGAGGGCTCCTGGACAGCATGGGGTATACATTGATATTGCTGCACTATTGCGCGATTGCGTAAGCGCTCTATTTACGGTTAACTGTCGTCGATGGGTACGCCACATCCCTCGCCCCGCACACCGTACACGGCTACGTAGTTAACGCACTGGCCAGCATGTCAGCAAGCTGGCGCCTTCCAACACTGCTAGGCAAGCCATTGCCCACGTTCCCTTGACCGACGCTGTCACGCCGAGAAAAGTGCGACAGGTGCGACAGTTTTTTTTCGCTGCCCCAGTCAGAGCGAGTGCGATCATTCTCGACGAGCGCGGCCGCCTGACGGCTAATGGGCACATCGCACGGCGTTTGGCTTCACTTACTGGCGCGTCAGTGCGAAAGAGATAGGAACGTGTGTTCGTACGTATAAGCACAATAATACAAAATGGGAATGGTCATTCATTTGGTTTCAACCAGATGGACGTGCATGAGGAAAAGCATAGACATGTTGTTGGATCAATTCGTGCAATCTTCGAACCTTTAAGCCTCCGTCGAGACGTCCGGAATCTTCATCTTACCGATCCGCGCCTTTGCCAATGTATCGCTTGCCTGTCCGGAACGAATGAAAGAGAGCGCAATTATCATGCATGTGATAAGCATACAGGGGCGTAGGCGCAAGAAAACGGCCTGCACGGTCCGTTACGGCAGCACTGACCTGTTTCAGCATTGGCGCGTCGATCATGACCATGCTGTCGCCCTCCTTCATCCCTACGGCGCCCTTGTGGTCCTTGACGCTCTGCTCGTATGCGTGCTTTATCCGCGCGGCACGCAGCACATCCGCTTCGCTGGGCGAGAAGGCTCGCTGGATCTCTGCCACCTGCGCAGGATGGATGGCCTGCTTGCCGTCAAAGCCTAACTCTCGCCCGTCGCGGCACTCCTCGGCGAGATACGAGGCGTCCTTGTAATCGACGCAGACCATGTCCTTCCGTGCACAGAGATGCAGCGCGGTTCAGTCTGTCGATATATGATGGAAGGGTTTCGGTGCGATATGTGAAAACTCACAATGGCAGCCAACCCATAGGCTTTTGCGATTGTCGCCATGTGTGCGCGCGGGAAGAGTAGCTCTCGTCTGCTCTTTGTCCGGATGATGGACGTCGCAGCACAGTAGTCTTCGCTGGCGAAGAGCAGTGCAGAGATGAACGCGAGGTGGCCTTTGCCCCAGCTCCTGACTTCCTCGATGATGTGCGGCATGTTGAGGAGCGACGCCGCAGATTCGACGGAGAGAATTAGCGAGAGCGGGGCATCGTAATCCTGTCGTAGGTGCTCTGCCTTGTCTAATACCATCTTAACATCGTCACTCGACTCAACCTTGGGCATGACGATTGCCTGCAGTTGTCGAGAAGGAAGAATGATATCTAGATCGTCGGAAGCAATAGAATGATCACCAGAAGGCGGATTGATGCGCACGGCTAGCTCCGGACCTGGTCGAGGAGCGGCCTATGCCATGAAGTTCGTAAATACCTTGTATCAGAGGTGATTTAGACGGTGCAAAGCAGACAGGCAGGTACTTACGTTCAGGCCATGCAGGACTGCTTCACGAGCTGCGCCTTTTCGGTGCGCGGCAACGCTGTCTTCCAGATCAAAAATGATACAGTCAGAATCAGACTCCTGCGACTGCTCGACCGGCATAGGAGACAGAAACGTGACAGAGGCAAATTATTTCTATGTCAGATCTTCGAATTGCTCCCGGAGTTTCACGAGCTTAGCACAACGCACTTTCTTGATCATCTTCTCAGAACTGCCCGGGACATAGAGCATGGCTCGTCTTGCTTCCACTGCTTCATCTTTCCATTCTCGTTCAGCACCCGTCGCATGCGCGTTTCCCGTTGAATCTGGTGGCGGCGTAGTCCGTCTGACATCTCGCGTATGGCGAGCAGAAAGGTGTAGGCTTCTGCTTGGACCTGCTGCTGCTACTGCCGTGGCTTGCGCTTGTGCCGCAGCGGGGATGGAGGCGAGGGGTAGTGTACGGCCAAATCGAGCGCCACATAGCAGGGCCTTGCAGCACGGTGCTGCTTGCTGCGTTCCTGAGCAAAGGTGAGTCGGGTTGGATCTCCCCGCGAAGCGGACGATGGTGGGACGCAAGGACTGCATCTCGGCAATGGTACCGTACCGATCACGGTGGGGCTCCGAGCGACGTATCCTCCTGCGCCCCCGTCTCCGCTGTTGAGCCTCCGCAACGCGGACTTGGATGCTTCTGGGGTGAGCAGCTGCACGAATCGCGGATGGCAGGCAATCCAGTTCAACGTCGTAGCCTGGGGAGGCCGCCTTTCTCTTGACGCGTAAGCACACCTTGTCGTCTACTAGCAGAGAGGGTGTTCCCGCTGGAGAGGCCAATCAATTCTGACATCACTGCGCCAACACAAAAAAGCTCTCCATGGGTGTGCTCCAGATGTGTGTGGGTCACGTGAACACATCTCCACCCGCCACGGGAGCAGTCTATAACGCAGCGTGTGCATATGCAAGCGCGTTGACACACCTTTTTTTTTCCAAGGAGCGGGCGGAACGGCGGAAAGGAGATTGAATAATGTGGGAACGGCGACCGGCAGAGTCTCTCTGTCACACGCAACAATCGAGCTCGCGTTTTCATCTGCATTCGAGCGAGGTGGACAGAGATGTGGGACGTTGCAAAGGCCTGACGAGGTTCATTGCCAGGTGCGAGTTTTGCGACGACCCGCTCAACGAAGCGCAACCAGCGACAAGGCAGGAAAAATAGACTGATTCGCTTGGTTGAAACTGGGGCGGCGGAGAAGTTCGCCCAAGATGACAAGCGCACCAGGCGGCATCAAGATCTTCTCCGGGTCGTCTCACCCGGAGCTCGCCAATATGATCGCAAAGAGGTACGTTCTCGAGCGTGAATGTCTGACACAAATTGCTTGTGTGCCAAGGCGGTGATGCATGACTACCGCTTCCGGTCGCTGACACTCTGACGGTCATATCTTGCTCGTTCGTCCTATTGCATCGGCTCTCAGACTTGGCCTCCCATTGAGCAAGGCGACTGTCGCACGCAACGACTCTGGTGAATCGCTCATCCGCATCGCTGAGTCGGTCCGCGAGCACGATGTGTACATCATCAACACCTCTTGCTGCACACCGACCACAGCGCCGACGGTGACGGGCAAGTCGTTCATCTCGCCCAACACCTCCCTCATGGAGTTGCTTATCATGATCCACGCTTGCAAGGTCGCATCGGCCAAGCGCGTCACCGCGGTCATCCCGCATTTCTTTTATGCGAGGCAGGATAAGAAGGACAAGAGCCGTGCGCCGATCAGCGCAAAGCTCGTAGCGAACATGATCGAAAAGGCTGGATGCGATCATGTCATTGTAAGCCTTCGGCACCTCTGCTTTCTATAGAGCTTCAATCTGACCCTCCTCCCGAAATTTCTCTGCAGACCATGGACCTACACGCATCTCAAATACAGGGCTTCTTTGATGTACCCGTTGACAATGTGCGTTTGCATGCGATCATTTGCCTCTCTTCGAGATGCAAGCTGACGCGTCCGTTCCCATTTCAGCTCTACGCCGAGCCGGCAGCACTCCAATTCATCCGAGAGATGATCGACTTGGAAAAAGTCGTCATCGTCTCCCCTGACGCAGGCGGTGCGAAGAGGTGTGCATGCTTGTGTAGCTGATGTTGGCGTAAGCGACGAAGCTAGCTCGCTGACAGCATCCCATTTAAATACGCGCATTACAGAGCAACGTCCCTCGCGGACCGGCTGAACGTCGACTTTGCGCTGTTCCACAAAGAGCGCAAGAAGGCCAACGAGGTGTCGCGCATGGTGCTTGTCGGAGACGTCAAAGGCAAAGTCGCCGTCCTCGTCGACGACATGGCAGATACGTGCGGCACGCTTGAACTCGCCGCCCAACGGCTCGCCGAGTCTGGCGCCGAGCGTGTCTTTGCGATCGTTACACACGGCATTCTCTCTGGGCCTGCACTCGAGCGCATCAGAAGGTCTAGCTTGGAGAAGCTTGTCGTAACCAACACGCTGCCGCAGGCGCGCAATCGGGCCCAGTGCGACAAAATCGAAGAGATTGACATTAGCCATGTCCTCGCCGAGACGATCCGCAGAAGTCACTACGGCGAAAGCGTCAGCGTGCTCTTCAACGAGGTGCCCTATGATACCACGCAACCCTACCGCCAGAGCCTCTCGCGGTCTGTCAGCTCGGAGAACGTCGGCAGCGGAAGTGGCGGCAGTGGAAACGGATACGGGCACGGGAACAGTGGCACGCACGGCCTCTCGACTAATCGGCAGTTCCCACGGAGCAGTTACACCACACCAGATCCACCCGAGCTTTCAAATTCCTCGGGCTTTCTGACCAACGCGACAAGCAGCGGCCGTAGCAGCACGGGCAACGCCAGTGGCCCGCTCTCCACTGCGGCGGCAACGCCGAAGTTGAGCCAGCACAGCACCCCGCCATTGCCGAGTCCACTGCGCAACGAGACACGTGCCGAGTGATGAGCGTGACTGCTTACGCTTGGCATCGCATCGCGTACATGGGGCCTGGATAGAAACCTTCTGTATTTGTACAAAGTCACTACCACCATCATCATCATTAACATCGTTCTGAGGGACAAAAAATCATACTATGCTATGTCAGCTTTATAAGCACAAACACCCAGATCCAGCTGACAAGCACGGTGAGCAGGCATCCGAGCGTCATCCATCCCATGCCTCGCGCCGTCTTGCTGTACTCGCCCAATCTGCCGCGCGCGCGCGTCATCAGGCCCAGGTTCTGTGCTAGCTGCTCGCCGGCGGTCTCTACGAGCTTGCGGTCGCGCTCGAGCGCATCGGCGAACGCGAAACTGTTCTTCTTGAGGATAGAGGCCATGCGCAGCAGCTCGCCCGATAGCGACTCTTGCACGGCCCGGCTAGACTGCAGCAGCGTCGACGTCGCCGGATCTGAAGAGTCGCCTCGCTCGGTGCGCGGCGGCGGATATATGTCCTTCTCGGCTCCGGCGGGGGCCACCGGCACCGCGCCGTACTCGGCAGCGACTGCGTCTTCGCTAAGCTTCTCGGCCGCATCGGCCTCTCGTGTTGCGCCTCTTCGCTGGCGCAGTGAGTCATGCGTAGCGGTGGTGGCGGCCGTCGCGCTCGAGCTGGCGCCAGCCGATGTCGAGCTTCCATCAGCGGTCGCCGTCGGCGCTAGGGATACGGCGGTGTCGATGGCTGAAGCATCAGGCCCTGCTAGCACACGCGTACGTCGACGTGGACGAGGAAGAAATTGCACGCCGCTGCTCCCTGCGAACAAGGAAATACGGGAGGTGCTGCGGCACGACTCTTCCCCCTCGGACGAATCGTCGGACAGGCCTCCAAGCCCGGCCGCCAAGGATGCGTAAATGGATGTGCTTGTTGGGGGAGCTGTGGATGATCGTGCAAGTGTGTCTACCGCCGCCAAGGATGAATAAGACCTATGGCCATTGGAGCCACTACCTGTTGTGGCGGGAAAGCCTGCTCGCAGGGCCTTGGCGAAGAGTAGGAGGCGCAGTACAGTACATCTGGTTAGCAGCAGCTAGACTGTAAGCCCATAAGACAGAGTCACCCCTCACCCTTGACAGAGTTTGCACCTGATGGTACAGTTCTCCCAGCCGAGCTCGAAGGCGAGCAGCTTCATCACTGCACAGCGGTAAGAAATCAGCGTGGAACTTTGCTGGTGCAAAGCGGAACGAAAGCGACTCACGCATCCTCCCGGGTGGTGCGGTGATCGATACCCTGCAGCGTCTTCTGTGCTTTTTCTAACTGGCCTTGTAACGCAATCAGCCTCCAGCGGTCCATCCTGTCGTCGCCTCGCTCTGAGGCAGTTGTAGAGGAAGAGACCAACGGCGACGTGTTCGCGAGGTGCCATTCTGCACGGCCGACGAGACGCCGAGTCTTGGCGAACGTTTGCGTGCTTGTCATTTTAAAATGCCTCGGTTTCGTAAGGAGCTGAGGACGCTAGCTTTCCTTGAGGTCTTCTGACCTACTAATGCCAGTCCTCGTGCGTTTCATCATGTGCGTAGGACGTGCGCCACGTCGACGCCTCCAGTCTCGTCTGGACGACGAACAAGGGCGATGATGCGGAGACGTGGCCGATGGTGTAAGAAGTTAGGGTTATTCACCAGGAGAATAGACGCCAACACGAAGTGGTGGCCATTTTGAGTGGCCCCATATGTGCTCGTGCCTGGTTTGCAGCAGGGGCAGGAGCACTCGCAAAAGTGACGCCTTTCTGAACTCGTGGTTTGAGTGCTCTAGTGCCACTCGGGCGTAGCTCCTTCCCCCTAACCTCCCAAAAGCAGGCTCCTTTCGGCGGCTGCCATGTGAGCGAGAGAAAGTGCATGTGTTGGGACCTGTCAGCTCTCACGGAAGCGGGGATAATGGCTAGATCCCTACAAGGCTGAGGAGCATACGGGTGTGCACATACAGCATAGCGTATCGTGAGTGATAGATAAGAGGGGCGAGGACGCTGGTGGATGGTCTGCCGATGAGGCCATGCCTCAATAGCGCTGAATCCATGGTCACGTGACCCTTTCTGTGCTACACACCAACCGCGCATTGGAGGGAGCGAGCCACATGGTTATCCCCAGCCATCTCAATCGTGGCGCTTCGATACGCAAGGCCCAGCAAAAACGGAGACGAGAGCTACTACCATCTACGGCCGCTCACCACAAGTTGGATTGCCTCGCCGTTTATCCACCTCCAACGCCGGCGACAACGCATCGACGAGGAGCAGTCGCACGCATACATACAGAGACCATCCATCCAATACTTCCAACCATTGCAACGCTTTCGCGCTGCCCGAGCTACCGTCTAAGACTAACCTCGTCTGGCCGCAGTCGCCTGCTTGCTTCGCTGCTCTCCGAAGCAAGAGTAGCGCGCCATACTCAGTAGAAGTCTCGGCAGAAGTGGCAGCGCGAGTAAAACGGCGAAGACATAACTTCGACGACCTCTGACGGCGACGCCCAGAGACGAAGACAAAGGCCAAGACGAGGACAATCCCGAATATGAACACCCGACCGCACAAGCAGAGCATGTCCGAGCTCAAGCTTAGGCGGCTCACCGAGCACAACATGCGGCTCAAAGAGGACCTGGATCGGCCGCGAGTAAAAGTCTCAGAAGCGAGCGCATCGTGAGTGGGCTGCGCCAATGTGCAGCGTTCTTTTCTTTCGGTCTCTATGCTTCTTAAGATTCGGTGATCCGAACGACTCGGTATGGCGGCAAGGATGCGCTACGCGGCCTGGGTTTGCTGGTCAGATGCTCCATGCTCCGTTGCAATGTTGGGCTTGGCGGAGAGGGTGAGCCTCCTCTGTAAATGACTGCCGATTGCAGAGGAGGCTAAGTGCTTCCCTTTTCTCTCGCAACTCGATAGCCTTCGAAGGCGGTCAGATTGTCACTACAGCGATATTTTCTCTGCTTTTTTACTTGCTTTTACCTTGAGCTCATTCACTGACTCCATGACTCTCGTCCTCTGCCATTCCCTGCCCCTATCACAGCCTGATTCGCTATTGCAAGACAACAAAGGACTACCTTGTCCCATCCGTCTGGGGCCCCGTCGACAAGCGGGAAGACCCGTATGCTCCGCATGGCGGCGGATGCGAGTGTGCTATCATGTGATGCGAAGATGGACATCTTTTAGCCATCGCAGTGATCGGCACAGACGCATTCGCTTTTGTGGCGGGTGGCGATGCTCGAGCATACATGCTTTCAAAGGGAAGAAGCAGTCTGATATTCTCAGGACGGGCATTCGACCCATCTAGGCGACCTTCGCATGTTGCCGGTTGCGGATACAGGGTACATGGCCCCGATGCTGTATGCTCGTCCTAATCACTCGATCGCCACCATCAAGACGCCCCCTGGGAACCACCTAGTGGCGTTGCCGCGCACTCGCAAGGCAAGGTCCGATATACCGCCTCTCCGTCCCACCGATGACCTGCATCGCAATATCGGATAATGACTCCGTCTCTCACTCTGTCTTTTCTGTTTCTGTTCCTCGCAACACACAGCATGTCATTATTAGCCATCTCTTTCACTGCAATACCAGACTGATTGACTAACCGCCGAGAATGGGTTGCATGCGATTCGGTCGGCTTTGATATTGCTGTCTCATTACAAACAGAGTCACCCAGCAAGCGATATATCTCCGAGCAGCAGAGCATCGTCAATCGCTCCGCTGCCACGCGCCGCTCTTGCCGCCACTCTTGGCGATGACCTTCAGGTCTTCGATGTACATCTCGCGTCCCGCGACCGCCTTGGCCATGTCCCAGATCGTGAGGCACGCAACGCTGACGCCCGTCAGCGCTTCCATCTCGACACCTGTCTGGCCCGTCGTGCTCGCCGTGCATTCAACGACGAGGTAACCGCCCTCGGGCTCGAGCTCCTCGTCGTCGTCAAAGGTGATGTGCACCGCGACCTTCGTCAACGCCAGCGGGTGGCACAGGGGGATCAGGTCCGACGTCCGCTTGGCGCCCATGATTCCGGCAAGCTGCGCCGTTTGTACGACAGGGCCCTTTGTAGAAGCTGGCACTGGAACAGCCGAGGATGCGTCAGATTGCTCGCTCGCCCGCAAAGCGTTCATGGCGGCGCGCGGAAGCCATACACGACCACGTGCGGTAGCAGTTCGCTTCGTGCTGGTCTTGCTGCTGATGTCGACCATGCGCACTTGACCGCTGGCCTCATCAACGTGCGTGAAGCCTGACGCTGCGGCAAAGTCCCTCGAGGTTGAATGACTAGGCTGTGGAATGCTGCCGCGCATGGGTGGCGCGGGCTGAGCAGATGCTGTAGCATCATTTTGCGACTGCTGCTCTGCTAGCATCTGAGCGACAGCTGCTTCTAGCATTATGCGCTCAGCTTTAGCTGTGGCTGATGATGCCATTGCATTTTGCTTACGAACTATCTGGTTGCTTTCTGCCAAGCGTGTACCGTCTGCGGTTGGTTGCGCATGGCTTGAGCTTGCGCTATCGGCGAAGGCGTCTAGATTGGCCCATGGGTTGTCTTCATCATCGCTGGCGTTGTGCCCCATGTATTCAGACCAGGTCTGCACTCGTGGCTGCTCCGTGAGCGAACCAGTGGAGGCGCGACCCCAGGTCATCTTGCTGGCAGACGCTGCGTCAGCTGCAGCGTCGAGGCGATTCCAAGGTCCTTCATCATCGGACTTCGAGGAGTAGAAACGCTGCCGTCCCAAAGTAGTGGAAAGCCTAAGCCCAAGTCGTGGTGACGCAGATCTGGCCCGGACGGCGAGAGCAAGGTTTGTCCGGTGACTCGGAAAGCTGTTGATTCTGGAAGCCCTGGAACGTTGACCGCCGCGCCCCTCAGCGAAAGCTAGTCACCCGCCGATATGTATCATTGGTCGATTCTTCTGTTGCGCAAGCTCAGCAGGCCCTGACATACCGGCGTGCTTTGCGTGCTTCCTCCCTACTGCCGCCCCGATGACCTTGAGCAATTCTTCATCCGTCGCTTGTCCATTGGGCCCGGTCCCGCGCATGATGTCGCGTAGAGATACTTCAGCATTCCCAAAGAGACAGACCTATAGAACACAAGACAATGTCAGGAGAAGTACAGGGCGATTTGATGGCTTCTGGTGCAAAGCTCACTTTCATGTTCCCATCAGCGGTGATGCGCAGTCGATTGCACGAGTTGCAAAAGTGGTCCGTCATGCTGAAGGCCGGTAAACACTTCAGTGACCTGGTCATGACTCAAGGAGGACGATTTCAACCTCACCTAGTAATGAACCCGACCCTTCCCTTGTAACCAGGTACGCGCCACCCTTTGCTGGTATCGTTTGCCTCGTCTTCTAAGCGTTCAAAGTCGCCGTACATTTCGCGAATGACAGCTAGTAAGTCCTGATAAGGCACCAGCTTGGACGTCTGCCATCTGTTTCCGTCGAATGGCATATACTCGATGAAGCGAACGACAACGTTGTGGTCGCGCGTGTAATCAATGAAGCTTTTGATCTCCTCCTTGCTATCGTTGACACCTTTAAGCATGACGACGTTGATCTTGATACACTGCATACCCGCGCCAGCGCTCACCAGCTTCTGTGCAACATCGAGCGTTTTGAGCACCGCGTCGAGCCCGCCGCCGGGCCTGCGCGTCAGCAGCTCGAATTTGAACGGGTCAAAGGTGTCGAGAGAGAGGTTCAGATGCGAAAGCCCTTGGTCGACCAAGCGTGGTAGCCTTCGCGCGAGAGCCAGACCGTTCGAAGTCATTCCTATTGAGCGCAATCCCATCGATCGAAGCTCATTCAAAGATCCTATGTTCCAAATCAAAGTAAATCAGCTTATCTAAAGCTCAAGCAGTGATGCTCTGGAATGCGAAAACGCACCGATGATATCCTCGAGATCCCGCCTAATAGTCGGTTCGCCGCCAGTGAGTCTGATCTTCTCCACGCCATTTTTGACAAAGAGTGTCGCAAGTCTCTGCACCTCTTGCGCAGTCAGCAGTTCCGGGCTCGGTGTCAATGTTGCGCCATCTTCGGGCATGCAATAAATGCAGCGCAGATTGCAGCGTTCGGTTAGCGAGATGCGCAGGTAGGTGTGCTGCCGCGCGTGCCGGTCCCGCAGAAGTAGCGATGCGGTCTGAGAGGAAGTGTGTTTTGCGTCGATGGCTGAGATCTATATAGGCCGAAATATTACGGCGCGTGTGTCAGCGGATATAGGCTGAAAGCATGCTATCAGCTCGGCCGAATGCTACCAATCCTGCTCACTCTTTCTCGCGACGCGTCTCGAGCTGATTTCCCTGCCGGGAGCTGAGAAGTCAGCGTTGCATCCCTCGCAGCAATGGCCGTTCTTGTGTCTGTGGCGAGCCAGCGTCCTGGTGGCCCGCATTGATAACTGTTGGATTCTGCGAGTCTGCCGTATTTGGCGGAGCGACTGGCGACATAGGCACCAACGCCAAAGCCACTGTTGTTCCCGGTGCGACAAGCCAGGGTTGCAGCAGCCCTGTTTGTGCAAGCCATCATGCCACACTGTCTGGCAGATTGAGTGGATTGAGGGTCGACTAGGATGACAGGCACGTTGAATACATGCAGTGGCATGGGATTGATAAACTGTGCGTTGATGAGAATGCGACTGGTTGCTGCGGTGTTGAACTTCATACCATATGACATTGTCCCTTCGTACCTTGACAAGGGCTTCAAGCCCTGTTCCGCTCCACTGTCCCAGGTACGACGCATCAACCTTTGTACAGGCTGCTTCACTTGGCCTTCGTCAATGCCTGTATTGCACTCAATGGACCCCCATCCTCCCACCGTCTCCACCATCTCCACCATCTTCTCTGGGGGAGATCTGTGCATAGGATCACAGTATATGGACACTTGGTTGACGAGGTCTAATACCGATATTGGCCAGTAAGCTATTCATTGACGTACATGGGTATTAGTACCACTTCTGTGCCTGGTTTAACAAATTGGTTCTAGCCATTTAGCGAAACAAAGGTTCAACAGCCTGAACCCTTTCAGACATATCTGAGCATCACTTATATCAACACCTTTGACGACTTTGAGTCTTTGTTCAGCGGTAGAGTATATGCTTGTCCAAAGATACGTGTTGAGAATCAGTATCATTCATACACATTTCAGGCTTGTCTTTCCATTAAGGGTTCCAGGTCGTGCCACGGTGAGTGATCATCCTGAGTCGATCCTCCTCGATCCTAACAGTCTTGGTGTCAGTTGGTCTGTCGTGTCATGTGTTGCTGAAGAGCTGAATGTCAGGGGCACGCCGGGTTTGTGCGCCAACCATGGCGTATGATGTCGCCTGCCGACGTCAGTCGTCACCAGGAGCGGCAGTCGAATCATTCGGCCGTAGGGGGAAGCGCAGCAAACACAAATCGGGCTCAGCTTCCACCAAACAGCACCTTTATTTGGCATGCACAATACATTGTGTTTGGGTGTAATACCCTGCTCGCATTGCATAAATAGTAGACACACGCACCTGATCGCATTCTCTCAATGTATCTAGCACAAAGAATTTACTGCATTCTTTGTTCATAAAGTGAATCGCACCTGATACCTCTGCTTCCGGCTTTCTATTCTCTGGAGGTCTCGACCTACCTACCCAAAAGTCAGCCACGGTGACATATGAATCCACCAAGCCGATCTTCGCGTCATATCCCTGATCTCCTATGTATTCTGTGGTGCCATCTCCTAGAAGAAATTGGAATGTTTCTATGATGGAAATGCTGAGGGTTCTGACCCACGGTGCCGTCGAGTCTCGCTGACATAAGTGCATCGTGCTGAAGTAGCTGTCCCCAGGAGTTTAGGAAATCACCGCCAAGCCATGCTTTGCGATGGCACAAGTACCGAGCTCTGCGACCGTAAGAAGCGATGGTTGGTCGAAGGTTTGACGAACGATAGGATAGTTGTTCGACGAACAATGCCTGCAGCTTTTGCGCCAACTTGCGCAAGTCATTCGCCTAGTCAATTTCCTCAAGCCCTCCCGTATGGACAGACTCGGGTGCGCAAGCAGGTGCGAGTTTAGGCTATTCACTGGATCGTTTTCAAAGTTGTGCAGCTTTCCGCATGCCCAATGAGAACTGGTCGTTCCCTCTCTGCGAGCGGGTTGGGGTTGAAACTCGTCGAGACTTTGGAGGGGACTGGCTGGAACCGTGCGCGCGCTTGTTCATGCTCTTGCTGCTGCTTCACCAAATTGATTAGCCTTGTTTTCCTGTTCATCAGCGTCTTCTAACTGTCGATGGTAGTCGTTTGATCGGCACCTTGCTGCCACATAAAGTTGATCAGCCCGACCTCGACAGAGGACGATTGTGCGGCTTTCTCGTTGCCATGCTCCTGCTGGATTTCTTCTAGCGTATCCGAAATTCCCCAGCATTGTGGCAGGCACAGGGTCTTCAGGTAGTACCTTGAGAGATCCACACTGCGTCATTATTGTAGCCTGTTCTTTGTTTTTATTACGGCGCGGTAGACGCTCAGCTCGCTTCTCGAGGAAAAGGAAGCGTGCTCTTTGTCGATCTGTTGTTGCACTTTTGTGCCTTGTACATTTTCTTTTGAATCTAATTGAAGCCACTGGAGAGCAGCATGGTGGCACATGGTTGCTCGTCCAGCCCTGTCTATAATGATACGGTCCTTACTCTTGTTCCGACATACGAAGAGGTAGGCAATCAAAGAGCACCCTGAAAGTTTATATTCATTGAAGAGTATGTAAGATTTGGTGCCTCGAATGATGCCTGAGATCGAGCCGAGGATCCTGAGTGTTGTCCCCACATTGTACAATGTGGAAGAAACAAACTTATATACCGTACAGCTGAACTCTGGATGGACAGCGGTGAAAAGACGTGAAGCAACACTGGTGCAAAGTTGGTGCTTCGTACTTAAACACGTGGAACGGTAAGGGTTCGAAGCCCCCTGTTAAGGTACGAAGCAACACCACCTTAGAGTACCGAAATCATACAATATGCGGGGTTGTGTCTGCTTTGATCGTGTGATCCATCTCTCGAAGATTGCGCCGGCAGAACCCTCAAGTCTCAACATCACTCAGCGTCGCTATCTCGATTCTCATGGGCTCTTTCTGATCGTCCTTGCTTATGTGTCTTTTTTCCGACTTTTAACAATCCTAGATCGCACTGACACGATGGAATGCAGAGCAAAAATGACCTTGTCGGATCGAATCAACCCTGAGATACAAACGAACACCAATTCAGGTCCTGCAGAATCTCTCCGGGATAATAAGAAAGTTCAAACAATGAGCCCATCCTACTTTCTACTTCTTGCCGGGTGCTTTGAACCTCCTCAGCGCCCTCTGCCTCGCCTCAGTATGCTCAACGATCGGCTTGGGGTATCCCAACTTATCAAACTCAGCCTTCGACATGCGGTCATAGGGCGCGTGGATTGCGTTCCCCTTGACATTCTTCAGCTCGGGCACCCAGTGCCGGATGTACGATCCATCCGGGTCGGACTTCTCGGACTGGCTGAGCGGGTTGAAGATGCGGAAGTACGGCTGCGGGTCGGTGCCGGTTGAGGCAGACCATTGCCAGCCACCCTAATGTCCAAGCAGCGAGCAGCGAAGGACCGATGCGGTCAGCACGTGGGCGCAACGATGAGCGGCAGATCTGAAGGAGCGGCGTGGGAACTCACATTGTTGCTGGCAAAGTCGCCGTCGATCAAGTTCTGCATGAACCACCTTTCGCCCTCCCTCCAATCGATCATGAGATGTTTAGTAAGAAACATGGCGGTGATCATCCTCCCGCGGTTATGCATGTATCCCTGCTTCTTGCACTGGCGCATGGCCGCATCGACGATCGGGTAGCCAGTCTTGCCCTGCTTCCACCTCTCCAAGTTTTCCCCTTCCGCGCTCTCCCAGATGACGTCCTCATACTTCAGCAGATATGCGCGGCCCATGCAGACACGTGGCCACGCGGAGAGGACGTGCGCGTAGAAGTCGCGGAAGGATATCTCCGTGTTCCACATGGCCGGGCCCGAGTCGCGGCCGACGTGCAGGCGGTTCTTTGTGATAGCCTTCGTCTGGCGCAGACACTCGCGCGCCGAGACGATGCCAGCGGCGAGGTAGGGCGAGATGTGCGATGTCCCGTTCTCGTTCATTAGATTGCGCCCAGTGCTGTAGCGAGACAGACGCGTCTCCTCTCCCTTCTTCGCGTCGGCTTCCTTGACCATGGTCCTCGGTTCGCCCGTCGCAGGCTCCTCGAACATGGATATGCCGCCTTTGCTGTAGAAGAAGTTCTGCAGCACCTTCTGTGCGGCCTCCTCTCCCGCCGGCCAGAGCTTGGCCATATACTTTTGGTCATCGGCATCGCACTCAAAGCCGCTGACGTGGTCCGGTACTTTGCTGTCGAAGAGCTTCTGCAACTTACTGTCGCTCGTGATAGCCTTTTTGTCGTTAGGTTCCGGGTCAGGATGCGCCTCGAGCATGTCCTTATGTTTCTCAATGTACGCCGTCCACGCACGATTCCAAGGCGAAAAAACACTGTATGGTCTTCCATCTTTGGTGATGACCTTTCCGGGGGGGACGACATAGGCATCGTCCACAAAGGCTGCATGTATGGTGTTCTTTGATTTCTCCGCTTTGCGGACAAGCGCTGCATCGCGCCACAACTCGTCCACCTCATATTCGATGTTGCCGCAGATGTTTGTCGCCCCCCACTCGTCTGCAAGCTGAAGCACCCTGTCCACCAGCGTCTTACGGTCCTTGTGCTCTACGACGACAAATGGGATGTTGAAGCGCTCTTTGAAGTCCTTTTGTAGGATGCGCAAATTGCGCAGGATGAAATCCACGCGCCTCGGACTACGGTCGTGCGCCGCGTAGTCGGACGGCGAGAGCACGTGCAGAGCAATGATGTGCGCCTTGTTCTTCTGCGCGATCGACGACGCGAGGCTCAGCGCGTGATTGTCGGCGATACGGAGATCCTTGTTGCGCTGCCAGTAGATCACATTTCTGCCATTGGTCCACGTTGGCTCTAGCGTCCTAATCGAAGAGAGGGCTTTGCGAAGGTCCTCCAGTGGGGTGACGTTCTTAGGCAGCCGGGGGTTGAGCTCGTTGGCCCTGGGATGGCCCTTGCCGTATGCGGGAGCGCTCGATGTCGACTTCTTCGCGTCTCCATCCTCTTTTTTGCTTCGCTTGCGAGCCGGATAACTAGCCTCCTCTTCATCGCTGCTGTGGTCGACGTCTGACTTGGACTTGCTCTCGGTCTTATTTTCCTTCATCGCGGTCGGTGTGGCGCGCTTTGATCCAGCTAATGCTTTCGCTGCCATGGTGACATTGGTAACTCGAGATGGGAAGAACGATCTAGGGGGTGGTGGAGGGGGCAATTGAGTCAGGGCTAAGGGCTGCAGTAGCAGAGACGATTGCGAGATGAACAGGGGGGAAAGTCGCTGTCGATCCGGCAAGGCACACCTACGCAAGAATACGTTCCAAGCGAATGCTGCCTGATATAGCATACACTGGTGCTCTTGCCCTTAGTATGTGCCGCTGGACGTGTAGGTGTCGATGGGTTGGGAAAGGGAGGAACATGCAACAGCATCGGTGACGCGATGGATTTCCACAGAAGCACGCTTCGCACGCCAAAAAGGTGTGAATGGTACACTGTGAGACGCGATTGGCATTCGCCAGCCAGTGCTCATCCGAAGAAAGCCGTTATTGCGTTGTTGGGTCTACACAGCATGCCACACTCGCTCGCTCTCCTGCTGTGCTGCTGCGTCCACAGGGCGGCACATCCAGGCGCACGCACATTCTGGCAGCTCCTCCTATTGAGCACTGTACCCTGCTTCGTTCGTCTTACAGTGCGGCGCTCGCAGCTTGCGACTTGCCAGCTTCGAGTTCCCTCCCACCTATCGTGTCTTGGGTCAGCATCTGCTGCACCGAAATGACGCATGGTTGCACCGAATAACGAACTGGAGCGCGGAAAACAGCCAAGACTTTTGACCTATAGTATCAATTTGACAACACGCTGGCTGACACAAGCTCCGCTATCTCCCCCATAATGGAAAGACGTCGCAAAGGGGTCGAGGTGCAGGATGGACTTTTGATGCCAGCAGTTGAGCCATACCGGTCACAGAATGGGCTTATAACGATGAGCCTTTTGCTCATCCGCTTGTCTGCCAGCAAGAAGCTCTACGGATTCCGACGCTGCATGCGTAACAAAAACAAACTTGCCCCCTTCGTTCGTCGACTTCAGGCACTATGCAACCAGGGTGAGGATCGCCTCCGAGTCGGTTCATCATCGTATCAAGGCTTTCTTCCGTGTGTCACAAGAACTCATGAAACTTAGCTGCAACAGGCGCAATGGCGGTCTACGTCCTAGACAAGTACAACCTCGCCTTCACTTTCCTTATCTCGCTCGGCTGGCAGGCGCTCGGCTTCGCCATCGCCTTCGGCCTGCAGATCGACACCATCACCGATTTCTGGTCCGCAGTCAATTTCTTTGCGCTCGCGCTCATAACGCTTTGTCTTGGTGGCCAGTATGATGGTCGCAACATCGCTGCGAGCACGCTCGTCATGATCTGGGCCGTCCGTTTGGGCGCATGGCAGCTGTTCAGGATGCTAAAAAGTGAGTGCCTGTTTCACTTCTCTGCCGGAACAATCTTTCTGATTCCAGGTGCTTGGTCCTGCAAAGTGGGCGGAGACAAGCGGTTCGACGAGATGCGTAGCAAGCCTCTGAGCCTTGCCGGCTTCTGGAGCCTCCAGCTGCTCTGGGTCTGGGTCGTCTCGTTGCCCGCCATCCTGCTCAACTCGCCCGCGACGAACATCCCTTCGCGCGGCGGCATTCACCTCTCGTTTGGCACGGACAAGGACATCGCCGGCGTCATCCTTTGCGGCCTCGGTGTACTGATCGAGGCCACAGCCGACTTGCAAAAATACCGTTTCAAGTGTGTCACCAAGGCGCTCAAGGGCGCCATCATCGACCTGGGCTTGTGGGGCTGGTCGCGTCGTCCGAACTACTTTGGCGAAATCCTTTTCTGGTGGGGGATGTACATTCTCTGCCTAAGCCCAGCCATCGACCAGCGCGACAGCACGACCAGTGCGAGCATCTCGCATGGCGGGCGCGCGGCGCTCATAGCATCTGTCTTCTCTCCGCTTTTCACCATGGTGCTCCTCCTTTTCATATCTGGCGTGCCACTTGCAGAAAAGCCGACACAGGAAAAGTATTTCCTCATGTCGCATGGACCTGACAGCGACGACGGGCACAACGACCTCGAGCCTTTCGGCAAGTGGCAGAGGGAATGCGACCCGTGGGCACGCATGCGCGCACACCGAGAACGGACTAGCCTTCTCCTACCCCTACCCCCGGCGCTCTACTGGCCGCTACCGCGATTCGTCAAGACGTGGGTGTTGCTAGATGTGAGTACGAGCAACGAATCCACGTTGCCTCGCAGTCATGGAGAGAAGAAGAAACAAGGAGAGCAAAAATGGCTGATGCACCTCCGCCTCCGGCTCTCACTTTTGCGCCACGCGTAGCTACCAATGTACCGTTTCGATGAGGCCAAGGATGGGACGAAAGCAATCCAAGCTGCGGAGCGTAAGAAACGTGCCGAGAACAACGCCTGAACGCCTCGGGTTGGAATTCTTTACCTTTGGCTGCATGTGCCATCAAGCGTCCACTTGTTCTGTAGAATAGCTCATTCTTCCTGCATCATGTATTTTACACTCCCCCACGCACGCTTCTACGTGCCCTCTGGGCGTACCATGAAGGCGATCAGCATAATGGATATTTTAAACGCCAAATTCAATTCGGTGCTCTGTCCACCATCGCAGTCCTTCCTCACGCGTGCTGGCGTCCAACTGTGCCAGAACATCGAATATGTGCCCGCACAGCGCAAGCACTTTCGCCCGGCCCTTGCTTAGCGATTCGTTCTTTCTGTGTTTGCCTCTCCCCTTTCTACCTAGCGTCGCCACTGCTCCTGAAACTCTTGCTACCGAAGCTGTCGATGCATCTTTGCCTTCACTTTCTTGCTGTTGCGGCTGTACCGGTGTTGCATCAAGCTGTGCAGCTGCACGGATGAACGTTTGCACGCGTGAAAGCGCAGAGCGCAGAAGCGTCAAGTTGATGCTGCTGAGTTGCGAGATATAAGTCATCTCTAGCGCTTGCAGCGCTTCGTCCGGCGATGGATTCTCAGCTGGCCCAGCAGCTTCCAGCTTTCGCGATGTCGCAGTGGCATCAAAATCTTGCGAAGGTGTTGATACTGGCTCTCCACTGTCTTCACCGTTCACTAGCAGCCGTTGTCGGTCAATCGCGTCATCAAGCTGCATCAGCGCCCACCAAGCAACTGCATCGTCTGTGTCCGAAGCAGTGTTGACAATGGTGGAGAAGGCGTGATCCAGCTGCACACTTGTGAGCAGAGACGGATAGCTGCGCAACAGAATATCGACGTAATATGGTACCAGGCTCATACAGACGCGCTTTTGGCTGCTGAAGATTGCGAGCACGACAGAGTGCGCAGATTCGAATGTCGTGCGGAACCGTGGATCATCCAGGTATCTGAATATCGAACCCATTCAAAGACAAATCAGGACACACGATCGCAAGGAAGCCCGACTGGAAGTAAGACTCACGGTCTACAAGTTGGTAGCAGTCTCGCCTCAATGATTTCGTCGGGTAGCGAGGCTGTGAGCTGCTCAGCGACATCAAGGTAGTACGTTATTGCGCTTCTTTTAGCATCATTCATCTCCAGCTTTTTGCCCAGCGAATCGGTTGGCTCGATCAATTCCATGAGCGCCACGCATGCTTCGGCATCACGGCCGATGATGTCCAGGCTCGAATAGAAGATGTGTGTGTATGCGGTGAATCCATTGGAACCAAATGCGCTCACGATCCAGTAGAGATGGCCGTAGGTCTGGAGAATAGATTGAACGATGGACAAGAACTGTGGCGGTAGGTTCGAAGAAGCGACCGCTGGCCAACGACCTGTGAGCCCAGATTTGTGAGGTGGGCGGGCTGCGATGGGTACCGTGGGCGAGGGACACATGTCAATCACTGCCTCCATCAGGGAGTCGAATGGCATGGTCAGACAAAAGATATACGACTTGAAGGTATTCCACAGTTGCTTTGTCGTCTCGCGAGAGTCCATGTCTAATATCGACATGAAAATCGTCAGTGGCGCACTATTACAGCGTCACAACAATCGACACGTACTAATCTGATCATTGTCGGTACCAGCTAGCTCACTGCCAAGCCATAGCATACCTATATGCTCGCTCAAGACTCTTACGCGGGTGAAGAAGGGTTCCAAGTTCGCCGGCGTTGAATCTGCAGGGCGAATCAAGGCCAGAGCGGAGAGGTCTGCTAGCGATAACTGCAGAGTTGCTTGCGACAGTCCTACGGCGACGAGTTGCGAGATTGGGCCTAACCAGGGGTACAGCTTGTCTCCTGCAAGCGCTTTGACTCTTCGGGCTGTCTCTGAGTCGCTCTATTATGCAACAGGATCAAATTTCAGTGCCCGCAACCCGTGGCTATTTCGAAATGGTAACTTACGGCAATGTTCAACTTATCATCTTCGCCTGACCGCGTAACATCTTCTGCGATTCTCTGCAGCACATCGTGGTGCTCGAATATGCCCAGCATAGCGTCTGAGGCAACGTACAAAAGCGACTTGAAATGAACAACAGCTGTGTCATAACGTAATGTTCCATCCTCGAGCATTGAATACTGCTTGTCTCACCTGTACCGGCAAAGTCTCCAGCTTTCGCTGCGGGACGTACTGCACAACTTGAGCAGCTAGTGTCAAGGATACTCCCCAACGTTTCCTTCGATCTGCAAATACAAGTATCAGCACGATCCTGGAAGGACTTGCTCAAAAGTGATGCTGCCCACGCACTTGTGAAATGGCTGGGGTCAGAATCCATTTGCGCCTGCTCGTGTTTCCTGAACTCCTGCTCCCAAGCATCCCTAGGGTTCGACTGCTGCCTGCTCGTTGCTGTGGTCTGCGGCAGGTATATCTGACCCACTAACTCAAGACATTCGGAGAAGCTGACAATCCACTCATCCTCCACTTTTCGCAAGCAGCTCCTCAAGCTGAGAGCAGATTGAGCTTGGCCACTGGTCTTTTGCTCTTCTTTTACTGCATGTAAGCCAAGCAGGAGACCTGACAGAATGGCGAGCCTGGGGATGGGTTGGCCTTGGAGCGCTTGCATTTCAGTGGGAGCAGGGTCCGGTAGCGAAGCGGAGATGTCATAGCGGCACGCGAGGATGATGCTCGTAACCCAATTGTACAGCTTGCGCTTTGTCCCCCAGCCGACGGATCCGAGTCGGCTCTTGAGAAGGAGTTCTACTCGGCGTGTAGTTGCTTGAGCGACTGCTCGCGAGAGATTTGTAGCACGGGAGAGAAGGGCTGCGACGCTTGCCTCATCGACACCCGACGATAACGACGCTTCGCGGCCATGCGCCGCCCAGAAGGAGCCGGAAGTTGCCACTACCGATGCGAAGGTGCTTGCATACTCGTCCTGCAGGCCTGAAAGATAGTAAGCGATCGAGCCGTATAACGTATTGTCATCCAGCAGAGACAGATGCGTGCTAGAGGCGGGCGGGGCCTTGAGGAGGGAGGTAAACGTCCCCAACCGCTCATCTGGTTCGATGAACGTGTCACTTTGCATTGCATCCTCCACAACAGGATCTTCAAGGGTGATAAGTTTCTACCACGACAGAGATTCTTGCCTGCAATGAGCTGCAGCTGAAAGCTAGCTGTAAAAAGAATAGAGAATGTAGGTAGAAGGGACGTTCAGCGAAGAGAGTCAGAGACATTGACAGAAACGGCTCGGCTTTTGTCACAGTCTTTTGGACCGGTGACTGGTTCCAACTTTCTCAGCGCCGGATGTCCTTCTGCAGCACAACTCTCTTCCATTCACATCACGATGGTTAGGAAATGTTGTTGGCGAGTCCCAAGCCTAGAGAAAAGGGACTGATTCTAGCAAGCCATTACAACTCCTCCGGCCCTTCTGCGCTATGAAAATGTGTTGAGACATAGCGAGCGCGCATCCGTTCATGGCGTGGGAGACGGGACGAGAAGATCACCAGAGCACACAGAGCCAAGATTGGAAATCCGAACCCCAGTTTCATTGCATGTGAACAAAAGACAGGGAAACAACAACCAAAGGAAAGAGCTGTATTTGACTATATAGGAAGCGAAAGACGAAGTTGAAGAAGGCTAAAAGAATGTATGTAGGTTGGAGAACCAACGGCGGTATCGGATGCTTGAAAACTAGTAGGCAGGCAGGCGCCAAGGCCGCGCGCGCTCGAGCATCAAGAGTCGCAGTAGTCAAGGAAGCCTACCGAAGTCGGTCTTTGCTTGTCGAATGCATTGTCGGCGTTCTTGTTTCTTGTAGTGCAGGTTACGAGTGAGGAATGTGGAGAAAAGAAGATGCAATGAGGATCCTCATCTTCTTTGCGCTAGAGAACTTGCAAGGACGTTTGCAGTGTCCAAGAAAAGCTTGCAGAAATGCGCAAACTTTACTCGTCATCGATCTCCACGCGAGGGGCAAAGCTGTAAACATCGGGCTCGCCGTCCTTGTCAGACTTCTCGTGGACGATGGTGAGGCGCTGCAAGTTGGTGAAAAAGTCCTCGAGGATTGGGTTCTTGACAGAGCGCTGGCGGCGGCCGAGCCTGTCGAGCGCTTCAATCTGGTTGAGGATGTAGTAGACAAGTGCGATGATGATCGTGACCTGCATCATTGGAAAGAAAAAATCAGCAAAACGACCCTTGTCGCCACTGAAGTCAAAACTCACACCAATAGAGTAAGCCCAAACACGGACGACTGTGACAATGTCTGTCCATTTGTTGTTAAGGATTGCAGGAGAGTTGGCCGGGATATCGCCCGCGAACCAGCCGAAGAGGCAGAACAAGGTAGCGAGAATGTCGACAACAAGAATGGCGCCGACCAGCTGCCAGGACGGGAGCGTAATGTCGCTCTCTCCACCGCCGAGACGAGTGACGAAAATAAGCCAGTTCTCAGTGAGCGAGACTTCGAGGAAGAGGATCTCTTGGATGTTACCGAAGTTCTCGACGACACCGCCGTTTGGGAGGAAGAGAGTACCGCGGATGATCCAGGTACCGGCAGCAAGCAGGGCACCGAGAATAACCGATATGATCCAGATCTTGGGCAGCTGCCACTCCACTGGTGCTTTGGCATGGGGGGCGTTGTCGTAGGCGATGGCAATGGTGGCCAAGTCAGCGAAGAGCGCAATGAAGACAATAAGGTCGGCACGGATCGTCTCGTCCAGAATGATGATGGTAAGAACGAGGTAAATCTCAAGGTGCAAGCACAGAGAAATACGGTACTGAATGTAAGCCTTCATACGGTGGAAAATCTGGCGAGCGACTTTGATCGAGGTGATGATGGTCGAGAGACCCTCGTCAAGGAAGACAACATCGGCAGCAGCGCGGGCAGCGTCAGAGGCACCCTCCACCGCGATACCGCAGTCGGCCTTCTTCAAGGAGGGGGCGTCGTTGACACCGTCACCAGTCATGGCGGTCAAGTGACCGCGGTTCTGAAGCATCTCTACAACCTGGTACTTGTGTTCGGGGAAAACTTCGGCAAATCCATCGGCAGCCTCAACAAAGTCGTGAATGGCAGAGCCGGCCATGCCGCCAGAGCCAATAAGGCGTTGCGAGTCGTAAACCTTGGTACCGAGAGCAAGCATCTTGCACGTCTCCTTAGCAATAGCAACGGCGTCACCGGTAAGCATCTTGACTGAGATACCAAGGTTCTGGGCCTCGGCGATGGTGGCGGCAGTGTCCGAGCGAGGAGGGTCAAACATGGGGAGAAGACCGAGAAGCTTCCATTGGCCACCAGAGTTGATAGCGACACCAAGTGAACGGAAACCACGAGAAGCGAAATCACCAGCAACCTTGCGATACTGAGCAGCGGTCTCAGCGTCGGGCTGGCAAAGCTTGAGAATAGCGTTGGGTGCACCCTTGGCTGCCGTGTAGCGCTTACCGTCCTTCTCGACCTCAGCGGTGATACGCTTGGAAACAGGGTCAAAGGGAATGAACTTGTGAGTGAGCCAGCCAGATGCGAGCTCATCCTGAGCACCGGGGTAATCCTTGAGGGTAGAGATGGTGACCTTGTCGATCGGGTCAAGCGAACGAACATTGTGTGATGACGCGAGGGCGGCCACAGCCATCATGAAGTTGACATCAACACCCTCAGAAGTGTACGGCTCGTGGATCGAAAGCTTGTTGGCAGTGAGAGTACCAGTCTTGTCAGAACAGAGGACATCGACACCGGCGAGAGATTCGATGGCAGTAAGCTTCTGGACGATAGCCTGGCGCTTGGCGAGGTATGCAGCGCCTACGGCCATGGTGGTGGTGGTGACGCAAGGAAGACCGACGGGAACACCGACAACGAGGAAGATCAGGGTGTAGATAAGCAAGTTGCTTTCTTTGGGAGTGGCAATGCCAGTGTTGCGGAAAAAGCCGGAGATCCAAAACGCGAGAACAAAGACCATGACCAGGACGAGCAGTGCCGTGCCGATCGACCCCATGACCTTCTGGAAGTGACCCTCCGTCTCGCCTCCAAGGACAAGAGCAGCGGTGCGACCGACGAAGGACTGTTTGGCAATGTCTGTGCATAGAATGTAGGCCTTACCGCGCTTGCAACCGGTGGTGTAGAAGACAGTGTCGCCAATGTGCTTATCAACGGCAAGAGATTCACCAGTAATGGCCGACTGGTCGCAGGCGATGATCGCCGGACCTTTGTCGACACCCTCGTCGTCATCGTCGTCACGCTTGGTGGCACGGGCCTTCTCAAGAATAGCATAAGCTTGAGAGCCATCTTTGTCATCGTATTCAGCGAGAAGACGGCCATCGCAGGGAATTGTCTGACCGTCTTCAACGATAACAATGTCACCAGGGACGAGTTCACGCGCCTCGACCTCCCGTTCTTGACCGTCACGAACGACCGTTGCCCGAAGTGCGATACCAGCCTTGAGCTGGGCGACAATGTCACCAGCTTGCTTTTCTTGATACCAACCGACGAAAGCGTTCAAGAGCAAAATGGCGACAATAACACCAAAGTCGACCCATTCTTGAAGACCGGCGGCGAGGGCGGCTGCCAACTCCATGACTGCAAACAATCGTTTATTGGATGTCGAAGGTCAGAAACTGACATTAAAAAATCCAGTAAGCCGACAAGTTTCTCACCGTAAAGAATTGGACCCTTGAAGAATCCGAGGAATTTGAGAAAGAGATTCTCAGACGGAGACTCAAGCTCATTGAAACCGAACTGAAGTCGTCGCTTGTCCACGTCGCTCGCGCTGACACCTTTCTGCATCGAGGTTTCAAGCCTTTTGATTGGAAATAAAGTAGTAATACGGAAATCAGTAATTGAGCGTGGTCATAACAAGCGAGGTGACTGCATGTGCTCGTTATACACTCACCATGATGCAGGAACCTTGGCTGCGACCGTCTCTTCTTCGCCGTTCTTGTTCACTCGAACCTCCCGCGTCTTCCATGGGGTTAGGAAGCTCCTTTTCTTGACGATCATAGTGCCGTCATCGTTCTCGTCATCGCCGCCATGTGCCTTCTGTGCTCGAATGAAGTCCAGAAGGGCTGCGTACTCTTCGTTGACCCCGTGGGGGTAGTTACCCTTCTCTGCCGACATGTTTGTCTACTGCTGTGACCGATCTGCTGTGCTGTTACTTTTGTGTGCTCCAGGAGGCAGATGGGTTAGTTTTGATGGGACCGCGGAAAGGGACTGTAAGATCACCTCAAGCCCGATATGGGAGAAAGAGGCTACTGAAAGGGCGGATGGATGGGACCTTTGCTCGAGCAATCGAAGACAAAGGTGCGACAATCCGCTAGGCAGCCGACCTGGTTGTTGACTAAACCCGACGGAAGCCAAAGGAGGGGAGGAAGTGAAGGGGAAGGTGGGAGAGAATGGAAGGGAGGATGAAGAAGGTAGAAAAGGAAAAAGAAGAGGCGAAGAGGAGGGACGGCGATGCTGTTGTTCAGATAGGGGATGTTTAAAGGAAGAATAGAAGCAACCCCGAACCGAACAGAGAGTATAGAGCGGAAGGTATCGGGGACCGGACAGGACAAGACGCTGAGCCGCCAGAGGGGGATCCCACCGCAGAGAGCATCCGTTTGGAATGGAGACGAGCGGTGAGAAGGAAACCGTTTCCAACACACAGACCCAGACACTGACACAGTGCATGCGGCGGAGCAACATCGTGCCGGCAAGCTGGATGATCAGCCTCCCCCATCGATACGCGTCTCTCTCCTTGTGCGTGCCTGTTGGGATGCGGCAGTTCACCGAACGTTGGCCGCGCTTGTACTGCCTGCAGGTATGTCATCCGCCAGCGAAAAGAAAGATATCTGTATGTGGGTCTAGGGGGCGGTTCACGCTGCACGAGCCAGGAAAGGACTCTCCACCTACCGGACGAGCTCTCCCGTCTAATAATGTGACAGGAACCGGCAACGCATAATTCGGTCGAAGAACGAACTTGGAAGCGACGTATGGCCAGGTACCGATAAGAGAGAGCCGAGAGCGGCAACGCCCAAGATTTACGCAGCGAGGTGCAAAAAGAAAGAAATGAGTGGGCCGTTCCAGTGGGATTCTTCCTTCCATGCCCGACCACCCCGACAAATACCTGCCAAGCGCCAAAAGAAAGGAGCGCAAGCCGCCGGTCGCAGAGGCACGCTGTGGTGCTTGTCGTCAGCTTGTGGTGCTGTGTTTTCTCGGAGAAAACATGCTCCACCACAGCATCCACTGGCCAAGCACGTAACGGCAAAAAAAGAAAGACGTATAAAGAAATCAAGCAAAAACACACGGTGGGCCGCAGTTCCCTGAACCCGCTGCGCACCGCATCTCATTGCCGCAGTTCGCAAATTGGGTCGCTTCATGTCCCCTATCATCAGCGTAATTTACCTCCACCGCCAAGCTGTCCCTCCATTCTTCATCATCCCTGTCAGCCCGTTACCAGTCTTCCTGGATCCTAGCGTGCCCGCAGCAAGGCGTCGATAAATTACTTTTGTGAGCTGCAGAGGGGCGAGCGAAGTTCGCTGAGCACTCTATGCGCTACACACCACGAATGCGATACTGCTGTCTCACCATTTGCCAAGACGCGCTTCAACGGACTGGAGGCATGTAGTCTACAACGGCCATGTCGTTGAGCTCGACACGCTAGCGCACAGGTTTCCCTTCGTTCACCCAGTGCTCATCCGTTTACATGTAGTCCCCACATCCATCCCCGGCTCTTTTTCCAGGTCCCCACTTCCTCTGCACCACCCGAACTGTAAAAGAACAATTTTGCTCGGCACCTCCGTCTCTCCTGCATTTTATAACATCGATCTACGTGTCAAGGATGAACGTGCATACGGCATTCCCGACATCCGCCAAGCTGCTTAACTCTTACTCGCGCTTATGCAACTTCTGAAGACGCAATGCCAAAGTTCGAATGCCCAGCTAACCTTTGTTGCAATTACGCTGAGAGCTGTCGCTATGTGAGGACCTTGGCGAGATTGGACTTCGCGCAAATCACAAGCTGTTCTCTATGAGACCACAGATTCGATAGGGGCGCGAGGTGAACTTCACATGAACAGGAAGAATCGCTTATTTTGGAAACATCCGAGCTGGCATGCAGTTCCAGATTCTTGTGTACAAGGAGCTTGATTATATATATCTTTCTGCCCATGCATGCCAGTTCAGCAGGGTAGATGACAAACTTGGCATTCTCTATGCACGGTTCGAAGTAGTATGAATCGAAAATCATGTATATGAGGATGAATGATGTGCGGCGGCCCCCGCGAGCTTCGGTTTCAATGTGTAATGTACGAATGGATGTGCGAACTATTGGCACTCGATAGAGGTTGGCTTTCCCCTTAGGTACATGCTTGCACTCGAAGCTCTTCGCAGACTCCGTGAATTCTTCAAGACCCTTCCTGAACACTTCGATTCGCAAATTCCGAAAGCACATGTGTGCCTAAGTTGTGACGTACCCTGTGGAGCTCGAGGCGACAACAACACGAACGGCTTTTTAGAGGCGCTCATTGAGGGAATGCACACAATAGAGCTTGTACATACATGTGCACAATGTAAGTATCATCGCGATATCTAACAGCATCAACTGTCGGCCAGCCAGTCAGCTTCGGTCGAGTGTCGACTCCCAAAAGCGTCTCGACGTTCGAGCTCGGCCTGTATTCGATTCCACCAGTTGTATTTGAGTACCCACTCTGGCAGGCCATCCAGGACTCAAGCACTGCTCCAGGAGAGCATGTTTCCGCGAATAAGCCGGGGGCCGACGACTGGAGCCCTTAGCGCCCCTGCCTCAGATGATACTCTTGCGCCAAAGGAGATGGCTCTGATCATAGGCGCTCCATCACTTACAGGATGAATCGAACTTCGAAGTTGCCGGCACCGGGAGTGGCCAAAAGGGAAACCCCACGACGACCCTCATCACATGTTTGGCACACAACTTGTGCTGTGATTAATCACAAGACCTGCCCGCATTACCACTAGCCGCATATCCGCACGAAGAGGCACAAGCAAAACAGATCAAAACACCCAGCCATTCGGCGTGCACCGGCAGCCGGCGCTTCCCGGCCCGACGGGTTCGTTTTACATAGTTAGATCCACCCCAGACTCTTCTCAACACGAAAAAATCTTTCAAAGGCGCATCCAACACTCCCAACACGTACGTAAAGGCTGTTCCCTCGTCCGAGAATGGCGGAATTGAAGAGATAACAATGGAGAAAAGGAGATGCTGACGTGCCGAAAAATCAAAACGATCATCAACACATGTGCTCCGCTCTCCTCTGATGACCTTGATATTTGATGATTCTCGCTCAGCCTCCCGTGGGCCTCGGCCCGCTCAAAGCCCTGCAAACCCGCCCCGAAAATTGATCGTGCGGCTTTTATGTACATAATATGCTGTCATTCTTGACGCATGACGCGAATTGTGATGACCAATTGATGCTTGACAGTGATTGAGACCAAAATTTGTCTCAAACGACTGCAGCGATCTAACTTAGAGACATGGAATGCTTGCAACTGGTAGCAATGATGTTGATGCAAATCAGTATAACGACCGATGACCAGCAGGCTGCAGGGCGCAAGCAACGAGCAGCTCCGACCTGCACCGACCTGCACCGACGGCAATCGCATCAACCTCAACCGGCAACGCAGAGACCGTAAGTATGTACCGGGCTGTGTCAGGTCTATGGGGTGAGCAGCGAGAAGTCGCGAGCTTGATATGTGGCTTGATGCTCAAAACTCGCAACGTGATATTTGATATCTTGGAGCGATTCCGAGAAGCGATGGCAGGACGTGCGCAAGTGCAAGAAAGCAGTTCACATATGATGTATACATTGTTGAAAACAAACAAGCGTCGCAGCAGTATTCAGCTATTCAGCGTTCAGCGTTTAGCAAGGGATGTACTCATGTGAACTTGTGTGAGAAGCTCATGTGGACTACGGAGGCCTATGACCTGGTGAAATGGCCGCAAAAGCGGCAAACGGCAGGATCATGAGATGGTCATTGGGCAGTAGGCATTGGGCTGCCCGCACAATCTGAGGCGCCGATTCGGTGTATGAAGCATTGAGATGGAAGCTGGAGCAGGTTGGAGGATCCTGGAGGCCCAAAGCGTGAAACTTGGGAAAAAATGTCAAGCGCGAGTTTGTAAATAAATACATACAGTTGCCGGAGACGTAAATTAGTCGAAGTGGCTCATGAAGGCCTTGAGCGGCGTGCTGGTGCCTCCAGCTTGGTCGATCTTCTCCAGCTCATTCTGAGTCAGCTCGTCTTCAGCGTTTTTGCCAATGGTGAACGCGTCGAGGTATACTTTGCCCTGCCTTCCTTACTGTTCGTGGCGATTACGAAGCCCTAGGATCGCTGCGCGACCCACTTGAGCAGCACTCTACCTTCGCAGCTCCCGGACCTCACTTTAGCAATCTCGGTCAGGATGGGGACCCATGCATCGCTCGCGGGTTTGTCCTTGCGCGTGAGGGGAACCAGCTATCCGGTAGCAACGACCTTGATCTTTTTACATTCATCAACTTGATGGCATGCTGCATGCGCTTGTCCTTCCAGAGTAGCGGGTGTTATCCGGTCCGGAGCATGAGAAGAGGGACATCATCGTGAGTATAAAAGTTGACAAAGGCAGGTGCGCTCGGCACTTGAATTCAATCTGGTTGATTTCAATCGGACCCTTTGACTTCGAGTCCAGCACTTGTTGAATGTCCGAGTTCAACCCAATTCGAAACCCCTATGGCCATCCTATTCCAACACCACAAAGATGGTGAGACATGAAATAGCCCTGCAGGAATTTTGAGGTCGGAAGATGTACTTTACGATTCCCTCATCCTTGAGCTTCTCCATCTCCTTCCGCACCTCGACGTCACTTGGTTGTCCGTCGTTGCCTCTTGGCGGCGTATGCAGGATGCAAGAGTCGAGCAGTAGGACGTTGGACTTGGCAAGCTCGTCCTTGGCCGCCTGGGCGATTCCGCTGTTCATGCCTCCCAGGACTTTGGTGAAGACCCAAAGCTTGTCTTTGAATTCGCTTTAAACGATCGCTGGGCCGCCGTGCTCGCTGTTTGCATGACCTCTGCATAGTTCAGAAGCTTGAATCCGGCGTCGATCGCCATCGCGAGAGATTGTTGCGAGTCTTCCTTAAACAGGGCCGTATCGCTTCTGACGCCGATGATAGGCACCGGCTTGGGGTTCGATGCAAAGCGAATGATGGGGATGGTAGCCATTGTGAGAGATTTTTCCCCTTGAGTGATATGGTCTAGCTAGCGGGAGGGTGAGATGAATAGCTCGATGTCTTTCGGGCACAAGATTTGTGGCGACTGTGCGGCAATTGAAATATAGATTGCACGACCACGATGTTGCGACGAGATCAGAAGCGTGACAGTCGAAGTTCATCATTCTCCGACCGCGTGACCCTTGAAGCCTTCTTACTATCCATTATTCACGATGAAGTATGAGGTCCAACACAGCAAATTACTCGGTTGTTAGGAGATATTCCCAACACCAAAAAGACAAGGTCTATGCGTGGTACATAGTGGTAGTTAGGGTCGGCAATCGGCTGCGAAGTGGGGCCATGCGCGTGCATAAGTACTCCGATGCCTTTTGTTACGAGTTGCACAATGTAATTTGCAACAATTCGACCCGCCCATCGCGCTGGGTATCATGCGCACTTGGAAAGCATCCGTAATGGACCATATCCGCATGCTGTGGCATGTTGTGGGGCGCAAATCCTTCGAGAAGGCGGGCGGGAAAGACAAGCGTCGGCGCTGTGTTAAGGGGGATGGGTGTGGGTTTGAGATTTGCGTTTTCTGGTTAGGCGCGTGGGTTCGATGTTAGTGACCTCGCTCTCTATGGCCATTCAATTCAAAGCGTATCGATACCCACGGAGGGCTTTCAAGAAGGCTTCGTATGTTTCAGCGTTCCTTACGGTGCTTGAAATTAGAACCGTCGGAAGTCGGCAGTTGTCTCGCTCCGCACTGCCGGCCACTATCGCCGCGCAGATAGCCGCTGCGAGTGCGGGAAAAAGGGTGGGGTCGAAGACGACATCGGCAGCCAATATGATTGTCGGACAGAAGTCTTGCAATAATTTTGCACTTTCGTTATTTCCATGCGATTCATCTGGATGCAGCAAATCCAGCCAGTTTAGAGGGCGGACCTGCATGCGCGACTCGGGAATTCCATCTGGCATCGCAGCGAAATGATCAGAGAGCAGGCTGGCACGGCTCATGCAAGGCTGTGCCACTTACTGCTATGCCTTGTCTCGTTGAGCCGTGCGAGCACGTTACTCGCGCAGTCAGTGGCCAAGACTCGACCCTCTCCATGTGTCGGTAACAAATGGGAGCACAGTGTGGCAAGGAAGCCAGCGCCGGCTCCAAGCTCAAGAACCCTTGTGTCCTGCGAGAAGATACATTGTCTGTTCGCAAGCAGATGGCTGCCAAGGCGTAGACTTTCGATGTGGTCGTACCGTACGATTAAGTCAAAGGAGGCTCTGAGTTGCATATTTGAATTTTTGATGGGCGGCGCTCTCACCTTGCCTCCCACGTCTGCAATCCCGTGGTCCCTTCTGAGATGAAAGAGCCTTCCTCCCTCAAGATGATAGGTTGAAAGCCTGATAGAACACCACGTCCACCCTCTTGTTCAGTGGCTGATGTATTTTGTGCAATTTTCAAAGAAGAGGAAAACAGGTAGCAAGTATGCGAGGACTCTGGGGCTCCATGACTGCAATACCCAGCAGATAGTAGCACTTTTTGAGTTTACCAATATCATGTGATGCCGGCGGACCTGTGAACTGACCGGTTGAAATCTGTCGCCATTAATAAAGCATATCGCTCCAGCAAAGACTCGTCTACTTCCTATTGAGAGGTAAGAATCAGTCAGTAAGGCCGGGGATTTACGCAGTCGTACACGTTTCTGCGACACACAGAATCCTCTGCGCTGACGCGCCCTTGCGACTGGGCTTCGTTGACGGCAGTCTGGAGCTTTTCGAGGAGGATCTTCAAGAAGGATTTTTCGTAAGCCTTGGAAGCACCTGGAAGCGCTCTGTTTCCAAAGAGATCGTCATCGAGATAGGCCTGTGCTTCGAAGAGCAAGTTACGGTTCGGCCACAAGAACTTGGACGAGCGAAGAGGCAGCCGTTGCGCGTATTGCAGAATGATGAGTTGCCGAGCTAGCCTCACATGTTCGGTTCTGTCTGCGTGATCCATGCCTCATGCATCATGGCTGACCGAACAGCTGCACTTGATCACGTCTCGAAATCCTAGCAGATTGTCATGCGAGCACGCAGGAACTCGTTCGTGATTCGCTTGTTCGTAGCTACCAAATGACATCAAGGTGTTGAGCTTGAAACTGTTACTTGAGTAATGAGACCAAACGAAGAAGTGCCGCATTCCATACATCTGAGTGTCGAAACACGCCACGTGACCGCGCTCAAAATTCTTTTCCATCTCACGACCGTAGAACTGCAGGGTTGTCCATTTTTATAGTATGGTGCTCAATGCAGGCGTTGACAATCTGTTTAGCTGATTCTCCCTCAAGGCCAACCTTTGAGAATAGAAAAGATCGCAAGCAGGGCATGCAAGTGCAGCCGAAATGTCTGGAGTCAACGCGCCATGGCTGGCACCAATTTATCTGCCCGGCCAAGAGCCGTTGCCGGAAGGCTACACAGAAGAAGACCGCGCGAATCTCGCACAGGTGCAAATGTGGCAGCGGTATGCTTCTGGCGCAATGGAGTCATGTCCAGTCAAGTGCACCCTGTCCGGAGCGGCAGGATTCGGTTTGGGAGCTTTCTTCACCCTTTTCAGCGCAGCTCTCTCAGCGGATGATCCGACTCGACGAACCACTGCATATCTTCAGGCGCAAGCGGCCGGGATACCAGAACCAAAGTTGAGCACCGCCCTTCAGACGAAGGAATTTTTCAAGGACACGGGGAAGAATATGTGGCGGAGTGGTAAGGGCTTCGGAAAAGTCGGCGCTCTGTATTCGGGGATAGAGTGCTGTGTTGAAGGGGTGAGGACGAAAGCGACCCTTTGATGCCCTCTTCTCAATCGTTAACAACGCGTACCCGTGGCACTCGCAGTACCGAGCGAAAAACGACATTTATAATTCCCTGATCTCTGGCTGTTTCGCTGGATCAATTCTGGCTAGGAGCAGCGGCCCAAAGGCTATGATCGGAGGAGGTATCGCGTTTGCAGCATTCAGCGGCGCTATCGACCTATAGTGAGTCTGTGAGATGAGTCGCATGGTCCTATTTTTCTTCATTGACTAAGATTGTGTGTTTTCACTTGGATAGCTTCCGCAAAGAGCCAGCGGACGACCCTTAGGAACCCGAAGGGTGCATAGACATCTCACCACTCAGCACCGACACGACCCCAACACCTGTACACTAAGCACCTGTATTTTTACACAATATCGGCGGCTATGCTACAAATGAGAAAAATCATCACATTTCACCAGGGACCGCCCGGATGTCCTCCCTGATAGAGATGATCCAAGAGTCCCCGGACTCCGGCTTGCTGACTCACGTCTGAGGTCGAGACCGTAGGGGGCCCAAGGCCATCACCCTCGTGTGTGATTGAAGGTACGGCTGCATCCTCAAAATCGCCGTCCAAGCTTGCTTCACTTTCAGTAACAGCCTGCAGCGGTCGCGATTGAGTCGACTGCCCATGCTGCCGGGCGCCTCGCTGGCCTGCCTTCGTTGCACTTGCCGCAAGAATCGATACATTCGGCTGTTTGGCGAGGCTGATCGAGCGCATGAACGCATCGTCGTAAAACTGGGAGCGAGCCGCCAGCACCGAATTGACGGGCGTAAAGGGTAGGCCCGGTTCACGACGTGGACTCATCGAGAGATCTCGGCCGCGCGAGTGGACACCAACTTGCTGCGACGCAAGGTCAACCATTCGTGACAGGTACAATGTCGCGGAAGGGTCTTGCGGTTGCCAGTCAGGATGCGTCGCCTTGAAGTTGAGGAAAGACTGCTCCATTTTCCCTTCCCTCGATGCCATGCGCTGGTCCGCAGCTGCCGTAGGTGCGCCGAAGTGCGCATTTCCGTGTCGGTCGAAGTTGAATACGGCAAAAGAGCAGACGTAGCCAAGCCCATCAACATGGACTGTGAACTCGCGAAAGAAGTCGATAATCGCTGGCGCGCTCTTGGGAAGGGACCGCCAGAGGATAAATGGCGTCAGGATGACCGAGAGCAGCTCCCGAAAGAAAATGGACAGCTTAAGTGGGTAGAGGGTGCCGAATTCCGCGTGCACCTCGGCGGAATGCAACCTTCCCTGCCAATGCGATGGTTGGTAGTGCGTTTCGTCAATGACTTCCCTCAATGTGCTCTCCGGGTCGAACACGAGGTGCTCGCCTGGGATCATGCCTCTCGCGACGGCCGTAATCGCACCAAAGATCCCAACATAAAAGAGGACATTGCGTTGCGGAGTGATGTCAAAGTGCAGAAAGAGATCGGGATCGATAAGGGAAGCAAAAAGCAGGACAGCAGTAAAAGAACCGGCGATGAAAGCGACAAAACGCGCGAGAATCGCAGTTCTCTCTTTAGGGAACTGGTTGATGTACCGCTGAGCATGCGGATATGAGCGATAGCATCGTCGCTTGAATAAATGCGGCAACTCATTGAACTCTCGCAATTTCCATCGGGCGAATTCAGTGTACTGTCGCGACCCGAGGCTGGATGGGTCCTTGTGGTATTCCTGACATAGGAAAGAAAGCGTATCAACGAATTTTCCAAACGCTTTCAGGATGACAACTCACTTCGAAATAACGCAAGAAGGAATAGACCAGCAGGTACATGACGATGAAAGGCGCAAAGATGCCATTCAACACCGCCATGAAGTAGAATCGCCGTCGCAGACTGCCCAGATACGAAGGGGAGGATTGTTTAGATGTGGCGCCGTAAATTCATGGCATGATGTGGATGCTCACCCTGCAATGAGCTCCTTGCGGTACTTGTCGCTCACGAATTGCTTGCGAACCTGCCCTCGCTCGTCGAACAAAAAGTCAAGAAGACAAAACTGCAGATTCCACTGTAAGCTCTTTGTGAGTACTGGCTGCTCATCGAGGATGCCGAGCCGGAAAAGCAAGGGTATCGACACTGGCATGTTAATGTCCAAGACTTCCTTGTTGAACAGTGCGATGAGATAGTTCTCCTGCCGCATGATGCGATTGGCTACATCATGTGCGTCCATGCTGTGAGCCCGGCGTTGACCCTGGCTCGAACCTGCTGCCTCGAATGTCTCAGCCTCTGGAGGCTCCAGCGACGAGATGGGATTTGATGCTCGCAAAGTTGACATGCGGTTCACGACCTCATTCCATGAGATGCTGGCGACGTCGGTGTCCGGAACGTCTAGCAAGTGCGTGTAGAAGCGCTGCATGGCCCAAAGACGTGGCAGACCAATCGCAAAGCGGGCCACCTGCCAAGTGAACAGAGCGCCGAAGATCAAGTACGCAAGCTTGGTGAATGGCGAGAAGCGGCTGAAGCATTGCGGCACGACTACTTGTGAGAGCTGGCCGTCATGGGCGATGTGACTGTAGTCGACGCAGGAGAAGAGGAATGTCGAGAAGCCAAGGACAAAGGCGACCGTCACCAGGTTCAAAGCTTTGCCCAAAGCGATGCATATCGCGCCTTTGCCAATGTAGTATGTGTACGCCTCCTGCAAGAAAGCATCGAGGTCTTCGATGTTGGCCCATTGCCAGAGAGCCCGTTCACGCGGTGACAGGGAGGACACAGCCACTTGAGACCTCGGATGGATCGGTGCTGTGATTTCGCCGACGGCCTGATGCTCAGCAGAAGTCTCGTCTGCATCAAACAAGGGTTGAGAGGCGCCGACCGAAGTAGGTAGAGCTACGCTGAGGGAAGACTGGCTCAGGCCCATGTGCTCCCTCTCGCGTTCAATGCGCCGGGCGACCTTGCGACCGAGGCCTAGAGCTCGCGAAAACATGCCCGAGTCAGCTGCATCTCTTGCCCTGTCCTTGCCTTTCCTTCTGCGGCCATTAGGCTGAGCATGTGACGATACGGACCCCGGGTAGTCGTGGTGATGACCTTCTTCCAGAGTTCCAGAAACATGATCGGAGTGACGTGAGAGCTGCATGAGTCCCACGCAGACATCATCTTCACCATCTCCGTCGTCTTCCTCTTCGTCCTCGTATGTGGACCTTACGGCTGAGGAGCCCAGTGTATGGGCTGCAGCCGCTGATGCACCGGCCGTGCGACGATTGTTTATGGATGACGCTACATCCTCTTCGAACGGCGAGTCGATCACTGCAGGCTCACGCTCCACTGCGATGAGGCGGGTCAGCTTTGCCGGCGACCTTGGCGGTGCAACCACTTCTACAGATGCTGCAGAGGCGTGCAGCTCGCTTGGGTTGCCAAATGGTGATGGGTGTGCGTCTGCCATTGTCATCATACACGAAAGCGACGCGTCACAACTGCTGCATCAATGTAAAAGAATGGGACCATTCAACCTGATAGGCGAAGTGCGACGTGGTCTGCATAATTGGGACACGGTCGAGAGAGCGTGCATGCACGTGTGACACGATCGTGTCTGCTAAGCCTTCATGATCTAATCCGAAACCCATACTCATTGAAAGCCTTCCTTTGATGGCTTCGAGGTACTTTGCTTTGCACTGAGAGCAAGATCAGCTACGACGAGGGTGGTCTTTCGCACACCACGCAAGCACGCCACGTAAATATAAGCCACAATAAAATGAATAGACATCTGCTTCCCCTTGAGTGCCCCTCGGTTTACATTGCAACCTGGCTCCATCCGTCATCACTCCATCCACATTTATAGGCGTCAATCACAAGATGATCTATGCTGGTCGTATGAAAACAAATTTGCGAAGGTTAGGATGGGCTGGTCTTATGATTGGCGTCGAAGTGGTGGAGCAGTGATTCTGACGCTGACAGCTGTTGGTGACCGTTCATCGTGCGCGCGCTTTGCCCAACGGCTCCTGTCCATGAAGCCACCATCTCTCCATAGTACGCGCCCTTCACCGCGTCCACTACAGCCCCAGCGGCTCGCATTCTGCGTGTTCGTCTTGTACTTTCATGCATAATCAGAATGTCGGCTCTGCGTCACAGAGCATGCTCTCTCAGTGAAAGACGGATGCTGCCGCTTGCAATCCACGCGACCACACCATTCAGAGGCCGTCACCCCCGCTCCAGCTCCACAAACGCCGCGCGGACATATTCATGCCTCGTAACGAACGCTGCAGCGTTCACCGTCCTTTGTTCTTCTCTCCGATCAGCTGACCTAGGTACGTACTGAGTACTGACACGCCTGAGACCAATTGCGGCCGTTGGGATGATCCGCATGTCCTCATCTTCCAGTGTTCGTCAAATGAAAAGCTCCGCCTGAAACGAGACCCCAACGGCTACGGCCCCGGCGAGCACCCAAGGGCCAAGGACAACTTGTACGAATCTAAGTGACCGTCCTTGCGTGCATGTACGACTCACGCGCTCCTGACGATAGGTGCCACACATCTGCATCCTCTAGTGCAGAGTGCAGACCTCTCAACCGGCGATGGCGTCGTTTCTGCAATATTCGCGGTGTGCCGTTGTAGGCGGGCTATAGGGGCTGACCGCAGGAACATCTCAGCCTGTCGCTCAAGGATATCGAACATTGAGAGCTCGCATCGGTCTGACAGGGGGGCTGCTCTCAGACAGATGTGAGCTCTCAATGAGATCTTTTCGGTCTTTCACTATCATCGGCTTCTCGGTATAAGTATCCCACCGCGTTGCCCTTCTCACCATCTCCCTTTCCATTCCCATCCAACACCTCCCTTTCCCTCGTCCTCTGGCTCTCTCCCCCTGCTTCGCTTTCCCGTTTTCTCGAGCCATTTACCAGGGTCTTCCTCTATCACAACTAGCCCTCCATCCTTCTCTTAGTGACACTCCTTTCATTATCTCGGAACGACATTTCTCACACGAACACACGATCACCACCTCCGCCCTATATACGCTTGCGCCAAAATGAAGGTTTCCACCGCTTTTGTTGCTCTTGCCGTCGGTGCCGCCTCGCCGCTCTTTGTCTCCGCAAGCCCCGTGCCCGCCGGTGACCAAAGCCCTTCCCTCGCAGGCAGCCCTGTCGGGTTTGGTTCCGTTCCAGACACTGGCGTCTTTCCTTCCACTGGGGGCGTCCACCCTGACGACCTGGTCGACCAGGCGGAAGCTCACAAGCCATCTGTCAATGCTCCTACGGCTTCCAAAGCTTCTAAGGCTGCTCGTGGCCTCCTCTCTGTTAACGGCTCAAGCAGCGGCAAGAACCCCAATGCCGGTCTTGGACTCCTAGGACTTGGCTCAGCGTCCAATGTCGTCTCCGGCGCTGGCATCTCGGAGGGTACCGTCGGTGGCGCCGAGAAGAACCTCGGTGGTCTCATCAACCTGTCGCACGTAAATGGCGTAGCGTGAGTCCTTTCTTCGGCCGCAACTTTCACCATTAAACGTTGACAACTTCATTTCCTTTTGTAGCTCCGGCAAAGTCCCCACCAGCAAAGCGCCATCTTTGCTCGATGTCGATGGCCCTAAAAACGGCCAAGATGCCCACACTCTCCAGGCTACGCTCAACCTCTGCAGCCTCCTGGGTATCAACTGCCCTACCCATGTCCCTATCCGCGTCAAGGGAACGTCAGGCGGCAAGCACCACGGCGACAACAAGAAGTACTCGGGCTCAGGCAAGAAGTCTGGGGGCTCGGGCAAACATTCCGCCGGCTCGGGCAAACATTCCACCGGCTCGGGAAAGAAGTCCAGCGGCGGCAAGAAGACCAACAACAAGTCTGCCTCCGGCAAGACGCAGATTAACAATCACGTTGGGCAGCACGGTGGCAGCGCCGTTGCCGGCAATGGTGGCACTGCCAATGGCGGCAAGGCTGACTGTTCAGTGAGCGGGGGCCTCATCGGTCTTTCGGCTCTTAACTTCAACAGCTGCAACGGCGGCCTTGGCGGCTCGGCCCTCGGCGGTAACGCTATTGGCGGTGCTGGCGGCGAGACAATCAGCAAGCTTCTTGGTCGTGATGCCACCGATGTCCTCTCGAACGTCGTCAACTCTCAGCACATTCCCGTCAACGCCCGTGCCATCCCCGCTGGAATTCCTGCTGGAGTTCCTGCTGGAGTTGCTTCCGGTGTTCCTGCCAGTATCCCCGCTGGAGTCCCCGCTACCGGCGTCCCGTCTACGTCTGCTCCTCAGCAGGCTCACACCCAAGCACCTCTCAGTGAACGCGCCAACGAGTTTGATGCCGCTATCGACACGTCCGCTATCAATGCGCCTGCTCTCAACTCCCGCAGTCTTGCTCTTGGTGGCTCCGCCATCTCTGGTAACGGCGGGTCCGCCAAAGGTGGTGCCTCCGACTCGAGCATCAGCAACGCCCTGATCGGCATCGACGCCCTGAACTTTGGCTCCAACAATGGCGGCGCTGGAGGCCTTGCCAACGCTGGTAAGGCGATCGGTGGCAAAGGCGGCAAGAAAATCACTATCCATCACAACAGCCGTGACGTCGCTGCCGACGCTGCTGCCGATGCCGCTCAAGTCGAGCAGATCGTCAACACGCGTGACTTCCAGCTCGATGATAATGCCGACGGTCTTTCGAGTTCCTACGATGCCCGCGCGGTCAACATCCAGACCAACGCCGAAGGCACCGAGTACCACTTCGACGCCCGCGATGACAACTTTGAAGTCAACGTCGATGTCCCCCAACAAAGCTCTCAGCGCCGCGCCCTTCCCGTAGATCCCGCTGCTGGTGCCTCGCCGGTTCTCGCTCAGTTCAACAATGCTGCCAAGCCTTACGTCCAGGTTGGTCACCGCGATCTGACCTTGGGCGCCGAGTTTGGCGACTCCTCGAGCGCACCTACTGCCAGGGACATCGCCTACTCGGTTGCCAAGTCTGGCGACGGCTACGCTGCCTCTGAAACTGACGGTACGCGCGACACGTCTGCTACCATTGCTCGTCGCCACGACACTACTGTGCACGAAGCTGTCACCGGCACCGATGTCGACATCAACAACGTTGAGAAGCGCACCTGGCAGAACCAGCAGGACAACCACGGCAAGGCCAGCCACGGCCGTGTGACCATCGCAAACGGTGGAAATGGCGGCAACGCCAAGTCTGGCAATGGTGGTCAGGCCAATGGAAATGCGTCCAACAAAGGCCACACCGGCTCCGGCGCTGGCAGGGGCAAACAGGCTTACCACAGTAACACCCACGGGCGCTTCCAGACGATCACGACCGACAACGGCCTCATCACAATCAACATGGAAGATCTGGAGGCGTTCCTTGGCGAGCAGTTGCTTGGCTACCTCGCCACGCACTCGCAGAAGTCTGGCAAGCATTACTTTGTCGCGAGCAACCTCCGCCAGAGCAACCAGAACAGCGGCAACGGCGGCAGTGCCAACTCCGGGCCAGCGCGCGGGGGCGATGGCGGCAACGTAAACATCAGCGAACACTGAGACTACAGCTACTGTCTCATTCGGGCTCCCATTGCATAACACTGACCAGCGTTAACGCTCACCAAGATGGTTTAATGACGCCATGATCCTTCACGCCTTCCGCCTCGCTACAATGGCCTTTTCGCACTTCTCTTTCCCCTTTGGTTCCAACTCCATGACATGATGACCTAACCCTTGCGACCGCGGACCGACTCTTCTGTTCCTGCGGAGAGGGATGTTTGTTTCTTTTGGCCTTTGCCAGCACAGCTTTTATTCTTTGTTCCGATTGTAATGTCTTGCACACTACCTCTTCCATATCGCACGTTTCCCATTCTGCATTTCTTGGTATCTAAACAAAAATGAGCTTCTATAAATGTGATTCCATCATCGTGATCTACCTCTCCATCCACCAAAGCACCTGCACCTGAGCCGGCGCGGAAATATCAAGCGTCCTCGGTGGGCTCGTCATCGGCTTCGGCGCTGGAGGGGGCTGCGCCGCGCGACCCCCACGGTCGCTCTGCTGTCGGCGTAAGCTCGGCGGAGCCAGGGGCTCGTTGCGTCTGCGAGGGCGTGTAGCTCGTTTCAGTTGAGACGGACGGCGCGGTGGTTGCGGCAAAGGAGCGTGCCATCGAGGAGCCTCTTGACGTCTCCGACCCGCCAAGCGTCATGGTCCTTCCTGCTGTGCTCGTCGCTTTGTCATCGTCATCAACGTCGACGCTGTGCTTGGCGATGGACGCGCCGGTGGGGCGTGCCTCCATCTCCTCTTCGTCGTCATCCAACGTGCTCGCCGCGTCTCCGGTGCTGCTGGCGCTGACCGTATCCTCCTCTGTTTCCTCATCCAAGCGGCTCAGGATACGCCGGCGCGAAGGCGCCGTGGACATGACGTCCAGGAAGGGGTCTCCGGAAGGGGCAGAAACCGCAGCCGGACTTGCATCGTCGCCGCCTTCTCCGGGGCTCGTCCCTGCGCCGCTACTGTTGCCACCGCGAACGGCAATGGGTGACGACGGCCCGCTGCTGCTTGGAGCCAGAGAATCAAGATCGAGAGCAGTGATTTCCGTCATGCGCCGACCAGCAAGTGTATCTCGGCGCATGCGCGTTCTCTCCGCCTCGGCGCGCTCCTCCTCGTCTCTACTTCGGAAGGCAGAGGCCGCTGTTGCTGCCGCTGCTGCCATTGCTGCACGCGGGTCTGCACTGGTCGTCCTGCCAGTGCGTTGCTGCTCTGTTTGGGCGGTGACTATGCTGGTGCTGGAAGCGGCACGACGGCGAAGACTGGTGCCTGGCCCCGTTTCATCCTCCGTCGTCGCCCGGTAGCCCGCCGGAGCATTGGCCCAGGCGGCGTGGGGCTCTGCGTCGGAGTCGCCGCCGTTCTCGTTATCGGTGCCCATGAGACCTTCCCAGCGCCTTGCGGCTCTGTCCTCGGTCTCGGTGAGCTCTCCATCTTCGTCAGCTTCCTCGCCTCCGTCTTCTTCCGTATACGTTTCCTCGGTCGCCCTGCCCTCTGCTGCGCGCCGACCTGTGGCCGGCGCGGGCCGGCGGCGGCGGATGCCCTCGACCCAGCTCTCCTCAACGTGCAGCGATGGACGAAGGCCGCTGTGCAGCGACGGCGATGTGTAGATCGTCGCGACGGCCCAGAGGAAGAGACCGGCGAGCAGCTCGAAGCTGAAAAAGAGGGAGGTGAAGAGGAGGAAGGAGAGGATCGGGTGGTGGTACATGATGTACCTGTTCGCACGGGAAATTTCAGGCGTTAGCGAGTTAGGGCTGAACAAAACACACGACGAGGGTGAATGGACGCGCATACACTGACCGAATACCCGTGAGGTGCACGTCGAAGCGCAAGGTAACACTATGCGTCTGCAGCTCGCCTCTGGACTTGGCGCCGTTGAGGCCGGCCCACATCTCCCCTGACCTGCCACCGTGTAGTCCCAGCGCGGTGCCGGCACCAGCACCGGCGACGCCGCTCGCGGCGTACCAGAAGCGATCCGCATCGGCCCGGCCGACGCTAACGATGCCGCTCTTGACTTGCGCCGAGCCGGGCTTGGCCCAGGAGACGCCGGTTTCGTGCTGCTGCTGGTTCCTAGATCGCTTCTCGTGCTCTGGCTCGAGGAAAGCGAGCATCGGCTTGGAAGCATGCATAACTTTCCGGCGCAGGAGCGGGATGCTGATCATCTGCGTCGGGATGCTCCACGACAATGACGCGGGCCCGGCGGAGAGGAACGCAGGCAGAAGGCTGGCGGGCGACGCATCGTCATCGTCGTTGTCGAAGCCCCCACTCGTGCCACCGACTAACGAGGAAGCGAGGGAGCCTGTCGGAAGGCTGCGCGAGAAGAGCAGCGAGAGTGACGAGAGTGCGCGCACGGGCAGAGGCTCCTGCAGCAGGATCGCCTGAGGAAAACACGCGTGAAAAGTCAGGCTCGGTTTGATGGTATGTAATACAATGGAGTTACTCACCGGCCGACTTGCTTTCCACACGGTCTCGTTCTTCTCATTGCGCAGGTCGAGCGCAGCCATAAAGTTGCCCAGGTCGATATTGGCAGCGGTGAGGGGTACCTGCAGCTCGAGCGTGACGTCGTACTCCTGGTCATCGGCAAAGAAGTGCGCCTTCGAGTTGAGTATGTCTTCTGCTGCTTCCGAGTGGAAAGAGTGGCGCGATTGCGCCGGCTCAAAGTTGAGGTACGCGTACGGCGGACGCGACTCGCTGCGGTTGTGCGGTTAAAGCTTATCGTCAGCACGCGATGCAAACGTGATCTGCGCGCGATCCGAGAAACGCTGTACTCACCCATACTGCAGCCAGACCGTCTTTCTGAGGCCGACTTGGGGCAGCCAGACCCTGACGAAGCCAATGTACGCGATTATGGCGAACGCGAGCGCGGTCCAGAGGAGGGTGATGAGGACTCCGAGGCGCAGAGCAATGCGGTGCGTGCGCGGTGAGCGGACGACGTCGAGCACCAGGCTGACGACCGCGAGCAGCGGATCGTAGATGCACGTCTGGTAGATGGCCCGCGGCCATTGGGTTATGGGCGGGAGAGCGTCGAGGAAGAGGATGAGCTGCGAGAGGAAAGATTCTGTGGCGTCCGCCCTCCCGCCGCCGCTGCGCTTGGTGCCTGCGGCGAGGCTGTTCCGCGCTTGGCGCTGTTGCTGCTGCAGGAAGGAGGAGGAGCGTTGTGCGGCCATAGTGTACACATCAGGGTGGGGCTGCTGCTCCCGCTGTGATTGCCCTTGCGGCCGCGATGGCTGCTGCTCCTGCTCTGCTGCTGCACGTGGACTGCCGCTGGCTGCCCCGGCGACGGCCGAGTAGCCGGGCGGCGAGTTGGTTGCCATGGCGACGACGATGGTGGGGCAGAGACCTGTTCGGAGGCACCAGAGAGGGTTGCTCAGCGGTGCAGCAAGCCTTTCTTACCTTCGCACCCAGCTGAATGACGGTTGTAGGCGAGAGTATCTACAGCTTGCACACCCAAAGCATCGACCCTGACCTTGTTCTTCTGGCTGGCTACCTGGCGCTGCGCCAATGATGATAACGATGTTGTGTGAAAGGTCCTTGGGGGAAGGGTGGAAGCAGCAACCCTACTTCACAGCGGTCTCTCATACTCTCGTATGAACACACCTTGCTGTCCTGTCACCACAAAGGACAATCTCCCTAATTCGCTGTGCCACGCTGGAGGCAAAGCCACCTCCAAAAGTCCATGGTGGTCCAAGCGCGCGTGTGTGCCCCACAGGGCACACACTTGCAGTTACAGGCTACAGACTTACGAGGCGGCTGCAGTTCCGCCCCAGGTTCCGCCCCGTCACCCATAGGCACACATCAACTTCCGCGCGCTGGGCCGGTGCCACGACCCGAGCTCAATGCAGTTTACTATAGACAGAGCTGAAAGACCAACAAACACACACAGGCAATGTGCTGGAATGACCGCCCCCCCCCAACGCCTTCCACGCAGTCACGCCGCTCCATCCATATGCTGGCGGGGTGTTAAGGACCTTCTGATTGTTCTTTCCCCTTCGATACCCCTTCAGTACTCCCCTTGGGTCCCTCGGATTCGCACTTCACACTTTGCATCCCATATTGCTACGGAACGACCTTCGCAACAGCAACAGCAAGTTGACTCTTCATCCGCCAGCCTACCATGAAGTCGGCCCCCTTCGCAGCAGCATCCGCCGCGGCGGCAACCACCCTACTGCTCGCATCGCCGGCGCTTGTCCACGCTGACACCAGCGGCGCAGGCTCCAAGCCAAGCTTCGAGGTGAGTGCACGCTGGCGTCACTCACTTGATTTCCTACTTCCATCGCATGCCATGCTCGGACGCGTCTGACACTTCTGCCGTTTCTGATCCTCACGCACAGCCAACAAACGTTAAAGCACCTTTCCTCGAGCAGTTCACCGAGAACTGGAGCTCGCGCTGGTCCCCCTCCGCGGCCACAAAGGAGCAGTCGGGCGGCGAGACGTTCGCCTACAATGGCCGTTGGTCCGTCGAGGAGCCAGCCGTCTTCCCCGGTCTGGCCGGCGACGCGGGTCTTGTCGCCAAATCGAAAGCATCGCAGCACGCCATCTCAGCCCAATTCGACCAGCCGGTCGATATGGCCGAGGCTGGCGCACAGGGAAAGCCGCTCGTCGTGCAGTACGAGGTTAAACTGCAGAAGGGTCTCAGCTGTGGTGGCGCCTATCTCAAGCTGCTCACCGAAAGCCCCGAAGGCATCCAAGCAAAAGAGTTCAGCGACAAGACGCCCTACACGATTATGTTTGGCCCAGACAAGGTATGTCGTCTTTCGTTTCACCACTCGGAGGTTTCGCGCTGACTGGGTTCTCCCTTGCCCTACCTAGTGCGGCACGACCAATAAGGTCCACTTCATTTTCCGGCATAAGAACCCGGTCACGGGCGAGGTAGAAGAGAAGCATCTGACCAACGCTCCGTACCCAAAGATCTCCAAGACGACTGCGCTGTACACGCTCGTCGTGCGTCCGGACAACACGTTTAACATCCTCATCAATGGCGACAGCAAGCGGAACGGCACGCTGCTCGATGACTTTGCGCCGCCGGTCAACCCACCCAAGGAGATCGACGACCCGGAAGACAAGAAGCCCTCCACCTGGGTCGACGACGCGCGCATCCCCGACCCGAAGGCAGAGAAGCCCGCGGACTGGGACGAGAACGCGCCGCTTGAGATCCCGGACGAGACAGCTGTCAAGCCGGAAGGATGGCTGAACGACGAGCCGCTGCTCGTCGCGGACCCAGAGGCGGCCAAGCCGGAGGAGTGGGACGAGGAGGAGGACGGCATCTGGACCCCGCCGAACGTGCCGAATCCCAAGTGTGAGGAAGCGCCCGGTTGTGGCGAGTGGGTACGCCCGGTGGTCCGCAACCCGGAGTACAAGGGTAAGTGGAGCGCGCCGTACATCGACAACCCGGACTACAAGGGCCCCTGGGCGCCGCGCAAGATCGACAACCCAGCGTACTTTGAGGACCTGGAGCCGTACAAATTCAGCAAGATCGGTGGCATCGGCTTTGAGATCTGGACGATGGATGAGGACATCCTGTTCGACAACATCTACATCGGTCACTCCGAGGCCGAAGCGAAGAAGTTCGCCGACGAGACGTTTGGCGCCAAGTCCCCGATCGAGCAGAACATTGAGAAGAAGGAGGAGGACGCCGCGGCGAAGAAGGCAGCTGCCAGCGGCGTTAGCGGCGGCAGCTTCGTCGACAACGCCAGGCAGAAGCTCAACGAGTTCATCGAGGCCGCGCGCGTCGACCCCGTCGCGGCCATCAAGGAGCAGCCTGCCGTTGCGGGTGGCGTTGGCGCGGCTGTGGCTGGCCTCGTTACACTCCTCGGCATCGTCGGCAGTCTGCTGGGCGGCGGCAGCAGCAGTTCCGGCGCCAAAAAGGCCGCGCAGAGCGCAAAGGCCAAGGGCAAGGAGGCGGCCGCCAAGGCCAAGAGTTCGGCTGTGAAGGCAAAGGACGAGGTCAAAAAGCGCACTGCGGCTGTCACTGATGACGCCGACGAAGAGTAGAGCGAGCGAGCCTGCCTGTGCATGATTCTTTTCGCTCATGTCAGCCATTATATAGCTCATGAAAAGGCACGCTTCTCATATGCACGCTTTCGGCAGAAATAGGAAACCGATGGGGAGGAGTTACAAACGGGGCACTTGCGCTTCCCTGTCCACTCATCGCATGTGGTCGCTACATGCAACGTAGTCACGATTGGTGCAATACATACGATACTCTAGTACAGTACACCTGCCCCTCTCCTGTGGCCCGGTTACCGTTTCGCGTTCAATCACCGCTTGGTTTGCGTCGCAGCCTCTGGTAGAAGGAAATAGAGGGGGAGAGGAGCACGTGCCGAGCGGCGAGTCAGCGTCAGGCACGGATCCAGCAAGGGGGTGGAGGGTCGCTACTCTTGAAGGCAAAAAAGAAGAGAAAGGCAGGGGGAGGCAGAAGGCGAGCGACCGAAGCCCAAACTCACCTCTTCGCGTCGCGTCTTCTAGCAGCTGTGTGTCGACCGCTGCAGCGGGGATGTGCACATAGCGCACCACGGAGCCGCGGATGAATGCTGACTTGACAGCTGCCTGCACGGCGCTCGATTGAGTGAATTATCAGTGACGGAGTTTGAGGAGAAAATGTAAGTTGAGAGGGTCAGCGGGTCTTGCTCTCCACTCTGATTCGTGCCGCGTCCAATTTGCTAACAAAGGCGACTGACCATGTGCGGATGTGACGCCTCGTCCAGCACCTTGATATTGTCCAGCTTGAAATTGAGGAATCTGCATCGGTGACAGTGTCATGACCGGCCCGAACGGAGAATGGTTTAGTCAGTCCGAAGATGGATCTTGGCGTCTTTGCATGCACCGACGCACTGATCGACGCTCTTCAGTGTCCCTTGAATGGACAAGTCATTTTTTAGCTCAACCGTCACGTTTTGATCCGTCAGTGTCTTAAATGCAGAGAAGATCAACTGCAGCAGTCAGGTGAAAGGAGCCGAACACGATACCCAGACGTTCAGGCCGACAATATAGATGGACGGGAAGAGACGTGAGCATCAGCGTTGACGGCGATTCGCTTCGCCTATCTGGAACTGGTACTTACCATCTTCGCTGATCGCGCGTGACCGAGGACGACGTAATTTTTTTCGTCTGCTTGTCCTGATGACGGGTCGTCAATGCTATGAGGAAATAAAAGAGTTGCTCGACTGGGGAAGGCAAGATTCTTGAAGGTATTCGATCAGTGAGCCTATGTAATGAATGCCTATGTATATATAAATAGGATGGCGCTCGTCAGAAAGACTCGGCTGGTGGGGAGAGTCGTGCCGTGCTGCGCGGCGCATCAGGCCCCCATAACTCTTCCAACATCCGCTGTTGCAACACATCAACAGCGACCTCACCATGAAAGGCATTTGGAAGACATCCCACGGTCGACAGGTGCTAATTGCAAATTGTGCTCAAGGTGTAGGCTCAACAGAACTCACAGTGATAGCGAGCTTAAGGCCATTGTGCTAGGAGCTGTGACAGAGCGACCGGGAATGGCAGCCATCGGCCCATGATGGTGTAGCCATGTCCACTCTGTACCATCATCATCACCACAGCCACAAGCATGCGACGCATGTGCCGGTCGCCCCTGTGCTCGAGCCGCCACCCCTCTTCGCGGTGGTAGCGAAGCACATCTACCGCTTCTCATTTATCGAACTGGATGCGGCATCTTACCCGTTTCTGCGCTCGTTGCAGCTCAAGAAGGTCATCTTGCTCAGCGCAGAGAGGCCATCAAAGACCCTGACGACGTTCGTCGAGCAGGAAGGCATTAACCTTACGCACTATGGCTTGACATCGGAGCGGGATGACCACGAAAACGACAGCAATGGAGCAAACACGCAGCAAAGTGGCGGTGAAGCTAGCCTCGATCCACTAGACGGCTTCTTTGGGTCTGCGTCTGCTATCTCGAAGAGCATCATTTCGGAGCACACCATCAAGAATGCGTTGCAGAACCTGCTCGACGTGCGGAATCATCCAATTGCTATCTGTGATACGTGAGCGTACTAGTGGCGGTGGCTGTTTTCCGCTGAGCACATAGAATTGACGATGTGACCTATCGCAGGTCTGGGATGCACGAGACTGGAGTCTTGGTGGGGTGCATGAGAAAGATGCAAAGCTGGAATTTCGCCAGCATCCTCGTTGAAGTGCGTTTCGTATTGATCTGTCCCCTCTTCAGACTTTCAGCTGACCCGACCTGCTTCCGATATCTGCCGAAGTATCGTTCCTTTGCTGGGAGCAAGAGCCGAGCACCCAACGAACGGTTCATCGAAATGTTCAATATAAGCACGCCTGACCTTCCCCCAGAGCGCCATCGACCGTCGTGGCTTCAGCATGCCAAGACAGATCGTGCGAATGGCAGATAATTGGGTTCATTGTCGACATTGTAGCATACAACAGGTTCGAGAGAGAGAGAACTGCATTCCCTCAGTTTTCAATATTTTGCGCAGCATTCGTCTGATACCCACCAGTGCCGAGCAACGGAGGCATATCGGCGTCGACGGCGCCAAATGTTCTGCTGGGCTAAGAGCCGAGCTTAAACTCGAGCGCGCTACCTTGAAGGAAAACTCGGTTTGCCGAATCCAGTTCCTCGTGATCGGCTGGTTGTTGAGCGTGGTCGATACGATGTACTTGTCGGTCTTTGCGCCGCCGAAGCAAACGCAGTACGAACTCGACTGTATTCAACACAAGGGATACGGGGTATCTAGTACGGGTACAGACGAGTATATGTACTACGAGACGATCGATTGTCAATGTCAGTCTCATTCTTGGTCCATTTCTCGCTCATTTCAGTAAGGTATGAGTATGCCATTCGTGAGATCGTGAGAGCTGAGAGGGTATATGCCCAAAGTCAGCAACTCCAGCATGCCACAGGCTTCAGCGTCAGATCTCAGCACATCAGCGTTCCGCATGCAGCCAAATGCCCCAAGTTGGCCGACGGCCCAAGCGTACTTTCATCATCGTAATATCAAGCCAAACACAGAGACGAAGGCGAGGAGACGGTGATCTGGACGGCGGGGAGCACGGCGGGTCGGGTCGATGCGTATTTGCATGTACTGCGCGTGCATTCAAACACGCATTCATGCTATCTATCGCTTCTTTCTGCCTTTCTTCTTGCCTTGCGCAGCACCAACACCCACCTCCCACTCCTCCTCGTCCACTTTGCCCGCAGCCGCGTGCCCTGTCTCGCGGATGTGGTTGAACAGCTTGGACCTCGATTGGAAGTGCGACGCGCAGACATTGCAGACCTGGAAAAAAGAACGATGAAGAGTCAAAAGTTGGTTGAGAGGGCCACGTGAATAATAGATGGCGACCGTAGCGGATTGTGGAATTCACCTCTCCTGCCTTCCCTTTGCTTTTGTTATCCTTGTTTCGTCGTCGGGCCCTTTTGCCTTGTTCGCCATCAATATGGCCATCTGTGTCTGTGACTGCAGTTAAAGTGGCAGCGGCATTGTCATTCTTGCAATCTTGCACCTTGTCCGCGGTCTCTTTCGCCTTGAGCAGTAGCACTTTCTCTTCGAGCCTGAACAGATGACTGTCCTTGACGTCAGGCGCCAGGTTACGCACCGCTTTGGCGAGGTTGAGCAGGTACTCGTCATTCCGCCCCGATGGTCCCTCGCACGTAAATATCCTCAATGCCAGGTCATCCAGGCTGCTGGGCCCCACAAATGCCGGGTTGTCTGGCAGACCAACGTAGACAAGTACGTCGTCCAGCACCTTCTCAATCTCGCTTGCCCACACCGTCACGCGCTGCTCAGTGTAGCCGTTTTTCTCCCGCCAGTCGAGGTACGCTTTCACCTCGCTCGCATGCGCCGGATCGATCGTGTACGAGTAGCCCCACACAATGTCCCCCTCCGGTGCATCGTCCGCCTCCTCAAATTGATGCCAGTCGGCAGCCGAGATGAGCGTGACGACTCGCCCAGGGCGCTCAGGCGTACCGCGATGGTCGATTGAGTGCTGTGCAAACCGTCGCGCATACCCTTTAATGTAACCGGGCGTCCGGCCAATCACGTGCGGAGGCGGCTTAAAGATCAGAGAGCCGTAGCCGAATACGTCGAATGATCCTGGCGGGCGTTCCTTTGGTGCTGCCAAAAAGGCGTCCGGTTGTGCAGTCTCCTTGACTCCGATGTGGCTGGTATCAAGCGCGCTGATGAGAGGCTCCTTGATGTCAAATGCGTCGCTTCCGTCTTCACCATCTAGATCTTCCGCCTCGTGGAGAGCCAGGCCCGCTTGCTGCTGCGCCTTGCGTTGCTTCATCTGCTTCTTCTTCGCTTTCTTGCTGTTAGGACCCGGGGACGCACTTGGCATGGCAAAGCCGGCGGACACATCTTCGCCTGCTAGCGGCACAGCGTCTCCAGCAAGATTTAGTTCGTCCTCTTCCTGCTGCATCTCACGCCTCAGCCTCTGAACTTCTTGCTTGTGCTTCTTGCTTCGCTCGTGGTTCTGCCAGGCTGCTTCTGATTGGAAGAACTTGTCGCAAGCGACGCACGTCCATTGCGACGACTCGGGCTCATCTACGCTTTCATCTTCATCGCCTTCCTCCTCTCCGCCCTCGTCATGGTCGTCTTCATTGCCATCAGCAGAATCACTCACGTAAGACACGTCCGAGTCCTCAAAGTCAGAATATATAACCTCCTCGACTTTTTCCCAATCCTGCGTCTGTTCTCGATATCTCTCAGCCGCAGCCTCTCTCTCGCGCATCCGTGTATTTGCTTCCTCGCGGCTTTGCTGTATCTTCTTAACATGTTCTTCGCCCCCGGGCGCTTGCTTCTTTTGCCAAGCCTTGAAGCGTGGATCTCGCTTCCGAATGAATGCGACAAGCGACTGCGGCCAAAGGTGGTGAAAATGTCAGGGCGTGGCGGCGCTGCCAGAGTAGCAAAACTAACACTCACCCTGACGGTGTCATTGTAATCTTTCCTGGCCATGTCTCGGGCGCGTTTGTTTTCCTTCTCCATGAGCCTTTTGACACGACGATCCGGTGCCTCATTTGTGCGGTATTTATCAAGCCATCCAAAACTCTTCCGACTCGAGAACCCGGCCCATGCGGTATAGAAGTTCTTCGCTGGAGTTTGGTTGCCTGCCGCTTCCTCTCCCTTTACTAGGGCATACGGATTGTGAGAGTAGCCAAAGGTGGGGTATTCAAAAGGCGGACCATTGTCTTCTCCTGGATACGCCGTGGCTATTTGCTCTTCATCCGCTATTCTTTTGAACAGCCTCCGGTACGTTCCAAAGAATCCGCTGTCATCAGAGGACGGCACAGTCATGTTCTTACCCGTAGCAAGTGTGGGATCAAAAAAGCGCCCCAAATGTTTGATGGTGAGGCCAGGTGCCGATGCCCTCGGGGCCGCTTGAGCCGCTTTGCCCGTCCGCAGGTCTTCAAAAGCGGCATCTGAGATGTTCTCGTCATCATCTTAAAGTAAGAAAGAGCGGAAGGCAAGATTTGCTTCAGAATACATCAATAGGACGGCAGGACTGAAATGATGAGTCTCACCATCTTCAAACACATCATCCTTGTGATTGTCATACCACGCTCGTTCTTGAGGATCGCTGAGCACTTCGTACGCCGCTTGAATCAAGTGAAATCTTCTATTCGATTCTTCTTCTTGTCCAGGATTCTTATCCGGGTGGTGCTGCAAGGCCAGCTTGCGGTAAGCCTTCCGTATCGTCGCTTCATCGGCGTCTTGATCAATGCTCAGCAGTGCGTAATAGTCCTTGGCGCTGGGCCCGCCATCCCAGGCGGCCTCGTCGCCTGAAGCTCGCTTTGAGCCGCCTTGCGACGACTGTCCCGCCCCCATCTGCAGATACCCTTGTGGGCAGAAGGTACATTATCCGCGCACCGCGACACCGCACGCCTAGCAACGAACCTCGGATGATCTCAACTCTCAAGCCAACCCGAACCGAAGGTCGTTTCCTGAAGAAGTGATAGTGTGGCACGCTAAAAGAAATAATGTGATTTTATGTTCCTCATCTATCGTGCGAGAAAATCTGAAACATCTTGTCCTTGCGTCTCATTGTCAACTCACCAAGGTGAGAGGCGTGAAGAGTGGCGCGTCTGCACATGATACCCCAGCATATGACGATCTGGACGGCTCGAAGCAGTCCAGAATGCAAGAATGTGAATTATGCTACAGCGCCGTTACGGAGAACACAGAATCAGTCAAAAGGGAAAGAGCTTGTGGTCACGTTTGGAGCCCTTCCTTGCGAGCGTCTTTGTTGATGAACTTAAACAGCTTGCGACCTGCCTCGATACCTAAAAGCTCTTGCAGCTCCTCCTGGGTGAGGTCGCACAGCTCGGCAATATCCCGCACCTGGTTCATGATGTATCGGTAATTTCGGGTGTTGATGCCTGGCATGGCACGCAGAAGGTCTTGAGGCGTGAGGTTGAACGAGTGCTCGTTGGTTGTATTGAAACTTACGACGGACGAGCCTGCAACAATTTCGGTCGATCCTTGCGGGCCATGATCATCTTCCAAGCCGATACCGGCAACTTTGGCGACATCGGGCTCCTCAAAATTTTGCTTGATGTCTTCAAAGATGTCGGCCGTGGCGTAAGGGGAAGAAGACCAGACGATGCGGAGACGGGGAAAAGTGGTGGTGAGAAGTACGAGCTTTGACTGTATGTCAAGCTCTGAGCGATTTGCGCTCTCCTTGAATGTGCGCGCTTTTCCCTGTGCATCATTGACAGATCGTAGCGAAAAGCTCTTATCTTGGTCGAATTCGATGAGCAGCATGGGGTGCTTGTAATGAATGGACATGAGCTCGCACTGTGTGTATCTACTCATAGCGAGACCGTCAGTTTATACAGGGCAAGGCGATGACCAGCGAGAAGCGCCACTCACAGTCTGCCAGAGCTGAAACTCTGTGCCAAGTCCGTCAGACTCTTCCTCTCCACACAAATATCTGGCGTCAAAATGTAATCCCCGACTTGAAGAGTGCAGGGAACTACATCGATACCTGCTGCATGTAGCATGGAAGGTAGACTTGAACGAAACTCTCGCATGTCGACGATGATACGCGGTCGCTCGGATGTCGCGGTGCGCTGACCACCAGCAATGCGCGAGTTGATTGTGCGCAGCAATCGGTCATCGGCACTTTGTTCCGCGGGTCGACCATCAGCGCGCAGAGGCAGCACCATGGACTTACAGCACAATGTTAGAGTAAGTGCCAGGATTCAGTGACAGGTCAACCGTCGATGCGAACGCACCGATTTCTCCCTGATCAGCTTCTCGAAAGACTCCTTTTCCCTTCGAATGCTGCTGAGATACCGTTGCTCCTCGAAAGACTCGGCATACATCATGAAATAGAGTCTGACGCCGAAGCCAGGGTTGCTGCGGCGATAGACCTGCGGGGTATGCCAAAATGACCCATTAGCGGCTGCTCGCTGTGAGGCTTTCTTAAGACTCACTTCGATCCTTCGAATAAAGGCAGGCTGCGTATCATACATGACGATGAAACGAGGCTTGAGCTCTTGCAGGACCTTGTCATCCTCGTCATCGCGGTACGTTCTGACGACCACCAGGTTTTGCATGCTGAGTAAGCCAAAGAAAATGTCGAAGTTAAGTTCGCTAAGCGTTTCGGTGGACACACTGAGGTCGTTGACGCCGCTTCCCTCCTCTTCCTGTCCGGCGTCATCTGGATTATCGAGGTCAGCGTTCGCTTGTTTGACCGCTCGTCGCATGCTGAGCGAAGGGGCGAGTGGAGGGCCAGATCGATTCGCCTCAGCTCAACGTTACACTTAGGCTTGCCGGTCCGCTCTTGTACTCACAAAGCAGCAATGTCGCTAGCCTCCTCATACATGGCCTCTCCGCTGTTCGCTGCCGCCTGCTTGCGCCCGCCTGAAGCAGAGGCCGTGGCAGACCCGCCTCTCATCCTGCGCCTCTTGCCCGGCGGCGGCTGGCCACGGAATGCCTGCTTGCGCTTGAGCGCTTCGCTCAGGTGCTCACTGGAGCTGGCCCTGCCCTCCGCGCCCAAAGTTGAAGCTGATGTAGAGGTCGAAGTGTCCGCCTGACCATTCCAATCATTCAGAGCATTGCCGGTGCCGCTGGCCCCATTGTTCTTTGACCATAAGCCCTTGCCGTGCATGCCTCCGAGTGCTCGCTTCCACATGAAATAGTGGCGCAGCATGCGGCGCATCATGCGCTGACCTGGCCGTTGGTCCGATTCGCCCTCCTCTCCCTTCCCGCCATTGATTTGTATCCCCCTGCCTTCCTGCATTGTTGCTAGCAGTTCGCGGACCTGAGAGCACGTTCGTGCGGAAGAAGTCATGACGAGGATTGTGTTGTTCGTCCAAGCGTCTAGACGCATTGCACGGTCGGTTCGTGAGTTGAGATCCTACTTGGAAGTTAATACGAAATTAGACTCACCCTGCAAATGCTCCTGCGCTTGGATCTCTTCTTCAATCTCGCGCATCACGTCCCGCAGGAGCTTCCACTTCGGGAGTTCCTCCAGCACAAGGTCAATGCCATCTGGCAGCCACGAGTATGTTCTGCTGGCCCTAGCGAGAGCTGCAGCGCTGTTCAAGCCATCGCTATTCCCCGTTATTTTGTCGCTAAACGCCTCGCTCTGTAGTAATGCTTCATCTTCATCATCATCGATTACATCGGGTGCTACTGCTGCCATGTTTTCTTTCCCTTGAGCAGGGCCTGGTTTGGCGATTTCGCCAATATAGACACGGCGCCTAGCCTCGGAGAAGATAGTATTCGCAGCGTCCATCAGGAGCCACGGACTTTGATTCTGTCGCACCGTACCAGTGGCTGAGGCTGGGCTCGTGTTGGCCGCGAGGATCGTTTCAAGAAAGGAGTAGAAGGTAACGGCATCATATTGGATCAGATAGCTGAAAGAAGCGCCACCGGTACACGATGTCAGCGCATGCACGGGAAAGGTCAAGCGTGGGTAGCAACTGACGTGAGAAGTTGCCGTAAAGTACTCAGATCAGAGACAAGTTGCTTTGTCTTGGGGCTGACTCGGTGCCAGACAGGATCAAGTTGTCGGCGCACAACGGCATCAAAGACATGAAAGATCGCATTCTCGACCGTGTACTCGACCGTATCCACCTGTGGGTGTCCAAGCACTTAGTCTCCGGACACGGGACTGGACAGATGAAATCACTCACACCTACGCTCGTTCGTTTCAACTCGCAGATCGTCGCTTCAAGACACTCAATGATCGAAGTCTGAATATTCAACATACTCCGACTGAGCTCCTGATGGAGTTCCACAACATCTGCTCTCTGAGCACCGAGACTTTTCTGTACGATCTTGTGAAATCTGAATCAGGTTGCCCGCGAGTAGGGTGTTCAGCATGTAAGAGACTGCTGCATCCACGTACTATTCAGGTCTCACCTTGGCCAGATATCCACTTGACGGATCTGCAGCTGACCCATGACCGTCTGGAGTGGCGTGAACCCATGAGCAAAATGTTCGGGATTGTCCGAAAATGCTTTCAAGAAGCCATCTTCGTTTTTCTCCCTAAAGATACGAACGATAAACGCCTCGACACTCGTCGGAGTAACATTTTCCGCATGGAGCACGACCATTCCGGTGATAAGTTCGGTAGGTATGCGTTTGAGAAGCATGTCGACTACGAGGATCCTTGAAGTAACGGAAAGCAGGCCGCCGGCCATATAGAGCTCCTGGCGTTTCTGCGCGGTCATCTCATGCGTAATAACTCGCAGCCCTGGTCGGCGGACGCCAAGCGTAGTCAGCTCTTCACCGATTCCTTCCTCCTCCTCCGAGGTGGCGTTAATCACGACGATCAGATTGGTTGGGGCATCATAGATCTTCAGAATGGTGGAGATGATGCGGCGCATGCCGAGGCCTTTTGCAAGGATGACGAGCGAATTTCCGTCATCTTCTTCCTCATCGTCTTCTTCATTCTCGACTCTTCGATCACCATTTGCCGCACCGCCTTCCCCTTGTGCGAAGTCGGCGGAGTCTTTAGGGATGAGAGAGGCAATGATGGCACGATGAAAGGGTAGGAGGAAGGGCCCGCTGAGGTGGCGGACGACCTCTCCTCTCTCTGCGGAAGCCATTGCGACTACCTTCCATCGCTTGCACGGCTGCACCTGACGCTCGCACGCCTCGCCTCTCACCAGCGACTCAGGTTCAATTCGAACTCGTACGGTCAACCTTCGATGGCCATGATGAAGTAGTCGCACAAGATGAGCGATTGCGAAGCCATCTCGGCCGATAGAAAGACACCCACTATCTGGAGAGATCGTTTGCGAGGCGTCGCGCCATGCTGGAAGTGTAAGTGATAGCGCATAATGCGCGAATCGCAGTCACGTGGTCCAGTGTTTGTTTTCGAGTAGAGACTGCGACTGCGCTTCTATCAATCAATTCCAGGTTGACCAGCAACATGCGCCTGCACCGTGCAGATCCATATAATTAGAGAAATGCCTTGTGCGTCAAAGAGCGCGGAGGAGTCGAAGCTGCCACGCACATAGGCTCAGCGAATCCCATCCTAACCCAAAGCTCATGCATCCCGACTAGGAGAATCGTTGCAGTATTGGGGGCAGTACAGCGAGAGCTGCTCCTCCTGCCGACGGCTTCCCCTCCGCCATGCCGCACCAGATCCTGGCTCCTCTCCCTACCAACATTCCTCGGCGACCACATCGGCAGCTGGGCGTCGAAGCAGCGGTCGCTTTGAAAGGATCCAAAACAGGGAAGATGAAGGGCACTGGCGCAAGCTTGATCGGTAAACGTAAGGCGTCTGCGGCAGCGGCGGCCGCAGATATAGATCCTGCGGAGGAAGGGGCGCCTCCCAGGGAAGGCGGAGGAACTTGCGATTCTTCGGCATCCACCCAGTTTTCGTCAGCGGCCGTTCCGGATGCGGTGCTTGCCATGGCATCTTCTCAAGTTGTCATGGACACATCGACCCGTGCAAAAGTAGGGATCAAGCGAAAGAAGAGTGGGAAAGGCAGTGCCGGCTTTACTCAGACTTACAACTCCAACATGACAGCTGATGCTTCCGCTGCAAACCGTAATGATGCAGCTCTTTATAAACGAACCAGTTTCAAGGATATTTCCACCTCGGCGACGAACGCAAGTACAAGAGCCAGCAGCGGCAAACGTCTGATCATCACCCGCAAGCGCCTTTCGTTGGACGGCAGTCCAATGAGTCGCTCAGCACTCGGGCACGGCTTTGGCCATCTCAATCCTGACACCGAGCAGGCGCACTGCAAAAGCCGTGGAGAAGACTCTAGCCGACGCACGTCGCGTTCGTCACAGCATTCACTGATGCAACTCCCAAAGCAGAAAGTGAATGTCCAAGACACCGAGCCTACATCTGAAGGCCACACAAGCGATGAAGTTGTCGAGGCGGTGGAAGAAAATGCTGAAGATCGTGGTGAGCAGCCTGTGCGGCAATGTTGTTTGTCTGGTGGCTGCGCTGATGTTTCTTCTCTGGTTGCAGACACCCGTCTCCTCAATTCGGCGCCGTCCTGGGAGCTTAATAGACTCAGGAAAAGCGATCTCGTTCGACTACTTGTCCGTCTCGGAACCTGGGGAAGTACGAGCCCAGAGAATGCAAGCACATACAAGAAGCAAGAATTAATCGATGCCGTCGTCATGGCGCGCGATACCACATCCGCTAGGACTTCGCCAGCTGGCAGCGAATCAGGTGCAGATGCGGACGAGAGGCTCGACGGCAGCAGCACGAGTGCGCATGGAAATCTCAAGCACAGCGGATCTTCTCGTTTGCGTCAACGCAAGCTGACAGACATGTCCAAAGGAGCCTTACACACAGGGGCACAGTCGCAACCGCAGCCCACAGAGCTCATTCTCGGTGGTCTGGACGGGCGTAGGACGAGCTATCAACTGCGTCAGTGCAAGACATCTAGCGCATCTCAGCCTCAGCCTGATGGTGAGTCCGATTCGTCTGCAAACTCGGACGACTCAAAAGCGTCGACGGATGCAGGTGATGCTGGCGCGGAGGAGACGGATACAGGCTCCATCTCTCGCGCTGTTAAAGCGACCATGCGGCAGGGCACGAAGAACCAAGACTCAGCCTTGATCCATACTAGCCAAGTCCACCAAAAGGAAGGCATCACGCGCGCAGCCAAAGCCGCCGCAACACTCCGTGCGACGCGTACGAAGAATCGAGCACCTCTGACAGGCTCTCCCACTCCGCTGCCTTCGTCTCCATATACGTTAGGCATCAATAAGAGGCGTCTCAAGAAGCAGGTTGGGGGTAGGATGGGCGTCGCGTTCGCCGCATCCTCACCAATTCGCACGCGTGCGCGTCGTTCACGCGTAGTTGCCGCGGCGAGCGGGAGCGCGTTGAGATATAGCACGTCCAGCCTTGGTGAGGGCAGCGTCGGCGCTAGGCGTGGGTTGCGGCAGTCATCGTCGCTTTCGCGCTCGCAGCGCAATCAGATGTGGGACGCAGAAGAGGATGCACAGGAGGAGGAGGAAGTCGAGGAATTTATGGACCATGATACCTCTGCTGGCAGCCATGGGGCGAGGCAGAACATTCTGGAACGCGACGAATGCATTGAAGCAAAGCCGCCTTTACGTCAGCGTCAAGCCAAACTGAACGCCACCAACCTCATCCGCGATCATTCGCGCCACCATGATACCGAGCAATCGCAGCAGCGGACACGGGCTTCTCCCCACTCAACATCCCGTTCTGATGAAGATGATTCCGGTGATGGAGGTGATGAAGCGTCCAGCGTCGTTTGCTCTCAGCGGGCGGCGCTTGGCCTGCGGCCTAGGACACGCTCAGTATCTACACAGCTGCTCTCAAGGCCCAGCCCCGCCTCGAGTCTCACCAGTCTTGATGATCTTGACGCCGGCGACGACGATGGTGACCAAGCCGCTGACAAGCTGCTGACGCGAGCTTCACAGCGGGTAAGACTTCAGGATGGAGGGGATAGCGAGCGTGCCACGGACTCCTCGGAGGATGATCAAAGCCGACAGGGCATGCCACCGAGCGCGAAAAAGATTCGTAGGCTACGCAATGGGAAACTCAGATTGCCGAGCACGCTGCTTCCAGAGGCCAAGACCTTGGAGGAGGATGTGAGCAGCAGTGACGAGTCAATGCCCGAGCCTGAAGATGCGGGCGACACTACCTTCAAGCCTTCGTCGGACTTCGACATGGCAGACGTTTCTATTTCCTCTGCAGCTGAGACATTTGCAAACGCGGAAGTCGAAATGGACGAAGCAGTAGACATCGATGAGGGCGAAGGTCACGTTGATCGCGATAACGACCCCATGACGAATCCCAGCACAGCGTCTTTATCGCGCCTTTTGAAGGCGCAGCTGCTTCAGCTGTGCGAGGAACGCGGACTGCATGTAGATGCGGACCTCAAGAAAGCTGACTTAGTGCAAACGCTGATCAGCTCGGTGAGCATATAAGTTTTGCAATTTCATCAAATATGCACGCTCACTTTCTTCTTGCAGGTTGATGCCCGAGAGGCCATTGACAGCACATCATCCGTCGCGTCGCAATTCACAGCAAAAGGGTCTTCTACATTTTCGGGGGATCGATGGGGCCGCCATAGCAACGGTGCAACGATGCCTCTACTCCGCTCGCATGAGAAGCTGATTCAAGATATTCAGCCGCCAACGCCGGCGTTGACGCCGACCAATGCGCAAGCCCAGCCTGCCGAGGCGGTCGACGAATTGAATGGCCTGGACCTCGAATCACTCAATTTGGTCGACAAGGAGATCGCGGCGAGCAAATTAGAGAAGTTGGAGAAGATCGGATCAGGCGGATTCAAAGATGTCTATGTTGGCAAGTATAAGGTCTCCAAAGCGCGCAGCATGAAAGTCGCTATCGCGGACCTCCGCGACCAGCTTACGGAGATGGACATCAAGGAACTTTCGCTGCTAAGAGACCTCAAGCACGAGAACATTGTTCGCTTCATCGGTGTCAGCATTCCAGATGACCCCAGGAACGTGCCTTGCATGATTGTCAGCGAGTTGTGCTCAAACGGAGACCTGTTCGATTACATTCGGAATGTCCCGGCTCCAAGTGACAGTGAGATCGTGAGTCTCTTTGTGCACGCAACCGTCGGAGATTCGGCTTACAAGCTTGACATGACTCCTACCCAACAGTACCGCATTCTACTCGAGATTGCGCGGGGTCTCGAGTATCTGCACCTTCGCAAACCCGCCATCATTCACCGAGATGTCAAGTCCACAAACGTGTTGATCACGCGCGACCGCACCGCTAAGATCAACGACTTTGGACTTGCGCGAGTCAAGAACACGACGCGTTCGATGGTTCGCTCGCTGGTAGGCACGGTGAATTGGCAAGCGGTTGAGCTCTGGGTTCCCAAGCCTCATTACAACGAGAAGGTCGATGTGTGGAGCGCAGCCATGACGTTTTGGGAGGTGCTGCAGTGGCATCAGCCGGAGAAGCGATATCCTTTCCAAGGCATGAACGAGCACCAGATCTACCAGGATGTCGGCCAGAAGCGGCAGAGGTGCGTCGCCATACTCCTTTGGCCCATGAGCATACAACTTACATATCTGCGCGCATGTGCAGACCGTATACTGGCAGCACGCGCCGTCAGTTTGGAGGGGAGATCGTCCATTTGCTCGATCGCATGTGGGATCAGAATCCCAAGGAGCGGCCATCGATGGGCGAAGTTTGCGCCGCTCTTGAGGAGCTCATCGAGTTGAACAGACGAACAAAGTCGTAGCCCTCTATATGTCCAGCACGTCTGCTATCCAGGTTGCACCAGCCGGCCGCTGCCTCGAAGCTCCTCGCTGATCTTCGGGGTTCTCGATTCTGCTCTCCTTCCGCGCACTTCATTCTCTTTTTCATCGACCATTGGCTTCAACCGCGCGTCAATGGGTCGCCAATCAGTCCCAACATCATATTTTTCTGCTGCGCGGATTCTTTCGCGCCTACCCTGCAATTCCCGGATCTGCACCTTTCAACCGACTGTATCAAAGAAAAGCAACCACTGTGACTTTAGAAAGCATCGCAACCAGAACACCAAAGCAAGAGCAACAAGCAGCGACAGTTTTTCAGCATCGCGATTCGCGGCTCACCTGATCAAATTATCGAACGAGTCTACTGATTCCCCGGTCCCTCGTCTAACCAGCGCCAGCGGACCTGTACTGTAGGCTCTTCTTGCTGAAGGGAATGTACCACAACGCCTTCCTTTCGGTCTGTCTTTTGAGCCCTGTGTACTTGATGACCATCAGAGGGCAGGACCAAGCCAAGTGCAGTGTACGAGAGAAGTGAGCGCTTCCAGCTTCACAATTCCCCATTGAAGCACCAGACGAGCATCAAGTGCAAGCCTATGAAACTGTTTGCGGCAGCTGTGCCACCACGCGTTCCGACACTTTTGGAGTCTCGAGCCTCGCCAGGCCGTGCCTTGGGAAGCGTCTCGAACTCTCGTGACCACACGAGGTGGCGACCTATCACAAGCCCAACGGCGTCGAGTATCGAGGGCATCAGCGTTCTGGCAATGTATAACGTGATGAACCTTTTTGTTCAACTGTCAACGTGTTAATATCATTAACGAAACTCTTCCAGATTACCGCAGCTTTTATGCGCTTGAGCATCACTACATGTACATGTAGATATTGCATGTGTGCCTATACTTCCCAGCTCTACCTGGCTCAGCGTTGTCAATGAACCAATGGGAATCAACTCGGACCCATCAAGCGACAACTAGATTTCTGCGTCGTGGGACGAGAAAAGGCCTGGGAGAGTAAGGGCAAGGGTATGATCCTTCGGAGGTTGTCTCTGGGTTTATCACATCTTACCCTTTGCGACAGGCGCGTTCTGCGAAGCCTCGCGTCTTCCCACTCGTGGTAGGTTGTGATCTGCTGGTTGCTGGGATCCGAGCGCAGGATGCGCGGCCCATTGCCTATCATTGTTTGCTGCCTTGTTGGCTACTGTTTCAAAAGTGTTTCATGTGACCAAAGTGGATCAGAATGTCTTGTACATAGCCATTTATGTAGGACCTATTTTAGCAAGATGCTTGCTGTATACATTGTAGGACTTCCAAGTTGAAGCTTTGAGCTTGACCAGGTGTACGCTTATGCAGCCGATGAACAGGTGTGTGGGTGCCCCGCCTGTGTGGCCTTTAGATGACACGTGACCTTAATCTGCCTGGACGCGACTTCCCGACGCGTTATTCGAAGTTACCCAAACACATCACACACAAACCACACAAACACGCGAGCTCGTGCGCGTGATAGTAAATAAGTGCTACAAAAGTACAAAGGGCTTGCAGCGAGGATGTGAAGATGAGGAAAGCGAGCGCGTCACTGAGCAGAGTGTAAGATGATGGAGCCGGAAAGCCCCCGGAAATCGCAAGACCTCCCTCATCGCCTCCTGTGGGCAGTGAGGGGCAGTGAGAAGCGCCCGATGAAGTGTCACACGGGACGGACGATCACAAGTCACATATCACATCACACGCGCTTGCGCCCCGCCTGTGTATCCCACACACACACACACAGTAGGGAGAGAAAGAGCTACATGGCCTGGAGAGTGGAGGCTGGAGAGCCAGGCCAATGGCGGCGGTGTCCTGTGGTGGGTGCAGCAGCCGTTGCATCCCACCTGGGAGACGTTCACGAGAGGCTGAATTCCATCGCAATGCCATTAATACATCCTCTATCCTTCACTCAACTTTGTTCAGCCTTCCCCTGTTCTTTGTTTGCTTGCACGGAGCAACGATATAGTCGCTGGTGCTGTCTGTCCTCCTTGCAAGTCTGCTCATCTGTGCGGCTTGAGGGAATCTGCGCTGCTAGCTCGCGGCCACTATATACATAGTTGTAGTTACTTCTGCACGGCCGCGCGTCTCCCCCTTTTCAGCAGCCTGCCACTCCGCGCCAATCCTCCGACTTCGTTCGACCGTTGGTCCCTGCAGCGCTTACGCCTTCGCTCAGCTCCAGGACTGCATCAGTGGACGCTTGCATTCGATTGCAACAGCAAGTCACTGTCAGCAACCAACCGTCCATCTACCAAACAACTCGCCGACCCCACATTCGTCTACATCCGACGCACCAGTGACGAGCGCGTGCCCCCTCTGCCCTGCGTCCGGCCGCTCGCTCGCCATTCTTCGCCCACCACCCTCCATAGCACGTCGACAATTCGACATCTTCCTCTCCATCTGCCCCTCAGCAGCCCTCCGCCTTCCAAGTCACACTGTCGGACGCATGTGCTGATACATATGGGGTCTGCTGGGTCGGCATTCCAACGGCTCCTCCTATATCCCCGGCACCGCCCTAAGGACCTTTTTTCCGTGACGCTGACGCGCTGCACGCATACATAGAAGGGTGAGATTGCACCAGAAGCATATTACCTGCATTGAGGCACAGGAGACGAGGCAAGCGCTAATAAGACCTTGATTGCGCTGCCGGCCAACAGGTCACAGTTCACGTTTACACCTCCCACAGGCCACTCAGCTGACGCGAGGCAGAGTGCGCAAGCTTCCGCAGCCTCTGTCCATCAAAGTAAGGTGCGGCCCCTCTTCACTCTCCGTCAAGTTTTGTCATCTAGAGTGAGTTCCCTGACTCGGCCGCCCGGTAGCCACGCCGCATCAGACCGCGCACGGGGAGTTGTGTTGTTCCAGAGGGGAAGCATGTGGCATGGATGATGACAATCCTCCTAGTCTCGAGTTTAAAGCCCTTAGAGCGCTCCTGACCCCGATCGGAGTATCAACGATCGAGAGAAGGTCCGCAAGACGTTCCACTGCTCGGAGCCCCTCCCTCTCCCGATTGGCACAGAGCTTGGCTGTTGGATAGACATCGGCGCATTTTAAGGTATATTGCATAGCTGCTTGACGACCGCTGCACACAGGTTCCCAGCCGGTGAAGCAGGTCGCCCAGTAGATGCACAGCGGGCGGTTCTGGTGGGTCTACTCAGTGGGTCGCTGCAGGAGGTTTTCTTGCGCCTCTTGCGCATTTGGACTTGTGGAGTTGAACGTCGGTGAGCAGGCGAGGAGTGTTCATTTGCATTTCCTTTTGAGATCACCGCACCCACAACGAGAACGACCTTGTCGTGCTTGTTTCGATTAAAAGTGCTTGGGCAGATCTTATCCCCCCTCGTCGAGATCATCACCGTCGTTCTCGTCTCTGGCGATTGGAGACGTCCGGGTCTCGTCCGGGTCTGCTCCCATCGCCATTAAACGCTGTTGCTTGTCACCAGCGACCGGTAGGACCTACTGACGTCAGGTGTGTCTTCTACCAACCGGCGTCAGGAGAGACCTCCACAACCCGACTGACATATCAAGGTTTGGCGGGTTAGACATAAGCTCTATCTGGTTTACAAGGTCTTCGCCTTTCTGTGGTTCATCCTATCTGCCTTGTCTATTCCCTTGTCATCACTTTTATGTTCGCCATAACCTCCATCGCTTTCATTGGAGGACCACCCAGCTGACCCACCCTCGTTTCATCTCTCCTCGCCCTTCACCTCATCGACCGTACTCAATCCCTTTCCACACTCTTTTTCAACCCTCCATCTTTCACTCGGATTTATGCTGGAACCTTGATTGCAGCAGCAGCCAGCTCCACACTTTTGAAACAAGGTGCGGTATCATCAAAGCGCGGCGAACACCCACTGTGCTTAGGCATCTTTACCATGGCGTCCAGAGTGAGCTTCGGTGTCAACCAGAACCGTGTGACTGCCGACCGTGACTGACATGCACCGCTTGACTGTGTTCCAGGTCACTGCTTCTCGCTCGAGCCGCGCGCGAGGGCTGGGTTCAAGCCGTAGCAACGATCACCTCGATGGTGGAAAAATTGGATCGACCTCGACCGCCGCCTCCAGCGGCACCTCTGCAAAAGTACGAGCCTCCCGAGTCCCAGTCTCATCAGCCGCAGCAGCTGCTGCCGGTGGCACCCTATGCAAGGCTCCACGGTCAGGTCTCGCATCCTTGCGCAATGCTCCGCTTCACGAAGTCACCAATCGCAGTTCACGGGCTCCTTCTGCTATCAACGGAAACAGCAGTGTTAAGGATGGCTTTGAGAAGCAACCGCCAGCCAAAACCGGTTCTGCCACCGCAACTGTCACCAAGGTCCGGACATCTCGCGTACCGACGAGCAGCTCACATCCAGACTCCATCGCCCATCACCGCAAACGCAGCGGGTCCGGCTCAACTACCGCCGTCGCGGCCTCCTCTTCTTCATCCAATCTCGCCAGCATCAGAGACACCGCAGCCCGGATGAATGCTGCGATGGAGATCGACGAAGAAAAGGAGGAGGGAAAGGGAGCGCGGAGTCGAACGACTCGTTTGATTCGTCAGCCACCTGCGAAGCGAGTAGTCCGGAAAGCGACAAGTGCCATCACAGTCAGGTGCCATCCCACAACCGTCTCTTCCGACGCGACCGTGCATGCACAATCAGATAGTATTACAGGATCCATGGACGTGGATGCTGCTGCTGCCAGGCCATCATCGCTACATGCCGACATAAAGGAGGCGAAGCTGCACGATGAGGAGGAGGAGGACAACGAGCAGTTGGAGGGAGGGGAAGAGGATGATGATCTACACGACTCAGAGCTGGAAGAGCTGGAGGGAGTACCGAGCGATACAGAAGATGAGGACGCAGCCATGCACGGTCTGACAGATCTGAAGAGTATCCCTCAAGGGCAGCAATTGCGAGCACCTTCTAGCAGTGCTGGCAGTGCAAGCGATATTTCATCCGCAGTCCCAACTGCGGCAGGTACGGCGGAAACGACACCGTGGATGAACTCGAACGAGAAGTTTGACGACCAGGCTGACGTATTCGCCGAAGAAGTTGAAGTCAACTTTGATCCCGAGTGCATCATCCACATTCGGCCCGAGTTTGTCGACGCCGCTGAGCACAAGAAGGCGCACATCATACGTAAGTATGATGAGACGGTCATCCGGCCACAGGCCGAGGAGGCGAGGCAGCAGCGACAGGCGCTACTGCTGAACGGACAGATTTCGCAGGAGACGGCGGCTCTTGATGATGAGTTGGCATTGATGGGCCTTGATCCAGACGAGGTGCGCGATACTACCATGGTGGCGGAGTACTCAGAAGAGATCTTTGCGTACATGAGCGAATGCGAGATGAGTACCATGGCCAAGCCAAATTACATGGACTTTCAAACCGAAATCCAGTGGTAAGTCGACAATTGGTCGGTTTTAAAGAAGGCTCAACTGACACGTTTCTACATTAGGTACATGCGGCAAACACTCGTCGACTGGCTTCTGCAAGTTCACGTGCGCTACCACATGTTACCCGAGACCCTTTGGATCGCGGTCAACATCATCGACCGATTCCTCAGCATGCGTGTCGTTGCTCTGCAGAAGCTCCAACTGGTCGGTGTGACGTCGATGTTCATCGCGGCCAAATACGAGGAAATTCTCGCACCCAGCGTGGAAGAATTTGTCTTCATGACCGAGAATGGATACTCGAAGGAAGAGATCCTTAAAGGAGAGCGCATTATCCTCTCGGTAAGTTTAATCCCTCGCGCTGCATAGCTTGTTCCGCAGTGTATTGAATGCCCTGCTTATCTTTCCTGCAGACCCTCGACTTCAACATTTCGAAATATTGCACACCATACTCATGGCTTCGCCGGATCTCGAAGGCTGACGACTACGATATTCACAGCCGCACGCTCGCCAAGTTCTTGATGGAGGTCACTCTCACAGACCATCGGTTCTTGCGTGCAAAGCCGTCAATGATTGCAGCGATGAGCATGCTTCTGGCAAAGAAGATGCTTGGACTCGAATGGGTGAGTGCCCACCCGGTCCTTCGTTCGCCTGCTCTCCTTCACACTGATTCACGAACCTGTTCCCAATCTTGTCCAGAATGACGCTTTCGTCTACTATTCCAAATTTACAGAGCAGGAGCTCGTACCCGGTGCCAACCTTATGCTTGAGAAGCTCATTGATCCGTCATTCGAGGAGCAATTTGTCTGCAAGAAGTACAGCAACCGAAAGTTCCTCAAGGCCAGTATCTATGCACGCGAATGGGCGCTACAGAACCATAGAAGCGTCGCTGCAGCCGCTGCGGCCGAGGCCGGCGAGGAGTACGACACCTCAGTTTAGGCGCCGTTCGCCCCGCAATCCGACCTATTCGATCAATCTTCCTTGCGCTGCATCGAATCCACGATCAATTCCCCCTTCTCCCGCGGCATCCATAGCATCTCACCCGGTCACGTCTAATCACAGCAATCTCGGTTCTTTCACAATTACGTTCATCACTCATATGCCACCAGTGGGATACCCGGCTGCCAGACCAAGGTATTCGGCGCCACACCAATGGTCACCGTCACTTTCATACATCCCAAAAGGCATCGCGCAAAGCTTTTTAAGTCAAGATTCGAGCGATTCCTTCGCCTCTCGACCGCTCCGAATCATGAACCACGCGCTGAACGAGCGAGCTGATATGATCCATCGCCAAACGCCTCATCTTCTCTGCCCATTCTCACTTCTGCCACCCTTTCGATCGCGCTGCCGCTGTCGGACACTGGACATCATCCTCGTTGAGACGCGCACTCTCCCCCTTCGTGACAAATATGCTTTTCCAATCTCTTCTTTCCCCTTCTGTGCATCCTTGACACAGTACGATAGTCGGCCGTGGCGTCGCATGAAGCATAAGCAATTGAATCTTTTACACTATCCAAACCCGTCTTGTTGAGGTGTACGGTATAAAAGGCATGGCCTTGATTAGGATACAGTGGGATGGATATGATACAGCCCAGGGCGGCGAGCGCCACGGTGTGAGGGTGGCGATTCACCCCATGAGCATGCTAACGTCCTCCGGTGGATACTGACCACGCACAAAGCACGATCGTGAATATGACAGGAACGATGCAGAGTCCAGCACAAGGAAGAACGTTGAGCTCACCTTTGTCTGGGCGAACGTCATGAGACGTTTCAAACTCTGAATATACTTGCGTGTCTCCTCATCGTTGAGCACATGCGCGATTTTGGAGCTGAAGATCTTTTCTCGTCCCGAGCGCGCGTGGATGCCGACCGAGGTGGCGCCGATTGGCCAAGGGGCGTTTCCGATGCTGAGCTGCAAATACGAGTCGTTGGCTTTGCGGTACTCGCGTTTTTGCATGTAATGCACAATTTCAGCTATCCGAATAAGCATGTCAGACGGTAGGTCCCGATGGCGCAACTGTTTGAACAGCGGCTTGAGGTAGCTCGCAGTCTGCACCTGGGTCGCTGCTGCGAGCTTTCCTTGTGTTGATCGCCGCACTTCGTCTGTGATGCCCAAATGTGCGTCAGTAGCGGATCGGTGTAACGACAAAAAGTTTCCCTTTGCACGACTCACCAGGGCGTTTTGCGAGATACTCTTCCCAGTCCTTCAGAAGCCCTTTGAGCGTGTAATAGATGATCGGATGCACCTTGGACTCGTCTGTACGAATGAGGTTCAGATCCAACAAGCTATCCATGCCAACTCCCTCTCGTCCTTTGCCTTTGTCCTCGTTGTCTGCCTGCGGAACGGCATCTTTCGCTTCTTGCTGCTCCTCCTTGCCCTTGTCGCTAGCATGCATCCTTTCGATTGCGTTCTTCGCTTCGCTGCTTTCGGCACCTTGCAAGGCTTTCATAAAGTCATTCTGCCCGACCTTGGCGCCGCGCTCCTCGATGAGCTCCAGCGCCCGAACGCGCAAGCGGCGCTCCTTGTCGCTCTCGCCAAATAGTCGGATCGGCTCGCCGCGAGCACGAAGACGGCGTACAGCTTCTTCGGGGGATATGTTGAAGCTCTCCTTTTTTGCATCTTTCACTGCAATATCAGCGGAATCCCTTGACACTGAACCACCCTCGCCTGTTCGTTCTGGCGTCTAGTGGTGCGAGCGAGGACAGTGAAGGTCAATGAAAGTAACGCGACAGCGCGCTCGTCCAGCTGGAGAAAGCGCACCTTGCTCTTTGACCGATGCTCTTTTCCCTGCCTTTTCAGCCTTTCTGCTGCTGCTTTTGCCTTGGCCTTCTCCTCTTGCTCCCTCTTGTACTCCTCCTCCTGCTGTTTGAGTAGATCGCCACGTCGCGTCCATTTCTTGTAGACAGGCTCAGCGCTCCCGCTGCCTCCTTCAGCGGGGGGCGGCGCTTCCTTGGCCTTGCGTTTGGCAGCCAGCTCGGCTTTGAGGGCATCCATGACTGCTAGCTACTGCATCCGGAAGTTGCGTTGTGCACTCTCGGTGACGGTAGAGCCGCTGCTGAAGCCCACTCTCAATGAGCTCCATCCATAGGAAGGCACGATGATGGATTTCGACACGGTAAGGCGGAACGACAGTGCTTGACTTGGTGCGGCAGGCGGCGAGGAAAAGCGACAGGAGCGGGCATCTCATCACCCTTCAGCCGACCCATTGGCTATGCCCAGGCTGCCAACCAACTGAAGCAAGGCTTCTTCTCATCGTGAGCATCATCATCCATCTGCACCTTCACCGGCCCCACAGCATCAGTGGTCAACAAGCATCACATAGACTCGCCCATTATGTCTGAAGAATCAGGAGCAAAGTTCACCCTGCAGAGTGAGTCCGCGACCTCGAGCCAAAGGCAAGCGCCACCTTCGCGCGCCGTTGCTGAGGAGCGCCGGGCGAATGAGATAGATACCCTCGTTCGGGCACCCCTTTCGACTTGATCTGACCTTCTGACCCTTGGGCACGGGCGTTCACTTTGAACCTTGCAGCCGCATCGTTTGATGCTCGGTTCCCCAACCAGGTGAATATATTGAGAGATCATGCCGGTCGAATGGTTAAGCTCTTGCACTGACCCCCCCCCCAAACTTCGTACCAGAACCAAACCAAGCACTGGTAAGGATGGTGCTCGATTTTGTCTCTTTGAGAAGACTTTCTCACATGCTTAATTGCCTATGCTCGGCCATCTCGCGATGCTGTAGCTGGCAAAAGTGAGTGCTTTTCGCGGTCAATTATCTTGTTCGTGCGATGCGGCAACTAACGCCAAGGGTATGTTCGCAGCTACGTCGACTACTACAAGTGCATCAACGCCAAGGGCGAGGAGTTCACCCCCTGCAAGCAGTTCTTCAGAACGTACCACTCGTTGTGCCCGAGTGAGTATCTGTTCGCATGCACGCAAAATGCACTTCATATGATAAGGTTTACGAATCCGACACTGACCATGAATTGCCTAAACTTGGCAACCTGCCCTTCAGACGAATGGGTAAGTTATGACACACTTGAGCCAACCCTTACTCCGTTTATGACGGCGGGACACGCCGGCGCTTTCCCGCGCTCGAGTCAAGCGGTTTTGTAGGGCGAGGTGGCGGATGCCCGTACGAGTGAAGTTCAGGGTCCACAGGCACAGGACAAAATCGCCGCTCTAGCTGGGTTGATGAATGGATAGGCGAGCAGATCGATAGGAGGAGATGATCACACCCATTCACTATACCTTGTTCGTCACCATTCTTAGGTATGCTGACCACGATTACCCGTACCCGTCAATGATTTTCGCAGATCGCAAAATGGGACGAACAGCGCGAGAACGGCACCTTCCCAGCTTCGCTTGACCCGTAATATCAGACTGCCTTACCAAAGCGCGCACAACAAGCCAAGCTGTAAGAATTAGCATCGCAACAAGTTACGTCGCACCTTACCGGCGATAGTCACGATGGCTTTTGCCCGAGCCAGCGTTGCGGAATTGAATAGCCTTGGTCCTTGGAGCAGCTCAGATGCCGGACCCGCGACATGGTATCATATTTCCCCTGTCCCCAGTTGCTGCAGAGGGCGAACACCCGAAACGTGTTCATCTAATTTGCTCCTCCAATCTAGCTTTATGGTGTATATGCGGGACAGACTTAGGCGCCATCTACCCTGAAACGCTCGCTGTCTTCGATGAACGTCTTCACTTTGAGGTCTTTCTGATCTGGGTATCCGAAGACCAGCTCGGCTTGAACGATCCAGCCGGAGGGCACTGCCCATTCGTGAGGCGGAAGGAAGGGGGAAGAAAAGCACGGTGCAGAGCAACGGAGAGGGGGGCGCTGACTGTCAGCGCATACAAAGTTTACCTGCTTTCCTGGAGAGTGCGGTGGTACTCACCCTTGAGGGCAGCATTGAACATTGGCTTGAACCCTTCGCCGGCCATGGCTAGTGCAGCAAATGGGAGAAAATGGTGGTGTCAGATTTAATTCTCGCCCCACACATCTTCCTCCAAATCGTTGAAGTCTCACGGGCGACTGTTTGATCGTGATATGTGAGCACGAAAACTGGGATGTCAGTCAGATGAAAGGGACAACGGTACGAGATCGACCATGGACGCACCATGCTGCAGGTTCACGCCGTATCCTTCGGCCTCCAGGGCGGTCCAGAGGTTAATTTGAGCCATACCGCTAGCTTGGTTACTCCACTATTAAAAAGGCAAGCAGCACCAGATTTGCAAGTCACCATTCTGCAGAACGTGGGTGGCATAATGAGGGGCAAGCGCATCTTGGGGAACGATCACGTACATCGTCCCAAAGGTGAGAGAATGCGGAAGCACCGCCGCGGTATTCGTCGATGACCTTCTTGTCTTCAAAGAAAATGACTGTTCCCTGCGCCGCAGCGAACCATGGAAGACGCTTCTGGACTGCCTTGAGCTGGTTCTCGCCGAGGTTTTGGGGGACAAACTCGTTCCAGTAGTTCTTGTGCGCTTTGCCCAGCAGGATGATGGCGCGCGAAGACTGGCTATTGAATGCGCTTGGAGAGTACTTGATGGTGTCCTTGATCAGTCTGCATTTCGGTTCGCGAACGGAGACGGCGTCAGTACGATTTACCGCCTAAAGAGGGAGCACACTATGGCCAGCGACAGAGACTGGCGTGATCAGCTCATCTTGGCCAAGGATTTCCTTGTCTGTGTTCTGGTGAATGCTGCGACGCGCCTTGACACCATCAAGGAATGCCTGGCTGGTAGCCATGTCGCTGGTTGTATTTGGAGGTCCAAGGCAAAAGATGGCGAGGAGCAGAAGCAGGAGCGGCAGGAACACAAAAATATCAACAGTCTTGATTATCTTTGTGATGGGATCAGAATACATGCGTCCACTGAATGCCTTTTCTTCATATCGCTTTCCCAGGCTTTCTCATCGGGCTTCGGTCCTTCACCAGAGGCAGGATGGTCAGCCGAGTATGTCAATTATCTCATCAGACAGTCTGTCATCAGAGGTTCACGACTCCGCGCGATAGCTATTACCTGCAATAAGTACACTTGTGGCAAATGATGGCACACGATCCAACCACACAGTGCAAATTGCACCACATCAAAAAGAGACTTCTCGGAGGAGGGAGGCCTTTGAATTGACTTTTGCGGGGTGGCCGTCTGATCGTGCGCTCGGTGCTACCACTTGCACCATGGCGTGGTTGAGGCGTCAAGGAGAGCCGAGATCCGAGATATATATGAATCTGTCTGTACTCTTGTGGTTGGAGTCTGGTGCTTGGGCTTGTTGTGTCCGTCGGCGCTCCCATTAGACCAATGCGTAAAGGTGCAGAGTTACTCAACGAAGGTTGGGAGGGATACTGGTTATATTCAGATAAGTCTGGGGAGCATATGCGTACATATAGGATGCTTAAGTGCTCTTTTCCGTCTTTCACAAATGGCTAATGCGCGTATGTTTCACCAGTGTTACTCTCGACATCGATAGGACAGGACTGGCGCACAGCGCTTATAGCCGCCTCGGCTTTAATTATCTGTCACCCAAGGACGAGCAGGCGAGCATAACGCACAAGGACCTCTGGAATTCGCATCGAGCATACACGTATGTAGAGTGAACGCTCCAGGTGCATCAAACAATCGGCAAAATGTTGCGACCACATCTCGACCTGAGAAAGCAAAGCGCTGTGGATGAAGGGTTGAGAAGGGACGATCGCCAAGGGTTGTGGACTGCGAAGTTCGGTAGCATGAATCTGTTCATGAAAGGAACAGAGATACTTTTCCGTTTCTGCAATAACCCTAACAAAACCCTCGACTTCCTCCAGGCTTCTAACCCTAGTACAGGTTGAATCATCAATGCAATGCAACGCATGTATGCATGGCATTGGCTCGATGTGTCAGCCTCGCGGCTCGCGACCATCACATTCTCCAGCGCGGTTGAACTTGTTGGACCTAGTCCGTGACCTGGCACACAATGAGGTAGCTGCCTATGTGCTCGGCGCTGCTTTTTCCACGCCATTATTTATTGTTGGCCGTAGCTATGGGCAGAGCGGAGTCCGGACAGAGAAGTAGCCGCGCGTGTAAATTTCATTGCGAGGAGCTGCAGCCTCGAGAAAGATGGACAAGATGTCTGCTTCGGCAGCAATTCCGAATACAGCGTCCACGAGCGCGTCAAAAGGGCAGCTCTTTGAGATCCGAGACACGCCAGGAAAAGGCAAGGGAGGCTTCGCACTCGTCGAGTTTGCGCCTGGAGACCTGATCATGAGCGAGCGCCCCTTTTTCACCTACTCTACTGGCCTGTCGAGAGGAGCAATCATCGCAGCGGTCAATAGGTTGCCGACTTCGAAGCGGCGCTTGTACGATTCTTTCAGCAAGAGTATCGGGCTGAGCACGGAAGGCATCGCGCTTACGAACTCGCTCCCCATGCCGGAACAAGGCAAGGTCGGTATGTTCGAAAACATCTGTCGCTTGAATCACGCGTGCCAGCCGAATGCGCAATACTTTTGGAACGATGCAGAGCAACGCGAAGGTGCGCAACGTCGCAGAGGGTCGTTCGCCGGCGTTGCTAATAGCTCCTTTTGACTTGCAGTATGTCACTGTATCCGCCCCATCCCTTCGGGCTCAGAAATCCTAGTCTCATACACGACAACCATCGATAGCCGCAGCAGACGCGCCGAGCTGAAGGAGGAATTCGGATTCGCTTGTCTGTGCGGGCTCTGTGGCATGCCGGCGCAGCAGCTCAGCGCCTCGGACGCGTCGTGGTCAGAATTGTCCGACATTTTCAATAGTGTGGTGGAGGTTGACAGCGACGCGGACAATGAGGTGTCTGACGACGATAACTCGCCGGCACAGACTATGCGGCTAGTGCAACGCGCACTCCAGATTATCGAAGAAGAGCAAGCGCCGCGATCCCTCGTGCCACGACTGTGTTACGCTGCATTCAAGGCCTGCGCTGCCTGCTCAGACGAAAAGAACGCGAGGGTATGGGCTGCACGGGCACAGGAAGGCTATCGGATCACCAAGGGCGAGATGAGTGCCACGAGGAGGATGAGAGAGCTGCACGAAGAGCCCAGGCGCTGGCGAAGATTCGGTACCCGGCAAAAGGAAATCCTTACCAGCTAATAAGAGCGCAATTGTATTTGCAGCACTTGGATGAAGCTCTTGCATGAGAGCCCGAGACTGCAAGTATCCTGGGACAAGTCGGCTACGTCATCGTCCCAAAAGATGTTTTCTGGCCCTATTGCGCGTGGAATCGACACCGACTGATCTAGGTGTGAATTTACATCAAAAGGCGCCCTGATGGCTGATCTCTGATACCGGGTATCCCTCCTCTATTTCGCACAGATATTTTACCTATTGCCTCTTCCTCTGAGATTGACCCGGCTTTTGTGGCTCGATACTTCGCATGCTTTCGCCCGGCCGCGGCGCAACTGTCCAACCCTGCGTTGTCTGAGCGTGTGATTGTATGGTTGGTTACAAAGATGAACGAGAGATACTGTCTCATCCAGCATGCTCTAGGGGACGTGCACGGGCCGCTGCGTCGCTCTAGAAGATCAACCAGCAAACTCTGGCCCAAGAAGTCTTTCGGCGCAAATTTAATTGACGATACAGACGGTCTTCAACTGTTCAGAACACATTCAGTACCCAGCTCCCTCGATCTCTTCAAGTGAAAGTACGACGATACAATTCACCACGATGGCTAGCTTACCTGCTACTTTTCGCTCGCAACCCTCGTCCCAAGGCGGATGGGCTCATCCATGACAGAACTGGAACGGGCCAGAGAGTCTTTGCTACCAAATACTTCTCCACAGAAGGTCTCATCGTCAGGGAGACACCGTTTGTTGACTTTCCAGCAGCCTCGACCCCAGCTTCCATACTCGCTTACGTACGCCACCTTATACCCGCTCAACGACGCCTGTATTTGTCATTCGGAAAGCAAGGTGCAGGTATCGAGGACATTGCGCTGATTAATAGTATCCCTATGGCGGCGGCCTTTGTGGTTGGTCTATTCAACCCTATTTTAGATCAATCACAGCTGCGTTCCCAATGCACTGTTGTACTCTTGGGATTGAGAGCTGGGTCGCGAAGATGCGCTTACATGTGGGATTCCCTAAATGCTAATCTGGCGCTGGCTATCTTCGAAGTCTGTCATTGCATGCGGCCGATCGTAGCGAAGTCAGAAATCTTCGCATCCTACAGCGTTCAATTAAATTCGAGGCCGCAAAGTAGAGCTGTGCGCAAGCCATGGGTTCACCTACTCTTGTGCAGTGTGCAATTTGCTGTCGTCGCAGCTAAATGAATCGGATGCACAATCACATGGACTGAGCCTGATCGTGGGTCCAATTATGAGAATCCTAACGCAGGATCCGCGATACTTGCTTTAACTCGTCCAGAAGGTGCATCCAACTAGTCGAGACGCTCCAGACAGGCGTCTTCCACGGTGCATCCCTGTGCTACGGCGCCTTTCAAGTCAGTGCCGCCTATTGAGACGTGGAAAGTACGAAAGTCTGGGCGGAATGGGTTGAGGAAGAATATACAGCATCTGCAGAGGGTTAAACTGCGCAGATGCAAGAAAAGTGAGATGCTTTGCAACTGATCCGCGTAAAAATCAGACGTTTAGCACACTGCGCAGGCAGACGTTGCGGTCTTGAGGAGCGCGGCCTCGCAATGCGGTATAGAAGATGGCGACAGAGGGCGACGAGCCTCTGTGGTGAGAGCCGGGACGACCCGTGATTCAGTCGTGATATGCAATCATATCCTTTCCATCGCTCCCACCCTTGCTGGGTAAACAATATATTCAACATTGCAATTGAAGTATGCCGCATGAATCGAATTGCATGAATCATACTCTTTTGTAATATATGTTTAATCGTCAAATTGTATTGACGAACCCTTCCACTTCCCCCACTGAGGTTGTTGCTGCTCTTGAGCAGATGAAGCTTGCTGCTGAGCCCCGGCGCCTGTCTTCTGGTCCTGCCCTTTCCGTTGTGAGCTCCGCGTTCTTGTGGCTGAACCTTCACCTGAAGCCGATGCGGGCTGGGCTCCTCGGTTGTTTGCACCGGCGCGGGATGACAGAGAGGTTCCAGCCTGTGTCACCACGAAGCAACAAACAGTCAGTAGAGCGCGCCTCTGAGATTCCAATCCCAACACTCACAAAGCTGACCGTCAGTTGTGCGACATCGAATTGGCGCGCGTGATGCCACTCCTTTAGACTTTGTCTAAAATCATTCAGCAGCTTGGCCAAGGAATTATAGAACTGAAGGGTGCTGTATGTCAGCCTTGGTGAGTTACCGCAGTGACCATTCTACACCTTACATTCAATCCCTCCACGAGGTTGCTGGACAGCTCTTTGTATTTGGCATGCGCAAGGTCGAGATTCTGCAGGGCTTTTTCGCGCCGTTTCGTGCTTGTATCAACGCTTCGAGATGTGTTGAAGTCATTGTTGAGTTGCTGTGAGCCAAAAGGAGCAAGTCAGCTATGATCACGAGCCTTCCGTGTCATTCAAATCCCTACCGTGATCTCCTCCAGCTTCTTCTCCTGGGCTGCTGCGCTGTGATTGATCTCCTTCAAGTATTTGTCGTACTTGCGTATCTCTTGATGGAATAGCGATTCGAAGTGTGATGTCTGCACGACGAGCGAGGTGACTCCGGAAGACGACGTTGCGGTTAGCTTAGCTGCTTCTTTCATCGCCAGAGACCGAATATCATCGGAGCGTCCGAGTGCTTTCGCCTCAGCTACTGCTGCAGCGCGAGAGTCTCGTAAATCGTCCAATTCCTCTAAAGCAGCTCGGAGTGATTGAGCCACTGGATTCTGAGCACTTGAGCTGGCGCTCGACGACGCTTTCGGTATGAAAGCATCAAGGGCAGCCTAGGTCACAGATGTGTTGGTCAATACTTGTTTGCTTTGCATTTCTTTTCCTGACTCACTTCACCACTGGAAAGCACGTCTATCGTGTCGGCCCAGTCGGCAAGCTTTTCTTTGACGATCCCATCACTCTTCTGAGCTTGCTCAAGAGTGTACTGAAATTGTGTAATGTGGCTCCGATACTGCTGTGCCGCCTCTTCACTAGCTGGCCGAGTCCATGGCCTGCCGGCAACGCTCCTTCGCACCTTTTCATCTTCAACAGCCTCCTGGTCCAGAATGGCAACTGAATCCTCCAAGATTCCCACGTCTGCGTTGGCGATTTTTGACACGTCGTTGATAAGGCGTTGCAGCTTGCTGACTCCTCCATCAAGGCGGATCTCTTCTCCTTTTCGAAGCAATGAAGGCGGGATAGGAAGATTCTGGTCCTGCGCTTGGAGGGCGCCAGGTAGACCGAGCGACTGGAGGGAGCTGCTCGCCACTGCGTCGAGGTCTATCTGTCGAGATGTAAGTTCTTCCCGGATCAATGTTTCTTTGCGGTCTTCGTAAATACTGATGGCTACGTGCACCCCATATGGGACGAGAGCTTGGAACAGTGGGACCCCATATGCAGGAGATGGTGAAATGCGAAGAAACGTGAATGGGTCTTCTACCTCTTTCGGTAATACGCTCTTGACCATCAATGCCGGCGCGATCTTCGACAGATTGGCCACGGTTGTCACAGGCTGCAAGTAGATCAGATCGTTATCTTTCGTCGCTCGGGAAAGATTTGCCACTATTGTCCCATGAAGCGACCTCAGATCCGACACGATTGTGTCAGAAACATTGCGTTTCGAGGCGTCGAGTGCCTTCTTGACATCGACTTCTGCTGCTTGAAGACGGCCAAGTTCATCTCCGTATCTATTTAAGCCTCAGACGGGCTTGTCAGTGAATATCTGCAATCAATCGGGAGTTCCGGCGCACCTGTTGCTCTCCATGTCATCTCGGCTTTTCCTATATTGTGCCGCCGCCCTAAAGTGAAGCCTTTTGACAGTCAAATGAGATACCCAGTCCTGAAAGAGACGCAAGGGGAGATGAGCAAGCAATTGGGTGCGCTGTGGAAGCATGCTACTCACCCGAGGAAGATCGCACCTTGCTTGCTCGTCAGTTTTCATTGACATTGACGGGCCTGAGCGCTCCGTTACTGCCAGGGCTGCCTCGTACAGCGCGGAGACCTGCATTGACAACTTAGCAATCGTCGCGTTTTTGAGGCCATCTGCGACGGACAAGAGGACTCAGTGATGGAATTTTTAAGTGGCCGAAGGTGTGTAGACTCACCCATGACGGATTGTTGCCAGAAACATTCTTGTGCCTGAGCGAGCATCAGTTGCTCCAAAGCTTCGAGCATTGCCGGAGTTAGGTCCGGACAGGGCGGGACCAGATGCTCGATTTGAGGGCAAATCTTGGTTCGTATGTGACACAGAAGACCAGCAGCAGTCTGAAAGACTTTGGGATTTTAGCAGGCATGCATCTAGTCTGATTACCGAAACGAAATGTACCTGAAAGTAGCCAATGCATCGTTTGATACTATCTTTGTCACTCCGGGACTCGCTCGCGCCTAGACTCGAATTCAGCGCAGCCAAAGAGAAGAGAAGGTTTGCGCACTCGAAGTTCAAGTCCGGATGAGAGACAATGGTATTACTTGCCGAGGACGAAGATGGGGGCGTACCGTCGTCATCGTTAAATGCCGCTGGGAAGGACGTCCAGAGGGGCATGGACGGCGAAAATGAGAGCGTCCATGAAAAGGCAATGTTGATCTGGAAGGAATTGGTACGGGTGAGCACTTTGTAAGCAAGCCTCATGATGTCCATGAACGCACATTCGTGGGGAACTTCGTCTGGAAGAAACGTAGTTGTGAGTGATATCTACATGCTCGGAAGATGGTGAGCAGCGACGGGATGACGTGAAGCACCGTTTTTTTCCTCACCTCAATGCCAGATCCAGGCAGCTTCTGTGTGTTTCTAGCTTGTAGCATTCATCTCGAAACCTGACAAAAGTTGCAATATCCTCCGCGAATGCATCGGGGTGGGTGTCGGTGTAGTGTTCCGCAATGTGATTCTTGATGGCCTCGACGAGATGGGACGATACTGGGTGCGAATACTTGAGGGGCAGCGCAAGTATGTTTGCAGTCATTGTGTCTTCCTCTGCTGGGACCTGTGCTGAACGCCCGCAATGTCGGCAGCAAGCTCGAGTGGAATGAAGAAATTGATGAAATGCGAATGTGTTGGAAATGACGTCGACTGAACGATGTGGAGTGTGCCAGATGCCAGTCGACGCGCTGATAGATTTGTGCGACTTCATAATTCTACCACTCTATTGTGGCGTTATGCGTACCTGTTGATCTCATACATCATTTCGACGGACTCGCCCTGTGCCTTTGTCTTCCCTCATTCTTCGATGGTTTCAGAATGCTTTCAGCTCGTGCTTGATTGGTTGAACCAGTGTTGTCGGCCATACTCTCGCAAAAATAAAGGTGCAAGGCAAGAGGATCGCGTGAGCGTGCGCACATTCATAACCGCAAGGCGAATGAATTACGTTTGAGGTCCCACGTTGCACATCTATCTATTCTTGCAACGGGATGTGATAAAAATACAGTCTCATTCCATTTATGACGTGCTCCCTGCAATTGCAAGCTATCGCCCTTCACTCTCCCATCTCCCAATCTCAACTGCGCAGATATCTTCAAAGTATCTCTCGCTTCCAGGCCCACTCTTCTCCAGAAAGGGTAGCATCGCCCAAGCCTCTGTCAGGCGTTCCCGCTTGCGTACTTTCAATGCCTCCTTTTCCCTCGGGCTCATCTTGGTTAGTTCTGTGCCCGTCAGACCTTCCGGCGTGCGCTTTGAATTTGATAAAAGAGCTTCGACGAGCATCTCGAGATGAGCTGTGCTCATGACATATTGCGAGGTCAAATTGCTGACGCTTTCACCTGCGGAACGCAAGGCCGCCGACTCGTCAATTGACAATTCGATTGCCAGTCCGTGTGAGTCTCAACTCACAAAGCATGCCCATGGTCCATGTTCCCCACATTGCGGCCTCGAATGCGAACTCGAGGCCTTTTGCGGAGCTTGCGTCCAACAGTAGAGCATGGCATTGAGCTTGGATTGTAGTCATTCGTGAGAGGATGGTATTCTGTTCACCGTATAAGCAAAGTATTCGCTTGTATCTCTTTGACAACGCAGCCATTTCATCGACACACCAGAGATTTCACTGTGTTACGCAGATCGGACAGAGCTCCTTCGCGATCAAAGAGTACTGATGCGAGTTGCTGCTGCTTCGAGAGTTGGGTTTTCCGAAAAGATAGGCCTTCTTCTTCCGGATGAGCAGAGCCTTTCTCAACGGTCCCGAGGGCAGCATCCAAGCGACTGCATATGATAAGCGCATCAGCTGGCACGCTTGAGGGAGGCTCACTCAAGCAAGAAACACATACTCAGTATCCTCGTCGGCTTGAGTATATGCCGCTACGGCTTCAAGGCCTTCGTACGTGACCTGCTCTTCCCAAGCAGATCGCGCCTTCTTGTGGTCCAAGAGCAATGATCTCAGTTGTCGATGAAATGTAGTCTCCTCATGACGACCGAGCAAGCCAGGCTCTTGGGCTGCTTTCGTGTCCTTGCCGACACCACTAACTTTTCTGGATGGTGAGGATCGCGCCAGGGGAGATGAAGGTGCACTACCTGAGCCTGGCTTGAATGAGAATGGCTTGGGTGTTGCTGGAGACGAAGTCATTGCAGACCTATTCGTGCTTTACACACAGTTTGCATGACGATTCGTGCATTCCCTACCGCATCGCCCAGGGGCCGCGCATTGACTTGCGGTCGGAATGCCGAAACTAGCGGTGGAATGGATGGAGCCTCAGGAATTGGACACGAGCCACAGATTCCCATGCGACTTTTGCAAGTTATGCGAGTCTTGCAATGACGCTGTGAATGAGAAGCACTTCGCCCGACTTTATATTGTGGGGGAAGAGAACCTATATAAATATATATATGCACATGGCTGGCTGTACTCGTGGAAGCGATTAGTATTAATTAGGGAACGTGTGAACCGCCCGCGAACCGACCATCCCGACAAGAACTCTAAGTGAAACAGATGCAAAAAAATACGCTTCGCGCAAAGCCATGCCAAGGGGAGCTCTCGGGTGGCGGCAAGAAACTTCTGCGAAAAGCCGAATTACCGCACAGGCACGAAGCAGACACAAAAGAACGTGACACCTTAGACACTGCCTACTTCTCTTTTTCGCAGCAACAGAACGCATGAGTCGCGTGACCAGAACAAGCAAGCCAGACAAAAGAATCCAGCCAGCCCCAGTCCTCTTGCTGTTTGTTGGGTGAGTGGACAAGCAGTGGCTGGCACAAATGTGCTCCACACGCAGGCTATAAAGTTCTGCTTTTCGTCAAAGTATCGCTATGAACTCATATAATTTTTTGAGTGAAATGCTGGATATGGGGCTCCCTTCTTTCCATGCTCGCAGGTGATTTGAATGGATTTGGTGATACTGTTGGTGACTGGTGACAGACTGAGACATGAGAATTGCTTGGTGACGCCTGACATGTTGTCAGGCACTGAAGCTCTGGGTGACTCTCCTCGGTCATTTTACATATGGTAACACCTTGACGCTTTCCATCTTTTCTTTTCGGGGCTCAGTGGAGCGCGTCACACGCAGCAACCAGCGTGACCGTCAATCATGCTGCATTCCGTCGACTACAACTCACCACACCAGCCTGTACGCCGAACGGCCGGTGGACGGGACGTCCGGCTTTTGCGCCGGGTGAAGGAGCTGGCATGGCGAGTGCTGGTAAGCCTTCGTTCGGGTGCAATCGTCATTCGTCGCAGATAAAAGATGGCGTGTCTATGTATGAAGAGCGGTTCCGCTTATTTGCACTCGACGTTCCCCCGCCTGCGGGGACGAGTATTGGTAATCAACTCTCGGAAATTGTTGGTTCGCACAGGTAGCGAGACAAGCGTTTCACGATGTTGCATGGCATTGCGTTTCCAGCAGCGAGCTACACACTGCTGCGCCCAAGAATACGCCCGTGCCGTTTGCGCAAAGGAAGGGGACACGCTCTTGAGACCACCTTGTGCCTGGCGCCTGCAGCCGGACGAAGGCCATGACAAAGAACATGGTGCCTGCCCAATGGTTCGTTCAATGCATTCAGAATATACAATGTCAGTACACCGGGAATTGAGCATCAACATCATGAGAATAAGCGGTCAGACCGCCTCTGACATCCACAAAATCCAGTTTGACTCGCTCTCTGGCTTGTGGCCCTTCCCCGCCCTTGTGCCCCTGACGGATCGTCTCCTCGCGTCGCAGGAGTCTGGCAGCCTCTAGCGAGTCGTTTCCACGCCTGCACAGAAGCCTTATTTGGACCGGCACTGCCGAATGTGCGTGCGAACCAGATGCAACCAAATTGTGGATATCTGCGAGCGCGGCAGAAGGCGCGCGGCGGATCCTATCAATCGGCATGTCTTAAGCAAGAAGAAGCCAAGTAGACACGTGTATGAACCAAATGTCAGATTGAGAAAAACGGGCGAGCGGGCCGAACAAGCACTCACTACAAGTATCACCCAGCTGGACGATACCGTACTCCACGGCGGGCCGTACGTCGATGGTGATTCCTCCAGCCCCCGGTTCGTTCTCTTCGGCTCTTATTGCGACGCGTTTGAGCACGATCGGCTCGAGCCTTTGCCCACCATTCACGTCGCATTGCGCCCTGTCGGCTCCTGGTGCGGCTTTGAGACCGCAGAATGAGACATAGTCTTCACTTTGCAAGTCCTCGATCATTGAAGATACCTCTTGCCCCGGTTCGCTTGCCTCTTCGGCTCCTTCAGCGCCGGCTTTCTTGTGCAGATGGGCTCGCACGAGCAACGGATCACCACAAGCTCTGCATGTGCCTAGTCGCCTGGGCCGCAGCTTGATAGTTCTGAATGGTTGCATAGGCGATGTGATAGGAGAGATGAGGGTCATGACGCCTGCCGGTGCTGCCTTTCGTCCAAGTGGAGTTTCTGTGCATGCCTGTGCTGTCTCCCTTTCCGCGTTCGCAGCATGCTCTAAAGCGTCTTCGCTAAACTCATCCCCAATTCGGGCGATGAGGCGCACTGCTTCCGTTGCTTGCAGCGTGCCAACAAGCCCGGTGATGACGCCGAGCACGCCGCTATCCGCGCAGTCTGTCACATGTTGCGGAGATGGTGCAACAGGGAAGATGCATCGATAGCACGGTCCACGGGGGTGTGTGAGGCGCCGTGAGCGCGTTGACGCGCCTCCTGTCCTTTGCTCTTCTAAGCTTGGTTCTCCTGCTTTGCCCTTATCCGCTAGCTGATGGCTTGGGACCACCTCCTCCCTTGGATCTAGCCACCGGTTCCAGACACCCAGCTGGCCTTCATAACCCTGTGCCGCAGCAGACACCAACATCCTATCCGCAAGCACAGCCGCGTCGTTGAGTAAGTACCTCGTCAGCGGATTGTCTGTGCAATCGAGCACAATATCGTGCCCCTGGACCAGCTGTAGGGCATTAGCGGGAGATAGCGGTTCAACGAGAGGATCCACATTGATGTGAGGGTTGATCTGCAAGGCGGACAGAGAAGCGGAGGACGCTTTGGGTTGCCCAATACGCGCGTCACTGTGCAGAATCTGGCGTGCAAGATTGGACCTCTCGACAACATCGTGGTCAATGATGGTAATATTTCCTATAGCGTCATGGTAAGCGCCACAAATTGCTTCCATCAGCTTGTCTCATTCCCAGCACTCGCCCTCGGAGCTCCCTTGCTCCAGCTCACCAACACCAGCGGCAGCAAGATACTGTATGGCCGGACACCCGAGTCCACCGGCGCCGACGACAAGTACGCGTGCGTTCTTGAGCCGAAGCTGCGCTTGCAGGCCAAAGTCAGGCAAGATCATCTGCCGACCATAGCGAGTGTACTCAGGTAGCGTCAGCGGGTAGCTTGCGCTCGAAGTAGATATGCTTGACGGATCCATGGCGCGACGCTCGTTGCCTTGCGCCAGGACGCGCTTCTTCACGGAGCCTCCTCAAGTTGGAGCGTGCAAGTAACAGTGAAGGAAGCCCCTGAAGCTCGCTTCGTTACGACAAATGTGTACACAGCTCATATTCACAGCAGGCGGCAGCTAGGGAACTTCGCAGGTTACACTTGGCGCATACTGGCAGGCCCTGGGGGATATGTTTAAAAATAAATGAAAATGATACAAATCATTTGTATACTTTAATCCCCGTATAACAGGAAAACCCCTGGATATTATGAGCAGCCCTGGCAGAAAGGCGACATTCTTGGGGGATTCAATATCGCCTGGGCTCTTCCCCATGCAATGCTGCCGACCGTGCTGCAGCTGCACGGTTACCAATTCAATACGGAGTCCAGCCACCTGCTGTGCAGCGTGTCTGTGACGCCGAGCCTCGCGTGCCGGCCAGCTAGTGCCGACAGTGCTGGGGCACACGCATCATGTGCGGATCATCAGATGACCCCCCGACCTGAAAAAAAACGCGAGGAACAAGGTCAGGGCGCCCTCTATGCTCTCCTGGCTCTCGCCCCGCATTCGTCTAAAATGCCTCACTCTTCTGCACCCTTGGCCTCGTCCTTGCACTTCGTCGAGTCTTGACCCTGTCACATCAGTCGCCGCTCGCCAAAAGCATGTCGTGAAAAGTCTTTGGTGGTTGAAAGTGTACTTGTACTTGTGGGACGCACGGCGGGCATTTCGCATGTGTTAGTAAGGACTGTGGATGGCGCTACACGGTACCACGGCATCACCGGCAGGACCAGCGCACAGGCCCACATGTCACGCAGCGGAGAGCCACTCTTCTCTTCGGGCAGTTCTTTCGTGCGAGTGATATTGTGTGTGTCTGGCATGGCCCGAAACACTGCTGACCCCAGTGAGGTACACTGTCATCTCATCCTCCTCATCACCCCGCACTTTCGCCTTCATCGCCTCATCAGCGTCATTGTCTATCCGAATTCGGGTGCTTCGTCTCCATCATCACGCCTTCTTCTTCCCAGACACGTCAGCTCAGTCCGACGGCCCTTGCCAGCGTGCCGTGTGCTGTCCGAGCCCTGTTCCTGAACTCAGCCGACCAGGCCGATGATCTTTCCTACTGCAACTCCCCCATATCATCTCTTGATTCATTTGAGACGTCGTCTCGGAATGACGAGTCGCTCTTGCACTTCTGCTGGCCGCCTCTTCGTTCTGGCCGTCGTCGCTGTCCTCTCCCTTTCGGTATCTGCTTCGTTTACCAGCCCCAGTCGACTTTCACCCTCGCCCAACAAAGATTTACACGCACTGCTTGCACGACAGGCCACCAATGCGACGAGCACTTCTGTGACAAGGACATCGTCAGCTTCGGCGTCACCTGCAAGCGCATCTTCCCCCGCTGCTAGCTCAAATAGCAGCAGCGGAACGGGTGGCCCTAGCTGCAGCATGACGGCTCCCTCTGACGATCCAAATCAAAGCACCTCTTGGTCCAGCGCGTTCGTCTCCACCTGCTGCGTGCAAGGCAAGGGCGCGATATGCTACACGCGCACCTCCACTTCCAGTTCCAGCTGCGCCATCCCGTCATGTTCCGACTTGGCGTCAGGCAACAGCACGCAGATGAACGGCTTTGTCCCCCTCGCGCCCGCCGCCACCGCCGACAATCCGGATCCGATGGGTAACGGCGCCGCGGGCAGCGGCAGAAACCTGACGTACTCGAATTATGCACCGGACGGCGCTGGCGGCAATGCTGAACGGAGGTCGCACGAAGTGGCACACACCAAATTTGTCGCCCTCGGTGCCGCTCTTTTCATGATCGTTGGGACATGCTTGCTCTGAGATGTGTCAGCACTACATGTGGCGCACTGTCTCGTCTCAGTCTGGTGCTGGCACTGCTTGTCTGGCTCCAAGAAAATGTTCTTTGCAATACCTGCATTTTCATTGTCGTACACCCGCACCCTCATCCAGCACGGCCTTTGCAAGCACCGGTTTTTACTCCTTCAGCATTTAGCCAGTCTTCAGTCCTTCCGACTTTCCCTCCCGGATCACAAGGGTCACACCGTCCCACCCATCAGCACCCTACTTGAATTATTTCCCTGTCCCTCGTCTTCTCTAGCATTCGCACGACACGACCTCGTCAAGGAGATCTCGTCGCATTCGAAACGGCCTACAACTCGTGCTTCCTCAGGAACAGCATAGGAAGCACCTGTACGTTTGTAACATATTCGCTTCGCTTTGGGTCACACGTGCAATGGGAATGTCGCTTGCATAGACACTTCGCCCCTTTCACATTGGTGCTGTGAAGCGCGACGACGGCGCGTAGACGGATACACAACGCCCCCACTGGGGCGCACCGCTTTGTTGGCCAAATACCCACCACTTCTGCAGTGTTACGATACATGCGTTCATATTGTAATGTGCAAAGAGGCGCTATTCCGAGAAAGTCTGGGACGTGATGTATGATACCTTTGATGCAGACTAAAGCGTACGCCTTCCGCGCGTGTCGAACCGCAGCAGGACAAGCGCGATGGGGAAGGGCAGCGCGACGCATCAGCCGATGTACAGGACGCCGTCGATGCTGCGCGCATACAGCCACTTGCCCGAGATGGGTGCGCGGATGCTCACGAGCCTGCACGCGGCGCCGCACACCCTGCTGGGTAAGCCTAGGGCACAAAGGAGTACAAGATGGCGTTGAGCACCCTCTAGAAGAATTCCATCGCATGCGGACCGACGGAGCCGGTGCCCGCCGTGACGAACGCGCAAGCAAGATGACCGTCAGCACCGAGGACAGAACCTTGACCCATTGGGGGCCCAGCCGCAGGACCCGCTCATGCATGCCACTAGCGGGCACGCGGCGATCTCAGGACGTTGATGGCCACAGCGTGAGCAAGCCGAGGCGGTTCTGGTGAGAGTGCAATCGTCGAGCGGCGTCAGCCACGTCTTCGCAAGGGATCCATGCCGCGCCGCCCCCGCTTCAAGAGTTAAGAGATAGAAACAATCACTGTGGGCGGAAACTTGAGCGTGATGATGGTATCGATGGGGATGTTGCCGCCAACGAAAGCGACGAGGGTGCAGAGGCCTGCATATGTGGTGGGAGCCCCGGAGGCAAAGCGGAGCGGACGTTGCTGGAGACGAGGCAGTCCAAGTCGAAGCTTCACATGCGGCCGAGGATGTTGAGGAGGAAGCCTCAGGTGAAGGCGCCGACCGTGAGGCCGACAGACAAGGCTTTGGAGCAAGCGCCGCCGCGGCGGCGGCCGCGATCATCCTTCTTGAGCGGCTCGCCGGGCGACGAACGCGTCTTGGCGGCTGCCGGTGCGGGTGTCGAGGCGCTCCATCATGACAGCGGGCGTGGCGGAAAGGAGCGGTGGCGGTGGGAGGCGGCCGTTGACGAAGCCCATGTCGCCCGCGTCGGATCCGCTGTCGGGCGCCGGTGGCAGTGGGGATTGCTCTGGTTCTGAGGGGTGTGGGTGCGCCGCCGCGACTCTGGCATAGGGACTTGCGATATGAGTGGGAGAGAGATGTACGCGCTCTCCATTAATTTAGATGCGTCCCTGTCGACTCCTTCCTCAGCGCGATACCAATATAACTCACTCTCAATTACATTACATGACGAGCAACCATTCTCCGAGAAGTGTGCCAGCACCCCTCCCATCTGTCTCTGCCTGGCTATATATGGCACCGGGCCGGGTCATGCTCCCCAGTCCCCTCCTTGGATGCATGTACAATGCAGCATGGTTGCTCTGCTTCGTGAGATGAAGGATGGATTAACACTCACAATCCCGCGATCTCCCACCTTGCCTATGAGCTCTTCTTCCTTCGTTCGGGCGGATCGGATGCTAATACATGGTAAATACCCACTGGTACTGGACCCGACCCGACCCTACCCAGCCCAGCCCAGTCTCAGTCGCTACATGTACAGCTAGGACGGCACTGCCCTCCTCTCACCCGCCGATCATATCATCATTCACCGGTTCAATCCGCAGTGATTCATTACGTGCAGCTCTGTGCAGCACCCATGTTCATCGACCAAGACACCCCCGAGGTGGAGGATTACAATTACGTTGCACATATGGAAGACCAACCAAATGCATGGCAACCTAGGTGACACGTGCTCAACCAATGCCCAGTGATCGTGACATCGAGTATAGAAGAAGGCGAAGGGAGACTGCGAATGGCGTAGGTGGTGGTGAGATACGGAGGCGACGCAAAGGAGAGCGAGGTGGGACAAGGACGGGGTACGCTGCTAGTCTGGGCGGGGGAGCACGGAGGGCGAGAGAAGTTGCCGTCTGAAGTACCGGCAACAGGCGCGGCGGCGCTGCATGCACTCGACTCCTCAGCGTGTATAGCCCGAGACGAGATACAGCGGCGAGTCATTCTGAGAGCTGGGATTGTCCAGCAGCCACGAGGAGTACTTTCCGTCCTGTGAGGGCGACGCGAAGCCTTTGGCATTCTGCCCAAAGTGCGGGTCGCTGGATCCCTTGGGGACGACTGGCTGCACAAACGGCGCAGAGTGGTCATTGTAGGGGTATGGGTTGCTGCCCATGTTCGACAGGCCGCGTTTCTTCTTGGTAGAGCTCGACGATGCACCCGTCCCAACGGCAAAGTACTGCGGCCCAATCGAATACTGCTGGTCGTCAAACACGCACGGAGCTGCGAACAGCGGCGACGTGCCCCCGTAGTAGCCATAGTACAACGCCGTCAGGCACTGCTGCGGCCCAACGCTCGGTAGGCGGATCTGTCCATAGCTGTATCCGTTGCCGTTCTCGTAACGCATCGACTGCGATGTGCACTTCCAGAACTCCGCCGGGATGCGGTGGCTCGGGCCTGACGTCGTCAGCACCTCGTGGTTGGCCCCGTCATAGTGCTTGTTGAACGTCAGGTATGGCTGCGCTGGCGGCTGCCCAAGCGCACTGTACACGTCCGCGTCCAGGCGACCCAGGTACATTGTCGTCGCCGTCATCTTGGTGCACGTAATCTGCGGTTGCGATGGCGCCAGGGCGCCACACTTGCCCGAGACGCAGTGCCCGCTCATGCAGCCGCTGTCCTGCACGCGTGCGAATCAAGTAGACCAAGCGAGGCAGACAGTCGGAATCGTGGTCTGGTTAGCCTTGCGACCTCGGCGTTTACGATATCCTCGCCTTCGAGTGCGTCACTCACCGCGTAGCAGACATTGCCATTGGCCTTCTTGGCGTCGCACGTGCCCGTCGGGCTGCCCGCCGCGCGCTGCGCGGGCGTCTGCCGGCAGTAGTTGCTGCTGCATTCGCTGTCGTACCGGCACACCTGACCATTACCCATCGTCAGCGGAGTCACCGCCCGGCTCTGCTTGCCCAACGGTGTCGCGAGCACCGACAGCGACAGCGTTAAAAGCGATGCAAGTGTGGCAAGCTTGACCGTCATCTTGAGGGAGATTGCTTCTTCTGGGAGAGAGGTTGGCCAAGGGAAGCGGCTTCTGGAGACCGAATGCGGTTGTGAAGAGAAGGGAAGCAATAGGGGCCAGTCTGTTCCACAGTGGTCTTCTTTATATACCTCATCATCCTTGCTGCTGCGTGGCGGGTCCTAGCAAGTCCTATTAGGAAAGTCCTAGCTACATGCAGGAGCTCCGCCCCAGCGAACATCCTAGCCTTGGTGCAGGGTTGCCAGTGACACCAGCATTGAACCTCTCATCCAGATGCATTCAATGTCTTCCCCTGCTTCACACCTTTCCCTCGCATCGTTCCGCTTGAATGAAGATGTCTCGATGGCTTGCAGCTTGGGAGCGAAAAGCGATCGAGTGACCTGTGGTGAGCGCGCAAACCTTACCATCCCTCTTCGAAGGCCGCAAAGCCCGCATACGCAAGACGACGGGACAGCGGCTCATTGCTCACGGGACAGGTCAGTTGACAGGTAGAATGTGCGCAGTGGGTGGTTTGTAACTCGTAAAACGGATGTTTACTTTAACATTTCGCGCCTCGCATGTGCGGGAAGCCTGTGGAGCCGCCTACTTAGCGACCCGCACCAGCCCGCACCCCGCAGAAAGCCAAAGCAAAAATGCAGAGATCAGTCTTCCATACATGAGCGATCGACAGTTCGACGGTTTCTACAGTCAGCTCAGCAAGTGTTCCGTCCGCTATAGCAGCGCAAATCTTCAAGATATCTGCCACTGCAGGTAGCAAGAGAGGGCCCGTCGGACCAGGTCGGAGCTCGAGCCCTCAGCTGCCAGGCGGTGCCAAGGGATGATGGCTGGAATCACAAACATGGTGGTGGCTTGATGGATGGATTCGTTGGTGTTCGCCTTTTCTGGGACCTGTGCAGCTCTCGTGGTGCCCATGCATTGTTGATTGGTATTGGGTGTTCCACGCGGCACGGACTTGCACAGTCCACATTGGAAGCGTGAGCGTTGAGCTTGAAAGTTGAGCGGTGCGTAGAAGCCAGCATGGCCCGATCGGAGTTCAAGACAGGCATTTGAGAAGATTCGAGGCGATGGAAGTGTGTGGAGATGCAGCTGTGGAGGAGGGTGAGGGAGGGGACTGCGATATCACAGTGATCTGGTTCACCGCTCAGGTTACGACAAAATCTCAGCCATCTCAACCTCAGCGCTGAGGATCTCATCAGTGCCTTAGCCATCGGTCCTGTCAGTAAAGTGTACCTCTTGGAGCCTGCACAGCGCCGAGCGCCACCTTTCTGACAGAATGTGCGTGCAGTCAGCAATGGCGGGACACAGCAATTGGACAGTCAAGCCACCATGCTACAAGAGGACCGACCGTACGGGCAGGAAGGGGCCGTTCGGCAGATCCAGACCTATGCACACTGCACTGGTGCGCAGGCTGTGGTCCAGGCGGGTGCTGTCCCTTTGAAACTGAAACAGTGGCGTTTAAATTGCAACAACAGTGGGCTTTTTCTACACGCTTCGCTCCCTTCATACTTGGGGCGAAAGGGGTGTCACGTGATGCTTCATTGATGTTGCCTTTCAAAGTCAGATTACTGACTGTCCAGTCACGGCGCGCTGCCAATAACGGCAACTCTCGTTAGAATAACAGCTTTAACAGCCGTCCTCTACTTCCACCCTTCGCCATCTCCGCCAGGATCAAGCAGCGAGCTGGAATTTGGAAACGATTGAAGAGATGAAAATAAGTAGAAAGACCAATGTAGTGAGAAAGAGAGCTGGAAAAATCAAGTTCAGTTCCGTTTTGGCACATTCCTGTGCATACACACTCTGTTACACGAATTGCTCCAGGTAAGCATTTACAGGGCCACTGGGTGACGACATTGACTTCAACTGCGTGCCCTGCATGTCTCCATACATGCACGCTCACGTACTTGCCTACGATTCTCTCCAATGCTCATCCGAAAAGTCTTCGCAGGCGTTAGGCGTTATTACGTCAGGCTGCAGGCATACAAAGTAACATTGTGAGCCGGGGTGACTCAACGGTATAAGCCAGCAGGCGTCCCAACGGAGGTCATCGCAGCCAGCTCGGCTCGTGGGACTTGACCAAAGCAGAGGATGCCAGCTCGTTTTCCTTGTGCCTTACTGATTGGCTCGTCCTGATCTGAAGACATCGGTATGGATATACGTTAAAGTTGCTTTGCATCTTGCTGCCTGCATCTTAATGAACTGTTTACATGACACCAAAGATGACGCGAGTCAAATACTCCATCGGATCGTCCCGTGCAAGTCGATCTTTTTAAAATACAGTGAGCTGAGAATGAATGGAGAGCCGCACATATGTATAGGAATGTAAGAGTCATGAGCCGACACCGTGCAAGCAATTGGAGCCCCACAAGCAGAACACGAACACTTTCACTTGCGGGCAAGGGATGAGGAGACCGAAATGCATCGGGTCTTGCAAGAGGAAGGAGATGTTGCGAGTCTTCGTACCAGTGGAACCACATAGCCCCGCCCACGCCCTCTGCTTTCGGCCAGCGTGACCGCCTTTGATATTGCTGCTTGCGTCTCGCATTTAATGTCAAATTTGCCCTTTAATCTGTGGGGAAGAGTGGAGAACGAATGTCAATTATACCGAACTGAATTGACCACGAATGCTGGGACAGGCACGCACATCAACCTTCCGATGTTGCGCAGCTGCTGCTGTCAAAGCCGGAAGCGCAGCCTTGGCATCCCATTTGCGCTGATTAAGTGGAATGCGCGCCGCAGCAGCAGCTTTCTTGCCTTTTGTGAATCCGCCTTGCGCCTTGGTTGAACTGGCTGCGGCGATGGCAGCTTCAACCTCGGCTGGTGTGGGTTCGACGAGCAGGTCTGCGGAGAGAGCCTTAAGAAAGTTGAGTGCTTCTTGGGAATCTGTAAAGGCAAGCTCAGAGGTAATGAAGGATAAGGGACAATGGGGACGGAGGCTGGATGGCGAAACAGAAGGAGCCGAAGGCTTTTAGCGTCCGCATTTCGAGCGTGGGTAAGGCAAAGCAAGGCAGCCAAAAACGGCTGTACGTACCAGGTAGCCATGACGAGCAAGGCTCGGACCCGTTCCCGTTCGATAAAGTGGTCCATGATGTAAGAATTCATGTTTGGCGCATCGATGTAAAGCGCAAAGAACTTGTGGTGGTTGCCCGTGACGAGTGCGCTCCTAACGCTCAGCGCATGTTTGACCGCAACGTCTTGCTTGTGCTTTTCTTCCAACTCCGTCATGAGCGAGTTGACTTCTCGTCTGTTGCGCGTATGCAGGAGGTAGAGGATGCGATAAGCTAGAAACTCCATCAAGCAGCCGGGAAGTTTGTACGCGTAGAGAAGCCGGAGCTGCGATTGACACTGATTGTACTCTCCCAGATCACCCTTCTCTAGCGCGATGCGGGCGTGGATTTCATATACCTTGACCGTGAATGGGTTCTTAATTCGCTGCACCTGAAATAGCAGTACGTAGGTTGTTTGCGTCAGCCCACCTATCCAGCTGTCGAGCGCATACGCTTTAAAATTAGAAGACTCGACTCACTGTGAGATCTTGTCGCATGCTCTTGAACTGATCGCAGATGTATGCGTAATTCTGCTCCCTTCGCCATTTCTTCTTGAGCAGCTCGAGAGTTTGTTCCAGCACAGGAAGTGGCCGTACAGTTTTTGGATCGGGTGCTGAAGTAAGTCTCAGATACGGCTTCTCTAGCTTGGTCGAGGTCCCCACAACTGTATGCTCGTCCCAGTCGATCACATTCGGATCGGCAACGTCTGGATCACTAAAGGTTGGCATCCCTGCCCCCATGGAAATCCCTGCAGGTGCACGCTTGTTGTTTGCCAGTGGCACGGGCGGCGGGGCAGGTGAGCCTCGAATCCCCGGAGTTAGACAGATCCTATTGCCAAGCAGAGGGGGCCCAAGTAGTGGAGGTGGCATCGGCGCCGCGCCTGCTGACCAAACCCACGGCTGTGGTGGGCCAACAGGTGACGGTGGTACATGCTGACCTAGTAAAGCCGAAGGGCCGGCCAAAGACGACGCATATGGTTGGGCATGCCCAATGGCAACACGTGCAGTTGCCCTCAGTGCCATTTCCTCTTCTCTCTGTCGTTGCAATTCATCATTCTCAAAACGTCTCGCTCGCTTTTCCCTTCGACTCTGCTCCTCCAAGCTCAGTCCGTTGCTCGACGAGGCTGCTGGCGACGCCGCAGCTGAGCGCTTCTTGACCTGCGTTAGCTTTTTCTTTTTCAGGCTAAGCCAAGTAGGATGATTGTATGTATCGGTCATCAAGCTCGCTGGGTATGGTCAAGCAAGATATGCGCATACTCACCTGGAAAGCTCTACACGGCCCCAGTCGGTGGTGTGGATTGTCCCTTCTTGAAAGGATTTAAAGATCAGCGCTTTCAGCTCCTCACTGACAACCGCCCGGTTCGAGTCTGTACATGCTGCAAATGTTCGATTGGCAAAGTCTCTGCGGGGGGTACGCAGGGCGCGTTTCACTTGAAGTCAGCACAACATATTGCATCCAAGGATGAGGCTGTTGGTTCAGAGCGTGATCTCACTTGAGACTTTGCGGCCATTCAGAGCGGCTGCCCATGGTGATTGTGTGCCTACCGATCTGGTACACCTGGAGGCTTTGTTCTGCGTCCTAACTATGGATGCTGGGTGCTGCTCCTTGGCGATCTACTCGTGACGAAAGAAAGATCGGAACATCGCCGTGTACATCACTTCGTAATGCATCCGTCCATGAATAAGATGGCAAGAGGGTCAAAGCCAGCAAGCAGAGCTATGATGCTACGCACATACCCGAGGCTGGCTTTGCTATGCGCTGTCGCTTACTCGCTCCACCGACGGCGGAACCGGGAACCAAAGACGAAGAGGCAAAGTCAGCGTTGAACGGACAAAAGCCAACCCGAGACTTGACCGTACGAATACACACCTCTGCATCTCCACCATCCGAAAGCTTTGCAGCACGACACACGAGGAGAGGATCGCCAGGGCAATCATCCCAGTCACAGGCACAGGCTGCGCTTCCCCCACTGCATTGCAGAGGAGCGCGGAACAAAACGTCGACGCGATGAGTGCATCGTCATCGGCGCGGAAGTTCAAGGTCATTGTGCCATGTACCTCCTCAAACATCGGGCCCGGCTTTGACGTCGTTGGCCTATCCCTGTCACTCTACCTGACCCTGTCGGTCACCGTAGATCCATCAGCATCGAACCGAGCGCCAACATTGGCATACACAGGGGAAGGCGCCGCGGAAGCACCTCTAGATCCATATAAGAACCTCACCACGCGGACGGCACTATACGTCCTCCGGTGCAACGGCGTGGGTAGCTTCCCACATGGTGTCTCGATACAGGTCCACAATGAAGTGCCTTTTGGACGAGGATTGGGAAGCTCCGGTGCGGCTGTCATCGCTGGAATTCTGCTCGGTGACGCGCTAGGGAAGTTGGAGCTCCCCAAGGAGAGACTGCTCGACCACGCGCTCATGATCGAGCGCCATCCGGACAACGTCACCGCGGCTCTGATTGGCGGATTCGTTGGATCGTACCTGCTCGAGTTGTCGCCAGAAGAAACAGAGGCAAAGGACGTGCCGCTTTCCGAAGTTCTGCCCGAGTACCCACCGGACGCCGGGGAAGAATGGGGCAAAGACCCACCCACACCGCCGCATGGCATCGGGCACTTCATCCGCTTCGGCTGGGCAAAAGAGATCAAGGTCATCGCCATCATTCCGCAATTCGAAGTCAGCACTGCTAAAGCAAGAAGCGCACTGCCGAAGCAGTACTCGCTCAAGGACCTCGTGTTCAACCTGCAACGCTTGGCAGTGCTCACAACGGCGCTGGCACGCTCGCCACCGGACGAATACCTCATCTTCCAGGCCATGCAAGACCGCGTCCACCAGCCGTACCGCAAGCACCTCATCCCGGGCCTTCCACGCATCCTTGCATCCGTCACGCCGCAGTCACACCCCGGCCTTCTCGGCATCTGTCTCTCAGGAGCAGGCCCTACCATCCTGGCGCTGTCGCTCAACAACCAAGAAGCTATCGCTGAGACCATTTGCGACGAGTTCAAGAAGGAGAACATCGATTGCAAAGTGCGCTTCCTAGAAGTGTCCACCGAGGGTGCGCAGGTTGTGGAAGAGTAAACATGGGCACCGCAGCTCGACTCTGCAAGAAAAGAACAGCGAATCGCTGATGAAAGGGCAAATGTGTGGGGGCAAAGGGCTTGCAGCACCAAATGTGTTCTACTCCGCTGCAGGAAGAAAGGATTCCTGGTGAATGGGTATGAGTGTATGCATGCGTATTACAATTAATGTGATTATAACTTGGGCGTGCAATAAAAAGCCGGCCGTGGCCATTCCAAAGCATACTCATTTACCTCTCACTTGACCCCACGAACGGTGATGACACCTCTATGATGATCCACGTCGTACTTCCACCCTTCTCTGTCGAGCATCTTGATCACGGCAGGTTTGATAACCGCGATATTCCGCGGCGAGTGCCGTCCCACGCCCGTGATGACGTGCAGCGGACCGAGGTATGCCAAGCCTGAGCTGACATGCGAAGGGCGCGAGTACCACTCGTTAACGCATTCCTTGGTCACGCTGAGCGCTTCATGCACCGTCAAGTCGTGCAGATCGATCGTGTTGTCCCTTGCACGCCCCGCCGCGAATCCTCCATCTGCATCTGCTGCTGATCGATGGCGGCCAGACTCCACACCGAGGCGGTGGGCGCGCCGCTCCTCTACAAGCGCCTGAGCTGCGCGCATGCTCCATGCGCGCGCTTTCGCATCAAGGCGCCGCGCTTCGTCTGCATAGTACCACGCCACACCGCTCCGCGCCTGCGCGCCGATGCCGGATCGCCACGCAGCAGCGGCGCTCCGCAGTGCCTCTGCGCGGCGCGCGCGATACTCGTTGGCCATGAGCCGGGAATCACTGTACGCTAAGCCAGTGCCCGCATTCGAGCTCTTGCCAGCCCTCGAGGACGCCAGACGCCATTCGGCTTCCTCCTCCGCTGCGGTGCACACGCGCGCGGCGGAGGCGGGTAGGACGACGGCATCGCTGGCAAGTTTCGCAGCAGCCTGCGCGGCAGCTCGCTGTCGCACCGAAAGCGGCCGACTCGCGGCGCCTGCGTAGCCTGATCCTGATCCTCCGCTCCATGCAGCGTGTCCACCTGCACCGCTCTCGCCTGGCTTGAGGTAATATTGCTCGCCGCGCGAGAAGCGCCCTTCGCTCGACGCAGCGACAGCCGTGTAACCAGTGACGCCAGAGGAGGCATCACTTCTGATAGTGAGCCTGCCAAGCGGGTCCATCACGTCCAGCAGCGAAGAAGAGTTGTCCAGCATTGCACTCTGGACGACAGCCTGCAGCTGGATCAGATCGATCGCCGCGTCCTGCCTACCTTTGGTCGCGCAGAATGCTTTGGAAGCATGTGCGAACGACGTCCCCGTCAAGGTCGCGATGCCCTCTGCGATTGAGATGGAATGATTCGCCGCCTCGACCGGGGCTCCCTTGGAGGGAGGGGCAGCATCCAGGCTCGCGAGGCCGAGCGGCGCGTTCTGCTCAGCGGTGGCGTGCACGAGGCGATTGAAAGCGTGTACAAGGTTGAAATCTGCGCTGTTGTACGCTGCCGTGACCTTGGACATGTCCATGTTGAGCAAGGTTGACAGCTGCGCAAGGACAGAAGATGCAAGGAGCCACCGGTTGTCGTTCACTGCCTTGTCATCGTCTGGATCGCGTGTGCGTTCGCGCTCGATCTGCGCCAGCCTTCGCGCATACTCTTCGTCCGTCTCGCCGAAGAGCGCCTCGTCACCTCTCTCTCCTTCAGCAACGCCTCCATTGATTGCAAATTTTGATTGACGTCCATTGACCAGCGGGGAGGATGTGCTGTTACTTGACACTTTTTTGAAGCGCTGGTCTTTGACTGCCCCGCCGTGGCGCACGTCAGTAAGGTTGATCTTGACTTGCTGTGCGCGTCTAGATGCTGCGTGTTGCCCACCGGCATGACCACCACCATGATTCTTAACAGAGACATTTGTCATGGCAGGTGTCGCGCCAATGCCACGTCCAAGTGCCGGCAGCCCCGCTTTGAGCCTTCTCTGGTCTTCCTGCAGTCTCTTTCGAGCCGCTTTGCTCTTTTTGCCTTTGAGTGATGCCTTCTCGTCTCCAAACTGGAGGACATCGTCTTTCAGCCCGCCATCCTGCACGTCTTCCGCCCTCGTGGAGCCAGTCAGGTCACTGAGGTCGCCAATGGACGAGGACAAAATACTGCTCCCCGTCCCTGCCGCCACATTTAGATGCAATTCGGATCTGCTGAGTATAGTGGCAGAGGATGCGAATTCAGCCTCCTCGGCTTCTGCCAGGTCGATGGTTATAAGCGTGTCAAGTGCAAGAGAGATGTTGCCATCGCAATCGCCGAAGAGGATCCCGGTGAGGAACTCTGGCGTTCGTGCTGGGAATGCATGTTGAAGGAATGTCAGCGGCGCCACGTCTTCATCCAAGCCAGAGACCACCAAATCGGACGGGTCTGCCTTGGCTGGCTTTCCAACATCTTCTTCCTCATCGGTCAGGTTCAAAAGCTCATTGTCGAGATGCGAATGGGCGTCGCGACCTTGCGCTGAACGCCCTTGCGACTGCTGGCGGGCCCATTCGTCTAGCACCTGCTTGACACAAAGTTCGGATGCACTCGATTCCTCGGATGCCAAGTGCAATGAAACAGTCTCTTTTGGTGTATTTGACGCGTCCTTGACTTCCCGCGGCGGTTGTGCAGCGACCTTAAGCTTGTCCGACAAGGCCGCCTTGCCTCTTCTTTGGCGATGGTGGCCTTTTGCGCAGGTATTCGGTGAATCGGGCGTGAGGTGATGCTCAGTGGGCGTAATATTAGCTGCACTCGAATCTGATGAATAACCTTGTCTATCTGGCGCTGGAAGTGATGAGTGCAAGTATGATTGTGGCTGCCGTCTGGCCTCCTCGGCCAGTGTGTTTAGGACCTCGGTTGCAGATTGCAGTGTTTGATCCGAATCACTGCATATAGCCGCGGCCAGAGCTTCGTAGAGTGGCGGGCAGAATTTCGACTGAGTTTTGGGTAATACAGTCGGAGTCGTGTCAAAGCCAGGAAATAGTGGAACTGTCTCGCCGTGAGAAGGCATGCATGCTGCAGGACTCACTCTTAGCTGATCGTAGAGGTCAGTCATGTGGATTTTCGCATCTCCGACGAGAGGCTCTGATTGAGAGCGACCCGCCGCGACCTAAGCGATAGAACAGCCAGTCGCCCTCGACAGGACGTACAGGTGTCCTTCGTTAAAGATGTCTGCACGCAGGCGAAGCTATCGAAATCCGCGATAGGCGTCACTCATACGGGTGGGGGAGGTACAGTCATTTTTGTGTCGAATTTTGTCGAAGCAGTGGCTAGCTGTGCATGCTGGATATGGCCTTGAAGACGGTAACTAGGACCCTCTGAACACTCTACCTTGACCCTTACGGAGGAGGTTATCTGACGTTCGAAGGGTGAGCCGCATCGCTCACAGTTGCGCAACCCTAAAGCCCACACCAAATGTTATGATGGGCCACCCAAGAGTCGAGATGAGTGAAGAACCCCCCAAAGGCATCATATCTTTGTTGCGACCATCGGCGCTCACAGTGAATCAATCGTCAGAGGTGCAGAATCACTCTACAAAGGCAGGGATGATGACTCGGTTCATAGAGGTGCATATACCACAGGCGAACACGAATGATCAGAGGTGGGAGCTGTTGGATATGCCAATGGCGGAGCCCATGCCGCGGCAGGACTGAATGTCGTACCCCGGGTCTCGAGAATGCTTTCCAAAAGCAATTCGCCAAAAGAAAGTGCGGTTAGAATGCGTTTGAGCAAACTCGGCCGTTCCCCATTCGGTGGAGTAAATTACATGCAATGCTCTTCCATTTGTTCCCATTCCATTCCCTTGCTTGGGTCGGCCGGCACAGCTTTCATCACTACGCCGGATTGCGGCGAATCAGGGTCCAATGGCCAAAGTTTTTCTTCTATCAATATCAAGGAGTCTACATGACATGGTGCTACCGAAGCAGGGAATGTAGATGTTGTCTACGAGATGTTACCAGTCAAGGCTATAGGAAAGAGAGCCAAGCAGCGAGGGTGAGGGTGATGACTGGTGGAAATGCTAGCTCGATGCTACTCAGAAGGATGTGGCGAAAACATGCATGGTTGTCGTCACCCAACGACATGAATGCATGGTCACGCGATCCTTTCCATCATTGATAACAGCTTTACCCACAATATAGGTTTGCGTGGTGCGCTGCACTTGGTGCAGGCGCGGGGGGTTAGGGGGATCCGCAGTTGGCCAACATCACAACGTCCTGTCGAAAGTCGGCAGAGACTTTGGGAAGCAGCACTAGCTTTCCAAGTAAAGAGACGGAATTTGCATTCTGCACTGATGGAGGAGCTGTGCTTTCAGAAACTGTAACATAAAGGCAAGGCGCGATGATCCATCCGTGGGGCGAAATGCATTAATTAGGTGGGGCACAATTTGCTGCTTCAGCTCAAGGATGCGCCTGAATCCAACTGGATGGCTCTATGAAAGTAGATCAGTACAACCTATGGGCCCCTGCCATGGCTTCGATGAGCTTCCACGTCCCAAAGTAGTGACAATGTCGAGCCTTGGAACCTTGTAGAAAGCTGGAACCTGACAGACGTGCGGCTTTGGGATCAATGAAGAAGACGAATAGTCAATAAGACTCGCATCGGTGCCACTCCGAGAAAGTCCTTGCCAAGCCGTCCAAATCGCGTGTGTTACACAATAGGAGCAGGCGAGGAAGGGCTATCGTAGAGTGCAAAGGCCAAATAGGCAATATGAACCTTGTACAAGGTGAAGGCAGGGAAGTTGGAAGTGAAGCAGTGAAGCCGTAAGTGCAAGGTTGCTGGGGCGCGTACTCTGTGAGGAGGCGCCACAGGTTCGAGCGGAACGGGGCTGTAGCCTTTTCCAAGTGCCACCAGAGGCGCACCACACAAACCTATATTGTGGGCAAATCAACAACCTCACTCCCTCCGTCTCGCCTCTGCTTGATACCCCCCGACGAGATCGACATAAGGATTGGGTGACCATTACACATAGCTCATACGTGTCACTTTCGCATTTCTAACGGCTGCAGAAAGGAGCAAGCCCTTGGCTGGGAAAGACGGGACGGACGCTCACGCCAACCTACACGCCCCATCGGACGACAGACAGGCCTACCACACTACAAAGCATCGCTGCCTCGCGTGATCCCTTTGCCGCCATGACGACTCCTTCATCAACGGAGTTTGGGCATCCCCTGCGCAAGTTCAAGGTGCGTATGTGAAACTATTTGGTAGTTGTGCGGCTTGGACACGGTGGAGGAACTAACTCTTATCCGCTTACTCTTGACCGTCGTGCTTGCAGCTCGTCTTTCTCGGTGAGCAGAGTGTCGGCAAAACGTCGTTGATCACTCGGTACGTTTCGATGCTTCTTTTGCTCCCTTCCTTGGGCGCCTCGCACTTACTGAAAAAGTAACGGATCATATGTGTGGGCTATTGTGCTCTCAGATTCATGTACGACACATTCGACAACACATATCAAGCGACAATCGGCATCGACTTTTTAAGTAAGACCATGTACCTCGAGGACCGGACCGTCCGGCTCCAATTGTGGGACACGGCAGGTCAGGTGAGCGCACTCTCATGCAGGGGCATCCCGGGCGCAGCAGTGTTCGGTTCGTACTGACCAGTCTTTCGTGCTGCCTCGCAGGAACGCTTCCGGTCGTTAATCCCATCGTACATCCGCGACTCGTCCGTAGCGGTGGTAGTGTACGACATCTCGAACCGCGCCTCGTTCCAGAACACGTCCAAGTGGATCGACGACGTGCGCGCCGAGCGCAGCAACGACGTCATCATCGTTCTTGTCGGCAACAAGACCGACTTGTCCGACAAGCGCGAAGTCACCACCGAGGAGGCGGAGAAGAAAGCAGCCGAGTTCAACATCATGTTCATCGAGACCTCAGCCAAAGCCGGCCACAACGTCAAGCCGCTGTTCAAGAAGATCGCGCAGAGCTTACCGGGTATGGACAAGGATGGCCAGCAGGCAGAGCAGGAAGGGCAGAACAAGAGTAAGTGGGGGTAGCAGCAATCGCAATATTGCGAGCATACCGAGGCGCTGACGACCTTCTGGCCTAACCTCCGATCCTTGTCCATGCCCTCCCTTGTTTTGCCCCAGTGATCGACGTGTCTGCAACAACGCAAAATGCAGCAGCAGAAGAGGGCGGCTGCAAGTGTTGATGTTGCTGCATCTCCACAGTTGCCCGTTCTACAGAGGCGCAGTTCTCGGATCGCTAGAGGGGAAGGGAGGCGTGTTTTTCTGTGCTGTAATACCATATTCTTCCTTGTTTGTTTTGCAACGAATCGCAAGCCAGGCCCGAACCTTCCCAGCATTCCCAGGCGCATACATCCCTTCCCAACGCACCGCATCGCATCTCTCCCCTGTGCCCTCTGGCCGTGCTGTGATCTCAATTGCGTTGATTTGCTCTGCTACTATGATACAGCTGATAGGGAAGATGCAAATGCAGCATATGTAAATGGCTCTACTACGGTCTCTAAGGATGCACGAGAGTTGCTTGGAATGTGGTGACGCGGGGTGGAGCAGCATGCAATAAACAGTAGGCTCGCAGCCAAGATAAAGATCAATGCGAATGACTGCCGATCAAGATCTGTAGCGTCTTGGGTATCACGGCACCCAGCAGAAGAACGACGATGCGCAAGCGCTTGGGCACCCAGTCGCGTTCGTCTCTTTCGTCGCCTTCATTGTCGCCGATGTTGTTCGCGTCGCCATCTTCATCGTCTCCCAGCGCGAGAGCCCGCGTGCTGGCGTACTCATGCTCGCCGTGCGAGCCACTGCGATCCACATGTGGCATGGCTGCATCCCGCTGCCGCAGCCGCCGCGGCCGCAGTCCTTCACGACGCGCGTGCCGATGCGTGGGAGGAGCAGAAGAGGATGAAGCACCGCCTTCGCCCGCATCCGGCCCGGGAAAATCGGTGACATCTTCGAGCGCGTGCATGACCACGTACAGAAATGTGCCTCCCGAGAAAGTGAGCGCTGCGCCAATGTAGATACCCGAGACTGCGCTGCTGGTGGTGCCGGCAATGCTCTGCACCCCTTCCATCATGGCTGCCGCCGGATCGCTACCAGCGACCACTATTTGTGTGACGCGGAAGAACAGCGAGAGGATGAGGTAGGCTTCGGGATAAGTGTGTGAGCGTTCACCGAAGAGTCAGCAAGAAGCCACGCGATGCAGTGCTTTCGTCGCACTCACTGAGAACGGCTCCAAAAGGCGTGCACAGGCTGAAGATGGCAACTGCCTTGCGTATGTCCGTCCTGTGCAGGCGCCGCGCGAGCAGCACGCTGCACAGCCCGAAGCTCGCGGGCGCCTTGTGGATCATGAGTGCCGCGAACACGATCCACGTCAGGCTCGCATCGGCGGACGCGACGGATGCGCCCATCGCAATGCCGTCGGCGACGGCATGAATCATCAGCCCCACGATCGATGCCAGCGCCGCTTTCAACCCCTCAGATGAGTCCGAAGGGCGCAGCAGCGACGGGATGCGCCGCGAGTGCCCCAAAAGCGCCGAGGACGGCACAGCGCGCAACGTTCGCCCATGTGCATGCACATGCGGCTGTGAGGTGGATTGGGGCAGCTGCCGCTGGCCATGGCCATGGCCATGGTCAAGGATATGATCTGCCGAGTATCCTCCACTTTCGAGGTCTTTCCAAACATGACGCTCGCCGTCGCGAAGGGAAGGAGCGTCGTGATATGCAGCAGAAGTAGCGTCTCTCCCCGTTTCGTTCCCTTGCACCTCTTCATCTGCTTCTAATGAGCCGCACTCCCCGCTGCTGATGCTTCCGCCCGCCTCGGAGTGGCGAAGCGTTGCAAACGAGTGCACATGTTTCCGACCAGCAGGAACAGCTGTGACGGAGGCGGGGTCGATAAGCTCCGCGTCGCCGTTCCTTTCACCACTGTGCGATGCGTCGTTGTAGATCGAATACTGCCTGTGCATCCGGACGCTGCCTTTGGGCGTGCCAGATCGGTGGATATATGTTGCACTTCCTGACGAAGAATTTGCACATCCACCTGCACCCGCTTCTTCAGCGGGCTCATCACCCAAGGCGAGCGCCTCGTACTGCCACCGTGTCGATTGCCGCCCGCAGGGCGGGCTCGGGTCGCTGGCTTTCGACGAACATTGTTCGAGGCTTCCGGTGAGCAGTGAGAGGAAATTTCAAACGTCCGCGTGGCACAGTGTCAGATAAAGATGGTATATGGACTGTGCATCCACTCACAGGAACATGAGAAAAAAGCCTGCGAGAAGGCAAAACCCGATGATGCTCTCTCCCCCACTGAGCGCATCCAGGAACCTCTTCCCGATCGGCACGTCCGCCGCATTCGAAGGAGCATGGCGCCGATGGTGACGACCCCATGACACGGAGTGTCCCAATCCGGTATCAAGAGTCCGATGTAGCTGCTCCTGTTCTTCCTGCATCTGTATTTCAGCGCGAAGTACTGCGCCGACCCCCTCGGGTATGACGAGCGTCAAGCAACTACCGAGCAGCAGGCCAGCGCCTAGAAGCTCAACGTAGCGGAGGCTCTTGCGCGAGAGCGGCAGGATGAGGGGCATTTGGCCAAAAATGAAGGTGCCAATGGCAAGGGACGAGACGAGCAGGATCAGCTGGATGAAAGACTGCATCTTGAGTTCCCTTGGGCTTGTTGTGTCACGCCGAGCCACACCTTGCCGTGCTGCGCCTCAGTGACCGATTACCTTCACGACAAAGCGAGTAGAATGGGACAGTGCATCGTGGTCCTGCATTCAACGCACTTCGAGGCGAGTTCGGCCGAACTCCAATTCAGCGCTTGGGCGCTCCCTTTGTTAGTTTCCGGAGCTGCCAGGGCAGAAGGGTTGGCGAATCAGACCGTGTCGCTTTCTCAAGCACCCCTGGCTCCCAAACACACAAGCCGCCAAGGTTCGCGTCGAGGATAGATCAGGGCAACTTGAAGGTGTGCATGGATACGGGCAGGCCGCTGGCGGCGTCTCGCTTTGGACTTATCCAAAGGTTGTTTGGAACGAGATGCCAGAGATGGTGTGAAGGAACAGGTCACGTGACCATGGATTCAGCACTGTTGAGGCATGGCCTCTTCAGCCCATCCACCAGCGTCCTCGCCCCTCTTATCACTCATCATCGGCTATGCTGTATGTGCACACCCGTATGCTCCTCAGCCTTTAAAGGATTTAACCAATATCCTTGCCTTTGTAGTATGCTTCTGCACCTCTGCGGATGGGCCCTCTGGTAGACCACTGTCGCAACAAGGCAACAGCCAGTGAGAGACGAGGCGAGCGCAGACTACAGTTAGCCTTGTAATGCAAATAGGCGCAGTGCCATCCTTCCCAGCCAACACCCCCCCCCAAAATGGTCCGAGTAGGGTTGCACCCCCCTTCCCAAAATATAAAGAATCTGCTGATTGTGTGATCGAGACACTTCCAGCCGTCGTCTGTGGTTGTGCACATGCAACAAGGTCGTTGTGCGGATCGATGGGCGTAGCATACGCAAGCAAGGACAGGAGCAAAGAGGCTAGCTAAGCAGAGGAGACGCTGGACAGCCGGAGAATCATGGAGGGTACTGCAGATCTCACTTTTAATCAGCTGCTGCAGCGATGCTTTGCGCTCGCGGCCGGCGATACCGGCGCCGGCAGCTTCGTTGCAGCATCAGCAGCAGGAATGAGGAGCAGCACAGCCCAGGACCCAGCGCTGCCGCTTGTCTCGCTGCTCGAGCTGGCCGCCCGGCGCGCTGCACAGCTTGCGCTGGTCAACCCGGCCGAAGAGACACTGCGCGAGGTGTCGACCGGCGCGCTGCGCTCACTCCTGATCCATAGCCTGCGAGGCGAGGCTGAGGCCAACGTCCGCACCGCCTTTGACGCTAGGGCCGAGCGGCGGCGCAGGCTGGCGAACAGCAAGGTGAGTGCATGGGGATAGGCTGTGGCTTGCCCCGGGCGTGGCAAGCGTCATTGCTGATGTAACGTGTTTATTTTTGGTCGCTGCGATGCACTCAACAGGCGCACTACAACGTCTTCCTTCACTCTCTTCAAGCGCTCAAGATCATCCCGCCCATCACAGACTCGCTGCTCAAGGCGCATGCGCAGCTCTACGCGTCAGACGACGGCGAAGACGGCGGAGAAGCATCGTCAGCATCACGCACCGCGCTCCCTCCGAACGCAGCGCTCGCCGCTTCTGCGCGGCGGCGTGAGCTCAAGATTGCGCTGTTCAAAACCGAGCGCAGCCTCAAGTCCTCCCTCGAGCTGTTCCGCAGCGCCTTTTCTACAAGCAACAGGCTGTGGAGCGGCTCAGCGGCGCTGTCGTCACCTGAAGATGTGTTTTATGACGCCATGTTCCCACGGCGGCCGCGCAGGAAGGGCGGCGAAGGCGGAGAGGAAACGAACAGCGACGGGGACCAAGAGGAAGCGGACAGCGATGATGATGATGAGGACAAGGACGATGAAGAAGAAGATCGAAGCGCAGACGGCCAAGTGGTAGCAGGAGCAAGCAGCGACTCAAACACCGGCGTACCACGTACCGTTCGCGCATATATCCTGCTCTTGCTCAACCTTCACGCAGTGAAAGCGTCGCAGCAGCTCGAGTCGGCACAGCAAGAGCTCCAGCTGCTCGCATCCATGCCAGAAGCAGCAGCCGTATCAGAAAACGGATCTGGGCTGTCAGGGGCCGACCTCCGTCAGCGCGCACGCCACGCCGGCAACCCCGACTGGAGGCTCGATCGCGGTCCCGGAGGCAGCGGCGCGCTGTCCGGGCCGTTGCTCGACGACAAGGGTAAGCCGCTGCGCCCCTTTGTCATTACCGATGGTACCGATAACACCGGCAGCGGCGCTGCAGAAGCTGCTGTGCCAGCGGAGATGAGCGCACGAGAGCGCGCGCACGCCGAGGTCTTCCGGCCCTCGCACCGGCTGCCGACCATGTCGATCGACGACTACCTCGCCGAGGAGCGGCGGCGCGGCAATATCATCGAGGGTGGCGGCGCGGCGGCCGCGGCGCAGCCGACGCCGCGCGAGGCGCGCGCTCTGCGTGCAGAGGGACACGGCCCGGGCGGTGCCACCACCAGCACGACTCAGGCCGAGGAGGCGGACGAGGAGCGCCGAAGGGAGCAGATCGAATGGGACGAGTTCAAGGAGGCCAATCCAAAAGGCGCAGGTAACACGATGAATAGGGGCTAAAGACTGTGTACTGCGGCGTCTATGGGACTAAGCGTTAGAAGACGACGTGCGGCTGTGAGCATGAGGGTGCCAACGTGCGGATGAGTGAAGGAGTGAATGAATGAATGAATGAATGAATGTGGCAGCTTCGCTTCGAAGCAGATGTCCAAATGTTCGTGCTTGTCGGACTGGCCCGGTTGAGGAGGCCAGGGGTATCGATGATGAACGCAATCGCGGAAGTACAGGGGCTCGAATGGAGACGAAAGAAACAGTTTGTTAAGAGCGTGCGAAAGCCTGCTTCGCCGCGTCGGATATTGGAAGATCACGGCCTACGAAGGGAGCAGGAAAGGGGTTCTGTCAGTGGACTTCAGCGGAAATGCGTCAGCAGTGGTTCCCTCACCTGTGTTTTAAGAGGAAAATTCTGCAGGCTACTCGCCGACCACACTCTGGCGGTGAGGGTCGATATAGAAGCGGAAAACCTGCATGGTCGGCGACATGTACTCGCTGTATTGCCTGTGCAGCGCTCGCTTCGCCAATTTCCGTTGTGGTTTCTCGCTACTCGCACTGATGCTGTTGTGGCTGTTAGGCAGGCGTATGATCATCGCAGGTTCGTATTCTGCCGGAGACGAAGGAGCACTGTTCGTCGACGCCGAATTCGACAGCGCTTCTATGCTCTCGTTCGGGTGTAAGTACAGCGGCGAAGAAGGTGCGTCGATCTCGACCGTCCGTGGTGACGGCGGTGGTGATGAACTTCGGCCCAGCAACCGGGGGCGAAGGCCGGGATCGGATGACGGTGATCTCGTCCGGCCTTGGAGGGAACGTCGCGACGATGATGATGAAGGCGACTGCAGCGTATTTCTGCTCGAGCTGGAAGGACCTCGTTCCAGTACCTCTCGTGTTGCAAAGAACGACCAGGCGTCGATGTCTGCCTCATTGGAGATCAGACTGCGCCCGCGCGGGTTCGACTCGGATTTCGACAAGGATGGCCCGGGATGGTGGTGGACAATGCCCGAGGCGCTTGTCGCCAAACCAGAGGCAAGGCTGGGGCGCCAGAGCATGCGCGGAAGCTCAGACATATCCTCATCGGACCCTGTAGTGTCATCGAGGAACAGCCCCAACCCGGAGCTTATCTTAGCACCAGCCCGGAAGCGCCTCTTGGTCGAGCTGGACGTGGACGTGCGACAAGGCGTACCCGGCGAAGAGTGGCGCGCGTGTGCGGCATCGTACTGCGCCGTACCATGCGCCACTCTGTGAGACATGCGCTGCGGCAGGTGATAGCCCAGGCCTCGGACATTGCTGGGCGCCTTCCTGCTGCCGTTCGCCCCTTGCTGCTCTGGATGCAGCGTGACAGCTTCGAAGCGCATTCCATCGGACCCGCTCGCCATAGACATCACTTCCTCATGGTCGTCGTTGCTCGCTGCCATCGATGATGGCGACGGGTTGATCTCCATGCCGAAGAATTCGTGCAACGCAGAGGCCGCATCGTATGGCACAGTGGAAGAAACCCATGAACGAGTAGGGATCCTCGGTGCGAGTGAGTTTGGTCGACTTGCAACCGAGTATGCGCTTCCTGTCGATGCTGTGGACACGGGCCGGAAGAGATGATCATGTTGCATTGAGGTGCGAGCGTCCTGATGACCATGAGAGGAATTGCGCAGTGTGTGTCGCTTGTCAGTCTGATCGACGTCCAATAAAAATCTTACTTGTCCTTTTGTCTTGGTAATCGATCTGGCGAGCTGAGCTTTCGCTTCTGGCGGACCGTTCAGCAGCAATTGCTGACGCACACTGTGCAGCATTGCATTCTCCGCACTGGACTCGGTGCCGCGCCGCGGGCGCGTCTTGATGGGCACAATAGGTCTGCTCTCCTGCGTCGGCAGCGTCCCAGCGCGCCTTCTGCGGGGAGATGGCCTGCTAGGCACCACGAGCAGCTGTGCAATCAGACGAAGGGCTTCCTCGATCGCATCGAGGCCATCCATGTCTGCAATAGCATCGATTGTGCGCCGGTAGCGCTCGCGTGAGGGCGCTGGCATTATTCGAGCACGAGTTGGCGTCACGGTCATGGCTTGCGCATGGGTCTTGATCATGTGCATGCTTGGAATGCGGCTGGGTTTCGAATTGATGCCTTCTTCATGAGTCGCAGGTTCCGGGCGGGACTGGGGCGTGATACTAGAGTGTCCCACCGGCTTTTCGGAGAAGTCAGATACATCTTCCTGTACGCTTTCGGTGGTGTCCAAGAAGTTCATAGTAGTGGCGCCGGCTGTCATTGAATGTTCTGAGCTACTCGGGCTGATCGCGGCCAGAATATCACAGCTGCCTAGTCTCTGAGGGATAGATTGCCCAGCTGCTGCAGATTGCCAATCGGCAATCGTTTCTGCCATGTAGTGAAGCAAGTCAGAACTTGCGTGTTGGTATAGCTCTCAGTTTTACTGCACAACTCACCATTCAACGTATTGATGAGCTTTGCCGCCGGCTGCCTTGAGTCCGAAGCCGCATTTGTATCGAGGCTAACGCCGAGACCTTGCACAGGCGTCGGCAGAGAGACAGACTGGAAAGAAGAGCTGCCAACGAGAGTCTCCTCGCTTGAGTCCCTCCTGACGAAGGGGGGGCGTGTCGGCTTCGGGTCACATGTTAGCCCGGCAGGAGCAAGCATGTCTTGATCAAATGGCCGAGCAGCAGAATCGATGTCCGAGTTGACACGTGGGACTTGTGAAGAGGCTGCCCAGGAGGTTTGAGTATCGTGCTTTGGCGCGGAAGAGTGCCAGTCCCCATGTTGTCTGTTTGGGCTCGCGAGGATCTCCATGCTTTCACGATCTAGGGCAGGAGAGGGTGCCGAGATGAGCGGAGAGTCGACATTGCGCCAGGCAGTCGGAGAGTATAGGTATACTGCGGCTGAGAGGGGTGAAGCGCTTGCTTGGTGAATTTGACCATTCGTGGCGCCGCGCGACGTCGAGCTGATTTGTCTGGGGTGGGCAGCGGATTGCAAGGACACAGACACCTGCTGCGCACCGCCAGGAGGTCTTTCCGAAGGATACGATCCTTCAGCCGAGCCTGTAGCGTTCGGGCCTCCAGCGTTCGCTTGTGTGGCGTGATTGGCAGAACCCTCGTAGAGGTCGACCTTGAAGTCCGCAAAGCGAGGTGTGTTCGGAAGGCTGACGGAAGTCGGCAAGTCTCCATAATCCTTGGTTCTGTATCGAAATAAGCCTCCCGTCTTGACGCTACCGCTGCCAGGCAGACGGGACCAGAGGGAAGCTCCCTGTGCCTGCGCCACAGGTGTCTCGTAGGGTGAAACGAGTCGTTGCACATGTCCATCGATTATCACACTCGGGGCGCTCTGTACCTTGCGAGATTTCGGTCCGGAGCGATTGCCGCTCCACCAGCGTTTCAGCCTACCACCTGTTGTCGAGCCGCCTTTTCGATTGCGTCGAGAGTTTGGCCAGTTCAACGACCCGTCAGCGGAAGAACGGTCAGAGACGAACGACGTGGAGCCACCGAGCTTTGTGGCATCGTCATCGGAGCCATCGTGATACCGAGAGCGAGCCTGCCGGTCCAGGCTATCGATGCTAGCTTGGAGTTCTGTTGCTTTGCGCTCGAGGTTACGGACGCCATGGCGATAGACGCATATGCCGACGACAGACATAGCAAGTATCAGGACAATGATTCCGAAGACAGACATGCCTAGATACGCAGCGAAATGAGGCGGCGGGGGCTGCCAAGCAGAGGGCAGGTATGCACTGCTGCTTGCGTCAGAGTCTGCATTAGAGCCCGAAAACGAGGCCTCAGCGGAAGGGCTGCCAGCACTGAGCGATGGATGTGCAGCCGCCACCGCCGCAGTCGAGAAAGCAACTGCCGCTGGTGATGTGTAGACGAAGCCGTATGGGTCCGTCAGAGTGAGCGCGCTTGTGTATGCGATCCGCGGCTGGATACCGGTTGTGCCCGCAAGTACGAAGGAACCGGCATTGATGATGCGTTTGCTACCTGCGGGGTCAGGACCGTACTCAACCTTGTTGCTCCCCTTATCGGTGCTATAGGGTCTTGTGTGGGCTGGACTCCTACTACCGCCACCATTTCTGGCTCCATTACCCTTGGTATCACCATTGACGTCTGCTACATCTCGTGGGGCTTGCCGATGTTGTTGGGCCCTCCCTCTTGGTGTAGACGGCATGCGGGAATAGCGCCGGGCAGGGCGGCCGGCAGCTCGAGTAGGAAGCGCTGGGTCATAAGCGAGTACCCCGAATGGTGCCAGGTCCCGCTGGTCCATCTTGACCGTGCGTCCGCTCAAGTATATGCTGATAGCACCTCCTGCGCCGCGTGGAGGGTCAGCAAAGCATGCGTGAATGAGTACGATGATACGGCGACGACCGTGAGCTTGCTGCCAGCGCTTGCTTCTTGACAAGGCGATGAAGCACACAGACTCTAGTGGATGGTGTTGATGGTTAGAAGTACAGAATTGAATGCATTCACACAAGCCATCACACCTACATCCAGAGCTCAAAGGGCGACGAGGACTCGGTCAAACGGCGAGAAACACGAGGATTGAACAAACCCTTTCCGAGTCCGTGCTCATCGGTCATTCAGATGTCCGAGTGAGGTTGTGAAGACTGCACAGCCAAACGGATGTTCATGTAGAGGATCGTGGCAAGAGGCTTCCGGCGTTTCAGGCACATTTGCAGCACACCTATGAGTCTCTTGCTGTCATTGTTTCAAGCGTCGGATGCTCGGAGCGGCACTAGCAAGTTAGCCGTTGGCTAAGGCACATCGAAAGGTCATCCATGTGAGGACTTCAGAGAGCGAGGCTGCGAAGAGTCTGCTCGTAGAGAACGCAGGATACGAATATGAATTACCGGAGCGAGGAGGGCGAGGGGCGAAGAGGCTTGCGAAGTCCGGGTGTTGACGCATTGTTGGTGTCGTCATCGATAGGCGCGCTCTATCAATATTCAGTAGACCGATCTCGAGATACCAAGGGGGAGTGTGCCTGGATTGCCTAGTCCATTGATATGATGCTGAATGCATCGATGCAGACAACTCACGTTCTTCCGCGGAGAGAGAGTGTCTGTGTGTCTCGCAACTTGTTGAAGCTTGGAACGAGTAAAATGGGGAAGATGGATGCGATCCTAGCCGTTGATGGGTTAATGGTGTTGACGCTGTCCGTTGTGCTGGGCGGGCGCGACCATGTAGGCCAATGCAGATCACGTGACATTCCAAGTTCCTCGATTCCTCTCTCTTTCTAGTCTTCACTTTCAAGAGCAAGTCACCTTTCGCCAGTCTTCCGACCTTTTAGAAAGTCTGAGGGCATCAAGCAAGAATCCGCCTCGAACAGGTAGACGCTGTTAGCCGAAACTATTTACCATGACAGCAGCGGCCTCCTCGTCCTCCGCAGTGACCCGGCATGTCCGCTCGCGCCTGCTGCGCGGCACCCTCTTTTCGAGGCCCGGGCCTGCTGGCCAACCAGCAGGCTCATACGTTCTTCCCTGCCGCAAGATCGTCCTCGAATACTGCCCGCGCGGGGCCAGCAGCGTTGGTACGAGAGACTTTCTCACCACACCTACGCACAAGGCGCCAAGAGTCGCGGCGGCGGCTATTGCGGCCCAGTCGCGGATCGTGCAACTCGCACAAGAGTTTCCCAGCGTAGAGGTCGTCATCAAGGAGGCGCCGCATAAGCACCCGCTCGCACGAGGTTTCTACAGTGAGCAAAGAACTAAAGCATACCTGAATCTGTCTTGAGTAATTCTCTGATTCGTTCTTTTGGGCGAACGTTTGTCAACTTGGTCGACAGTGAATGGCCGCACGAAGGAAATCTCTCTCCGGAACCTACCTCGCAACTCTGTTTCGAAAACGCTGGAGTTGCTGCTCAACTCCTCAGGCAAGAAAATTGTCAGCCTCAAACGCAAGCCGGTGGAGAGCATCACGGAGTCAGCAAGAGGGATATGGAGCGCACTACACGCCCCACCGAAGCAACTGTGATCCGCGCACACATGCTGCGTGCACACCCTGCTCCCCCGCTCCTGCATGCTGGGCACCCATCCTCCTACGACGGCCGTTTGCCTTCTTTTTGTGCCACAGAGCATGCGCCAACTGTATTTGTACCACTCAACCAGCATGCAGGCTTTCACTGGCCTATTGTGTGAAGACTAAGCGAAAGTTACGGGTGTCTCGCATACAACGAGCAAAAGTTAAATGCGTTTCTCCTCGTACCTATCGTACACTGCTAATCGAAGCCGACCGCATATAGGTGTTGCGCTATTTATACACGCTCATTCATCCATCCCCCTTCTTCTCATGCTCCGAGCCCCGTCCTCGGCCGCTGCAGCCGGTGAGCGGGAGCGTTTCCTGAACTCCCTCTCCCGGTCGTCTCTTCGGTAATCGTCGGCGCGCCGGTCCCTGTACCCGTCGCGCTCGTCATACCGCCGGCGCTCTTGGTCCCGATCTCGATCTCGCGGATCGCTGCGCATCGACCGGTCCCAATCTCGCTCCCGGTCGTCGTAGCGATCGCGCGGCCCCGTCGGAGCGCCAGACAACCCTATGCCGCCAGCGAGGGGGGGGCGACCGTTCGGGACGTAAGAGCCCACACTATTCTGGTTCAGGTGATACCCATTTCCTGCACCGGGACCGCCTGCAGCGTTCGGAAGAGACGTGCCGATGCCGGCTGCGATGGCTGCTGCGGGGCCAGTGCCATCTGCGCGCTTTTGCTCGAACTCGGTTATCATCTGGCGCAGTTTAAGATAGCCCAAGTGCATCTAAGGTGGGAGTAGATGGCATGCATGCCGGGGTCAGCTCTGCGGCGGTTCAGCGTCCTAGCTCGAATGTGATTGTGAACGCACCTTGCCTCCAAAGTGATCTGCAAGCCGTCTGTCAGAGTCCAGGATGGAAAGATATGCACCACAGACATCGCAGACTCTGAGCTTCTGATGCCCACTTGCGCCAGCGCTCTCATTAAGCTGCTGCAATTCCCTCTCCTTCTGGGCCTTCTCCTCCTTGAGTGCCTCCGCCTTTGCCAGCTCTTGCAGCGAAGCCTCGACCTCGCCTTCTTCACCCAGACGCTCGACCTCTGCCATAGCAGCTTGTACTGCGCTCTCCACCTCGCCGATTTCACGCATCAGATTCGAGAACTTGGCCGTCTCCTCAGGCGTCTGATCCAAGCGTCGTTTGTTGGCGGCGATTTTGCGATCGATGTCCGCCATGAAGGAGATGACGTTCTGCTCATGTTCGAGCTCGAAGGTCGGGTAGCGCTCTTTCTTAGCCAGCGCTGCATTGTACTCGTCTTTCAGGCGCGGATTATGCGACTTTGGACATGGGCCCAGGTCGACTTTCTGCAGATGCAGAGCACACATGATGGCGGGCATTAAGATTAAAGAGGATATGAGAGGAGCATGCGGTCAAGGATTGGGCGCTCACTGTATTTGAGAATAAGTCATGCGGGCAGACTCCGCACAGAAAGTTCTTGCACACCTTGACGTCTGTAAAGTGCAAGTTCTCCGTCGCTGTGCCCATGGCTGATAGAGTGAGAAGACAATGAGGAATGGTCAGCACTACACATGCGTCGAATGCCGCGCAGCTGAAGTACGGGCACACACCCTCCGGTCCCATGAGCTTCTCAAGCATGATACGCTGGATTTCGGCTTTCCTCCCCATCTTGGCGAATCTGAATCTAGAAGAGTTCCACTTATGTTGTTTCGTTGTTGAACGCACAAAAGCCTCAAAGTCTTCGTGCGCGATGAGCCGGTTGCAGTCGTGCAAGCGCTCAGGCGCAGTTCGACTTGGGCTCTGTCAATTTCGACCAACACTTGTTGCTTGCTATTCTGCTGCTCTGGACTGCTCTGGATGCCTGTTCAATGCTCGACTGCATCCCGGGCAGGTCATGCAGTGATGGAAAGCGCTCACATCAATCTGAGCTTGTGAAGAAATGCTCTCGGATCATCCATTAATCGCATGCCAGTTGCCTGTTGGAAGCATTTCTGGTGTGAGGAACGCATATTCCCCGGAGCTCGGAAGAGCCAGGCCGGAACCCAGGGTAATTTTGGTAGAACTGCGCAAAAATGGAAACAAACCTGAACATTTGGGAATTACCCGATCTAGGTGACGTTTGCTGGTAATTCTCGAGAGTCGGCGGAAGTCTCTCGTAGGCACTTCGTCAGAGGGTAGATGGCGCAACGAGGGAATCTCCGCAGAAGCCAGAATAGGGCAGTGAAGTCTAGTCTGTCATAGCAGAGGGACAAGAGGGAGAGAGATGCAGTCCGACGTCAATTGCTCCCTTTAAGCGTTACTATGCTTGGCACCTTCGACAGCCTTTGTGTCTCCTCCGTCAAGCTCAGGATAGAGGTGCGAAAGAAAGGTCAGACGAGGGCCCCTCCTGGCCCATCCGACCTGTTCGGCGAGAGGGACCCGGGTTGGCGACGTCAGGTTACGCGGTGAGGCCAGGCAAGGGCACGTCGAACCTCTTCAGGTCTTGGGTCTTCTAGCCATCATCGTAGCGCTGATCAACGCAGAGATGGCACCTCAAACTGCCGTCACTATTACGCGTGAGCATTTATTTCGCTCGTAGCAATCGCAGGAGATGTGGTGAGAAGGAGAGCTGACGGTTTACTCTCGCACCATGTTCTGCAGGGCTCGAGCCCGCCGTCTTTCTGCGAGGACAGTCTGCTTCTGGTGAAGGTGCGTTGAATTTTGGCGCCTATTTATTTGTCGGCCCCGTATACCTACGGTGGAGAGAGAGCGCACTCAGGTTCGAGATCTGCTCCAAGCTGAGGCGGCCAGGGCTGACCCATGATTATGGCTTCGCCTTGTATTCGCCTCGCCCTCAGATGGACGAGGCCGACGCCGTCACGTCAACCTGGACGCTCCACCCTCTCAACTGCGAGCGCTTCTGTCTTTGACATTGCTAAAGCCCTCAAAGATCAAAGACATTTCCATTAGCTTGACTGGAATCGCTCGCACGGATTGGCCTGAGGGAATCGGTCCCAATCGACTCGAATTGAGCGAAGAGTCCGTCATCATCAAACAGGTGGTCTCACTTTTCAATGCCAAGAGGGAGCGACATATGGAAAACAGGCTCGAGGCTGGCGGCAACGGCCGAAGGAGATGCACAAGTGAGGGCGAGTTGAATCACGGTGGTGAAGCCTCCCAAGACGAGTACCGTTCTGATGGTGCAAGCGAACACCGTCCATCGTCCTCTAACGAGCCGGACCGGCACTTCCCTGGCTCCAACTTTAGGCGCGAGCAGACCTCCTTGACCCCAAATGGATCCAGCTTCAAAGACAGCCTAGCATCTGCGATGGTGCTGATCCCTCCTTCGCTTCGCGGTGTTGACATGGGTGCCGTGAACCGTGCACGGCAACGCGAGAGGGAGAGAGGTAATGAATTGCATCAAGGGAAGCAATTGCAATTGTCCAATTTTCGCACTTTCTCTGAAGCGCCAGAACAACTCTCCCTTGGTCAGAACGGCGTCGGAAGGCTCGGAACGGCCAGAGGCTTCAACGTCTCGGCGGCAGCGCCTGTGGTGGACAGTCTGGGAGCGATGACTCGCTCTTGTTCCTCCGGTGGTCTCCCGCCGAGCTCGGCATCGGGTGTAGCCAAGAGCACGGATCCATATTTGAGCCCAGCTAACGACCGGGTGCTTAGCCCTCTGGAAAAAGGCTTGCTTAAGCTCAGTAAGGTCAAAGCCGGCTCCAGCGGTAGTGGACCCAAAGGCAAGGACAAGGGCAAAGGAAAAAGCAAAGATGGCATTGAAAACTTTGATCCTGGGTATGGATGCGTTTCAACGCCACCCAGAGGTGGAAGCCAAAGTCTGCCCGTCTCCCGCGTGCAGACGCCTGTTGCCACCGCTCCTCTCCTCACCGAGGACGCTCAAGCTTCCGGCCTGGCCGCGGATGGCGACAACGAAGGGCCAGCAGGGGACTATTTTGGGGCGAGCGCACCAGGTGTTTCTTCATTCGCGGCTGGTGACAGTGGCGGCTCTTCAGCCGTACCTTGGGACGACCCGCCTATGTACACTTACTACAATTCGTTACCGCCATGGCCTGCGACTGAAACTGCAGGCACAGCGAAGATGGACGAGGAGAGGCAATCGCCGGGGGCAACAACAGAGACAGCGACCATGTCGACAGCACTTGAGCCTATTTCCTCTTCGATGACCGGCGTGCAAAGCTCGAGCACGGAAAGGGAGTCGACGGCCGCCAGCTCTGTATCTGAGAGTGGCAGCAAACCACTGTCGCCTTTCCGAAATTCCTCCTCCCCGTCTCTACCAGCCAACGCTCATGCATGGCGTGGCGCGCCGGCACCGGAGACAGTCTGGGCCGCGGGACCTAGCGGCAAGGGCATCTTACAGCACAGCGGACAATCAAAAGGCAAAGGCAGAGTTGCGCCGCGTAACGAGCAGGTCAGATTCGATGCTGCTGCCTTAGCTTGCGCGGCACTCATCGACGCCGACATTCAGAACGAAGGTGGTGCTCAGCAAGCGCCTGTGCCCAGCTCGCCGAAAGTGCCATCAGCTTCAGCTTCCACTGTGGCCCTCAATGAGCCCATTCCACATCGCGTGGACTCTCATTCTTCGGCAACAAGCAGCCGAACGACGCTGGAGAGGCGCTCCTGTAGTGCCACGTCTAGTCCAGAGCATCCTATCAATGGTTCAAGTGCTTCATCCCCGCTGCTTCTTACCGGCACGGGCGATAAACCGAAAGACAAGAGTCCAATCCGGTCCAATTCTGTGCCAGGCTCAGGCGTGGCGTGGACCGTGCAGTCTGCTAGTCCGGGAGCAGGTGCAGTAAAAGGCAAGGAAAAAGGCGGTCTGAAAGGCTTGCTTAGCGGGCTGAACCATGATCACAAGAGCAAGGAGCGCGAAAGGGACAAAGATAAGTCGGAAAAGAAGAGCTTCACGCCTAGTCGTGAGCGCGAGAGGGAGCGCGATAAAAAGGAACTCAAGGAGCTCGCGAAAGGGGAAAAACAGGACTCAAATTCGGAGTGGCAAGAGTTCAAAGCAGGTGAGTTCAAGAACTTGTTTGCATGGCCCAGCTGCAGGCTTATCGATCCTGATCTCGCCTCTCGAGTCTCTTTCAGGTGCGTACACGTTCCCTATCTGCATTCCGCTGCCCAGCAATCTTCCGCCCACCCTGCATGCCGATTTCGGTTCGAACCAATATACACTCAAAGCTCTTGTGCAGCGAGCAGGCGCTTTGACGCCGAACTTAACAACTGAACGCGAGGTTACCTTCATTCACGCGCCAGACGAAGATGAAATGGAAGGTTCAGATGCCATCGTCGTCCAGCGCACTTGGGAGGACGCGCTTTCGTATGTCGTGGTCATCAGCGGCAAGAGCTTTCCGCTTGGAAGCAAAATTCCCATGTGGCTGAAGTTCGTTCCCCTGACCAAGGTCAAGATTCACCGGATCGTGGCAACGATGGAGGAGAAGACAGACTACTACGCGAAAAACAAGCGCGTCGCGCGACACGAGGTGCCAAGGCGATGGAATTTGCTCAAGCTTGCCAACTCCAATCACGAACCGCTGTTGCCTTTGCTTGACGATTCTCCGGACGCGCTGGCCACTTCCGTGCTTGGTCCCTTTGTCGCAGCCGCCGCCGAAGATTCATCGGATGCACTGCCGACCATGTTGGACCCAAATGGTCCATGGGAACTGGTTGCAGACCTGGAACTCTCGAAGAAGCTGCACAGAATCAACTTATCATCGAACCACAAGCGCTCGAACATCGCTGTGCACCATATGCTACGCCTCACAATCCGTGTCGAGCGCGAGGAGGACAATCGCGATGTCCCTGCCGACGGAAAACGTAGGCTGTTCGATATTGTCATTGAGGCGCCTATCGCACTCAATCACTCGTACACAAACGAAGATTGGATCAAGTTGCCTAACTATGACCTTGCAAGAGATGACGTCTCACCGGGGAGCGCGAATCCGCCTCCCCCACCACCACCCATCGACCAGCAGGACCGGTCCCCACCGCCGGCCGTTCTCCGAGCGTTCAGTCCGACAGTCGCCAGAAAGCTCTCCGAACAGCGCCACCAGCCTGCGCCACGCATGGAGGCCGCCGCGAGTCTGGGCACGACGGCGAGCAGCAGCAGTCGGCAATTGACGCGGCGCTGGCTCGCACTCAGTGAAACGGCCGGCCGCTTCGGCGCGCGGCTCGAGTTGCCGGGCGAGAGGCGCGTAGAGAGCGCAGACGACCCTCTGCCTCCACTCGAGCCGCCGCCACCATCGTACCAAACCGCGGTGTTCTCGCGGCCGGTCTTGATGCATGCCGGCAGCGAGGACGCCGTTGCGCAGGTTGACTAGCCTATCGATATTTTAATACCTACCCACAGGTCATTTGTATAGTAGAGAGCATTATCGCAGTCAAACGGGGCTTATTTTGTGGACGGTCGTATCATAATACAAAAAGACGATTCGTATTCATTACATTTTGCGCGTTGTGCGGTGCTTTACATTGCGCGCTCCTTATCACCATCCGTGCTTGCGTTGGTGCAAATATGCATGCAGATGCAAGCCGTCTTGTTTTGCCTGCTGCCTTCCCCGTCACTCGCGCCGCGGCGGCCCCGTCTCCCATTCCAAATCATCATCATCGCTGTCGTCTTCATCCACGTAAACATCGTGGCGTCCATGTGGTTTGGTCTCGTCCGGTGCGTTGCTGTACGACACAGCACCGTGCAAACCTGGGACAGGATGACTAGGTGCACGGCGTGCGTTGTCATCGCCGCCGACGATGAACTGCTGCGCCTCGTGCGCCTCGTCCGCTTCTGAACCGGAATCCGTACGGCCGTGCCATCTCCTGCTATTGCCACTGTTTCCGCCACCCTTGCCGGGCTGATGAGCGTGATCGATTGGCGATGACAAGCTACCGATGCTGGCGAGGGAAATAAGAGAGGGGCCAAGGCCCTATTGCTCGTCACGCGAGAGGCTCTCGTACAGCCTCCTGTCCGGCGCTTGCGCGTTGCTGCCGAACAGCCTGCCGAGCCGGCTAGGAAGGCGGCTGGGGCGTGCTCGCTCCGCTGCAGCAACTTTGCTAGCTGCGGCGCGCGCCGCGCGCTCCTCCTCGCTCTGGAAGCGAGGATGGGAGGAAATGGAGCGGCGGATCGGGCGCGCTTGCAGCTCCTCCTCGGTCAGGCCCTCCTCCTCCTCCTCCTCGTCGCCTTGCGGAACTGGTCCTTCCTCCTCACCGAAGATGGTGCCCATCTCTACAAGCGCAGCGGGGTCCCGCGGGGAGGGGTATGCATCAGCATCAGCGGTCCTGCAGGAGCTTCGCGACAAAGCAAGCAACTACTGACCTTCTAGCGGAACTCCAGCTGATTCGGGGTAAAAGAAGTACTTGAGCAGTGGGGCAGACCTCGCCGTGTCAGCCCTCGCGCAGTAATTGAAGCGCGTGCAATCCAAGACAAAGCGCACACTCACGACAACGACGAACGAGCAGACGCAGAAGAACGCGTGCATCGGGTACAGACGCCATGTGATGACCTCTTGCAGCACCGGCGTCGCCTCTCCGACGATCCAATTGAAGAGCTGGGCTCGCGCGGGATGATGAGCCTTGCAGTCCCCGCCGAGAAAAAGGAAAGGGAGCACTCACCCAGTTCGTCGCCGTGCTCAGACTGGCTCCTTTGGCTCGGAAAGCGAGCGGCATGATCTCAGGTGGGAGGACTGTGCATGTGGGAAAGAAGCAAGCAGGATGGTCAGCCAGGCACAGCGGCCGCGCGATGACGTGCGCAGGAGCCGGTGAGCTCACGCCATGGGATGGGGCCCTTTGCGCGTGGAGGAAGAGGAGGGTGAGTCAGCGCAAGCGAATGGGTGCGCGCATACAGCCGGAATGTACGCGTGCCGCTCTGCACGCACCCAAGAGTATCCAAACGCCGCGTTGAACACAATGACGCAGCCGACGACGGCGCGGGGCGTGTACCACGCGTCGATGTACAGGAACCAGCCGCAGAGGCCGAGCGCGACGGCCATGACGACCGCGCCAGAGAGGAGAATGGGCCGGCGCCCCCAGCGGTCCACCAGGTACCATGGCGGGACGGTACTGGCGATGTAGATCAGTGCGTTGATGCCGGCCATGAGGATTGCGTCGCGGCCGATCCACCCGGCGGCTTCGAAGACTGGTTGTGGGAGAAGAGAGAGAGAGAGAGAGAGAAGGAAGGGGGGGTGAGTGTCAGCCTGGATCAGCCGTGCGTGCCAAGCGGAGTGACAGTGCGCAGGGAGGGGGCCACTGACCGAGCGGAGCATAGTAGCTGATGACGTTGATGCCGTTAAGCTGCGCGAACATCTGTCCACTCATGGCAATGAGCGTGCGGTACCTGTACCTGCGCCACATGGACCAGTAGCTGCGGTCACCCTGTGTGCGTATGAAGACGACGTTCTCCTTGATCTCGCGGAACTCGAGGCGCGCGCGGGGCTCGCTGGGGTCGCCGCCGCCGTGTAGGTCAGCGAGGACGCGCATACCCTCTTCATCGCGGTCGTTGTCGAGTAGCCAGCGCGGCGACTCGGGCAGCAGGAGTGAGCCGGCGGCGAGGACGATACCGAGGACCGACTGGATACTCAGCGGGAGGCGCCACGAGAGGTGGCCCGGGAGGAAGCTGCAAGCGTAGTCGAACCAGACACTCGAGGCATAGCCTACAATGTTACCAGTGAACTCGATGCACGCGAGCTTGCCCCTGTTCTCCGCCGGCGAGATCTCCGACTGATACGTCGGGACGATCATCGAGAGGATGCCGACGCCAAAGCCGGCGATGATGCGCCCGATAACCATCATGAGGAAGCCAGTGGTGAACGTTTGCACGACGCCGCCAATGCTGAAGATGACGGCACCCCAGAAGAGAGTGTTCTTGCGTCCAAAGATGTCCGCGAGCGTGCCGCACGCGAGCGATGTGATGAAGGCCCCGACCTCGAGAATGGCGACCATCGTCCCGATCTCATAAGACGTCGGCTGGTGGAAGTACTGCTTAAAGTACGGACCTGTGATGATCGCGCTCATGACGCCCTGGTCGTAGCCGAACAGCAGCTGCGAGGGCAGGGGGGATGGGGAGGGGGGAGGGGAGCGTTGAGTACGGTGCGTTGCGAGCCGTCTCCGTCGGCTGAATGGCAGCACTCACGACTCCGATTGAAGCAAAGCACGTAATGAAGAGCATCAGGTTGTCGCTCTTGATCCCTGCACGCGCCAGGGGGCTCGTCGCTCCGCGCATCTCGATCTGCGGTGCACGGATGCTGCGTCCAGACATGGAGCTCCTGCGGGAACGCGTCCCTGCACCGGCACCGCCGCTGCTGTGCACCAGGCCGTCTGAGGCAGTGGAGACGCGCCTCGAGTGCGGCGCTTCCGAGTTGGACATGGCGCTCGCGGGGAGGCGGCTGAACAAGCACCTGCGCTCGACGGCGGGGAGGTGCCCGTGCGCCTCCGGGTCTGCAGGGTCGCCGCCGCCGCCCGCCGCCAGAAGGATGCACTCGGCGGCGGGCGGGGGGACGTAGTCGCGCGCGGACGGCGCGCGGGCGAGTCGGACGGCTGCCTTGCGCGACGGGCGGCCTGGGACGTGTGGATCGGCGTTGGACGCGGGGACGTCGATGCTGCCGTAGGTCGACGAGGAGCGCGCGTTGGCGCTGCTCAGACGGTGCGCGTGCAGATGCTGCCCGGCAGCGCTATCTGTGGGGTGGGGCGACGAGGCGGGGTCGGCCATGGCAAGCACGCCAGGGGGGGATGTGATATGCTGCGTGCAGAGTCGCAGTGGTGCCAGCGGCAGTCGAGCGAAATTTGTTTGGATCAGCTCAATTGCAGAGCCCCCTTGTGCTCGAGTGCTTGGCCGACGTGGGGTGTGATGAGGCAGCAGCTGGGAGCCATTTGTTGCAAGAGAGGATATGGGTGTTCTGTCCCTTGCCTGTGGTGCTCCTCCGTGCTGTACACAGATGGTGTGTGTGATATGACGGCTGACACTTGGCTCGCACGGTCGTTGTGTGTACTGTTGTTATTGGTTGGTTGATGCCGATCGTTGCTCTATCACAAGCACAACATCGGGCGAATCAGAACTAACACTTTGCCTGCCTGCCTTGCCTGCTTGGTGTGGTGCGAGACGCAGGTCATGTCCGCTCGCATCAGAATAGAAACGAGAAGAGCGAGGGAGCGAGCGTGCTTGTTTGTTGGTTGCCCTGGTTGGTTGGTTGGCCTTGCTCGCTCGAGCCATGCATGACCACCAGCTCTCGGCCAAGCGTCCGTGATACGCGCTCTGTGTGTGTGTGTGTGTGCGTTCCTTCTGTCCGCCAGCACCACACCACACCAAACGGCACAGCACGGCACAGCTCCAGTCATCACCGTCTGGACTGCTCCCCCTCCTCCCGTGCCTCTCTTCCTCTTCCGCCATCTCGGCGCTGCACATGCGATGCCATGCCGTTCCGTGCTGTACACCCGTCGGATTTCCGCCCCGTTCAGCACCATGCAGCGATGCTCGTCGTCACGGGCGCACAAGCTCGTCCCCAGCGGCACTCTCTGACGGGTTGTTGTGCGGGCAAGTGCCACTCCAGCTCCCGGCCGAAAACCTGTCTGCGATCGGCGGGGCCGTGGGTTAGCGGCGCGGGGAAGAGAACCGGTCAGAAACACGGGCTAGTATCTATCGATCCTATACGCAACAGCGCGCACGCCAGGACTCCTCCTGACCTCGGCCCGTCGCGGATCCTGCGAGGACCGAGCGGGGAGATGGAGACGGATATGGATAGATAGTGCAATGGCCTCCCACACGCGCAAAGTCAAAAGCGAGCATCCAGTGTACAGCAATGAATACACATTTGATTGGTGCGGTTTGTGCAGCTGTGCGCCGAAAAATACACAAGTTTCATCTGCATGGTGACTTTGTGTTTGTGTATGTACGTATCCTGTCCCGACAGCCTGACCATGGTTCTCACCCCTGTGTGTGTGCGTGCTTACGCCTCGAGCCGGCGAACGGCCTTCTCGCCGCGCTTGAACATGTTGCGGTTCGTGTTGCCCTTGGTGGGGACCCAGCTGGCGGAGCGCCATGGCGAGACGCCGCTCTCGAACAGGTCGTCGACCTGCTCGAGCGTCAGACCGCGGACCTCGGGAAGGCAGAAGTAGACAAAGATGCCCGAGACGAAGAGAATGCTGCCAAAGATGAGCATGATGAACGACTGGTACTGCGCCGCGATCTTGTTGCTGAAGTACGACAGCATAAAGTTCCAGAACCAATTCGACGCCGAGCCAAGTGAGATGCAGCGTGCGCGCAGCGGCGACGGGTACATCTCTGACAGCGTGATCCACGGAACCGGTCCCCAGAACATAGAGAAGAGCGCGAGGTGGAAGACGGCAAACGCAATGAACGCGTTGCCTGCGTTCTTCTGTGCCGACGTCAGCGTGTCCGGCGGCGGCGGCGAGCCGTCCGGTAGGCTCGGCGCCAGCGCATAGTGCCCGACGAACGCGACGATGAACGCGCAGGCAAACTCGCCAAATGAGCCGATCAGCAGCGACGAGCGCCGTCCGATACGCTCGACCAGGTACAGCGCAGGGATCGTGCACACGAAGGAGACCGCGCCGAACATGAACTGGATCTGGTACGCGTTCAGGCTGACGGCCGCCTTGGAGAAGAAGACGGGGCCATAGTAGTAATAGAAGTTCTGTCCGTTGAGCTGCTGCAGCGTTTGCAGCATCATGCCGAGGCCTGTGCGGTACCACATCTTCTGCTTGGTTGAGAAGCACTTGACCCACGCCGTGAGCCAGTTGGTCCCCGCAAACGCCGCCTTCTCCAGTTCGATGCCCTCAGCCATGTCGTCAAAGTCGCGCTCGAGCGCAGGGTCGCCCCGTAGTTCTCCGGTCGGAAGTGTCTGCAGGTCCGTCCCGCGCACTTCGGCCATCACCTGCCGTGCATCCCCGTGCCTGTTGCGCGCGATCAGCCACCGCGGCGACTCGGGTAGGAGCAGCATCACGCCGAACAGGATGATCGCCCACAGCAGCTGGAACCCCACGGGGATGCGCCACGACAGACTGCTGTCATGCGCACGCGTCGACGTGGCCCATGTGATGCCGTACGAGATGACGATGCCGAAGATGATGTTCAGTTGGTACCCCGCAACGATCGAGCCGCGGATGTACGCCGGCGCCGTTTCGCCCAGGTAGAGCGGGCAGAGGCCAGACAGCGCGCCGACGCCGAGACCGGCGACGAAGCGGCCGACGACAATCTGAGCGATAGAGTTAAACGTGGTGACTTGCAGGATGGCGCCAATGAAGAAGATGATCGCCCACAACATCAGTGCCGGCTTGCGTCCCAGGCGGTCCGAAATCGGGCCTTGCGCCAGAGCACCAAAGAAGGTACCAGCAGAGAGCAGTGATGTGATCAGACTAGCGTTCTGGGACGACAGCTCCGTCGCACCCGCAGGCTCAAAGCGCCGGAAAAAGTCGGGCATGCTGCGAGGAGAGTGAAGGATCGCTCCATCAGCGACGCTGTCGCGTCCCCTCCCCACTGGCACTGGGTGGTGATGACTCACATAAGGCATCCTGAAATGACACCAATGTCGTATCCGAAGAGGAAACCTCCGATTGTGACACCCGCTGCGACGGTCAGCGCCTTGGTAGTCACTTTCGAGTCCTCGACCACGACCTAGAGTTGGGTGCGAGGCGCCCAAGACGATCGTCAATTGGATTGATCGTGCACATACCTTTGGTCAAAAGGGAGATGCTCACTTTCTGGCCGCTGGCGGTCACCGCCACCTTCTCCTCCGAGTGCTCGTCGTCATTCACGTCAGTGTACCTTGACACTTGATTATCTGCGTCCATTTTCTCGGTTGCCATCGTGTCGAGTCTAGGGGCGGGGTAACGCGGCGAGCTACAGGATTGGGGTGGCCAATAGGCAGGGCTCGGGCGTGCTCACAGTTGCGCGAGAGGACCTTGCTTTGCTGATCCAGCACGACCAAAGGGTCGACGAAGAGGAGTTGTAGTGTGTACCACTGCGGCGCCCCCGTGACGAGGGTGTTGATGAACGGGACGGAGGATGCTCACCTTTTTAATGCCCTCGGAGCAACCCCCTAGGTCGAGGATGGAGCATGTGACAACGAGATCACCGGTCTCCGCTGATTGCTTGCCGTCACTACTGCCTGCCGAGTGCCCATTTATTTATTTTCTTTCTCGACAGTGCGTCAGTGGGCATCACTCTCTATACATGCAGGACAAAAGCAAGACCTGGCTTGTCGCATGGCTCCAGTCTCAACCCAATCGTGGTCTGCACGCACATGTGTATATGTAAGTACAAAAAAAAATGGTTTGTCTGTTTGTATGTAGGCATGTTTGTACGTATGCATTTATGCACGGTGTTCTTGGACAGGGCCCGCCGCTCCCTTTTCTGGTTCTCCTTTTGTCGACTCTTTGGCCTTCATTGCCACGGCGTGCTCCAAGCGCCAGGACTCATCGGTCACTGTTCTGCCATGCTGCTTTGTTCCCCAGGCGAACGCCCAGTCACCTGATCTGCAAAGCACAACGCCGGGTTCTTCTACCACTTACACCTCAGCGGGTACTACATAGCGGGCTTTCCCTGGCCGGCCCGCCGCGTGCGAGGATCTGCTTCTAGGTTCCAAAATGCAGACACATGTTCCCGAAGCAAGCTAAATTACAATAGATCGTAGTCTTGCCAGGCAGAGCCTTTTTGCTTTTAGCGCAATGCGGAGTGCCGCATTGCATTTGACCTTTCGTTTTGAAGCACAACAGCCGGCAGCAAGAACATTGCCGGAGAACATGGACGGAAATCTCATTACCCGATCCTTGGGAGACCCTTCCACCGTGCCTGGGCTCTGGGGTTAGCAGGAGGCGCTGCGTGGATGTACATGAGCAGGTTGTTGCATCACATCACCGCAGGTCACAGGGGTCTACTGACCACTTTGCTTCCTGAATATAGTCCTGTAGACATCACCACCTCAGTCCGTGTCAGAGGCAGCCAGACAGTGGCCAGTGACCAAGTACCTTCATGGTGACCGATGGTAAACTCTTTGACAATTATCATGTACATAATCCGCGGAAGAGCCTGATATTGCCAGAGTACCAGAGGTCACCACATGGGATAGGAGATGAGGCGTTGAGTCATATGAAGGCATTGCAATGTAGTTGAGCACGCTTTTGTCCTGTGTGCTGTCTCTGTCAGCCATCCAATGACCAATCCATGATCCAAATCCAAGAAATCTGGCAAAACGCCATGACGCGCAATCTGTAAAGGCGGTTACGTGGATATGGATCACTCTCATGGGCTCATAGGCGCGTGTCTCATGCATAGCACCCTCAGCCATCGTCTCCGTATTGTCCGCTGTAAATGTATGTACATAGAATACATATAAGCATGTCAGAGGGTCGATTCTGATGCAGTTGCTTGAGGGGGTGAATGCGTAAGCTGTGGAGAGTTAAAATGAATGGAAGCACTATAGACTTTGAAGACTGCAGACACTTGTCACCCTGCAGACCTGCTGGGGGTGTAAGATTGCCGGCCGGCCTTCCCCCCAGTTGCTTCTCTCGGCAGCCTGTTCTCACTTCTCATTGTTATCGTTCCATGACTTTCCAATGGCACTCTTGTTTTCCCGGTATGTACGTAGACATATGTATACTCGTGCATATCCTTGACTCCAACGCAATTGTGGGGTATGAATTATGGGGTATGGGGCCGATGGGCCTTATGGACAATATGTGTCCTGGATATGTATTGGATGGCAGGGTCGTGGCAGGTTGTGGCTCTTCGCTTTCCAACTTTGGATTGGCGCTTCTCTTGTTGCAGCGACGACCAAGGATTTCCGCTACGGACAAAAGGGGAGTGAGGTGCGTCAGGCGGACTCAGCCAAAGGGTGAAAGGTGCACGTTTGACAGTGGCTTATCATGAATATGGATGGCACGGCCCAGAACACGCATTTCGGCTTTTGGCGCGAGGATTCACTGTTCCGTTGCCAGGGCTCATACCAGTCAGTCACTTCACCAGTCAAGTGAATTTGTCACGAACTCACACTTCAACCAAGCCCGCATGCTGCAAAGGACTGTATTCTTCCCCACATCCACACTTGAGAGTAGCAATGACTCTGAGATGACGAGCGACACAGCGCGCTCGATGGTAGCTGATTCATGGTAGGCGGTCAGTGATCGAGCGCAATCGCAGACTCGCGGCTCAGTCATGTGAAATGCAAATGAAACTCCACTCTTCCAACAGGTAGAAGCTGAAGTAGAGCATTGCACAGTCGAATTTCAACGATATACAGTCATGAAGGAGAGAAAAAAGGTCATGAGCGCAAATCCGACCGCGCATAAAGCTTTCATGCTGGGCGAGTCCGCGCTTCGGATGGCAGACGTCGCCGCATTTGATAGGGCGGATGCTGACCCGGAAGACCGCGCGCTACCACTGCTGCTCCCGGGCGCAGGGGTCACACCGCTGCTTGTTGGACATGTTGTACCTGGAACAGTGGAGCTCTGCGGAACGCTCGTGTCGGTGATGTTCGAGCCCGGTGTGCCTTGTAATGCTGCACTGTCCAGGCACGACGAGTCGGACGAGTTGGCGATGGTGAGGACTGAGCCTGCGGCTGACAACGGCCTCGAGTCTGTGACCTTTGGTGCGTGGCGAGGAAATCGGCCCTTCGGCATCAGTATACCAATTCATTCGGATACATTGATTAGATATCACTTACCCGCACCACTAGTTTGGTTCCTGCCGGCTGTTTGATCGGGGCCCAGGTCAAGCTGAACGTGTTGTTCGGTTGTTTGTCGAAGCGAAATAGGAGCGTGTTCCCGTGCGGATCGATCAGGTCGACCGTGCTCTGTCCGACCGAGCCAGACCAGCGCAGCTGCGTCAGGCCGCATTGCGCGGGCTCCGTCGACGGTTCCAACACCATCAGCGCCGGCTGCTCTTGCGCGGCCATGGCGAGGACTGCGCAGCGGCTGGGATCAAGGCGCGGGAGAAGCTGCAGGAGGAACAGAGGTAGCATGCCGATTCGCAGTGTCAGCTGCAGGCTCCTTACACCTCGCGCAAGGGAGCCGGAGAGAACCGAGTGCATTGTGACGTGTCGAGATGAGTGTGCCAAACTGCGGAGAGCTGCTAGGTAGGGTCCAACGGACAAGATAGTCATGAACGACGCAGCGAAGCCAACCTGACGATATGACCACTCCGCTCCTCTATCCCATGCGAACAGCCTCTCGAAACACTGAGTGAAATTTGGTTTGGAAGGTGTACGCGCTGCTTGAGCTGCGATCATAACTGTTACCCGCGGGGGAGACGGCAGGCACCGTCAGCTCGCTGATTTCGCGCAAGCACCACCGAGCACCACACTCACATCAACACGTCGCTTTCATTGCCCTTCAAGCAGCGCTCGCTGGCTCTCGTTGCATCCATCCTTACCACACGTGGCCAACAGCTAGATGGGAAGAAGCATTTGACAATGTAGAATCGAGGTGATATGTACAGACGGTGGATCGCTGGTTTGGATCTTGCCATCCCGTGCCAACATGGAACAGCAGGGGCTTCTTCGTTTGGGTGGCAACTGGCAAATGCGTATTGCTCTGCAGTCAAAGAGACTGTGTGCACTGTAGAAGAGATCACAGCCACCAGCGACCCCGGATAATGCGGCAATGCATATTCACGCCCGCTTGCCGCCTCAACAGAGCCTTTGGTTGTGCCTGTTTGGGTGTCTTGGTTTTGACAGATTTTAGGGTTGGGTTACGGGCCTTGGAACACTGTCTGAGATCCTTGTCGAGCATGGTCGTTTATCAGAATTCGTGGCCGCGAGACCGCGCGAGCGACGAGAAGTGATTTGTCTTTCCGATCTTGCCGCTCTCCGATTCGACTCTTGAGTCATAGCGAAAGTACGCTAGCCGTCGCCTGCATGACACCGGCCATCCTGCGACACTGGAACGTAGCACCATCTGTCTTGGACGTGGAAATCAATATAGTGGAACTTGTGCTGATAGGTACTATGTAAATGTAGCGTCGCGTTCATACATAATTAGCTCAACATACGATCATCATTAGAGAGTATGGAAGCATTCCGTTCTGTGGACAGCTGGATGTCTGGATGTCCAGATGCGTGAAGCGTGGTGCCTGGTATGTAGTTTGTACCTGGAGTCCTGGACCCAGCCTGGAGATTGGAGATGGCCTGATGCCGAACGCTGTGGATGGGCGATGACCTGATGCGACCAGCGATCAGTCGTTCTGGGTTTGGGGGGGGGCAGCACTCAGCAGCAGATGCATGTGTATATTACTGTATCAGTATCATCAGAGAATTCAGAGTACGTGCTGGTGCAGCTCGCGAGTCTCATCTTCTCTACGGTCTCTCTCATTGGGCTCCTTGGGCGGCAAGACGTAAGGATTGGTAAACAAGGATCAAGTTGAGCTACCAGCACGGATGAGCACTTTCTTTCCAAGTGCTGACGCTCTGGAATCACATGGCAAACTGTGCTGGTTAATGGTTAGAATAGGCTTGAGCATGGGACCGAAACATCCGAGAATGCCAAAGACTTTCAGAATCCAACGAGCCTCATATCTATGGTCTTGCGTCGTACCTGCGCCTCGGAGGTGGAAGAGCCAGACGACGCTCGCACACGGCGCAACCCCCGCAAGCCGCAAAATTCAAGGCGTCACAACTGTGAGCGACTCTGTTTTGTGGATAATGTAGACTTAAATACACCCTGTAGAGATGGCTAAGGTGCACGTAATCCCATACTCGCTGGAGCTTCCACCGCTTCGACATGCCAGTCTCGACAGTCGACAGCCTTATCGCCGATCGTCGTAGGCCAAGTTAGTACGGTCCACCTATGCATGGACACTTGGCTGCTTACGCCTGCGCGCCATGCGCCAACTCAAGTGCCCACGCCTACGACCAAACGTCCGCAATGTCGAGTCATACTTTTGTACTTTCTTTTATGTGCCCAATTTCCTGCATCGGGAGAAAAGAATGAATAAAAAAATCCGAGGCGCGTGGAAGAGGCGGAAGGCACTGGGGCAGTCAATCTGACAACGTAGTGAGGAACGATGCTTTTTTTCCGCTCCTTAGGTTTCCCACGCTTGAAACGAGTGTCCGCTGACAATGGGCGTTGGTGCCTGTGTTTTGAATGACAACGGCTGAACCTTTTTTTTTTTTGATTTCGCCGCGCAGCGGCTGTGTGGGAGTGTGCGATTGATTCAACACTTGCAGTGCCTGGTAGAGGGCCCTTCGCCGTGGCCGTAGGCAAAACGCAAGGGCGGAGAGTAAGGAGAGCAAGAAGGCACTTTCTACAGTGGTTACTCAATATAAACGAAATATACACCCCCTTCTTTGCTGTCTGCTGCCAACTTGTATAAAGCACGCCTTCACCACCACCAACGCTTTAAGCCTATAAAAATCCCTTCTTCCATTCCTCCACCGTCCTATCCCTCACCGAACCACTCAATTACAACACCAGCACCAATAGCGAAGCCGGGCTGATCGCTCGCACAATTCAAACCACACTCTAGGCACCCTCCGAAGCGGGTCCCAATCCCTCCACAGACCACACCAGTATTCACCACAGAACAGGCACAATGTCTCAATTCGTCTAAGCACCCCGGTCTACCTGACTATCTCCACTACCAACCAACCAGAAACCACAAACGCAATTATCAATCTGGATCTTTTGATCTAGATTGCCTATTCCCATCGACCACTCTATCGAGTGGAAGTCGAGACCTCCAGCAACCTTTCAAGTTGTCAGCTCCACTACACTACTTTACCTCCCAAACCCAATCACCATGTTCATCAACATGGCTTCCCAACGCCTCAACACCCGCTACTGGACCAAGTACCTCTCAACAACTGAGTACAACTCAACAGGAACTCCTTGTTCTGGAGGCAGCTCGTGCCATCCTCGAGCAACGCCGACAGACTCCCTCTCCTGCTACCCTCACTTTGGATCACAACCAAGGCCAGAACGGTAGTCCCGCACACATAACCCTTTCACACTATTCCGATTTAGTTCCAGCTCGACTTCCGCCTCGTGCGACACAGTCAACGCAATTGATTCATCAGTTTTCCGGCCCCATTGATCATCGGTCTCATTCTACCATTGCCCATTTCGTCCAACCGTTGACGCCATCTCACGGTCACAACGTCCACCAAGTGCACGCTTCTTCGTCAAGCTCCACCACTGTACACTACCAACAATCTCAACAGCAGCAGCAGCTTCCGTCTACTTGCGACGAGCTCCAAAGCTTCATCGATTCCGTCATGCAGTCTGTAGACGTGAACCACAACATCCCCCCTAGGTCCCTTGCAAGGGGTGAGCCCGAGCACACCATCCTCAGCTCCCATCCAGACAATAACCGCTGACATTCCATGTATCACACAGATGATTCGACCTTCTCCCTGAAATCTGCCTCCTCACTTTTCACCGAATTTGACGCCAGCACCACTCAGATGACCAGTGCTTCGTCCCGCATGCCCTCGCCCGCTTTTGGCGACGACAGCGATGCAGCCAGCCCCGCGCTGAGCGACTCGCTGTCCTTTGACCTCGATTTCGAAGAGCTCATTGAAGCGAACGACGCGTCGGGGGACACGGCGGCTGACGGTGACGCGTTTATGTTTGCCAACGACAATACTGAAGCCAAGGACGATGACCTTGAACAGTTCAATGCTCTCGCGCAGATTGTCGCCGACTACGGTCTTGCCACGCTCACAGCACTTGATCACACTGGCGATTCAGCTGTTTTCGACGTTGTTGCCGATGGCATAATTGGACACCATAGCAAAAGCGCCATGGAGATGGTCTTTTCGCCGTCCAATCTTGTGGTCGGACAGGCGCTCATTGACCGCGTCGGTCTTCCGCCCATGTCCAATGCGACAGTCCCGTCAATGCCCCAGCAGACGGGTGCCACTTCGGAGCTGCTTCGCATTCTGACCAACTCCGCTATCGCGCAAGCAGCCCTGGGCAACAGTATCGTTGCCGCGCCCACACCAGCACCCGCCGCTGATGCACCGCCTGCCACCGCTAGCCCTGCTGAGTTGTCGCTTGTAAGCCCTCTGCCGCAGCCTGTTGTGATCGACAGCAAGTCTCCGGTGGCCGTTTCTGCTGCAGTTCAAACTTCCACCGCAGACACGGAGGCCGACACGAGTAGCAATGTCCGCCAGACGAGCAAGCGTAAGCGTGTTGCGGATCCCAATGCGCTTCTACCGCTTGATGCGCCGATCCAGCCGCGTCAATACAAGGGTGCCTCGGCCACGTCGCGTAAGCCCTTGCCTGGCGTCGACCCGCAGGCTGCCTCCGACGCTGCCGTTCAGGCTCCTGCTCCAAAGAGGGGCAAGCGCGCGTCGTGTGCAGCATCTTTAGCGGATAGCGCCCCCCCGGTCGTCAGCGCTCAGCTGGCCAAGCGCATGAGCAACACACTCGCCGCACGTCGCTCGAGGCATCGCAAGGCTGAGGAGCTCAAGCAGCTGCACGACACGATTGAAGACCTCACGGCACAAGTTGAAGAGTGGAAGAGGAAGTACGAGGAGATGAAGTGGGAGAATGAGCGACTCGGTAAACACAGTAACAACTAGGTCCAACTCGGGCAGTGCAACGTCCATCTACCGTGCACCCATTCGGCCATGTTTTCGTTGGTCCTCGAGTCTGCGCGCTCCTGCTAAGCTAGGAGATCAACACTACCCGAACGCAAGGCGTTTGCATCGTCTCGCAACAATGCCGTCGTCTACTTTCGATCCAACCCCAAAAGGCACGCGCCAAACGCGTCCATCCATGGTGTTCCTTTTTTGATTCACACCAATCTGTATCGGCCCCGACCCTTTCCTCCCTTGACATGTCACCTTCACACAAGCAACGGCATCGTAGTTAGCTGCTCTGTTTATATAGCGATTAGAGGAGATGATCAAGACGGTTTACTTCGCCTTGCATGCATTAAATGGAGCTCCTCGTGGACACCCTCTATGTATAGACAGTCCGCGCTATCTTGTATGGCTCTATCAATTCTATCGTTTTGGTTTTTTTTACACATGCCCTTTGGTTTGTGTGGGGTTGTCCTCTGGAGCTATTCTTTGCTAAATGAGGCATTCAGATGCGTTGGTTACGAAACAGCCCTCCCACTTGATCACGGCAGTTGATTGTCCTATACTCTCACCGAGATGGAATTGGCGGTTCCACATTTGGCTATACCCCGTTCGGATGAGTCAATTGTATAGTCAATTGAGTTTTCAGCCATAGGTCGAACGTCGGATACACGGTGCGGATTGCATTCCTCATTTTGCATGCATCATCTCATGCACATCTGCCTTTGAACTTGTTCACCTAGTCTGTCGCAAGGCCGTGCGAACATTAGCAACCATGGCGGGAACGAATGCCGGTACTGCGGCGGCCCTCCCCTTGCAGGATGCCACTCCGGAAGAGAAGGCACGCATTCAGATCGGGCTGATCGGCATGGGCGACATGGGACGGTTGTATGCCTCGCGATTCGCCGCTGCTGGCTGGAAGCATATCAACGTGTGCGACCAGCCACAGCATTTTGAGGGACTTAAGAAGGAGTACGAACGGAATGAGAACATCAACGTGTTCCTGAACGGCCACCTCGTCTCACGGATCAGCGACTTTATCATCTACTCAGTCGAAGCGGCTTATCTGCGTGATGCTGTCGCTGCGTATGGGCCGTGTGAGTTGGGTTGCAGAACGACGAGGTGCCAATGCGTGAGTGCTGACTAAAGATGGAATCAACGGACTTGCACAGCAACGAAGCCAGGTGCGATCGTGTCCGGCCAGACATCTGTCAAGGCGCCAGAGAAGAAGGCTTTCGAAGCGCACCTACCGCAAGATGTGCTGATTATCTCCTGCCACTCGCTTCATGGCCCAAAGGTCGACACCGCTGGTCAGCCGCTGGTATGTGGCAAGTACACGGGCGGCAATCTTGCTTTACACTGAAAGTAGCTGTCTGAATGCGCCCTTTTAGGTCCTGATCCAGCATCGCGCCCCGGACGCTTCCATGCGTCTTGTCGAGCGTATCTTTGCTTGTTTTAAGAGCCGCTACGTCTACCTCTCCTATGAAGAGCACGACACGGTCACGGCCAACACACAAGCGGTGACGCATGCCGCCTTCCTTTCCATGGGCACGGCATGGCGTTGTGCGAATGATTACCCATGGGAAACGACGCGCTACCCCGGTGGAATCGAAACGGTCAAGATCAACATCATGCTCAGGATCTACAGCGCCAAATGGCACGTGTATGCCGGTCTGGCGATTCTCAATCCCGCTGCACGGATACAGGTCGAACAGTACGCGACGAGCACCACGCAGTTGTTCAAGCTCATGATTGCCGAGAGAGAAGATGACCTCATGCAACGCGTCTTCGAGGGTCGCCGGAAGGTCTTCGGCTGGAAGGACGACGAAGAAGGTGCCGGTGGAGGAGACGGTGCGGCACCGCAGGCAGCGGGGAGCAATGCGGGCAAAGTGCCTCGCAAACCGATCCTCCTGAGCGATACGCTTCTGGACCGCTTTCACCTCGCGGCAAGGAGAGCGATCACTGACGGCCAGCAGAGCGCTGCAGCGCCGACCGCGCAAAGCCCTCTGCCAAACTCCCACCTTGCACTGCTCGCTATCGTCGACTGCTGGAGTGCGCTTGGCATCGATCCGTACGCACACCTCGAGTTGGCTGCGACGCCTGTCTTTCGCATCTGGATCGGCGTGTGCGAGTACCTCTTCCGATCGCCCCACCGCCTGCGCACCGCCTGCAAGGCCGCCGTCCAAGGGCGCGACTATCGCACAGACGACACCGAGTTCACGATCGCAGCTCGGGGATGGGCAGAGGCCGTGCGGTTTGGCAACTTCGACTTGTATAAGTATCGCTTCGAAGAGACGCGCGCCTTCTTTGAGCCGCGGTTTGAGGAGGCCGCCAAGGCGGGCGCGGAGATGCTTAAAGTCGTTGCGGTGGAGAGACCATAAAGGAGAACCAGAACCCTGAAAGCATCAAATAGCACTGTATCATAAGATCCACTCCTGCAGACATGTACACTCTGCCCATCGCGCATCTAGCATCACTGACTCAAGCCAATCCTGCAGGCTCTTTCTCCGGTTCTCCAAATGTTTCGCGCCGTATTTGTGCAATAGGCCTGTCCGCCGAGGTGGTAAAGCTGGAAGAAAGCGCGCATACTCGGGACGCTCATCCAAAAGCTGTCTGTGCAGGGACACAAAGGCGCTGAATCGTCTATGGTTCGCAATGACAACACCTTGCTTGGTGACGATCCGGATGTGGAAGACGACCCAACCTCGCGCTTTCTCGCCGACCTCGCTCCAGCCTCGGATGCGCACCTCCCTTGCAAAGACACTGGAGGAGCAGCCTCTAAGCGAGCCGCGACTGCTATTGCGACGGTGGTGACCAACGGAGTTGTTTGAGCCCTGTGAGCGATCGCTGATCGCCGAAGGTGTTAAAGATGAGACAGTGAGAATTGAAACAGGAAGCGACTGCAGCGACGCTGGCAGCGACTCGATGGATGGTTGGCTTGATGTATCATTACCATCATCAGCTTTGCCCTTGCCATTGTGCACGCGATCCCCGGCAGCAGCACGCCAGGACAGATCCGGCGACGAGGGCATAGAAAATGACCGCAACATGGCGCCTCCCTCGTCTTCATAACTCCCGATGGAGTTTCGTCGACGTTCGTCAGGGATCAGCGGCGTCTTGAACAGCGCTGCAGCACGAGCAGCGATCGACATCGGTGCCGCAGGTGGCAGCGAGGGAGATGTCTGTGTCGGGGTTGGTAATCTGTTCCTGTCACGGTCCTGTTCCATTACGAGGCCCGCTTGCGTCGCCGAAACCGTCTGCCAAGACTTTTTCTTGTTCGCATGGAGCTTGATCAGCTTACTCTGCACATGTGTCACAGCAACGGGAGCCGCAGGACTGGACAGAGGAGAAATTGGTAGTGGACTTGGGGGAAGCGCAACACCGTGGATGGAGGACGATCGTGAAATGGGCCGCGACGGGGGTGCTGGCAAAACAGAGCCATTTCGAGCCACAGTGTTAAGTAGGGGAAAGTCTGCCCTTTCAGCGGTAGGAACCGGAAGCGATGTATCTTCGACTGAATCGTTCGCCGTGTGAAAGGAAACGTCCGGAGTGTGATTCGACATTTCGGACTCATTCTGCATGGACAAATTAAGCTTGAGAGGGTCTGAGAGATCGAGCGAGCGCCGTCGTCCCGGTACTGCTGTTGGGAAGGATTGAAAGAAAAAGGCCGGAGTCGTTGCTTGTCTTTGGGTCTTCTCCTCTTCACGGATTTCTGTAATTTCTTGTCGCTGCCGAAACACCATTTGTGAAGGAGGAGCGCTCGTTGTGCCAGAAACAACAGTCGTAGGGCTTTGCGCTCGCCGTCGGCCTGCCCGCATCTGCCCGACCACTTTTCCGTTGACCACTCGCTCCCCAAACTCGTTCAACCAAACATCCTTGAGTGTCCCGTGCGCATCCTTGAACGGTGACCTTGGAGGGATGATCGACGTAGGACTGCCGGTTACACTTCTATCTGGTGCAGGCAGAGGTGTGGCGATGGGAGTGACTTCGCGCAGCGAGCCAATCATGGAATAAAGTCCGCCTGAAGGTAGCCAATCTTGGTCTGCAACTATTTCATTGGAGGAGCTGATGGTGATCTTTGCCTTTGCGCGTTGCTCAGGTGAAGTGCCACCGTCTCCACGAGACTGAGTATGGACTTTCTTCATGGTGCGAGGGGACCAAGCTTTTGACGGTCCGGCCTCATTTTCCTTCTCATCTTCGAACGAGCGAATCGGAACGAGCTTGGAGCCCGCAGAATAGATCGGAGCCGGCGAAGTAAGTCGCAGAGGCGATGGGGTGATCAAGCGATCGATGGTATAACCTGTCGGGATCCTTGCCTTACCGCTTTGCGATGGCGTTCCTCGGGGTGATGGCAGTGCCAGGTCTAATAGCTCAGAGGTTGCCTCTTCGAGCTCTGCCACGAATATTCCATCATTTCCAAGGCTCGTCATGATGTTGATTCCCTGTTAGTGGAGACGTGACGGAGATGCATCTCCAGACATCACGCCAAAGGGGGGGTGCAGATGCGCGCACGCGGAGCAGCTATAGCGGCTGCTTGCAGCCGGCAAGCTCAATACGACCTCATGCGAGGTGTTGCATGTTTTATCCACCAGGTCGTTGGGATCCTGTCCTTCGTGGGTCTGAATGAATGAGATACTGAGCATCAGACCAAGGCCATGGTTGTAAAGGTTCATAGTCAATACGTTCGCCACTTGCATGTTTCAGTTTCGCTCAAGCGCGTCTACGCGAAACAAGCAACTCGCCACGGTGGTTGAGGTGTTGGCTGTGTTACTTTCCACGACCATGGCAAGATTCTTGATGCGGGTACATGCTCAACACCTTCTACTCGCTGCCAGGCTGCGCACCCCAAGAACACAGCTAGCTCGCAAGGCGTAAAAGAGCAACGGGAAACCGAATTCCACTTGAAATGCAGCAGTCAGACGATGATGGGCTGCTGCATAGCCCAACCTATCCGAGCCATCGGGTGAGGACTACGAGCAACTCGTCCCACGCAAGCATCAACTCCCATTCGTCAGCCTCAGGCGCTAATAATCCCAATGCAAAGGTGCAGGTGGTCACCCCAGGGTCGAGCTACGAGGGCTTGGCATATGCTCCAAGGCAACGCTTGCGTCCGCCGCCTCCGCCGCAGCAGGCAAGCTCCTCCCCAATCCATGGCAGCTCTGGCTTGAAGCAAGCACATCGAGCATTCCAGTCGCACTCTTCCTTGTTCCAAGCGCAGCAGCAAGAAGCAGTTATTCGAAACCATCATGCACATACAAGCTCCCTACCGCCGGATCCAATTCTGACCCGTCCGGGAAGCGCCAATATTTCAACTCTTGATGCACAATCGTCCCCACGAAGCCCAACGCTCGCCGCTGCGCCGGTCGTGATAAGCGATAAATCTAACCTTGCACTGCTTCCGCACTCTGTGAGCAGTGGAAGTCTGTCCACAGGGGATTCTGGGTCACTCAGTGCAAAGTCTCGGCTGCTGGTCCAGGAGATGAAAGGGCGAGCCCAGCAACTCGGCCTCTTGCCGGACAGCATTGGCTGGCAGATGATCGAGAAGCTGCAGAGCTTAGGCACCCACGACTCTGAGTGGGGAAGACTGCTTGATCTGGCGGGAAATGGACAGGTGAGCACAATTGGGCTCACGTTCGACGTGCAGTTTCACTGAATTGGGATGCGCGGCAGTGTACCCTCATGCTGCCTCGGCAGATGGCTCCGGCACGGACATCGTCCAACGACGTTACGCTGGCTATGATTCACGACCACATTCTCCTCCATCCGCTTCCGTCTCGGCCATCACCCACTTCTCTCAGCACTCAGAGCCAAGTGGCAACGCTCTCGGGCTTGCGAGCTGATTATGCAACCGAACCAAATCTCGCTGTCGGTGAAGCTTGCGAAAGTAAGCTGACTTTCAAGAGCTTCATCGCACGGCCGGAGAGCAGTTTAGTTTCCGAGTTATGGCATGAGCGTACACGAGCGTGAGTAGCTAGATGGCAGTTTCAGGATGCAAGCACATCCTCATTCTCATTGGTTCTGTGGCAGAGAATTTCTTCGAAACCTCCCCCCGCTTTCAGCAGCAACAGAAGCGCATGGCGAGAGCAGCGCGGCCGCACAACCGAGAGTCAAGCTTCTGTCTTTCGAAGAAGCCTTTTTCATCCCTTCGAGTGTTCAGCGGCGACGAAGGCAGTCGGCGCAGAAGCCCAGGCCGAGCTCGACATTTGCCAGTTTATTCGTAGGAAGCGGCAGGGCTAAACAGACAGATGGGGATCGTGATGGGGTGCGAGATAATGTCAACATGTTGGCGAAGTCTTCCTCCACAACTCCTGACGAAACCTATGAGGAAGATGTTGTCGGCCCAGAGCGTACTATCGCCATTTGGGTGGTGGACAGGTATATTCAGCGAAGCCAAATGTTGACACACATTGGAAAGGCGATGCAGACGCGGCTCATCGAAAAGATGAATGCGGTCGGAATCGACCCGAGCATTGTCGATGTCGCATGCAGCTTTGCAGTTATGTTCCTACCACCAAAGCAGGCGCCTCGGGGCTTGGGGTTCGACAGCGCGATCTCCCCTGGCCTTCAGCGCTCGCCAACTATGCCGTTCCTCGCAGCTTCTAGCGCACCTTACCTTGCCGGACCAGATGAACTCGCAGAAAACTTCCAGAGTTTCTACAGCGGCATCTACGCGCAACTGCAAAGCCAGATCGACACCCAGCAAGATGCAGGCGTCGAAAACGTAGATGCCCAAGCTGCAGTCTCGCCCAACACTGAAGCCCGGATCAAGAAATGGATTCAAGTTGTTGAGACGTGCGTGTGTGAAGAGGTGTACGACCGCATTTTTACGCCATTCTCCTCGCGTGACTGCTTCCTCGATATCGCCCTATCTTCTCGTATTGCAGCGCTCAACCTGCTTGGCCTAACACTCGCGCATCTCGACCTGGTCCTCCCCGCGAAGGACAGCCCAAGCGGACGTCACATCCACAAAGGGCTGGCACGGATCACTCAAGATTGCGGGGAGGTCTTGTACCAGCTGAACAGCCCTTCAAATCAGTCACCTGCCAGCAAACTCGATATCTTGACAGCTGCGCACAAGACTATCGTTGATGGAATCAGATCCCTTCCTGCGATCACGCTTAAAGACGATGATGGAAAGCCTGAAGAATCACAGCCACCAAGTTCGTCCGAGCAACCCTCCACTGAAGGCGACGAAGCCACTCTCACTGTGATAGAGGATGAACAGCCGAAAAGCAGATCGACGGATAGTGGCGCGGCTAGCGCAGATTTGATCCTGCCGCTGCTCATATACTCGATCGTCCGCTCGAACCCTCTCGGACTGGCAAGCCATCTATTGTTCATTCAGCGCTATCGAGCCGACTGCTTGCTGAGCGGTGAATCTTCCTACTGCCTTGTCAATATGCAAGCTGCCGTCGCATTCATTGAAAATGTTGAGCCATCCGCACTCGGCTTCGAAGGTGTTACATCAGACATGCTGCCCTCGGGTGATGTACCTGAGGCCGCGCTCCACAGTCGTCAGGACTCGGCTGGCGCAGTAGAGACGCTCGCTTCGCCTAGCATGGAACACATGTCGATCTCGGACAGAGTACGGACACGTCTTGCTACTGACTTTGGCGAGATCGCTGGCGTTTCGAACAAGACCATTACCAGTGTGCTTGGATCGAGTTTGTCGGCGTTTGGCCGCATCATGGGTGGCAACAATCAAGGGCAGAGCCTGGCGACTAGCGAGAAAGAGAGCCAGGAAGGAGTAGCCGGGACAGCACCTAGCGCAGGCGGGGCTCGCGATACCGCTGTCGGCGGGGACGCTGGGGAGGGGCCTAGATTACGAACACGGAGTACGGCGAGGGAGGAGGATGAGCGCAGTATTCGCTCGGTCGGCGCAATGCGAATCAAGAGGCAAGGTATAGAATATGAGGGCCAGGAAGAGCAGGTGAAGGAACAGTCGATTGGGCAAAGTACAAGCGAGTCCTCCAAAGTCTCGCTCAGCGAACGGCTAGCCTCCATTCCAATGCTAGGTCGCCTTGGCATGAGTGAACGCACGCAGTCTGGCAACAGTCCTCTGTCTGTCACTCGGGAGCTGCCAGGGCCGCCGCCCCCCCCTCAAAAAGCTCCAACAGCGCAAGACCGCATCCCTGCTTCCTTACGATCACCGTATGCTCCCCTCGAACAGCCCCCTCGCTCTACTCGGCCCCTCCACATCGTCGTGGCTGCTACAGGTAGCGTTGCAAGCATTAAAATCCCGCTTATTGTGGAGCAATTGCTGCAGTACGCCAATGTGCGAGTGCAATTGCTTGCTACCAAGTCTTCCTTACATTTCTTCAAGCGTGAAGGATTGGCCGCGCTCGGCGGGATGCGGGAGGACTATCAAGTGAAGGACCTTGCGGCAGAAAATCAGGCAGCCGTCCGCGGCACTGGCGAGGCGTTGACCAACTTGCCTCGCGTCCAACTTTGGACTGATGAGGACGAATGGGACCAGTGGAGCAAAGTCGGAGATCCTATTCTGCACATCGAGCTGCGGCGTTGGGCCGACATTGTTCTCGTTGCTCCGTGCAGCGCAGATACTCTTGCCAAGATCAATGGTGGAATCTGTGACAACCTTCTGGTGAGTGCCAAAACGATTCTGTAACTTTGAGCTTACCGTAAACTCATCCTCGATCCCTGACCAACAGACATCATTCTTGCGAGCATTGTCTCCCATGACGCCCATCCTGCTCTTCCCGGCTATGAACACGCTCATGTGGCTTCACCCTTTGACGGCTCGCCACATCGCATTTGTGAGGGAGTTTCTGGGATATGAGGTGATTGGACCAATCGAGAAGAAGCTTGCCTGCGGCGACATGGGCCAAGGCGCGATGTACGAGTGGACAGACATTGTTGACCTTGTCGCCAAACGTTTTGGGCTTGTTCTCCAAGAAGGGCAGGTCAACGGGGCACCTGCAACATCCGACTCGCAGCCGCAGACACCGTCGGCAGCCATTGCATTTGAATCAACATAGACAGTATCATCCAAATTCCATTATATCACTGCATTAGTGTATGGGTACCATACATATAATATCCAAGTCCATTGCCATGGCCCATCGTTCAGGGTCGCCTTCCCGTGTGCTTGTTTTCATTTTACCGATAAATGGTCGCCTGGGCTCTGCCAGCTCTCCCCCAGGACGCCTCGGGTTTTCATGATGCTGACGACCGCCTCCTCCGCTTCGTGCAGCAGCTCGTAGCGCTGAGCAAACGTCGGCTCATTTTCTGCAGCTGGCGTCGCCTCATGGTGATTTTCCTCAGCGGGCGGGCACACGAGATCCCTAGCGCCATTCACAGTCTCTCCTTGCGCCCGCTGGGCTGGCGCACCAGCGAGCAGTGTGCGGAAAGCTTGCACGGCGATGTGTACCTGCTCGACGTTGGCGAGGCCCACGAGCGTACGAAGATGAGGGACGTGCGAGCCCCAGCGTTGGGCCTGGTAAGATGACGGGTCGGCGCGTCGCTCACTGCCACGTATGCCATACTGCAGCGCTGTTTCCGCGAGACTCGTCGGAGTCGAAAGGCGCGATTGCCTGGCGCTATCGCTTGTGCGGTTGCTGGAGCTGGCAGCATCGGCGTTGGATTCCCCTTGGCCTATGTCAAAACCGGAGAGAGTCCCGGTCCCAGAGAGCAGCCGCAGGCTCTCCTGCCGCGCTAGCCGCAGTTGTTCGGAGCAAGGATGCCAAGGCGGCGGGCCGGCTTCGGTCAAGAGGCCCATGCTGAACGGTGATGCGTTCATGATGAACGGCGGCGTCCATTCTGTCCCTGCTGCTGCCTCGGTTGGTGCGCCGGGAAAGCGGAATGGGTTGCACTCAAAGAGCATAATGTATGCTGGCAATAGATCGGAATGGAGTGTGTGATTCGAGTAGCTTAGAATCGAATCGAGCGGTCGGAACGGCGGGTTGGTCGCGACCATCCTTGCAAGTCGGAGCAGCACGGGTAGTGGATAGCCGCTGATGCCGGCCATCTTGATCTTGCCTTCGTCTTTCAGCTTGAACAACTCGCGCACGGCGCCGAGGATCTTTTCGTCGCCTTCTCCATGCACCTTGGACGCAGCTTCGAACGTTTCTGCGAGTCCCATGTCGGTGCGCAGGGCCTCCTGCTCTTCTGCGCTCAAAACATCGCTTCCAAGCCCGACGACATCGGCGGCACCCATCCCAGCATCGTGTGCCTTGCCCACGCGTGTACAAACGAACTCGACATCGTGCATGTAAACATTGTCGAGCCAGCCATCATGATCGAGCTGCATGTTGAGGCGGACGATGGACTCGCAGACGCTGCGGCGCACGCGCTGCGGGGTGTAGTCGAAGTCCGAGGTTTTCGGCCCATAGCGGCCGGCTTTGGTCGAGATGTAGTATGTCGAGCGAGGGAACTCCGGCGCCAAGACGGATAATGCGCGCCCGAGAATCGTCTCGGAGTTTGCATAGTACGGAGAGGTGTCAAACGTGTTGATGCCGTAGCGGAACGCGATACGTAGAGCTGTAGATGGGAAGATCGATGAGCGAAGGATTGAACAGACGGCGGGGACCAGAGATGCTGGAATGCTTTCATATCGTTTGGATGACGTATATCAACTCCCACTCACCTCTGACGGGTTCGATGCTCATCATGAGATCATCGCTCGAATATTGACCCGTCCCGAACGTCCCGGCTCCAAAGATGAGAGGCGAGATGCCTGCTTGTGGAGGCGTTCCCTTCTTGTTGTGCTGCTTTTCGTTCACCTGTTCCCCATATCCCTGGGAGCCGGCATGGATGGGAGCGACGTTTTGGACCGTGGCCCATGCGCAATCGTCCGTATGCCTCACGCGAGCTACCTTCCGGTCCTCAGATGCTGCAGATGAAGTGAGGAAAAGAGATTTCCAAGTTTCCACCCATGGAGCTGGATGATTGCCATGGAGCATTGTATCATTTGGCAGCTCGCTCAGATTTGCAGGCAAGGGGCCATGTGATAAGGGAGAGAGCTTTTCGCTTAAGCCGGGTGAGGGGGATGAGCTGGATCGCTCGCGACGGTCCGGGGGCTTGTTGATGCCATTGCCGTTAGAATGGCCATTTGATGATGTCATGAGGGAAGAATGCGCAGAAGAGGGGACTTTCAGCTTTTCGAAAGTCAGGTTCAGTTCGCCTTGAGCAGAAACAGGGCCGCTTAGCCGGCGTAAGAAGGGATGAGGATGCCAGCGTCGTCAAGAATCACCGAGGTAGAAGACCTCTATCCGTCAGCCGATCTGTCGAGAAACGCGCTGTGCGAAAGGTTTGGGGCCAACCTTGGACGGAATTTGAAGTGACACGTCTGCTCGAGCTTCTTCGGATTGTGTAGAAGGAAGAAAGACAAGGGGAACTACCTTGCATCTTGTCCAGCGGGATGCTCGAATTACGAAGCGTCAGAAGTACTTGTACCAAGCAGGCCGCTAATCGTGACCGCCTTGCTTTCATCGTGATATTCACGTCACCCCCACGTCCATGATTTTCGGGCGTTTTTCACTGTTTCGTCCCCGCATTTCCCTGCTTACGTAACGCTGCATGATTCATCCTCAGATTGTTTTGTGGCTTCTCCATTCGGGTTTCCCCCACACGTCCTCTTCATGCTCATCTTCACCTTCATATGCATCTTAATACCGTCGCAATGCATTCGATGGTATCCTCAAGGTTCCAGGCTCGAGACTCCGGATCAACTACTTATGTGTGTATGTACTGAATGCCGAGAATACTGATAAATGTGCAGGTATGGCGCGTTGACGTTTGGCGCTGCGACAACGGAAGTCCTGCGTCCCAGTGAGGTGCCGCACAGTGCCAACACCCTCCTGGCATACGGGCTCACCAAACATCACCTGTCACGACCCATAGGTGGCTGTGCTGAAATGTAATTTATCTCTGGGGCAACGGAAGAGGTCGAGGCACCGAGCTCTTAAGGAGAGGGAGTACATGCATCGTCCTTACTTGCCTCTGCCGGGTCCGTTGAGAGCGTAATGCCTGGATCAAACCCGCGGCCCTATCTTGAAGTCCATGGGGAGCTACCCTTAGTGTTCGGTGTCCTCCTGCCTCTCTCCGGGTGGCCTACCTGTAGAGCCTGTCGCTGACCTTTTGGTCTGTGCTGCTCATAGGCGAAAGGAAAACGATGCTGATTTGAGAACGAGAGAACAAAAGTCATGGCAAGCACCAGGTTGTGTGCTTATGTAAGCATAGTGCCGCGTGGGCAGCGGGCATGAACGATGGCAGGGTTCAGAGAGACAGGAGTGTGCTGCAGTGCCCAGAGTGGGCGTAATGCGTTCTCATAACATCATCCTTGACATCCCACATCTACGTCGTATCCCCTCCATCGTACCTAACGTGGTCCTCTTTCAACAAGCCAAGCTTACCAGCAGCACGTACAGCAGTGCAAAAGCAGGCCGTAGTCAACCAGCGGCAGGATACTCCAAAGGTCGAGCGTGATTCGTGGGACGCAGTCGTTCGACTAACGTAGCATTCGCGAAGCATCGCGGGCGCCTGCGATCCATTTCTGCAACAATCGCTCAGCCATCGGCACTTGCTCGCTCCATCGTGTAGGGTGCACAGACGGTGGTACCACACTGGGTTGTGCATTCGAGGCATTATAATCTCGATCCGCCTACGCTGCGACGTTCGACTTTGCGATCTACTATCAAGCAGGTGTAGGTCTTACGGCGCACTTCTAAATCCGCCCCCTAATCGCATCACATGAATTAGAGCCAAGAGGGAACGGCAGATACAGACAGGCATCCAACATCCAAGATGTCGTCAGCGATTCCTCACGAGGAGCTTCCCATCCTCGAAGCGCTCGTTAACATTCGCAATCGCCTAACTGCGCTCAAAAAGGATAGCGGAGAGTACATCAAGCCGCAAGATGTCATGGATATCTACAAGGCTGTCATCAAGCAGGGTGAGTACCTTGTCAGTGTTTTCTGTTTGCTTTGTCGTGCTTGATGTTCACCTATCATTTTCCGCATCTCGTATTTCGGTACATGTGCTGTTATTTTTGACTGTAGTGACGCGGCTAAATGCTGTGCGTGACGAGCACGACATGGCAGAGGCAGCTGCCGCCAGTACATCTTCCTCAGCTGCGCCACCGCCACCGGCAGCAGATTCATCTGGCACCGAGGGTAGCTTCATCTCACCAAGTCCCTCGACGACAGGAGTATCGGCGAACGACTTGAACAACTCGTCGTCGTCGTTGAAGGCAACGCATGGGTCCATTGGCAGCACTGGCACCAACGCTGGTACTAACAGCAGCAGCAGCAGCCAGCCGATCGGCGAGCACACCAAGGCTGCGTCTTCGCAACAAGAGTCACATGCATACGCCGATAGCTTGCCCAAGTACAACCGCGTCGACACGACGCTCAATGACGTCTTTGCTCTGCTCTCGCTCTTCTTCCTCACCATCGGCCGATCGCGCGAGACGCCAGCTGCGTTCAGCCAACTAGCCTGCATGAAGCAGTTCTTCGACCACCTCTCCGAATCAGGCATCTACACCGAGGCGGATCTGGAGCCGTTCAGCAAGCGCCTGGCAGAGCTGCGCGCCATGATCCGCAAGGATGCAGAGCAGGGCAAACACCCGCCTGCGTTGACGAAGCTGATGATGCGCAAGCTCGAGGGCTGTGAGAAGCTCTTGGCGAGCCTGCAGGGCACGCTCAAGGTCCTCTCCGTCGAGCTCGTGCCGATCCACCAGCGCCTGATCGCCGTGCGGAGGCAGATTGTTGCGGCGGCCGCCAAGCCGAAGCTGCCGCGCGCGGAGATCAAGCAGCTGCAGGAGGAGCTGCGCCGGATCGACAGCAAGCGCGTCGACGGCAAGTTCCTTGGGCCCGGCGGATCGAGTGTCCCGGCGGGGCAGGCAATTCTCGTCGGCATCCTCGAGGAGTGCTTTGAGATTTGCCACGAGATCAACGTCCGCAACGACGAGGTGCCCATGACGCTGCAGCCGATCTATGACCGCCTCAGCGAGATCAAAGCGCAGCTTGAGCATCTGGTCCTCACACATCGCTGGACGCTGAGGGAGACAGATCTGTGGAACTACCAGGTCACGCTCAAGGAGATCGATCGCCTGCGCGTCAATGGCAAGTTCGTCGATAACGAAGGGAAACAGCCAGAGGGTCAGCCAGTGAGTTTTAAAAGTATTCCTGGAGCTTATGGCTCGTTCCTGCATTCGGTGGATCTTGTTGTTCAAATATGCCACCCAACTCTGCTTTACGCGTCCAGGTCCTCCTTTACCTACTGCGTCGATGCTACGGCCTGATCTACCGCCTGGTCGCGTCGTCGGAGCCGATCTCGGAGGAGCTCATGCCGATCTCCAACAAGCTCTCGACAATCTCTAAGTGTCTCAAGGAGGTCAGCAAGTATGGCGGGCCGTACACGATGCGTGACCTGTATCCGTACCGACTTGCGCTGCACCAGATTGACGCGATGCGCACCAATATCAAGGACAAGGATTTCAACGATACCGGCGTCAAGAAATGGCTCGGTCGCGACGGCAGTATACCTGAGGGACAGGCGATCCTCAGGGCACAATTTGAGGAGGTCGAGCAGACGATCCAAGAGAGTGAGTTCCTCTTTGCGCGCATTGCGCACGCTCTTAAATCAATACCTGACAAGCGATGTTTCTCGTGCCTTCCGTCCGTTTTGCCAGTGCTCAACCAAGAGGAAGAGGATGACGACGAGGAGGGCTCGGATGGCGAATGGGAGGCGGGCAGCAGTGCAGCGAGCGCAAGTGGTGCCGTGACGGATAGCTCGGTGTCTCAGGCCTCGGTCTCAGAGTATGGCAGTCGCATCTTTGGTCTCGGAGCCGGCGGTACGGGTGTGGCTGGCACCGGGTCGTCTACGCCTGCAAGCCCCGCACCCGGCTTCTCGCCTTCCGGGTTCGGCATCGCACCTGGGATCGGACCCGGGATCTCGTCCTCTGCCAGCCCCATGGGCATCGGCATCGGTGCTACGGGCGCGGCGCATGGCGGAGCTGCATGGGGCGGCTTCAATTCGCACGGTGTCACGGCGAGCCTGATTGGCGCCGGTGCTGGCGGTGGCAGCGGTGGTGTGAAGGGTGGCCACGAGTCTCCGGCTGCTGCGAGCGTGAGCGCGGATGTTAGCACCAGTGGTGCGTCACCCAGCTTCCTCGCGACGAGTCCAAGCCCGCTCATGCGCTGTCCCCTAGGGCAGAACCACCACATGCCGCCACTTGATCTCGGACAGAACAAGCTCGCCGGGGCGGCGGCGAGTGGGGAAACTTCGGCCGCTGCCGCATCTGCCACTCTTGCCGCTGCTCTTCCTCCTGGGCAGCACCCTTCTCCGAGCGGCCCTGGCGCTGGTAGTACACCCTCCGTCCCAGAGCAACAAGCGTCAGCGCCAGCGCCTGAAGAGCCAAAGAGCGGACTGGCCGTCGTTGGGCCTGGTGGTAACATACTTGAGCGCCTGCCAGCTGAGCCGCCTGTCGTTGTGCCGGCGCGAGAACAGCTGCATGCTGCAGGTAAGCAGCAGCACTATAACGCGACTGCGCATGTGAAAGCGGCAGATGGGAAAGGGCTAGGAGCTACAATGGGGTTAGGAAGCGGGGCTGGGACTGGGACGAGCATTGAGGTGGACAAGGTCGGGGCAGGAGCAGCAGCAGGGACAGCGGCGCCATCAGGGACCGAACAGCTCGCACACAGTTTGAAGAGCGTCGACCTGCATGAGAACGGTCACACAGATGCATAGTGGTGCCATCTAGCTCTGCTTTGCACTCGTGTTGGTGCGGAGCGGTGGACGCCGTCCAACTTTGTGTCCACATGCATGAGAACCTCACAGAGATGTCTTTCATGGCCCATGCATCCACCTGCAACGTAGAAAGTGGTAGAATTCATAGCCGTTGCACGTTTGTATCTGGGTTGCCTTGAAAGAATTTGCACTTGCGCGCCTTTACGTCCTAAACGTGCTTCATTGGTCACCCCGACCGATTGAATATCCCGATCAGCCAATTCGACGGTGTGGCCCTTTTTGACTCTTCGTTCATCGTGTAGCTCACAAGTCACCGCAGGTCATCTAAACCGTCAGGACACAACCACCACAACATTGGTACGCTCCGTCAACTTTCGCTCCGCCGTGGAATGCACTGGTGATGTGCATTTCTGAACCGCTTTTGAGTGTGCCAGGTTGCAGGCTCGTGACATCATCCTCAACCATACACGGACGCACCGTAGTCGCTAATGAATCATGACATACGAAGTACAAACTGCGTAGACGCATTATCGAGCTTATAACGGCCGGATTCTCGTTTGAAAGCGTGCAAGATGCGTCAAGAGGGCCTTTGGAAGGAGCTGGTGGACGGTGAGTAGTCGAGGAACGCTTCAAATGCTCGTGCTTTGCTGAAAGGTTTCCTGTACTAGCTCATTGCCACCCAACCGATGACCCTCTCCTCAGATTGGAGCCTCAAGCGCATTCGGCTCACGATAATGCTTTCGACACCTCGTGCGGCATTGACCTCGATGCACTTGCGAAGCGATTGCTAGATGCCGAAATTGGTATGGCTTGCATTATGTCGACGAGTACCGCAGATCAAGAGCTCGTTGCTGGACTGGCAGCGCGATGCGGCCCAGCCAGAATCACACCTGCATTCGGCCACCATCCATGGTTCGTGCACAGAATCACTGTCCAAGAAGACCCGATGCCGTCCAAGGTAGACCACTACAAGATGTTGTTCCCAGACCCGCCTTGTCTCGACGGGGACGGTGAGAACGGCATATCGGAGCTAGACTTGATCATGCCCGGCTTGCCAGATCCTCTGCCGCTGTCGCAAGTGCTCAAGGATCTACGCAGTAATCTCGAAAGGTACCCACACGCCATACTGGGTGAAGTGGGTATCGATAAATCATTCCGGCTGCCTTTCTCTCCGGAATCTTTGGAACTGCTTGACGGTCTGGAGGATGGCAAGCGCCAAAAGACCCACCATGAAGTCTCCAACCATGGCCTCCCAAAGCGTCGCCTCTCGAGGCTTCAGACGCCTTTGGCACATCAAATGTACGTGCTCAAAGCACAGATTGACGTCGCCGTCTCACTACGGCGCCCGGTCTCATTCCACAGCGTCCGTGCGGCCGGAGCGACCATTGATCTGCTGCGTGAGCTGTGCTCAGACTTTCCTCGGGGATGGAACGACACGCCAGGTTTCCAGAGCGCGAATCTTGCCCTACACAGCTGTACGATTTCGGCAGAGGGCATCCGACAGATTCAACAAGTGCATGCAAACGTCTATGTCAGCTTCAGCACAACGATCAATGCACGGCAGAAGGGCTTGGGGGAGCAGATCGAGGCGTGCGACCCGGATCGGTTGCTAAGCGAGAGCGATTGGCACATTGCAGAGGGACTCGCTGATCACGTGTGGGGGGTTGTGGACATGTTCTGCGCAAGCGAGCGGCTTGAACGGCATCTGTCTCTACAAGACCTCAGTACAGGCGAGAAGCGAAGTGAAGTCGTCGCGATGTTAAAGCGGAATTGGCACCGCTTTCTGCGTGGCCGGATCGAAGAGCTAGGGGATGAATCTTGGGCAATCTGAAGATGCAAGGCACGCTTTCGACAGCGATCTGATTTTGAGGCAGTATGGTACAAGACGGAAGCGAGCTCGGCGCTGCACTCTGGTCGGAAGCCGACTAGAGCAGATCCTCCACTCGGGTAGGCATTTCGTCACTAGTTGAAGAGGTGGGTCAGCATTAATGCGTCCGACGCGCCGGTATTTTTGCGCCGAGAGACACTCACATCTGTGTAGAATAGTACTGTTCGATGTCTCTTAGAATCCTAACATCTTCGATCGTGACGAACTTTGCAAGGATGGACGTCAGTGGCGCGGCGATAGGAGACGTATAGATGTGTGACAATTTACTCACATTGATGGCAACACCCTTTCTTCCGAACCTGCCCGAGCGACCAATTCTGTGCAAGTAATTTTCACGGTTGGATGGCAGGTCATAGTTGATGACCAGTGACACGTTTTGAACGTCGATACCTCTTGCCCAGACATCTATGCGGAGCGGACATTTGTCAGCGCTGGTGCTCCTGCATCCCATATGTGCGCCTACTCACCCGTCGTGATCAAGACCCTAGTTTGGCCTTGCCTGAACTCTCCCATGATGGCATCGCGCTCCTTTTGCTGCATTTCACCATGCATGCTGCTGACCTGGAAATTGTTCTCGCGCATTTTGTCGGTCAGCCAGTCGACTTTTCTGCGCGTGTTGCAGAAAATGACGGCCTGGGTGATAGTGAGTGTGTCGTACAGGTCGCAGAGCGTGTCGAACTTCCAGTCTTCCTTCTCCACCGCGACGAAAAATTGCTTGATGCCTTCGAGTGTCAGCTCGTCACGCTTGACGAGGATGCGGATCGGGTCGGTCATGAATTTGGTGGTCATCTCCAGAACGTCGTGGGGTAGGGTGGCGGAGAGTAGAACCCTGGAAAATATACAAACATCAGAATGCACCAACGGGGTTCATGTTCAAAGGTGTGGAACTTACACTTGCGTTGCTGGCGGAAGATACCGGTATACGTCATAGATCTGGTCCTTGAATCCCATGTTCAGTAGCTCGTCACTCTCGTCCAGGATAAGCATCTTGATGTTCTTCGTCCGAAGATGCCTCCTTCTGATCATGTCAAATACCCTGCCGGGCGTCCCACTGACGATGTGCTGGCCGTATTCGAGCTTCCTGATATCCTCTCCCATCGACGTGCCACCGATGCACGCGTGGCATTGGACATTCATGTAGTCACCCAAAGCAAGCACGACCGATTGGATCTGCGTCGCGAGTTCGCGCGTTGGTGACAGCACGAGCGCCTGTGTATCCCGTAGCGTCGTGTCGATCGATTGCAGCATCGCGATGGAGAAGGTAGCGGTCTTACCAGTACCGGACTGGGCTTGTGCAATCACATCGCGGCCACGGACGATGGGCAGAATGGCACGCTGCTGGATCGCCGAGGGCCGCTCAAAGTCTGTGTTCGCGTTAAGAGTTCAGAAGAGCGAATGACATGCGGGGGAATTAAAGAAGCAGTCTCACTATATGCATAGATACCACGCAGAAGGTCTTCTTTGAGCCCGAACGAGTCCTGCAACACGATAACAAACATGTGATCAGCCATTCAGACATTTGAAGCTGGAGGAAACGTCATCCGAATCGCTTTGCGGGGCGTCCACATCGCAGCAAGCGCTGAATGTAGGAGCGGAGCATGGATTACTTACGAAGGTAGGGACAACCTTGATCTCCTCTGAGCTCTCGAAGACGAGCTTGTTGTCGCCTGTGTTCAGGCCCTGAAAAGGCGTAACCGATGTCAGTACGTGAGCGGAGGTCCTGGGCTCGCTCCCGAACATCGCCACTTACACTCATTTTGCAGGCCTTGTTGGAGGTTCTTTCCTGAATACTTTCGGGGCCGTCTGCTTCTCACTGCTGGCGATGCCAGAAAGGAACCCCTTTTGCGAGGATCGTTGCAGTTCGGGGTGCATATGGTTGGTAGCATCTGCAGTTGAGAGAGCGTGAGAGATGTGAGATGCACTTTCTCTTCTCTTGCGCGTCTCAGGTGGCCGAAGAGACTCGCGTTCCGCTGCAACCAGAACGCCATCACAGAGCGAACTTCATTGCTTGGTCCTTCGTCCCGCTCTTGCGACAACTCTCCTGCTCACCGCGAGCATTTGGCAACTTGTACATGCGTTTGAAACGCTCGCACTGAGCGCATCCATAGGCCGGCGTAACGGCGGGAGCAAATAGGTGCTGAGAGGCGGCCCAAGATGGCGGATACGTCCATCTTTGAAGTCGCGCGTGCGACACACGAGGAGATCGAGCGGTATGAGCAGGCTGCGGTCGATCTGCTCATGTCCTCGTCCTCCTCATCAACGCTGGGGCACAAGGAGCATCTTAAGCGCGATCACAAGATCTCTGAGCTGCTGGATCGAATCGTCAGTCGGAAGCAGTACCTCAAGGAGCTATATGCCGACGTCAATGGCGAAAGGACTCGCGAGCTTGAGCAGCTCTCCTCGACCACCATTTCTGGTGCTGTCGACCCGTTTGGCGAGTTCTACAAACGGCTCAACAGGATCAAAGACTACCACCGCAAGTATCCTCAAGCCGCGCCCGAAACTTTCGTCGTGGATTTCACATCGCTAGAGTCTTCCTCGGGTTTGCCTAGCGAAGGGGCCAGCGGCAGCGCAGAGATTGCCGCCGCCGCAGCTGGCCTGGGTGGCCTTGACTTTGTCGACCGCATGTTCTCAGGCGAGGAGTCATCTGGTCGATTCATGGACCTGTACACGCAGCATGATATGTACATGAACCTTAAGGGTGTCAAGCGGCTACCCTACGTGGTATACCTCGATCACTTCGACAAGCTCTCCGGCGAGGAGTCCCGGATACCTCACGAGGCTAAACGGACTGAAGCATATCGCAAGTATCTCAGCTCTCTTAAGTCGTACCTTGCAACTTTTTTGCGCAAGACGCGCCCTCTCGAAGATGTGGATGTGGTGGAAGAGCGAGCACTGGCCACATTCGAAGAAGATTGGGCGGCTGGCACAGTGCCTGGGTTGGGCAAAGATGTACAGCCCACGGCCGCGTCAGAATCAAAGGCTGCTATGGCTGGAAATGCTATGAGCATAGATGGTCAAGGCATCTGGTGCGAAGCGTGCAGACGCTTTTACTCGAAGCAGACAGTCTACGACGCTCATCTCAAGTCTCCTAAGCACCAAAAAGCAGCAGGACGACTAGCTGCGGCTGCTGGTGCAGACACGAATGGCGAGGGAAATTCTAATGGTTCAGGAGTCGGTAAAAGCAAACAAACATCTGGTGCAGGCTCAGACGAAAAGGTAAAGATAACAGTGCGCCTAGAGCTGCTAGTGCAAGCATATGCAAAGGAGCTCGACTCCATTCGCAACGAGACCAAGTCAAACGTTGAGCGACGTGCAGCCCTGACAGAACGCGAGCGTCAAGCGGAAGCGGAGCGCGCAGAGGAGGAAGCGAATAATCCCGACGCAGCTGGAGCGGCCGAGTCGGCCGTAGCTGCCGTCGACGAAGACGGAGAGGACAACGAGAAGATTTACAACCCATTACGATTACCTCTCGGGTGGGACGGTAAGCCAATCCCGTATTGGCTGTACAAACTTCACGGACTCGGGGTCGACTATAAGTGCGAGATTTGCTCGGACTATGTCTATCAAGGGCGGAAGAACTTTGAGAAGCATTTCCAAGAGAGTCGACATGCTTTTGGCATGCGAGCTCTCGGCTTGCCAAACACAAAGCATTTCCATGAAATTACCAAAATACCCGATGCGCTGGCTTGTAAGTAGCTGCGCTCCTTTTTCCTTACTACTTGGCGCACAGTTCATCTGCTCGATGATGTTAATTTTTCGTCTTTGCTTTGCACGGTCAGTGGCCGATAAACTCAAGAAGCAAGGACGCGCACTGGCGGAGGAGCAGGGAGATGCAGAGGAGGTCGAAGACGAGCACGGAAATGTGAATGCCAATCGCTCAAGCCATTGCTCCTCCAGTCTGACGCTAAACTTGAATTTTCCACGCTCTCTGCAGACGTATTCGCGCAAGACGTATGACATGATGAAGAGACAAGGGCTGCTCTGAAGGCTTAGTCCTTCATGTATTATGCTACAAAAGCACGTCTGACTCGCATTGTCCTATATCACAGTCAATGACCAAAGTCTGAGAGGCAGTCTGCTCAATATCATATGTGCAAGGAATGAGGCTCTAGCTGTACTTCATTCTACGACAACATTGACCGTCTCCCCTATTTCGCAGACGGCAAACTGATCTTCTGGAAGACCTAGCAACGCTGCCTCCTCCTTGAGCAGTCGCGGCGGCTCATCAGGTGCTTCAGGCGTCAGCCTGAATACGCCCCAGTGGATCCCGAACGACTTGCGTGAATGCACCTCGCGGTGAATGCGGACAGCATCGCTAGGGGAGCACTGTTGAAGGCGATATGTAGGACCACGGGGGCCGAAAATGAATAAAGTCTGGGTGTCTGTGCTCATGCCAGAGAACGTTTACTCACGTGAACATTCGACATGAAGACTCGAGGAAGGTAGGCTCCAATGGGTATCAAAGCTGTTTTCGAAAGTAGGGGAGCGTGAGCGACGGATACTTGAACGTTTGTGCTAAATGCTACCGACCGAGATCGAATGGACCCATCATGTCACCTAGTTCTCTGAAGGCAGGACAGGACGGAATCTGATCCTCTTCTTCTCTACTCATACCCTTCCGAGGCACATGCCTGTACCCGGTCTACATGATACTCAAGCAAAGCAGCAATAAGTTCGCACACATAGGAGAGTATGCCTAGAGAATTCGAACTCACATCACCTGCAAACCAAATCTTCGCTCCTCGTTTGGCTTCTTCCTGCGATAAGATCTCTAACGCCCACCCGCCCCACAGCGTCTTATCGCAAATGAGCCCTCGTCCAGAAAAGTGCTGTGCAGGGGTGCAGGTGAAGCGAACCCTGGCGCCATCGCTTTCGCGCTGTACGACCCGGCGGTCCCACCAGTCGAGCTCGGTCACATGATCGGGGGATAGACCAAGAGAGAGGAACCATGCTTTTACGCCTAGCGTGCAAAAGATGTGAGGAACGGGCTTGCCGTTTGGTCGCGAGATGAGGGCTTTGATTGTGGCCAGGTCCAGATGGTCCTGATTGCAGCGCAAGGCAACACTAAGCGTCACTAGGAGAGAACTCCAATCACTCAAGAGTTTACAGCGCAAAGGTCACATAGTGATTGTGAGAAATAGCGATTGCATCAGGCCAAGCACCTGGTGCTGATGACGAAGCGATCGCATCGACCGTGGTGCATGCATCTGTATACCGTTTGGGGCCTGCAAAAGAGAAAGGTGAACATCGACGAGAGAGGACGGGGTCTGTGATGATGGTGAACGTTCCTCCGGAGAGCACAGGGATCTGCAAATGGCAGCTTGCGTGACTGTGGTTGGGACGGCCGTGAGACAATGAGAGTGCCAGGGGTAAGTAAGAAGATATTCGAACCATACGAGGGATGCTGTGCAATCACTCACCCAAGCCAGGTGAAGCGAATGTCTGATGCATCCCCAGATGTCGCTTCAAATGTTACGATTCTCACAGCCGGGAGCTGCTCCTTTGGAGGTAGCGGCTTCTCATTCCAGTCGAACAACCTCGTTCTGAGGAATGAGAATAAGCCAAGCTGCCTTGCGGATGCCCACGGCGACTTAAAGCCAGCCTTGGTCGGGTCGGCGCCTTGATGGTGCGGCGGCGGCGACCTGCGGCAGAACGCCGGGGCAATCGACTCTGCGTCGCGGCTATTCTGCTGGACCTTGATGAGCGCCATGTCGTTGCTGGTTCGAAGAAGGCATTCACCGCTCGAGAAGCAACGCTCTTCGCTCAACGCCGCTGACGAGATCGACTCTCGCAGCTGCCCGGAGATAAGACGAGGACGTGATCGCAAAGGCAGGACCGCCGCAGAACGGTGGCCTATACAATGGAGGCCCAACTTTGGCACAGCACCAACAGTCATTGGTGCTTTCGGCAACGTGTCACCCAACACATAGAGCGTCGATGCCAAGGGTTACAAATAAGGGGGAAAGAATCAAGGAGCACTAGAGAAAAAGCGTTTCCTTATGCTGGGTACCTACGTAGCCGCTCGCACCTCTGACAGATTTGGGTGTGGACAATGGATGCGCTTGATCGGAGAGCGGAGCTAAGGATATCCGGGAATTGCTCTTCCAAATCCACGGGTCCCAGGTACAACTTCGCCGAATCGGGTGTGACTGCACCCAGGTTATTCATCAAAGTCTACGGAATCCGCGAAGCGGGTATACACCACGGGATTAGTCGGATCGCCACACCCCTTTATTTCCACCTGATCCGCAAAAAGCCTGTTGGACCCTGCGCCCGGCCGCTCTCGGAAGTCGGCGGGCTGGCACCCAGGACCCCTGGCTCTCAATCACTTTGACATATACGGGGAACATGAATATATATATGCCACTGTCACTCTCACCGAACCTTGCTCGCTCGACAGTTGCGGCCTCACCTGTCAGATGACTCTATGGTCGGTAACTTCTTTCGCGCCAAACCAAAAAGCACGGTACTGCCGAGCTTCAGATATTCTGACGGTGTTGCTGTTGCTCGCACCTTTTCCGTGTCGGCAATGCGCGCGCAAGTACCAGTCGTCTAGTTCCTCCACGACGGTGGTTTGCTACAGGGGCCGTCTGCTGATACGTGTTCGCTGAGGTCACTGCAACAGACTTCGATTCCCGAAGGCAAAATTCCCGCTCGACTTCCTCGCCGTCCAGTCCTTCAAATGTTGAAAACGAGATGCAAGGCCGCCAGCTTCTGGGCAGTCCCTTGGGTCGCTGCGCCTTGATGCAACTGCTCGGGGGCCTGCGCCATACTCGCGGTAACTGCCGCTGCTGCGTTTGGAAGGTTGGCATCATCCCTTGCGATCGTGCTGTACCGCTCGGCAGCGACCTCAAAGAAGGGCGCCTGCTCGTTTCGCTTGTGTCTCAAAATACGATCGAAGACTGCAACTCGAGGCTGGAGCGGGCCCCGAAGAGGGTAAATCTTATCGGATTGGTCCTACCAGCACGGCTCGGCTCGACTCAGAGGAGCGAGTGACGCATTGCAAGTAATCATGGATGTGATAAACGTGGCTCAGAGCATCTGGAGCCTAGCGAAATCTGTTGCCTATTACCTTACAGGGCTCGAAAAGGCGACAGTCTCCGGAAGATATCACGACCTGTAATCACCATTGATTGCAATGTACTCCTGTAATGTGCCACGCAGCCAACAAGTATCGTAAATATCAGTGTTGTCCTCTTGAGTCATTCCATGAACGAGGGGTAATAAACGCACCTTGCTAAAATCACAAGTCCAGTATGTAGCCTCTTCGCGCACGCCTTGCTGTTGGCCCCAGCTTCCGCCCTGCAGATCGACGACGATGCTAATGTCCTCCAGGCTGAGCAAGCGCGCAGCAGCATCTTCGTCGACCTCTTGCGGCGTCCCGTTCTCAAGAACGGTCAGTGGCTGTACGTCCGCTGTGCGTGCTTCAGAGGAGGAGAGGGTCGGCGGAAGTTCGAAAGAGACTGTCACGCGCGTGGGGTCAATCGCCCATGCCTCGCTGCTGCCTTGCTGTGTCGCACCAGTGAACGGCGGCAACTTGGCATAGCCTACTGCGCAGAGCACGCGGCCCCAATTCGCGTCGGCGCCGTGCAGTGCGCACTTGACCAACGCGCTGGTGGAGATGGAGCTGGCGATGGCATGCGCGTGCGCGTAGGTTGGCGCGCCACGTACATTGATTGAGACGAACTTAGTAGCCCCCTCACCGTCGCGCACGATCAAATGACTAAGCTCGGTGCAGAAGGCTGTCAGCTCGGATTGGAAGTGTGCGAATTCTTGTGGGTGCGATAGCGCTGAGATCTCTTCGCTGGGCGATAATTGCGCCGTGGAAGAGGAGGAGGAAGACTGATTGACTGCTTGACCGTTTGCAAGAATGAGAATCGTATCGTTCGTGCTCATATCCCCATCTACGCTGATGCAGTTGAACGAACGCGACACTGCGTGTTCGAGGGCCTGCTGCAGCGAGGCAGCTTCGATGGGTGCATCGGTAGCGATCAGGCCGAGCAGAGTTGCGTGCAGTCCTGAGGGCCCAGACATGGCGGGATGGATCATGCCCGCGCCTTTGTCGATCCCGACCATCTTGCATTCCATCCCGGCGAGCTGGAACGTCCGAGTTCGCAATTTCGGGAACGTATCGGTCGTCATGAAGGCACGCGCGACTTGGTACCAGGCCTCTTCGTCGTTCCGCAGAATCTGGCCTGATGCAAGAAAGGGAAGTGTCTTCTTGAAGACAGGCATAGGCAATGGCACGCCGATGACACCCGTCGAGAGGACGAGCGTATCGTCGGCGGACTTGGCTTCCGTTTCCCCCTTTTCAGCGCTGCTTTTCAGCCCCGGAGCGGGAGAGAGGAGCTGCTGCACCATATTCGCGCACTGTTGCGCATCCCGATACCCCTGGTCGCCAGTGACCGCGTTCGCACAGCCCGAGTTGACGAGAACGCTGCGTACCTTGCCCTTGTTGCTCGGGTTGGAAAGCACAGCAGAGGAAAAGAGTACCGGTGCCGCTTTGAATGCATTCTGCGTGAATGTGCCTGCTGCAGACGCCGGGACAGCAGAGACGATCAGCGCTACGTCAGGTTTCGGATCGAGTGGCGGCGCAGATGGGCTCGAAGTTGAAGAGGGCGCGGTCAGCTTGGGCGATATCGCAGCTTTTATTCCGCCGTACGTCGCGGACACGGAAAAGCCGCGCGGAAGCGCTTCTTTATTGATAGGCAGAACGAAGCGTGCGGCCTTGTTGTCCATTGACCCTGATGCAGCGGCAGCGGAGGATGAGAGCATGGCGCGCGATGAGGGCACAGCGCACATCCGAGGCGCGAGGTGTCCACGAACAGCGCGGTGAAGCGACGGACGCAGCATGCTTTGAAGCAGCAAGAAGATCAGGAAACGAAGAGTGAGCGAGCGAGCGTTCCGATGGACTGATTGCTGACAGAAGTACCTGACATGCGCGTACGTTTGATGGAGAGGGCCAATGAAGCCCGACGATGCGTGCATCAGACAGACCGCAACCGGCTGAATGAGTCTGGATTCTAGACACGAGACGAAGTTCATCCTATGCTTTGGCCGAGCGGAATTCGGAATACGACTACTCCCATCTACAGTCAAACACCAAGGTCCCGGCATCTCGTCAGTGAGTCGTTGCCCTCTCTACTTTCAAGTGTCAGCTGATAGAGTTGCGACACCTGGTGGTGCTTACATATGAAAGCATGGACTGATGCATTGCATCCAGTGTGGATTGGATGCAAACCCTATTTTTGGGCTCGCATTTGGTGACACTTGCACCGAATTGCGTCGCCAAGCAAACACTCGCCAGTGAGGGAGTCGACTTCTCGTTGCTCGACAGAAATTTGGACGTTTGAAGTCATCTTAACTCAATGTTATTCATGCTTTAACACTGACAACCGCCATCCTCACCTGATCATCTGGTCCCCAAACGCAACGCGCATAGGAGTGCGCTGGGGCTCAGCTAAGCTCAGCTACGATCTGGTTGCCGCAACGCAGCAGCAGCAAGGCGGGTTGGAGGTCATCGCTCATCCAAGCGGTTGCATTGGCTTTCAACCAGCAGGCCCACTAGCATCATGTTCAAGCAGGACAAGCTGTGGACCGGCAAGCTAGCAGATGCGGACGCCGGCCAAGGGACACCTGCCAGAGCGAAAGATGGAGCTCAACTAGAAGCTGGCCCATCCGCGTCAACACCCGACCCAGAGACAGCGCTCCCTGCGTTTCTGCAGACCCTGCAATCCGCTTTGCAACCACCTACACGTCATGCAGCCCAGCTCCCCAACTCGGCCGACCTCACCTTCCACAAGACGCTCGACCGCCCTTTTGGTCGCAGTGTTGATGCAGAGAGCAGCAGGCTGCTTTCGCTTGTCGAGCGAGTGCGGACATGGGTTGCAGAGAGTGCGCCGAGTGCGAGCGGTCCTGGCAGGCGAGGCCTACTTTCTGCCGGACACAATAGGATCAGTGGAAAGGGAAAGCAGCAGCAAGCGGTCACAGATCGCTCATTAGATGAAGACGAATTTGGGAACACTATGGGTGACCTGATTGACCATCTGCTGGAGCGCGCCGACACTTGCCTTGACGAGTACGCAGGGAAGGTCGTTCCCAAAGCCTCTACATCCATCTCTGCCATTTCAGGGGAACGCCAAATGACTGGGTCGCTCCAAAACGGCAAGAATATGGGAAAGCTACCGCGAGAGCTACTCAACGCATCCATCAATCCATTACCGCAGACGTCGTTTAGCACACCTCCGAACAATCGATCCGACGTCCCTTGGACTCGTCCTTTCAAATTCGGGAGGCCTCACGCCAAACCAACTGATCCGGACTGGGTGCCACCCGTACCGAGAGATGCAGAAGGAAGGCCGCTGCCAGAAGGTCCGCGACAAGGAGCGTACATGATGGAAGACGACCCGCGCAAACATCCTTACCATTACGAGATCATCACTTCCGAGCCACCACCTTTCGCCTTCGAGCAGCCGGGTGGCCAAGACGCAGACGGAAGCAGCGTACTCGTAAAGCCGGCCGACCTCGATCCTGCAAATCCCGAGGGAGAAGCTGGCGTTCCATTTAAATGGGTCCGCACAGTCGACGATGTGCGTCAACTGCTGTTGCACTTACAAGAAGATCGAGTGAAGGATATCGCAATCGACCTGGAGCACCACTCCTTCCGCACCTATCAAGGTCTTGTATGCCTCATGCAGCTTTCGACACGCTGGGGCGACTACATTGTCGACACGCTTTCGGATGAGGTGCGCGAGAACGCCGAGCTGCTCAACGAAGTGTTCGCCGACCCGGGCAAGGTGAAGGTGCTTCACGGTGCTGATCACGACGTGCTGTGGTTGCAGCGCGATCTTGGGCTTTACCTCGTTGGGCTGTTCGATACGTATCACGCGAGCCATGTGCTCGAAATGCCGCAGCATGGCCTAGCGTTTCTCCTGCAGCGCTACTGCGGCTTTGAGGCGGATAAGCGGTACCAGCTTGCCGACTGGAGGATCCGGCCGCTACCGAATCCGATGGTCTACTACGCTCGCAGCGACACGCACAGCCTGCTGTACATCTATGACCGCATCCGAGCGGAGCTGAGCGCGAAAGCGGGAGGCATCGCTAGTGGTCGCGAGGCGATTCGGCAGGTTTTTGAGAGGAGCAAGCGCACTGCGACGAAGGTGTATGCCAAGCCCGTCTGGAGCGAAGAAGGCGAGGGAAACGATGGGTGGAGGCAGCTGTGGAGTCGCATGACGCTCGAGGGCAGGAAAGAGAAGGAGGAGAAGGCGCTGCTTGGGCTGGAGCACAGTAAGGAGATGAGACTTGTCAAGGCCGTTCACAAGTGGCGAGACGAAGTTGCGAGAGAAATGGATGAGAGTCCACGGTGGGTCACCTCTCTCTCTCAAGTCTGCTGTACGCAGTTACTGACAGTCCATTCCTGCACTCCTTTGTTCAACTCACGTGTCCACAGGTACATTCTCTCCGCGGCACATCTCCTCTCACTCGCCAATCGCGCACCACGCACCAAAGCAGAGGTGCTCGCGCTCTTTTCACCAGCGCTCCCGGCGCTAAGGAGCCGTGCCGACGAAGTGGCCGCGCTGATCGACCGGGAAGTGATCGCCTGGGAACAGGAGCGAGACACTGCGCGGGAGCGCGTGATCAGCGGGCTGCCCGTAGGACCGGAAGTTATGATGTCGGATGGGGATGAGGGTGAAGATGCGGGCATCGTCATTGCTGCTCCTGTTGCTGCTGTGCATGTGGCAGCTATGCAGGTCAACACAGCGATCTGGCCTCTTTCACCACAACAACCGCACTCGTCTTCAACATCGTTGATAATCGAGACGTCCATCGCTACTCCTTCAGCACCACGTTTGTTAGCACCGCAAAGCGCCCTGTTCGACGCTGCTGATGTCCGGCCGCATGCAGTTGTTCGTGACGCGCCCACTCAGACGTTAAAGGCGGCAAAGAAGGCGAGGGCGACGCGCTCGCTATTCGCCATGCCCGAAAGCGGAAACCCATTCGCCAACGTCAGTTTGCAGGATCAAGAATGCGGGGAAGAGCGAGAAGAGCATAGAACGCGCAAGGTGAACACTATCCGGCGTGAATTTGCAACTGCGATGGTGCATGTCTTGCAAGACGGTCTTGTCAGCTCCACCACCCGTCTCCCGCCGCTCCTGGCGGCGGCTGACACAGAGTCAACAGAGCAAGCTGATGCGAATTTGAGTATGGAACCCGAGACCGTTGCTTTCGTGCCAAAAGCGCAGCGCAAGACTATTGTCGATCGTACGAGCAGTCGATACGATTCGCTTTTCGTGAAACAAGCCCCGGCATCATCCACAGTTGAAAACGTGGATTTCGCGATGGCAGCTGACGATGCGATGGCGCAAAATAGGAGTGCAAATGGCCATACGCCTGCTGGTACAAATGCGAGTGTCGACAAAAGCGAAGACGTTGATGCCGAAGTCATCCAAGTGGGACGCAAGGTTGATGAGGACAAACTCTCCCGGCGACAGGAGAAGAAGAAGCGGAAGCGGGAGCTCAAGCAGCAGCAGCAGGTAGCATCTGCGGCAGGGGACTCAGCAAGCGTAGACGGAGATGCTGATGGCGCCGCTGCGCGCATGGACGAGCAGGGCGGCTCGCCGAATATCTCGAAACGACGCAAGAGCGGCAACAAGAGCCAGACGACGGCCGAATATGATTTCTCAAACGAGCTCAGCATCCTCGACGCTCCTCGGCCTTCCAAGCCAGCGCCAGCGTCTGCGCCGAAGAAGAGCAGTGGTGTTGGCAAAAAGGGCAACAGCAAGGCTGCTGGAGCTGGCGGGAAAGCAGCAGGAGGGCAAGGGCCAAGTGGCAGCAGCGCACCGAGGAAGAGAAATGAGCTGGGAAGCGGGAACAAGAGCTTCACGTTCCGGTCGTGAAGCAGAGTGCATCTGTAGTATGTTCAGTCGGTGAAATTCTCACGTCTGGTACTACCGAACGTCCCCGATCAGCATGAGTGTGTGTGCATGTGCGAACGCACTTGCAGAATTTGTCTTAATATCACAGCTTGATTGGGAGGAGTTAGTGATCATATGATGTGACTGGGGAAAGAAAAAGAAAGAATTGGAGCCAAGCTGATGAGGCTGAGACAGCGCGGCACACCCCACACATGGCGGCACAGTCAGGGTTAATAATAGCTAATGCCCCCAAAGGCAGCGCTTATAAAGGTGCATGCCGTATGTACAAGCATGAGTCTTCAAAGCCATTGTCTAAGAGCAAGTCGTCGTATCAATGCTACCAGACACAGTGCAATCGTGAAGGTGACGACAGGCGCTGTCGACGTTGGAAGTCGTGTTGCCACCGTAGTGACCTTCAAGGCGAAACCCTTGATCCCGATAGCAGAGCCCTGAAGAGGCACAACAACGACCACAACAATATACAAGTCACTCCTGCGGCATCGCCACTTGTACTCGATTGCTCATTGCGTCCCCGAAACAGATCATCAACCTGCCCATCTTGGCCTGGGCATTCACGAGCGAACAAGGAAGCAAAGAGGCAGGCAGAGTGCATCGCGTCAACATTTCCGAACAGGTGGCGTCCAGCAGGCGCGCGAGCTCGAGTCAGGACGGCGAGAATAGGCCGGACGAGTCCGTCAGTGGAGGCGGCGGTAGTGCCGAAAGCATCCTCCTAGCGACTAGCAGTGGTCTCCGCAGGAGAAATAGGAATTCTTTGGGCAGCCATCTGCTGGCTCGAGCCGCTGCGAGTGCCGCGGTCACCACATCATCACGTCCAACGGCACCTGCTGTTACTCTCATAGCTACACCCAGTGCAACTACGCATGCACGGAGGCCAAGTGCACACGTTTCAGGGCTGTCACTCAACGGAAACATCGAATGGATCGACCCCACCTCAATTACTGCGTCCGGTTCGTCGGCAGGTGGTCCAAGCACTCGTACAACCAGAGCTAGATCAGAAAGACTCGGCGAGCAAGACTGCATCGAGACAGCCGACACTGACACTTTGCACGGCCAGCCCCGGGCCAAGCGAACACGAATCGATATGAGCAGCACTGATCGAGCAGAAGCGCAATTCAGACCAAGCTCGATGTCGAGAGATTCAGCGACTGACACTTCCTTGGGCGAGGGATCAAGTGTGGGGCCAGCAGACGCGGATGCGAACATGAGCATGTCTGTCACTTTCGAGCTGCCGCCAGGCGCGACTTCCGGTATGGATTCCACGTCGTCATCAACATCATCTGCAGTTGGCGCAACGGCATCGGGCTCAGTGCTTACGTTGGACACGTCTGCGGAAAGTCCAACGCTGTTGCCCATCACAGACGCCGGCAATCCGCTTATCTCGCCCGTCGTCGGCACCGCGTCTTCCGCTTCTTCGCATGACTATGCGTCGGCCGGAGAAGGCCTCTCCGAGAGCGTACACAATGGTGCAGCGTACGGGCGCAGCGGGGCTCTTGGGGTGCTAGGTAATGGCAGTAGCGCTTCTGGTCACAGCGGGCTTTCGCAAAGCGGAGCTGCTGCTGTTGGAAGTTCAGGATCTTTACGTGGAGGAGGAGGTAGCAGTGGCGGTGGAGCGAAGCCGCGCGCCGAGGGCAGCCGCCGAGGTTCCGTTTCCAACGGTGGCAGCACAAAGACGACGGAACACCCCAATGGGTCCATGTCTCGGCTCGCGAACGGCGGAAATTTGGGTCCCAGTGCGGCATCGATCGCTCTCGGTCTGCCTACCGACGACGGACACTTCAGGCCGCTCCATGAGGGAAGCACAGTCGATGCGAGAGAGTTTGTCAGGCTCACGCTGCAGAGCCTTCGAGACCTAGGATTAGAGTGAGTTCTAATAGAATCATTTCAACAGTTCGTCTTTGCGGTAACATTGCCATTCACAAATCAACAATGTCCACACAGATCAGCGGCAAAAGCGCTTGAGCAGGAATCCGGCGTGACTCTCGAACACCCTTCCATCAATGCCTTCCGCGGCGCCGTCCTCACCGGAGACTGGCGCAATGCCGAGCGACTTCTCCTTGACGGGCTGATGTACAGCGCGTCGCGACGGCCACATTCATCTGTGACAGTCGCGGTCACAGCCGCACAAGCAGACGGTGGAAAGAACGGTGCGCCTTCCGCGAGCAGTAGTGGCGTGATGAATGGTGTTGGGCACTCAGCAGCGCCTGCACATGCACCAGCTGTGCAAATCGAGAGCGTCTTGCGATCTCCAGAGACTAGGAATTGGGAAGTGCGTTCACTACCACATCCTTTGCCCGAGCAAACAACATTCGAGCACATGACTGACACGTGCTACTTATGCTCTTTATTCCGCAGTACATCAAGTTTCTCATCCAGCAGCAACGATATCTGGAACTTTTGGAAGCCAAGCAGACTGCCAAGGCGCTTTCGCTGCTGCGACGGCGTCTGGCGCCCCTCAACTATGGTTCAGAGCGGCTGCAGCAGCTTTCGAGCTTAGTAATCTGTGCTAGCTCAGAAGAGCTGCGTGAAAAGGCACATTGGGAAGGGACAGGCGAGGCGTCCAGACGAAGACTCTTGCGGGAGATTGAAGGTGCGTTCGCAATCAACGGTGACTTTGCGTTCCCCTCAACCACATTCTCGCTGAAATGTGCTCTTATGATAACAGAGGCCATCTCACCTCTGGTCATGCTGCCTTCGAGACGCCTTTCAACGCTCCTACAGCAAGCACAGACACTGCAGAAGCACCAGGACCCTTTCTATAACAATCCCTCCAATACCCATCTCTCACTCTATGTTGACCACCGCTCCAACCGCTCTCATTTCCCTTCGCGCTCGGCACGTGTCTTAGAAGGCCATACGGACGAGGTCTGGGACATTGCGTTCTCTAACGATGGGTTGCGACTGGCATCTGGCAGCAGAGACCGATTCGTCATCATCTGGAGGGCCGGAGAGACGTTCGAGATTGAGCGCAAGCTTGGTCCGCACCAGGATGCGGTCCACTGCGTTGCCTGGTCACCCGACGGGGAGCTTCTCGTTGTCACTTCTGATCCGGACGTGACACTCTGGGACGTAGCGACGGGCAAGAGCAAGCGCCTCACAGAGCACATGTACCGCGTCGGCGCCGCTTGCTGGGTCCCAGACGGCTCGGGGTTTATCACAGGAGGCGAAGATGCCAAGGTGGTGTTCTGGAATCGGGATGGCAGCGTCAAGAGAGTCTGGCAGACAGCGCCATTCAGGTTGATCGCCCTTGACATTTCTGCTGACGGAAAGCATCTTGTTGCCGTTGCATTCCGGCATTCTGCACCGCCTCAGCATGCACAAGGCAGCGTTGCGAGCAACAGCAATACCTATCACACTTATCATGCTACTAGCACGTCGGGAGCGCCTATGGTCGACATGTCAGATGTTCGCTCGAGCTTGCGCTCGTCGACTTCCCCGCGCAGCTGGAGCGGCACTCCATCATCCATTTCCAGCAATGAGGCAGACCACAACCTCGCCACTGATCTCGGAGGGGGCTCGCGAAGCATGGGTGACGAGCGGTACAAGATCGTTTTCTTTGACTTGCATCGGCACGTCGAGACTGGCTCGATCTACATGGCAGAGGAGATGAGCTCGGTTAAGATCAGCGAAGACTCGCGATACGCATTGATCAACCAGCGACCAAACGAGGCCAGGCTGTGGGACATTGAACATCAAAGCATGGTGTCCCGCTATTTTGGCCATCAAATGACGAAGCACATCATTCGTAGTTGCTTTGGCGGCGTGGACAAAAGCTTTATCATTAGTGGTAGCGAAGGTGAGGCACTGACCCAATTATCTCAATTCTATAAACGTTTGATCTAACCGTCCATTGCCCGCCTCGCAGATGCCACAATCTACATGTACCACCGCGCGTCTGGCCGACTGTTAGAGAAGCTCGAAGGTCATGGACCGGGCTGTATCAACTCAGTTGCTTGGCATCCAACGAACGCAGCGATCCTGGCATCGTGCAGCGATGATCGGACAGTGCGGATATGGGGACCCGGGACATCCCAATCCGGTTACGCACGCATCCATTCCACCTCCATCTCCACTCGGCCCAAAGTAAGGGAGGAGCGGCAGGATGGTAGCGAGGATTCGTCGAATGGTCCGACGCCGTTTCCGTGGGCTATGTCACCGGCCCCACAAGCTCCTGGCTCACCATTCTTCCCGACTGTTCAGCCGTCATCTGACAATGAAGATGACGAGGCGATGGAGGAGGCCATCTGAGAACATGTCACAAGTTTTAATTACATGCCCCCATACTCCCTCGCACACGCATTCAATATCGCCTGATGTTACATACATTTTCTTGTATGATATACGCAATCACCAGCACAGCACACCAATCACCACAACCCATATCAACAATCTAACCTCAGGCGTACATTGCAGAATCGATTATAGTTCGTCGACATCCCTGCGAACCCGCCCTTCGCTTTTTCCTTCCTGACCCTGGTCATGCTCACGTGCGCCACCAGCGGCTGCGTAGTGCTTTTCAACGCGTTCATAGAGCGTCTGCTCTCGGAATTGCGGCGCCATCGTGCCACCGGCTGTGCGCAGGTCATTTGCATCGAATGTAACATCAACGCCGTCGAATTCTTGCGCCTGCTGCCGTTCCTCCGCTGGATCGATGCCGAGCACCCGCATGAACAGTTCGGACATGACCTTCATGCGCTCGTGCGCGGACGCCACGTCCGACTCTTCTTCTTCTGCTGCTGCTTTCCTCTTCACGGTGGCTTGCTTTTGCAATGACTGGGTGCCGGGAGGCTTCTTGCGCCGTTGAAGCAGCACATGCCGATCCCGCTCCATCATCTGCGTCAGCTGTGCGCGAAGCTGCGTTTCCAAATGTTCCCACTGCTCCCGCTGTCCCGGGGGCTCGCGCTTGCCTGCTGCTCCACCCCCAGCCCCAGCCCCAGCACCGCCGCCTTTCGCTTGGCGTTGCCGCCGGATGGATGCGAGATCGGTGGGCTCGATCTTGATCTCAAGCATCTCGTGGCCCTCTGGTGCTGCAGCGCCCTGCGCGATCGCCTCTTGCAGGAGGGTGTCGAGCCCGAGCGCTTCCAACTGGTCCGAAGGGATGGTCATAGTGTCCAGCACAATTGCGCCGTTCTCATCGATGCGCATGACGAGCAGCGCTTCATCAGGGTACTGATGATGCACTTCGCTTTCCTGCTGGGATGGACTGGGCACTTGCGCCTGACCATCCTGGGGAGATCCTTTCTGCGCACCCCTCTCTTGCCCGTAGGATCCCTTGCCCTCCTCATGTGCTTGCCCCAACGCCTCTTCATGGGTATTTCTGCGCTGCTCCTTCTCCAATCTGAGCTGCTCCTGTTCCGCATCTGCCGCACCCAGATCTTCAGCAGCGGAAGCCACCGATCCGATGCTAGGCGCCACTTTTCTGCTGCCACCCACCTTTGCGTTCATCCCTGAGGCAGTAGCGCCAGCAGCGGGCAGCGGGACCCAATCATCCGCAACGATGGGCCGACAGTGGATCTCATTGACGTGCTCATCCTGACCGACGAGGAATGCGGGCTCTTCGCACAGGCGTGGCGTCTCGATGACAATGACATAGTTGCACGTCGTCACCTCTTTGATTAGAGCGATACGTTCCTTTGCTTTGCGATTGCAGTGGTACTGGAAGGCGAGCGGCCAGGATATTGAAACTTCAATTCATAAGAGCGCGCCAATTGTACAGACCTCGATGCGGCTGCTCACCTGAACCTCAGTCATACGCGGCTCTCCGTTGACCTTGCAGCGTGTGCCGTCGGTCCAGGGCTGCGCGAGATAACGCTGCTCCTCGCCTGCTCCAAAACGGGTGACCTCCATCAGCTCCGTTCCTGACGCTGCACTTGTCGCTTCCGACGTGCGATCGTGCATGATTGCTGCGGCAGGCTCGTCCTTGGCGAGCTTGTGGGAGGAACCGTCCTCGATGGTCCCCTTTCGCACCTCCCTGCGCCTTCGCGGATGTTCATCGTCTGAACGGCCTCGCTCCCATTCGGTGAAATGCAACTTGGTCCCCGCGATGGTCTCCACGCCTCGATTCCATCGACCCAGCACGTACGCATCGGAATCCTTGTCTTCAATCGGTTCCTGTGGCGGGATGAGGGCTTTGAAGTTGGTGCCCGCCAGTTCGGACGGAAGCTTGACCTCGTAGACGATCTGCCCGTGCTCGAGTTGGCGCTCGACGATCTGCGATTGCGCCTGTCGGCGCTGTCGGCGTTGCTCCTCTTCACTCAAGGTAGAGGAGGCGCCAGCCTGGTGCGCTTTCTGCTGCTGCGTCGCTGCGACGTTGACGGCGGTGGCAGGTGGGAGCGCCTTGAATTGGCGGATACTGCGGCCGTGGCAGAAAGCGTAGGTGAACCAGTCGGCCGTCTGATATAGACAGTAGTTCTTCAGTGGTTCAAGCAGCGTGAGGCCGTGTGCAATGATGCGCTTGCGTTCTGATTCGAGTGCAGCGACTGCAATCTCCTCCTGTCGCGCATCGGAAGTGCCAGATGCGTTGTGCAGGATTTGGTGCAGATAGGCTGATGACGAGTAGAGGGCTTCATGCGCCAAGTCTGTGCGCGGTGTTGGGATGTGGCACAAGTGCACCGTATCCCGACTACTGCGAATTAGCTGGTGCGTCCCAGGGCCACGGCCGTTTGCGGTGAGCGACGGGTTTGCGGCACATCCCTGTCCCGCAACAAGTGCCGCCTCAGCGGTAGGAGCACGAAGGGATAGGTCGGACGATGAGGCTTGCAGAAAATCTAAAGCGCTAGCATTGCGAACGGGATTCTGGTCATCGTAGATGATCTTGAATGCTGGCTGGGCGTACAGGTCTTCTGGAAAGCGCTGCGAGGATAGGCCGGACCCGCGACCGGGCCTTCCCAGCCGTAGGTGAGAGAAGGCGTGCCGAGAATGCTGATCCTCTCCGGAAGCGGACCCCTGCTCCTGAGTCTGATGCCCGAAAGTGTGCTCGTCGGATGGCTGTCCAGTGGTCGTCTCTGCCGACCCCCCCCTCGCTGTAACGCTAAGCTGGGCGAGGAACGCTGCCACAAGGAACGCGACGAGGAACACCGTCCTTGGGCCCCGCAGGCCGCGGCGCTGTACTCTCGCACGGTTCATTGTGTTGCCAAGTGCGCCCGAATCATCGTCTGTGCGGAAGTTTGGTACGCCTGCGACTGACCGTGGACGCCTCTGCCCGTATCGGATGCCAGACTGAAGGCTGCTTTGCTTGTATGTATAGAAGTAGCCATGTAGCTTGGCGGTTTGACTCGATGGATGTGGGAACAGAATCGGTGACTTTCGCCTAATAAGTTGCCGATCACGTGCCGTTTTTCTTCGGCAGTGTCGGCAGACGGACAGCGACAAGTGGAGTTGGAGCAGACTTGGCTCATCGTGTGGCAGTGTTCCCTCGAAGCATCGAACAAACGTCACCGTCTCCCGACCTCGTCGATAAGGGCGGACAGAAATAGGTATGACCCTCGGACGGAGAGCAGGGTCCCTCGTACTAGATAGTAGAGAAGCGATCCCACTCCTGAGGGTTCGGCTTTTGATTCAACCGACATGGCGCTCGATCCGCAACTGTACACGCTGCACTTTGCGCGCCGTCTACGGCAGCAGGACACAGTCGATATCGTGAGTGTCACGCTGCTGGCTTCGCCGGCAGGTAGGGATAGCTCTTCGTCCTCAGTGCTGACCGGATCAGCCGCTTCTCTGTCATCAGGTCGAGGCATCGTCGAAAGACACTTCGCACCCCCTCTACATCCGACAGAGAGCGCGACGGTCACCAATCTACGACACCATCCTGCTTGATGGCCTACTCGACCAGCCTCTGGCATCCGTCTCCTCCGCCTCGTCCTCCAATCGAACCAAATTAATCAAGCTGCACTATCCGGAATCCTCGACGCAGCTTCAAAAGCAAGGCCTAACGTTCGCGCAGGAATGGAGGTTCCAGTGGGAGGGCTCCACGTACGCTTGGAAGCGCGAGTCGTCATTCGGCGGGGGCGGGCCAGGCAAGAACGAGTATAGTTGCTGGGCGATACGCACGCCCGATCCTAACATATGGATCAGCATCTACAAGCCTATTATAGGTGGTGTGAGACGCAAGGGTGGAGCCATCCCGAACGGTGTGGACAACGGCAGCAAGCAGCGGCAAGAGCCACTGTCCGCCGTTGAGGCATTCATGCAAGTCCTCGATCACAATATTGCACGCATAGACCCAGCCGTGCAAGATCGCAAAGGGCTCGAGATCGCCATGCTCATGGCCCTCTGCTCGATCCTTGACCAGGATTACGATGAGAAGTACCGAGATCCGTCGGAGAACATGTACTTGTCCACCACGCCCTGTGGCTCCGGGAGCTTGGGCGCGCAAAGCGCCGGTGCAAGCAAAGATGCTGATAAGAAGGGTCTCGTTTCCAATGTGGATTCTCTATTGCTCAAAGGCAGGCAGCACTCATTTGGTGGTAGCTCAGATGGCGTCGAAGTGGGTCCGCATGTGCCATTGCGCCTCGGCAGACGAGCTAACTAACAAGTCTTCCCTCCCCGTCAGACGTCTCCGAACGAGATTCATATCAAAGCGTGGGGTGAAGTTTCCGAATACGTGTCACACTGCATAACGCTCTTGCGAGATGATGGCCCTGCTCCACAGTCTTCATTGGAGCAGACATCGAATAGTCACGGACATGGACTATCGATCATCCTCCTGAAGACTTCTTCACCAGAGACTGCGCAGAAGGCTGTCGCTGTCGCTGCGGGAGTCAAGGCTGCATTCTACCGTCTTCCAGAAGAGAAGAAGGGCAAGAATTCTGGAGAGGAGCTATTCCAATACTTACGAACGGAGGATGTGCCTCGTGCTGGCCCTTCGTCATCAGCGGACGGCGACGCAGCGGCAGCGTTGTCATCACCATCGAGAGCGAGCAAGCCAGGTGGGCGGCCCATTATCAAGCTGAACGCGCCGCCGCCCGGCCCACCAGCCCCTCCCAAGCCCAAACCGGAGCCGTCCAAAGTGCATGGGAGCACTGCGAATGCATCGTACATTCCGCCCTCGTCCCTGACGATCTACCTCTCGAAAGAACGAATAGCAGAGCTCGAGCCGAAAGGCCAGCCTGCACCGCGTATACCGCCGAAGGGGTACTCTACAGCAGGAGCAAAGTCGCCGTCAGCGCCAGCGCAGCACTCACCACCGAAAGCGTTCGTGCCGTCCGGTCACCGGCCGCCGCTTGCGGCTCTGCCGTTCGGCTACGGCGTAACCGACAGCAGTGGCTCACCGATAAGCACGGGAACAAGCGCGAGCACGAACATGACAATGGGTATGCAGCTGGGTGGCCCATTTCGCCCGCACAAGAGTTCGTCGCGGCCTGCCAGCACAGGTGAGCCAGCGTCAGAGGAAGCGGGCAGCGGAGTTAAAGACGGGCTCAAGGGGAAGTTATTTGGCAAGCTGGGCATCAAGAATTGAGGCCTGTGGATGCCGTCCATTGTTTATTCCTTGTCTCCTGCGCATCATTTAGCTCTCACTCGTGTATCAGCGCACAACTCCAGCTTGCACATTTCGTTGAGGGTGGCGTTAAAGTCTGTTTGGATTTTGGATACCGTGAGGTATGGGCAAGCCAAAAAGGAGCAGTGCATCGGGGTTGGGGACGTCCAGTTTCCAGGCACCCACCTCTTTTTTGGCTGTCGCTGCAAGTTCTCCAATTCATCTGTCAGGCCGGCTCGCATGCTCCTCTATCAAGCGAGGCCATACATCTCTAACGGGTCTGAACATCAGCTTCCGCTGGCCAACGGCTTCCAAGCCTACCGTGCGAAGCGTGCATAGGCCTTTCGGAGTCGTGCAGCGGAGTCGGAGGCGCCAGCGCAACGCTCGGCCACCGAGCACGGTACCCCCAGTTGCTTGCCCAACCATCCGCGGGGGAGAGGGGATCGTCTATCGGCTGCGAAGCTGTGGATCAGCTACGCGCGGGTCAATGGATTCGTACGAGATGCGAGAGCTTCGGCCGTCAGTTTCAAGTAAAGGGCCCCGGACTGGAAGGACTGGTCGCAGAATTAGAGCAGAAAGCGGCACAGCCAAGCTCGTCAGCGTTGTCGGAGCTCACGGCCGACTCGGCGCAGAAAAGCACACCGAAGTTATCTGCAGCTCTCAACAGAAGCGCCTGCGTTAAATGGGGCTCCACCCAAGACCAAAGCCAAATACGTGTCACTTCTACAGCGCTGCGAGCTTTGCCATCAGAGAAAAAGCAATTTCTCCTGTGACACTATGCAGCGGCTGTGAGCTGGAAACCACCGCTATACAAGGTGCGAAAACTAAAGCTTGCATGCGAAGCACAAGGCCCCAAGCTAGGACAGCTAGTTGCAGCGTTGGACCAACGAGCGGCACAGCAAGCTCATTCAGGTCATCGCACCGGACCGTGAACAAGGCGCAGACTTGGTCAAGGCGAAGCAGAACATGAAGACAGTCGATGCCACTGCCCATGGTCCCACTCCACCCCGGCCAATGGAGGCCATGGATCCGTCAGAACACGCCAGCGGCGTGTTGGACAGCAGGCCTACAGATACTTGCACGCCACCGCTTCAATCTAAGTACGCGAAGCTGCACCTTACACGGCGCTGTGAACCTTGTCGTCAAAATAATTATTCACCCTGCTGCGCTTTGCAACGGCTATAAGCGGGCGACTGGCGTTGCATGCGATGCGCGACCCATCACCTGTAATGCTTGGTCAAAGGGCAGAAACTAACCCCGCTGGTTGCGAAATGGGAGCAGTGGAGGGTTCTTCATCAGACCATGGAGACGGCACACGACGGCAGACCACAAAGGTTGGATATACCCACAGCGGCGAGTCCTTCAAGCAAAGCTTCACAGGCTGCCGCGAGGTCCGAAGACTCTCGGCAGGTTGGTTTGTCTCCACTTCCAAACTATGGAAGCTTGATGGCAGGAAAACTCTTGCCGTCGACAGCTTTGAGATCCGCATGCGCGTGTTCAAAAGAACCTTGTAACGAAGTGAATTCACAAGCTCTCCAAGCTGCAATTACAAGGTTTCCTGCGCAACCGATCGAGCTCTTGCCGAGGCCATCTGCAGCTGGCGCGCAAGCTAGCCAAACAAGCCAAACAAGAACCCTCTCAGACAAATCAGAGCCTTCTCGTGCGTCTTCGGAAGCAAATGTCCGACTCAGATGTCGCAGCCTAGCATTGGGTGCCAGTCACCTTTTTGGCTTGGGGCTCATCCCATACTAGCGCTCTGTCCCGGGCACAAGGTCGCAACGTCGAATCTGTGGAGCACTTCAGTTATCCTATTTTCCCGCTGCTTGGAGACTCGTTTTGGGGCCAGATTTTAAGAAACGAAGTGATTGCCGCCCCAAGTTCGAACGGAAATGGTCTTGGCATGCCCGATCTGAACTTGTCGCTCATGATGCAGTCATTTTGCGCCTTCATAGCTGATTAGTCTACCTATCATTCTCCGGCTCTTTGCGGTATTTAGTCTCGCTGGTCATCCTTCAAATACTTGTTTCGTTCAGAGGCCCCGCTTTCGACGAATGCAGAGCCGCTGCCCGGCATGCTAGTGCTCGCCATCTTCTGTAACAGAATGAGTAGCCTTCTCCACTCTGACTGTTGCTTCGAGTTGCAGCACCGTCTCGCCGTTCGATTCGCACAGCTTGCCGCCAACAATCTCGCATTTGTCGACGACCTCGGCATCGATGCTGTGCAAGCACATTGCTTGATTCGAGAAATAACACTTTCGGCCACGACCGGGACACGATGCTCGAAGCCATCAATGTAGACACACATACACCTTTTGCAATCGACTTGGTCTCCGCGCTGAGGCGCTTGCTCGCTGGGTCCTGCATCTGAAGCTACATCTGCACACAGAGGACGCTAGCACAGCTCGTAAGACCGTAATATTTTGGCTGATTACCGCATTGGACTCGCCAAGAACATAGAGCCTGGGGCGGAGGCAACTTCTCGTTTCAAGGATGTCAACCCGCTCTATCACGACCGTCGCCAAGGAAACGGTGACTTTTTGGATGGCACGTGCGATTTGCCACTCGACGAACGCCTAAACATTGAGTCGCTGCAGATTGGGATTGCGATCGGTCAATTGCTAAAATTTTCATGGTGCAAGACCTATTCAAGAGCAAGAGCTTCATCCGCAACATCGCGATCGAAGGTGCGCAATGTGCTTATGACAAGCTCGGATAAGTGACTTTGTACGCTGAAAGCGAGGCGAACAATGGCTTGGCGGAAAGTATCGAAATCCTCGTTACACCGATTGACAGCACGCTCCATACCTCGCCGACACTTAAGATCTTCTGGCTGTGTGGCGGGGCCCCTCCGATCATTGGTATAGATGCGGATTGCAAAGCCATCGATGAATCTTGCGTTGCTAGTACATTCGATTGGCATAAAGACAAGAATACAAGCGTTATTGCACACAAGTATATGTGTTCAGGTCGCTGTAGAACACACAAAAACATTTGATCTGTGTTTAGCGGTGCAAGCGATGCCATCGTAGCAATCTCACCTCCTTTCGTCTTTTACATCGTCGTCACCATCCTGACGACGCCATGGGGTTTCGTCAAGCCAACCGCCTGCATCCACATCTGGTTTGGGCTGATCCTTGTTCTGATCCTTGGAAGGAGCTGCGGCTGCGGGAAAAGTCGACTGGCTCCTATTTCGTAATGTCTCCCCGCTACTAGCCTGATCGTCATGCGTTTGAAGAGCGTCTGCTGCCTTTTCGTCTCCTCCATGCTCGTGTTCATCGCTCTTTTTATACCTTCCTGCGCTGTGTGTATTTCTCGCAGCACGCTTTGCAAAAACTCGTTCCTTTTTCCACTTGTAGCTCTTCAGCACGACGTCCGGACCCGTGCCAGTACCTGGGCCGGAGTACCACTGCGTTGGATAGCGCTTGGAGCCGAGGTTCATCCATAGAAGCGCCCAGACGAGCATGACACCGCTACTGATCATTACGACTACAATGTAGCGCCAGCCGAGGTGCTCGACGGGTGCAGAAGTCGCTGCTAGTAAAGCCGTCGCACCGCCCGGCGGGTGTACAGTGCTGCAAAACAATGTGAAATGGTATTAGGACGAGTACGTTTGCGTGTATGCTGCAATTGGGGCATACTTACTTGGTCAGGAACATGAACAGGAGCGCTGTGGCGGTTGAGCAAGCGCCAGCGACCCAGACAATATTCCAAGAATGATTCGTCAGATCGAGATTGTACTTGCTGCTCAGCTTGAACAGCTTCGTCACCACGACGCCGATGATTGCGCTGGTCACCTGCCCGCCGAGGAATGCCCATGGCTGGCCCAAAGGCGACGCAGGCGCGCCGAACAGCAGGACGCTGGATGCGCCGAAACTGCCGATGATGACAGGTGTGGTCCAGCTGCTCGGCAGCTCTTCCGGGATGTGCGCTGTATTGCGAAATGGGGTACTGCAGGTGAAGATCAACGCGATACAGCCTAAGCTGACGAACGCGCCAACCCAGGCCCAAAGCCACGTTTCGAGCGTAGGTCCCAGGAGACGGACGAGCGGTCCCAGGATGGGCTTGGAGCTCGAGGTACGGTGACCGAGAAAGTGCGATATGAACGATGGAAGAGTGGAGAGAATGCGCTGTTCTCGTGACGAATTGGGCGCCGGTGTTTTCGCACTTTTTCCCTTTTCAATGTCTCTTTGAATTTGCCTTTGGTTCTCAGGTGGTTGCGGCGATGGCCGACGTATGGGCTGGTGAAGGTTCGGCGCTGTGCCATAGTAGTAGTGCGGATCTCGAAAAGCTGCTGCTGCTGGTGCAACCCTTCCCCTGCGCGACTGAGACCGGGAGCGAGACTTCGACAGATGTTTTGGGCTGTAAGCATGCGTGCGCGCCACTGGGTCGTACGAGTGGCCATTTGGATTGACGGCCACCGTTGCTGGCGACTCGTCAAAGCTGCCCCAAACGGTCCTACTCTCGCTGTGCCACCGTGTCGCTGACGGCGGTGCACGAGCGTCCAATTCGGCCGCATGGTGCATGATTGGCATGCGAGACTGTCCAACGAAGGATCCGCGTGATGTCGATCGTTCGGAAATCCAGGACGGAGCGTCAGGAGAATGAGACGCGAAGCGGGTTGGCGTGTGCGGTTGGCGTGAGGGGTGACGCATCCCGCTGCTCATCGAGCCTTCTCGTGGCTCCATATTCGCGCTTGCGTTCGCACTATGCCCCTCTTCCAGGGCAGGTGGCGGTATGAAATACATTCTGTCAAAGCCAGGACGAGCGCATCATAACTTGTACTCCGCAATGTTGGCAGCCAATGGTTGACGACTCGCCGTGTATTTTAGGAACGAGACGGTCGAATCTGTATGCAGAGCAGAATACGGGTGGTTGCAGGTAGACTCTTGGAATCGCTTCACTCACGACCGCAGTCCTTGTTGAAGCAAGCAGGATTGCTAGGGTCAGTAGGAATCAGGGCAAGGCTTTTTGCGGGGACAATGGATGATGAGAGGACTTGATTGACGTGATCGGAGCGAGTTGGGCGGCGATTTCGCCTCCCAAAAGGCAAAGTTAAACGAAACCTAGACCACACCATGATCCGTTCAGTCACGGGCCTTTGTCTCTCTCTTTACTTGTCTAGTAGCGCTCATCCATTTCCTCGCGGCGCCCGAGCAGCAGCTGCCGCATACTTACATAATATATATATATATATATATATATATATATATATATACACGCTACGCTTCCCTCCATCGCAACCAGCTCAATCAATTGCCACTTCGCGGGTGTGGGTCCAGACTGTAACATCGGTCGGACCACAGCGGAGCGTAGAGAACACAAACAGACATCAGGTGGGCACAGCTACAATGCCAAGGCTAGATTGATGAAGGTATTTTGACGCGAGCCCCAACTGCATATTTATTTACCGCCATCGGGGACGTACTTGGGCATCTGCTCGCAGCTAGCAGACATTCAAGGCAATGTGCATCTTCTCAACATCCCGTTGCATTAATGCCTAAAGCATGAAGGCTTGTATTTCGCGAGTCTTTTCATTCTCGATAATTACATGTGGTATCGCAGGCGCAAGGGGGGCAAGGGTGCTTATGCCAGTGCACAGGGACCGTCGCTCGAAGCTGTGCTCGTTTCCCAGGCGCAGGGAAATGTTTTGACAACACTTGGCCTCGTCGACCAGTACGACGATCGGACAGCTAAGGACAAACGCCCGAAAGCCGATGACGGAAAGCAGATGCAGGACAAAAAGCATTTCACACTCCCATCGCCGACTTCGACGCCAACACCTCTCTTCGATTCTTGCGCAGTGGTCTCCGTCACGGAGTTCCATCACGAGAAGGACTTGCATTTCTCAAGCGGCTCGGCTAACAGCTGAGCGCTGCGCTGGCTGTCTAGGTCATTTCTGTTCATCCTGATGTAGATTTGACTGTCACGTGGATTTAATGCAATTTTGATTTTAAAATGGGAGACGCGATGAGCATTGTGCAACGTACGGTGTGAAGTGAATAGTTGGGTGATTGATGAGATATCGGGCTCGATCAGAATGTCAAGATCTAGCAACTGCTTATCTCACTGGACACCCAATTCCGAGAGGTGATACTCGGCATCTATGATTCCAGGCCCACGATTGTTATAAGCGGAGAATGCCATGTCTCGCAGTATCTTCTTTTGTGGTGTCTTGATGCGTCAGCGTGAGGCTAGCGAGTGCATTGGGGTGCACTTTAAGGAAGACAATAGAGCCCTGCCTCACAAATTATGAAATTGAGCTCACGGCTGGACTATCGAATGTATTGCAGCCGCACGGGCCCGCTGTTGCATCGTAGGGACAAGATTGCCCATTTCAAAGGGACATCACGTTGGAATGGCGGAGCCCGCCGTGCAAACCCCTTGAAGGCCTCAGGTACTACAATACGGGCTGAGCAATGACTCATGCCGTGAAGTCATCCCAACTATAGCTCTGCATCAAGCCTCGCAACTCACGCTCCAAACGTAATTACCAAGCTTCTGATCAGAATCTCCATCTCCTTCGTTCCAAGCTGATAAATCAGAGTATCAAACAAATGCCACCGTGGAACCCGGTTGACCATCGGGGTCAATCGCCGCTCCTTGAATGGTCGAAAGTGAGTGAACTGCACTTCTAGCTCAGATTCGAAAGACCCGTAAATCTATTTGATCCGCCTTGACGTCGTTGCGCCAGTAACAATTTGGTGGCTAGATGCAGCATCCGCCGTAGCTGTCAGCAAATTAAAATCCAGCACAAAGTACAGCAGGTAAATTCGGCACGAGCGAGCAGGTGATGGTGAGGTGAAAAATAAAATCAAATAAAAAATCAGAACAGCAAAAATAAACTGCCTCCTAAGAGATTTGAACTCTTGATCTTCGCATTCATCCCAACTCGCGCATTATCACACGAATGTAGTACAAGTGCGACGCTGTACCCCTTAGCCAAAGAGGCATTGTTCCACATCCACTGAACCTTTAGCTTCTTAGCTCATGTAAGTATGTCCAGCTACGTAAAATATGTCACGGCCGAGAGCGTTATTCCTTGGAGGCCCCGATGACGTCGTTTCATCTGCCGCTCATCCCCTTTAGCGCCAAAGGCAATTGGAGCTTTCAACTGCCCAGGTGTGCAGTGTGCCGCATCAGCCGAGAAAGAGCACAGCCGACAACCTCTCGCATTCGTTTCTGCGAAAGCAAGATCGCAGGACTTCACGTTCTTCTCCCACATCCTGCTTGCTCACTATTGGTTGAAGCTGTGTCCCTGGGTGTTTGAGGTGCAGATAGCCAGGCTCAACAGGCACATTTAACGAGATAGGCCAGCACCAGATCTGGCACTTTGCAGGGGTGTTCAAACCCAGCTGTAGCAAGTCGAATAGGATGCCGCAGGTCAAGATCATCAACGACACACTCCTGCCGCTGCACATTTGCCTCAAGCAAGTCTCGCCGCTGTACTATGCTAACAATATTGAACCCTCTGGAGGTGAAGCGGTCTTCAATCCAGGCGCGGTGTGGTTTACCATAGAGGCAAGGATCGCGCAGATTAAAAAGGAAAGCGAGAAGGCGGAGAACGAGTACACACGTTGGGACACGTGGGTTCAATGGTCAGATCTTGCATCTCTTGATGAGGGCATGGCTGACGCAAATACTTTTCGCAGATACGTACCGATCGCAGCAGTCTCCGTGGCCGTCCTCTCTCTGGGGGTAGGCGCAGTCTACGTGGCAGGCACAGCTGCGGCAACTGGATCCATTTCAGGCATGCTCACCGCCATTTCGACCGACATGGCCGTGTCACTACCGACGGTCCGGCGGCTGTACAAGTATGCCAAGCAAGGACAGCGTGTGGTTCATATCGGTCAGGTAATCGGCATTGGCAATGAGAGCTCTTTGACGAACAAGCTTGCTGGAGTCACCACAGCTACTCCGGGCACTAGCTCAAGCGGCAACAAATGGAGATGGCTCGGTAAAAAGCAGGGGTCGCCAGAAGATGCTAAAGCATTGAATAAAGCTGAGGGCAAAGGGCAGGGGCAACAGCTGCAGCGCAAAGCAGAAAAAGAGGTAGAGAACTCAGTCGCTAGAGCACTGAAGAACCTCCTTGACGGCTCTGTGCTCAGCTCTTATGGCTGGTTCATGTCCAAGGAGCGCACGCTGCACATCATCGGCGGTCCGCGTGCGACCGAGGTCGAAGGGTTCTTGGTCATCGAAACGGACACTTACGAGCCGTTCCGCATCGTCGATGAGAAAGGAGAAATCGTCGGAATAGGTGTGGAGGAAGTCCCTGACGCTACCGAAGGAGAGAAAGCTGCAGCGTTGGATGCAGTCGCTGCTGTCAAAGGGGGCCAGGCGCACCCCGAAAGTGAAGGAATGCCCGAGTCGTTTAAGGGAGGAAATGGCAAGAATATGCCGCCTTGGAAGGAGCGCCTGGTCGCCTCGTTAAACAGTGCAACTACACAGACCTGCGCTACGCTCGCAGAATGGAAGATGTATGCCACAAAGCAAGCGGAGACCGCCCAGGAGTACGTGAAAGCTCGCAGTGGTATTCCGGCGGCCGACAAAGCAGAGATGCAAGCGAGAGGTTGGGAGATAGGTCTTGTGGAGCACACTGAGGCGGAAGGGGCCAATGATGTCACAAAGTACTCAGCTGTTCCTACTCCATCTGAAGCACTAGCGGTACCCGATAGTTCTGTTGTTGGAGGAGCTACGACGGCCGACGCGGAAGCAGATGTCCCTCCTTCGCCTCAAAACGAATCATCGCCAGTCGACAAGCTTGTCGAGATGGGTTATACGCGACAAGAAGCGAGGCAAGCACTTTTGCACGAACAGGGAAATCTCGAAAATGCGCTGGAGAGGCTGCTCATTCGGGACCAGGAAAAGGCTGTTCTCGCGCAGTCGCAGTCCGGTGTCAATTCAGCATGTAGCAGCACTGTCGCTTTTACGGCCGATTCTGCAGTTGGGCAGACGAGCAGCTCAGCAGATGCAACCGTGATGCTTGCTGGCACATCCGCACAACGTAGTGCCTCGCAGCTCCTCACCCCACCGGAGGCAACGACAACGACGTTGTCATCGTCCTCCTTTCCTGCACCAACCCCATCGCCCTCGTCTCCGGGCCGAGTGCTGCCGGTGAAGAACGCCGAGAGTGTGACGCAGCCGCACTGGGTGACGCGCGTGCATAATACAGCGAGCGGGTGGATCGACTCAGCGGAGCGTACGCCGTTTGTAGGCGGCGCGACCCGCATCGGCGCTGATGTCGTCCGCAAGCGCGGCGATCGCTGGTTGAGCAAGGATAGCAGCACCAGCATTGCCAAGAGGAGTGCGGCAGAGAAGAAAGGGAAGGAGAAGAATAAATGATCTTGTACTACAATATTATAGATTCTTTTCGTTGTATTTTATACCTTTGCACACTTGAGTGCTTCTCATGCTGTTGCCATAAGTCCACTATTCCGTCGCCCTACACACTCCATGGCCGCCGGGTCTGTCTCGCACGGATGTTTTCCACCAGCCCATTCATCTGTGCCGCGAACTGGCATCCGTGTCACCTATGTTTGCCAACGCTGAATCCTTCGTGACAAGACGCCTTAAGCTCAACGCCGCGAGATACGGTAGATTGCAAGCTGGGCTCTGCGTGTTGGCGAGCGGATGATGCGGATGTCTTATTCTAACACAGCTTGACGTCACAAAATATGACGGGCTGGTTCCGCACTCCTGTTGGGGTGCACAGTTGCAGCATCCAGAAACAACGCATTATGTGCAGCAAACCAATGCGTACTTAAAAGGCCGGACGGAGCGACGTCATGCGGGCGAACAGGAGAAGTTGCTGAGGACCGGAAAGGGATGGGAAAAGATTGGGAAATTGAACAGGGTTCCGGTGATATCACCGAATCCGGGGGATATTGCCTCCGTTAGCTCCACGGTTCGGCTGATTTCTCGGGGAAATGGAGGAGTGGGCGCCCTGAAGCGGAGAAGGATAGGCGATGAAGCTGCTCGCTCGTTCCTCCATGCTTGACGATGCTTCATTCATCGAGGTTGGGCAACTCTTAAGGACTTGAAGACCCAGCTCGCTCTAGGGAGTTCCAGAAGTAGATTGTCTAGAAACGCGGCCAGCGCGGTCCAAGTTGAAGCCCAACTGATTCGCTTCGATCTTGACCTGCATGCATATACTTGCCCCGGGAGAATTGCAAGCACACCTGTCTGACAGGGCTGCAGTGCGACCTCACGAATGTCGTCCAATATCCAAGCTCTGCTCGCTGCTGCCCAAGGGCATGGGGATGTACGTGCTCACGGAAACGGAACGCAAGAGCAAGGCGCCGCTTCTCCTCAGGAAGGCCGAGCACATCTGGGCAGTGTCGCAGCCAGGCTCAGCATGTCTGACAATCCGCACGGTCTTCCGCTTCACCGCTCACCGGCGTCTGCGCAACCTCCGAGTCCAAAGTCGGGCATCGACTCCGTCAATCCATCCGTCGATGGCAGCAACACAAATGGCATGTACCATAAAACCCCATCTACATCGCTCTACCACAGCCCGACGCAAGGACACTCTTTTGGGCAGCATCTTGCAGGGGCCATGGGTGTGGAACGATCGCAGCCAGGCCTGAAAGTTGCGACCAATGGTATCTCGCATATGTACCAGCATGTGAGGCCCGCTGCCACGGCATCCGTGAGCGCTGGATCTGCCCCAGGCTCCGGCATCCCTCCCATTACAGCCTCGCGAGCCTTCAGCCCTGTAGGACCAAGCTTGTCGCATTCGCCTGCGCACTCGCCGCAACAAGGGATGCAAATGACAGAGTCATTCTCTACCACTTCCTCCTTCGCAACAGCTAGTGGAGGAGGAGGGACAAGCAAAAAATCAAAGGCAGCAGCGACGCACACCATTGCGGACGAGCTGGCGGAAGCGGTAGGCTCCAAGAAGGATCGCAAGCGCAAGCGGGTGCACTACTCGTGCGCTGAATGCCATCGGCGGAAGCACAAATGCGATCGCAAGATCCCGTGCAAGCCTTGCGTTGACCGAGGGATCGGCGCCGTCTGCAGGCCCTTCGAGGAAGGAGACCAGCATGGCGACGTGCGTGATCGCGTCGCGCGCTTGGAGGATATTGTCGAGGGCCTCGCCCTTGCGCAGACCGCCATGGCGCGAGAACTGGCCTATGCTAAAGGGCTACTCCCTCCTGGCACGAAAGTGGAGGATGAACCTGGCGCAGCTGCCGACCTGGTCGGCTTGGCGGGGCTTGCAACAGCGCCCGGCTCAAACGGTGGCAGCAAGAGTGTGACAGGCAAAGCCCAGGATAGGTCCATTCCCATGGCGCAACCCACTTTCTCTGCTCTGCGACGTAGCCAGGAGGACTTGGGCATGGATGGCAGCAATGAGGATATGGACAATGACATTCCTTTTGCCGAGCAAGACCATCACGGCGCCAAGCGCACACGCACTGCCAACAATCACCATTCATCGTCTGCTACTTCATCCGCTGCTAGAGGTAGGTTCCGAGCAACGCAGGTATCGGCGGCGGAGAAGAATGATCCGGATGCACACGAACTGGAAATCGAACGGAGGACGCTCGATGGTCAATTTGCCAATGATGGTGATAGCTGGTTCGGAGCGCTGGCGCTGCCGAGCGTTAGCCGAGGCGTCATCGAGACCGAGGTAGGTGTAAGACCCTGATGGGAGGAGCGTTACCTCATTGATGGACCAAAGGACTAGGCCAGCTGATGAAAAAGTGCACCTTTTTGAATCTGTAGATTCATGGCGAAAAGCTGGAGCTAGGCGCTCGTATGCCGAAGTACCCAGCATCACACAAGCTTAACAGGCTCATCTACGAGGGAGGCGCGCCGCCAGACATTCTCGATGAGCTCATGTCTGGCTTGCCACCGCGTTGCGAGACGGATTCGCTACTAGAACTCTACTTCCGCGATATCAACTGCACGCGTTTGCCCATCCACGAAGCCGACTTCCGGCAGAGCTACGAAGACTTGATGGAGTTCCGTTGGGGCGATGCCGAAGAGCGGCTTGGGGATGACGGTGCACGGCACCTGCCATTCTTGTCTCTGCTCTACTCCATCCTCGCCATCGCCCGCCAAGCCAACGCCGAAAATAAGGAGACATTCGAGAGTGCCAAAACTGGTGCCACACGCCTGTACCACCTCTGCCGCAAGTGTACGCTCGTCGCGAGTGTCATCAGGGTCGACCACATCGACCTCGTCCTCACACATCTGTTCACCGCGCGCTTCTTGACTGTCCAGCGCCAGAGCGCCGAGGCATGGAGCCAGCTCGGCACGACGATTCGCGCGGCGCAGGCGATCGGCTTGCATCGTGATGGGAGCAAGCTGGGCATGGATGGCGTGACTACGGAGCGCCGCCGACGGATCTGGGCTTTGATCTTTTGGATGGACAAGACCACTTCCATCCTCCTCGGTCGACCGCAGGCCATCCAGGAGATGCATTGCGATACGCTTCCGCCAAGCGATATTGACATCGACACCATGCCGCGCTCGACGAAGCCACTACCACCAAAGCCTCCGTGCCAGGACCCAAAGTCCCCGCCGGGGGTCTACGCGTACGTCGCCATCCGGCATGAGCTCACCAAGCTGACCGGTCAAATCGTCGAACACTTTCAGAATTTAAGCTCGCCGCGCAAGTACTCGGATTGCCTTCGACTCGATGAGGATCTCGAAAAGTTTCAGAAGAGCTTGCCTCCGCCTTATAGATCGGAAGCACTTGGTGGTATTGATCGCTCGTTCGATAAGATCTGCCCCTGGCTGCCATTACATCGGTATTTGCTCAACGTCGAATATCACTATGTGCGCATCGCCTTGCATCGTCCTTGTGCGTTCCACTCGAGAGCATGCGTGTTTCGCCTTGACCTGACTCACTGTCCCCTTCTGCCCCTAAAGATGTTCTGCGAAACTCGGACAAGTACTCACAATCACGTAAGGCCGCCTTTCAGTCTGCCAAAATGGACAGGCTGATCCGCCAAGAGTACCATCGCGAGGTCAATTGGTCCAGCGATCGCGCACGTAAGGTGCACATGGGCGGTCTATATCGCCTTTTCAAGTGAGCCGAGCGAGCCCTCCAAGCTGCCGCACAGCGTTGACGCCTACTCTTCTCCGTCGCAGTGCTACTATGATGATCGGTGTGGCGCTTTTGTTGGACCCTAACTCGTCCGAGGCTCCGGAACTTCTTGCCATTCTGGATGAGTTCATCGAGCAGCACCGTGCGTCGGACTTGGCCGACTTCTGCAGCAAGCGTGAGGTGAAAATCATCGAGCTCTTCCGCGCCAAAGCTCAAGATCCGAGCTGGTGCGCTGCCACAGCCACAGGCGCGCGAAAGCGAGCTAACGCGCAGCGTGCCCGAACCACTACGCCCAAGCTTGGACCGCCAGTATCGTCCATGCGGACGGATATTACCCCAACGAAGAAGGCCAGCACAGTCGGGCCCACGGCTGCCGGCACTGTAGCTGGTCTGAGCAATATTTCGACGCCTCCTGATGAATCAACAACCTCTTCGAATGATAACGACCTCGCGCAGACTATTTTCGATCAGCTTGGCGGGCTTGAGAACTTTGGTCTCTACCAGAACTCCGTCCCGCCTGCTGACGGAACGCTTGCTCCGCAGCCCATGACCCTTGACCTCAATGGCGGTTTCGATGAATTCATCACCTTTTGGTCAGAAGGCCCCACTGCGTCTACACCCGCGCCGCCCGAGACGAAAGACGTCAAAGCCAGCACCGGCATGACGCCGAGCACGAGCCAAGTGGGCTGCGCTTTTGGCTCCTTGGATACGCTCTCTTCGCCAGCCACCGGCACCGACATGAACGTTTTTGGCAAAGGCGCAATGAACGTGTCCTTCCCCCCCGGCGCGACGTTGGCTCCTGCTTCGCGTGGCAATAGCGACGATTCCACATTGATCCCCTGGGGCGGTCTCATCGAGGCGATCGCTCCAAGCAATCAGGGTATACCGAGTCACAGCCATGTCGGCAAGCGGTGAGCGACGGAGCTCGGCATGCAAATATGTTCAGTCCTCCATTATGGAAAATTAAAATGCTTCAATACAGATAACACCACTGGGAGGATCACTTTGCGATTCGCTTTGGCATTTCTTTGGCGATATGCCCGGACCCAGAGGGTGTTTCCGCTCGGAGAGCCGAGCCAGTTTCCTTCCAGTCCAACGCGATCGAGGCGATCTCGCTTGCCGCTGGAAGGTATCTCTTTTCCTTTCCACGGTTGCTTGAGCATCAGACGAAGGGGCGATGCCGGCGCCTCCTTGTACGCCGCCCCATCCGAAATGTACGTCTCTTGTTCTAAGCCTTTCAGGAGGCCAGAGAAGACAGGTGGGGGCGCCAACTGCCCTTGTGGCGTGGACTGGCGGTGAATGATGATCCTGGGAGTATCTAGTCAACGTCATGCTTTTTGAAAACGCTTTCGCATGCTGCAAGCAAACCCACAGTTCACGCATGTGCTTGTCCTTTTCGTCTTGCGTGCGCTGCTTTTCGCGGCACCTCATCAAGCATATCGCGAAGTCGAGATCACTCTCCGCCATAAAATCATCGAGAGCTCTCCACCAGGCATCCCACAACGTTTGCCTCTCTTCTTCCGGTTTCTTGATCGGCGTTTTCTCAAAGCCGTATACGAGTGCAGACATGGATGTAGGGATGGTGGAAAAAGCAATATGCAAATCTAGTTGCATCTTGGATCCAATAGCCACCGCACCGGCTGTGACCGACATGATCTTACAATCTCTCCGGAGAAAATCGTCAGCGGACAGGTGGTAAATGACCGACCTCTTGGCGAACGAAATGGATTTCCAAGCTGGAGCAACCATATCGCGCAATGCATCGATGCGCTCCTGCGTTGGTGTATCAGGATCGGGCTCCGTATTGGTGCGCTTGACGAGGACTGGCGACGGTGGGCTCGTAAGCTGATTGGCGAAGGCAACATCTTTCTCCGGGACGCTTCCAAACAGCGCTGACGTGATCAAGTGGTTGGGTACAAGTTGCGGCATCATGCTGCTGATGTTGGAGATTATCCGCGCCCTATTGGTCGGATCAGCCAAGGAGGAGAAGGGCAATAGCAGGTTGTAGGCTTTTGCGTCGTGCTTAGTGCCCTTACCCAACGGGCGAAGCTTGAGCTGCGAGGCACAAAATCATCAGTCACATTGTATGACCGATGCGACGCTTACATCTCTCACATTGTCCGTATCCAGCGCGATGGCCGTGAGTAGCAAGTCGGCCACGGTGATGGGGATTCCGCCTGAAGTGTGTTTCTCTTTACTAAGCCACTGACCTTGAAAAAGCATAGCGACCATGCTAGCGCAACTTCCGACCGGATCCGCGTCTGGTGGTTTAATCCAGCGTAGAGGTACAGTAAGATGCGCCTGCTCGTCCGCATGGTGATCGACGATCAGCCTTACTTCGCGTTCCATCCCTTTGCTGCCCCAGAGCGGGCCGAGCCGATTATGATCGACAAGACCAAAGGAAATGCCGTTGGCTGGCCCGAGCTTTGGAGATGTCGCAAGAACGTCCTGGTGGAATTTGTTGCGCCGACGAAGGGCAGGGGCCGAAGTATTTGCGGAAGACATAGCAATGCTCTCATGAGCTGTACTTTCGCTCAGTGCATCGGCAATATCATCGAGCCATGTCAGGTTAGGTAGCCAACCGTCTCGTAACATGGAAGCGCTGTCGCCCAGTGTGATCTGCAGAACCAGGTTGTTCTCCGGGCGCAAGGGCGACGTCGAGCGGTTCGCTTGGATGATCGGCACATATAGCGTCGTCCTTCCATTTGCGTGCCCCAGGCGAGGGTGAGGGAGCGCTGTGAGCAGATAGGCAAGAGCAATGGCACTTGCGACCGAATCGAGGTCTGCTGCGTCATTACCCATGATGATCACAATGTTTTCATCGCCAGCGCTGGATAAGCCAGAAAGTTTTGCCAACAGCTTTTCCTTGCCACTTTGCAGAAAGCTTTGCAGGGAATGCATTCTCTTGTCGTTAGCCTCTGAGGGATGGTGAGGACACGCACTAGAGGAAGAAGCGTTTCTTGAGCCTTGCTCGGCGATTGCATCGCCCGAGACCTCGTCCTTCGAGACCTTCTTGCTGCTGTCCTTGATTGTCAAATCAGCAAATGACTCTTCGACGGTGAACTCTGCGAAATTGGGCATGTTGACGACTCTTTAGGTGTGAAAGAGTGCATATGCATTTGAATATTTCAGCCTCTGGCCCATCGCCAGCCGTCGTCAATTTTACCTTTTCCATGGCCCCATGGTCAACCCGGACCCCGAAGGAAGGTCCCTCATTGAGGCTTGCGCTTACAGGGTTGATGGTGGCAGATCGTGGCCGAGGAAGAGACGGCAGGAGGGTCCTGTGGAGGAACATGGCCTTCAAAGGTCAAAGTAGATCCGGAACGAGCCGTTGTCGATTTGTGCATCCTCGCAACGCCAATAACTCGCGTCCTTGAGCACCGCGTTTCACGGTGAGCGTCACCCAACTTCAACACCTGTGACACCTCCCATATCTCTGCCATTGTTGCAACTTCGCACTTCGGGGCTCGGGAAAGGCGACACAACAGGCGACCAATCGATTTGCGCGGCTGACGGCCAGCACTGCTGAGTTCTCCTACGACACTTCATCGAAGGGCCTACGAGCCTCCTCTCGGCAACGACTCAAACACAGTTGTGGGTAGAATGAACTCTGAACAGGGAAGCAGCGGTGCTTCTCTGCCAAATAGGGCTCTACAGCAGCAGCAAATGCAACAGCAACAGCAAGATCCGATGACTTTATCAGTCATTTCTCATTTCGAGCTTCCCGCGAGAGCATCGCCTTCGACTGCTGCATTCGAGGGGCAAAGCCAGCCTAGCCATTCTTCATCTTTACATCCTTCTGATGCAGCGGCAAGTAGTCTTACCCCGGGAGACTTGCTCGGCAGCTCTTCTCATTCAGGTTCGTGGGGGAAAGCGAAAGTGTCCGCGGTCGAGTCGACTGATGTATCTTGGTTTCTGATTGATACTTCTTCAGCCTTATCAACACAAGCGTCACACTCAATACCTGCATGGGTGGACAAGTCACTGCCTGCAGCTTCGGGAAAAGCTACCGCACAAGCAGCTATCCCCAGTGGTCCTGAATTTGACGAGGAGAAGCGCGGCGACCGCGTACGACGACGACGCGCGGCCTCTGCCTCCTCCGGGTTTTCAGACGAGTCATCAACACTGGAATATCCGGAACGATCCGCGTCGGAACCCTCGGCACAAGCAGTGGTAACGCCAGCTCCGTCAGGCTCGCTGACCCGATCTATATTCACACCGGGAATATCGCCGTGGCGGCGGGCCTCGCTGTTGCTCGCCTCGCTCGCCATCAACCTCGGTCTGCCCTTCATCAACGGCGTGATGGTCGGCTTTGGGGAGATCTTCGCGCGCTCCGTGCTGGCGCCCAAGCTTGGCCTGCTGATTCGCGAGCCAGGAGTAGGAGGCGTAGGCATCGGTGCTAGACAGCCGTCGAATGCGCAAGCGCTTGGTGCTGCGCGCGCCAGCAGGAGCCGCAAGGTTGGGCTAGAGGGCCATAGGAGTCAGGTGGAGAGCGCGGAAGAATTGGCAAAGCGCACATCTCAGGCCAAGCACGCCATGTCATGAAATGGAGTTTATGGGCAGCAGCCAGCACACATCTGCGCAGCAGGCACGTTGGCGCCCTGGATCATGGATCACGCATACGCGACGGATCGCCGCCTCTCCATGATCCTCACCACATTGGCAGCAGTGACAGCAAATTTTCATCGAGCGCGTCCCACACAGTGCCGCATGCGAGTCAACGCAAGCAATGGAGGGTACATCAATGCCATGGTCGAATCCCCATGAGATAGTGAAATCCTCTACAAGTTCCTTGGCCTGCTTTGGTTTTAGTCTTACAAGAAATACTGTTCCGGGTATGACATGTAGCAAATGGGAGAAGGGCAAGGGGAGAGTGAAAAGGAAGAGGGCGATGCAAGGAGTGACAAAGTCAGAACAAATGCGCTTCCTATACCTGTCGGACACCTCCGCACACTCGAGACTCACGTCTGGCACTCTGCGCGAAACAAGTGGCTCCCCAGCCCTCGGTGCAGGGTCGAATTGCAAGCTGAGGAGAGGAAAGGCAGCAAGGGCGGAGGTTGAAAACGAGTGTCAGTCTTGCTGTCCAGTCAACGACGAAAAGTGATGCAGTGGAGAAAAGGGGCTCACAAGGTATATTTGAGGTTCTCGTCGATCTCCATGATTGCCGCCTGGTTGCCGCACCTGTAGCAGTAGTTGGGCGCGGAGAAGACAGTGACGACGTTGCGTTCCTGACTCCAGTTGAAGCCGTCCATGACGAGCTGGTGGGCGCGCGAGACGAGCGTGAGGCCGTTGTTGTGGTTGAACGCCTCGCTGATGTCCTGCCCGAACGTATAGCCGGCGCCGCGCGGGGAGATTCCCCAGCCGCAGCGGTCGTCCGGGTCGGACCAAAGCAGGTCGCACATCGGACCCTCGTGCGGCACTTCCTGAATCCGGTCTATGCTCCGGATGTGGTCGAGCGTGTCAATGGACGGCGAGAGACCGCCGTGCAGGCAGAAGATCTGCAGTGCGGAAGAGAGAAGCAAAGGGTGTGTACATTGAATGCGTCAGAGCGCCGCCACGAGCAGCGTGACGCAGAGGTCACGTACCTGATCTTCGATCAAGGCGGTCAGTGGGAGGTAATCGAAAAGGTCGGTAAAGTACTTCCACACGTTTGCGTTTCCGTACTTCCTCAGGCACTCGTCATAGAAGCCATACACCTGCGTGATCTGCCTGCTCTCGTGGTTGCCGCGCAGGATGGTGATTCGATCCCTGTAGCGGACCTTGAGCGCGACGAGCAGTGTGACTGTCTCGACAGAGTAGTAGCCGCGGTCGACGTAGTCGCCCATGAAGAGGTAGTTGGTGTCCGGCGAGTTTCCTCCTATCCGGAACAGTTCCGACAGATCGTGCTTGGAAGAGGGGGTGCGTTAGCTGACACTGTCCATCTTTGCGCCAAGGGCCAGGTTCGAGCAAGAGGCGCACTCGACTCACAAATTGACCATGGATGTCACCACACACTGTGACCGGGCAGCGCACAGGTTGCACATTCGACTCGCCGAGGAGAATCTCGCGGGCCTGAGCGAGGTTTGAGAAAAAAGTGAAAGTGACAGAGGCAAGCATCGTCAGCGTGGTATCGTGTGAAAAGCCGATACGATCGCTTGTTGTCGCTATGCTTCTGCCTGCTTGCCTGCTCGCAGAGCGCAAGAAAGCTTTGCAGAGCAGAGTCCTCGAGAGTCTAGACCATACCATACCAGCCCTTTTTCAGCCATTCTTGGCACTAGGGAGAAGGGTACCGCCTTTGAACGCAGGCTGAGGAATACTGCGCAACAGCAGAATAACGACCCGTGGCCAGCAGCTCCGCTTCTCCATGGGTCCGCCGTGCATCCAGAGCTTTGTGTCTGCTTACCTTGTCGCACAACCTCTTCACGTCAGCTTCTGAGAGCTGCTTGCAGTCGCTCAGGTGGGCGATCCACGCATCCTGCTCGGATACCTCGACCATCTTCTCGTCCGGCTGGCTGTTCCTTCCTTCTGCCCTGTTGGGGGTTTTCTCCTGCAAAGCTGTGGTCCCCGCTTCTAATGCCTGATGCCTCTGGCTCCCCTGCAATATGCTTTTTTCAATCGCTTCGCTCCAGTGCTAGGCACTGGGTGGTCGATGGAGCGAGCAGGCGCTGTAGGACTGGTCTTAGCTGCGTTCGATGCTGGCAAGGTGGCGCTGCACTGGTGAGTGATGATGCGGCTGCTGCTTGCAAATCCTTCAACGCGGGCTGCCCTGTCAAATTTGCGCAAACAACTAGGCGCGGCTACCACCAGAGATGACCAGCGTGATTCAGGCCGGCGAGGAGGACGATGGGAAAGAAGAGCGAGGAATATGGGATGGGTGGGATGGGTTGGGATGATGTTTGCTTGTTATCGACGATCATTGTAGGAAGAGCGGGCGCGCGTCTCAGCCCGCGTGAGAACAGCGGTGGGCGCCCGCCACGAGAGCAGTCAATGCTGGACTCTGTTCAAAGCATTTCACCTCAACCTCGACCTCATCGACGTCGTCCGCGTCCAAAGCAGAGCATCGCGGGCACAGACCGATGAGATGGACATGCCGCTGACAGAAGTATTCTCACAGAACAAACGCGGTATGTGAGCGATAAGCGTGGCCATAGAAGAAGAGGCTGAAATCCTATAAAGAGGGGTGCCGGTTTAGTTGCGTGTGCGTGGTCGTCGTACCCCAGCTCTCGCAAGAAGCAAGGTTTTGTTCAATCCCCTTGTGGTATCGCTTGGCTCGAATGGAAAAGGCAAGCAGCTGTCGGGGACCTAGCATTCATCCCGATAAGTCGTGTTCCTCGTGAACAAACAAGAGTGAAGGCCAGGCACACCGCCGAAAGGTGCAAAAGCCTTCAATGACAGAGAAGGAACCAATACGCAAGGAAGATCATCATGCGCAGCATCCCAAGCCGGGCGAAGTCATCCAACTGTATCTAAGGGACATCACATCGGTTTTGCATTGGCAGGGTCGTAGTTGTTCTACAAGCGCTGATCATCAAACACATCAAATCCAACCCCAGCCATCAGAAACTCGAGGATAGGTGGCACTGACGGCGGCTGGACACCCGGACGACCCTGAGACAACTCGATCGCGTTATCAAAACTTTCAAGACAAACACCACTGAGGAATCACCATGCAGTCGAAGAAATCATCAGAAACGCCAATGCTGCCCTCTCGGCACATGCTTGCCCGGGCACATATCCCTTCCAACCTGAGCAACCAATCTGCCATGGAGGCCTACCGCGCCTACCGTGACCGCGTCCGTCAGCCTTTCCTTCAGCGCTACGCCGTCTTGGGGTTCCTCAGCTCTGGCACCTACGGAAGAGTTTATAGTGCCCGAGTTCGCAAGCAGCACGAAGAAGGCGGAAGCTGTGCAGACGGGAGAGACAAGAAGACCACCTCCGCTTCCTCCCGCACCGCCTCTGAAGATCCACAAGAAGACCCGCTCACCATGGTCGCACGCGCCGAAGAGACGGGCGAGGAGATGTATGCGATCAAAAAGTTTAAGCCAGACAAAGAGACCGAGCAGCCAACGTACACGGGCATTAGCCAGAGTGCGATGCGAGAGATTGCGCTAAACCGAGAGCTGCGGCACGAGAACATTGTTCGTCTGCGCGAGGTGATGCTCGAGGACAAGGCAATCTATATGGTCTTCAGTTACGCCGACCATGATTTCCTTCAGTTGATCCACCATCACAGTACCGTCCTGCGTGTGCCCATCCCGCTGTCGGTGCTCAAATCGCTACTGTACCAGCTGCTCCAAGGCGTCGCGTACCTGCACGCCAACTGGGTGCTGCATCGCGATCTCAAGCCGGCCAACATCCTCGTCACGTCGCACGGCCAAGTCAAGATCGGCGACCTGGGCTTGGCACGCGTGTACAGTGCCCCGCTGCTACCGCTGTACAATGCCGACAAGGTCGTCGTAACGATTTGGTATCGCGCGCCGGAGCTGCTCCTTGGCGCGCGACACTACACGCCCGCGATCGACCTGTGGGCCGTCGGATGCATCTGGGGCGAGCTTCTCGCGCTGCGGCCGATGTTCAAAGGCGAGGAGGCCAAGATGGACCCCAAGACGAAGGCGGTGCCGTTCCAGACGGACCAGCTAACGCGCATCGTCGAGATCCTCGGCACGCCTACGCCAGAGCGCTGGCCCGGTATCGGCACCATGCCTGACTACAAGACTTGGTGGCCGCACCTCGGCCTCGACAACTATGCCGATCGCCTGCAGCCGTGGTACACGTCGCGCTCGCGCCCGCAGACAGGCAACCCGGCTGGCTTTGACTTGTTCGAGTGCCTCCTGACGTACGACCCGGCCAAGCGGCTCACCGCCGAAGAGGTGCTGCATCATCCGTGGTGGAAAGAGTCGCCTACGCCGACCCTGAAGTGAGTATGCAAGCGGAGAATACGCTGATTGCAAAAGAAATCCCGCATGCTGACATGCTCTCCGCCCTCCTGGTCCTGCCCTGTCGCAGTGCATTTGCGGAACTGCCGAGCTTGGGCTACACGTACCCTAGCCGTCGGATGCTGCCGCTCAACACGGATGGCGCGGACGCCTCAATGGCTTTACGAGTGCCACCACACGCAAAAGCGCAAGAACAAGCCTCCAAACGACCGCCTTCGATCCCACAAAATTTAATTGATCACGCCATGGGTCGAAACTTGACAGCACAGCAAGCCAGTGCCGCAGCGCTGATGCTGGTCGCTGCAAAGCAGCAAGCGCAACAACAACAACAGCAACAACAGAAGCAAGCTGCGCCCACACAGCAAGCACCGCAACCACCATCAGCCAGCACGATGGAGCATTCCAGCGGCGGTGCGGGGAGGTCGGGCATTGTGGAAAACGCCATGGCAAACGACCCGAGCATGATTCTCGCGTCGGCCGTCGCGATGGAACTCGCAGCTGGCGTCAGAGACACGGGCGCAAGAGACGCTTCTGCCTCGCAGCGAGCAGCAGCGCAGGATCTGGTCGCATCCTCTCAGCTAACTGCGCAACTGCAGGCCACAACCGGCACGGCGAGCCTTGGCTTGCTCAACGCGATCCCGCAGGGACCGTCTGCCCCACCGCCTGCGCCGATTTCTGCCGCTCCGAGCGTCGGCAGCTCTGGCCCTCCGGCCGGAGCTAGCGATGGAGGCGCCGGCGGAAGCGTTGGAGGTGGCAGAGGCACATCGAGTGCCGGCAACGGTTCTGCTGCTGGACTCTGGAAGGGACCGTCATCGAATGATATGCGGTCCACAGCTACGAGCAACGCGAGCATGCAGCGCAACAAGCGGCAGAAAATAAATTAACCCTTGCCTCTCACGTCTCTTTCATGTATTTGTACTCGGCACAACGCACTGTAGCCTATCCTCCGCCATAGACACAAGCGAGAGCCGCATTGCATGCACGGCACTCTACAACTATCAGGAAGTCTATTCTGCTTAGCATGACTCCAACTACACTCTTGATTCCCTTGCGCGCTGCGATGGCCAGGAAGTCCTCTTCGGCATCTTGGATGAGGTAACCATCCGTGGCGAGATTGTCGAGATCGACGGCTTGGCGGTTGAGCAGGTCGATGGCAACTTCGAAGCAGCTCGCATTGTACCGCAGGACACCGTACGCAGACACTTCCTTGGTTGTGAGCCGCAGCAGGTTAAAGTGCGGCGTCGTCGATCCAAGGCCAACATGACAGTCTGGGGCTAAGGGAGCGCGGCAAGGGGGGGGGCGTGAGCATGCAGCTATGCATGATGTGAGCGTTAGCGCGACGTCACGAACAAGCGTCCCTCATACGAATGAGCTCCACAGCGTGGATCGCGGCCGCTTCCGAGTCAGACGCCTCGATGGCAAAGTCCATATCAGCGTCCTTTCCATCTAATCCAGAATCTTGCAGCCAGCTCCGTGCATCTTGCGCAAAGGCGTGCTGCTTCTCCTCGCCCGTTATGAGTGTGGCGCACTGCTATTCGTTCCACCTGAATACGGCGCTGTGGTTGGTGGGTGTATTTTTGCGGCGTAGCGCGAGCTTGACGTGCGATACTTCGACGTCCATAATGTTTGCTTTTCGGATGCCATATATGCGCAAGATAAACAGGCACAGCTGGCCGATCGTGTCGCGCTGAGGGTTGTGAGCGTCTGGTGCGGCTCGGGCGCTGCTCAGCTCGCTACATGCATCTCTATCGCCAGCGCCTAGATCGCACAGAGAGATTTCCACAACACGTGGGCTGGGATGGCGACGAGGCAATATTGCGGGGCTAAAGGTAATGGCAGAATGCATTAGGCAAGCCAGGTTATGTTCTGTAATCAACTCTGCGTGGCATGCATCTGCACTGCCAATGGACTCACGTCCACCGTTCGTCAGCGAGGTAGCAAAATTCTTTTCGTCGTTGCATCGATTCTGGTAACCCTGCCGGCACTGGTTGAACTTGTGGCAAGGCAGACCCGCCTTACTCCGGATCTTGCACCCGCATTCAGTACCATCAGTGTCGACTATTCGTAATCAAGGATTGCGTGGATGATCTGCGAGCACTCGTGGCCAAGCGAGGTGAGGATTGACGAGCCCGTGACCTCCAATGCCGCCTTTGGGGTACTGGTTGAGGTCCGAGCCGCAGATTCCGTTGGCTAGGATCTTGACTATTGTCTTTCCGGGTCTGGGTGCCGCGAGTGATCAGGTTTCGATCCGGAGGTCCTTGGCGACGTGTAGAGCCGCAGCGATGTTGTCCTGGGTCACCGTGAGGTGGGCATGAATCCATTTGGGACGGTCGCCGCTTGCGGAGGAGGGTAGATTTTACAGGACGTCGAGCTCGACAGCAGGTGGCCATTCCGTCTGCAGATCTGAAGCGCGCCTACAAGTGATGCACTGCATGTTGAAAAGGCATCCTGCCGCTGATGCTCTTCTGTATATACTGCTGGGATACCAAGCAAAGCCACATATTCATTTACGTTCATGCTGAAGCACTCCTGCCGGATGACTCGGCGTGGGGAAAACATGGGCAGCCGGGACTCCCCCGACCAATTCCTAACCTTCTTAACTTTGGGCTCGCTTGCCCTCCATTCTTTGCCTTCTGATTCCAGGGCTGCTTCCTTACCCTCAGCTTCGGCATTCTGCTCCATGAGCGCATGGAGCAGCGGGAAGCACGACTTCCTCGGCCTCATCCATGTCCGCGTCTTCTGTCAGAACTGCAGGAGCATGTCCCTCTGTGGCAGCTAATGAGTCGTAGTTGATAGGTTGATTAGTTAACGCCTTATGTAACGTACTAAATTGCTTGCCATGTATGATGCAGGCTTGATCAACTAGCAAGCCCACACAAGGGCACTAAGCTAGGCTTTGGCTCGCCCTGAGTTTGTTTCAGTGGTCGGAGCCTTGGGGATCTTCTGTTTCTTTTCGCTTCTTACAGTGACGCGATGAGCACAGCATGCGATCGATCAACCCGTGAGAAACCATGCTCTGTGCAGATGCAACATCCTTGCAACGCTGCTTTAAAGACCCGGATTTCAAAGTGTCTCACGGGCCTAGTACTGTACAATTGCAAGATGGTGGTTGAGACACCTAATGTGAATACGATACATCATTCTCCCTTTCTCTCTCCGTGCCTAGTAAAACAAAAATTTACCCTCACGCGTACAGCCGCTTCGTGTACGACTCTAAGCCGCTGATACCGCCCTCGAGCTGGGCCTGCGCGGTGCGTAGCTCAAAGCGGACCCTGCCCTCTGCAACCCCCGCGCGCAGCGCCTCAACCGAGCGGACGCCCATGTCCTGCAGCGAGTGCTGCAGCCCGGTAAAGAGGTACGGCAGAAACTTGATGACGCTTCCCTTGTCCTGCACGGCTCCTGAGACGCCTTGGGCGACCTTGACAGCGTCCGCCTCAGAAAAGTAGCGTTGAGTCGCAGCGTTCTCAGTGATGCTTGCGTCCTGCGCGAGGCTCTTGGCCTTCACCGCGCCTTTGCCCGTTGCACCAGGGACACTGGCGGGCTTCTGGTGCTCCATCGCTTCAATCGAGCCCATGCCGCGGTAGCCCTTCAGACGTTTGCCCTCGCGGTAAAAGTACTCGCCGGGGGACTCGGTCGTGCCGGCGAGCAGACCACCCATCATGACGGCGCTCGCGCCAAGCGCCATGGCCTTGGCGATATGCCCGACATTGGAGATGCCGCCATCGGCGATGACGGGGACGCCGAACTTGCGTGCAAACTCAGCGACGGCGTAAACAGCCGTGCCCTGCGGGCGACCGACCGCCATGACCTCCTGCGTGATGCAGATTGAGCCGCTGCCCATGCCGACACGCAGCGCATCGGCGCCCGCGGCAATGAGGGTCGCTGCCTGCTCGCGCGTCACGACGTTCCCTGCGATAACCTCAAGCTTGGGGAACTTTTCCTTGATCCACTGGATCATCTCCACCTGGAAGACTGAGTTACCCTGCGATGAATCCAGCACGACGACGTCGAGACCAGCGTCGACGAGCAGCCGCAGGCGGTCCTTGTCCGACGGACGCGTGCCAACCGCCGCGGCGCAGTAGAGCTGCTTGCTCTCGGGGCGCTTACTGGCAAGCGGGTAGTTCTGGTTCTTGAGCAAGTCGGAGCGAGCGAGCAGGCTGACGAGACGGCCTTGTGCGTCGATGATGGGCAGCTTTCCCTTCTTAGAATCGCGCAGGATCGTGTTGGCCTCCTCCAGCGTGATGCCTTCGCGGGCGAGAACCAGGTTTGACGTCATGACCTCGGACAGCGGCACGTTGGGGTCTCGGAACTGCACGTCGCGAGCCGTGACGATACCGAGCAGCTTGCCGTGCAGAGCGCCGGTGTCTACGCGTTCGAAGCAGAAGTGACATTTTTGTCAGCCTTCCGTTCTGTCTCAGCAAGCATTCTGGTGCGATAAGGACAAAATCAGAGGACATAGGTTGGGTAATCCGCATGTCACCACTCAAGTCTAAGAGCGGTTCAATAGGCAGAACGAAGGTTGTAACAGTATAGTGATGATTTTCATCACCAAAGAAACGTGCCGGCGATCACGCAATCTCGCAAACAGAGGAAAAAGGAACCCACCTGTGATAGGGATGCCACCAAAGCCGAGGCGCTCCTTAATCTCGAGGACGTCGCCGACGGTTTCGCTAGGGGATAGGCAGAGTGGCTCCGTGATGAAGCCGTTCTCGTACTTCTTGACCTTGCGCACCATGCTCGCCTGCTCCTGCGGTGACATGTTGTTGTGGATAACACCCATGCCGCCCATGAGGCCGATGGCGACGGCCATGTTGGTCTCGGTGACTGTGTCCATGGGCGAGGAGAGGAATGGCGTGTTAAGGACGACGTTGCGCGTGACGCGTGTCTGCAGCGACACCTCGGATGCAGGAAAGTCGATGAAGCCCGGAAGTGCGAGGAAATCATTGTACGTCAGCCCACCATGCTCGCGGCTGTTCATCAGCTCCGACATGGCGAGGCCATCGCCGAACTGATAGGTCTTCAGGTGGGCGACTGCCTCGGAGGGGTCGAGGACGCGCTGGGACGTCGACGCATCGCCGTTCGCGCCACCGTTGATTGCAGGTGCCATTTTGGATAGTAGCAAGAGATGAGTTGAGGATGGGCAACAGAGGGCTTTCGTCTCGCGGTCGAGGCAGCTTGCAAAGGGCTCTGCAAGGGGGCGATTGCCAGGAAAAGAAGAGAGGAAGGTTAGGAAGGGCAAAGGGAGAACGGAAGGATGCTTTTGTAGTGTGTAGGACGAGGAGAGCCTGATCTCTCAGTGAAAAAATTTGGCAGAGCGAGCGGAACAAGAAGCGTTCAGAGAGATTCTACTCTCTCTACAACTGCAACTCTTCGATGCGATCGAGATAAAGCCTTGGCTGACCCCTGCCGACTTGTCGGGTAGGACAAGCTCCGACATTGTCATGTAGTACACGATGGCCATGCCTTACTCTCCTACTTGAGGACCATTCGGATCCGTCTTCGAAGACGGCGATCTGAGGCTTTCCAGCCAGCATATATATCTTGTGGGTGTGCCATTTGGCCCTCCCTCACAAGGCCTGCCGATCTTCGGATCCATCGAGAGCTGGGCCAAGTGTCAAGAGGGTCCTGGAGCCCTCATTCAGCCACTGCTTGATGATGGTGTACTAATAGAAGCATGATTTAGGTAAGGCGATCGGGATGGCGTTGCCGCTGTCGATGCAATTCACAGTGCGGAAAAGTTACGGAGTGTCGTATGTGACTGGCATGGAACACATTGTAAAATTACCGGACGACGTCATAAGCTCGTCGCCATTGGTCGTCGATGACGTTTGAGGGCCATCACCACCTCAAATTCCAGCCGTAGTCTATACTACTCACGGTCTGTGATCCTTTGGCGCTCAATGTGCTCCGACACCGGCGACGCCAAACCAATCGCTTTTCCTGATCGCCCGCTCTCGGCGTACCAGGGCCAGCATTAAGCAGCTGAGCGAGATCGTCAAGTCAACAGGCGAGACGTCGGCCTCGGCAGTTGCAGATGCATCTATCTTTGTTTTCATCCAAGTCGTCTCTGATTACGAACCTGGAGAGGTCAGACTGCCGGCAACGACTTGCTGCGAATGTGGCAAAGCAAGAGCACACGACCCTACCGACGGATGCAGACAGGAGAGGCGCGGAGGCGATATGATGCAGAGAGGACTCGAGACGAACGCCCATCCAGGCGGATGCGGATCCTAGCTTCGAGCTGCTGATAAATGCCGCACCCTACAAAAAATTCGCCGACCTTGGACCGGTCGTGGTGGTCGGCTATACCTTTTGTGAGCGATCGGTACTGGCGATCTGCACTCCCAGGTGATGTATCTTCGCTTCTTCCATGTGCGGCAGCGCTCCTCCTTTCGTTGACATAGGCGAAAAGAATCTCCTTCTGTGGTCGGATCGAAGCATCTAAGGCTCAACTCTTTAGGCAGGCAAGCCGTTCATGTACTCGAGCAGGTGGAAGCGTCGTTGATGGTTGAGTATGCTAGGGGAAATAGTGTTACAATGAGGCGGAGTGTGTGAATGCAGAATAGCAAGGCACGGCTCCATGCAAAGCTGTGTGCTTGCACCATGCTATCTATGTGTATGGATGGATGCTGGCCGCAGGCCGGTGATGCTCGTCGACGGGACTCCTACAGCTCAAAAATGCTCTTCTCGCTGCCAAACAGGGTCTGGTACAAATGCTCGAGCTTCGCCTGCGCCTTTGCGACGCCTGCGCCAGTGCCAATTTCGTCATTGATGGTGAGGAACTTGAGCTTGCCCGTTTTGATGCGCTCGACGATAGACTGCCTCACGCGGTCTGTCTCGTCGTCGTTGGAGGTCCACTTGACGAGGAGCGTCGTGTCGCGCGCCTCATTGTCGTTCATGATATCAAACTGCAGCCCCAGCGCATGGCTGCCCTCCTGCGCGACGTAAGAGTGCACGAGCAACGGCGTGATCACATCTTTGCTCGAACGGAACTTATTCTGGCTCGTCTCGTGCAGCTCGCGCCAGAAGCGCTGGTGCATGCCGAGGAACGCTGTGCGCGTGTACACAAACGGTGCGTGCTTCAGCCAGCGCGGGGGGAAGTGCTTAATGGGCGCGTACGCCTTCTGGATCGCGGTGACCGTGTTGTACACGCTCTGTCGCCACACGTTGCTGTTCGGCGACATGTGGTGCGTCTTGTACTGGTCCGGGAGCACGATCGGCGATTCTTCGAGGTACTGTCGAACGCCGCGCGTCGGCGTGAAAAAGTCGCGGGGGTGTACGGGTGACACGAACATGTAGTCGTCGTTGCAATGGATGAAATGCTCCGTCAGGCCGGGCACAAGGTGAAGGTATTGCTCGACGACGTTGGAGCTGAAGGTGGGCTGTGCATCGCGCGGGATGATCGCGTCCTGATGCACCCATACAAGCCTGCTGTTCTGCACGTTAGAGGCGGACGACTCCTTCATGAAGCCAGATTTCGAGATCTCTGAGCCGAGACGAGCCCAGCTGGGAGGCGAAGGGCTGACGATGAAGATCTTGCCGGTGTGCCAGGGCAGCTGGCGATGGAGCGTGCGCAGGCTGAAGCGCAGATCCTCGTTGTCGCGATCGCGGTTGCCGCCTACCTGGCCGCCCAAGGCTTTTCGCTGCGCTGCAAATGTTGGATCGGAGCCATTCTGCGGACAGGTTGTAAAGGCGTGGAACGTCAGTACTCGACCAAAATGAAGAAAACGCGAGCCAAGCTGAGGGTCAGGGAACAAAGACTCGACTCACCACCCAAGTGTACACTAGACTGACGTCCCTTGCCCACTCCCACTCCGGCTCCAGTTCGGCCCCGGAAGGCAAAGTGCCGGCAGCAGCAGGAGCGGCGGCAGCGACCGAAATGGCTGATAACTTCCCTTTATTCCCAGGAGCAGCGCCGCCGGAGGGGAACAATTGCCAGGTGTTAACGGCAGCGGTTCCTTCGGCTGCGGCATTGTTTGCTGCCGTAGGTGCACCTACAGTGCTCAGGCGAGGGCGGTAAAGCGATAGACCAAGTGTGGCGAGGAGGAACAGCGCACAGAGCACGAGCACGAAGAAGGCGTTGCGGAGCGGACGGTTCGCAGACTGAACGGACAGCAGTCTAGCACCAGAGCGTGCAGGTCCCCCTCGCCTGCCGGCGCGCGGGAGCAGGCTATATGCTGCTGCGCCTGCGGCAGCTGCCCCGACGCCGGCGCTCTTCTCGTCGTACATATCCTGCGACAACGACGACACGGATGGCGAGTACGAAGAGGAAGGAGACGATGTGGAGGCCTTCTCGAACGCTTGGTGTTGCGCGCCGCTAAAGTTGAACCTGTACTCCCCCGCTTGTTCGGCAGCCGCGTCGTGGTAGGTGCCATACGCTGCATCAAGGTTTGAGGGGGGCTGGGAGGGCATAAAGAAGGAGACCATGCCACTCTTACTTTTCCGCGTGGCAAGCGCCAGGTGCTGGCTGTATGAGCCATGTCGAGTCTTGCTCGGACTCGGGACATCCACGTCCAGGTGCACCTCGAGGGGCTTGGCGTATTGCGCCGGGGCCGCCATGTCTGCTTGGTTGTCGGCTGCAAAGACCTGCGGAGGGGCGCTATCTGCTACGCTTGGCGGTAAGGTAGTCAAGTTGGATCTCGACTCGCTTGCACTTGCACTTCCGCCCGTGCTGCCAATAATATCGTCTCGTTGCAACCCAGCTCCCGCGTGGATGAACACGGCGCGAGCATCAGGCGTGTCCGGTGCGGTGGGATGGAGGCCCTTACGGAGGTGGAGGAGTTGTGAAGGATCGTGTGCGTCCGACATCGTCGAGCTCATGCCTGTGCTATTGCTCATACTGTATGACGTGGATGTGGGAGCCCAGCGGTGTTGTCTGTCTATGTCTTGGAGGCTTCAGCAAGAAGGGTAGCAGAGCAGAGCAGAGCGGCGCAGAGGAGAATCAACGCGATGCCCAGGCTTGGGTGATGCACTGTGAATCCTGCGGAATCACGAGATTTGGCGGTGCCCGAGGGGCTGGAATGGAAAGACCCGCAAGGTGTGCGCGTTAGGAAGAGGCCTGCTCCTACTTTTTGTATGCGGACGAACAGCCTTTAGCTAAGTATTGACGGCAGAGGCGGTAAAGACCCGCCCGCGGCAGGCCGATGGTGGGCGTCAAGGTAGGTGCTGAGGAGGGTATACCGTGGAGTGGTATTAGGGCCTTGCAGTTGCAATAATGTCCACAGTGAAGAACGAGGCGATGCCAGCTAAATGGGACCGTCGAGAGTTCGAGTATGTCCGCCGTGCCCGGCGAACGGCAATGTAGAGTTGCTCACCTCTGCCGGTGGCTTTTCCTGAGCTAATGGAGAAGGAGATACACTGCTAACCACTACAAATAAAGTGACTGCAGTCGCACGAAAAGAGTATCCCAGCAAGTGTGGATGGCAGGCAGATGCGACTGCGAAAGCTTTGTGCGGGAAGCAGATCGATGCGGCAGGCGGCGCTTTCGATATACGGGAGGCCCGCTGGGGATGGAACGATGAAGCGATGAGGTCGCACGTGGTACCGTTCGGCACGATGCCCACGATGAGCCGGCGGTTGGTCAGCACGCGGCTGCAGGCCAACTGGGAACCGAGTGTGCACTCTACTTTGGATGCTTGTAGTGCGCACGCCCGGGTCGGAAACAAAAGCTGGCACTGGCACTGTCAGGGGACACGGTCTCTGTCATCGAGGCGAGCTGCGGAAGTGTGGGTGGCGGGGACGGTTGGCGGGCTAACTCGCGAGCTCGTTTGCAACCTCCTGGAATGGCATTCATTAGGTTCCGTCCATGCCTGGTGCCGACAGTCTCCAAGGGTGGGTTGATTGCCCCTCCTTTCCTCTTTTTACTTCCCCTGTCTTCTCGCCCGTTGCCACCCACCGCCTGGCTCTCCCTGGCTTCCGTGCTGCAGAAGAGGGAAGATGGACTGGCGGGGTGGGGGGGGGGCAGCTTTCAGAGCGGTGGAGCGCTCTGTTGCGTGACCCTCGCAAGCACTTGGCCCGTCTTTGTGGTCCACTCCTAAATCATTAACGGTCCACAGGGCCATGCCGGCTGGCACTGGCACTGTCACTGCATTGCATTGCATACACTGGCCGTGCGCCAGACAGGCCGGAGAGCCACAGGGAGCCGCACGCGGCAGCCGGCTCGCCCCTTCCGCGGTGGACGTTACTTACCCGGACAACGGACTGTCTCGTAGTCAGCACAACGGCACTGCACTGCAGCAGGGCAATCGAATCGGGGCCTCACGCTCCTTTGTCTTATTTGGTCCGTTTCTCTTAGGCCCAGGCCGGCATTGCACAAGTGTACATATGCCCGCTCATACCTCGCCCAGCCAGCAGTAGCCCATCACTGCCAAACCCTACTCCACCGCGCGCCGCACTGCATTGAACGGAAGCGAGGTAGGGAGGGCCGAACGGAACGGCAGTGACGAACGATGACCAATCCCTGCTCGGATTGCTCAGATTGATCGCTCCCATCACAATGTGCTCAGAGCATCGCCCAAGGCTGCTGGATCAAACCATTGCAAGTAGCCTGCTATCACCAAGTTCAATATTACAAAGTCGGTCCAAAGGAGATCGCATGCACAAGACTGCAGGACACAAAGGTCTTTCGGATTTCGTCCGCTTTCACTAGCTCGTTCCCTTGCGTCTTTTACCATGTGGTCTTCCGACGGTACCGACCTCTACATCTCTTGGATTTAGTGCGTGGTTCCAATGCCGGGCCTCAATATACCCCTTGTGCTTCTCCTTGAGACTGGACTTTCACTCCTGGCAAGGCTGATCGTCGCTTCATGACGTTTCACCTTGCAAACCGAGGATCCCATTCTTGGCATTCACGGCGCCTCCTTGTCCTCTTGCTCCATGTCGAGCGGTGCTTGCTCGTTGCCTTTTACCCGCTTTGGCTGCTGCTTTTTCTTTTTCCGCGCCTACCGCGTCTCTAGCTCTCCCTCCTTTTTTGCAGTTGCGCTTTCTTTCGACACTACTCTGGCTGAGGCAGCTTCAGCTCCGGAACCCATCATGTTAACTGGTGAGCAATGGGCGGACCTACTCTTTGGCTACATGCGTATCGTCGACAAACGTTGTGCCCAGGCTGCTTGGCCCATCTGGCACAAATATGATTCGCTCCGCGCAAGCGGCAAAAACCGTGCAGCTCCTGGCACTGATATGGATGCTGCATTATTGTTCGTTGGGTCTTCCTGCTTCTACCTTACCTGTTGCCTCTACGCTTCCTCGTTCGGCCCTGTAAGTGCTCGAGGAACGGTTCCCCCCATTTTTTTTGTTTTGTCCCAAACCTGCCAAGCGCACCAAGCCCGAGCCAAACCAGTCCCCTTTTCCAGCTGCATGCGACGGTGTATAATCCAAATGGCTACTCATCCAGGCATTCTTCAGGAATGTATCAGCCTCTCCCCCCCCAAGCATTCCAACGTGGGACGGAAAGGTGAGTGGGCCTGGGAGGGCAAGTCTGTCTTCTGCGTCGATTGCAACTCTGGCCATGGTAAGTGCGGTCCCAAAGCGCTCGAGGCCATCGACTCTACCTCATGAACCAAAGGAAAAGCTCACTACTGCGCCTATTTTAGACAAGACGGTCATTCAGCACGCTTCGACAACAACTAAAGTCAAGGGGATTCGCCTCTGCCGGTTCCCTTTTGCAGTTCCGTTTCCGCTTAGGTCCAGCTATTTTCTCACACGCAATCTCTTTGTTGAGCCTTGCTTACCTGCAACGACTCAATACTCACATTCCTGATTGCGTCCAGCATGACTCTTCCAGGGGCAACCCACACCTTCCCTCCAGCGCGATCCCGCCGAGCCATTTTGGCAACGGGTTTCTATCCAATGTTTTTTCTTTGTTGCACCCCTGCATACTCAAAAGGCTTTTTCGCGCGCCAATTTCCTAATTCCACTCTTACATTCATGGCTGGCCCCATCCAACCCGTTCCCCTTGGTATCATCATCAAAGAGACCACGCCCTTTAAAGAGTGTACAGTTTGCGTCGTCGCCGACGCTTCGTTCCCACGTTCTAACGGTCGCTCTCTTCCCCTTACTTTCGCTCAACTCACAAACTGATACCAAAGACTTTGATCCTGTCTGGATTTCCATCTCCGGTGCGCGTGTCACCGTGAAACCCTTTCGATACATGATTTCACTTTCCTTTCCGTCCAGTATTGCGCTCGTCCTTCCTTTCTACCCTCTTCGCCTCTTTCTTTCCTTCGGCACTGTCCTGCCCGTTTGGCTACGCACCCGGGCTCCTTTCATCGTTTGCACCACTGACTGCCATGACCTTGGCCGGATGGTTCTCCATTCCTTTCCCGCGCCACTTCCTGTGGCATTCACACTGCATGCATTCTACGTCGGGTTCGGCTGCCGCCTATCCGCCCTTCCTTGGATTCTTTCTGGATGCCAGTGTCCCCGGCCTGGCGTACTTCCATTCCTTTTCCCCCTCACCTCACATGTGGGCCATTCCTACCCTTTCATTCTTCATTCACAGCCTGTTGGCCTATTATCCTCATTTGCATCGTGGCCTTCAGCCCGGTGCCCTTTCATTCCGTTCATTGGCCTTCACGCCCACTCACATTTTTCAGCTGTGCCATCGCAGATTCGATGACAGAGATCGCCTTGGAACCGCATTATCCATGGCCCAAGGTTCCAATCGATACAGAACTTGGCTTCCCTGGCCCACTCGCCTTTTCTGCCCTGGTTGGAAATCTTGGTGGAAGAGGCCGGGGGGGGACACATTCCCAAAAAAATGTGTTGATGGGTGCTTTCGCAGATAGCACACCGTCCTAGGCCCTTCCCTGCTCCCCCGAGCTGGTGCTGGACTAGGGCTGGAGCACCACGCTAGATGGTGCGACTCAATCATTTTCTTACGATGTAACTAGGAGGCACGACGAATAAGCTATATTTCAAAGGGCAGAGTATATCTCAAGGAAGCGCTCGACTGCGTGTGTACCCGTAAATATGTGTTGATCAAAATTGCAATATTAATAAGAGTATTATGGGGACTCGTGCAAAAGGTGCGGGCAAGCCGCACGCGATTACCTTATTCGGGAATGAGAGCGTGTGACCAGTGGGCCAGGCAGGAGGTTCGGCGTTCGATGCTCTTCAAAATTCGGCACTCGCGCACGTTCCCTTGGCTTGCGCACAACAAAGCAACTCTAGCAAGTCATTCCTGCTCGGCACAGGAATCGGGTCGGACAAATGTGATCGCACACACGGAGAGCGAGTCACACATCACCCAGCGCTGTTCCTCTTGTTTTCATTCATTGGATGCACGTGGATTTTCGAGCTCATTACACATGCGCTTGGGTTTGGATAAAGGTCTTGCTTAGATCTTGCAAAGACAAGTCACGACTGGCAAAGATGCGCGCTCAGAAAGCCCAGTTGGTCTGCTGTGCGAGCTGCACGGCGGTAGTGATGCTCAACAGGGTCAGGCCGATGCTGGCAACGTAGCCCGGGAGGGCGCCATGGACGCGCTTCTTGGGCTCGCCGCTGACGTAGCCGAGCGTGTACAGCACGCGCGACACGATCCATGCGCCGGATAGGATCGCCGCCGCGCGCGGGAACTTGAGGCCTGCAATCAGCGACGTGAGGATAAATTGCGGGAGCTGTTGCGATGCGAGCAAGGGTGACACCGAGGAGCATGGCACGAGTGTCAGTCATGCAATGGAAAGGAAAAAGAGTGTAACGAAAAAGGATGCGCTCACATTCTCGAGGGTGTTCAGGTGCTATTTGAGTCAGCGAGCAGTCACGAACCCATGAGGTGGAAAGAACGCAGGAAACAACAGTTAGTCAGCTCGTCGCGCAATTTCGTCCCTCTTCAATTACGTCGAAACCCCCCACGTGCCTCGGGCCGCACGCAACACTCACAGCCCTCTGCGTGCAGTTGAACACGTTCGCCTTGGGGTTCGCCTGCGCCTCGGCCTTGTCAGCGTAGGCCAGGGGGTACGGCACGCCGGCTGCCTTGCGCGCCTGGCTGACGAGGATACCTTGCCAGAGAGTCAGCACGGCGGACGAGGTCGTGGCGAGCAGCACGAACGGGTAGCCCGACGGCAGGCCGAGGGTGACGAGCGCCGACATTTTCGTTGCTGGTGGTGATAGAGTTAAGTTATCAAAGTCAAGGTCCCTGATAGGTGCGTCAAAATCTTGATGCAAATCTGGGCAAGATGTTTTGGAAAGACGTGCCAACAGGCAAACTTGAGACCGGGCAAGTAGCAAGTTATTATGTGAGTTGTCGCCCAGAATGTGCGGCTCGTCAAGCTTGGGGAGATGACGTGGACACCTAGCCAGAGCAGAAGGGCCTAGTTGCAGGCTGACACCGGCGATAACCAAGGTCCGAGTGAGCCCGTCACATGTTCCCATCACGTGATTCTGAATGAGTGGACGCAGGCTTCAGCCGCCTCTCGCCCTCATCGAGCTTGCTCGTTGTCCCATTTCAACGGCATGCTGCTTGTTCTGCGGGTTCCGCTTTTACTCCAGCATGTGCATGTTCAGTCCCGCCTTGTCGATGCGGTATGCTGTGAAGCTGAAACCGGCTCACTTCGGCCAAGCCTGCAGGGTTGGCCTCGATCGGTGGCGGACAGCGACTTGGTTCCTCCAGGGAGGAGGTCACCCACTCGATGAACTCCTTCCCGCCAGCCAGCTTCAGGCACGTGCCCATTCCGCCCGCCCGGTTCCCTCTCCGATCCTTTTATGAATTAGCGCTGGCCAAGTCTTCATGTGCCATGTCAGTGTGCGGGCGAAATGGCAATCTGTGTGCATACATAACCTCGCTCCTCTGGAGTGGAGTTGCCGCGCGGGGACTTCGGAGAATATGGATGCACACAAAAAGCTAGTCGCCGATCAGGCCGCATTTCGGCGTCCTCTTTCGCTGCTAAAATAGAAGTTGCCGATCGGCGTCTTGTTTCCTCTCTCCCGAACACTCCTTTTCTCCTTTTCGCCGTCTTCCAGTCGAAGGAACGCCTTGTTGCTGCTGCCTTTGGGAGCCCTCAGCGCATGTCATGCAGGTATCTGTCCTGCACAAAGTGTGCTTGTTTGCTTTTTCACGTGCCACATAGCAAGCATGAGCGCCATAAATGCGGTCTGCGGCGTCTGCACTCGGCTCGCCCGCAGCAACGCACCACCACGACCAAGAGCAACGGCATGGCTGCACTCCCCCGCGCGGCCCTTGGGCGGCACGGGGGACGCAGCAGCGTCCTTCGTCGTTGACCTAGCGCAAGCCAGAAGCTTTTCCACATCGATGCCTGCATGGAAAGGAGGCAAGAGGCCCAAAGCCCCGCGTGAGCATGCCATCAGCCGTGTCCCTCTGTTTGCCTTGCACCTTTTCCTGTGTTGGGGCCCGCTGACACACGCGCGGGCATGCAACGTCAGGCATGCCGGCCCGCTTGCGTCTTGCAGATCCTGCCGAACTGCGCAGAGCCAGTGTGCTGAAAGCGACAGCAAGCGGCATTAACATCAGTCGCAATAACGGCAGCACCAGTAGCAACAGCAGCAGAACCCCGAGACTTCCACCGCGGCCCTGGCCAGACAAGGGACTCAGGCGTCCCGGAGCACAACCTTTCGGACAATCAAGAATTCAGCGGAAGAGTCGGTCGCTCGTCGGCCAATCACCGACTGCCGCTCCCACTTTGTCACCGCTGCGAGAGAATCGTGCTCCAAAGGCACAGCTGGACCCGCGAACCAGGCATTTCGATACACTTCCACTGTCGCCAGGCTTTCTGCAGATGGCAACCTCACAGCTGGAAGCGCAAGCGGCCCACGATCCAAGAGGGAAAAAGGGAAAAGTAACGTTCCAACCGACGCACATCCAATCGCTCTCCATTCAGCACTTCCTGCTGGCCCCGTCGGGCGGCGCCTCGTTCGGCAAGGAACGCGCAGAGCCTTTCCTCTTCAAGGAAGCCGGCAGCGAGACAGTGCTAGCAGCCGAGACGGGAAGCGGAAAGACGTGGGCATTCCTCCTTCCGCTCTTACAGCGGCTCAAGGATACAGAGGGGCAGTCCGCTCCGGAGCCGGTACTGGGCCAGGAGCTGCTTGTACGACCGCGAGCCATCCTCCTCGCCCCGACGCACGAGCTGGCACGTCAGCTCGCTTCAGCTGCTAAATCCCTTTGCCACATCGAGAAGCTGCGCGTTCTCTGTCTGAGCAGCGGCGGTTGGCTCGAAGCGCTCGAACAGGACATTGATAGGATGAAAGTAGCAGCAGCATCGCCGCAGCGCTCTTCTCACCCGCAGTCCGCTTGGCCCGTGCGCGGCATCGACCTGCTTATCTCCACTCCGAACCGCCTCCTCGACGTCTGTAAGAGTATGCAAGAGCGGCAGGCGGATAAGGCGAGCCGTGAGGCGCAGGACGCACCGCCTGGCCGCATGGACCCGCAGGATAAGCCGCAGCTCGTCGCGCTGGACGCTGTGCGCGCAGCCGTCGTCGACGAGTCGGACGCGCTGCTGGACCGCGACTTTGCGCCTGCGACGACCAGCGTCCTTCGCCGCGTGCACACCGACCGGCTCGCTGGATCCGCCGTGTGCCACGCTCCGCCGCCGCCGCCCGCAGACCTCGTGTTCGTCACGGCGTCCATCTCTGCGGCGCTGTCGCAGCACCTCAACACGTACCACCCACGCGCGCACATGCTCCTCTCGCCCGGCCTGCACCGCCTGCCGCGCACGCTCGCGACGGCATACGTCGACCCCGGTGGTTCGAGGCATCGCGCACTCGCCAGACACGTTGCCGAGGCCCTGGCGGCTGACGCCGAGGGCAGGAATAAGGTGCTCGTCTTTGTCGAGAAGAAAAGGACCGTCACGATTCTGGCAGAGTTCCTGAAGAGCCAGGGTGTCGAGTGAGTCCGCTTTGCTCTGCCCTGCAACCCATGCACACCTGCCTGACATACATGGCTGACCTCCCCTCCTCTATCCCGCCAGCAACGTCGCGTTGACCGGTGAAAGCAAGACGCGCAGCATGCGCTCCAATGCTCATCTCGCTGGCTTTCTCACTTCCACCCGGGGAAGCACACCCGCAAGCGCTGCCGATGTGCCGTCCAGCAGCAGCAGCCCGCGTGTACTCGTAACCACGTCCCTACTTTCGCGCGGCCTCGACTTTGACTCGAGCGTCTCGCACATCTTCATACCAGATGCCAAGAGCGCATCGGCGTCCGCGGCGGGCACCGCGCCGCGCCGTGCGGCGAGGCAGGAGCTGAGCGCGCTCGAGCTGCTGCACCGTGCGGGCCGCGGTGCACGTGCTGGCCGCAACGCAACCCTCGTGCTTTTCGACAAGGACGCAACGCCCCAAGGCAGGCGCGTGCTTAAGAACCGCAAAGGCAAGACCGTCGGCCGCGTCATTGGCCGCCTCGAAAGGATCGTCAAGCCGCTCAGCGCGCGCCCTTGACCGCACGCATCGGCCCCTCTGCTGTCGACCACTGCGCTTGGCTGAGGCCGGGCGGGCGGGTAGGCGAATGTATACTATGCTCCCTGCAATGCGTATGCTATAGATGATGGGGCGTGCAGTGCTCCTGAGAATGAGTTGAGTACGTGAAGATCACGAGTCCGGTTACTTTTAAAGTTCAGGCGAGCATTCCTTTGCAGCTTGGAGCACTGCCAAGTCATGCCACAGCCGCAGGATCCACTGCTCAGCCTTAGGCTTCAGACCACATGGGCAGTACACCCGAAGGCAGTTGCAGATGGCGGCTGAGAAGCCGGCATCTGGGCAAGAGTGCTATGGATATACAGCATCGCCAGCGCCGAGCGCATTCTTCAGCCCTTTTGAGAACAGAAGCAGCGAGGGAGCATTTCCTCATAAGCTGCAGTGATATAAGGTGTCGCCGAGACTCATCAGAGAAGACACAGAATCAGCCGAATTGCGAGCGACCCGCGAAGAGCTTGGCGCTACACTCGGCTGATTGATCACAGGACTTGCAAGTCGTTGCGAAACGACATTCTTGTCTGTCTGCGGGACGCTACCGCTATTGCCACTTCTCAATCTTGTCGCATTCGAGGCGGACTCCTCGATGAACCCAATGCGATGCTGAGAAGAAGTGTGGGAGACGAGTACACGAAACTTTGCCCACTCTGCTCGGGATTCATTCGGACTCGAAAGTGCAGATGGGAATCGATCTTCTACATGTCCAACTGACGAAGAGTGGACTGGAGGATGACGGCTGATTCATTATGATATTGCGCGACGAGTTCTGCGTACAGTGAGTCAGTTGCTGGAGTTTGTTCCTGCGCGTTCGCGGAGAGTTCATTAGCATGGGCGGTCTGCTTGTCGTGTTAGGTCCGAACATGCGTGGAATGTCGCTCCTTTTTGTGCGGGTAGGTTCTTGTCCCTTGTGAAGAGGCGCTCTCAGCTGGCGCGTGATGAGGACAAGACAGGTGTTCTCGCTGATGCCCTTGTGCCGCAAGCTCTGCTTCTCACCTCCTTTTGTCCGTTTTGGAGCGGCCACGGCGAGCACGCGCCTCGAAGCCCATAAACATGAGCGCCGACTACACCCAGCGGCGGGTTGATTTTCGAAACGACTAGACACCAAGCATCAATTGAAGGTACACATGCAAGGACGAGGTCATTCATCCTGTCACTGTTAGACTCCTTGCTGTTTGGTAGGCGGCGAAAGCGTTACCAGCGACGATCAGGGTCACGTGACTTTCACTGGAGGCATTGGATTGGGTTGGAGAGTTCCCAGGTCTTCAATAATGACTTCTCATTGCTGCTCATCCACCCACATCCACAGTCTCACAGCGCTGCAGCGACTCTCACTCGCCTTGCCGTGACCGCCTCTACGAAGACATACAGCAGGTGCAGCAGGATCGGCTTGCCCAGCAGGATGTCTTCCATAGGACTCGCATCAAGACTGCCAGCGCCGCGGCTCAGCAGCCGGGTGGAAGACGTGGACGATGAGGAACCTGCAGGCCTTGCTCGCGTTGCAGCTCGCATCTCATCTGTGCCTTCGTCTTCCTCCACAGCCGTCACCCGCATGACTGCCGACATCCCAACTTATGGACAACGACAGGGATGGAGGCCGCAGTCTCAGACAGACTTCGGACCCGATGGCGGAGCTTATCCAGAGTGCCACGTGGCGCAGTATCCGCTGGACATGGGCAAGATTGGTGCCAAAGGAGCAGTGGGTGCAAAACGAGCTCTCTTCTGTCAAAAAGACATGGACTAAGTCTGATTTTTTTCATCCTGTTTTCAGGGAAAGAGCGGGGGTGCTCTGGCACTGCAGCTCGACGCGGAAGGAAACATACGATATGATGCGATCGTCCAACAGGGCCGAAGGGATGGTCAGCGCGTCCAGTCTACTCAGCTGGACATTGTCCCACTTCGACATCGCGCAGACTACAAAGAAGGGGAGGACCGGCGGGAACGACCTTCAGAGGAAGAGGTAGCATCGGTTACTGAGAGGACGCGGCTCGCGCTGGAGAAGATTACCCAGACTAAAATTAAGGCTGCACAACCGGGCAACATTCCCAATACTCAGGGCAATTCGTCCTTCATCCGATATACACCAGGTCAGCAAGGCGGTGGAGATGGAAAGCAGCGCATCATCAAGATGACCGAGGTCGTTGAGGACCCGTTAGAGCCGTCACGCTGGAAGCACAAGAAGGTGCCACGAGGGCCGCCATCACCGCCGCCTCCAGTCTTGCGCTCGCCACCGCGCAAGGCGACCGCGCAGGAGCTGCAAGAGTGGGCCATCCCGCCTTCGATTTCAAACTGGAAGAACAACCGAGGATTCACGATCCCGCTCGACAAGCGTCTCGCAACGGATGGGCGAGGGCTGCATGATGTGCATATCAACGACGGATTCGCGCAATTTAGCGAGGCACTCAACCTGGCAGATAGACACGCGAGGGAGGAGGTTAGGCAACGTGCTGCGATGCAGCAAAAGCTGGCGGCGAAAGAGAAGGCTGCAAAGGAGGAGCACTTGCGGATGCTAGCTCAGCGAGCGAGGGAAGAGCGTGCAGGTATTGCGACGCCATCCTTTGCCGGTGACAGCGAGGCGGGGCCATCGGGCAGTGCTCGCGAGGCCCCTTCAGCCGCCAGCAACGGAAGGATGACCGCCGCGGCGGGAGGCGCGATGCCTAGCGCGCTGGCCGGCTACGGATCGGATTCAGGCGAGAGCGACTCGGAGGATAGCGAGGAAGAAGCTGCGGCGCGGGAGCGCGATCGGCTGCGTGCAGAGCGCAAGCGCGAGCGGGAGCGCGAGCTACGCATGTCCAACATGGGCACCGAGCAGCGCGCCAAAATGATCGCCAAGGAGCAGAATCGCGACATCTCCGAGAAGATCGCGCTGGGACTGGCCAAGCCGAGCACGCAGGGTGGCGAGCTAGACGCACGCCTGTTCAACCGCGAGACCTTCAATGCGAGTTTCGGCAATGATGACTCGTACAACCTGTACGACAAGCCGCTGCTACAAGGCTCGTCTGCAGCGCAAGCCATCTACAGCCGACCAGGCGGCGGGAACGGCACCGCGGACGACATCTACGCAGGAGGCACGGAGGAGGGCATCGGCGAAGCGCTCAAGAACGATCGGTTCGGGCTCGGCAAGAGCCGCTTCGAAGGCGCCGACATGGCCGAGGAGAGACACGGCCCGGTGCAGTTCGAGAAGGACCAGGCGGATCCCTTTGCCATCGAACAGTTTTTGGACGCTGCCAAGCGCGGAACCAAGCGCGCCGGGCTCGAGCTCGCAGGGTGAGTGCATCGATGTGGTTTGTCACCTGCGAACGATAGACCTAACAGCTTGCCTTTACTCTTCATCTCTCCTGCCCGCAGATCCGACAGCCGCAAGAAGCAGAGGGATGATGATGAGTGAAAGCATGTTCGATTGGACTTCATGACCCAGCAGGATTCTCCCTCTGCTGTCCGGACCTCCCCATGGCTCTCGTGTGCCAACCGTTCTTCAAAGGTTGCTATCTTAGATCACTCCATGTACAATAAAAATTCACAGTGGCATCGCGCGGGGGCTTCAGCGCCTTTCTCCATCACTGCATCAGCTCTGCAAGTCCAACTTTGGCCCCTTCCGATCTTGCGTCTGTGTTGAGCAGGGGAAAACGAGGCGTTGAGCGCGACCAAGGACACGGAAAGAAAAATTTGGGATGCCTGGCCGCTTCCAGTAGGGTTGACTTGATGTAATGCTCAAAAGTTCCAGGACATTCGTCAGGAAAAGTGTGGGATACGCACATCGCTTTCGAACAAAACGTCACTTTCTTGAATGCATTGACCTCTCCATCTTTTGTGTCTTTCGCTCGCATGGACCACAAGTGATCAAGGACTATCAGGTGTAGACCTCTCTTTCGACCGCTTCTGATTCGCCGCCATGTCCTTCTTTAAATCAGCGGTTACTGCGTCGGTGAGTCGTCGGTTTTCAGCGCAATAACGAGCTGAGATGCCAACCGCAGCGAACTGACGTTGGTGTCCTCTTTCTCGCAAATCGCGTCTGCGGCCATCGGTTCGTCGACTGAACTTCTCTTCGCTTGGAATGAAATTCACCTTCTCGAGCAGCGCCTAGCGCGCTCGTATCCACAGTCGATGGCGCCAGCGCAGTTGCTGCGCGCCCAGCCGGCCTTTGTGCGGCTGCTCTCGCAGGATGCGCGCAAGAAGATCGAATCGGCGGTGAAGAGTGACCCACTGGTCATATTCATGAAGGGTACACCGCAGATGCCCATGTGCGGGTTCAGCAGAGCGGTGTGCCAGGTCATGGAGGTGCAGGGCGTCAGGCCGGAGAAAATGAAGTGAGTGAGAGAGTCTGCGAAGCGATTCGAACTTTTCTATCTTTCTTTCGCATTTACGGATTCATGGATACCCTACTGGGAATTCGCCCACACATTGCTATCCATTACTTCTGCAGGACGTACAACTGCCTTGAGGATGAGGAGCTGAGGCAAGGTATCAAGGAGTACAGCGAATGGCCCACCATCCCGCAAGTGTACCTCAACGGCGAATTTATCGGAGGGTGTGACATCATGCTCAGCAGTCAGTAACATCGTACTTTCCTTTATCGTTGGTACGCCCGACTGACGGTGCATTTATGTCAACGTGATTCGCACTTGCAGTGCACCAATCAGGAGAGCTCGAATCGGCGCTAGACAAGGCTGGTGTCCTGGACCCGCCGCAGCCGCAAACCGAAGCGCAGTCGTAGGCTTGCATTTTCGGGCTGGCGCAAGGGAATAGCACGCAGACCATATGCCCACGTTCTCAGCCCCTTTGTATCTTAGTCAACTACCAGATAGATTTGGGTATTATTCGTTGCATCAGTGGGAACATGTGATCCAAGTCATGTGAATCAACCAATCCATGAGTATACGACGCATGTGTATTTAGAACATGAGCGAGCCAAGCTGCGGGACACCCATGAAGCCTCCGGCGAGCAGTAAGCCATAGCCGCCACCGTACCCATAGCCAGCGCCGCAGCCATAGTATGGTCCAGTGGGGTTGATGTACCTGACATTCGGGTTGCTGTTAACCATGCCACCCCAGGGATCGTAGCCATAGCTCGGCACGAAGCTCTGCAGCGGGAGGAGGACAACGTTATCCTTGCCCTCAAGGTCTCTGCCGAGCAGCTGCAACCGGGCCGTTTGTGCTGCAAGAGAGATGGCATACCATAGCTACTGTTGCGCCTCGTACGTGCGCTGCTCAGCCAGCTCGCATTCGTGCCACTTGCGCGAGCAAGCGCACCTCTTGCGTGGTGAAGGTGAGCTTGTCCCTCATCTTTCGGCCGAGTTTCTTCAAGCCCGGTGGGCGGCGGTTTGTTCGGGTCGTGTCCGATCACGTGGCCGTGAGCGTCGCGATGAGGAGGAGGCTGTGCTTGCGCTTAAGAGGCAGAAGGATGACCAGCCCGCCAATCGTCGTCGGTCTTCTCGGCTTTCAATTCGCTCCACCGACTAGCACGACCGCCGCCGCTGCTGCCGCCACCAACACCGTCGTGGCGCTCGCCCTTTGCGATCCGCTTGTTCTCTTCGCCAACTTTTCTCCTCTCCTCCGTGCTGACGATGCGCAGATACTAGCCGTCAAAGTATGGAGGCATCTGCGCGCTGCGGCTAGCCCGCCGTTCGCCCGCGTATTGACGTAGAAGTGCCGGTCCGTCCCAGTGTCCTACTGCCTGATCCAGCCGTGCGGCAGGGGCGGCATGGCGTCCGAGAACCATGTGATCTTCAACGACTGTCGCTCCGAGACAGGGTCGTTGAAACGTGCCTTTGGAGAGGAGTGGGCGGACTCGAGGTAGCTCGGTGGCGGTACTGCTGGTTGCGTCGACGCTGCGGCCGACGAGGGCCCCGCGGCGGTGCGCAAGGAAAACATTATTAGCCGGGCTTGCACTTGCCGCCCTGGGCTTTGACTTGGATGCTTCTAGACTGCTGTATAGTTTTTCTGGCCGAACGATGGATGTACCTTTTGCCGGAGGGAAAGGATCGGTAGTCCGTGTGTATTGTGAGAGATGCGCTGTACTAGATTACACTGACTATTGTCATTAAATGATGTCAATAACCTTCATTTGGCTGTGGCATGAGAGCTGCTCGGCGACGAAAAATGCAGCTGGGGCGGATCGGTGACGCAACGTTTCAGCATGTCGTATGTACGGCCTCAACGGGCTACACTCGATGACTGTACGTGCTGCAACACACCATAACGTACCGACGTGGCCAGGAGTCCAGGAAGGAGGACTACTTGTAGCTCGTGCTGATCCCGCAACTGGTACTAGAGTTCACCCCAACTCGGTTCTCGTCCACGGACTCCCTGGCAACGCCAGGCCGATGCGAGCTTGAATTACATTTCTTAAACGGGTTCCATCCCATATGTAAGTCCTCTCGGTCTTGGATTTGGACAAGACGGCATGTTACAGCGTTGATGACCAACAAGTTCCTGCATGCAACGAATACTGAGCCGTCAACGCAAGTGCACTCCCTCGCTCCTTTCACAGCCGACGGGCCTCTTCGCTTGGTTGCATAGATGGACGTCCATGTACACATACATGCATATCCATAGATATACATATATGCAACACGGGAGGAGGCTACGATGGCAAAAAGAACCCCGCGGCGGCGTGTCTGCGTCTTCAACATGTTTGGTGACCGCTACCGGGCCCTCAAGAAGCCCTTTTCGCCGTAGCCGCGCGGATCGAGGACGCGTTCAAGAGCCTGGCCTTGTCGGTCTTGGCCGACAGCGATACAGCTGATGCCACGACAGCCACACCGACCTCTGAAGCTGCCGACCTACCGCCTACCGTTAGCCCCAAGCAAAAGTTTAACAGCGGAGCCATAGGCGCAGATGCAGGCCAATACGCAGGACCTGGCCGCGCTAGTGAACGTGTTCATTGGCACGGCTGCAAATAGCAACCCTGGAAACTTTCTTCCCTAACTTGTCAGTCCTTTTTGGAATTGCAAAAGTCGGGATCGATCTCGTCCAGCGTGAGTTCCATAACGCCGCCTTTTCGTTCTCGCTCCTTTGTCCGCTGACTGCATGATCATCTCGCTGGGTCCGACCAGCAGGCAGGTTACGCACCCACGGGGCACAACGACGATGCGGCGCTTCCCGTCCGAGGCATGTCGCCGCTGCACGACTTGGGTACCCAGCTCATCCTCTTGCAGCTACGGGAAACTTTGAGAGGAGGCCGGTCGTGTGCCCTTAGGGCGAGTTCCACCTGTGCCTTACGACTCTGGACGCATGCGAGCGCCTGCATAAGCCTGAGCACCGCTACGGCGAGCCAGGACTACTTACCGCGACGGTCAACAACAACATCGACGGAGTTGGGCAGCACGCGTCGCGCCGGTCTGCAACGCTACACGTTCCCCGCCAGCCTCCTCATCCAGTTCTCCTCTGCACCGTTCATCGTGCAGGACTGGACCAACGAGCTACCGGCTCCTGGAGCAGCAGCCAGATCCACTTTGGCATCGAGAACGGCTAGCTACTGCTCAGGGGCACGTACGACATGTACGGCAGCTAGCAGCTCGCTCGGCGGGAGCGCGTACACGTACCAGGCCCCTGCATCCTCCAACCTGCTCCACAACAACAAGCAGAAGGTTAGCCAGGCCGGCCTCTGGGCCGATAACTGCTTCGGCCAGGACACCAAGCTGCTGCGAGAGCAGTCGGCGCACCTGATCGGCTGTTAGCTTATCCAGAGCGGCGCGCTGTACTCGTTCGAGCACTGTCCCGAGAACAGCGCTGACGACGTCGTCATCACCATCCGCTTCGGGCTCCCTTTCAATTCGACCACGCAGGAGTGTACCACGATTTCAACGCGCCGGCTGCGCGCGGCTAACTTGGAAGCGACGATCACAGAGTAGAAAAAGCAGAGTGTATGCGTTGGAGATGTGCCGCTTTCAGCACCCTGATCCTTCAGCCACCCTCTAAGCCAATGGCGACGCTCCTGCGCTTCCACCTGCTCGGTCTGTTCCCGGTGCCGTTGACTCGCAGATACCTCATCATCTCGCCCCTCCGCCCGCCCTATACCATCCACAACGATGAGCTCTGAAGCTTCACCGTCAACGTGACCAACTTCGACCCGGTGACGCTTGCCGAGAAGCTCCCCGCTGGCGCCAGGGTGCACGTCAAGGCCGTCCCCATCAATAGCAAGGTGCATTTATCGCCCTGCAAGAACCGCTTCAAGGAGCTGCTTCCCGGCAGCGACAACCACACGGCTGCCGCGCTCGATATGGTCGAAGACGCGGGCGCGGTTGACTCGTGGGCGCTTCGACGAGGACTTGCCGCCCCAGTCTTAGCACGGGGGCTTTAACCACATTTATATTATTGTTGCCCTTCTTCCGTCCGTTGTCCACAGTACATGCACACATCCTGCGTCGCTTCGCTGCCCGGTACTTATAGCATACGGCTCACCCGCCTGTTGTAATACAGATCGTTGGTCATGTTTGGCTGAGTACATACCGGCATGGGACGAAGGCGTGCAAGAAGGCTGGCCCCAGCGTTCGACACTCCACGCAATGCCGTCAACGGAGACACAGGCGCATGGCAGAAGCGGCCAAGAAGGTGACTTTGTATCTGCTGCTTATATAGTGACTTTCGGTCACCGCTCTAGCCGCTGCCACAGCGTGCGAGCCTACTTTGACGATATAGTGTCGGGCGATGAGCCCTGGCCTTTGAGCTTCTTGACAGACTATGAGTTCAGAGTGGCCGCGTTCGCGCCTTCGCCGAGAAAAAATGCTAGCTTCACACTGCTCGAGAAGCTGAGGAATGAATTGTTGCAGCTTTGAAGGCTGATGCTCAAAGGTTGATGCGTTGATGAGTGAAGAGTCGATGACGGTAAGCTGGGAAAACGAAAACTTACATATGGTGGAGAAAAACTCTCGCGAGTGTTGTCGTATCATCGTCATCTATGACATAATCCTTCAATTACAACGTTCGAGGCTTCGTGCCTCATGCGTTGAGGCAAGTACATGTGCCTTCCTGGCTATCTTGCTCGACGACTGGCTGGTCTCTGAGCCACAAGATTGATCGATGGGGCTTGATTCCGGCTGGATACTGGTCAAGAGCAGCCAAATCTGCTACATTGTCTGGCATATCAACTGAACTGCGTCATGGGCCATACGTCACGCGTCGTCCGCCGCCTACAAGCTCGAACCCGCTCCGTGGCTTTGCCTACATTGCTCCACGTGCGACAAGCGGGCTTGGAGGAACAGAGTGTGTCGTACGCAAGACGTGGGTATGCAAAATCGGCAACAAATGGATCACTACTATCTCCTCTCCCGAAGGAACAGGGCAACTCTCGCGGGTCAGACCCAGCCCACCCATCCACATGGCGGCGACCTTTGCCGCTCGCAACTGCTCAGACACTGACGCTGTTCAGCACATCTCCAGAAGCATTGCTGATAGCTCTTAAGAGCACCGTGCAAGGCATGCTCAGCTCGATTGCACCGCCCGGGACGCTGCAAGGTCGGACTCAAGACCCTGCTAACCTTCGCTTGCAAAGCCAGCCTAGCAAGAAGTACGTCTTGCTTTTCGCCCTGAGCAAGGAGCTACCCCGAAATTTCTTATCCGAAGCCGTGTCGCTCCTCCGTGGTAGCAGTGGTACAGAAGAGGAAAAGCTTATCACCACGCGCCTGGGTCTCTTGTCGTCCTCCGTCCCTGCCTCGCTCATTCCACCTTCCGCAATGAATCCAAATGCACCACCTCTTGCTCCGCAGTCGACCATCTTCTCTGCTGCTCTGTCTTTGCTGCCTGCGTCGCATGTCATTCCTTTCCGAAGTATGATACAGGGCAAACAACCTGCGCAGGTGGGGAGGTGGCCAGAATCCAAAGAAAGCTGGAAAGACAGTCGGGGAAAGCAAAAGCTCGAAGCGCTCAACGCAACGTTTAACGGTGTAGCAGCAGTTTCCTTGCGACCTTCATCATCAGGACAAATGCGCGCTTCACCAGGGAACGCAACTAGCGACGCGACTGGCTGGAGGCAGCTGTGGGGCCGGGAGAATATCACAGGCGAGCTGCCGGCATCGTTAGAGACCCTCCGGCATAACTTCGCCGGAGCCCCAAACCTATTATCCACCATCCTTTTCTCAAACACAGCCCCACAAGGACTGCTGGAGGGTCTTGACCTGCATTTCCCCCGGGCTTCTTGTGCTGGCGTCGTCGCCCCAGCCACCCCTTTCGAGACGGGGCGCGCGCAGACACTTTTTTTCAAAGATGCGGAAGCCGGGGTGGACGAGGTTAGCGCCGATGGCGCAGTTGGAATCGCCCTCGTAGCGGGAGGAGGAATAGAGGCGGGAGGAGCGAGCTTGAAAGTCGAGACCAAATTTGAAGGTCTAACGGAGTTCGGGCCGCGGAGAGCCATCACGGGCGCGAGGGGCAACATCATCAGCACGCTCGAGGGCGGCAACGCGACGCAGCAATTTTTACGAGACATTCAGCAAGCCTCGAAAAATCAGCAGCTGGCTACCAAGGAGGGAGCTACAATGGCACTAGCACGGGAAGGAATAGAAGGTGCTGAGCTAGCGCTTAAGACGGGCATGAGCAGGGACGAGGCGAGGGACATATCGAAAGGCATGAAAAAGGAAGATGAATTCTACCTTGGCGTGTTTGAGTGCAAGGAGGGCGGGCTCGTGAGTTGCATTTATCTTCTTCTGTTTCTCGCGTATGCGTATGTTCACCTCTCCACCTAAATGGTCGGTTTGTTGCACAACCCAGCCGATCCTCCTAGCCCGTATCCTGTCCGGATCCCCTTCCCGCGGCAGTCTGTCGCTCGATACAGACGTGGAGCTCGAGTCGGCATTCGGGTCCATGCCAACAAGGGAAAATGCCAAGCGCTACGTCCAATTCTACCAGGCGGACCCATCAACAACGCGTGTGCAGTTCCCATCCGCACTCGACATCCCGGGTCTGAATCCGTCCGACTGGGCGAGTCCGCGATTCCTGTTCCTCACGCCCAGCCTCAACACGCTCGAATCTGGCGGCCCGTCTGGGCTGGGCCAGCAGGAGGGACAAGCACCAGGGCAGGCAACGAAGAGAAAGACGCAGGTGCTTGCGCTGCCGAACATGTTTGTCGCTGCCAGCGAGCGCGGCTGGATCAGCCGCAGTCGCAGCCTCGCACGCGGCTGCGAGGGGATAGAGACATCGGACACAGCCTTACAGCAGCAGCAGCAACAAGCGCATGTGACCAACGTGCCTGGTAGCAGCGTGATGCTCAGCTTGGTTGTACAGGAAAGCTAGCCTAGCTCCAGTCCACCTTTGTTGGGACCAAGCAACAGTCCATTTGGTTCTTGCACAGGAATCGACATCCATACTTGATTGTTTTGTGAGCGAGATTAGATAAGCCGGGTTACCACGATCCTGCAAAGATCAGCGTGCCGCCAGGGCGGATCTAATGCTTTGCAACAATTTACGAGTCAGCAGCAACTTTGCCTCTCCATTCTGGGGTTACCGCGGTGAATTTAACAGAATTGTAGCCGAACATCACCTGATAAAGTGTTCACGGCGAATGGAGCAAGCCTGCTGGAGCACTCCAGCTCTGCAAGTGTCGGACCATTCACAACGAAAGTATCAAGTGCAACAGCCTCTGTTCATCTTCGGCTGCGTCGAGGATACCATGCGAGTGTTCGACATTGTCCATAGTGTGGCATGAGAGAGTTGAGATGGACAAGGATCGCGGGTAGGACCATGCTCGCCGGCTTGTGTGTTTGCGTGTCTCAAACTCGCTCGTTTAGCTGCCATGAGTGTTTTTCCGGTGGATTGATCGCCGGTTGTGGTGCAAGCGTCAAGAATTGCAAGGTCATCTGATGATGCTCGCACCACCGATCGAAGGACCTCAATCGCATTCACGCAACATGCTATGTAATGCTCATGTCAAACCGACTGTGCCAGAACTTCCACAGCCCCAGTATGTAGGTATGTATACCAACGGAATTGGAAGGAATAACGGACGCCGAAAAACGGACCGCTTCAGTCACCTCCCATGAAAGACTGTCTCGCCTCGCGTCACGGTCGTCTCGCGACACCTAGCTGAATCTCAGGGAGGCCTATACCGACAACCGGGTTCTTGAAATGCATACTCAGATTCGCACTTTAGATTTCAGACATTCCCATTTGAGCTCCTTTCCGTGCCCAAGGTAGGCGAGTTGGCTCATCACCGCATGAAACGCGTGTGATGTGGATATGTAGAACCGGAGTAGGGTCGATTGGAGTGAGGGTGATGATGCGATCGGAGATCGCCGGCGGCCCCTTCGCTCCCGATTTTGATTTCTGGCACTGCGACAAATGTGTGGATCACCCGACGTAATCTTCATGTACGCAACCTCTTGTTACATTGCCAGGAGTGCCCTGCGAACACTCTCCATCTTTCGACCATCTGCACACACCCGTATCCCTGTCGACCGCTCCTCGGACAGGTTGAGCATCTGAGTCACAAGGACCTGTTTTCTAATTCTAGACTTACGAGCGCTCCCTGCCTTGTCCGCGCACCCCTGTGGGTTGCATTTCCGCGTCTCCCTCAACGCCATTACGACGTGCGACCCCTGCGAGAATCTGCGGCAAAAGCGACCATCCCAACCTGCCCATTTCAACGTCCCAAATCAATTGGAATCCAGCGAGGCTCGCAATTATAGAAACCAGGAGTGCGGTTCATCCAACCTCAGTCCTATCTTTCGTTCCGGTCACCTCAAACGTTGCTCCGCTCTGACGAAAGGTCGGGGCTCGGGGCTTACGCATCGTCTTTACCGCTCTCATCTCCATGTAGGTCACATTGCACTTGAGGAGAACCTTTGTCTCAGGCCGACGTATGCCCTTTTATTTCGCCTCCGCCTAGATGCAAGCAGCTGTAGCGCGATCTTAGGCATGAGGTCCTGACTCGGCAAGCCTAAGCAGGCTGAGACGCCCAACAACGCAACAGGATGCACATCCTAGCTACCCAGACCGCAGCTCTGCCGCCTTCGGCCAACACCAACGGCGCCATCGAGGTTATCACTCAAGACCATTTACCTTGCCCGACGAGTGCGCTAGAGGGCAGCATCCGCTGCGGAGGCAGTGACGAAGAACGGAAGCGATTCAACTATCCACCGCGTCATAGTTCGCGTGGGCACGATCTGTCGGCAGACGATGGCGAAGGAAAGGGCTCGCGGTGCTCTGTCCGAAAGGATGAGCGGCAGAAGATATATCTGCAGCCTAAGGTTCAGGTGACTACAGCTGCAGGGAGCCTAGGGAAACGGAGTAGCCAAGGCTTCAACAGCCAGGCCCATCGCGTTGGGCCGAGTTTGTGCGGCAGTATTGCTAGCAGCATCGACCGGGAGAAAATAGGCCAATTTCAGTCCCAAGCTGGGGTCGGGTTCCAATCCTGCAACTTGGACAACTCAGAGCAAAATATACACGACCCTAGTGCACTTGGCGGTCGGCAGCCCGTTACGTGGGCAGACGACGAGCAGATCACAGACAACGACCAGGCTAGCGCCTCACGCAGCGCCAGCATCTGCGGACGCTTCAGTACGTTTGAATGCGAGGATTTCGGCACGCCACGCCGCATCGGAAAGAGCAATAGCAGCAGCAGTGGCAACCGCAACCGCAGGGAGCAAAGTCGAGGGGCCAACAGGACGGCGCGAGCTGGTGATCCCCAAGAAGAGGCCTACAGCGGCGAGGATACTGGTGCTACTAGCTCAATTCGCGAGCTGCCCCTCGAACTTGAGGACAAGTGTCGCAGCGAGGAGCTACTTGCTGGGAACCATGCCAACTCTGGCGCCAAGATCAAGCCGTGAGTGTTATATTATATCTGTGCTGGACTTGTGGAGGCGCTCGCTCACAAGCCGATCTATTTCAGCATGTCACACCAGTCGAAACGCTCAGCAGCCGCGCACACCTCGGCAGTCGACGAGGACGACGTTCTCGAAGAAGGGGCCAAGCTCGAGGAACAACATGCGGCCATGACCAGCTCTCGAGCTGCCGCCGCTTCCGCAGCTACACCAACATACAAGCACCTTGACAAGCCACTTCCTGCGCTTGATTCTAGGACCAGTTCCGATCGCATGAGGACCATTCGAGCCATTGATCTCGGCGGATATGTTCCCCGTCCATCGACGAGTGAAGATCAGCGCACCGGGAGTACGTCGCTGTCGAGCTCAAAAAGGCGTGCAAGGGACGCCTCGGTCACTACTACGATAACATCCTTGGGGAGTGCAATGGGAGAAAAAGGCACACTTGCGCACCCGCAACGCAGACATGATGGAACGACACGAAGGTCTCCAGCCAAACATTGCCAAGGGCCAGAAAATGAGACCAGCGAAGATGAGGGGAGTAATAATGTTCCTTCCACACTTAAGAGGACGGCTCCCAAAAGGACACCACCTAGAAGTCGTCTTCCGACTTTCCGGGTGCAATGTACAGCTGCGAGCGTCGGGTATTCGTCCAGCGGCAAGTCTGCGGCCAGCGAAGTGGCGCAGGGCTCGAGTCCTGCAACTTCGAGTTCTGATTTGACGCATGCTGGACCCAAAACAAGTGATTATGCGACAACAGGCATTCTGACGAAGAACTTGAAGAAAGTCATCGTCACAAATTCGTCTCATCTGCTGCTTCCGTTCAAAGGGCCTACATCGTCAGACCAGCCTTGGATCGAGGCCCCGGAAAGTTCTTTGGCAGCAGCGAGCAAAGAAAGTCTTCCCTCATCTGCACCGATTGCAGCCCAGTTCAGCTACTCTTTAGCGCCACCTGCGAGCAACAGCTGCTCGCCAATGCCGATGCCTGGGGGGACTCGCTTGTCTGCGTTGAGCGAAACACGTGGTTTTTTGCCCGTTTCCACGTCCACAGGCTCGTCTGGTGAGGTTGATCCACGCAAAGCAGGCAACAGCTTCTCCGCTCTACGCGTGCCGACTGCACCGAGATCATCCAAACATGCCGACTCCTCCATTGGCCTGGCCTACTCCTCGAACTCTGCACCCTCGGCGCACAGCACGTTCCTCTCGCCTCCCAATCCTCTGCGCTTCTCCAACGCCTCAATACATTCTTCCTTCTCGCGCATACTCTCGCCTGCCCTGTCAGAGAACAGGAGCAGCGCGTCTCAGCGCTTGCAGCGGACGACTACACCGTCGACTACGCCGTCCAGCGCTGCCGCTACGCCAGTGCCGCAGGCGGCCACAAATACGCCCCCCTCCTTCTCTACTGCTGCCAGCGGCCAGAGACACTTGTTCGTGTCTCTGCAAACCGTAGGAACCTTTCGCCGGTCGAGCTCGAAGGCAGGCTTGACGGGTGCAGGCGGCATCTCGGCACCTGTGCGCAGCACCTCGCACGCATCTAGCGTGCCCACATCTGCAGATCGTGAGAAGGACCTGCCGCCGCGACCGAAATCGGCGCTAGCGGGTTTCTTCACCAGGTCCGCATCTGCTCGCTCGTCGAGCCCAAAACCCACGCCGGAACGCCTACGTTCACAGACCGCTCTCGGCGGCAGACTCAAAGGTCTCACAATCCTCAGATCGTCTTCCGCTTCTAGTTCTTCTTCTCCGCTTCCAGACTCTGTCAATGGCCGTGGGCACCTGAGCGCTGCGCCTGGTAGGACTCCCAGCATCGGTCAGGCTGAACATCTGGGCGATGTCGAAGCGAAAAGCGACTCCACGATGCAGCTGAAGAGTAGTGGCACTGGCAAAAAATCATCAGGACGGACACAGAAACGGTCAGCGACACCGCCTCAGCAACAACTGAGTGATGGAGGCGGCAGTGGCAGTGGCGACGGCGAGCGATCTCCGCGTAGACCAGCAGAAAGCGAGCATCAGGGGGAGTGCGAGAACGTACCCAGCTCTACATCCATGTTACCAGATTTCCGCAGGCTGATTCCGCGTCGCAAGAGCCTGCTCGAAGCCGTCTTCGAGCCATACGCGAAGAATGGAAGCAGTGCAAGCGAACCTGGTCACACGGCTCTGTCCGCAGAGGCCGAGCCCGAAATCTCGGCTGGTACCGGCCTTGGCCTTGGCCTCGAGATCGATACGCCTCCAAGCGGCGCTGCTACTTCAACATCTCCACCTCGCAGCTTTGCAAAGGTGGCGACCAGTGTGCGGCATCGTGGCAATTCTCATAATCTGCACGACACGCGTCCGGTTCTGTTTTCTTTGACCGTTGCAGAACTGCCAACCGAGTCGGCACTCGACGACACCATGAGCGATGCCAGCCATAGCATGGATCACGAAAGCGTCATCGCAGATAAGTCGTCGCTCTCGCCTTCCTCCTCATTTTCGCACTCCAACACGGGGCATGCGCCTTCGCCGACATCGAGGCGACCCTCCCAACAAGGACATCTGCCTGCATCTTCGCGTCGCCTCTCTTTCGGAAAGAGCGGCTATTCGGTCTTGGACTTCGGCAACCGCAGCTCAGCACCAACATCGTCTCGCATGTGGTACTCAGAGCTTTCGTCTGACGATCGATCGGCTACGCTTTCGAGCTTCCTCCGTGGGTGGACAGACCGAGCATCTCGCTCGCGTGAGTCCTCTGCTCCCATCACTCCGCTGGAGCCGCTGTCTGCAGCGCCAAGCGAGAGCCATAGTGTGGACTACAGCGTCTCTGCCAGTTTAGCGACATCTCCGGCGCTGGATGGATCTGCGCTCCAAATAGGCACCTCGGCTGGTTCGGCGAGGACCGATGAAGAGCCGAAAATGACCCAGCGTGTTGATACCGCAGAGCCCATACCGCCGCGGGCGTCATCCATGTTGACATCGCGCACAATAGAGCGTCACACAGCCTCTCGATTGCCCGGCCTACCTCCTCCTCGCGCCCAGATCAACGTAGCCTTCGAAGTGGGAGAGGATCGCGCGAAAGTGGAAGGCTTTAATCGCAAGCCAGAGCCTTTGCCCGAGGCAGAGGCCAAATTTCGCGAGCCTACATTCAGCATGGCCGATGATGTCGAGTTTTTGAAAGCATTAGAAGAAGTGCGTCGGCGGCACAAGGTGCGATTGAAGCAGAACTTGCAAGCAGCACGAGACGATAAGAGCGAAACTGCCACCCGTGCTTTGCAGCCTCGTCAAGACTCTCGATCCCGCGCAAGTTCCGCTGAGCGCCCCTTGCCGCCCCCGCCGCAAGTGCAAAGGGCAGAACCTAGCAAGCCGCGACAACGCGCCAACAGCGCCAGTGCCAATTTGGGTAAATTCTTCTCTCCTCCCATGCTAAAGAGCCTTTCCAAGGCCGCATTCGACAAGGAGTCGGTGTTAGAGACCATTGAGCTGTTCCAGACACCTTTACAAGTTGGTCAAGCGGCGGGCAAGTCACAGAAGGGTGCATTTGACAATGATGATGACTGGAAGAAAGAAGTCAAAGCGCTATTTGGTGAGTTTGAACGGGCGCCACTTGCAAAAAGTAGGACCTGAATTCACTTTGACCCACTGTCGCAGTCATCCGCGAGCTGGTGCAGACGGAGCGTAGCTATGCGCGTCACTTGGAGAGCCTCATGCAGGCAGTGCGACGCTTGTCGAATCCTCAAATCGCCTCCGCCAAGAAGGATAGGCGCCTGAGTCAGTCTGAGGTGGTGGCCAGCCACATTTTGAGCTTGCGCACGCTTCTTCCGCAACTCATCGCAGTCAGCCGCGCCTTGGTCACTCGCATCGACGAAGACCCGACCGCTGCTGGCGTCGGTGCAACATTCCGTGTCGTGGCGGCACAACTAGAGGCTACGTTTGTCGGCTGGAGCTTCACGGTCACGGACATCATGGAGGGCCTGCGAGCCAGCGATGCGCAGAAAAGCAAGTCCAAGGGCAAATTGGGCAAGGTGTATCTACTGCCTGAAACTACCAAGAACATCAAGACCATCCAGCATACGCGCTCGCCTTCGACTCCTTTGTCACTGGCCTCCGCGCAGAGCGACCGCAGGGTCGAATCTCTTGCTCTCACACGGCCCTCCACGCCTACAAAGGCGCCTTCTGCTTTTGGCGACATCGATTCGCCTTCGGCGGACAGCGGTCCCAGCAGCAAAGGCATGGTCACTTCGCGGTCTGCTTCCTCGCTCGGTTTTGCGCCGCTCCAGGCCACTGCGCTTGGTCGTCGAGCTTTAGGTGCAGTGCGAAAGAACCATGACACCCCTCCATCGTCCCTCAATTCGAATGGATTAAAAGGGCTCAGTCCGCTAGACATCGTTATTATGCCGTGAGCCTATGCCTTTCTCCTCTCCTGCTTCACGCTCTTGTGCTGACCCTGTCCCCCCACGCAGTACCCAACGTATACCCCGATACCTTTTGCTGCTGCGGGACCTGCAAAGCAACACTCCCGTGGATAGCCTTTCCTACCTGCGCTTAGAGAGAGCATTAGACATTGTCCGGCGCGTCGCCGAGCTGTGCGACGAAGCATCGCATAACTATGCAGAATAGAGCGTTGCTTGACTCTCAGAAGCTGCAACCGACCGTGCTTGTATTCTTAAACTATTCGACTGAGGAGCATCTCTGCGAAAGATATATGCTACAGAGTACAGCACCATCGCAACCTCGAGATAAGCCCATGGAAGTTTCAAGCTGGTCACGTATATGTCTGGTCTCTCTCGCGAGTGCTCGCTAAAGCAATTCGCAAGACGAAAGTGCGGGGGGAGAATGTGTACGTACCAGGGTGATAGAGGATAGGTGATGATCGGTCGTGCGGCTTGATGGATTCCCCTGAAATGATGAGGAGCGTCAGCAGTAATCGCCGGTGCTTCCTTTTCACCTGCGCCGAATTATCCATCCATCCGATTTTTTTCATCCCAAGAAATCGTGGTGTGGTGAGCCGGCATCGCAAAGCATCAGACGCAGCTCAAAGCTAGAAAGGAGCCTCGTTCTGGCATGAAGCATGCGAGACTGTCCCAACTTAACGGGCGCAAGAATGAAGAGGCTTGCAGCCGTAGTGACGAAGTTTGAGCTTCTAAGGACCACTGATAAGTTTACCAATGTGCATGCACTTCCCTGGTGAGAGATCAACAGGTCAAAAACCGCTCTTCAGTGGTCCGATCGTTACACCAAGGGACGGAAATACAGCTATTCCAGAATAGGCTGGAAGCGTTTCAAGAAAGACTTAGTAACTCCAAAGAGTGGACATGGAGGATCCATCATTCATCACTCCAGGTTTCAGATCTCTCGATGGATCTGCGTAGCGCAGCAACTTCCGACCATCGAAAACGATATGATCCAGCTCGTATGTGGAATATCCTCGCGGTTCCTTCACGTGTACACATATGGGTTCCGTGATTCCATCTCTGTCGCTCTTGAAGCCCTCCCAGCACATCTTGTATCCTTGCATTTCCGTATGTAGCGTGATGCATCGACCAGAACCACTGGTGCATGTATCGGCTGTCCAATTTAACTGCAACAACAAGCAAATTCGATTCTGAGGATAGGAGCTTTCAGCAGCTCAGAGGACTACCGAGCGTGGACAGGGGAGTGCGGATTTCAATTTGCAGATGAGTGATCTGCATGATCACCGGATCATGGCTAAATGAATGAATGTGAGGTGATTGAAGGCAGTACCATCGAGATTGGCGCCGTGGCTGTTGGTGTCTCTCAGCGTCAGGCAGCGAAAAGCCAAAGAGACGGCCGCGGATATCCGCGGACTAGGCACGGCCAGACTGGCTCAGCTGCTGTCATATCATAAACGAGTGGCCCACGCACAAATATATATATGCCTTGCTTCTTGGAGGAGGGAGTGTATGAGAAGCCTAAGAACCCCTGACTATCCGTTGTCCATACGAGCATTTGAGCAAGGATGCGAACTTGGCGTTCGTTGCATCTTACCTCGTCGATCTTTCGTTCAAAGCATGCATCCGCATTGACATACAAGGCCAAACAGAAAGCAGAAACAGGTCCGGAATATGGATCAAAGATGGCTCAGGCGGGTCCTCTCATACCTTCTGTCCCGCTGAGACTGGGACTGCCGCGAAATCTCGTCGCATTCCTTCTTCACCGGCGCAGATGAAACTCCCCACGTTGTTCCGGTTCGAGCTGCAAGTCGACACCCCGCTCGGCGTCGGCAAGATGCCTGCCGGCAACCGCATGTTCCTCGACGTGCTGGGCGGAAGAATGAAAGGTCTCGACTTTGACAGTGCCGTGAATGGCTCTCCCGGTCATTGGGCCCTGGTGAGAGAAGACGGGTGCAACAAGTTCAACATCCGGGGTCACTGTAAGGGCCAGAAAAAGGGCGATGTATGGTACGAACTATGGCCATCTGGAGGGGTTTGACTGGGTCATGAGAGGCGCATGCCTCTCGAACGAGGAGACTGGCTATTGAAGGTTTAACAGGAGGTCCCGGTTTTCGTACCCATATGCAGTCCTGACGAAAGCGCCTCACGCAAAAAGTCCAACCGTTCGACTCACACAAGTATCGCGTGGGAATGCAGATTGAGCCTAGCTCTCAGATGTTCACATGGGTCAACAGGTCTATTTTTGTTGGCTTTTCGCATTTGACGCACGCAAAAAAGGGACCACCTTCATCTATGAAATTTCCAAAGCAGAATAGTTGCAAGTGCAACAGCGAATTCAGATGAGGTCGGCAATTTCCTGGTTCGTGTGTACAAGCGATGATATTGGCACAATTACATTGACAGATTACATCCTATGGAGGAAAGCCAGGAGGAAGCGGATGAGAAAGTCAACTTTGAGGTCACGAACAACTGTAAGAGCGCTCGCAGGAGACACGTACCTGTAGACACCTTGCGCATGGTGGTTCCCGTCCCAGGCCGGATGCCCGTCGCCCAAGACGGCGCTCTGCTCCCTGCCCTTCATGGCGACCTCCAATCCGAGCGCGACGACGCTCCGTGTATCCTGTGGTCGAATGATGCCGTCGTCCCACAGCCTGGCACTGCCATAGCACGCCATGGTCTGCTCGTCGATTTGCGCCCTAAGCCCGCCGGTGCGCGCGGCATCGCTGCTGACGGTTCCCATGACCGAGCTGAGTTGCTCGCTGCCCATGACACCGATTTTGGCATTCGGCCATGTCCACAGGAAGCGCGGGCTGTACGCGCGTCCGCACATGCCGTAGTTTCCCGCACCAAACGACCCGCCGACGATGACGGTCAACTTGGGCACGTCGGCGCACGCGACGGCGCGCACCATCTTCGCGCCGTCCTTTGCAATACCTTCGCGCTCTGCGCGCGAACCGACCATGTAGCCCGTCACGTTGACGAGAAAGAGCAGTGGTATCTGGCGTTGGTTGCACAGATGGATAAAGGAGGTAACCTTCTTGGCGGACTCGCTGAACAGGATGCCGTTGTTACCGATGATGCCTATGGGCCGACCGTGGATCGAAGCGAAGCCGGTCACGACCGTTGTGCCGTACAGCTTTTTGAACTCGTGGAAGCGACTGCCATCCACGAGGCGCGAGATCACGTCACGCATCTCGAACGGCTTGCGCAGGTTCGAAGACACGATGCCGTGTAGGTCGGCGGCGGGGTACAGCGGCTCGTCGAATGTCGAGCTTGCGCAGCGTTGACTAGCATGCGATCCGCCTGCTTGGCCGAGGTTGGCGACCGCCTCTCGCGCAAGCATCAACCCGTGTGCGTCATCAATCGCGAGATGGTCTGTCACGCCGCTGACGGACGAGTGCATTTCACCTCCACCGAGCGTCTCATCGTCCACCTCCTCACCAAGCGCGGCCTTGACCAACGGGGGCCCGGCTAAGAAGATAGCGCCCTGATTGCGGACGATGATTGTCTCGTCAGCCATACTCGGCACGTACGCTCCGCCCGCAACGCTGATGCCGTGCACGACGCTGATTTGCGGGATGCCGAGGGCGGACATTTGCGCCATGTTGTAGAAGATACGCCCAAAGTGCTGCTCGTCCGGGAAGACGTCTGCCTGGTGTGGTAGTGCTGCGCCACCCGACTCGACAATGTAGATGCAAGGCAGGCGGTTTTCTCGCGCGATCATCTGTGCGCGCAGTTGCTTCTTGACAGAGATGGGGTAGTATGCGCCGCCTTTGACGGTCGGGTCGTTGCACACGATCATGCACTCCACGCCGCTCACCCGCCCGATACCCGTGATGACACCGCCTGCGACAATGTCGTCTCCAGGATAAAGCCCATGTCCGGCCATACTGGAAAGCTCGACGAAAGGTGATCCATCATCGAGCAGGTGGCCGATCCTTTGCGGTTGTAAAGGCAGCGAATGACAGAGATGGTGAGTAACCTATCGTGTGAGACACGCTGACTAAGAAAGGCGAACGTACCTGTCCCTCGGCAGCATCTTCCCTTTGTTTATATGCCTTTGCCTCGCCTTTTCGTTCCCACCGAGCCCGATGCGCTTTGTTTCTCGATCTAGCTCGGCGACCAGCCGGTCCATCTCGGCCTTGTTCTCGAGGAACGAGTCCGAAACCTTGTCGACATTGTTCGGCAGAACAGAGAGGAATGATTGCGGTAGAGATGTGGCACCGGCGGAGGTGACTGTTCGAGACGGTGAGGAGGTGCTGAAAAGCGCAGATGCTGGGATACGCAATGTCCAGGCGGGTGCAGGTAATGAGTAGGAGGGAGGGCAGGCTGGCCGCTTCACGTGGAGCAGCTGCCGCTGTCCGCTAGCATGTCGCCGCAGCGCGCGCAAGGATTGCCCCAACCGGATCATGATTTGGCCAGCGCACGTGCAGTCAGCGAGGTACCAGGCATCAGAGTCGATGGGGGCAGTCACCGGAAGAAGATGCCGTTACAATGGGGCCAGGTATGCCATGTATCATGGATATATACGAGTACTCCACACATCCTCATGCAGCTCGCTCTTTGTTGCTGGCTCCTCGGTCCGCCAGTAGCCGCGCGGTGCCTTTTCTCGTACGATAGACTCACGCGCACTTTCCGCAAGTAGTCATCGGCTCTTCACTTCGTACGAAGCCGCATGTGACGGCGGATGTTTGCTATGATACAACATGAGATCCTGCATGTGTATATATGTGTGTGTTGAGATAAGCGGACATGTACACTTACGCAGTGAGCTGTTGTGTGCAGATCAGCATGACTGAGAGCTGCAAATGCGAGATGTAAAACCTCCGGTGCTATAGAGGTGGAGCATTTTCACTTTTTCCCTTTTCTCCCACTCCTCCCACCGCCACCAACCGTGCCGGGACCTCGGAGCGGCGCTCTCTTCTTGTTCGCTGCAGAGCTGCTGGACTTGTGCTTCACCCTGCCGTCGCCTTTGCCCGCTTTTCCGTTGATCGCGTTAGTCGACTTTTTTCGCAGGTGCTTCTTAGCTTGATGTCGCCCCGGCCGCGGGCCGGATGTGCTTAGCTTTGGTTCATCGATCGCTATGGCGTCTGTATAGTCCAAAGAGTCATCTACCTGGCCCTTCATATGCATGCAATAGGAAGCCATTTGTGCACTCACCTGCGTCAGACGTTGCTGGCGCGTCCGCCCTGATGACCGCTACTTCCGCATCACCATCTTCGTCCTCATGCGCATCCTTCTCTTCGTGGGCTTTGGGCAGCGCTTTTCGGGTGGAGAGTCGCTGCGTAATCTTGGCCATCCGTGTATCCGCAGCGATCTTGAAGGCGCTCTTTGGATCAGATCGCTTGACGGACCGAGCGGCAAGCTTAGATTTTGAGCGGAGCGACTTGGCCATCTTGTGCAATGCTTTTGCGCGGTTAGATCAACCTGGATAAGGTGTGTCTTTTTCAATTCGTACTCTCTGTTCTGCTGCACCTGGATGTTGCGAGGATTATGATGCTTGCAAAGACTCGCACGAGGGATCATCTGGTCTCCGGGCTAGGTATTGGATTCAATTGTCGAACCAAAACTAAAAAGGCAGGCGACGGCGCTGAGGGGCGGAAGCGGAAAACGGAAAGCGGAAGCGCAAAATTTTCGCCAAATGTCGGTTCTCTTTGCAAACATTTCTTCGTTCTTGTTTTGTCACTCCCTCATCATTTACGCCCTTCCGACTCCTCAATCACCTTCGCAAACATGCATCTGTCATTGGTTTAGCTGTGCAGCTGCGCTTGTTGCAGGACTGAAATAATCTTGCTGGTGAGTTGAATGCGATTTGCACGACAAGTGCGGCAACAGATCGAGGGTAGGCGCGATTCTGCTCAAAGGGGTTTCAGGAAGAAATGATGATCAACCCTTTAGATGACGAGACTGAGGGTGCTATGTGGCGCTTCTCCTTCTGTCCTTCGGGATGGAAGGAGATCGGGAAGGCAAATCATCTATCAAATGGTGATTCTCGAATGTCGCAGGCGTCGCTGCTGTCAAACTCGGCTACCATCCTGAATTTGCTTCAACATGGTGGCTCTGGAGGATTTGGAAACATGGGTCGGCGCTTTGCTCTTTCCTAATTTCATCCACATCGTAGTCATGCTGACAAACACGTCTCACGACAACTCTCCCATGCTGGTGTCTTGAACAGATCAACGCATGGGTCCTTCAAGAGCTCATCGCAGCCAGTCCTATCAAGATGGCTCCGGAATATGACCCAGATAGCGACTCCGATTTTTCCAGCGACGAGGCGCAAGATATTAAAGTCTACCTCGGTCTCCCAGACGGCCCTCTGGAACCTGAAGATGAGTCAAATCCACTTGTCTCCCGCGCAGGTGGACGGCCAGCTTTTCTCCCCCGTCCTATCGCATCCACATCGTCGACACGGTGGCCGCCACAACCTGAGCATGTCTCAAGCTGCAAGATCTGCGGGCGGGACATGGAAATGCTGATGCAAATCTTCGCGCCGCTTGAAGGTAGTTGCTACGATCGTACACTTTATATCTGGGGCTGTGCCAGGGCAAAGTGTCAGCGTGCCAGAGACAGTCGATGGTGAGTCAGTTTACAAGAGTTGCACTATTTTTCTCTTTGTGGAGCTTATTCGCATTTGCAAGGAAGGAGGCGAGTGTGATGGCAAATGATTAGTGCAATTTCTTCACTTGAACTTCTTCATCGGAGAGGTCATGAAAAGGAAAACCCTTTGACAACCGAGCTTTTTAACCATGATGCCATCACACTTGTCGATGTTTCTCTCCATCGAGTGGAGATCTTGAGAAAGTAGGGCAGAATGAAGGAACCGATGACTGACATACTTCCGGATTTCCCCTGCTTGTAGTGTCCGTGCCTTTCGCACCATCACTTACAACGCTCGTTGGGCAGCCAAGCTAGAGAAGCAGAAGGCAAAAGAAGCTGCTCGCCAAGAACGACTAGCTGCGAAGGCAGACGCAAAAAAACGGGCAGCCGAGGATGCAGCAAAGAGTCAGAAGATCAACCCGTTCGCTTCAGGACCTAGCTCAACTGGAGCGGGCGGAATGTTTGGTGTTAACCCATTCACCGATTCTGAGCCCAGCTCATCATTCTCTCAAGGGACACAAGCCGATGACAGAGATGACGAACATGAGAGTGACGCAACCGACGAGGACGAGGCCGAAGACGCCGAGCTACAGTTTCGAATCGAAGAGGAGCTAGCCATCAAAGCGAGTCTAGCGGAGCAAGAGGACAAGGCCGCGGCTACCGCAGATGGACGAATAGCAGAGGTGGACCCCTGGAAGAATAAGAGACGAGCCTACTATAAGGCACCTCAGTACGTTTCAACCATACCGGAACCGTCATCATCATCATCATTATCAGCGGCGACCACCGGAACGAAGAAAAAACGGAATGACAACGGAACAAACGGCGGTGCAGCAGACGCGGAAGCGGGTGACGGGGCATGCCTCACCGGACCTGATGGAAAGCCGTATGCCAAGGAAGGGTACGAAAAGATGTTCCTCTCGGGAATTGACTCGGTCTTCGAGCGCTTTGTCGATCGTGTGGGCCGTTGTAGCTCTCAACTGATTCGGTACGAGTTTGGCGGAGAGCCACTGCCATTCAGCAACAAAGGAGAGACATTCAAGCGCTTTTGGCGCACGAAAGTGCAATCCCAAGCTATCGGGGCGGTAAGGTTCGATGCGGAAGCAGCGGGGACGTGCGCTGTATGCGGTTCCAAGCGTGTCTTTGAGCTGCAGCTGATGCCGAACGTCGTCAACCTGCTTCGACCGGAGGCCGTCGAGGGCGGCGACGACGATGTCGAGGATGAAAGCGGCAACAGAACGAACAAGGCAGCCACGGCTGGTGCTGCAGCTGTGGCTGGAGCAGATGAGCAAGCGCGCAAGAGACGCGAGATCGAAGCAGCACTTGCACGTCCTATTGCTGATCCGACCGTCGCACAGGATCTTGCTGCTAGCGGCATACAACGCTCTACAGATCAGCCATCCGACCCTGCTGCTGGCCCAGACGATGCTGCCGCCAAGACCGGCCTGGCATGGAGCACCGTGCTGGTATTTGTCTGCGAGAAGGACTGCGTGGGCCCGCTCGGGAGCGATGCACTGGAACACTGCGCGGAGGAGTTGGCGGAGGTCATGTGGGAGCACGATTGACCATGACACCTTTCATAGTGATTTTTGGTCATCAGGAGGACGGAACGTCATAAAGTTTAACTTGTAGCATATATTTGCAATGTCAGACTATATGTGCTTCCGCCCGTACCAAAGATATCTAGTATTATTGACTTCGTGTGAATGATTGCATGTTACCATTCTTAATTTATCAAAACGATGTATCCCACCCTGCCATTCCGCTCCGTCAGCTCGGACACCGTGCGATCCATATGTTCCCCCTTGGTGGTCCCAGACCCCTGAAGCGCTCGCAGTGCCAAATAATAGCGTAATCACACCCGCCCAAGTGTCATTCCAGTCGAGATAGCCCGGAAACATGGCAAAAACTGGGGCCGGAAATAACTGTCCCCCGGAAACTCTGTACAGTCTTTGCGTGGAAGCGGCCGCTCGAATATTGTTCAAAGTACATCCCGAGAAATCCTCTATACGGTCACCTCATATATTGCTTGCAACCCAGGCGAATCTGTTGAATCTGCCCCCACTTGGCCTCCAGCGAAAAAACTGGTAGTTTCCGGGGCCGCAGTCCAGAACTGGCGGCCTGTTGGGGCATTCCGAGGCCCCCATAAGATCCCGGGGAAAGAAGATCAGAAGGCACTGGGACTCCGGTGTCTACGGCAGAGCCCCTCACAGTTTCCGGGTTAACTCTAGACCTCAAGTTCGTGAATCAGTAAAAGCGCCTACCTTCCTACTCCGTCAGACTCTCCCGCACTGCGTCGCACCTTTTGGAAATAGTGTTCTTACTGAGTTGCCGTTTCCCTGGTTACAGATCGCCTGTATCACACCTTCCCCTCCCCAGGAGGCACACACAGGCTCCCCATTTCCATCGGGTGTCCGCTATGCTCGGAGATGCCGAGCTAATTGCGCCTGACTTGAGGGCACCTCAGCTGCAGTGCTGCTCTCAGAAATCGAAAACGTTAACAAACAAAGGAGAAAAACTTGTTGCACGTGTTTGGCATCTGGGCACTCCGCAGCTCGCGATTAACGGGCGGGGAAGCCCCTGAGCCCAATCAGTGCTGCGTGGTGCGTATACTCTGCCTTTTGGGTGGGAACGAGCCGCTTAGTCGAATGTCAGCACAGGGCGGCAGGGGACACACACCAGCGCCTCTCCTTTGCTGGGGCAGGCTGGAGCGCTGACCATGAACTCTGCTCCCATTAGCCCATTTTTCAGCTGTGAAGTTGGGTCACGTTCAGCAGGGACCTGAAGAGAGACAAAGTAAGAATCGACGTCGAGGCGAGAGTATGCAACTGTGTGAGTCTGTGGGGTCTATGGATAGCGACAGTCTCGAAATAGCTCAAATCCCGCTGTTAATCGGCAAAAGGGGCAAAAGGGGCAACAGAGCAGAGCCGAGCAGAGCCGAGCAAGACTGCAGGGGTTAGGGATCTCTGGGGACTTGAAGGGCCTTTAGAAGATGCGAGAGTGCGGAGATTGGAGAGATACGTACCTTTCCATCTTGTGCATGTGGACACCATTTCCACATTTCGTTACATCGTGGCGAGCCGTGTGCGCTGAGTTGATGCCATGCGTTGGCCCTCCCATGTCTGCTTTCTGACATCTCTGTATATGATTGTACCGTCGCACAATCCGGCCTTAGAAACCGAGGAGTGTCCTGGACTGTCCACGGCACAGCATTTACTCAACAGGTCAGACTGGCGAGGCAACCCGCAGGACGGCCCAACAGCATAGTAGACTGGCCACACTTACCCGCCTCTAGGAGGTCAAAACGGCTTTAGGTGAACTAAACTTGGGGTTCTCCACTTGTCCTTCCAGCTCGTTTCCCACCAATTTTCGAGGAGCCTCTCGCCTGCAAGGGTAGCGCAATATGTCCGTCTGAGATAAGAGGGTTTCCTGGTTGGTCATACTTCGAGCCCGGACGTCCCATGGCTGCGACCATCGTCAACCACATAGATATCCCTTCCTCTACTGTGGCGCAACATTCACAATCACATTGTCAACATCTCAACGAAGGGAGAACCGCCAAATTTGCGCCATTGCACTCGCATTCTCAAAGCATCAAGGTCAAAAGGTCAGGGCTACGGCAGCCGCAGCAACGGCAGGTGCACCCCAACTTGCTTGCAATAGTCACTAGACAACGCGGCATTTGGGTCTTCCCTGCATATCCATTGCCACACCCGACAACTAGGGGCGCCTTCTTCGCCCATCATGCGTCTTTTTGCGAACGAATCACACGCATCTGCATTCTCGTCTCGCTGCCACACGAGGCGGCGGAGCCATGGCAGCCGGGTGGGGGAGGCATTCGTAACGGCCATGGCCCTGATTGCGAGTCTTGCGAGCGTTACGACATGTGTACAGCTAGCACCGAGAGCAACGTCCGCTTTGGGGAGCCTGCCACATAATGCAAGTTCCACAGCTCTGAGCAGCAGCAGCGCTAAAGCCACCGCTTCTGGCAGCGCGGCACCCGCAGCATCATCCTCTGCGTCATCAGGCAGCCCGCCGAGCCTTTGCGAGATTTACACCAAACTGACCTTGGGGTCTACCACACCTGACGCGCAGTACGAATACGTTCGCCTCATCGTCAATTCCATTTTTGTGGGAAACTTTTCTAACCTCGCGAAAGGATCACAAGCGCCGACTGGAATTTTGACCAATAAGTGAGCGCTTTGGCGAGCTTCCTAATGCAAATGTGAACCCTTTTTTGACTGGGCTCGCCTCTGCCACTCCTCGTGCCTTCCTACAGCGGTCGCATTCTAAGCAGTTCAAGATACACAGCACCAGTAGACTTACACAAGTACTTTGATGGTACTCTGCTTTCTACGAACCGCAACAATAAGGCTGTGTCCGTCAATTTCCTCGACGGCGGAGGCCGGGACCCGCTTTTTCAGAACCAACCTGCGGTCAACAACACTTCCAACCAGTACTTCCTCATGACTCATTTATACACCTATTTTGGTGCCCTGCTCGGCTGCAGTGCTATCGGTGGAGGCACTTTCCCGCAGTACAGCGGATCGCCCTCGATGGGCTCGGTACACAAGTTCATGAACATCGGCCCAGCAGAATTCCTTTTCTTTAAAGAGCAAACAGCATACTCGCTCGTCTCATTCGGCATGGACGTTAACTCAACTGTAGAATTCCTTGGTCTTCTGGAGAACTTTGACCTGCGATGCCGCGTTCCGTTCTCGTTTCCCAATGGCGCGCCAGCCGAAAGCCAAGTGATCTGCTCCGCATCCGACTGTGGGCTCGCCCCAAACACTCAGGGGCTACAGGATTGCACGCAGCCGGACGTCAATGGCACTCACGGCGTGGCGCCGCAAAGGGCCAGCTACATCGGCGAAGGTGCAACTGGGTCGCCTCGGAGCGGATCAGGTGCGAATGTTGGCGCCATCGCAGGAGGTATTGTTGGAGGCGTTGTGGGGCTCGCGCTAGTCGCGCTCGGCATCTTCCTGCTCATGCGCCGGCAGCGGCAGAAGAATGTCCAATGGGAGCACGATGCTGACGACCACGCGGCATCTAGGTACGGCAAGCTAGCGCCGACTGCCAACGCCTACGGAGGCGCCATGGTCGGCTCGGATGCCGGCTCGGGTAACTTCACGCAGACAGGCCTGACGGCTCCTCGCTCCATTCTCATATCGCAGAATTCCCGCCCAACCAGCCCAGATGCATTCAGCTCGTCCGCGCGGACTGGCTACTATGATCATGGCATGATTCGCAGCAACAATGGCCGTCCAGCCTCCGTGCAGTCTGCCACATCCGGCACGAGTCGCGCGACCGGTCGCCGCGTTGGCGGCCCCGTATCAGATCAGCGTTCGATCTCAGATACGCTCGGTTCCCAGCGAGATGCCATGCCATCTGGTGCGCTGCTCGGCAACGCACCACCGATGTACGAGCGCTACGTCTCTGCAGGCGCTGCGCGCATGGGAGACATCGACGAGCAGCGCGAGGATGCACACACCTACGCTGCTTCTCCGCCATCGTTAGCCTCACCCCAATACCAGCCGCGACAAGAGTGGCCTACGCCAGCGATCGAGGACCACCCCGGCATCTCTCACAATGAGCTTCTCGAGATTGCCCGCGATGTTGAACTGCCACCTGGGGAGACGGAGCGCCTGATCAAGGAGGCGCACGAAGCACGGGCAGCAGCGTTCGCTGCTAGGCAGCAAGGAGAGTCCAGCGGCTCTTCGGCAGTCGCCAGTGCGTCACATACCATGCCCATCCTAGACACCAAAGATGAGGCTGGTCCATCTTCATGAGTCTCCGCACTTCATATTGCGATTTCTTTGTTTTTTCCAAACGCTCCCATGCATGACACCTTTGACGGATACACTGGAATATCCGGTTTAACGACTTTAAAATCACCCTTACGCTCGCTTATTGCAATGCTATAAAACCCCTTGCTTTAATGTATTCTTCTGTCAGATTTAGGGATGCAAGTACAACACTAGAGGTCTTGCTTGTGAAGTTCATTTTGATGTTACATGTTGGAATCGACGACGCACAGCGCCTGTCCTTCTCCAATCCTGCGTAGCAAGGGAGGCGAATCTTCAGCAAACGGTAAAGATGCCATGAGGAACCGCTGCCGCAAAACTCACGTATCTCCTTCCTTGACCAACAGCCGAAGCGTGCCTGCTGAACGCGCAAGCAACTTGATTTCCGTCTTCATGCTCTCCATCACCAGGATGCTCTCTCCTGGTTTAACACTCTGCCCGTCCTTGGCAATGAGGTGAAGGATGCGGCAGGGCATTGGAGTGGAGTATGTCGATTCTGGTGGAAGCAAAGCAGCTGATTAGCTCAAACCTGCCCTTCGCCAGTCTCGAGGCTTTCTTTCAGACTCTCACCATCAGCACTGCCGGCGGCCTGTCCCTCCTCCAATCGACCCGCATACACTCGCAAGCTGCGCCTGATAACTTTGACTTGGCCTGCAATAGCAGGAAGCCAGAGCCAGGCAAACTGACTGCATTCTTCGTGCGCTTCGAAATGCTCGTCGGACGCGAGCACGGAAAAGTGTGTTGTTGATGGCGTGGTGGAAGAAACCTCTGGCAACTCAGAAAGAAGCTGAACCTCGTACCGCACTGCACCATTTAGCCATTGTGCTGCTCCGTCAAGAGCGCGGACATGCGTCAGCTCCGGACCGATGCTTGCTCCATTTGGTCGAACGGTGACGCGCACGCGCTGCACAGCATCGGGCGCAACACCGAACGGCCAGCTGGCTTTGGGCCTGCCTTTACTGTCCGCCTTCACTTCATCCGAAACAGCTGGCCGACCCTCGACGCCTGCACGCGAGGGCAGGGAAGCGTAATAACGAGCCGTAGCTGCAGTACGAAGCTGTGGAAGGGTGGGTGCCGTCGTCGTACCCGAACCAGCGTTTCCGTTCCTTTTTCCTTTTTCTGCAGCCTTCGCTTTCGCTTGGTCGACGAGGCCCTTGAGAACTTGCTTTTCGGTGTCGTGTGCGGCGTCGTTGTGCCACAGCATGACTTCGAATGATTCGCCGCTGCTTCCGCCGGCGCTGGCTGCCCATGCAGTCTGGAGCGGCAGCGGCCGGTACTGCAGCATGATGTCCCACATCTGCACATTGCCCGGCAGGGTGATGACGTAATTTTCGGTCTGGTGCAAGGATACGTCCGCGTTGTGGAGACGCCAGGACTGCTTGAGCCCCACGCGTGCAGGGCGCAGTCGCTTGCGGATCGCGTGGAAGAATAAGAACGTGGGAAGAGCGGCGTGGATTGGGATTTCGCGTTCAAGTGCAGCGGGGGCGAGGGAATTGTTCAGCATCAAAGCCCGCATGGCCGCGGATGAGCCGTGGCCGAGCAACGAGTCGATGTTCTGCGGGATCAGGCTCGTCGAGTAACTCCCACCAGTGAATGCTGGATGCCCGAGACATGCGTGTATGAATGCCGTGTTGGTTGTGACACCCAGGACGGGCGTGCACTCCAGCATCTGCCGCGCGGCGCGGATTGCAGCTGCGCGGTCAGGCGCGTGGACGATGAGCTTGGCAAGCATCGGGTCGAAGTGGATGGAGACATTGCTGCCTGTGACCACGCCGCTGTCCAGTCGATAGCCGGGTCGCGAAACGGCAAGCGGTGCGGATATGTGACGAACATAGCCAGTGCGAGGGGCGAACTCTGCGCCGGGCTCCTCGGCGCAGAGACGCATCTCGATCGCGTGCCCTACAGGCGGCCGTCGCGCGCGCTCCGCTACATCGCTGAGATTGCTGATGTCGCCGCCGCCGGCAACGTACAGCTGCAGGCTGACAAGGTCGATGCCGTAGACGCACTCGGTGACAGGGTGCTCGACCTGCAGGCGCGTGTTGATCTCCAGAAAGTAGAAGCGCTTCAGAGCGGAGGAGTAGATGTATTCAATCGTCGCGGCGCCCTGATAAGCGAGGAGCTTGCCGATCAGGACTGCCGAGGCGTGCAGGTCTTTTCTGAGCTACAATTGTTGAGTGTGACCGTGTAAGCCATATCTGATCGAAGAGACTATAATCGAAGCTTACTGACCTCGGGAAAGTTGCTCATCTCCATACACGGGCTTTCTTCGATTATCTTTTGATGTCTGCGCTGGACGCTGCACTCTCTCTCGCCAAGCGCGATGACATTCCCATAGTTGTCGCCGAAAATCTGCACTTCGATGTGCTTGCCATTTTCGATATACTTTTCAATCAGCAGATGTGGCGAGCCGAATGACCGTTGTGCCTCGGACTGGGCGCGGCTGATTTCTTCTGGAAGGCTATTGAGAATACAGATGTCAAAATGTGCTTCTCTTCCAGTTTGGGGAGCAGACGAACCTCGCGCTGTCTCGGACGATCCGTATGCCTTTGCCTCCTCCGCCTGCGCTCGCCTTGAGGAGGACAGGGAAACCGATCTTTCTAGCCTCTTGCACGAGCACTTCCATTTTCTGCCCCTCAGGCGTCTTTTCTGATTCGTAGCCTGGTACCAGCGGCGCCTTGTCTGCGCCGAGGCGGCTCCTGAGCAGGACCTTTGAATTTGCCTTTTCTCCCATCTGGCGCATCACTTCGCCCTTGGGACCGATGAAGCACAGTTTCCGGCTTGAATCGTCAGGAAGGGCGGTCGAGGCGACCTTGTCGGCAAAGTCGGCCTGTTCGCTGAGATATCCGTAGCCGGGATGAAGTGCGTCACAGTCGTTGTCGAGAGCTGTCTTGATGAGCAATTCACCGTCGAGGTACGGTGGCGGACGCCCGCTGATGCCATGCTGCTCTATTGATCCGAGGCAGATGGCGCGATCGGCAGCCAGGACGTGCGGGCCATCGCAGTCTTCGCTGACGTACACGGCCACGGTTGATATCCCGAGGGCTTGGCACGTCTTGATAATCCTCAGTGCGATCTCGCCACGGTTGGCGATTAGAACACGCCGGACTGGGTGCGGGATAGGAAGGGCCTGGGTAGCGGCGCTGCTGCTCGTCGCAGGGCACAGGTAGAGCGGGGCGCCAAGATATGTTGGCGGCAGGGGCGAGGTGGTCGCCATGTGTTCTGAAGCGTTCGGGTAAGAGGCCAAGCAGACAGTGTATGTGTTCCTCAGAGACGCTCCTCAGGGTCTGCGAGCTCCCCTCAGATCCTCAACTCGATGTCTCCAAGCAGCTGTGAAGGCGAATCGTATGCAACATGATTGTGTACGGGCCACCATCTTGAGTGTGGGTAGCTGAGTGAATTGAATGGAGAGTGATCGCCACATTGTCAGCCTGTTTGCCGGTAACACATCCGGCCCGGAACACCCCACCCAGTCGCTTGATTTCCATTCGTACACAATACCATCAGAAAACAGAGTGTCGTTAGAATGGTGGGCAATGCTGGCTGCTGACTGCTTACTCTGGATCGAACTCGAGGCCTCGAGGCCACCTGAAGAGCAGATGACATCGCCCGCCTACATGGCCTCGCAGTGATCGCTGGGCCTCCCTATCGACCGCGAACCTCAGTCAGGAATGGCTCCTGCTTGGACCATGCCGACGGCCAGGATGACGACGCTACAACAAGCAGAGGCTGGCTTGCACGCGCGTCACCCAGCGCTCGCCTACCCACCCATCAACCTCCCCCTTATCCCGCCATCAGATGAGATGAAGGAGATCCGCGAGGGGAACCTGTCCCTCATCCACGACTGGCGCGAGCGCATCGCGGCGCAAATGTCCCAAGGTCCCTCCAGCGCCCAGGCGCTTCACTTCCGCCGTGGCATGCTCCTCACGCGCGACCGCATCGCCCTACTCCTCGACCAAGACTCGCCCTGGCTTGAACTCTGTGCGTTTGCCGGCTACGACCAAGAGGACTCGACGCCCTGCGCCTCGACGGTCGCCGGCATCGGCCTCGTGAACGGCGTGCTATGTATGATCAGCTCGGGCATCCCGACTCTTCAAGGCGGAAGTATCAACGAGATGGCTGTCCTCAAGGGTGAGCGCATCGCGCAGATCGCCGCAGAGAATCGGCTACCTGGCATTGGGCTCGTGCAGAGCGCCGGTGCGAACCTCACGCAGCAGTTCCGAGTCTTCCACAAGGGCGGCGGTAGCTTCCGTAGTCTTGCGGAGCGCAGCCAAGCAGGCATTCCGACTTGCGTGAGTGCATGATGTGCATTCGGTCGTACTTTTCTCTTCCATTCACACAATTATTTTCTTCATTGCTGTATAGTCCGTTGTCTTTGGAAGCAGCACCGCCGGCGGAGCTTATCAGCCCGGCATGTCCGACTATGTCATTATGGTCAAGCAGCAAGCGCAGGTTTTCCTTGGAGGTCCACCGCTGGTTAAGATGGCGACGGGTGAAGTGTCCACGGCTGAAGACCTCGGCGGAGCAGAGATGCATTCACGCAAGAGCGGCGTCAGCGACTGGCTCGCCGATGACGAGTTCCAGGCACTGGTCAAAGCGCGTGAATGGGTCGCGTCGCTCAACTGGAGGCATTCTATGACGAACACAGATGCCCTGTATAGCAAGATAGGGCGGGAGCTCGCACCGGTTCACAGGATGGACAGCTTATTGGACGTCGCACAGGCGAACATCAAAAAGCCTTGGGATGTCACCCAACTCATCGCTCGCATTGCCGACGGCAGCCGCTTCTCTGCCTTCAAGCCGCTGTACGGCACAAACACCGTGTGCGGGTGGGCGTACATTGCCGGCTTTCCTGTTGGGATCATCGGCAACAACAGCGTGCTCTTCCCATCCGACTCGGACAAGTGCACACAGTTCATCCGACTCTGCAACACGCGTAACGTGCCCATCGTCTGGCTCCACAACTGCTCCGGCTTCATCGTCGGCAGACAGTACGAGGAGAGTGGGATCATCAAGACCGGCAGCCTCATGATCAACGCCGTGTCTAACAGCCGTGTGCCGCACCTGAGCATCATCTGCGGCTCGAGCTATGGTGCGGCCAATTATGCGATGTGCGGCCGCTCGTACGGCCCGCGCTTCCTGTTCAGTTGGCCGCAGGCGCGCTGCTCCGTCATGGGTGCCGAGGCGCTCAGTGGCGTGCTCGACATTGTCGGGCGCGAAGCAGCCGCACGTAGGGGCAAGATGATCGATGAGGAAAAGCAGCAAAGCATCATGGCCATGTTCAAGATGGACGTGGAAAGTCAGAGCGATTCTTATTACACCAGTAGCAGGATGCTGGATGATGGGATCATCGACGTGAGCCTCTTTTTCATTCTTGCTTTTGGACCTACAAGCTCAGGCGCGCAAAGACATCGAGGCTCATGTGCGTTTTGCTCATCCCATCTTGACTCCAGCCAAGAGACACTCGCGACGTCTTGGCTTTCTGTCTCGAAGTGGTCAACCAAGAAAAGGTAAGCTTAGGCGTGCTTTTGCACCCTCGCACATCCACTCTCAAACTTGGCTTGCTTATTATGAATGTCATCCTCCGCAGATCCAAGGCAACCCGGGCTTTGCGGGCGTTTCACGCATGTAATCCACCATGTAATCACACAGAGCGCGCCTTTGGAGTTTGCGAAGGTGATACAGGTACAGGGGTTTCTTTCACTGCGCACACGAGGGAGACGGTAGGGCTAGTTTTGCTCGGTCTTCGACATGCGCCGGTATCTATGACCGCCACACCTCCCGGGGTCTGCTAAGCCCAAGTTGCGAACGTGCACTCCGAGAGATTCAGGCGTAGATCTTCCGTTTGCATAAGGCCCAGACAGCACGGTCCGCACTTGAGCCATGTAGCAGTGCACACGTGCTGCCTCACCTGAAAATGGGCCCTTGACGTGGCAGCTATGATGGCCAGCACTTCTGGTACCGTCGAGCTGATGATTTTAAATTCGACATGGAGCCCATTCTCAGCAGTCGTGGTGGTTGGTAGTGCATAGCGCTGCGCTGTGCTCACAGGCATCTTTCTTGTGCAGCGAGGGTAGCGAGTAGCGAGCATTCTGCAGGGTATCGGCTCCATGATGCCAGGGAAAAGGCGTTGCGCTTGTTCGCATACCGAGTTGAAGAGGAGGAAGAATAGGAAGTATTAATTATGTGAGACGCGTCGTGCACCATGCGCGACGCGTTGGCTGATAGAGCAACAGGTTCATCATCACTCGTTAACACTTCGGCTCACACTTCGTTCATTGTAGCCAGTAGCAGCCATTTGTAAGATCCGACAACAATTCAGCAGGGCACAGGAAGAGCGAAAACACCCACGCCATGTCTGCCACAACCGCGACCTCAATGCACGGGAAGGGCGCTCAGCTCCCGCATGATGGCCCGCTCTTACACCCACTTAGCGTGAACCCGCACTTGGAGCAGCTTGCGCTCGACTCATTCGAGGAGAACATGAGTAAGTGAATCGATATGTAAAACTAAATTTCTGGACCCTAAGGGTCAAGAGCTGATGTGAAGGACAAAACCTCTGGCAGTCCCAAATGCAATCGGCTTCCTGCGGAGACTCATGCTCAACTCGGTTCCTCCAACGGTGTGCGTCCATACTACTGGACGAGGGCGTTTTGGCTGATGAAACTCTGACCTTCTGTTCGACTCGTGCATGTGCAGCACTATGATTCAATTCATAATTGCTGTTGCCCTGTGCTCACCAAAAGCAGCAGTCAAGCGTACGGAGGAGAAAGCAAGACGACTCCGAACCGAAAAGTACCGTCTTGAACTGTCTGCAAAGCCCACTCCAGAAGACATTGTCGCGGCCCTCGACTTGCTGCACCGCATTGGGGACATGTATCCTGGGGAGCTGATAACTGCCTTGCCGCCATATTCACCGGGAGGTACAGGCGATGATGGCCAAGTGCCTCCCAATCCAGCTTCTGCGTATGCTTCTTTCGCTATCCCGCGGCCCACTTCACGTCTTGATCCGGAAGCGTCTTTCTCCAGCTCTGAGCTACCCATCCGGATGTACGTCTGGGACTACTTGATGACGTGCAGGGACATATGGTCTCTTGCGGACATCAAGGAGGAGTACTGGGAAATCAACCCTACCGCAGCGGCGGAGCGCCGCAAGCATAAGCGAAAGTTAAGACAGCAAATCCCGCAGAGCGATCCATCCAGCTCGAAATCGAGAGACTTATCGGGCTTCTGGAATGTTCTCAGCGTCGTAGCCCCCGTGTGGAAGGCACAGCACGAGTTCATCCGGCGCAATCTGCGCGAGCGCGGGCTTGCGTGGCGTCCTCCTCCCGCGGGTGAGTGTCAATTTCTTTCTCGCTTGACCGATAGCTTTGTTGCTCATGCACGCTCTCACCTTCGAATGTATTGCAGAAGTGTCAAAGCTCTCACTCGTCCATCAGTGCTTCCACTCGGTATTGCCTCGTACAAGAGGGTGGTCGGCAGCAACGGACCTCAAGACGATGCTCGATACGCTTGCCTCCGGCCTCAAGTCATCTGAATTCCAGCGTCCCATTGCCGGCAAAGCCTTACCAAGTCGAAAGTCGGTTGCCCTATCCATTCTTCAGGAAGTTTTCTTCCTCTGTGAGATTGATCTGATCGACTCGTCCGCGATCTTGCGATGGCTCGGGCCGCAGTGCGGCGTCGAGGTCGTCCTTGATGATGATGACAATCCCATCGCCCTAGGTCCGGATGAAGGAAAAGTGGAGCCGTCGACTCTCACCTTGGAGAACGTAAAGGAGATTGAGAATGTGAGTTGGTGCACATATACCGAAACGAGACACACCTGACACAGCCCCGATTGGCTTAGCAGCTGTTGCGAGGCATGACGAGTGCATGGTTTCCGATGCTGAAAGGCTACCAAATCTTCGAAAGGTCGCTATCAGTAGGTGCGCAAAACCTTGTGCGCAATGCCTCACAACTGGCGCCAAATCATTCTCAGAGCGTTGGTGTCACGCTTAGCTCCCAGAGCCAGATAGTCAATCTTTCTGACGCTCTTCTCAAGCATGAATACCGCTCTCTGCCTGGCCTGCACGAGTTTTTAACTAAACACAAAAGCGCAGCTTTGCAACGAAAGATCGCACAGCTGCACGCTTTTGGCAGCTTCGGTGTCAATGAGCCGACAGACACGGATCCCAATACTGTGCCCGCGTGGCAAGCCTTTATCCCTGCCAAGGAACGCATCTCTGCCAGGGAGCGGGATAATGCTGCCCGAGGAGGAAACATTGCAGCAGCGAGGCGAAAAAGGTCACGCGCTGCTTCTGTTCAGCCCGCAGCTGGCACAGCTTCCGATGACCACGTCGACGCAGACAAGCTACGCGCGCGGACATTTCTTACTGCCTATCGAGCCTTGCAGCTGCGCGCCGCCTTAAGGGTTTACGCGATACGCGCCATGATGGTTCGCAGGTCTCCAAACAGTCAGGCCCTTCGCCAAAGCGGTGCAGCCCTGATTGCAGATGCGAAATATCTGCTTCTACGCGTCCAACCCGCAGCAGCGGAGCTTGTGCAGGTGTACGAGCTAGAGTCACAACAGGCCGCATCGCTCAACGACTCGAAATTGATGGTGCTGTGGAATCAAAGTCTCGTCGCGTTCCAATCTGCCCGGGATGCGCTCGAAGTGGAGATTCAAGCGCTGATGTGGTGTATGGACTTTCCGTGACACAGCCGATGGTTGCTTGTATGTTTGTATGTATGTATATACGTGTGTTTGGATGTGTATGTATGTATGCGCACCACGTCTACACTGTGAATAAAGCCACCGGCGCATCGTATAAGATCTCATCACAGTTCAGTTCCGGTGCTGTCTTGCTCTCGTTGACCACGCAAGCAAAGTCCGTAGGCGCGCTCCCAAGCGCGACCATGGGGTGGTGCCAGACACCGGGATGGTAGGAGATGCCTTGCGTCGTCTGCGCGTGGAACGCTGTCAGGGTCGACAGGTCCGGCTTGTCATCTTCACCACGTGAGGCGTGCGCACGTTGATAAATCGGGAAGTCAGCTTCTGGTTTGCGTATGGAGATATCATGTAACACACCTTTTCCATTAAGAGCTACAATGACCAAGTAACCTTCCTGACCTGTACTCGCTGCCGCTGCTGGTGTCATGGGAAAAAACGCCTGCGTGGTGAATTGATGCCGCTCAAGCACTTTAACACCCAACGGCAAGGAGAACGGAGTGCAACGGTAGAGATGGATGGAGGTTTCAGCCTGCACGCTCGCGTGAGTCTGATAGCTTGACAGCACCGGTGCCTGTGAGACAAACTTTTTCGCAGTGTCCTGGTTGACTTGTAGCACGTTGCTGTTGGCTGCGCAGGATGCGGAGGAAGGAAGGCCGATCACAGAGCCATATGGGACAAAGGCGTCTGTTGTGAGCGGCGCAGCCTTCGCAGGGGTGAGGTCAGATGCGCCTGGAACTTGAGGAAATGCTTTGTTCCGTGAGTCTGGAAACGGGATCGGCGGCAGGGGGTCGGCACGCCCGCTAAGCGGCGCTGCGCGTCGCCCCACGATTCGCACACGTTTGATGCCGCCGTCCTGCAGATAGAGAAGGTTGTCGGGAGTTAGTAATGTTCCCTGCGCAGTTTTGGAAAGGAGAGGAGCGCACCGGATGCATGGTGACCTTAACGTGCGTGTACGGCTTCCCCTCAACGGCTTGTAGGGGTAAAAAATGTTGTTTGCCAGGCCCCATCTTGGCCCTTGGAGCGATGAGCGTCCACTGGATCCCGCTCTCCTTCTCCCCTTCTTCCCCTTGACCCGCAGTGACAGGCCATTCCTCCATGGAATCTCCAACGTGACAAGCATGCAGCTCGACGCTCTCTGGAAAGTTGCCGAGGAAGTGTGCCGTGTCAATCTCGGCATAGTTCAACAGCCCTGCTTCGCCGAGCTTGATGACGACGAAGTCCTTGTGCCCCGGCGAGCGTGAGCGCTTCGTCTCCCATCCATCTCCCATGTCCTTCCCGCGGCCTGGTAAGAGAAGGTTCGCACCGACGCCAAAGTGCTGGTCGGATGTGCTAGCGTAGTGCGAGCGAGTGGAATTCAAGTCAGAGTTCGGGTTTAGAGCAGAGATGAAGAGCACGAAAAGAAATCACGCACTAGACAACACGCCCACCATTCATGACATGTGCAAGATCAACCACATTTAAAGCTGCATCTGCAGTTTCCGGAGTTGCATGCTCGCTGAAGCCGAGGCCAAGTGGCGGCGGTGGAATGTTGCCGTACACTCGGAAACGTGCGATACCGCCATCGGGGATCATGTGCAGCTTGATGTGGGTAAAGTGGGTAGCAGGGGGCGAGGTGAGGACAAAAAGATGTCGGGAAGATGGACCGCACGGAGTCTTTGGCAGGACACATTCCCACTACAATAAGAGCGTGGTCAGACGAGTTCAAACCATGTGCAGACATCTTTCATCGCTCACGCGAGGGTCTGTATCTTTCAAGGCTTCGCTCTTTGCCTCCTCGTCTGGCGGTATCGCGATAGCGTAAATCTGTACCTCTGGGGCTTCATTTCCATTAAAGTTGGCCGTGTCGACATCGAAACCCTTGATGAAAGCGCCTGCCTTGGGACCCAATCGCAGGATGACCCAGTCATACGGTTGGGAGTTGTGTCGCCGTGTCTCCCAACCATCGAAGAGCGCACCGGCAGGTCCGAACTGGCCTTTCATCGATTGCGCGGGAGGTACCTTGAGCAGATCAGATGCAGGCGCAAACCACTCATCGCTGCAGGAGAGGACATGGCCGCCGAGCGCTACGGAGGAGACTTCGGTCGATGTCGCGCCCAGCACGCGGTCAAAGTTCTCGAGTGGGACCTGCTCGAATGCGGGCGATGGCATGGTGGTAGTTTGTGTCTGCAATGGAATGAAAAAGGAGTTTGCGGGGGCGAAGGCGGAGGCGCTCAATCTGACCAAATGTGCAGGTGAGAGGGGTACAAAGGTGCGAAGCGAGCTGCAGCAGGTGGCATCGAAAGCGAGTATTTAAGCATATCTCCTTCAGGCGGGACATGCGTTCGCTCTCGTCGCAGATCCACCAATGTCCTTCGGATGTCACTTCCGCGATTCCGGACTAGACGGCTTTGCTTCCGAAAGGTTTCGGGAATTAGGGTTTCTGCTCCCATGCCACCTTCACGTTCGTCTTACCCCACGAATCCCCGCGGAGGTTCCTTCGTATCATCACAGCGGTAAGACATAGTACAGGAAAAGAGCGTAATCTCGGCCGTATTCCATCAGAAGTCTCGGCTGGCTAGAGGATTTGGCCCTGCCGTTTCCCTGCGCAACATCTCGCTCATCGATTTCCCATGCAGCCTTTTTCCGGGTACCGCAGAATCGCAGTCGGCATCGCCATTACTCGTCGCCTGGCGGTGTGCTTCCGACAGCTATTTATGGTATGGGCGAATATTTCTGATCAAGCTGCAGCAGGAACCTGGCAACGTACTGTACCAAGAAAAGTGTTAAATTAATATCAGCCCGGCGTTTTCAGGGTTCGCAAAAGCATGCATCGATGACTTACGTTGTACTCGGGACCGGCGATGCGCACGAAGAGGAAGTAAATGATGGAAATGAAGAAGAGCACGAATGTGAATGGGCGGCGAGCCACTACATCTGCAAGTATAGGAAAGAAGAGGGTCAGGTATAGGGGAAAGGGGAGAAACAGAGACCAAAAGCGAAAACGCGAACAACCAAGACGCACCTATCACGCCAGCCGACGCGACCTTTTCGCCCTTCTGCCACCTCTCCCACGTATCCGCCTCGCGGCTAGGGTTGAGCTTGGCCATACGCACGTTCCAGTCGAGCATCTTGCCGCTGGGAAGGTGGTAGACGCAGAGCGTCGGCGCGGCGATGATGTTGAGCTTGCTGGCGAGGTGGACGCGCGAAAAAGGACGCAAGTACGCCTCGCCGGACGTGTCCGAGTGCGAGAGCGACTCGTCAATATCTGCCTCACCAGCCAGCAAAAAGTTCTCCGCATTGTACAGCGCAGCGGAAGGGTGTGGCATAGCGGCCAGGTCCTTTTGTGTCGCCGTTGTCGTCGCGCTCGATGGTGTTTCGCTCGACGACGGGTCCGGCGACGAGCCGTCGGTCCACACCATCGAAACCCACGGCTTGCCCTTTATGCCGGCCTTGTACCACTGCTCATCCACATCGACGCTGACGTAGACCACTTTGAACTCGTTTGGATGTCGCAGACAGAAATTGGTGATGGTCTTGTGGTACTCTTTGAGCGGCTGCCCTGCCCACTGGCTGCTGAAGTAGAAGCCGACGCACTTAACGTCTCTCCCGAAGTGCTTGCGCAGATTGATCGCCTTGCCGCGCTCATCGACCAACCGGAGCCTGCGCAGGAGCGGGTCTGGGTGTTGATACTGCACTGCGGGCGGTAACTTCTTGTACTGTGACGCGGACGGCTTGAGCGCTGAGCGCAGCGTCGGTTGCCCGGAAAGCGTCGGGTGAGACGAGGGTTGCGCGCTGAATCCGGCCGCTGAGACGGAGACTGGGATGGACGCGACCGAGGAAGAGGTGGACATGTCGTTGAGGACAGCGCCATTGGCACCACCTGCGCCTGCGCCGATACCTGCAGCGGATGCGCCATCGGCACTCGGCATCGCGCTGACGGTTACGCTATCCTCTACCCCAAAAGAGACAGAGCGCCGCGGTGTACGTGCGCCAGGCCGCTCGAAACCGGCTACCTCAATGCTTGCTGGATCTACGTTCGGCGGGGGAAGCGCTGCCATCTCCGTCAGCTTCGCAACCGGTGCCGGCAAGGAATGCTGCGAAGGGGCAGCATCAGTCGTACCAAGCGTGTGAGCGACGCGGTCGGTGTCGGTATTAATATGCATTGCGCAGGAGCCAAGCGAGGTGTGCGAAAGCAGGCAGGGGGGCTTTGTCAGGACTGAGACGATCGGCGCGGTCTTGCATGCGCGTGTGGCGTGCACAGAGGACATACCTTATTTCCGCCCTATGCGCCTTCCTTGGCCTTTTTATAGAGGCCGCAGTTTGTAGCTAAACGTGCAACGACTCAATGGACTGTAGCCCCGGTTGTCACAGGCCGGGATTGACGGGGGGGGGGGGAGTGCGTGCCTTGTCGTACCTATCGACGAAAGAAGAGCGGTTCGCACATGCATATGCAACTATACAACGCGGATTCAACGAACCGATGATGGCGAGAGGTGACGAGAGCGGAGAGACGGGGCGTGCCTTTGCTGTTGGCATTGGCTTTTTCGTATTGGGATGGCCCACGCGCCGCAAGGAAGTGCCGCACCACCACCCAATCAAATACGTAGGCTAATGACCGATGAGGCGCTCGGAGGCCCGAGTCCGGATTGAAGCGCAGCCTTCCATGGCCACTCTTGAATACTATGTATAAAATCTACTTGCCCTTCACAAACCATCCAAAAAACCCTTTGCACTGGCCTCATCGTCCGTCCACATGCTCCAGAAGTGGTAACGCAGACGTGATGCTCGTTGCTGCTACTGCCTGGTGAGTTGTGGGGCCTTGGGGCGACGAATTCGGGGAGTTTTGAAAGGACTGCTCCGGATGAATAACCCTACTTGAGTCCCTCGCCTTTCTTTTTCTGCGGCAAGGCTTTGCCCAGGAGAAAGAAAGAAAGGAAGAAAGTGCGACGCATCGGAGTATCGCTCGACTAGTTGCACAGAATCACTTGATGCATCTCTTCCTCAAAAGATTTTGAGATTGTTGGTAGCGACTCAATACCCATCACGCAGGTTGAGAACGTCACCACGAGCACTTGCCTCGCCAAAAAACCTAGGAAGTTCATGGGCGTGCTGTTGCGCTCATCAAAGCTAGCCGCCGCTGCCGCTCCCACGCTCCGATCGGTCGGTAAACGTTGCACACCTCGAGGCCCTGCGACTCGGACAGCGACTGCAATTGGATCTTCATTTGGTGCTCGTCCACGTGTGCCAACATACAAGCCACTTCATATCGCCTCTTCAGACAGTCGGCCTGAAGAAGTCAATATGGCGGCATCACAGACTGGCCAACTGGGTAATGACCAAACTGCCGCGCTGCAGGCCTCCATCTTAGAGCAAGGCCACAAGGTCCGTGAACTCAAGGCTGCCAAAGCGAGTCCGGAAGAGGTCAAAGCTCAGGTAGATGTTCTGCTCGAGCTCAAAAAACAAATGGAACTCCTCACAGTCGGCGCAGGCGGTAGCGCAAGCGGCTCCAAGAAAGGATCTTCGGGTGGGAAGCTGGTCATAAAAACACCCAAGGGGACGCGGGATTGGGAGCCATTGTCGATGGCACTCCGATCACAGATATTCTCCAAGATCACCAAAGTATTCGAGACGCACGGCGCTGTCACCATCGACACACCTGTCTTTGAACTTAAGGAGATTCTCACCGGAAAATATGGCGAGGATGGAGGGAAACTCATCTACGACCTGCAGGACCAGGGTGGAGAACTCTGCAGTCTGCGGTACGATTTGACTGTTGGTAATTCAGCCCCGCGCTCATTGCGCTCACTAACGAGACCCAAAAACATAATCTGATGCTGCTGATTGTCCTACAGGTCCCCTTCGCTCGATTTGTCGCCATGAACCCATCCGATTACGGCACCATCAAGCGCTACCACATCGCCAAGGTCTACCGACGAGATCAGCCGGTGATGACCAAGGGCCGCTTCCGCGAATTCTACCAATGTGATATCGACATTGCCGGCGTGTACGACCCCATGGTGCCGGATGCAGAGGTGCTCTCCATCCTTGTAGAGGCGCTCGAAGCCCTCGAGATGGGCGAGTTCACCATCAAGATCAACCACCGCAAGATCCTCGATGCCATCTTTAGCATCTGTGGCGTGCCAGAAGAGAAGATCCGTACCATCTCTAGCGCAGTGGACAAACTCGACAAGTCGCCCTGGAGCGAGGTTAAGCGGGAAATGGTTGTCGATAAGGGTCTGGACGAAAGCATCGCCGATCACATCGGCGAATACGTCAAGCTCAAGGGCTCACGCGACCTGCTTGAGAAGCTCGAGATGGACGAAAAGCTTTCCGCTCACCCGCTTGCAGCGCAGGGTCTCAAGGATATGGCGCTTCTTTTCAACTACCTCGACATCTTTGGCGTCACACGCCGTATGAGCTTCGACCTTAGCCTCGCTCGCGGCCTCGATTACTATACTGGCATCATCTACGAGGCCGTCACATCTGCCTCCGCCCCGCCAGGCTTCACCGAGGAAGGTGCAGCAGCCAAGCCCATTGTGCGGTCAGAAAGTTCGGCCAGCAGCAGCAAGAAGAGCAAGAAAAAGCCTGAGGGGGAAGATGAGGAGGTCGACGAGAGCACGGTCGGCGTCGGCTCGATCGCTGCCGGCGGGCGGTACGATAACCTTGTCGGCATGTTCTCCAACTCGAAGAAGCCCGATGCAGTACCCTGCGTTGGCGTCAGCATCGGCGTCGAGCGCGTGTTTGCTATCAAAATGCAACAGCTCAGGGACGCACAGGCGAGGGGAGAGCCGATGAGCGTCAGACCCAAGAAGGTAGAGGTCTTTGTGATGAACATGGGTGATGGTCTGCTTGCCGAACGCATGCAAGTCGCCAAGATGCTTTGGGACCACGACATCAAGGTGCGCTGGGGTGCTCTCGTTTCCGCACGACCATCTGTCACAGGCTGACTTTCTCCTTTTTCTTTTCCTTTCTTTGACGCAGGCCGAGTTCCTGTACAAAAACAAGCCAAAAGTGCAGCAATCCTTCGCGGCGATCGAGAAGGACCGCGTACCGTTCGCCGTCATGCTGGCACCAGAAGAGTGGAAGGCCGGTATCGTACGCGTCAAGGCGCAGCTGGGCAAAGGCAGTGAAGAAGGCGCGGGCAAAGGCGACGAAGTCAAGTTGGACAAACTAGTTTCGTATCTCAAGAGTAGGATCGCCGAGATGACACAGGTGTAAACGCGTGCGTTGGTGTAGAATGCAGCGTGAAGTTTCCTCACAATACATGAATGCATGCTGCGAAGTGATTATATGTGATGATGCGTCTGACGCGCTTCCAGCGCCACTCTCAGCGGCCGCAGGAGCTCGTCCAAAGGGTTCTTGCGTTGAGTAACAGGATCAATGTTGAAAAGTTTCGCCATGTCTTCGATACTCTTCGCCTGTGCCATCTTCTGCTTCAAAGTGTTCGCATCGGCTTTCGACAACGCATTCTTGCCTTGCTCCCCTTCGTAAGGTTTGCTGACGGGCTTGCTCTGTTCCTTCTTGCTCGCACTGGGCGCGGCCGGTTGCAATGCCGGGCGAATGGCCAGTTGGTTCATGCAGTACTTGGTGTTTCCAAAGGGGTTATCGAGCGCCAGTGCATAGCGCACCCAAGCTGGTGCTACGACACTCTTGACGCTTAGGGGTGGAGCCGATCGCCGAAAGACGCTCGGATTGGACTCAGCGCCGCGGGCAATCATGGCCGCAGTGACGCCTGTGAGGTCCATGATCCGCTGCGCCTCCTCCGGGTCCCAGCAGTCGCCATTGACGACCACGGGGACTTGTCCAGCGCTTTCCACCTTGATCACCTGTGCAATTTCAATCAGACGCGAACTCAACGCCTTTTCGCGTGGTCGCATTTCTTTTGTGCGGCAGTGGACAGTGATGGCGTCTACAGTGCTGGTGCGAACAATTTTTTTGACCAAGTCGAGGGTCTCTTCTTGCGTTGGTAGCAGGCGAATCTTGCACGTCACGCTCACATGCGAGGGTGCAGCTTTGCGCATGGCTACGAGAATATCGCAGAGAAGATCAGGTGTGGAGAGCAAGTTGCTGCCCATTCCTCCGTGCGTGCTGAAAGGCTTGGGGCAGCCGCAATTGAGATCCACGCCCGCGACATCCTGCGCAACGTGGGACACGGCCGCATATGCGAGAGCCGGGGTGGCGCTACCGAGTTGGAAGATCATGTATGGCTTTTCGATCGGGTGCGTAGAGAAAACCTCCCGTTCTGCCGAGCCGGCGTCGGCTGGCCTACTGCCGGCAGCATCTGCGCGAATATATCTTATGATACCAGTGCGGTCTGACGACAGAGAATGTCAGCACTTTTTTGAGGAATTGATCCGTTTAGCTCGAACTCACTATCTACGACGCGGTCAGTACCGATTATTGCTCGGTCAACAATCTCTGGACTCCAAACCAGATCAGCGCCATGTTCCAGCGAGATGAGGCGAGTTGGCAGTGTCCCGATGCGAACCATAGGTGCGAGGAAGAGACCTTTGGAAAAATCGATCCTTGATGTGGATTTGGGTAGTGGAGTATCTGGCACGCCCTTGACGCCCATGCGTTCCATGTAGTCTGCTTGCCGTGCCTTTTGAGATTGTGCAACCTTGAGCTGCTTGTCCACCTCTTCGCCAGTATCTTGAACTCTCCGCCGTTTTGCAGGGGGCGGAGGATCGGTGACAGTATCAGCTGTACGTAAGGGGGTGACTGAAGGCATCTTGAATGTGTAAGTTCTCGCTTTGAGGTAGTTTATTCGAAGGTCTTTCAACCAGCAAGGAAAGATATTATCGATCGCTCTGATGGGTCGGATCTTGATCACTAGCGAAGTGGCAACGAGGTGCGCGGACACCACGCGGCTACAAGGCAGTAAGGCGCCGGCCATGCAGTATACTCGTTTGAGGATCTTAATTTCACCTAATGCAAACGAGGCGTCTGTCCGGCAGTATCAGGATGGGTCACTGCATATAGGCCATGTGGGTCAAACTCAAGATGAGGCAAGGATGAGAGGGATATGGATACAGTAAGATGGAAAATGAATGAACGCAAATTTGATGTGGCCAGTACTGACATACAATAACCCTACTTGGGGGCGTACTATGTGCGTGGCTTTACAATACACCACACATGCGGTCCTAGTTGGCGCGGCTTTCTCGACACCAACTGAACTCGACTTGTTCGTATCACCATTTTCGTCACATAGGCAGCGACTGCATTCATCCCCACTGTCATCAACTCCCGGATTGCTAACGTACAAGGGTTCGAGCCGCGCAGCAGTTGATTAGGATGGCGAAGAAAAAGAAGGGCCCGACTCTGGAGGCGTGGTGTTGGTACTGCGAGTAAGTTCGGAGTTCTCGACTACTTATTCCTGCAGCTGGTCTTTCCACATGTGCTGACTCTACCACTTTCTTTTTTCATCTGGGCCAGCCGTGAATTCGAAGATGAGAAAGGTGAGGCTTATTCCTTCACTGTTTCATGGGCAGAACTGGCAGACTGAAGGGCCTGGAAATCTTTCCCATCTGCACAGTTCTACTGCAACACCAGAAGGCCAAACACTACCGATGTCCGCAATGCCCCAGAAGGCTGAACACTGCCGGTGGACTTGCTGTTCATCTGCAGCAAGTCCACAAGTCAGAGCCCGGAAGGTGAGTCCAAGGATTGCTTTTATAAGACTTTGAACAGCAAAGCTCCAAGTGCTAACATGGCCGCTTTGTGGCTGCAGGCTTGAGAATACACTTCCGGGGCGAGACACTTTCGATATTGAAATCTATGGCATGGAAGGTATTCCTGCTGCAGATCTCGCAGAGTATCACTCTCGAAAAGCGGCAAGGGCTGCAGGAACCGATGGGGGCGGTGGTGGAGAATTCAGATCGAGCAAGAAGCCACGCGTTGACAAGAGCGTGATCCCTGCCGACCGGCTCCGCGCTCAGCTCGAGGCGCACAAGGCGCTTATGGCAGGGAAAGCACCGCCTCTGAGTGTGATGAGCGCATTGGCTGGTATGGCCCCGCCTGGATTATATGCTGGTCCACCGCCTGGATTCGCGTGAGTCGGGCATGCAACACTTCCTTTGTAGAGACAATTTAGCTGATTTTGCTCCGCAAATAGGCAAATTCGACCGCTCCCAGGACCATATAGCGGGCCACCACCGGCTTTCCCTCCTCCGGGCTTTAGCGGTTCGCCCCCGGGTATGCCAGGCGCCGCCCCTTCCACGCCGTCTGCGGCGCCGCCTGCAGCTCCCCAGCCATCTCCGCACCAGCGAGCCATCAAGAGCGGCGCAAAGAGCCGGATGGTGTACACAGATGCGGTACTGTCACCTGACGAGAAGCTTGCAAGCACCAGCAAGTACACTTATCTCGATCCTGAGGACCCTGCGGACGCTATGAAGATTCAGGCGCAGCAGCAAGCTAACGTGCTCCCAGGCTGGCAACAATTCCGCGCGGTTCAACCACCTCCCGCTCCTGCCCAGGGTCCTCCTGGCTATGGTGCGGCCTATGGTAGATTCAACACAGGCGCACCAGCACTGCCACCGCCGATGGTGACACTGTCACAGCAAGTTCAAGCTTACCCTATTGCATCACCTGGCAACGCAGCGCCGGCGAGTGCAGACCCAGAAAATCTCACCACCGAGGCGCTCGCCACTGCCAACGCGGCTGTTGTAGCTGATCCAGCAGCCGCTATGCAGCACGAGGCAGACATAAAAAGTATGCATGTGAATGCCGCTACCGCCGCCGCCGACAGCGAGATGGCGGACCAGGACAGCAGCCAGGGCGGGCTTGTTGCTGGCCAGAAGAGGGCCAGAGCTGCAGACTTGTTCTAATGGTAGGGGAGCAAGGCCATTGTGCCAAACTGCGAAAGCGAGCAGCGATGGATCGAGGGCGTGTCGCAGACAAGTACAAATGACGTTACAGAGCCTAGAACTGCTCGCTGAAGGGGCACAGGTCTAGCTCATTAGACTCAGCATTGCAGTGCTGACGGTACACATTGGGGTGTACCTGTGCAATTGCGCTGCAATGATGTAGAAAAATCACAGTCAGCGGCGCGGAAGTCAGTGTGGCCCAAAGTCAGTGTGGCCCAAGCGGCACAGGGAGCTCTGGCGAGCGTCTAGTGCCTCTTTGCTTTGCCTACAGAGCTTGTGGTTTGCTCTGTGACATCATCCCATGGAGTACGAAATGTGCGACGTGGATGCTCTGTGGATGATATTCGCATGCGATAGACTGGTCGATGGCGCACATGCCTTGCTTGGCAGCAGAAACGGCCGAGGAGGGAGGGCGACCTTGTAGACTTGCATTCCCATCTGAGAAGCGGTTCGTAGCAGCCGTTAGAAGCGCCGGAAGGGCTTCCCAATTGGGGCGAGATGTCATGCTTAGGTGAAGCCCTGGGCAAAGGCGAGTGCGCCGACAACGGAAAAGTGGGTAGTTAATGCATCAGTATGTGGAATAGTCTTCGGAGCGCATCGACTCACACTTGGACATCGAGAGTGGTCTTGAGAGTTCGGCTGCCCAGGTCTTCATGAGCGGTCCCATGACGAAGCCGCCGGTCGGGTTTATGATTGCGGCGTGAACATGCCTGCCCTTCCAGTCCTTTCCAAGGTTGTCAGACGTCTCTGGGTGCTTTTTTCGTTGGTCGCATCCGGCGTAGTGGGTTCAAGCACGTTCAGCATCGTTAGCGAGACTGTCGCTCGCCAATGCCTTCTCCTTGAGCATGTCGATGGAGCGCGAGAGCAAGGCGATCCGCCTGTGCAAAGGCACGCACGATCGACTCGCCAGTGTCTGGGCCGACGCTGATGATGACACAGATTTACGAGGCAGTAGCGGACGACATGCGATACAGTTTTCCAAAGTTCTTAGCTGTGCTGCGCCGGGCGCATCGTCACACCCATCCATTCATCAATGCGTTCGCCTCAAGAAACCCGCCTTGGTGCCGTCCTCTTGACTCGCTGTTTTATTATAATATGAACGTCTGTGGTGATCATCACAATGTTGCTGCCTCGGCTCCTCAGTTCGTGCATTGTGCGGTCGAGCCAGCGACGTCACATTGATAATGGGGCACGACGCAGGACCGACATACCTTCCACCAGAAACTTGTTGGTGGTCTAATGATTGATCATTAATATTGGGTCTTTGCTCGTCGCACTGCTTCGTTCGACAGGGAGCTTCGCTCTCAGCGCACTTGTTCCTCTGTCAGATCTCACTTCTCATTCAGTGAGCAACAGGGCTTCCAGCACAGTTGTTGCACTTCGAACGCATTTCACATCCCTTCGTCCTTTCATCTTGCCGACATGAACATCAAAAGGCAATACGACCTTCTCAGATCGGTGCTCTTAGACAGGACTGCCTTGCCGGCTTTCATCATGGACATCTGGTGGAACTGGTGATGACGCAAAGTGATTTCCACAACGTGCTTCACTATCGTCGGGTTGACACTTCTCGTAGGGCTGTGCAAAAGCCCCGGAGTATGTTACAACTTGTCCCCACAAGCGAAACAGTTCGCCTTCAAAACTTTTCCACAGGGCGTCCAAAATACATTACGGAAAAATGTGGAACACGGTGATGATGAATGCTTGATTTTCTTAGCCCTTTGATGAGCCTTTTCTGAGAGCCTGCACATGTGAGGGGACAGCAAAGGCTGAGGCCTGGGAGGACCGCTGGAGCAATTTCTTGTTCGGGCTATATGCCCAGAGCTTAGCCCTAATCCACTGCTTTTGCTTTCCTACGACCGCTCACAGCGATTCTCGCTCGCTGTTCCCACAGCACAACGTCCAATTTGCATGTATACAATGAAACAGCTGATGAAGATGAGGCGAGTCAAGTGATTCAGGACCATCACTGCGACTATTCGACAATCTTAATACAATAAATCCAAAATCTCAACTTTTTCTTATGAAGGGGCCATAAGGAGGACTTCTCCAAATGGGGAAAAGGTTAGAAAAATTTCTTGAGGCCTCACCCCAGAGTTTTAACTCTAACCCTAACACTATGGAGCCTGTGCTTCCTGGCCTATCAGAGTGGTCTCAAGGTCAGCGTTGTAGTCAGTGTCGTTATAGTGCGTAACCTCGCCGTGATCCAGGTCACTCTGAAGAGCGACCCACATAGTTTGGGGAAAACAAGAGTCAGAGGACTTCCCTTCTGCCTCTCGCAGAGAGCACTTGAGGCGGAAGGCGAGGAGACGCCAGGCTTTCCTACCCTTCCACACTCTGCATCGACTGGTCTTGGCCAGCCGCAGCTCGGCCCAACCTTTCCCACATCAGCCTTCCCACATTTCCGAAGGGCGGATGATGTGCACAAAATATACTTGAACTGATTC